CACAAGACCACACAAAGGCTTTCCAGCCCAGAAGTAGAAGGCGCAGGCACAGAGGAAGCACAGAGCTACAGGCACACCAAACCCGCTCAATCAAGCCCTCTTTCCCACCCCAAGGTAGGGCCAACGCAAGGCAAATGCAGCGAGAGAGGCAGCACTCAGCTACAGCAAACTTGATTAACGGATCAGGCAGATCCCGCCACGTGGTATAGCGTGACGGGAGGTCCGTGCACCATGACGACGTGTATCGTGGGTGTCACGTGGCGCTTCGCCGCCCCGTTTCGGCATCCGCTGGCATGGTCTCTCTCTATCTTGTTTCTCCTCTCTCTCATGGACTGATTGATTGCCCTCGTCTACTAGTACGTTGGACCCTCGCGGCACCCAAGTGCCTTGCTCACGACAACATCTCATAGAGACCTGCAGCTCAACGCAGTCGCGGACGGCCATCCTGTCTCCCTCGGGCGCCGCCTTGCTCACGCTTACAAAAAGGCCGCCTTGACCCGCTACGATCTCCGACCCTCCGCACCATGAAGCTCGTATTCAACAATTGGTTCATAAAGGGAACTGTCTATCTGTTCGAGACCCCATCGACCGAGTTCCAGGACGAAATTCGCCGCTCACATCGCTCTCACGCACCTGCCGATCAGCCTGTCGGCGGCAGCGGTGCTGCTCGGGCAGAGGGACAATGAGCCTGCGCACTTCGACAAGGGCAAGTAGGCGGCGGAGGCTCCCAACCCTGACAACGACTGCGACGACGGCAGCTGTGTTTTTGCGGCCGTCAATGGCCGGGTCCACGAGACGGATCACAAGATCTGCAGCCTTACTGTTGCGCCCTCGCTGCAAACCAGCATACGCGGTATCTGCCGACGCTCGTCCGAATGATGATGCATTCGCGGAAATCGTAACGCAGTTCAATTCGATTGAGTCGCTGCTTTCAAGCTCTTGGCGAGCGTCATGATCGTGAAAGGCCTCAGAGAGTGCCAGGTCCCCGTCGCCGCCTCTTCGGTATGTATCGTTTTGAACCCCCTCTTGGGCCAGTAGTCCCCTGTAAGAGCGATGCAAGTTTGTAGAGACATGTTGATCGGCCCACGGACTGCGACGAAGAGGTGTTCTTCGAGCGTAAAGAGCGCACGGGATACCAGTCCTGTTCGCTGTCGCGATGGATCAGCAGACGCCAGCTTGATCTCGAACCAGGGACCTTTGCTGGACGTCGGCTCAGGACAGCGAGGTCCGTTGGGCATCGGAGCTGCTGCGACTGCTGCGACCAAGCTTCCGCCCGCAGCATCTCTGACCAGAGCTACCAGCGCGTCGTCACCCAATGCAAGCGTTATCGGGTCGTCGACGAGCAAACGAGGCTTGCTCAGATCCCACTCTTCCGGAAACCTGCTCTTCGTGGCTGCAAAAGCTCGATTGATGAGCTCGACTAGCTCGCCATTCAGCGCTGCATCTTTGCTGACGTCGGAAGATGTCTTGATCTCAATGATGGCGTCTGCCATGCAGTGAGCGCGCAGTCAAGAGTCGTTGCGAAGTGGGAGCGAGGGGTGGGGAGTGGACAGGAGGGCGGATGTCGTTCGAGTCATTTCGGAGAGACGTGGCTATCAGGGTCGGCGGTGGAGTTGCATCGACCTCCACCTCGGATTACGTAAGTGACCCGCCATCTGATAAACCGCCTCAGCGCCCGACCCCTCGTATGCTCACGTCGCAAGGCAACCATGAACAAGCATCGAAATGCGTCAGTAGCTACCTTGCCACTGAGGCTGTCAACACCTGACCTCTTGGCTTGACGAAATCGCACCACCTCGCTGATGTGCAAGGCTAGCGATCATCAAGTGCAGACATTTGGGTTGCCGCGGATACGGCTCGCATGTCGCGAACGCAAGCACATGCGCGCATTCACGGTCAGCGTCAGGAGGCACACCGGCCAAGAACAGCCTAAGCAAGAGCAGCCTGAATGGTACTTGCGACGCATTGAAGATGGTGTAACACTGCAGTGGGGGGCCTCGACGAGATTGCCGCCAGACTGCGGGAGTGTCCGCGGAAGGCGCGTTTCGTGGGCTCTTTGCTTGCGTCCCTTCGGATCAGCGGCCACTCTTCCATCGTGGGTGACTCAGCGTCAGTGCGAAAATCAAACACGGGTCACGGCCTGGATCAATCGGAGAATCGACTTGCCCTACGAACGCCATCTGCTTCTTGCCTGCGCCACACAGATGTTGCGACTGTGGCTCTTATGTCGATTGTGGCGCACGGTCGGGCAGATCCGTCTTCACATTGCTTGCACCCCGCGGCGGATCAGCGCAGCTTTGTTCCCCTCCTGGTGGCCGCAGCAACTGCGTATCACAAATGCATTCACAGATCGATGCGCAGCGCCAGGCTTTACGATCTCTTTTCAAAGCTTTCACATCGCTTTGCCCTGGCGACACTTCTCTCCCGAAATGCGCTGGCAAAGGCGCTGAAGTAGGCGCAACATAGCGCAGCCATCGACTCACGAGAGATAGGATGATCAAAGCATGCGGGATGAATGGGAGAATCGAGCGGATCTCGATGGTAGTCAGGCACCCGATTGCACTACGGTGGGAGTATCGAGATGATACGATCTGTCTAGTCCTCGTTTTGCTACCGCCTCCTCGTCGCCCGCCACTACTTGATGTCTTCTCGCGTCGAGTCTCCCTTGCCCTCTCCCTACCATATCAACGCTACCACTGCCTGCCTCGTAGCGAGCGACAGCGCCTGATGAGCCGCACAGCTCGTCCTCGTACTCATCACGACGACATGCCAATCATCGTGTGAGTCGACGTGCAGGCTCCCACTCCCGACGTCCAGGTGTCGGCCGTACTGACGCGGCTACACCTCGCCCACTCGTCCCGCGAAGGGCCCCTCCCGAGGGGCTCAGCGCCGAGCAAGTACTGGCATTCAGGGAGAACCTCTGGCGGCGTGAGTGCACACGCGTGACCCGCTGATGACTGAGCTGACCTATCTTCTCACCCTTTCCCTCGCGCAGAGCTCACCTCCCCCATCCTGTTTGCCACCTCCTTCTGGACCGACGACACGCTCATCGTCCGCACGACGTGGGGCCACTGTTTCGGCAACACGGACATCGAGGGTATGCCGGCTCTGATCGAAGTCTTCCAGCCGGACCTCCCTCGTATTCCGGCTTCGGTCACCTTTGTTCCTTTTAGGCAGGGCGACGAATTCTCGGGTATCAGGGTGCTCGCCAGATTGCAGTACACGGGACTTTGGGTGCTGGCTAGGGTGCCGATGGAACTGCCTCTGGCGCCGCATTGAAGAGCAAGTAGGAGGGGGCAACTCTTGGCCGCAATTTGGCTACTTTTTATCTGCCGTCACGCTGATGCTAGATACAAGAGCAGATACCAGACATGAGGCATCTCCCGATACAATCTCCTTTGCATGCTACGCCAAATTGTGACAGCCAGACTCCTCTTGCCTACCTACGCGAGGGCAGCAACGCCTGCGACTAGCACCAGTCACTCACGCACCCTCGGCGAAGGGACAAGCACGAATGAACATTGGCAGGAAGAGAAGCGTCTCGAGATTCGTGCGCGCGCGCGCTTGCGTTTGTGTGTCTGGAATCGTATGGTATCTTGGTCCGTTGCTCGTCAGTCCCCCTGCCGCACCCCTTCCTCTGGCCTCGCCGTAAGGAGGAGTTGTCTTCTCAATTCGTCGCCACTGGTACCCACCTCGGCCAGTGCGTCCGCCTCGCGAGAAGCAGACTCCGCCGCTGCAGCCGCCGCCTCTGCCTCCGCTGCCGGGTCCTCTCGATCACGCTGCCACTCCTGCTCGCTGCCGCTGCCGCTACTCGCGCTGCGCCGCCTCCCTTTACCCTCAGCCGCGCCGGGAGGGGTGGGGGACTCTTGCTTCTCTTTGCTCTGCTCATCCTCCTCACCCCGACGAATAGGCGGTCGCGTATCCCTTTCCTCGCCTTCTTGCCCCGTCGGCTGGTCCTCGGAGTCGAAGTCCTCGAGACGAGAGTGGGCGGGACTCTCAGAGTCCTCGCGCAGTAGCATGGCTCGAGCCTTGCGGAAGACTTCGCCCTCCTCGTCCACCATATCGCGCGCCCGCTCCTCTTCTGCAGTATGGCCGTGAGCGTGGCCGTGAGCGTGTGCGTGCAGAGGTACTGATCCTTCTTGCTCTGCCTCCGCATGCTCGAGAGAGGCCACTTGAGATGGCGATGATGATAATACTGCGGAGGGTCGGCCAGAACCTTGAGGCTCGGAGTCGGAATTGCGCTCTTGCTGATCTTCGTCCTGGTCCTCTTCTTGCTCCCGTCCCCTCTCGGCCAAACGCGCCGACGACGATGAGCCTGCCCCGCGTTCTCCATCTCCATCCTCGCCCACGCCAGATGAGGCGACGTCCTTTCCGCTTGAATCGTCCCGCCCCTCCCTTTCCTCCCGCTGCTGCTGCGGCTCCATCTGCTTCTTTTCCCTGCTAGCAAAGGACGCCACAAGCTCTCCCGTGATTCCCACCAACCGCTCTTGCGCAAGGAGGGCGCGATGCAGCAAGGTGGTTGGGTCGTCCTGCACTCTCTTCGTCGTCGTCGTCGTCGTCGTCGTGTCCTGTCCTTGCTGCGCATCCTCATCGATCAGCCCGGGAGGGTCTGCTGCTGCTGCTCCTCGATGTCCGGTATCGTTTTGCCGCTGTGCCTCGATGAGGCGGCTCAGCTGCTTGCTCAAGCGCCTACTCTGCGCCACCAAGTCCTGGAGTAGCTCGTCGTCTCCCGCACTCGCAGTCGCAGTCGCAGTCGCAGGATCAATCGCCCCCCTCTTCCCCTCCAACACCTCGAGCAGAAAATCGCCACACTCCTTCGCCGCGCGTAGGAGGGCTTCATTCTCCTCCTCTTCCCCTCCTCCTTGCTGGCTATTACGAGTGATCTTCCTCGCACTCGCAGTCGCGATGGCGCTGGCTCGTTCCCTCTGCTGCTCCTGCTCCTGCTCCTCCTTCTCCTTTGCCACTCGCGCAATCGTCGAGCTATAGATGGGCGCGGCGACAGGCGCCGTAAGTCCGCGAGAGGTGGCTCGTTTCTGTGCTAGGCGGGTATTGCGGATGCAGGCTGGCGGGCGAGGGGAAGGAGCGCAACATGGATCAGATCAGATCAGGTCAGCTCTTCTCTTCTCATCTCCTCATCTCATATGCGCCCACCGGAATCTTTCGCCCACTCACCCATCAATATCTCCCGACTAATCTCCATCCCCCTTTCATCACCCGGGGTGACCTCTACGTCCAAACACCTAATGGTGCGATTCCCCTCCAAGCCACGAGCGAGGGAGAGGATCCCCTCGATATCGATGGAGGGGTTCTGAGTTAGGTCTAGGTGGAGCAGGGAGCGGGCTGCAGGTAGGGCGGAAGCGAGGAGGAGGCAGGAGGGGGTGGAGAGGTTTGTGGAGTTGAGGAAGAGACTGCGTGGGGCGGGCGGAGGAGGGGCAGGCGAAGGGGGCCGGGGGGGAAGGGTGTTAGTCAAGTCTGGCTGCATCAAGGAGAGGTCAGGTGGTGCGATCGCAGACGTACCGTTTCAACCCTTTTCCCCTCTTCAGTGCCCTCCCCAACGCCCGAACCGCTTCGCCTTCAGGGCCGCAGCAGGGATTATGGCTCATATCCAGCGTTTCGAGCGTCGTGTTCTCCCCGAGGACCTCGGCGAGCCCAAGTAGCCCCGAGGAGTCGATGGAATTATCGCTGAGGTTGAGAACACGCAGCGTTTTGTTGCGGCGGAGGTAGGGAAGGAGGTGGAGGAGACCACCTGTAGAGAGGGAGTTGGTTTTGAGGTCGAGGGTGAGGAGCGGAGAGAGGGAGAGAGGGGGACGGGGCGCGGCATGGGGATGGGGGAGGTTGGGTTTGGAGGGATCAGAGGCAGACCCATTAGCGAGGGCATTGACGCCCAGCTTGCCCGACAGCGCGGGGCCTGGCTCTGCATGATTGATCTCCCCTCCCCCTTGCGGACTCCCCAGCTCGACGCTCTCCACCTTTCCCTCCTTCTCCTTGTCCTCCCCCCAGTCCACGAGGATAGCCGCAAGCCCCGCCGCGCCCTGTGGACCGATCCTGTTCCTCCTCAGGCTGATGTGCTTGAGCGCCGAATGCCGTACGCCCTCGGCCAGCAGGGCTAGCGTAGGGCCGGAGCGGAGCGAACAGTTCTCTAGGCGGAGCGAGGTGAGATTTGAGCCGTCCCCGCCGTACCCGCTCCCAGAGGAGGAAGAGCGGAGAAGGGGCGCGGGGGGCATGAGAGGTTCCGCATTGGAGGAGGAGGACGATGAAGAGGCAGAGGCTGAATCCGAGTCCGAGTCCGAGTCCGAGTCTGCGTGTTCTGCGTGATCCCCATGCTCATCCGAATTCCTGGGCTTCTGAGTGCTGACGCGCGGCGCGTAGGAGTCGTGGGACCCGTTGACCTTATGTTGCTCAGCGTGTGGATTCGCCTCCGGATCAGCATTGCGCTGCTCGTCCCTCTCCCTGTCCTTCTCCTCCCCTACGCCCTTCCCATTCCCAGGAGGCCGTGCGTCGCCATTCCTCGTCACTTTCTCCTCCCCGCCACCCCTTCTCAACCCAGCCACAACCCCCTCCACCCCTCCCCTGCCCAACGGACACTCACTCAAATCCAACCCCTTCAAACCCTTCATCCTAGCCAGAAACTCTCCCACCCCTCTCCATCCTCTTACCCCCACTTTGCGATTCCCCGCAATACTCAACGACCCCACCGTCCCCGATACGAGGAGGGCGTGCAGTACGAGGAGCAAGGTGGCGTCCGTTAGGCCGCAATGGTCTAGGGTGAGCTTCTGGAGGGTGGGCAGAGGGACTGAGAGGAGGTCGCAGATTGGGAGGAGGGAGTGGGGCGCGAGTGGGTGAAGAGAGAGGTCTAAGCTCTTGAGCGGGTTTTGGGCGACGAGGAGGGACAGGATCGCTGGTAGGGGCACCTCTTCTCGGGCGCGACAGCAGGAGATGTAGAGGTCTTGCAGCTCGGTGGGTGTCCAGGGCGTGGAGCGACGGGAGGCGAGTGATTGACGATGTTGAGCTTCGATGCGTTGTTTTGTGGGGGATTCGGAGAGGGGGGGAAGGGAGGAGGAGATTGGATAGACGACCCTTAGTGAGGAGACGTGGAATTGGACACGACGGAGCTGCGTGGACGGGGAGGAGGGGGCCGGAGGCTGTTGTGGTGAAGTGGTAGAGAGGAGCGAGGAGGAGCTTGAGCCCCCCGCCGACTGAGTTGCACCCGGCCTCTCCCCGCCAAGGCCTGCGCCGCGCTGTTGCATCCCTGCCTCAACGCCGCCCGTAGTACCACTCCATGCGGCCCCAGCGGCTCCTACTGCCCGCTTGATCATCCCGCCTAACACGCCGGCCGAGCCCATGCCCATGCCCGGTGGGGGAAGGGGTACCTGCACATTGACGCCTTGCAGTGCGAGCCGAGTGTTGAGATTCTCGATTATGTCCCGGCGAAAGCTAAAGGGCTTGGCGGCCGAGGGAGAGGGGGAGGGCTTGAGGATCGAGCGGGTCGGTGGGCGGGGACGGCGCCGGCGTGTGTGATGGGGGTGAGGAGATTGCTTTGGTGGGAGGAGTGGGGGAGAAGAGGGCGAGGGGGACGACGATGGTGATGATGATGATGATGCTTGGGGCGCGGTACGAAGAGGGACGCTGCGTGGTGATGGTGATGATGAGGGCGCTGCATCGCTGAGGTTCTCACCCTCCTCTTCTTTGCCCGGCTGCTGCCCATCATCCCCCAATCGCGCTTGCGGATGCGGTTGCGATTGCGCATCATCCCACGAAGTGCCAGCTCCTCTTGAAGTCGATGCCGAGGTCGAAGGGCCAGCAATCGCATCCTCTTGTTCATCTAGCCTCGCATCCTTGACGTCTTTGGCATCCGAAGCTATGCTTGAGCTTGCAGAGGAAGACGTGCTCATGCTGATGCTGATGCTCTCGCTCTGCAGGGAGGAGACAGCATATAGGGGAGGTTGTGCAAGTCGTGAGTCGTGAGAGTGAGTGACAGTCGAGAGTGACAATTGCATCGCGGGGCGGACTCGGACTGGACTTGGACTTGGGACTCGGACTCGCACTCTCAGGGTCTCGTCTGACAGATGGCTCACTCCGCACCGCACCGCCGTCGCCGCCGCCTCGACGCAGCACCAGCCACGCGAGCCAGAGGAAGAGGGGCGGCGTCGAGCAGAGGAGGATAGGTCAGGCAGCGATGGAGGTATGGAATCGATGCAGTGACGAACTCGACGAATGATCAAGGTGAGTGCGAGTGGCCTCGACGATGACATATCCATCCTCGCTATCGCTCAGCTTCAACTGATCACCTTGCTTGTTTCCACGCCTCGTCTGTGCCGTGCCAGCCTCTCACCGCTCGTCCCTCGTCGTTGCACGCTGCGTCCGCGCCGCGCCGTCGCGAAGAAGACAAGACTCGTCGACGTCTGTCTGCGCTCAGGCCCGCCCGCCCGCCCGCTCGCCCCGCCCCGCCGGCCGCACGACTGGCGGATCTGCTTCGCATTGGCTGTTTCTCTTCTTCTTCTCCACCACTACCACAGCAGAAGCAGAAGAAGAAGAAGACCCTCAAAGGCGATAGGCATCCATCCGCACGCCAACCCCTTCCTTCCTCTCCCTCTCCTCCTTAACCCCTCCTCCCCCGACCACCCCCACCACCACCACCACCACCACCTTCCTCTTCCTCCGCCCACCAAACCCACCGACCATCAAGAAACAAGAACAAGATGTCCTCCCCCTCCCCTACCCCGGACATCCCCGCCTCCTCTCCCTCCCCCTCCGCTGCCGCCTCCCCCACGCAAACCCAAACCCTCTCGCTGCGCGCCCTCCTCTCCACGAAGGAAGCAGGCGTAATCATAGGCAAAGGTGGTTCCAACGTTGCCTCCCTTCGCGAGTCTACAGGCGTCAAAGCCGGAGTGAGCAAAGTGGTCCAAGGGGTACATGATCGTGTATTGAGCGTTACGGGTAGCTTGGAAGGGTGTGCAAAGGCTTTTGGATTGATTGCAAAGTGTATTGCTGAGAATCCTGTCGTGGTGGGGGTGCCCGCTCAGCAGCAGCAGCAGCAGCAGGCTCAGTCGCAGGCGCAGGATGCAGACGGCGACGCCGAGGGGGAGGGAGTCGCTTCTCCCTCTGCAGCAGTCTCACCCCTCATCGCCGTGCGCCTTCTCATCTCGCACAACCTCATGGGAACGATCATCGGCCGCCAAGGGCTCAAGATCAAGCATATTCAGGACATCAGTGGGGCGCGTATGGTCGCTTCCAAGGATATGCTGCCTCAGAGTACCGAGCGCATCGTCGAGGTGCAAGGTAGCGCACAGGGGATTGAAGTGGCCGTGCGAGAGATTGGAAAGTGTTTGGTAGAGGATTGGGAGAGGGGACAAGGTGCGTGCTGATGAGAGGTCGCTTTTTTGACTGTGCATATACTCACGTTGGAATCATTCGCCCACGCCCCGCCAACAGGCACCATCCTCTATCACCCTGGCTCCACGGAAGGGGCAGGCATACTCGCGGCAGGAGGGGCGGGTGGCTTGCACCCTCAGACGGGCTCGTCGACCTCCCCCTCTTCCACGTCAGTCAAGGGCGCAGGCGCAGGAGCAGGCGCAGCAGGCTACCTCGCAGGCACCATGGGCGGTCTCTCCCTCGCAGCGAACGCAGCCGGGGCTCGACGTGCTTCGAACAACCACCATCGTAACAATGGCGCAAATGGGTCAGCAGCAGCCGTAGCCGCCGCAGCGGCGGTCGTCACGCCAGGAGGTGCATTGAATGTCCCCTCCACCGACCTTGCGGGCGCCACCTCTGGCTCCCCCTCTTCTACCTCCCCCTCCATGTCCGGCATGCCACCCGCCCTAGTGGACGCCTCCTCCCCCCCTGCCCCAGCCGGCTCCTCCTCCGCCGCGACGTCGGGCTCCGTTCTTCGCACTCAAAACATCTCCATTCCGGCGGACATGGTTGGTTGTATCATTGGGAAGGGAGGGTCAAAGATCACCGAAATTCGACGATTGAGCGGTAGTAGGATCTCTATTGCCAAGGTGGCTCACGATGAGAGTGGGGAGAGGATGTTTACTATTCAGGGGAGTAGGGAGGGGAATGAGAAGGTGAGTATGCGCGGTTTGGGGCGTGATGGGGAGAGAGGATTTGACTGATTCATGTGAGATACCGTCTCCCTTTCCCTTTTGCCCCTCGCCCTCGCTCGCTCGCTCCCATTACAGGCCCTCTTCCTCCTCTATACGCAGCTAGAGAGCGAAAAGGAGCGTCGCACCCAGACGGAGAATGAGAACAACGACAATGCCAACGCGAACAAGGAGAGCGATAATCTGGCTGGAGCTGGACCTGGACCTGGACCTGCGGCTGGTGAGGTCGCGGAGAATGCTTGATTGCTTGCACGCACGAGGTAGAGGGATAAGAATAGAGAGAGGGCGGCTGAGTCGGGAAGCAAAGAGAGGAGAGAGGGGCGCGAGGTGAGTGACGACTACGCACGGTCAGAGCGACGAGGAGAGGATGATGACGAGGGCGAGGACGGCGTGAAGGAAGAAGAAGAAGAAGAGAGCAGCCCGTGTCAGCTTCCACTCTCAACTCCAACCCTTTTTCTCTTCTCTTTCTCTTTTCCTGATCTGATCACCACAAAATCAAAAGCGAGCTACCATCTCATCATTCGAGCCGATCAGCCGCGAGCGACTGGACGAGGTGTACTGCTGAACGAGGTCGTGGCCCTTGAAGCTCACCCGCCTGGGCCTTGATCCTCGTGCTCAAGCTCAGCTCAATTTTCAACCCCCACGGTAGCATCAGACAGACCTGCGTAGAGGCACGGCACGGCACACCCAACGAGATCAATCATCGCGGGTGGAAGTCGACCCTCGAGACAATTCACCTCGCTTCACCTCGTCTCGCCTCGCACGCGCACATTGCTGAGAAGTGATGGCAGCAGCGAGTAAAAGAGAGAGTGTATATATCGTGGTGGGGATAGTTGGAAGGTAGGAAGATAGAAACACAAAATGAATGACCTCCCATCGCCTCCTCTCATCGCTGCGCAAGCGCGAAATTGATTGAGCTCCCTTGCTCGACCCTCCATCGTACGCGCCATCTGTCCTCCTCCTCCTTCTCCCTCTACCCGGCTCTCATCTAACGATGATGAGGGTACATCTGTCCGTGCCCATGGCCATACTGACCCTGCCCAGCAGGATCATAGTCGTAGCGTTGTCCCTCGTCGTACACGCCGCTAAAGTGCTGCTGCTGGTGCGACTGCTGCTGCGCCTCGTACCCGTGCTGCGGTGCGTCGTACCCCACGCCGGAGGGATAATGCTGGTCATATCCGCTCGCGTAATCGGGTGGGTATCCCTCCCCCATACCCATGCCCATGCCCATCCCACTCCCGTGCCCATAAGCCCCCGCCCCAGTGAGGTGAGCCGTCGAGTCATTCTCTACCATCTTTGACCCATAACCCCCCGCCACACCCGCACCACCCGCACCGTCCCTCATGCTGGCCACATCGTCCTCCTCCTCGCCCATATCGAATCCAGCGGCCCCCTCCCTCCTCCTCGCCGGCAATGGCTGCATGATAGCTCCATCCTCATCTTCCCCAGCAGAATGCTTCAGCTCGGGCCACTTAATGTCATTTCCATCCGCATCGTCTAACCCATTACGGTTACCGCAGAACTTCATGAGGAAGAAGACGAGACCGCCCAATAGGGCAAGACCGCCGACTACGGATACGCCGATGATTAGCGGGGTGTGGTTCCCGCTCGACGAGTCGGAATCCGCACCATCGGATGCCGAGGCGGCACTGGGTGCCGTGGTGGGAGCGGCTACGACCGAGGTGACGACGATGGTTTGCCCACCCGCGTCCGTGGTGGATAGCACGCTCGTTGCACTAGCCGCTGCGGCTGCAGCGCTGGAAGAGGATGCGGCAGCAGCGTCGGCTGAGCTGGAGGCAGCGGCATCGGCGCGTGAGGACGAGGCGGCAGCTTGGCTACTCTGACGCGCCTCGCTCGAGCTCTGTGCCGCTGCTGCGGCGGCGGAGGAGGAAGAGGCGGCGGCAGCGGCGGCTGAAGAAGAGGTGGCAGCGTTGTCTGCTGCAGCTGAGGTCGAAGTGGGGGAACCTTGCTTGCCCGTGCTGCTTAGCGTGGATCCACCGCCGTCCGTTGAAGTAGGTGAGGTAGTCTGGCCACCGCCCCCACCGAATAAGAGACGTTTCACCCGCTGTGGGCGCTGGTGTACGTTGGGAGGGGAGAGATGGCGCGCCGCCTGCGTTGGAGAGAGGGCAGAGCTGGGCGTGCTGGTGGCTAGGAGGGTGAGGGTGAGGGTGGCCAAGAGGAGGGAAGAGTGAGTGAGGCGCATGATGAGTGGAGTTGGAGTAGGGTTGAGGGGGTGAGGGGGTTGCTAGTCCGGTAGTACGTGGGGTTGAGAGGTGCTCGAGGTCCTGAGGATGTTGATGCGTGTGTGTGATGTGATGTTGATAAGAGTAAGGCGGAGGATCAGCCTGAGCCTAAGACTGAGCCTGAGGAGGAGGAACAGGATCGCGTCGCCTACGAGAAAGCTACCAGTAGCTCAGCAGGGCTTGTATTGCGAGTCGCAAGGGCGAGTGGGATGACCGTCGTCACGAGGGTAGTGTCTAGCAAGATCGTGATCGCAATCGCGGTTGCGATGATGGGATGATGACAACGAGGTAGAGGGGGAAAGTGTCGATTCAGGGGTGTGTGTGCAGAGAGCGTATTTCGTGGATCGTAGAGTGAGGGGGGAGCCTTGAGAGTGAGAGTGAGAGTGATTGAGAGTGGAACAAAGGAGTGATCGGGAATGAGCAATGGGAATGGATCGGATCGATTGAAAGAGAGGAGCTCGATTCGATTCAACTGAACTGAACCAAAGCGCCGCCCATTGTCCGGCGGCCAGCGTCCAGCCTCCTGCCTCCGACGTCGAGGGACCAACTCACAACGAACAAACACTTGGAAAGGAACACACAGCCCATCCGCCTTCGCCTCGCCTCGCCTCGCCTCGCGTCTCTCTTCTCTCTGCCCCTGCTTCCTGCTTGCTTCCTCGTCCGCCCCGCGCGAGATGCGTGCGTGTGCGCCGCCCCCCCTTTTTCTCATTTCAGCCACAATCCTATCCTTCCCCCCTCTGGCAGGGCGCCTCGCAAGAGGGGCGGACGTGCGATGCTCTGTACGGGGCGCAGCGCAGCGCAATGAGGCGCACGACGTGAGTCCGGCGACCAAAGGCGAGCGGGGCGTAGGGGAGGCAGAGAGAATGCACACAGCACAGCAAAGCAGACAATACGGCAGGGCACAGCACGGCACGGCGCTTTGACTTCATTGGATCGGCGACCATGGTTTTCGAAGAGACGACAAAGAGACTCGACTCGACTCGACTCGACTTGGTGGTGAGAAGGAAGCTTCTGGTGGTGGTGATGATGATGGTGGTGGTGGTAGTGCTGCGATTTGGATACACGATTGACGTCGCGCGTGGCCTCTGGCTGTAACTGGCACCACACCTACCGGTATCTATTCTTGGAATCCACGTACTGCGCTGCCCCACGCTACTCCACGCCAGGCTACGCTACGCTGGCCAGACAGGGTGGGCAGGCTCGACTTGGCTACCGCGAGCAGCAGGGGAGGACGGTATCAATCATCATTCTTCCTCCTCCTCCTCCTCCTCCTCCTCGTCGTCGTTACGCTGCATTTCGTGTCATGTCTGTATGAGAAGATCAAACCCAAGTCTCATATTCATGCTCAGATCCCGATCTCTCAGCCCGAAGCACAAGCGTGAAGCGTAAAGCCATCTACACGTCTCCGCACTATTGCCTCACTTCACCGCACTGAAACCACACCACCTTCCATCTACCTCCTCCCCTCCTCCGCACCCCCTCCCTCTACGCGCTCCCCAGCGGCTTAGCCCCTCCCTTCCCGACCTCCTCAGCAGCATTCGTCCCCCTCTCCTCCAACCTTGCCTCACTAATAGGCAACTCCACCTTCCCCTTCTCAGCCCTCGCCGCAACCTCCCCCGCCTGACCAGCAAAGAAGCGCACATCCGCATCCCCATCGGCTTTCAGTCTCTCCAATGCCGGGAGGATCTGCTCAGAGACCACGCTGCGACCAGTAGGGTCAGAGGAGAGGACGGCAGATAGGACTCCAAAGGCTTTGCAGACGTTGAAGCGGATGTTGGGGATCGGGTCCGATGAGAGGGAGAGGACCGTTCCTAGGACCGACGACGAGGTGGAGTCGCCCTCAGTGGAAGAGGAGGAGGGAGGCGAGGGAGAGGTGATGACGGCCACGCTTAGGCTGGGTGCCATGGTTGTGATGGCGAATATGGTTGTCATGCGATACAGGTAGTTGGGGTGATGTCCCATTTGAAGGACTTTGGGGATTATACTGGTCGACGACCAGGTGACGCCGAATACGTCTGTCAGCCTGGCGCGAAGAGGGAGAGCAGCGGAGTGGAGTGGTTAGGATGCGTCGTCTTCGTCATTGTGAGGCGTGGACACGCCGCGCCTGACTCACTTCTTGAGGTTGACAGTAGCCGCCTCCCTAATACTGAAAACGGTATCCCCCAACCAACTCATGCACAGCCCGCTCAATTGCTCATCAAAGAACTCCACACCGAGCTGTTGTGCCAGTAGCGGGATGTACTCAATGATAGCCTGCCTAACCCTCCACTGTTTATCCTCTGCCAGCTCGACAATGGCCGGCAGCAAGCTCTGACTGAGCAAATCGATGCCAATGACCGAGTTGACCTGGTCCAGCTTGGAGATGATGTTGAGGCGCACGTCGGGGAACTCGTCTTTGAGGAGCTGGAGGAACAAGGGGAGAAGATGCTCGATTGTAGCGTCTTTTCCGAGCAGAGGGGCAAGACCGCTGATCTGCGTGCCGAGGGAGGCACGGACGTGCTGGGATGTGTCGGTGGAGAGATCGCGAACGCAGGGAAGGAGACGCGCGAGGATGATGTCCGTTGTGATCAGGTTAGCGAAGCCTGTGTGGTGTGGGAGGGGGAGGCGATGAGCGAGCTGCGGAGTGAGGGAGTGAGAAGTGGATCGCATCCTAGCGTCGCAGGCTCACCAGGAATCTGTCCCGCCCCTGCGGTCCTAACTTCCGCCTCATTATCCTTCAGTAGCGCCACGAATGCCGCAACCAAATCATCCCTAACCACATCCTCTCCCACGGCGCTGGCGAGCTTAACAAAATGGTCGGCCACCATGTACCTGACCCGCCAGCTCTTGTCCCAAACAGCCTGTCGGATGGAGCCGAGGAGGTATGTCTTTGTCTCTGCGTGCGGGAGGATCTCGGCAATGGCAATCAAGTCCGAGACGGTTAGGAGACGCACGGAGTCCTGGTCGTCGGTGCTGAGCTTGCGGTATAGGGGGATCATGTCCGCGATTACGGACGAGGGGGAGAGCTCTTTTGCGAAAGCCTGGCGTGCACGGGAGGGCGTGGAGAGTAAGCAACCCTAGCCTCTGGCGATACCTCTGTCTGTACGCGCACGCTCCCCTACTCACCCCCAAATCACGCGCGGCTGCCCTGCGCACCATGGGCGTATCGTCATTGCAGAGTGCTCCAAACATCTTTCTCATCTCGTCTTGTGTGCTCGTTCCCACCTTGCCGTAGATGGCGGCAAAGAGGCTTGCGGCACTGGTGCGGGATGTGAACCAGTCGCCTCCTGAGAGTCGTTTGAGCAAGGGAAGGTAGTGTGCTTGAATCTGGGGCTCGGTGAGGACTGTGGCGATCTTGGTAATCGAGTCGGATGCCTGTGCGAGGACATGGCGTGGTGAGTGGGCGGGGGAAATGGATCAGCTTATCGTGAGAGGCGGATGTATGCATGCTATATGCTCGACGACCCACCTTCTCCCTAACACACGTCTCCTCGACAGCAGCCAGATTCTCGAGCGGTCCCAAGAGGAGATGGGCATATTCTGGCCCACCGAGGTACTCCACAAATCCACTGCCCAGCTCCTCAGCAAGTGCGAGCAATACCTCATCCTCATCATCTAGCGAGTCTTGGAGGAAAGGGATCAATTCATCGCGCGCACGCTCCGGTCCCAAGGCGAGGGCGATGGTAGAGATGCGGTGGATGGCGTTTAGGCGGAGGGTCACATCGTCTGATTTGAGCTCGTCGATAAGCAGGGCGATGGGTGCGAGTGGGTCGTCCATGCTGAGCTAGCTAGGTGATTGTGATGATGATGATGATGTGGTTGTGTGTTGGCGAAGACGCGCCCGTCGACTTGATTGGACGACGTCGTCCCGCTCGGTGGCTCGAGCTCGCCGTGATTGGCCTGACGAGCCTCGTCAGCCACGTGGCGTGGCGTGGCTGCACCTCGTCTCGCTCACTGCCAGCCTCCACCGCCGTGCTCTGCAAAGACACACAGGTGCGTCAGTCCGCCCTCGTCTTCCGCGGAGCACAACGCAATAATACCACCACACTGCTTTTGCTACGAGGGCTAAGCAGGGCCAGGCAGCAATCAGAGGAAATGAGGCCTTACTCACCACGATCAAGCAGCAGCAAGCGTCGCTGTCCAACTCATCCCGCGAGATGACCACGAAACCAGACATCAAGGGGAACGGCTCCTCCTCCTCCTCGCCCTCATCCCCCCCATTTATCCGCATCCGCCTCCTAGCAATAGACCACATCCTCACCACTCCCACCACTCAGGACCGCCCCACGTGTCCCTTTCTCCCCTCCGGCCAACTCCTCTCCAAAGTGCCCCTCCTCCGCATCTTCGGCTCTACCCCCTTGGGACAACGTGTATGCCTTCATCTCCACGGAGTTTTCCCTTACTGCTACGTCCCTTACGAGGGGAGCTTAGAGCCCGAAAAGGTACTGAGCTACGTACAACGATTGGGCGGGGAGCTGAATGCAGCTATCAGTGCCTCCTTGCGCAATTCCCGTCACGATGACAGCTCGCACATCGTCGCCATCCACTTGGTGAAAGGGGTGCCATTCTACGGCTTTCATGTAGGATGGCGCTATTTCCTCAAGATATCCTTTGTGGACCCTAGCCATAACTTCCGATTGGCGACCATCCTCCAATCAGGGAGAGTGATGCGAACCGTATTCCAACCGCATGAGATCCATATCCGTTACCAGCTGCAATGGATGTTGGACTACAATGTCTTTGGGTGCGGGTACGTCGATTTGGAGGTGGCGAGTTTTCGCTCCCCGCTGCCGGAGCCGCGAGAGGGGGGATATCACCACGACGAAGACGAGGAGAGCAGGGAGCGCTGGGACTCTCGTTCCGTCCCTCCGCACCTGATCCAGCAACACGCCCCTCGCACCTCCTTCTGTGAACTCGAGCTAGACGCAGAAGCCCGACACGTACTGAATCGTCGTTCACTACGCGCGAGGAGCTTGCACCACGACTTCGATCTCGAGGAGCAGTTGCATGGCGGCAACGGCGGCGTAAACGAGAAGCTCGTGCCTAGCTTGACGGGCTTGTGGGAAGAGGAGAAACAGAGACGCATCAAGGCCGGTCAGAGCGGTACGCCTCCCGCTCCTACTTCCAAGGAGGGGGGAAAGAGAGCCTACGCTAGAGGGGAAGGACCAGAATGGATGGCACAACATCGATACGCTCAGCTGCTCGAGGCTAGGATGGCACTCGATGCACAGGGGATGAAGAAGAAGGCGAGCGATCTCACTCGCCCTCACCCGCTTGACGCGCACATCTCTACCACGTTTGAGAGTGTGGAGATTTTCCACTATTCGGCTGAGGAGCTTGCAATGGGGGGCGGACAACGAGTCGAGGGAACGCAGCTGTCTAGTACGTTGTATAATTTGGAGCATTCCGGGAGTCAGAGCCAAGGACAGGGGCGAAGAGGGGCGAGGGAGAGCGGCAAGGGGGACAAGGAGGACGAGGACGAGCAGGAATGGCTCGACGCAGAATGGTTTGGCACTCAGGCCTTTCGTGAAGATCTGGCCGAATTGGAGCGTCAGCACGAGGAGAGCGACGAGGGGGAGGACGTCGACGGCGACATCGCGCACGACGAGACTGCTGAGCGTAAGATGGAGGGAGCTTCGCCCGCGATGCAGGACAAGACGGCTCAGCCTGGCACGCCGAGCAGGAAGAGGGAGTACACGCCCAAGACGCCCACAAGTCAAACTCCCCTCGCAAGGCCGACGCACACGCCCTTTGTCGCGCCGCGCTCGGCCTTCAAGACTCCCAGCAGGCTCGCGACTACCCAGTCCGCCGTGCGCTTTGCTTCACCGCTGAAGCGACGGCGGGATGCGCGGGAGGGTGACGGCGATGAGGAGGAGGGCGAGGAGCACGGGAAGCACCTTAGCTCAAGTCAGGAGGCTGGTTCCGACGACCTGCTCAGTCAGGAGGGCTCAACGTCGTCGCTCCACCCTACGTCGCAGCAAAATGGCCACCCAGAAGTAGGCGTAGGCACAGCATCAGGTCAAGCAACTCGATCGCAATCGCACTTTTCGCCCGAATGGTTCACCGCCCATCTGCGAGCACAGACGCGCTGGCGTGAGTCGGCCCACTCGCAGGTCCTCAGCCAGCGGCAAGCAACGCAGGGCGCAGCAAAGCAGGGCAACGATTCCTTAAGCCAAACAACCCCACCCTTCTCCACTGTCCCTGCCCTCACACAGCTTGCCCGCTCATCAGGCACAAGCACAAGTGCGACGCACGCTTCCGCATCTTCCTCGTCCTCCGCCTTTCAGCCCGCCCTTCCTAGCTTCCAAGGCCGCGAGCCAAATACCTACCTGTACGCGATACCCGCCCCAACCAAGCTAGAGGTAACCGCTTCCATGCAGCTCTTCGGCCTGTCCCCCGTCGAATATCAGGATCCCTACTATTCGGACCCGCGGGACGTTCCCACGCACGCGAGGGAGTATGCGGGGAGAAGCTGGCGATTTGGGAGTAAGACGATTAGGTGGTTGCCGGACTGGCCGGGCAGCGAGGCAGTGCCAGCATGTGAGATGAGGCCGCAACAAAGAGCTAGAACGGAGGAGGGACCCACCTTCTCGACCTGGGTGTACGGCCCGCCACCACCCACCCGACTAGCCATTGTAACGTGGGATCGACAGCAGCGCCGCAAGCGCAAGCGCATTGCCCGCTATCGTCGCCGAATTGCCTCGCAGTCCAACCTCGCGCCTACACAGGCCTCCTCCTTTGGCTTCAAGATCAGCCAACGAGTCGGAAGCAAGGCACAGCCTCGCACGCATACGGTCGCCAAGGAGAATCAACACATGACCTTGCTCAGTATCGAGGTGCATGTCAATACGCGCGGATCTCTCCTTCCCGACCCGAAGAAGGATCGAGTGGAAGCGATCGCCTACTCGTTCCAGAACGAGGACGAGCAGAGCATCGACCCTTCAGCCGCAGCTTCCGCCTCGCCCTCCCTACCGGGGTTGCGCACCGGCCTCATCCTGCTCGATGATACGGACGAGCCGCTGAGGGCAGATCGGCTCGGCCTCACGCACCTTCCGTGCACGGTAGTCGACACGGAGCTGGACCTCTTCAACGCCCTAGTGGACGTCGTACGCCAGCTAGACCCGGAGATCCTCGCCGGCTGGGAGATTCACAACGCCTCGTGGGGCTACGTCATCGATCGCGCGCGGCACGAGTTGGGCTACGATCTTGTTCCGGAGCTCAGCCGCGTCAATAGCCTCTCGACGGGCATGGCTGGGGGTAAGGCAGACAATTGGGGATGGACACAGACGTCCGCCCTCAAGGTCACTGGGAGGCATATCCTCAATGTGTGGAGGTTGATGCGCGGTGAGCTCAACCTCAACGTCTACACGTACGAGAATGTCGTTTTCCACCTACTGCGCTCCCGTGTTCCGCGTTTTCCTCACTCAACCCTCACAACATGGTACACTTCACGTCGCCCACATCAAGTCTCCCGAGCCTTGCGTTACCACCTCTCCCGGTCCAGCACCACCCTGCACATCCTTCACGCCTCTGAACTCATATTTCGCACAGCAGAATTCGCCCGTATATACGGAATCGACTTTTTCTCCGTCCTCTCTCGCGGATCTCAGTTCAAGGTGGAATCAGTCATGTTCCGCATCGCGAAACCGGAGTCTTTCCTTCTTCCCTCGCCCAGTACTAAGCAGGTGGCGGAACAGAATGCGGCAGAGTGCCTGCCACTTATTATGGAGCCGCAGAGCGCTTTTTACAAGGGGCCGCTGCTGGTGTTGGACTTCCAGAGCTTGTATCCGAGCGTGATGGTTGCGTACAATATCTGTTATTCGACGTGTCTGGGACGGGTGGCAAGATTTGATGGGAGGGAGAAGTTTGGTGAGTGCGCGCCGAGAAGGGTGGTGCGAGCGAGCTGAGGCTGATTGTCTGCGCTCACGCCAGGCATCACGGAGCTCAACCTGCCCAAAGGCCTCCTCACCCTGCTCAAGGACGACATCAACATCTCGGCCAACGGGCTCATCTACGTCAAGCCACACGTAAGGCGCAGTCTCCTCGCCAAGATGTGAGTGTCGCGCGAGGTCCCCATGAAGGCGGGATCGTTCCAGCCTGACGTCCCTTCCTCTCGCGACGCCGCCACGCACCCAGGCTCACCGAGATCCTCGACACGCGTGTAATGGTCAAATCTTCCATGAAAGGCCGTAAGAGCGACAAGCCCTTCATTCGCCTGCAGAATGCGCGTCAGCTCTCCTTGAAATTGCTAGCAAACGTCACCTACGGCTACACCTCTGCGACCTTTTCCGGCCGCATGCCCTGCGTGGAGATTGCAGACTCCATTGTGCAGTATGGACGCGAGACCCTCGAGAAGGCCATAGCCCTCATCCACGCGACGGAGAAGTGGGGGGCACAGGTGGTGTACGGGGACACGGATTCGCTCTTCATCTACCTGCCGGGGAAGAGCAAAGAGGACGCATTTCGCATCGGTAACGAGATTGCGGATGGGGTGACGGCGCAGAACCCTGAACCGATCAAGCTCAAGTTCGAGAAGGTATACCTACCCTCCGTCTTGTTGGCCAAGAAGCGTTACGTTGGGTTCAAGTACGAGAGTCTGGAGGAGGTCACGCCTGAATTCAATGCAAAGGGCATCGAGACTGTTAGAAGGGACGGGTTTCCGGCTCTGCAGAGGATGTTGGAGGCGTGTATTCGCATCCTGTTCACAAGCGCGGATCTCAGCCTGGTGAAGCGATATTGTCAGAGGCAGTGGGCAAGCATCTTGCGCGGGGACGTCTCACTTCAGCAGTACGTGCGGTGCGCGACGTGAGCTATTCAGAAGCAACTGCTGACCTCGTCCTCCCCCTCCCTCGCGGTGCGCATCCGCAGATTCGTCATCGCAAAAGAAGTCCGTCTTGGCGGATACAGCACCAACGGCGTTCCCCCTCCAGGCGCAGCCGTCTCCACCCGCCGGATGCTCCTCGACGCCCGCTCCGAGCCGCAGCACGCGGAGCGTGTCCCCTACCTCATCACTCAGGGCGAGCCGCGCGCAAAGCTCAACGATCTTGCCGTAGAGCCCCACGTCATGCTCGCCAATCCGGCACTACAGCTCGGTGCTGGTTACTACATTACAAGGGGGATCATCCCGCCGTTGACGAGAGTTTTCAATCTACTCGGATCGGACGTCGAGAGCTGGTGGAGGGAGATGCCTAAGCCGTTGAGCGCGGCGAGTGATGCGCTGACCGCGGCGGGCAACACGACAACATCATCATCATCTCCATCTGCTGCGGCTTCACGCCTTACGCTCACGGACCACTATCGTCCCTCCATCTGCCTTTCGTGCTCGCGACGCACCACCCTCCCCCTCTGTCTGGACTGCCAAGCTTCACCGCCCTCCACGCTTCTGCGCGTCCACTCGGCCCACGCCGAGTCACAGCGAAGACTTGAAGCGGTCGAGTCGGTGTGCAGGCATTGTAGTCGGATGACGGCGGGCGGATTGGGCGCCGGTGTGAGCCCTTGTGTGAGTACGGATTGCCCCATTCAGTGGGAGAGGGAGGGGGCGAGAAGGCGAGAGAAGAGGGAGAGTGAACGATGTAGGCGGATAGAGGTTGCGCTTGATGAGCGGGAGGGCACGCTGTAATTGCGATTTCATTGATACCCGCAGGTCGACAACGCGCAACATCGAGGCGGCCATCGGCTCGAAATGGACGCGAGCCATCAGCTTCGGCGACGCTCGCTCAGCCATGACACGCTTTTCCGCTCGGCCCCCTGGCTGGCTCGCTCGCTGTTCGCTTTTCGCTTCTCGCCTTTGCTACCATCCATCATCACCCTAATCACGCTCACTTAGAGCTTGCCAGCCAACAGGGTGATGCATATATAGCCTTTAAGCTTTTTTCCTCGCATCGTAAGCTTCACCAGCCACAACACAACACAACCAAGCGCACAGTATCAACCAGCCTCGCACGCCCCTGGAGCAGTAGCGGCGGTGGCGGCGGTGGCGGCGTTGCACTCAGCACGCACCTGCTCCTGCACCTGCTCCTGCTCTGGGGGATTCATCATCAGCGATTGGCGTACCAAAGGGAGCCGGCAAGAGCATTCAACGTACGGCCTCAGCAAGAAATCCCTGTCTGGCCTCGTTTGCTCACAAATCATCACACGCGTGGGCGTTGGGCCAAGTAGCGCCTCGCCCTCGGTCATCAAGTTGGTCATACAGTGTCGACACGGGGCGCGGCGATCCATCACGCCTCTCTTGGCTCCTTGCCTGACAAGGCGCTCCGACTATGGCAGGCAGGCAGACAAGGGCAGCCAGTATCCGCGCTCTGTCATCACCATCGACCTGATGGAGCAAGAGTGCCTCACCCCCCCCGTGCGTGACAGAAAGATACCCACACCTCAGTGCTTCCTGTACCGCGGGCCGAGTACAGTACGACATCCTCAGAGTTCATGCTGAAGGGTGAGTCAAAGCGGCATCGAGCCCCTCTTTTACGTCACACATGCATGCACGATGTCTGATCTATCCCATCCGCCCCTCTTCGCCTCGCCACAGGACCTCGTAGCCTTAATCTGCTTTCGCTCAGCCTCTCACCGCGGCTGCGTCGCAAAGCTCCTCTACCCCTACAAGATAAGGGCCACTCAAGGCTGAGTCTTCTCGGTGTGGGCCTCCGCGTCAAGTCAACACGGCAACTTCCCCGCTCTTTGACGCTCAGCATCACCCCTGGATCGACATCTTGGGCGAGCGCGAGGTGCCAGCAACGATGACTACCAGATCAAGTCTCCGTCAGACTGCTTCGTCCTCGTCCTGTTGTCTGAAGCAAGAAAGGTACCTTGGCCTTTAAGCCATCTCACCACCGTCCCCGACTTCGCTGCACAAGCTGCCCTCTCTACGCAAAAGAGCTCTATGGCCACATTTTGTAGAGAGCTCGACGTCATCGACAGCTACAGTAGCCCTCCTTCTCTGGCACTACAGATTCCAGCGAAAGCAAACGCGACGAAGCTGGCTGCTGCGCCTGCAAGGTGAGTGGGCTTGATGGCTCCTGCTAATCCCCGGTCACGCTCGCGCTGATGCTGACTCTCCTTGCCTCCTTCAGTGCATGCACATCGACCTCAAGCTTTACTCACTCTCAAAACCAGTGCCACTCCGGCCAGCACCGTGCCAGTCTTGTCAGGCTATGAAGCGTAGCTCAAGGTCAACACAATAGACGGTGAGCTACGCACAACTCCCCTCTCCGCTTCTACGATGTCGCGAGCCCCCAGGCGATCATCACCACCGTGCGCGGCCATCCAAGTAGATGATCAGCACGTCTTGTACTCGCCCTGCACTACACGACGTCGCCTCCCCATGAGCCCTCCTCGAACGTCTCTACCGTCTCCACTTGGGCCCCCTCTTAGCAAGAGCAAGGCGAGGCGAGGCAGTGGCACCGGCTGCGCACCACCGAAAGTCGAGTCCTTCACCTCCCGCTACGACGCCGCCATGCTCACGGCTTCTTCACGGTCAACAAGTACGCAGGTCTCAAGAGTGGCTCAACGAAGGCTACCTTCCTCTCGAAGCAGCCCCAGCCTTCCTCGCACCGTCTCCTTGAACTTGTCCACTCCAAAAATGTCCAATGTTTTCCAGCAAATCGCTGAGGCCAAGGCCGCCGATGTCCGCGCCCTGTGGCCCATTCTACACGCGATCAAAGAGGCGTACGAGGCTCTTGGATGGTGCATCGACGCCGAGTACACGATGCCATTCTTTTCTCAGCCAGAGGCGTTCATCAAGATCCACGCCGAGTTTGCTGTTCCTGGTGTCTTCGCGTGGATGGACTCGGCCCGAGACGTTCCCACTCTCCCCTTTAAGCCTCCCCTGCTCGTCAACTGGCCTCACATGGCGACGTACCTCAAGACGCTGTTCATGAGCAGCCCCGTCTTTTGTGAGTCTGCTACCGTAGCTGGAAGAGCAAAGCAAGGCTGAGAGGTTCTGACGTTGACTGACCTTACGCATGCAGGGTTCGTCGTCAACCTCTACAATGGCGTGACACTCAGTGGGCCCCAACGGGAGTTTGGACACTCGGCCGCTCAAGCGACGGAGACCGCGGAGGGAAAGTCAAGGCCCCCTCTCTACACGGCATGGGACGATGCGCACGAAGTTCTGACGCACGTCACCTTCGGTGTCCGGGACTGCATCACCTTCCACCGCTACGCCGCCTCGGTCATGGACATGTCAAAGGGCAGACTTTCGGAGCTGGACCCCGTGGCCTTCACGTACGCCTACATCGGCGCGAAGGAGCTTGCCGACTCGTTCCGCTGGCGCATACCAATGAGCAAGGGCAAAAAGTACGACGACTTTCTCGCTTCGAAGCTTGGCCCGCGACGCGCTGATGTCGGAGGAGTCAATGCCACCAACTGCTTCTCCAACGCCGTGCGGTCATTCATTGGTCGCCGTGACGCCCGCAGGAAGGAAGCTCCGCGTAGCGACAACGGTCATCTCGACTTCCTGCTGCATACCGGAGTGGGCGACATGACTCTGGCGTGCAGGGCAATCGTGGGGCTGATGAGGTCGGTCGACGCTGGGTGGAACATTAATATCAGGTGCGACCTCAAAGGAGCTGGCAAGGCATGGGTCATCGCTCTGCCGAGCTGCTTCTCGGGCGCATCCTCGATGCTTGATCTTTCCACAGAAGCCGTTCACGAGCCCGGGCTGGAAATTATGGCGCCCGCGACGAGCGTCAGGTGCACATTGTACCTCACGGAGCGCTCCTACGCGTCGGCTCCTCTGGCGCCTTTCATGGGCAGGCTGGAGGAAGAAAGGGTTATTGCGCTTCATGACATCCTCGTCGAGACGGACACGGCGAGCGTAGTGACCAAATGGCCTCGCAGCGTTGCCGACGATCATCAAGTACGCCACACCTTCCTCAGGATCATCGGCGAATACGCTGGCCAGGCGGACGTCGACGTCGTGCTGGCCCATGCGCCGCCCCACCTTCAAGGCTGGCGCAACCATAGTCCCGCCTCTCAGTCCGGCTCGATGCCATCCGCCATGCGTCTCCTCGGCTGCTCAATGGCTCGAGGTAGCTTTGCGCGAATTGGCGGCGCAAAGAACGGCCGCGTCACGGTTTTCTCGGAGAACAGGCGCTCGAGCACCCAGCGAGTCCCCGCAGCCGGCGAAGCTCACTGCCTCTTGCTTTCCGTGGACGACAAGGGCGACCCATGGTATGCATATCGCCCTCTCGACGATTATAGGTCTGCCGTCACGTGGCATCGCTTGAGTCTCGCGGTGAGCAAGGCCATGCAGCTCTGCATCAACGAGGCTATGGCTACTTTTGGTCGCACACCGCTACATCGCATCGACAGGCCCCTGAGGAAGAGCAACGGGAGCGAGGATGAATTTCTCGACAGCTTGCTGGCCGGTGCCGACATGGGCAAGGCGAAGACGACCTTCCTGGGCATACAAATACCTATTGGCGGATGCGCGCGGCTGGACGGTCATGCAGACCAAGCTCGAGCTCTTCCGTCGCCTCAGCCGTGGGGCTCGCAAGGAAGACCCCTACTTCATCGAGCTGAAGTCGAAGAAAAATTTCTCCTGATGGTCACTCCATCGGGCCCCCACCACCACTACCACGAGTCGACAGACCTCGCAGCCAACGCACCGCATCCGGGGCACCAAGCCTCAACCGCCAACTGCACCCAAGGACATGCAGCCTGCGGGCCCACCAGGACACGCATCCATTGCTCAACTTCCTTGCTTGGTGCAAAGACTGTTGCGCGGGGGCAGAAGGATGTGTTGAAGGCATATCGTTTGCTGCTTGCTGCCAACGCTCCCCGTCGGCCCTCCGCGGCTCGCGCCCGACCTATTCCTCACATGGTCAGCCCTCCCCGCCCTCTTGCTTCTGAATTCACACCCAATCTTATCATCGCTCTCGTAGCATCATGCACCTTTTCGCGCTAGCCTTGACTGCTTTATCTTCCATCGTTGTCTTCGTCGAGGCCCAACAGGGGGGCATAGGCAAGGGGCGACCAAGCAACCCCATCAATCCTAAGGCGAGCACCAGACCTCTGAACCCACCCCGGGCATGCGTGGACACCAACATCTTCTGCCTCACGTACGCAAACAGCACCCAACAGAGCAACACGGCGATGCTGACCCAAGTCGCTTCGCGTCCCGCAGCGAGCAGATCGGCAAAAATGCCTACACTGGTGTGCAAGTGCGAGGGCATGCTGCTTGGTCAGTGAAGCACGATAACAGAGCCTGGCGCACAACCGGTGAGCGAAGTGTGGTGACTGCAATAGCTCCCACTGTACCACTGACAGAGCCAGCATAAGCCAACGTTGCAGCTTTCCTTGGTGCGCTATCATCGTGCCATTCCATCTTTTGCTCGCTAATCACCGCGGTGACCGTCTCGCCCGTGGTTGAAACATCTCGTAGCTACCGACTCGGGCGATGTCGACCTGAACTGTAATGACAGCAAGGATCCAAAAGATCATGTTCACATCAATTACGGTTTTGCCGCCAACGGAGGAACGTGAGTCCCCGCTGCTGACGCTAGTCGATCACGTAGGCCAAAGCTTACCCCAACCCTGTCTGGCCTGTCGCCAGGAGCTATCTCGCCATGGACAAAAATCTAACCGAGGGACATGCCTCGGATGGTTAGTACATTGTGAGTTGCGCTCATACAGGTATCTGCTGCGCTGCGCACTCGAAATGTTTGCGGCCAGTTGACCATCCTGTTTCCCTCCGCTCGATCAGCGCGAACGGGGCGTGCTTACGACGCAGCGGGTCTGGGTGGACTTTATCGTGTGGTGCAAGGACTTCTGATCGAAGTCTCGCAGCGCCGAACCCAGGGTCAAAGGGCATCAGAAGCGACTTTGCTCTCTTGCTACGGTTCCGCCGCCACTCCTTGGCCCTCCCGCTCCCGCACCGGAGATACTCTTAACACTGCCGGCCTCGCTGCTTCGTAGCGCTCTTGCTTCTGAATGCACATGTCAACATTGACCGCCACCATTACCGCTCGAGCAATGGTGCACCTCATCACTCTAGCCCTGACTGCTCTCCTCGCCCTCATTGTCTCCGCAAGGGCGCCGCGAGCCGGCAATGGCAATGGAAGGCCCGGCCACAAGGATCCTACTCCGCCGCGACCTGCCTTGAATCGCCCGCATCCTCCCACGGCATGCGGGATCACCAACATCTTCTGCCTCACGTGAGTGAAGACTCCATTTGAGAAAGAGGCACTCTGCCGCTCAGCCGCTGCCTCCCGCCGCATCCACAGTGTACAGCTTGGGAAAAACGCCTTCACTACGGTACAAGTGCGCGGACATGCGGCTTGGTCGGTGACGCACGACGGCGGAGCCTTTCGCACCTTTGGTGAGAGCGGTGCGTGACCGCGCTTGAGATTCTACTGACCGGCTAGCCCTGACGGCCTGTCGCAGCTTTCCTTGGTACGCCCTTCATGTGACGCAGCACAGTGCACGCTTACATGCGCGCTAACCTTTTCCTTTCCCCCTCCTCTCTCGCACCGCAGGCACCGACTCGGGCGATGTCAACCTGAACTGCAACAACAGCAAGGATCCAAAAGACCATGTTCACATCAACTTTGGCCTGGCCACCAACGGAGGAACGTGAGTGCCCCGTGCCCATCCTGCTACGACGCACGGAGTGACTCGACCTGACCTCTGCCTGGCCCGCTGTCGTTGCACGCACCGCACCGCACCGCACCAGGAGCTATCTCGCCATGGACAAGAATCTGACCGAGGGACACGCATCGGATGGTCAGAAGATTCTGCGTTGCGCTGCACTGCCCTGCCCCCCACCCCCGGATCGTTTGCGAACGGCTGGCTGACATGCTCTTGCTTCCGCTCGGGCAGGATCAGCGAGGCGTGCTTACGACGCAGCAGGTCTGGGTGGATTTCGCCGTGTGGTGCAAGGACTTCTGAGCGGGGAGGCTATTCCGTGCTCAGACGACGGGGCCTCTTGCTTTGGCTCCAGTCTTAAACATGCCCGTCTACCCACCCATTGCTCCTCGGCAATTCAAGAGACCCTGCCAGCGGTACCGCCTCTCGCGCGTGTCTTCGCTCCTCGTCTTACTATACCCACCCATTCCCATCTGTGCAGTACAGTATCGACCATGCCTAGCCGGCAAGTAGCTCTCATCTTTGCCACCTTACTGGCCTTGAGCGCAACGATTCGTGGCGGTCGCGCTATCAACCGTCTCGACCCACGCTACATCTCCCCTGAGCCTCCGCTGGCATGCACGAACAACACCATCTTCTGCCTGACGTGCGTAGGAGCAAGAGACTGGCTCTGTCTTGCTAGCAACTTACGTCCCACGCGCCGCCAACAGTCTACAGACGGCGAATGATGCTTTTCAGAATTGGACCGTACAAGGTAATGTGAACTGGATGGATGTGCAGAAGCGATGGAGTTGGCGCACCTACGGTGAGAGTGCGGGCTGAATGACAGAGTCGACCACTCGAGCACTGTTGACCACAGCGGCGCGGCATGTTGTCGGCAGGATTCAATGGTGGGTCAGGGCCGGAATCGTGATGCATTCTCGGCTGACGCGGTGTCATCTCCAGATACGGCCTCCGGAGACTTTGACCTCTATTGCAAGGATCCCAGGGCACCGAAAGAGCATGCGCATATCAGCTGGTTTTTCACCAGGTGGAAGACGTGAGTCAGTGCCTCCATTTTGAGACGCTGGGTTTGTCTAAGCTCTGTTTGCACCGACCTGACAGGAGCAACCTGACGCTCAGCAACGCATTGGTCATAGGGCTCTCCTCGGACGGTCAGGGTCTCGTGAGCCCTGGCTCAATTCTCCACTCATTCCGCTCGCCGGCTGAAGCGCGCTCGCTGGCTGTCTGCGCAACAGAACACCGGAGGCATAATCAAGACTTCGCTGGAGTGGGTGACTTTCGTCGTATGGTGCAAGGCCTATCTGTGACTTGGCATGGCAATAATGTTTGCCTTTGCTCTGGCAGGTCGCTGACAAAAACCAGCCGCAGCAATCCGCCGAGCCTTGCTCCCCTCGTTTCCTCCTGTTCTGCACATTGCTCTCGAATCGTCTCATCGTCTCCTTCTCAACTTTGTTGCCACTCGCCCTACAGCTTGACAATCATAATGCGCAAGCCCCCCGCTCTGTTCTTTCTCCGAGCGCTGACAGCATTCTCCTCCCTGGCAACCCCGAGCGTGGCCCTCAAACTTGCAAAGCGCTTCGTGACACCTCAACCTCCAGAGGTGTGCAACGGAACCTCCCTCTTTTGCCTCACGTGAGTGCGCGAAAGGGCGGACCGGAAATGTACGGTACGACAGTCACTGATGCTGGCATCCTCAGCGTACAGCGGGGCAACAAAGCTCTACAAGCTGAAAATGTTCGAGGTAACTTGCTCTGGATTGCCGATCAGGAGCTTGATTGGAGGACGTACGGTCAGTTCGCGGTGTGTTCTCATTTACTGAAGCTGACTCGGTTCTGTGCTTCTCAGGCTTCGACGGTGCGTGGCCTGCACCCAAAGAGACTGCTCCTCGCTCACTGCCACGCTCGCTAGACCTTGTCTCGGGCGACATAGACCTCAACTGCCTCGACAGCATCGTGCGAGTCAACTTCGGTTTCGCTACCCGTGGCGGAAAGTGAGGAGCAGCCAGCGATGGCGGTAGCAATGGCGTTGCCTTCGCGCCCCCACTGACGCACGTTCACTCAGCTCGTACCTCCCCGTCAGCTCCAACTTGGCAGAAGCTCTCGCCTCTGATGGACAGACCTTGGTGAGCATCAGCTCCTCTTCGAAGGTTCGGCGTGCTGACATGGTGCTCGCAGCGAAAACGCGGCGTCATTAAGACGAACGTGCCCTTTGTCGACTTTATCGTCTTCTGCGAGGACTATTGAGCAAAAGGGCAGCGGGGTCGCCTTTGCATCGTCCTTTGCTCTCTGCTGCGGGCGAAGGCGGTGGGACTCCGGAACAATGTCAGACATCTCCGAAGAGCACACCGCCCGCCTCCGTCTCCCCTTCTTGCTTCTGTACCACTGATCTTACTCGCATGATGATGTTCTCCGCTCTTCTCATACTACCGATAGCAGCGCTTGTGACCTGCTCTCGAGCTGCCTCTCACAGCGTCATGAGCATGGTCGCTCCACGATTCGTACCTCCAAGATGGCCCAAAGCGTGTGGTGAAACGAACGTCTTCTGTCTAACGTCAGTTCATCCCTCACGACCGCTCATGAAGCCAACAAAGAGCTCACCTTCCCTGCCTCTTCCGACGTGCTAAGCTTGCAGACGGCTAATCACGCCTTGCAAGGTCTGAAGGTACGAGGACATATTGCCTGGCAGGCCCGTCAGGGCATAGACTGGGGCATCTGGGGTGAGCACGAGGCTCTGCCGCTCCCACACCATCACCGCTCAACTTTCCTCTTACTCCGCAGCATTTGATGGTACGTCATTTTGAGCTCGAGCGAGTGCTCATCGACCTTTCATTGAGCCGCGTTGTTGTTAGCTACCACTTCCGGAGAGGCAGACCTCTACTGTCGCGGCAACAAGACCGAAGACAACCACGCGAGGATCAGTTGGGGTTGTGCTACGAACGGCGGGAGGTGTGTGCTGCAGTTGCGTTTACCAGCAGCAATCGTTGACGTACACTTACATGCCGCCATTCAGCAACTATCTTGCTCTAAGCAAAGGCCTGGTCCAGGGGCTTGCCTCAGACGGACAGACGTTGGTGAGCGATGTCTACGATCAGGGTACACCGTGCTGTGCTGACAATCTCCCAGCACGAACGAGGAGTGCTCGTGTCGACTCGCCCATGGGTCGACTTCACGGTATTCTGCAAAGATTGGTAGTCAAGGCGTGGCTGTCACGCCTTTCCACTTCACCTTCGTGCCGCTCCGGCCCGATATGTCACCTACTCTCGTACGGCAGACCGCCAACCCTCGACCCTCCCAATTTTACAGTACCGTGCACGTTCCAGGCTCGCCTCGCCATAATTCCTCTTTCCCTCCAACCCACAACTGCTCACATCGCCACCATGCAACTGCAGACTGCGATGCTCTCAACGCTACTGATCACCCTCGTTGCTTTCATTGCCCTCGGCCTGGCGGCGACCGTTCCACTAGATAGTGTCGACACACGCACCCTCTCCATCACGAACAGGTCGTCCTCCATCGAAGTCGAGCGTCGCTTTATTCCCTCGACGACCCCGAAGGCCTGCCTTGGGACGAACATCTTCTGCCTCACGTATGTTGGGAGCGAAGTACATGTAGAGTCGTCAGCTGTGAGCTTAGCAGTTTTCTCTCTCGCTTGCACAGCCTCCAGCTAGACAGGCGCGCTCTAGGACCCGTTCACCCGCGCGGCAACGTTGCGTGGGTCTACACGCACGACGACGCTAGGTGGCGAACCTGGGGTCCGTAAATTGGCTCCCATACTCCTTCACGACTGCTTCGTCCCTTCATACTGACCCGTCTCCCTCCCCCCCCCCCCCCCCCCCCCCCCCGCGTCTTGGCTCCCTTCGCCTCCCCCCCCCTTCGCGCGCAGCCTTCAAGAGTGGGTTCTCGCAAAGCGAGATAGGCGAGGCAAGACGTACACGCTAAGTTCTCCGCCGTGCCGCTTACGGTTCCGCAGCCATCAGCTCAGGTGACGCCGACTTGTACTGCAACCTCAATCGAACAGAGGCGAACAAAGTGCATATAAACTGGGGCTACTCTGTTGGTGGCAAGTGAGTGCGCCGCAGACACGGGCGCACGCAAGGTCCTGATCCTGACACACCCGCGTCTCGCGACGCTTGCCTCTCCGTACTGTAGCAGCTACATCTCCCTGAGCACCGACCTTGGTATTGCACAGGCTACGGATGGGCAGACGCTTGTGAGTGAGAAGAGCGGCAGGAAGCGATGTTTGCCAGAGACTGATATGTGGCATGCTATATGTAGCGAGGCCACGGCGCCATTGTTTCCGCGCAGAAGTGGGTTGACTTTATCGCGTGGTGCAAGGACTTTTGATGTCAATGAGGTGGCAGTGTCGAATAGATTGCCTCGGCACTGAGGCGTTGCTACTACCTCGCGGCGGTATTTTCAATGAACTTGCTCTGCGTTTGCTCCCCGTCTAAATGCGCCGCTTGAGGATCGAGTAGCGAGACGGGCCGCGACTCCCGCGCCCTTTTGCTCTAGCTGGGCGGCAGGATTGGCCCCCTCATGACCCAGCGGCTTCAAGGTGAGCGTGACGTACGCCCATGACCCAGGCCAGCCAGCCATTCTACAGCAATTTGCCTCGCTTCCCTCTTGTCTCTGCTCCTTGCCTCTCCCCCACCCGCTCATCATCGTCCCAACCCGAAAACTTACGATGCTCGCCACCAAGCTCGTTCACCTCGCAGTGATCTTCGCTGGCCTCTGTGGCGCCGCCACTTCAAAGACAATGACTGCGCGCGCCACCATACCGCGTCCCGCTGCGTGTGGTAAGCCGGAGACATACTGTCTTACTGTAGACGTGTCCCAGGGTCTGCCACGCAACATTCTCCATCCCGAACGCGCCATTACCTGGATCACAGGAGGTCAGGCAACGGGATGGCGCACGTATGGTTAGTAATCCAAAAAGTGACCACCCCTCCTCTGCCCCGCTGACGCACCATGCCGCCAGCTTTCAATGGCAAGTTCCGCGGGACGGTGCCCATCAACTGCGGCAAGCAGGGCTATCAGGACCTCGACATCTGGTTTGGATGGGTCAAGGGTTGGTGAGTAGCTCGAGGCAGGGCGCGAGGATCCTGCCACTCACGCGTTCTCGCAGGAGCAACATGAGTACGATCAGCACGCTCCTCCAGGCTAGAAGCTCCGACGACCAGTCGATGGTGCGTGCATTAGCGTGATGGATAGCATGCGACAGCCAGATGCTAACGTCCAGGACTTTTGCAGAACCCACACGCGCAAGGCACATCCCTGGGCTCTTCCACGCCTTGGGTCGACTTTGATGTCTGGTGTATCACCTGAGCACGGCGCCGCTCCTACGCCTAGTGGTCCGAGAGGGATAGGACCCTCATTTCCATCAATGTTGAGCGCGTAAACCACCACTGAAATCTATCTTGATGCCTCTTCCCTTCTGCGCGTGCTTGACTAGTCCTATAGCTCGGAGAGTGCCGCCTCACCCGGCGGGCCGCCCCTTCATAAGCCAATGAGAAAGACTCGCCGTCCCCTGCGGTGTGGTACGGTTCGGCTCGAGACGCGTTTAGGCGGCTCGACAATGACGGCGAGATATTCGTGGCCGTGAACATCGGACGATGTCGAGACGAAAACCCGACTTGCAACGGGCCATCTGCTTGCCCTTCTCTAGTCGCTGCTGATCGAACCTACAGGCTCGCCCAACACATCAACCTCAACACATACGATGCTCTTCACAGACCTCCTCTTTTTGGCAGCCTACGCCTGCACGCTCGGCTACACATTTGCCGTCCCCGCAGTGTTCGCCAACACCTCCACGACCGATATAGCGGACCTGGCTGCTCGCAGAATCATCGGCCCTTCGCAGCATGGCTACATCCCCTTTGTTCATCCGGCGCGATGCCACACGAACAACATCTACTGCCTCACGGTCTCGACGGGTCGCGGCGATCCCCTGCCATTTCGTGATGCATACGGCAAGATATCCTGGATTGAGGGTGAAGTTGGAGATAATTGGCGTACCGCGGGTGAGGAGCGCAAACGAGGCGGGAGGAGTCGAATGTAGACTGACCGCGCAGTCTCTTTAAGCCTTCAATGGCCAGTTCCGTGGTACATTGCCCGTCAATTGTGGGCCGACTGGATATCAGGACGTCGACATATGGCTTGGCATGGTGAAGGGATGGTGAGCATCGTCGCCTTGACCGCAAGATGTGTCGACCTTGCTGACTGTACGGCGTCGCGTCGCAGGAGTAACATGAGTACCAGGGCGCCTTTCATCGAAGGCAAGACTTCTGACGGCAAGATGATGGTGCGTGCATCCGGAACGAGAGCCAGGTCAGCTCCAAATGCTCACCACCCTCTCGTGCGCGCAGCTGCCCGGCGTGCATGGCGCAGCCGTTGGATCAGGCATGCCCTGGGTCGACTTTGCTGTCTGGTGTGTCGATGCTTGAGAGGCCACTGCAGTCGTATTGCGGTCCCAAAGTACTGCGATCGGAATGGGAGCCAACGTGACCGTGACCATGACCGAGACTTGGAACTCTTGTCGGCCCGATACCGATTGAGCTGAGCGCGAGCGGCTACACAGCTGCTTATCGCCAGCAGCGGCACCGTACTGGAGCGCTGAAGACGAGACGCTGAGCAGGGCATAAGACAGATGCTGCTGCCTCGAACATCTTGACCCGCCACCACACCATTCCCTCTCGTTTTGCGTCCCATCCTACACGATGCTATTCACCAAGTTGTTCTACCTCGCCGCCATCTACTTCTGCGCCATTGGCCTGGCGCTTGCAGTCCCTTCGCCCATGTCCATTGACACAGTCAAGGCTGACGGCAGGGACCTAGCCGCTCGCTACACCAACTGGAAGCGGCCTGCGCGATGCCACACCACTAATGTCTTCTGCCTCACTGTGGAAGGTAGCCCCGAGCCATTTTTCTTTCACCAAGAGGGCGTCATCTCTTGGCGCGACGATACGGCTGACGACCACTGGCACACCTTTGGTGAGAGCGAGAGACAAGAGAAGTGCGACTTCCTCTGACTCTGACGCGCGCACGCCGTTCCGACCGTAGCCTTCAACAGCAAGTTTCGAGCGACGTTCTCCATATCCTGCGTCAACTCGGACATTCAGTATCTTGATGTCTGGTTCGGCTGGACGAAGGGATGGTGAGTCGCGTGAGATCCGTTGCCCAGCGACTAGAGCCTCCTTCTTACTCGGCATTACTGCCTCATCGCCTCGTAGGAGTAACATGAGTACGACAAGCACCAACCTAGATGGCAGCACGTCCGACGGTAAGAGAGTGGTGCGTGCGGCGTATTGGCCTGTCGATCCCAACAGTGAGAACGGGAGAGCTCACCAACGCCTTGCGCTACGCAGAATGCTGGACCGCACGGATGGGCTGTGGGCTCTGGTCAGCCCTGGGCTGATTTTGTCGTTCGCTGTGCCGACGACTGAGTTGTCCGAGCATCGTATCTTTGTCTTTCGGCCCGAGAAATCGTGAAGCTTTGGCGCGAGCTTGATCGCAGCATGACAGTCGCGGCCAATTGCGGCCCGACATTCGGCCCGTTGCAAACCGAGCAAAGCCACCCCCCCGCAGCTGCGACGACAGACTGGTGGCGAGTGATTTGCTGACCGCTGGCTCGACAACCGAATCGGCTTCTCTCCTTCCTTTGGCATCAACAACGTCACCTGCCTTACCCACCCACGATGCTCCTCCACACGCTCTTGTCGTTCGCCTGCGCCTGCCTCTTTGGCATCATCGGCAGCGTGCTGGCTGTACCCACGGTCACGTCTATCGAGGCTCGCGACCGCGGAATTCCCAGCCACAAGGGCATCATTCCCTTTCAGCGCCCTACCCGTTGCGTGCAGAGCAACGTCTACTGTCTCAGTGTCTTCGCCACTCGTGACAGAAACTTCGGCGATTGGTCTCCTGGGGGTGGAAAGGTTTCGTGGATTGAAGACGATCCACAAGGCCGATGGCGCACCTTTGGTGAGCAAGTGGCGTGGGGGCTCCGCCAACGACTGCGCGCTGACGAAGGTCTTCTCGCTCCAGCTTTCAACGGTAAAGCTCGCGGAGTGCTCCATTTGTCGTGCAATGGGTTTCAGAACGGCGTCAGCGACGTGATCGTCTGGTTCGGATGGGTCGCGGGATGGTGAGAGGCGGCGAACTTGCTCCAGATCCATGCGTTGACTAACGCGCGTGCGCTCGCAGGAGTAATATGACTACGGTCTCCCACGAGATCAAAGGCTTCACAGGGGACGACGGCCGGCTTGTGCGTTCAGAGCCGCGAGCAGAGGTAGCGCCACGCTGACTATCCTCCCACCGGGCGTACGTACGCAGAACCCTGAGCTCAAGGGTGGTTCCGTAGGAAGCGGCACTCCTTGGGTCGACTTTGTACTGTGGTGTGACAACATCTAGCCCGCTGCGTCGTGGCTCCGGCGATTTACTGGCTCTGTCTCTTCAAATTCGATCATCCCCTTCACCTCGACTTGAACGCTTGAGAATGCTGTCCATCGTTCCATCGTGCGGAGCTTGTACCAATGCATCTCTTGATGCAGCTCGTGAGTCGGCGAAGGGCGGGGAACGCTGAGATGGAGGAGTGGATGGCCTGATCGTGTGAAGTCCGAGGGCGAGCTCCATTGTGGCGTGACCTTTGCGGCCCGACGGTCGACTCATTGGGTGCCGAACATAGTAGCGGCGACAGAGTGGCGTGGCGACGAGGGCGAGTGCTGAGCTCTGACTCGAGGATGAATTCGGCTTTCCTTCTTTCTTCCTCTCCCACCACATCATCTACCTCGCACCAACACATGATGCTTCTCAAAGCGATCCTGTATTTCGCCTGCTTCTGTCTTCTCGACCTTGGCGTGCTGGCTGCCCCCGCCGTCGAAACTACCCTCCAAACTCGCGGGTCCATCGGCGCTCCTACCGGTCACGGCATCGTCCCATTGCAGCGCCCTGCGCGTTGCGAGAGGGATAACGTCTATTGCCTAAGCGTACAAGCCTCTCGTGGCCTTATCGGCGTTTGGGGAGGTCATGATGGGGTGCTCTCGTGGACTGAAACTGATTCTCGCGGCCAGTGGCGCACCTATGGTGAGCTGGGGCAGATTTGACTTTTCGCCGTCCGTCTTGCTGCTGACAATGATGATTCTGGCTCAGCTTTCAACGGCAAAGCTCGTGGAACGTTGTACATATCGTGCCGAGGGCTGTCGGACGACGTTGACGTCTGGTTTGGGTGGGCCAAGGGATGGTGAGAAGAGGCCGGCCCGCTACAAAGGCCTTGGCTGACTCGCGTATTTTCGCAGGAGTAACATGACCACAGCTTCCAACAACGTGCAAGGCATGACGTCGGACGGCAAGATGCTGGTACGTTCAGAGCAGCGATCAGAGGGTAGCGCCGACGCTGACTAGCTTGTCCCTCCCGCGCATCCACAGAACCCTCATCTCAATGGAGGTTCCATTGGAAGCGGTCGTCCTTGGGTGGACTTTGCGGTGTGGTGCCAGAACCCTTAGCTCGCTGCGTCGTGACTCTGCAACCCGTCGTGATCCTTTGCCTCGCCTTGAATTCGATTGCCCTCTCCACTCTTGCGCTCAAAGCGTGCGTAGCTTATTCGGCGAGAAGAGGCGGCCTGGCGGTCCAGCAAGCGCGCCTCATGGTTGCCCATGACGGCCATCCGTCGTGCCACCGTGCTCGTGAGATGTTTTGGGTGGATCGCTGGACGAGAAGCGAGGGACCAAAACGAGCTAAGGTGGAGTAGACCCTCGAGTCGACCGACGGATGTGGCCACGTGGCTGCTCCCGAGGCCAGCTCCGACGCCGCCATTGCGTTGGGCGGGCGGCGGTAATCTCGCTCGCGGTTGACGAGGTTCCATATTGTTTGTCTACCGCCGAACGGCATTGCATTCACGAGCGCTATGTAGCAGCGAGGTGTGTGCAAACGTGTGGCCCCAATGTGGGTCCCTCTAGGTATGTCAACCTCGCCGGCCCCTCCTCTCTCGTCTCTCCCGTCTTGCGCCCAACAACCCATCGTCTTCCCAAAACAATGCTCCCTGCCAGCCTCTTCGCCCTCATCTGCGCGCTGCTCTTCGCGGTCAAAACACGGGCTATGCCCGCTGAGCTCGCCATTCGCGCACACATCCCTCGTCACCCTGACCCATGCTTCAAGAGCAACGTCTACTGCTTGACCGTTCAGACGGGCGAGCATGGTGATCGCGAGTGGGCCGTCCCCGAGGGTAAACCATCGTGGATTCAGCAGGAGCCGGGACTGCCTTGGAAGACTTATGGTAAGCCAACAAAAAGCATTTCAAGAGGTCAGAATGTCTCTGATCCCTCTTCTGACCGCTCTTCCAGCTTTCAATGGAAAGTTCAAGGGGACGCTACGCATGTCGTGTCGTTCAGACTTCTACTCGTACTTTGACGTCTGGTTCGGCTGGACCAAGGGATGGTGAGCATGCATGTGGCGCTCAGCGGAGAATGTTCAACTTAATCGCGCGCAACACATCGTAGGAGTAACATGACAACAGTCGACCCCGATATCTCTGCGTTGTCCTCGGACGGCAAGGTGCTGGTGCGTACCGAGCAACAAGCCAAGATGGCAGTCAGGCTGACCTCGGCTTTGCGCACTTGCAGAAGGATGGCACTCATGGCGGCTCCATTGGCAGCGGTCGTGCTTGGGTCGACTTTGCCGTGTGGTGCATCTGACTCGCTGTGCCATTGAATTCCCTGTTTGCGCGCCGCATCCCAGTGCAAATCGACAAATTGCCCCTTATCTTTCAGTGGTGCGGCGGTGCTACTGAATGAAGGGGAGATCTGGCATTGCGCGAAGCGGCCCGCACCCTTGACTTGTAAAGCGATCAATCACCGGCCATTCTGTCCTTCTTTCGAAAGGCCATGTATCGCTCATCTTCCGCCCATCGGGCTGTGCAGCGACGATGAATACGAAGCAAACGCCGTGGTCAGGCCACCTTGCCAGCTGTTGCCTTGCTTTCTCCTTCAGCTCGGCGCGTTTCTTCTCCCATCCACACCTCTGCATCACACATCAACATGCTTTTCCTCGGACTTCCTCACCTCATCCTCGCGGCTCTCCTCGCCGGGAACGCATGCGCTTTGCCCACTTCGGAGCTTGCCCATGCGCCCGTCAAGCACAAGTACGTCCCCTACCACCGGCCCACGCTTTGCCTCAAGAGCAACGTATACTGCCTGACCGTCGAGACAGACCAAGATGGCGGAGGAGTTGATTGGACAGCCAAGGAGGGCACCATCTCCTGGACTCACCAAAAAGATGGAGATCCTTGGGTCACGTATGGTGAGCTTTGGGTGCGCAAGATTCCGTGAAGCAGAACCCTCACCCCTCTTCTCATCGCGTAGCTTTCAACGCAAAGTTCAAAGGAAATCTGCGCATGACCTGTCGTCCTGACGTCTACTCGTACATCAACGTTTGGCTTGGCTGGACCAAGGGATGGTTAGTCGCGCATGCTCTGCCGTCATCCCCTTCTTGCTGATCCCGCCTACTGTCGACCCAATCGCAGGAGCAACATCACTACGGTCGACGACAATGTCGCGGTTCAGACCTCGGACGGCAAAGTCATGGTCAGTGTGCAGGATGTCAAGGTAGCGACGCCCTCTGCTGACCCGAACTTTCTCTCGCGTGACAGTGGGGTCGGCATTTGGGCGGGTCCATTGGGTCGGGCATGCCTTGGGTCGATTTTGCCATATGGTGTCAGGTGGTCTAGCTCGCTGCCCTTACCGTACATGTGTTGTATCTTTCCTATCTCGCCAAGAATGCCCTTTGACCGTCGTACTCTTCCTGTCGCTGCATCGGCCCGTCTCGAGCTGGATCAGGGCGAAGGTGTGTCAGACTATGCGGTGGTATAGTGGTCATCGAGGGGAGGAGCAACGTGCCAGACACTCACTCGTATCATCGGTTTGGCTTCTTGACCACAACATTAACACCTCGCGCCGCCGATGATGCTGCTGACTATGCTCCTGAGCGCGACTTTGGCCTGGGCCGGTCTCTTTGCGACATCTGTCATGTCTTCCAAAGACGGGCCTCCGCAGGGTGCAAACCCAGACAAGTGGCCGACGGGCTACGTCCCCTTTCGTCCTCCCATGCTCTGCTTCACTACAAAGGTCTACTGCCTCCATGTCCAGTCCGCAAATCAGATTGCGGAAGAATGGATCTCCTTCGAAGGCGATGTCTCCTGGATTGTTCAGGCCGAACGAGTGCCTTGGCGCACCTACGGTGAAGCAGACTTGTGGCCACGATCTTTGAACACAGCATTCACTCACGTCTGACCCACTTCTCAGCTTTCAACAGCAAGTTTCGCGGCACGGTCCGCCTTCACTGCATTTTGCCCGATAATGACGAGTTCGACGTCTGGTTTGGCTGGATCAAAGGATGGTGAGTCGCCCAATGGTGATAGGCAACGATTGGGCAGCTAATCATTCTCTGCCACCCGTACCGTTTTAGGAGCAACATCACGACTCGCAGTCCACACCTTCAGGTAAGGGGACCGGATGCAAAGCTGCTGGTACGTCTGCCTTTCATGAAGCAGTCTCGGCGCTCGACTGATCCATCTTTACACGCAATTAGCCCGGCCCCGAGGGAGGCTCACTAGGCTCGGGTGAGGCCTGGGGCGACTTCTTCGTCTGGTGTGACTCTACGTAGCACGTGCGCCCTCCGGCCCTGGCGCTGTCCTTTGTGCTGTGGCATTCTTCATTAATTCACCGTCCGCAATGCTACTCTCCTCGCTGTCCAATGTCCGGCCGTCTTGATCTCGATGTAGCCGCATTGGCCCGTTGTGAGCTGTGAGGCAACCCAAGAGGAATGGCTTGCCAGAGGCCGCGGTGATGTAGAGGCCGCTCAGGAAAATCGCAACGTGCTGGCAAGTGACTCGTACCATCGATTTGCCGTCCTTACCACCATAGCATGCGGGCGCCCACCAATATGCGTTTCGTCGTGCTCCTCTCTGCAGCTACCGCCTGCGCTACCTTCCTCGCCGCCCATGCTATGCCGACCACCACTGATTCCACACAGGGCGGAGCGGACTGCCAATCAGGCCTAACAAGGGCTTCCTTCCTTTTCACCCCCCTCTGCGCTGCTTCAACACGAATGTCTTCTGTCTTCACGTGCAAGCACGACGACTTCGACGTCTGGTTTGGCTGGGCAAAGGGATGGTAAGTTACTCATCGAAGCTTGGGCAGCGTCGCAGCTGCTCAGTTCCTGTCCGTTGCAGGAGCAACATCAGTACCGAAAGCTCACGCCTTCAGGCCAAAGGCTTGGCCGCAGATTTAATGGTGCGCCCGCTCAAAATGAACCTCGGTCAGCCGCTCAGCTGATCAACCTTCGCCGTTTTGCGCTCAGAACCCTGGGCCCAAAGGCGGTTCGCTGGGCTCCGGTGCGGCCTGGGTCGACTTCTTCGTCTGGTGTCAGACCACTTAGCTCGTTGCGCCCTCGCACCCTTCCCCTACCGTACGACGAAGCAATCGACTCTGTTACATCGTAAACGTGACAATTTGAGCGCGTATGCCTTCGTGAGCACCGCCGTAGGGATGGGTAGCGCACTTCAAATTGCTCCGAATGTAGTCACTTTGTAGTCACTCTACAGTACCACCCAGTCGCAGCACCCTATCTCGACTTGGACTTGTTACCACCCAAAGCTCGCAAGGATGGGCGATATCGCGCTCTACTTCATGCTGGCCTGTGCTTGGCTGCTCGTCGCCGTAGCCTCTGCCGACCACGATGCTAGTCTCAAGCCCGCCGATCACCTCTCTCGGCAAAGCCCCGCTGCTTTCAAGCCTCCTGCGCGTTGCGGTACCACTCACGTCTACTGCTTGAGCGCTGAAGCTGCTCACGGTGCCTCTCCGAGTGGGTCCGTTCTGAGGGTGAGATCAGTTGGATGGAGGACGCAACGCTCTGGAGCACCTACGGTGAGCGTGCAGAAGTCATACTGTCAGAGCAGTCTATTCTCTGAAACCGCGCACCTTTCGCTCGCCTCGCAAGCAGCCTTCAACCAGAAGTTTCGTGGGACCCTCCGCCTCTACTGCCACCCGAGCGAGAATAATGACATCGAAATTTGGTTCGGCTGGACGAAGGGATGGTCAGTGTCGTACTTGCGTTGTTGCCGAGGAGCAGCTCGCTGACCTTGCTGGGCCCCAGTGCAGGAGCAACATCAGTACGAGAAGCTACAACATCCAGGGCACTACCTCGGACGTTGGCGTACTGGTACGTCCATGCCAAGTGCCTGCAGCTTGAAAAGTCACCCGACCATCTCTTTTCCTCTTATGCAGAACCCTGGCCCCGAGGGAGGCGTAGTCGGCTCCAGCATGCCGTGGGTCAATGTGCAGCTCTGATGCGTGAGCACTCAGCTCGCCTGTGCCCAACCCTGAGAACGTCACAAATTGATTGTCATTTCCAATTTGTCGAGTGCACTTTGAGTACCTGGCTGCAATGTCCTCGAGCAAACCAATTCGTCATCAGCGCCAGCGCAGCGAAGTTGGGCTTCGTGTCCCGTATCTCAGTTGCGACCTCTTACAAGACGCAAAGCTCCCACGCCACGCTGACATGCTGCCTCTCGTGCTTCACTGCATTATAGCGTGCACTTGGCTGCTCACAGCATCAGCTTCATCCAATCACAATACTTCTGCCACCTCGCTCGGCCCCAAGAGGGAGTACGTCCCTTTCAAACTGCCCTCGCGCTGCTACACCACCCACGTCTTTTGTTTCAGCATTCAACTAGCCCACAACATCCAGGGATACTGGGTGCACAATGAGGGCGGGATAACCTGGGTCGAGGACTCTGAGAAAGAGCCCTGGCGCACCTACGGTGGGCCTCATGAGCGTTGCGGATGAGCAGCCAGCGCGCCGCTAATCATGCGTACCTCTCTCCTGCTCGCTCAAAGCCTTCAATCGCAAGTTCCGCGGAAAGCTGACCCTGGAATGCCATCCAGACGAGGGCAATGACATCGACGTCTGGCTCGGCTGGACTAATGGATGGTGAGGAGCGCGTTGCCGCGAGCAAGAGAATCTTTTGCTGATCTTCAATTATATCGCCCCCTAGGAGCAACATGAGCACGACGAGTTCCAACATTCAGGGCAGTACTTCAGACTCTGGCCTACTTGTGCGTTCCTGTACAACCCGCGAGAGGCGGAGTCATCTGCTGATCAATTGGTCTTCCTTCTTCGCGTTCGCAGGTTCCTAGTCCCAACGGAGCGTCGGTCGGTTCGAGCACTCCCTGGGTCGATTTCCAGGTCTGGTGCATTTGAATGTGGCTACGCCTCATCAGCAGTATGAGGTTGCTCAGCCTCGTGACGATCAGATCGCTGGCTGCTGTGAGATGACGAAGCTCGCTATGATATGTCGCCCTGACCCAGACGCTGTCGTCACGAATTTATCCGTTTTGCCATGTCGTAGACGCCTTCGAAAACGTGCCAGTCCCGCCGCCGCGAGCGCCACTGCCTCTGAATGAGCAAAGATGCGCGAGATATTCCGCACCTACCGCGCCAGTGATGCTGCTGAGCTTTTGCGCCTTATCTCAAGCCAGAGGTCTTCTTTACCAAATGCTCTTCACTCATCTCCAACGGCTTATTACTGCGCTTTACTGGACCCTCGCCTGCGCTTGGCCGCTCGCCGCTGCTCCCTTACCAGGACACAATGTTGGTCCAAATCCCACCCGCAATCAAGTCTCCCCTCCCTTCCAACCGCCCAAGCGTTGCCACACCACGCACGTCTACTGCTTGAGCCTTCAAGCCGCTCATGGCGTCTATGAAGAATGGCTTGACACCGACGGCTCCATCAGTTGGAGGGATGACGCCGAGCCCTGGCGCACGTACGGTAAACGTGGATGAGTTTCTTGTACACAGAAGGCGCGGTGTTGATCCGCCGCACCTTACGCAGCCTTCGACGGCAAATTTCGAGGCAAGCTACGTCTCTACTGCGATCCGTGCGAGGATAAGGACCTCGAAATGTGGTTTGGCTGGATCGAAGGATGGTGAGTGGCGTGATATCGATGTCGCGAGGAGCTTAGCTTCTATTCCTCTTGGCCTGCAGGAGCAACGTAAGTACGACCAGCTTTAACATTCAAGGGACCACCTCGGACAACCATTCACTGGTACGTTCGCATCTGAGGCTAGCTGAGTGGCAGACAGCTTACCACCTCACGCCTTCGCACCTCCTTCTGCAGAATCCTGGCCCTAATGGGGGCTCAGTCGGCTCGAGCACTCCGTGGGTCGATGTGCAGCTCTGGTGCAGGAGCACTTGAGCACGAGAACGCGCTTCGTGAACAATGTCAACTTTGCTCGCGGCTTCGAAACGATGAAGCATACGAGTGACAAGATTGTCTGAGCTGACGACCGAGCACGGCGCCTCACGCCTTCAGCCTCCTCAAACACCTGTAGCGCGCATCAGGCGGTGTGCCATTCGGTACATTGGCACAGTCGCCGTAAGCAGAAGGTCCCTCGCAGGCTTGCACGCACGTCTCCGACTGTAAAGGATGGGCGGGCGAGCATTCGAAACCGCCACGGTAAGACGGCGAGCGAGCCATTCAGCGGCGCTTTCGGTGAATTCATGCGCACACCATTGGACTTCATGCCCACGCCTACTCACTTGACAAAGTGTAAACGTCCAGCTGGGCGTGGGCAAGCTAAGGAAAGATTTGCAAAAGGGCGCGGCGAACAACGGCTGATCGATGGCTTCATCGTCCCCTGAGACGACGAAAGTTCGACCTTTGGGGTCGCACCCGCTACGAAAAGGGCGGACGGTCAGAGGATATGAGCGTGGGACGTGAGCGTATGATGAGCATGGAGGAGACGGGAAGAGCGACCGCTCACCGCCTGTCATAGCAGACACCAAGCTTGATGGGCTTGCTGAGCGCGAGGCAAGCGAGAAAGCTGAGGAAGAGGACGGCGAGCAGAGGATGAGGTTGCATTTGTTGAGGTACAGTAGGCGAGGAGGAAATTGAACTGTCGATGTGTGGGAGAAGATACTATGGCGTGAGAGTGAGCCAAGTCCACTCATCTCATCGGCTCTCCCCAGTTGCAAGGCCGGCGGCCCGCAAAAGGCTCGCGAGCGGGCCGTACGCGTGATCTCCGAGCGGGCGGCGGATATGTTCAGTACGTGGCTTCGGATTGATAGCGATGGGCGGCCTCGCTGATGATACTACAGTACATCCACAGTCATGCGCTCACCACGTCACCCGCCTGACGCACTTGTATGCCGCGCCAGGCGCAGCATTGTCCGGCACAGAAACGCAGGTTCCGCTCGTGTGGGCCGCATCGCATGCTTGGACGCACGTCTCGGACTGAGTGAGAAGGACAAGGATGTCAGTGCTCTGAGGCTGGAGACCCTGAAATGCGGTGTTTTGGCAACTCACTTGACAAACATTCAGCTTGACGGGCGGGTCAGGCGCAGCCAGGAAGGAGGCGCAGTTCGGGTAGTTCGTAAAGAGGGGCTGATCAATGGCTTGCGAGTCGCCATTGACTTGCTTGTACCCTCCGAGCGCGTTGCAGTGTCTGTGCAGGGGCGATGAGCGGGAGTCAGTAATGAGGTGAGCTTGAGGGTGAAAGTCGACGCGCGCACGAACTTCATGGCGTAGCACCAGCCGAGCTTGACTTGTGCTGCGTTGCTATGGCTGGCGGCGTGGGAGAGGAGGAGCAAGAGTAGAGAGATGAGAAGGGACGGTGTGGAGAGCATGGTCGTGGTGCTGGTGATGCTCAGGTGTTTAGTTGTGATGTCTGTGAATGGGATGCGAAGGTGAGGCGAGTCCTCGCTTTGCTTTGTACTGCAGCGCACAGTAGCTATGCCCTGCGCCCACTCATTGGGCTTTGTGTATCTGAAACGCTCGGCCCGGCTACTTTGAGTCGTCACAATTTCGCCGGCAGCAACGCAAAGCCGAGTAAAGTGGTGGATCGAGCCCTTGGTAAGTCTTGTGGATACGGTACACCGGAATCAGGGCGGGTGTGACAGCCGGTGCGCCCATCCCTCGGGAAGCAAAGATCTTGACGGCGCTTTGCAATTCAACAAGTCTCCATCCTCTCTTTGACCTGCCTCAAACACTTATACATCGACCCCTCAACAGCGTTCTCCGGCAAGGAGACACACTCCCCTTCGACATCTGCAGCATCGCATGCTTGTGTGCAGCTTGACTCCTGTTGTATTGCGAGCGGGGCCAAGACGCGAGGAAGACCAGACCAGATTAGCAAGGGTCAGCTGCTGTAGCCAGGACACGTGATGTCTCGAGAGGTAGCGCCACGTACGTACTCTGCACACGTTCATCCTGGTATACGGCTGCGCTCCCGCGAGGAAGGAGAGGCAGCCAGAGTAGTTGACCTGCAGAGGCAGGTCAGGGACGTCCGTGTCGCCGAAGACTATGTAGTAGGGCTCGAGGTGTGTTGGATCGCAATTTCTGGGAGTGGGATGGCGAGTATCAGTGATGGAAGGCGGTTGGGGAGAAAAGAGGCGAAAAGAGGCCAGACAGAGACGCAGACGTAGACGCACTTTTGCTTGTAGCAGTTGCCCAGCTTGATGCGTGCGGCTTGGGCGGGTGAGGAGGAGAGGGACACGGAGTAGATGATTGCGATGCTGATGATGCTGAGCACAACGGACGGCATGACGATTCGCGGCAGCTTGCGTGTATGAAGCCAAGTAGTTGAGGAAGAGCAGATCAAGTCGACGCTCATAGCATCCTTGTTGGCCAGCTCGATGCCGTCATTTCGAGGATGGTCTCGGCCCGAAAGAGAGGAAGACGAAAAAGCCGAAGTGAAGGGGAGCAGGACGGCGGCGTACGGGCGTAGGTGAGGCCGAAGTAGTCATAGCAAAGCAAAGAGCTCGAACTTGAATTCGGGGTGGTTGGATGTTGGAGGTCAGTAGGGTATGGCGAGGCAATAATTGCTGAATGAGGAGGAGTGAGCCGAAGAGCTCAAGTCGCAACCTACGCCGCTGGCTCAGCCGACGCGACCGGACTCATACAGGCAGCTGCATAACACGACTTGACTGTGTGACCATCAAAAGTCTGCTTCCCTTCGCCGTTCTTCTTTCCTTTCCCCTTCTTGTTCTTCCTTTTCTTCTTTTGGACCCCAACCAGCGGAGATGGCGACGGCGGTATAGGTATGAGCCCTCCGGCGAGCAATGCGCCACTGACTGCTTCCTGTGTGAGCCGCACGTCCCGCATGGCACTGCTACGCGGCGTGAAGGGGCCGGGCTGGGCCATACTGCGGGTCCTGGCGTTGATGTTTGCGAGCTCGAGACCAAGAGGGGGCACCCACCAGGGGGTTGAGGTGGGCAGTGGCTCTGGGCTGATGGGAGGGGAGGCGGGGGGTGTTGGTGGCGGCAATTTGGGTGGCTCTACGGGAGTGGGGGAAATGACTTCCTCTGTTGGTGAAGGGGAGGATATGGTGGGTGACTTGTCGTCTGCGTCGGGGATCGTGGTCGAGGTTGCAGCGGGGGTGTTGGCTTCTTCCTCGTCGGGCGTGACATCTTGCTCCTCCGCCTCTCCTTCGCTACTCGTTCCAAGCCACAACCTGAATCGAACCAACCCCTCCATCTGGCTACTCAACCACGCCTCCGTCCTACTCAACCACTCATATGCCGCATTCTTGCCCATCCCCTCACCCCTATCCATCGCATCAAAGACGGATATCCTCGCCTCTTGATGTCGCATCATGGCGAGATAATGATGCGGCTCGATTCTGGTAACCACCTCCAGCAACGGCTCCAACTCAATATGTTCCACAAACGCCTTTGCCACGAGCTGAATGGCATACACACATTCCTGATACGGGCAGATTAGCTCGGGCAACTGTCTCTGGCGTCGAAACCAGCATGCCGTCCAGCAGGCTAGGGCCACGAGTCGGTCCAATCTGCGAATGGCGACCCCATTGGGCAGGAGTGGCTGCGAGCAGTCCTGGTAGAAGAGGGTGCATGCCACGAACTTGCAGCCTTCGATTGCCGCTGCCAGATGGAGGCGAGCGAGAGCGTTCGAGCGGGCAGGTGCTTCGTGGGAGAGCTGGTCGATGAGGCAGTCTACTACGCCTACTGCTACGCGGAGATTCTGGTGGACGCCGCGAGGGAGCGCGGGTTGAATTGGGCTGGTGGGTTGGGCAGATGATGAGGTCGCGGGCGAGCTGGTGGTGGGCGAGGGCGAGGAGGCGGGTCTGCTTGGATGTTGCTGTGAATGATTCGCACCTTGAGATGGACCTGGATTGTCGAAAGTGGGTAGCGAGGCGATGGTCGAGAGGAATTGACGGGCGGATAGCGGGAGGGGTTGCGAGAGAAGGGGGGAGGGGAGCGAGGTGCTCATGCTGAGCTGAGCGGGATGATCGGATGAGTGTGAGATCATGCAGAGCAGCCGCAGCGGTAGGACATCGGAAGGCGCTTGCAGCAAGGCAGAGCAGAGGATGGTGAGCAGGGCTGACGAATACGTGATCGCGAATCAGAAATGGGAGCAAGTGTGTGTTAAGGATCATGTCAAGGAGGCAAGGTCAATTCCGAGATGTCAGTCCGCTCTCCGCTTTGGTGAGCCCAGCCTGCATCCAGCATCGTCTGCTCTGTGTGTGAGTGGTGTGAGTGCTCGTACATTGTGCCTTGTCTTGTCGAAGTTGTTCGCGGTCAGCAACGAGGGCGACTTGAGTGCGACGTCGACTTGATTGCTGACTTTGGCTTGAGACGGCGTCGAGTCGAGGCGGCGAGTTGAACGCCTGAGCGGCTGTGCGAGAGCGGGGCGGGGTTCCGGTGCGAGGCTGCGAGGCTGCGAGTGGACGTGGCTCGAGCGCGAATCGACGTCGTTGGGTCTGTGACTTCTCACTTCTCCTCGCGCGAATAGATTGACCTCCCTCAGCCCACCACCGATCGCCAAGGATGTCAACCATCTCCCATTCCCTCCGCGACCAAAAAGAGCCTTCGCGCTCACAGATCTTCACACACTCCTTCTCCCTACCCAACGGCCAAGTACCCCTCTCCGAGATTCCTGCCGTCCTCTCCCTCTCCAACCCAGAGGACGACGATGATGCTCAGGAGGACGAGGTGTATGCGGGAAGGCTGGCATTGACGCAGCGCTTCCTATGCTTTGAGAGCCTGGACAGGCGAAGTTGCAGGATGAGCCTGCCGCTGTATTGCGTGAGGAGGGTGGAGAGACTCAACACCAAGAGGAGCGGGGTTTTCGCGCTGGCAGTTGTGGTTTGGCATGGCATGAGGGTGGTGAGCGGCGCCTGGCGCAGCATATATGCTCCTAGTGCCGGTTGGGACTGACCTCCACACTGCTCCCTCGCCCGTAGATCGTCCAACTCAACGCACTCCGAACACAATGCGAGTCCTTCTGCTCCCTCCTGCGGGATCACCTTCGCGCCGTCCTCCCTTCGATGCGCAAGCTCAAGCCTTTCACCGCAGGATGCTACTCCGAGTATGTTCTCAACCCTAGCCTGGACCCAGCCAATGCAGACAAGGCGAAGGAGGTAGGCGAGGGCAGCGATGTACCAGAGAAGGAGGCATCCGCAGACGCAGCAACAACTTCAGCGGCAGCCTCATCCTCGTCCTCGTCCTCCTCTCCCCCACCCTACCACGCCGGCCTGGGCGCCCGCTTCAAATACCCCGGCGATGCCCGCAAGCTCCGCGAAAAGTCCAAAATGAAGCTCTGGCGCTCCTACCTCTCCATTCACGGCCGATCACTCACCACCACCCGCTACCCGCAATTCCTTCGCCTCGTCCAAGTAGGGCTCCCCTCTGCCCTTCGAGGGGAGATCTGGGAGCTCACTTCGGGAAGTATATTCAATCGATTCGATCATCAGGGAGAGTTTGAGGCGATACTCAAGGAGAACGAGGGGAGGAAGACGACTGCGACCGAGGAGATTGAGAAGGATCTGCATAGAAGCTTGCCCGAGTATGTGGGGTTCCAGAATGAGGAGGGAATCAATTCGCTGCGGAGGGTGCTCTACGCGTTTAGCTTCAAGAATCCGGAGCAGGGTGAGCGAGATGACGGCAAGACGTAGAGTTATCCTGAGGAGCTGACCATCGTATCCTTGGCCCCCGGCCTGCACCAGGCTATACGCAAGGCCTCAACATCCTGGCGGCCGCCTTCCTCATCTACTGCAGCGAGGAGCAGACCTACTTCCTCCTCGACACGCTGTGCGATCGCCTGCTTCCAGGCTACTTCACACAGAGCATGGCAGGCACGATTTTGGATCGACGAGTCTTTGAGAATCTGGTACAGCGCTCCCTGCCCCTCATTCATGAGCATCTCGTGAGGACGGACATTCAGCTCAGTATTGCTAGCTTGCCCTGGTTCTTGAGCCTGTACATCAATTCGATGCCGATGTGCGTGCGGCGTAGGCGCAGGACCGACGGGTTTATCATCGCGAGCTCACCATTTCCTCCCTCTTTGCGCACAGGGTCTTCGCCTTCCGCATCATCGACTGCTTCATGGCCATGGGTCCCAAGGTGTGCGTGCCCCTCTCCCTCCCTTCTCTTCTTTCCTAGTCCCACTCACTCATTCCTGTCCTCCTCTCTCGCACCCGCACAGCCTCTTCCAAGTCGCCCTCGCCATCCTCAAGATCAACGGCGAAGAGATCCTCTCCGTGACAGACGACGGCGCCTTCATCAACGTGCTGCGCAACTACTTTGCCACGCTAGGCGAATCGGCCCATCCAGAGGCAACGAATCCGAAGCATCGCAACATTACCAACTTCCAAGAGTACGTGTGGCGCGCACACGTCCCTCGTACATGCTCTTTCTCTTTCCCACTCTGACACGCACCTCCCCGCCTCTCGTCGCCCCCTCAGACTACTAGTCGTCGCCTTCCGCGAATTCGGCGTCATCACAACAGAAACAATTGCCTCTGAACGCAAGCGCTTCCGTCAGGAGATCGTCGACGAGATCGAGCTCTTTGCGAAACGTTCTGCGGTGCGCCAACTGCGCGACCTGGGCCGATTCAGCAAGGATCAGGCCGGCGTGGTGTACGACCACATGGTCGAGGCCATCTACCGTTCACGTCACGAACGCCAGGCCAAAGAGGCTGCAGCAGCCGTTGCTGCCCAGCAAGGTGGGTTGTCAGAGAAGGACAAGGCTGCAGCTGCCGAGGCTATGCTTGCTGCCAAACCGGCTCCTCCTACAAGTCAGGACTTCAAGGAGATGCGCATCGATTATGAGACTTTTTTGATCTTTATCAGTGAGATGGCTACCTGGGCTAGGGATGAGTATATCGTGTCCAACTTGAGCGGGCTGCACGAGCGCACAGAGAAGAAGGTGGCTGAGCATGAGTTGGTACGGAGGATCTTTAGGGCGTGGGATAGCGAGAAGAGGGGGACCTTGAGTTTCCAGGTGAGTCGCGCGAGACGATATCGTGAAGTAAGGCATGATGCTGACCTCTTCCATCCCACACGCCACGCCAGGACGTCATCTACGGTCTCTCGCCCATCGTCTTCTCATCGGGTGACGTCCTCTCCTCCGTCTCGTGGTTCTTCAAGCTCCACTCAGAGGGGCGCGAGTCACTCACCAAGGACGAAGTACTACGACTGAGCGAGTCGCTGCTGTACCTCTTCCGTAATGAGCCCGGAGAAGGGTACCTGGCTGCGGTTAGCCAGCTGATCAGCCAGGCTTTCAGCGTGGGCGGAGAGGTTTCGCCGCATGGGGTTGCATTGGAGAGGGAGGAGAAGGCGGCGATAAGCGCGTAGATATGGGGACGCGTGACAATGCTGACAATGCCATAGATGCTCGATGCTATTGATCACTGCCCCTTCCAACTCGCGTGACCTTCTCATCCTCTTGCGACCACTAGCCGGCGGGCCGAAAGCGCAATGTGGGTGCAAAGCGTGCGAGCCAGCGCGATTGCGTGCCTCCCTTCCCCTTTTGCTCGCAGCTCGCAACTCTGGGTCCTCTTGATCTCGTCTTTAATTCGCCTGGCTTGCCCCCTCTGCCCCATTGCCCTCGCTCGTAGCCTCTCTCCTCCCTCGTCGCTGGTCCTTATTGCCCGCTTGGCTCGCACCAGCCAGCCAACTTTATTACCCCGCACTCGCCCTTCTCGCAGCCCTGGGCTCATGTGCCTGACTCTCCCGGCCGGGGGGCAGGGCGCTGCAGGCTGCATCTTGCTGTCTGTGGTGTGGAGCTGCCGCCGCGCCAGGCCTTGGATTGGGGCCCGCCCTCTCGTGTAGTGCCCTTGCCGCTCAAGCCACTCGAAGAGACGAAACGAAAGCTCAGCTCCCTCGAGGCTCACGGCCCTTGGGACTTGGACACTTGACACACAGGCGTTCACGCTCGCACGGCTCACACGGCTCACACGGGGGTGAGGTCCCGTTGTCTTTGCCCTTCTTACCATCCCATCCACCTTATCGCACCACGAGAGCAAAGTCACATCATCCTTAAACGTCGTAGTCGTCCTAGCAGCAAACAAGACCACCAACACACCCAGCTCGCCACCCGTGCGCCCGCCCAACATGGCAGCCCCAACGGCCATTCCAAATGCGAACCACTCGTCCCACCACCAACACGAACAGCAAGCGCCCCCTCCCAATCGCAACTCTCCCCCAGCCTTCTCCCCCATCTACACGCGCACCGCCTTTTCCCTCCCTGGCGGACCCATGTCTCCTACATCGTCCTTCCGCAACACCTCGAGCGGATGGACCACGGCTGGCGCAGGTGTTAATGGGTTGAAGAGCTCCACCAACACGCCCGCAGCAGTACAGAGCCACCAGCGTGTACAGCGAGACTATTTCCCCGACCGTGACTCCTCCGCAGTGGATGGAGGAGCTGTTGAGTCGGCATCCATGCCCCACCCTCGTCACCATCGAGCATTTAGCGCCTCGTCTGCCTCCTCCATCTCTAGCATCGATTCTGCCGGTCCTCCCACGCCGGGACCCAACAGCGCTGGTGGTGCTCAAGCAGGCAGCGGTGCGCCTCTCGGACGCGTTCCTTCCATCGGGCTGGGCACCTCGTACGAGCAGTTCAAGAACAAGAGGGACACCTGGGCTGGAGGGTACAATCACGGTGCAGGATGGGCGGGCATCGGGGGACTGCGATCCGGTAATGGACCTGGCGGCGGCGGCGGCGGTGGTGGTGGGGAGCCACAGAGCCCTCCTGCCAGTGGCGGAGGCATGGGCGGACTACTTCGCAAGCTCAGCCTTAGCAGTGGAGCGGGTAATGCGGGTGGGCGACCCCACATGGGCCACCACCACGGACACCGTAGCATCAGCGTGAGCTCGACTCCTGCTGGCCAACAGCCTCCCACCCCGAACAGCGATGCGGCCACTTCGCCTAATACCTCGCCTACGCCTGGTTCGCCGCCCAAGGGAGGAGCAAGGGGACGACAGAACAGTGTGGGCGGGAATCAGAAGCGTAAGCCCAGCCCCCATGGGGAGCGACTCTTGATGGGATGGACGCATGCCCACTAAGCGCCACGTCTTCAACTCAACGACATTGCAACGATCTTCTCAGGTTCTCGCCCATGACATCAGCCCTACTACCACTTCTGGCAAGGCAAGCTCTGTCTTCTCAGTTACCGCTGCGACTCGACTCGCCTTATCTCACCACGCCTCGACAACTTGTACTTTTACCCAACCTATCAACACCAAAGACAAGATGGTTCCAAGATAGCGACGTAGCACGTTGCAGTTTTTCTCGACAACTCTCTCTTCTATTTCCGCTGCTCACCCTGTACAAATCGCTCCTCTTCTTCTTCTTCGCCTCGTGTCGCCGCCTCTCCTCCTTTTCCTCTTCGTGCCGTGCCGTGCCTCCGCCTCCTTCTCATCAGCGCCTCGACTCGAATCGGCTCGAATCGAAAGAAAGCATTCCAAATCCAATTCGCCGATGTGAGACCACAGCTTCCGTACCTCACCATCTCGAGACCGATCGTGCGACGGCAGCTTTGGTTTGGTTAGACAGCCTGGGCCACGCCGGATCTCGCCCTTCTTGCAGTGCCCCGCCCTCGCCTCGTCTTTTGGCGTTGGCGGAGTTGCCAATCGCGCTCAAGCCTCTCTCTCTCTCTTCTCTCCGTTCACGCGTGGGCCTCGCCGCCGCCGTTGCCGCACTCAACGTCAAAACCATGTCAAGATCCTCATCGCGACATCGAGCGAGGCTAGGCCAAGCTGAGCCTATGGACACCGATGCGGCACGAATGGTAGAGAGCACGGCCCCTTCTACAGTACCTCCACCGCTGAAACACACTGCGCGATTGGGCAGATCTCGCTGTGAGACTGTGACGGGAGCGACGCCACACTACTCAGGGCAGGGCCTAGTGCGCCGAACAAGCTGGAAGCGATGGCGTGGCCGATGGAGCTACCAGAGCAACGTCACCAGGGTGGAGCGATCTGAGCGGTAGAGAGGTGGATCTTCCTACCACTCGATTGAATTTTGCCACTGCCGCCGTCCTGATAGCGCAACACTGTCTCGCCGAGCAGACCGAGCGAAGGAACGCCTTCACCTCCTCTGGATGGCAGAGAGGGGCCTCAGCTCACGACTCACTCACTCGTACGGCAGCACAGCCTTGTCGAATCAGCAAGACGCCACTTTGCTATCGCGCGTTCGACGCCGTCGCTTCTTCGTACAGCCCTGGCTGGCTCGTCACCGCCCTCATCGCGAGGTGGGGCAAAGGCGTTTGCCACCGTCTGTCGTCGGCCACTACCACCAGTCTCAAGCAGTCACTCGAGGGCGTTGCCGCTACGTCACCATCTCTCAGCCTGCAGCAGAAGGACTTGTCTCGCACTACACCCTGCAGCCATCGAGCCCTCTGTCTCACAACCGCCGCTCGCGTGCCACCAGGCCTGCGTCTGTGCTCCACCGCCCAGCCAAAAGCCTGCCATCCTTATAATCTTACAAGGTGGTTCAAGCGTCGACCCTTCCTTCTTCTCTCCATCATCCACCCTTCATCCCTTTCATCCCCCCTTCATACGTCTGCCAATCAGCAGCCAGCCCCTTTGTTCTTTGACGACGACTACCGCTGGCTCGGAAGTCACCACTCACGCCGCCCTGCCCTCTACTTTACACTTTGATTCAACGATCACGACCAACAAGCGCACCTCGCGCCTACGCTACGCCAATCATCGAGCTCATCACGACTACCTGAGTCTCGCCCCTACTTTCAGACCGGCCACTTATACAGGTGAGTAGAGTGGCGCGATTGGACTAGATAGGGAAAGGGTGCGATAGCGTGGACGGCCATTGTCGCCGTAGCTATCTCTCCTGCCTTCTGCGCGCAAATGAAAGGGAAGCGCCAAGCAATGAGCGTGCCTGGCGTTGGGCGGGTAGACATTGCGCAGCCATCTACCCCGCGGTGGCGAGCAAGCAGCGTGCGTCGTAGCGTAGCAGCATCGATTGCTCTCGCGTTCGTCGCCGTCGTGGTGCCCCTCACATGGCTGTGTCGTGCATCCACTCGCAGTAGCTCGTTTTGGTTTTGGTGTCAAGTAGTCCGTCGTCATGATGGGGTGGCTGACTTCGTTTCGTTCTTATCTCCCTTCTCTTCACTCCACATCCATCCTCACGGCACCCACTTCGCGCCCACCATGACTGCCACGCCCTACGATTCGTCGCCTGACCGATCGCCAACGCCACTCTGCAGTCACTATATACATCCAGACCGGCCTCCTGAGCCCAGCAGTACGGTGAGTACCGTAGCGAGCGCGGATAGCGATTGCGCCCGCTGCTAATTCGTCTGAGTATACGCTCAGATGACTTCTCCACACTCATTGCGCTCTTCGAGCGTCTACCCTAAGCTGCAAATCTCAACAACAGACGCCGCCAACGACGGCAGCATGGGCACCTTTGCCTGGCCCACGAGCCTCGACTCAAGCATCGACGGACATGCGAGTAATAGTCACGACCACTTCACCCAGCAATCCCTCGAGGTGTCGTTGCACCCTACATCAGCCACATCCGCCTCAACATCTGCCTCCTCACGCTCGCCCTCAAGCTACCGCCGCTCAGGCTCGATCTCAAGCAGCACCGGGGGTGCCGCAACCAAACTCGACGCCCTCATGCCCTTTGGCCGTGACGACTCCAAACGACACACCATGGCGTCGGTCAACACGACCCTTTCCGCGCCAGAGCTGCACAGCTCGCCGGAGTCGGATGATGGCCTAGCGTACGACCCTGCTCCTCCACGTCCAAGCTCAATGGGATCGCGCCGTAGCCAGCGATTCAACAGCACCGGCTCGGCAACCTCCTCTACGGGCAAGCATCGCCGCGAGACCACGCCCGCATGGAAGACGCGCCACAAATGCACGCCGGAGCAACAGCGCCAGCTCCTCGCCTTCTTTGACCACAACCGTAATCCCAAGGGTAAGGTGAGGCAGGAGCTAGCGGATCAGCTCGGCATGCCAGAGAGGAGCGTACAGATCTGGTTCCAGAACAAGTGAGTGCAACGAGAGATGTGCAGAGAGTCAGTCGCGTCGTGCCCGTGATTCTAGCCGTGTGTCCCCTTCCCCCGCGCCCGCGCCTGCCCCTCCGCTTCGCTTCGTTCTCTCTGGTACGGTAAGGCGCGCCCGGTTTCGAAAGCTTTGCAAGTCGACAGGAGTGAGCGAGGATTCGCACGAGGCTTTGCAGGCTGTGTATCACGATATGCCAGACAAGACCGGACTCAAGGTCACGGTCAAACGGTCGCGCGCAACCAAGCAAGAGCATGCTAGCGATAACGATGTCGAAGAGCAGTCCGCAGTCAGAGAAGTCGAGGATGTCGCGAATTCCCCCACAGAGCCACGCGCCTCGCCGTGCGTCCCCCAAACACTCTCCCCATGGCAACTGGAGCTGACCCTCTCCTTCTCACCTCGTTGTTCTCCGCAGACGCGCAAAGCTCAAGGCCAGCGTTGATGATGCGAGGATGGACCATTCGCCCGAAGTCAAGACTTCGCGCCTTCCGACAGCCAAGGTGGATCGCCCAGCGAGCTCCTCACATGCAAGCACGCCAGCGCGTCAAGCCTCTAGATCCAAATTGAGTGCTGATGCTCAGCAGTGTGAGTGCAAGCGCGTCGCCGCCTACGAACATTTGCTTCTTCTCTGACCCTTGCGTCTGTCCGTTCCACGCCGCAGCAATCACGCAGCTCCCCGCCTTCTCCCTCTGCATCGCAACTTGGCGTCGAATCGCGCCCCTCACCTGCTTCTTCTCGCGGCGACTACACCGCCTCTCCTGGACGCTCAAGGCCGACTCGGTGGGCTTCCGTATCGATCTCCCCTACACCTCCATCAACTCCCTCGCCTTCTCCGGCCCCGTCCGACCCTCGATGGCCGAGCTGGCGGAAGGCATCTCCGAGCCCCTTGGAATGCTAAGGGTCGACCTGGAGAAACAGCCTCAATTCTACATGGAGACGTTCAGGAGCGCGGATCCCGTGGATGAGGCTGATGCCCTGCAGAATCGATGGAGACAGACGGAGGACTTCACCGAGGGAAATGCAGGGACGCGATGCCTTACGCACGTGTTGAGCGGGCCATACGATCAGCTCAAGGAGGCAGTCCTCGCGCTCAAGGGGTCGGATGCCGCCATCGCGGAGAAGCTCGTCATCTACGACGCAATGCCTGGCGCCGGCGGCGAAGTCAGCGGATCGGTCCCGCCTCCGCTCCCCATGCCTCGCCACTCGACGGACGTTGCTGGTCCTCCGCCGCTGCTCAGGCAGCATGACTGGCAGCAAAGCCCGCATCAGCCTAGCTTTGGCGCCAACTCGTACGGCTTCCCTCATGGTGGCGCAGGCGCATTCGTCAATAGCAGCACCGACCCTTCACCTGTTACAGCGCCGTACGAACTGCCCTTCCAGCATGCAGGCCAGCACGGTATGTCGTTCCCGTACGATCAAGCCGCGGCGGGGCAAGAGAGGACCACCTTCTGGCCAGCAACCAGCGACAGTTCTGCTAGCTTAGCTGGGGACGAGACGTTCAGCAGCACGCATGGTCATCTCGGCCACGCAAATGCTCGTTATCTTCATCCGCAGCACCAGCACCAATACTACGTCCCTCAAGCCGAGCTGTACGGCGGTGAAGCGCCTCAACAGCAGCTCCCGCCTGCGACGGCTGCTACGCTTGCCTCACTCTGGTCGACGGATCCGCCCATCACCACTGCGCCTCACAATGTAGGCGGTCTCCTCATCAACTCGTCGAACGACATCTTCTCCGCCCCACAACACGACGAGGCCGCCCCGGCACTCTCGGCGCAGTCGAGTCGTCGACCCTCAACCATGTCCGCCACGGGCTCGGGCTCAGGAACGATGCACACTACCGCAGGCGGTGATGCGTCTCCACACTCTGCTTCTGCTTCTGCTTCGAGCCTCAATTCTGCCCTCGCCTTCGGTGAGGCGGGCTCAGTGAGACCAAGCACCGTATCCGGCGCCGTGGGCGTGGGCGTATGGGATCGTCCACCACCTATGACCCTGCTCGCGCAGAGACAGGCATCGATCGGTCAGCAGCAGGCGGCGAGCGGTAGTATGGAGCAGGACTCCATGTTGCCCTCGTCGTTGTGAGAGAGACGGGTCTCTCTCACTTCCTCCCCCTAACGATCTCCTCTCCCTCCCCCCGCTCCATGTTCTTGCTAATAATCTCCCGACTTTACTCACGCCGTAGCGTAGCAACCTCGTAGTCGCGCTGCACACTCTATATACACGTCAGTCAGTCAGTCAGTCTCTACCTGTTTCTCGCTCTTCACGTCGTCGCTTTAATTCGTCATCATCATCATCATCATCGCGGAGACTCACGATGCTATCCCATTGCATTGCAGGCACAAAGACTACTTACTCCCCGTCTCACTTGCTCCCCGCCCACCCACTCAACTCCACAACAAAGGCGCTGCTCAATTTAGAGAATCGAGCAATATGCTCGAAGCTATACTCATCGTGATCCCACACATCCCTCGTAGTATGTATGCGCTTCAAGTTGCACTTTGCAAACTCATTCTCGATAGTAAAGGCGCTATGCACCCCAACTTTGGTCCAGGACGCATGATCGCTGCAGGCATAGCCGCACTTTGTCTCGATGGGTTGGACCTCTGGCAAGTAGGAGTGGAGCAATTGCTTGTTGAAGGTGGTGAGTGCTGGAGAGACAAAGTCGGTTACGATGCCCATGGCTGGTGGAGAGTCCTTGGCTTCCGTGGGGACGAAAGCAGTCATGTCGAATTGGGACATTGCGTCCACTTTCACCCCACGTCGGACATAATCGCTCACAACTGCCTGAGAGCCGAGGAGTCCTGCTTCCTCTGCCGAGTAGAAGTGCCACTCTACATCGCGATGTTCCGGACGCCAACCGGTAGCCATGAGGGCACGAAGAGATTCGATCTGCGTGACCGTCCCGCTTCCATCGTCGTCTGCGCCTGGGGCGGGGAAGATGGGGAGGAGAAGGTTGACCGAGTCCTGGTGCGAGGAGACGATTACGAGCCCGTTGGACGAAGCTGCCGTGCGGTTCGTGGCGGGGATGTGTACGATGAGGCTGGACTGAACCCAGTCGTGGGTGAACTCGCGCACCGAAATGCGGGAGGAATCTGCGATGTCGCTCGGCTGATGAGCGTCCACGATGGATTGGAGAAGGTCGCGCAGCCAGACTTGCGAGTCGCGGCCTGTCTGCGACTTGTAGTAGCGAGTGCGGAAAGAGGTCAAGTGCTTGATGTTCGTACGTGGCCCTGCTGTGCTGATGTTGGTGTGCACGTGTTTCACTTGGTCGTGGTAGGAAAGCTTAGATGGGAAGGGGCTCGAGTCGTTGGAGAGAGTGGAGGGTGACGACTGCAAGAGGCTCACACCCAGCTCAGCGTGGTCGGTCACATCGGCAAACTTGATGCCTCTCCAGCGGAGCAGCAAGGGGAGGTCCCAGTATGGTGCGGTTTCATGGCTTGTTTGGACTAGGCGCGGGGTGAGGACGTCGATGCTATTGGACCAGATGGAGGCAAAGAAGTTGATGGGCGAGGAGAGAAAGGGCGTTGCAGGTGAGGACGAGGAGAAGATGAGTTGATCGGATGGGACTGGGGAGGCAAGAGCGAAAGATGAGAGAGCGAGGATGGTCAAGGGAAGACGCATGGTTGTGATGCGTCGAGGGAGTGATGGATACGGAGCTAAGCAGAGTATTGAGTGGCTGCGCCCCCTTTCATCCCCGCATTCAGTCAGCAACGCACACACAGCCGCCGGTGCAGTCGGGCGACATCGAGGGCGGACAGAGCCACGTGGGCCACGCGACCGACTGGCAAGGCATGTCCTGGCCGCACAGAGAGAAGAGCGGCTTTGGCGTTGTAGCCGTATCAGCACCTTGCGCCGCCTCACATGGATTGATCCCTCCTTGATCGCTCTGCGGTCATGGCCGACAGCCCATTGTAGCCTAGCGCCTCTTTCTGCCCCCAAGGTAGCAAGTCCAGCTGGTATCGTGGACGTGCTCAACGTCACACGATTCGTGAGAGCGAAGGTATTGTGGGTGAAGAGAGCGTTGAGACGCTCGAAGCTTTGTCGACTGCTCAGAAGGCAAATGAACAAGCCAGCTGTTCATGAAATGGCCGTGTGTATACTCCTACCCACCGCTCTCCCCGCCGGTTCTCTGGTCGTGTATGCCATCCCTGCCTTGGCACCTCATCTATCTAGTCGTGTATTCATCCATCAACCTTGACAGTCCAGCCATAGAGCCGGGCCGTGTAAAAAGACCTCCACCCTCCTTGCTTATCTTGCCCCTCTACAATCCCCCGCCCCTTCCCTTCGTCGGCGGTTCAGTCCAGGTAGATGTCGATCCCCTCATCTCCTTTCTCCTCCTCCTGCCCTTCCTCCTCCCTCTCCGCAAACACGTACCCCTCACGACCGTGCACAGCAGCAAAATCCTGCTCCTCGCGACGGTGATGATGGCAGTCGCGTTGGTAAGTGCCGTGGCACTCGTTGATAGGAAGGATCTTGCCCGGTATGCCGCGCATGAGAGGAGGGACAGTGGCGGCATCGGTCGTCGAGGCCTGGTTGAGGAGGATGATGATCAGCGTGGTGATCATCATGCTGAGTGTGAGTGGGGCGAGTAAGGCATGGCTGTTGGGTAGATGCATGGTCGTAACAGCGTGATTGGTTTGCAGGAGGGAAAAGTGGGGAGAGGGGGCAGCAGCGTGATTTATATCTGTCTACTGTACGCTCGCCATCGACATCAGGCTGGGCGATAGGGCGAGCCTCGATCTCCGCCAGAGCATCGGAAGCCAACGCGTGCAGAGGGCTTGGGTCAGAGCGGAGCTCATGATGTATTACTGGTAAGTGATGAGATGGAACAGAGAGGGAGTGTACAGCTGGGCACGCTTTGAGTAGCGCTTAGGGTAGGGGAAAGGGCGAGCCTCGATCCGGACCAGTGGATCGTAGCCCACTACATACCGGTACGGAGAATGGGAGCAGACGACATCGAAGCAGTACCCTACCTTTACCTGCAGCTGGCTTGGCCCACATGGGTCCCACATACGGCGGCAGGGCATGCCTCGATCTTCACGGGTGGATCATGCCCCGCCGCAGATGGTGGGCTCGATCGAACAACGCTGTTACCACACCCCTCTCTCAGACGGGCGATGTCAGGCCCAGAATCGCAGCAGTGGGCATTTCATGTATTGCTTGCCGTCAAGGCCAGAACTATGTACGGTATTCGTCCTCTCAGCTTGAGAGGGGTGCGGGCTAGGAGAGTATCGAATCGTGTGAAAGGAGGCACAGGATCGCGCACGAGCGGCGGTATGGTAGCAACGAAACGAAGAATGTTGTGAAAGTAGGATCTTTCTTTCCACCTATCCACCGAGCTTTTGGTTGTTCTCTGAATGACTTGAGCAGCTGATCCTCAGGCATTGTCCGCCTTGCGCCTAATTGCAACCTTATCGACTGGATGGGTGGGGTCGGGCTGGTAAGCGGGAATAGATACTGTCAGCGGCTTGCACCGCAGCCTTGATATAGCGCAATGTCACTCACTCCCTCGGGGTCAACCTTTCCTTGCTCCTGCTGCTGAACGTTCTCATCCACTACCTGCTCCTCCTGCTCATCCTGCTCCTCCTGCTCATCCTGCTCCTCCTGCTCCTCCTCCTCGCTCGCCTCCTCCTCACCTTGCACGATCGTATTGTCACTCTTGCCCGCATCCTTCAAGTCCTTCAAGTTTTTCATCTTTTTCGGGCACGTACGCTCCATGGGATCCCTGCACAGATCTTCGTTGTGGGCGCTGGCAGGCGTGGCGCGGGGCAGACAGTCACGGACGCCGTTGAGGATGTAGCACTGTGCGAGGTGTGCGGGAAGGGAGGGGTGAGGCGTGAATGAGTGCGTGGGGAAGAAGAGTGGGTGGAGGACGGGGGAGGAGCTCACGTGAAGGATAGCCTTGTTGTGCCATCGTGAGTTGACGAGCCCGTCGTCGCCCGAAGAGGGGAAGAGGGGGCTGGGAGGGGTCGGTCCTTCTTCGAGCAGGCCTTCTTTTGCATCCAACTCGAAGTCGATCTCTGTAATCTTAGCACGAGTCTGCAGCAACGAGCACGTAGCAAGGCAAGGGTCATGAGCAGCTCTACGAAGGCCAAACGCAATAGACGTGCGGAGGTGTCTCACTTCATCGTCGTCTTGCATCGGATCGCGATTCTCGGGGCCACGACGCTGCTCCTCAATCACTTGTGCGCGGTCTGCGACAGCTTGGCCAGGGGGCGCCTCGCTCCTCTTCTTCTTCTTGGTATAGACCTTTTGTGGGACATTGACCACGAGCTACACGCGCAACAAGGAGACGACGCGACGTTGGGGACGATCTCGCTCAGCCTACACCAAAGGGGGAGGAGGATTAGGGTCACTTACCTCCTCCTGATTGTCGCCCTCCTCCTGATTGTCGCCCTCCTCCTGATCGTACCCTCCCTCTTCAGGCTCTCCGCCATCCACTCCCAAAGTCTGGGAAGGGGGCCCACCTCCGCTTCCCTGACCAGCGCCGGGCTTCTTCTTGGCTGGGCAGGCAAGCTTGAATCGGTCCCGACAGGGGCCAGGGCCATGATGGCTTACAGGCGTGGGTCGGGGAAGGCAGTACCTGACTCCACGATAGATCCTGCACTGCGGGCGCGCGAGGCGGGGATGGAGAAGGTGAGCAGGTGGAGCTCTCGAGCACTGTGTGAGCGTGCGAAGAGGGAAGCGGACTCACTCCTCTCAAGGGACGAGGGCGGAAAAGATCCTCGTCGGAGACGTTCGATGTGTCCCTGACTTCTTCGTAAGATTCGTCCTCGGTCGTGATAGCCTCGGCGAAGGTTTTGCTTGCTTCCTCCTGGCCAGCCGCCTCCCCTTCAGGCTCTTCGCTGTGGGCAAGCACAGTTTCCTGGCCTGGCGGTCCGCCGTCCTCGTCTCCCTGCGGCTTCTTCGGGCAGACGCGTTTAGTTTGGGCACCGCAAGGGGGAATGCCATGATGGCCTGCAGGTGTAGGTGGGGGAAGACAAGTCGTGGTTCCCCTGTAGGTCGTGCACTAGGGACGCATGACGTCGGGGTTAACGAGGTGAGGAGGGTGAGATTGGGCGTCTTGTACGTGCGCAAGGCGAAGAGGCAGTGAAGCTCACCCCCGAAACTGGTTTGCCGCCACTGCGGCGCTCGATGGATACGTCCGTGGAGTAATCTAGCAGGTCTCTGGCGTCTTGGTAAGGTGCGCTCTCAGGTTCCATGGTCTGCGCGAGCCAGGCGTCGAGACGGTGTCAGAAGACCATTGCACGGCCCCTGCAGTGACCGTGAGCGACTCACCTCTTCGACAGTCACCACATCGCGTTCCTCAGCATCGCCCTCCTTGACAGGCTTGCCTACATCTTCGATGATGGCGTGATCGATGTCATTGGTCTTGGTCGTGTGATTGTGTACGACCGTGAGGGGTGCCTCGTCGATTGGCTCGGCAGGCAGATGGACTTCGACTCCTCCATCAGAGAGGACGCAGTTGCGGTCATGGACATTGTAGCACGCATCGTGATTGGGGTGAAGACGGGCCTGCAGGGGAAAGTCAAGTAAGCAGCTGCTCATTGAGGGTCTGTGGCTGGGGAGACTCACCTCGAGTGCGTCACTGGAGTTGGTCACTGGGAGAGGGGCAGCCTTGACGAAGGAGGCCGGGAGGTTGTTGAGGATGACTGTCAGCGTAAGCGTCACGATGACGCAGAGCACTTGGCTTAAAGCGCCGCGCTTGAGTGCGAGCATAGTGCGGTATACTGTCGTGTAGTGTCGAGGGTCGTAGCGATATCTTGTGGTGCGCGGGGAGATGATGGTAGAAGGAGGGATCGAGGTAGGGTCGAGTCGGATGGTTGTCGGGGAAGGAGTCAGCACGATCGATGCGGAGGCGATCGAGCTACTTATACCATCCGCTTTGTGCTGTGGGTTTTTGCACAGCATGACTCGCGATAAGCCCACCCCAACGGTCATGATGACGCGGGCTGACGGCTCTGGTAGCCTGCTCGATCCCAACGTCGAGGATCGAGAGCTCGCGGGTACTGCGCAGTCTCGCCGATATGGCAGGTAAGTGCTTGCCAGCCTCCGCTAATGGTGGGTCACGCTGCCCACACGCCGCTCATTGTTAGTCACTGAATTGCCGTTACCTTCTCCCGAGGAAAGACAGTCGTAGGTTGCGGGCGGGAATGGAGGAGAACGACATCCGGACCCGGTGTGCGTGCGAGCGTGGGTCATCACATTCCTTGCCGCCGAGCGAGAATTGAGCTATCACCGAAACGTACATCCAGGAGATAGCACGATGGTGGCGTCGTCACAATGGTCGCCGTCGCTTCGCCTGGCTCGTGGTTGAGGAGCAGTTGCGCGCTCGTGGAGTTGTCGACTCAGGGGCTGTCAAGCGAGGGGCGCGGGCGCGGGCGCGCTCAGCTGAGACGGGCAGGACGAGTTCGAGTGTTGGTTTGCTCCCGAGCGGGGCGCCAGGGCGGCTGATGCGTTGCGGTGCAGGCAGATTCCACTCCCGCCGCTCCTCCGTCCGCACCACCTCCTCCCGCTTCAACCCTTGAACCGCCAGCCGCCAGCCAATCTCGGCGTCTCGTCTCGACCCACCCAATACTCTTGACCCTACAACCCACCACGAAGGCGCCGCACCTCCTCTTCGTCCAGCCCTTATCATGAATACCCTCCGGGGCACACTCCAGCGCTTTGGGTGGTCCAACGACCCACGCCCACGCACAGACGGATTCGGTCGTCATGAGGACAAGTACGCCCAGGGGATTGGACCCGCTGGGCCGTCCGTCACAGCTGCGGCGGCCACTCGCGATCGAGACGAGAGGATGACCAAGATCACATTTTGGCTGCGCATAGCATCGCTGCTGCTCTGCTTCCTCGCCCTCATTGTAGCAATTGTGGCTGCGGTGTTTCAGAAGAAGTGGATTGGCGGGCCTTCAGGCTTGACGGGATTCTTGCTATTCGCGACTGTGGCTTTTCTCCTCGTCAGCGCAGTATTCACTCTGGTTCCTGTGCTGGTGGAGAGGGGATCAGGAGGCAAGAAGCTGGTGAGTTACGCGAGAGATGAAGGCTTAGCTGCGTATCGCCTCGCTGACGCAGCATATACTCTCCTCCCTCTGTGGCAGCCCGAGCTCGACCGAGCCCTCCGCGAGGATCGAGCTGGCTTTGTAGGTAATGGCTTCTGCCTCATCCTCGGCGCCATCGTTGCGGTCACGCAGACCATCTCCACCCTCACCGCCCCAGCATGCAAAGACGTTAACAAGGACCCGCACGTCAAGTCTTCGACGGGCAAGGAGGATGACTACAAAGGGGCGCTACCTGGCTTCTGCAACACCAAGAGGGCGGAGACTGCCTTTTTGTGGCTGACGTGGATTACGTTCCTCGCGCTGGGGGTCTTGTTCTTGCTGGAATTCAAGAAGAGTAGGAAGGCGGGACCAAGGATACCGTGAGTAAACGCCAAGGGGGTGAGAGGAGCGCGTCGCTGACTGTATGCCTCCCCGCACGCAGCCCATTTGTTCATCCTGGCGGAGCAAGCGATGGCGGAGCCTTCCAGCCTCTCGGCGATGGCGAATTCGACGACGACGACGACCCGCATGCTCACGCGCAGACGTACGACCAGCAGCAGCGCTACCCAGGCTACGACGATGCGGCAGGCACCCAGCCGTATGAGACGCCGATGATGCCCGGCAGATATGGCGGTGGTGGAGGAGGCTACTCAAATCCAGTCTCGAACATCGAAGCACGCTACGGCATGCAGCACGCCCAGCCGCCTCCGCAGCAGTACGGCGCTTACGACCCTACGCCGGCATCCGGGTACAATACGACGCCGAATCCGTTTGCGGACGCTTTGGCGCAGGCTCAGCCGCTCAGCTCCAACGCACCACCGACGGCAGGGTATCGCCCGAGCTATGACTATGGAGCTTATTCGGGAGGAGGAGGGGCACCGGCGCAGTACGAGGTGCCACAAAGGCGGTACTAAGTGTGCGGGGAGGCGCGCGCGTATGGACATTTGCTTTACTGCTTGGTTCACGGACTTTCTCATATCTCATGTTGATACTGGCTCTCATTGCTCCGCTGTATCATCACCAGCTCGCTCGCTCGCTCATCACTATCATCTATTCAGGTTCCTTGTAGCAGGACGCGGCTATGAACGCGTGGCGGCGTGGCGCGTCGAGTGGAGACAGGGCGGGGCGCCGGGCAAGGCGGAGCGGAGAGCGAGATGAAGGTTGAGCGGGCGAATCGCGCATCTTTCTTTGCTACCACCTCCTGTCAACTCGTGCGACCCTGCGCATCATGCTCGACGTCGTCGCATAGTCATCTCGCAAAAGGGCTCAGCTGAAGGGTCTAGGCTCAGCTCGACCATTACCTCAGCCCACGCGAGCTTGTCGCCCGCGATGATGGTCGCCTCACCCGCTCCGTCGCCTCGCGCGACTCAGCATCCCACGAGGAGCGCGCCAGCAAATCTCGCCATGCTGGCGGATGCATCCGCCTTCACCCTGCCCCAACATATGAGCACGCCAGCATCGACTGCCCATCCAATCGAGGCGCTCACTCCCTCGACGGCCTTTCAAGAGATTGCCCAACTGTACTCCTCGCCTGCTGGCAAGGCAGCGCCGCAAGGCGCTCAGTCCAGGAGGGTGGCGTTCGACAACGCGCACGATAGCGCCGAGGAGGAGGACGACGACGAGGACAACGACGAGGAGGAGCATGACTATGACTCCAGCGAAGGAGAAGAGGGGGAGGAGGAGGACGGCAGCGAGGATGTAGACGACGACGGGGAGGAGGAGGAAGACGATGACGTGGAAGACGAAGGCGAGGAGCGTCAAGAAGGCGAAGCAATTGAGGTGGCAGAGGAGCCTCCTATCGACTGGGAGAGCGTAGATGCGACCGCCTTCTTCAATCTCTATTTCAACACCAACAACGGGGCCGACACCTCGAGTTCGAGCAGGACTCAGCTCAAGCCTCCGACGCCAGCTCCAGCCTTTTCACCTAATGGATCGGCGATACCCCAAGCTCACCCGCAGCCGCAACCGCAGTTTCAGGCTGCCTGGGAGCAGCCCGCTTTCGCGACGGCCACGTCACCTTATGCGTCAGCACCGACGCCGCAACCGGATTACGGCGCGGCAATTGACCTCCTCACCACCGTCCTGGGATCGGGTCAAGAAGTCCCGCCCGAGGTTCTTACCATGATCTTTAGCTCTATTCAGACCAGTCTAGGGTACGGCCCAGCCACGACGCCCAGTGGCAGCGGGCTTGGCGAAAGAGGCGCATCCTCGGGCAGCGTCGACAGCCTCGTGCCCATTCTGCGCGATCTCATCGAGAAGCAGTCTCAACAGCAGCAGCGACTCCAGCAGCGCCAAGCTCAGCAGCAGCAGCAGCAGCAGCTCGCCGCCGCTACTCCCCCTGGGCAAGCCGTCACCGCGTTGAGCGATTGGCAGTCCCTCTTCCCCTCTCTCGCGCCGGGGCAGGGCATCAATCTAGATGACGAGGAGGACGACGAAGACAATGACCCTTCATACGTGCCCTGGACGGCCTCCTTTCCAGATTTTCATGGCTCCCCCACGTACCCCAATATTCCAGTGCAAGGACTCTCGCCTGCCGCGGCTGCGGCTCTGGCTGCGCAAGACCAGACTCGCCCCTACCCTCCAGCCGGTGAGGAGTCGGCGGGCAAGGATGAGTCGCAGGGTGCGCAGACTGCTATGCTGTACAGCTCGCAAGAGGGACGTCCAGCAGCCAAGCGTGTGCGCCTTGACGACAGCGTGCCCAGCTCGGGCGATCGCGTGTCTACCCTCGCCTCAAATCAAGGCACGCACTCCTCACAGCAAGCACACGCCTCCTCGTCCTCCGCTCCAAACACTGTCGAGAACCCTCTTGCCAACCCTCCAAAGAAGAAGAACAATCGTGGCCGCAAGCCCGTCTATCAGACTGACGCGGATCGCAAAGCTGCCCGTCGCGAGTCGAGTCGCAGAGCTCAGCAACGCTTCAGGGACAGGAACAAGGCGCGTCGCATCGCCGAGGGCGATCCGAACAGTCGACGTGGGCCTGGACGACCGCCTCGGAATGGCAGCAAAAGCATCAGCGGAGCAGCGAAGCGGGACAGTCTTGAATCGGCTGGAGCGGAAGACCTAAGGGTGGAGAATCGTCGGCTTGCTGCTGAGGTGAAGCGGTTAAGGTCCGAGAATGCGAGGCTGAAGGAGCGGCTGCGGGTAGGGAGGGAGGGTGAGCATGGGGTGCGCCATAGCCAGGATGCGCAGAGCGATTTCAGCGGCGACGATGACGACGAAGATCAGTCGATGTACAGCGAAGAGGACGAGGGCAGTGAGGGGGAGGATGGTGACGAAGAGGGGGATCATGTGGACAGCGGCCGCGATTCGTCACAAGAGGGTCACGCGAGGGGCGCTCACCATCGGCACAATGGGGACCAAGCCACTAACGTCAGCGCCAGCAAGAGGGTGAACGGCCACGCGGTACGTGGGAGAGCTGCCACCGCCGGGCGCGTTGGTATGCAGGCCATCGATCCAAGGCAGCTTCAGAGCTCGCAGTAGCGCACACCAACGTAGGGCGCTAGTCTGCAGGAGCGGGAGGAATGTGGGCTGCTCGACGTCTGCAGGGTAGAGCTGAGAGGCACGGGCTGCCCTACCTTTTCTTTGTCACCTATCCATCATAATCTCGACTCGAATATACCAATCCATCGCACTCGACGTGAGGTACAGCACGCTGCTCGTCGAGTCGCAGTAGGCTGCCCTCGCCTGCTGACATAAGCACTCCTCCGCCCGTCTGTCAACCACGTGGCGTCCGTCGCTGAATTTTGGCCGCGGCGGCTCGAGATTGGCCCTCGCGACTCTCTTGCTGCTCCGCCTTTACCGCCTTTTTCCTCGCCACGATATCATCCCTGTTATCCTCCTCGTCCCTCGTCCCCTTCACCATGGGGGATTCGGGCAGTGCAGCGAATGGCAGCAATGGCGCTGTGATCCCGCCACCACCGCCAGCTCTGCGCTCCCTCGTCGACTTGTCAGAGGCAATTGCCTCGCAGCCGGAGCGATTTGCTACTGGGTCGGTGGATGCGGGCATACTTGAGCAGAGCGAGACGGCCTTAAAGGATGTGTTTGCGCATTGTGAGTGATGGCGAGGGCAGTGAGCGCGATGCCAAATGGCAGCCGCTGACATGGAGCTTGTTCCCTTCGCCTCGCAGCCCTGGAGAGTGAAGCCCTCTCACTCCCCTACATCGGCCACCTGCTGCGCGAGACCGTAGGCGTCGAGTCTACCACGACGACTCGCTCTGGAGCTGGCAAGAAGCGCAAAAGACAAGCCCAGCGTCACTCTCCTTATCACGACCTCTTTCCCCCGACACCACTCGAAGGATTGGTGCTCAGCGACGTAGGAGAGGAAGCCGTCTGGCAGCAGCTCGAGTACCGCAATCAGGCGATCGAGAACGTGCTGGGCAAGATTCTCGTCACGACGGGTGCTGTACCCGGGGAGGATGAAGAAGAGGAGGAGGAGGAGGCGGAGCAAGACGTCGAGCCCTCGGACGAGGTCGACAAGAAGAAGCGTAAAAAGCAGCAGCGCGGCGCCGATTCGGATGCTCAGCGCGAGGAGATCATTCGCGACCTCACATCACTCTCAGACGCAGACTTGCGAGCCATAGGTCTTGACCCGGCGCTTCGCTCTCAAGCGCTCGCAGCCGCTCAAGCCGGCGCCATCTCCAATGGCGAAGATGACGACGACGACGACTTTGCGCCCGACTCAGACGAAGAAGAAGAAGAGGGCATGTACCCAGAGGGCTACCCTGGTGCATCGGACATTTCGTCTGACGAGGAGGACGGGCCTGGCTCGAGCAAGCGCGTATACCACGAGCCGCTGAGGACGGAGAAGCAGCAGCGTAGGAAGAAGGAGGAGGATGAGCGGCGAGAGATGCAGAGGGTGCGCGCTATGGGTGGGATGCGCGGCATAGACGGCGACGAAGATGATGATGACGAGTATGACGACGACGACGAGGACGAGGATGAGTTGATGGACAGCGAGGAGGACGAGGAGGACGACGACGACGACAAAATCGACCCGTCAGTCCCGCCCGCCGCGCCCGCCACCAAGCGCTCCATCCTCGACTCGCTGGACGACGACGCAGCAGCCGGCTCATCCTCCTCATCATCCAAGAGCAAACGCCGCCATCCAACGCTCGACGACGACTTCTTCTCCATCGACGAGTTCAACCGCCAGACCGAAGAGCAAGAGCGTCGCGAGATCTTCAAAGAGGCGAATGGCGATGGCGAGGACGACGACGAGGACGTCGACATGTTCCAAGCCTTCAGCGATGAAGAGGGCGATGACGAGGATGGGGATGCTGGCATGGGTGGCCTCGGGTCTGCAGCTGGCCTGCGCTACGCCGACTTCTTCCTGCCTCCACCGGGCGGGGGGGCTGGGCAACGAGGGTCGGCACAGAAGCGTGCAAAGGGCAAGGGGAAGGGATCGCGCGTGGGACAGGGTGCAAAGCTGGCCAAACAAGAGCGTGATGCGCGCGCGGAGGAATCCGAGGAGCACGACGATTCGCGCGAGCAGCAGGACGACTTCCCGGCTGACTTCGCTGCCGATGACGCCGACGACAGCGACGCGTCCAGCAGCAGCAGCGAGGAGGATGACGCGCCAGCGCGCCCGACCACTCGCGTCCGCTTTGCCCCTCAAGTTGCCATCCGCAACATCAAGGCTCGACCGAACAAGGGGCTTGAGGATGGCGAGATTACGCCAGAGCTCCTGCGCGCCTTGGCCGAGCAGCAGGGTGGCGGCAGCGACGACGACATGAGCGACGATGAAGCGGAGTCGGACGACGAGAGCGATATCAGCGAGAGCGACGAGGGTAGCGACGGGTCGAGCAGCGCCTCAGAGCAAGACGAGATGGAGGTGGAAAGCGAGGCAGGCGGGAGCGTCTTTGACGAGGACAAGGAGCAGGAGACTGCGCGACGATTCGCTGGCGACCTCTTCGCAGGCGACGACAGCGACGAGGAGGGCGACGAAGCGTCAGGCTCGAACACGAAGCTCTCCGCGCATGAGCGACGCCTCGCCACCCTTCAAGCAGAGATTGCCCGCCTCGAGTCGGAGAATGTAGCCGCAAAGGACTGGACGCTGGCGGGCGAGGCGTCGTCACGCGCTCGTCCCAAGGACTCTCTGCTCGAGCAAGACTTGGAGTTCGAACAGACGTCACGCCCCACGCCGACTATCACAATCGACAAGACGGAAGCTCTCGAAGAGTTGATCAAGCGACGCATCCTCGAGAATCGCTTCGACGACGTCGTTGCTCGGCGCGTATTCGCTCAGCCCGAGTACAAACCTGAGCAGGAGCTGAGCGACCGCAAGAGTGGGAAATCGCTGGCCGAAGAGTACGAGGACGACCTACGTCGCAAGGCTGAGGGAGGGGAGGCGCCACGCAGCGAGTCGGAGCGCAAGCTTGAGTCGGAGCGAGCTCAGGTGGCGACGCTCATGGACGAGCTCTTCGACAAGCTAGATGCGCTCTCCAACGCACACTTTACTCCTCGCGCGCCCAAGGCAGCGATCACGACGCTCTCGAGCTCGGCCCCCGCGATCGCGATGGAAGGCAGTGCGACGGCATTGCCCACTACGGCTCACTTGGCTCCTCAGCTGGCCGCTCACGAGACGCTCGAGCGCGACGAGAGAGATGCGGTTCTACGGGGCGAAAAGAGCGAGCTCACCCACGAGGAGAAGCAGGCAGCTTATCGACGCAAGAAGCGTGAGGCCAAGGCGGGCAAGGCGGGCGAGGCTGAGCGCGGTGAAGCGAAGAGGATGAATGATGAGGCTGGAAAGAAGGTCGCGCCTGCTTCGAGTGGCAGCGGTAGCAGCAAGAAGAGTGCGGATCAACGCGAGAAGGACGAGGCGATGAAGAAGTTGTTGGGCATGCGGGGCGTAACGGTGGTGGGCAAGGGCGAGAAGAAGGCGGCTCGGGGGGGCAAAGCCAAAGAGACTGGCGGAGAGAAGAGGGCGGAGAGCTTCAAGCTGTGATTGAGACGTGTGAATTCACTCTAATCCTGTCGTGCACGCCTTTCGTCTTGTCGTAGCGTCGAGTGTCGCGTGCCGTACTGTGTGCTATTTGAGCCGCGGCACGGACAGAGGAGCGGCCACGCGGTCTAAGCTCGTCTCCACTCGAAGGCCAGTGCGAGCCGCGAACCGCGATCCTGGTTCCGTTGCTACTTTCCTCCTAATCCCCATCATCTTGGCCGCATACAAGGATGCCGCCCAGCGACCAGGGCGAGGACAGTGGCATGCCAGCGGACAAGGGCCCCATTCACCGCGTCGAGTTCAGCGAAAAAGCGGGGGACGAGCAGGACACATCACCTCCCGTCGACATTGTCGTGCCCGATGATGCGCCGCTCATCCCGGACGAGCCCACAAAGCCGCCCCCATCATATGCAGCCCCTCCTGGCTCACCACCGACTCACGACGTCATCAACTACCACGAGCACTTCGACGACTGGCCGGACCAGATGATGCTTAATGCAGCGAGTGGCAGTGGGACGCGGGATGCCTCTGCGCCGTATTCAGCTCCTTCCTCTTCGATTCTACGCTCAGCCCCTGGATTGGTGGATCACAAGCACCTCTTTGACACAGAAGCGACGTGGTACAGCGTACGACCCGCACTCACAGCTGTGCGCCCTCGACGCGAGTCCACACCTGGCTCTTCGGGCTCGACGCCATCTTCGACTGCTGTAGCGCTGGATCATGAGCTGCGCCAGTTGACGCAGGGCGATTTAGAGGATGCGAAACCATGGGCGCAGGCGCTCTTCTGCCCGGCGAGGATGGAGTGGATGTTTCTCGCGCGAAAGGAGGATGTTGTGCTGGGCGGCGAGGCGGGAGCGAGTACGACTCTACGCGAGCCGTTGTACGAGGTGCGCGAGTTGCTGGACATCGAGACGAGCTCACCGATACCCACCGCCATCATCTCGCCGGAGCAAGGCAGATTGCGCTCCAATTGGGCAGGCCCGTGGAAGGAGCTGCGGGATGTGATGAGCGGTCAGACGTTCCTGGCTACGGTCATTCCGTCGAGCATACCGATTACCCTGCTAAACAAGCTCAGGAAGGAGCGCAGAGAGCATCCGCCAGTGGGTCAAAGCGGCGATGAGGCCTTTGTGAGCACAATGAGGGTGTTGGTGCGCATATTACTGAACGCGGGCAAGAGCGACACGCGCGTGTTGCCCTTGACCTCGAGGACCATTACGAACAAGTGGGTACGGCGTGCGTGCGGCGGGTGTGCGGCGGATGTGCGCCGCATCAGACTAAGCTGACTTCTCGCTCCTCGCCCACTCAGACTCGGCTACGACGACGTCATGCGCGAGATTCTGCGCTGCTGCGGCATGATACAGACGACGACGGAGGCAACGGGCCAGCCTGCGCTCAAGGCGTCCGCAGAGGACCCCGACTTGACGCTGCGCAACTTGATCGAGGTCGTAGTGTGGTTTCAGCATTTCAAGCCGCGTAGCGACGCGAGTCTCAACACGGACGACCTGGGTGAGCGTGCGAGGTGCGAGGCGGCAGAGAGGTGAGGGGCCCGCTGACCACCCTGCCCCTGTGCACGCGCAGGATTCACCATCCATGCCGAGCGCACCGGCGCATCAGCCCTCTCCCTCGCCCTCCTTGACCCGCAAACAGAGTTGTGCGACCTCGCTCAAGTCGGTGGCGCAAATGAGGCCTATGACGGCATAGGCGCATCTCCTCGAGAAGACGAGTCCGTCCTCCTCCGCCTCTACAACATCAACAAGTCGAGAATGCCCGCGCAGCACCGCCTCTTCTTCGAATGTCTCACGCATATCAACAAACACCGCGGAGAAGAGTGCGACGGAGTAGTACTCGCAATCGCCCAGGAGAAGAGCAACGGAATGTTCACGGCTCAAGAGCTCAGCACGGCGTACACTGATTTTGGATTTGATGCAGAGGAGGGGGCGCGAGGCGTCGTCGAGGTGGACAAGATCGCAGCCGCATACAAGCACGCCCTCGAGAAGAGTAGCAACACCGAGGCAGCCAGGCACAGCCGAGACCAACTGCGTGTAATCGCCGCGAGCCTCAACGACCCTCACGCGTTGATGGAGGCGTGGCGCACACCGATTACGATGCCCCTCGCCGAGGCTTACCGCGTGCTGGAGATTAACGAGCACGAGGCGCCCGACGATTCCGTGGGCGCATACTACAGCGCTGCGCAGCTGGACGCGGTGGGTGATGCCGTCAAGGAGGCGCGACTCAAGGAAGCTCTGGGCGTCATTGCGAACCACCGCGACTCCAAGGCGCTGTGGCGAGTGTATGCGGGCGAGGAGGGCGACGTCGAGGAGGTGGACGTGGAGTTTGGCAAGGCTGACCTGCCTGCGGGCCTCAACAACATCGGCAACACGTGCTACCTGAACAGCGTGCTGCAGTACTTTTTCGCGCTCAAGCCCGTGCGCGACGGCGTCGTCCGTGCGGCGAAGGCAAAGGAGCAAGGTGCGAGGGGTGAGAAGAAGGTGGGAGGGAGAGTGGTGTCGGCGTACGAGGTGGAGCGGTCCAGCAAGTGTGAGTGCGCGTGCGAGTGCGCGGCAGCGTGCGCAAGAGCGTGCAGACCTGACTGACGGCTTTCCCTCGCCCGCACGCTAGTCGTCGCCTGCCTCGCCCAGCTATTCGACGCCATGATCACTAGCCCCGCAGCAGCCGTCACGCCCGAGCGCGAGCTGGCCTACCTCGCCCTGGTCTCGGCTCGCGTCGAGGAGCTCGAGAAGGAGCAGAGCGAAGTCGCGACGGCGCACGATGGCCTACCCTCGTCCAAGCAAGCTCGACTCGAAGAGACGCCCGGCATGGATCTCGACAAGAAGGCCGAGGCGAAAGAGGCCGAGGAGCAGGCTGGAGATGACAGGAGAGAGAGTGGCGCCGACGCCGCGATGAAGGATGAGAACGCCCCTCCCCCTCTCCCCCCTCGCCGCAACGGCACGGACACGCCACGCCACGCCGCCGTGGAACGACGCATGCAGCTCGGCGCACAACAAGACGTGAGCGAGTGTCTCGACAACGTCTTGTTCCAGGTCCAAGTGGCTCTGGGCGACGACGATGAGATCGCACGCCTGTTCACCGGCAAGACTCGCCAACGCGTTGTGCGCACACAGACCGCCGAAGAGGCCGCGCACGTCAAGGAGGAGATTTTCACCATTCTTCCCGTCGAGGTGCCGGAGGAGGAGGGACGCGACATCTACGACGGGCTTGACGGCTACTTTGATGAGGAGGTGCTGCCAGCGAGCGAGGCGGAGGGGTCCCGACCTGGCACGCCGTCGTCCACCGTCAAGCGCACTGTCACCCTGCTGGAACCGCCGCCGATCCTTCAGATCCAGCTGCAGCGCGTTTTGTTCGACCGCACACGCGGCGTCTTCAAGTCGCAAGCCCACCTCGAAGCGCCCGAGGACCTCTACTTGGACCGCTACCTCGACGCGGGCGATCCCCGCCAAGCACAAGGAGCGCAATATCGCCGCGAGATGCTGGCCTGCCGCGAGAGGTTGGAGGAGCTGGGCGCGGGCAGCGTGGCGACTACCCTCCGCAAGACGAGCAAAGCGCTCGATGACCTCGCACTGAGATCGCAGGATGACTCGCCTCTCTCCACGCTCCTCCGCGACGCAAAGTTGCAGGGGCTGAGCACCTTCCTCGGCGAAGAGGCCGAGCGTGTCAGCGGTGAGGTAAAAGGGCTGCGCACCCGCCTACGCACCATCAAACGCGACATTGAATCCCTCTGGTCCGGCGCCACCCACTTACACTATCGCCTCGTCGCCGTCTTCCAACATCGCGGGCAGGCCTCACACGGCCACCACTGGATCGAAATGCGCGGCGGCGACGACTCGCGCTGGTTCAAGTACAACGATACCGTCGTCTCCCGCACCACGGCGCGTGATGTGCTCATGAAGGATACAGCGACGGGAGCCACGCCCTACCTGCTTTGCTACGTGCGAGAAGGGGCAGGTGACGTCTTTGAGAGTCTGTGCAGGAAGATTGACGCCCCAATCGTGGAGAGGAGGCCGAGCCCCTCAACGAGGAGAGAGGTACCCGTGCCGCCCTCGGTGAGGAGGGGAAGCGCCACGACACTACCCATCAACACGACGATACCTGATAGCGGAGATGGGTGGGCGATGATGCCGAGGGAGGGGAGGGAGGAGAAAAAGGCGATGGTAGAGAGTAAGAGTGAAGAAGGTCAGTCAGGCCAGGCCAACAATGGCGCTGGCACCGCTGCGCCTGACGGCCACCTGGCCGATGTCGAGATGATAGATTGAACTCCGTCCAAGGGCCAAACGAGCTAATAGCCCGCAGCCTGTCCATCTAATTGAATACAAAATCGTGTCATCTCCGAACGATGGTGTTACTTTCCGTTACTTGACCAGAAGCTGTTGTCAAGTGAGGATGATTGTTTCGTCGTGAGTGAGTACGAGAAGAAATTCTTTTGGTTGGTCCGTGCCGTGCGAGCCACAGACAAGCCCGCGCGCGGCGACGAACTGCCGGTCGAGACGGGACGAATCGCAACACCAACGCGCCCCGATCCTCAAGATCGTCGAAGGTCACAGGGTTGCTTATATAATCACTCTTTGATCTGCCGAGCCTCCAACAAGTCTTTCAAGGTCGGACTGATGACTCTTATCGGAGCAGTGTTATCTGTATGTGTGGCTTTCCAACCGGCATCGAAGTATTGTACACATGTGAACGGACTCCACCAGATGCTGTGGGCACATGACGAATTAGGAAGGGCAGCTCACCAGTGAAGCGCGGACGCACAGGGTACGCAGTGAGCAGACAGCGCCCACGATCGAGCCGCACAGAAGGCGCAAGTGTGTGCAGCCTTTCAAGCGGCTCTTGAGATGGCTTGCTTGGGCGAATTGTGCACCGGCGAACGCCACACGTCTCACGTCACCGTGACCGAGGTCACCGGGCGGGTCGAGCGTATGACGACGTAGATACTGCGCGTATTGCAATGCCAAGCACGAAATGCACGCACCGAGTGATATGCGAACATACAATGAGATAGGGCCACGCTGGTCTTCCCATTGCCACGAGGTAGCAAGACCAGAGCCACCAGTCACGGCTCATTCACGGCCGCCGAGACGAGATCTGAACAAATCGGGCGGACCACAAGCGGACGCCGCCATTGCAGCGGTCACTCAACCATTCGACACGTCTACGAGCTGACCTCAGCACATCTGAGACATCTCTCGCTCGCCCCGATCGCCTGCATCGACGTGCCCAACGGGCGGGCCCGATGCGATCTCCGCCATGGTAGCGAGCAGGCCCGCCGCCGCGGGACGATCGGGCCTCCAGAGCGCGGCGCATGGGCCGTTTCACGCCTCCGAAAACGCCCTTCGCAGCATCTTTGATAACTCAGCGACGCGGGCAGCTACGGAGACGATTCTTGTATCGATCGAAACGTCTTGAGGAGCTCTTTCCAACGGTACTAAGAACATCGCAATCGGATCACTATACGGCCGGAGAAAAGTCAAACATCGTGTACGGCAAATTTTTCCGGCCATCCTCATCCAAAGGTCACGGCGAAATGGCCGAGTGGTTAAGGCGGCTGATTAGAATTCCCTGTAAAGTTCTAAGCATCATCTGGACTCTGTCCGCGCAGGTTCGAGTCCTGCTTTCGTCGAAGAAAATTTTTTTGGGACTTGCAAACCTCTTTTCAAGGCCTTACGGTCCTTTTGCTCCAGCCTACAGGTCCAGAACTTCTTCCAGGCCTGTCGAAAGTTTCCAAATCTCGCGCGGGCATAACACGTGGCTGCTTCCGTCCCACATTGCGCCCCGCAGGAAAATGAGCAATCGGAGCTCGAAAATTCACGTGGCTCATACAACTCGTTTGAGTCTTCCTTTCTGCGAGGAAGCGGGCGAGCCTCCAGTCGAGCTTCCTGCTCCTGCTGGTTCTCTCTTCCCTCACGAGCTCTGAACGCTACGCACACTCAGCCCCTTCAGCCTACCACAGGAGAGAAATGCTATTGGATCTATCTTTCGACGGCAAACTTATGGCCATGAGTGCGATAGACATATTTCTAGCCCAGAGGCGCTGATATAAGTGAAGCTGTTAGCACGGGATGCTCCTTCAAGCCTATATCGTGCTAAGCTGCTAGATGGAGACGGCGACGCTCTGCTCTCCCCCGCCACATCGCAGCCGTTAAAGAATCGTCTTGACGCCGGCTGCGTGGCCAACAAGGCTCGATGGTGCTGGAAGAGCAGCACATCTGACCTCATCGTCGAGGACATTGGCAGCGCGTCGAGCCTCTTCCACAGCAACGCCCAGTCCTCGTCATTGCCCGCGATCGCTCCCCACTCAGCCGATCTTGCCGCTCTCTTCGCCCGCATCTCCCCCTGCCCCTGGTGAAGCCGTAGCCATCGTACAATCAGGGCAGGGCCAGGAGCTTTGAATTCCTTTGCGTGTGATGTCGTTCTCAGCTTCTTGCCTTTGTTGGCAGCCAGCCAGAGCTGCGCTGCGGCAGCAGCTGCCGCTCTTCTGTGAATCCGACTGGATATATTTTGGTTGGGGATGTGACAGCGAAGCGCTGTACATGCCCCCTCTCATCTGCGTCGATATTGGCCATCTCAGCGACCCAGGCCACGGCTTCTGACAATTCGGCTCGAGCCATGATGATGAGCGTTGCTGCTCTGAGCAGCGGGCGCAACTCGGCGTATCTGCCGTCCATTGTCGTCTGGCCGGTCGTGAGGCGGATCGAGTCGGCCTCGATGTAACCCTTCACGGAACAGCCTGAAGGTGGGGGCATTCGCACCTCGAAAGGCGGGGACTGAAGTCCTAGTTCAGCACACCGAAGCCAACTTCGACCATGCTCAGTTAGTTCGAAACTCACCTCGTCCGCCAGCATCGCAGGTCAGCCCCTTCTCCTGGCAGCGACGACAAGACGAGCCGTGTAGAGCCATCTCGCAAACCTCAGAACTACCGCACGTTAGGCAAAATTGCTGGTAAAACTCGCGTGGGTTACAGGGCTGCGTCTTGCGGTACCCAGCCTTACTGGTTGGCTTGACGGTACTTCGCTGGCGGCGTTGCGAGCCGCTAGCAACTCGAGAAGCAGGCGTCTTCTTCACCTTCTTACGAGGCTTCTCAGGCTCTTCGTCTTCGTCTTCGTCGCCGTCGACGCCGTCGTCGTCATCTAGGAGTGGAGGGAGTGCCTGCCAGGAGAGGCCCTGCGATGGCAAAAGTTTGAGCCATGAGCGACGGACACCCTCCACGCCTGGTAGCGGGAGGGAGAGAAGGACGACGGGAGATGCAGCTTTGCCGCCACGACGATGCTGCTCTTGCAGCATATACAGCATGATCGCTGCCTTGAGTGCTGCAGATGGAGACGCTGGCGGAGAAGAAGCCTTGAAGGCCTCGTGCAAGCGGCTGGCCATCATTGTCGTCATCAGGCGGTGGTCGACGTTGGGATGCGTGACCAACTCCGAAGACTCCAAGTGCTGTCGACCGCATGCCGACCCATCGTCGAAGCGCAGCGTGCCCTTGAGCGCTGGCTCCTTTGCTGCAAGTCGATGGCCCCCGAACAGCGAATTGACCCCAGCAACGAAATTGCACAGCGCGCCTTCCGTCATTTACCCATACACGCCGCAGGGGAGACCGTCCAAACCAGCAGGGCTATGCGCGCAGCTTCTCATAGCAGCCCTGCAGTCCTCAATGGTGAAGGGGCGCGAGAGGCTGTACAGCTGGCTCGAGGCCGCCAAGGAGGTGTCGAGCATGGCGAGGAGCTCGATAGCGTCGTCGGGGATCAGCGGCCAAAGCGACAGGCGGAGGGCCAGGGAGTCAAAGATGAAGCGCAGCTGCTCGCTCCTCGTCGTGACCCATTGACCAGGCGCCGACTCCAGCGCAGGCACGAGCGGCGCAGGCGGCTGCGGCTGGTCGCCTTGATCTGCCTCCAGCTCATGGCGCGCATGGTCAAGACGGACCTGAGCTCCTCCTTTATGATTGCCCACTGCGAGAGGTCGGGCACTGGTGAAATGAGGCCCGTGCTGCAGCAGTGCAAAATCGCCTCTTTGAAGGGGGAAGAAGACTCAGTGCCGACCTCGAGCATCCAAGGGGCAGCATCCGGCCAGCAATCCTCGTCGAGAGCGGGCAAGTCGTGACCGAAGGTGATCAGGAAGAGGCAATGGTCGGACTTGTCGGACTGCACGATGCGATGCTCTGTGAGTCCACTTGCTGCCTCTCGCGGCACCCAGATGCTGTTGATCCTGCGCCCATTGATGATCTCCTCCCCATCTACCTCGACGACGCGCGTGTACTCCTTGCCCAGCGGACGCATGATCCGATAGGCATCGACGAGGTCCAACTCGTCAAGGGTTAGTTTCATCTTAGACCACGCGGGCGAGGGCGGGTATCCACCGGTGTTGTCGAGGTCGTTGCTGGGCCAAGAGTTCCAGTCTGCCCCGATTACCACGCGAGTGGCCGCCTGTGTTGCCGACGCGAAGTACCGCGAGAAGCACCCCAAGTCCTCCTCCCACAAGGCTCGTCGATACGGCTGCATGTGCACGCTGTAGAGCACGATGCGTCGAGAGAGCTCCTCACCTTGGCAGAGCGGCTGCGGCAGCTCGACCGTCATACGCACCCAGCCGTCGCCTTCCTCCTGCTCAACGATGCGCCAAGTTTGATTTGTGATGACGATACCACAATCTTTGGCCAAGAGAGCACGAGAGTGATCATGAGGCAACGTTTTCAGCACCGCGAACCCATTCTGGCTGCACTCCAGAGTACTTGCAAGGACGCTGATCCTCGCTCAGCGGGGCCCAGATCTCACTTTGCTTTGTGGAGCACGTTTGTGGAGCACGAGACAACCTCGCAAACGATGAGCAGATTCTCCAGAGCAGCAGTCTGCTGAGACGTGAATGCGCGTCGTTTGCGGCAGGGATGAGAGGCTGCTGTTTGCACCTACGATCAAGCCACCGGTTTTGCCGTTCAGACGCGGGTGCTCCGGTCTCGTTGGCGTGAGGACTCGATAACCGCCGACGAGGTTGAGCCGTCTTGAGGATTGGCCGTCCGCATCTGCTGCGGCGCACTGGTCCAGTACGAACTGAGGAACGAAGATCAGTCCCCCGTCAGGGCCGAGAGTAATACGGTCTGGCTGAGCGTTGGCGGCGGTGGAAGCGGCGGTTGGAATGAGGGAAGCGGTGGCTGCGATAGCAGCGGCTGTGGTAGCGGCTGATGGGGCTCTGACGAGGGCGGACCGGACTGGTAACCGTCTGGACGCCAGAAAGTTGAAGTTGCCGCCCACGATGACCGTGCTCGTTGCCTTGTTTGCTGAGCCAAATTCTCGTGAGAAGCCGGCCGCGTCTTTCGTCCACATCTCGCGCGAGTGACGCAGAGTGTGGGTGCTGTAGAGCATTACGCGACGGGAGTCTGGCTGCTCAGTCACCGGCGGCTGTGGCAGTTTCACCACGACGCGCACCCCTCCCTCTCCCATCTCCTGCTCCAGTACTCTCCATGACCTGTTGGTGATTACGATGCCGCAGTCCTTGCCCAACGTCGCACGAGAATGAATGTGCCGGAGCGACGCCAACACATCTGTCCATTCGGACTGCATCCCGCTGTAGAACTTCTTTAGGCTTCGGGAGAGGCATCTTGAATGGCTTTACTCCTTCTACTCCTCTTGACCATCCGCACTTGCAGCAGGGCCATCAGCAGTTCGCGCATGACCGCAAGATCTTCAGCGAAAAGAAGACGATGGCATTTTGCATGGCGGAGTCGCAGTGGGCCAATAAGATGGGCTCGTACCTCATCGAAAACCATTTGCAGAGACCAGCCGATCACTCCTTCTCGCTGTAGAGATTTGAGCTTGCTGCAGAAGCTCGAGGGCGCGTTTGCCTCCTTCAGAACCTTGGCTACCCATTCACGGCGGAGACTGTCGCAACCACGGCTGAAAGAAAGGGAGACGAGGATGGCGGGAGGGTTTTGGGGGAGGAGGCGATGTGTTCCTGGATGAGGTAGAGGAGGACAAGAAGAGAGGAAAGGTTGTGGCGCTCGATGCCATGTCCAAGGCTGAGCGGTGAAGGAGCGAGAGTTGCGAGGCTCTGTTGCAGACGTACTGCAATGACCCGGCCGCAAAGACGCTGCTCGCCCTTGGGCCCAGACAGGCTCGCCGATTCTCAAGCTTGTGCCTCTCTTTGCGGGTCGCCGCCGACAGATTTCACCTCAGCGCAGGGTGACCATGCGGCATGTTCTGGCTCAGTTGAGCATTGAGCGTGTCACGCATAGGGGCCAAAGACTCTTCCGGCAAGGCAGCGAAGACTGCGTCCGGCAAGCCGTCGACGCCGGGAACGCATGACGTCGAGCTGGTGGCGGCGCGCTCGATCTCCTCCAGAGAGAACGGCTCGGTCAGGCGTGCGCGCTGCTCCTCCGAAAGGCAACGAAACGAGACGCCGGACGCCAGGCGGTCCATCTCCGCGGCAGACACGTCGGAGCCAGCAGGGGAGTAGAGATCCGTGAAGTAATCCTGCACGGCCTTGACCTGCTCCGCAGCTGAACATGCGCGGGTCCCGTCGGGCTGCTCGAGGTATGGCAGCGCGTGCAAAGGCTCAACTTGAGGCTCGAAGAGCCAGTGAGAGCCTCCCTCCGTGAGCGCAGCCGCTGCGACGTGGTGCGCTCGAGCGTCGAATGAGCGTCGGACGAGGGTGAGCAGGCGCGGTAGGCGAGCTCGATCGGCGGCGACAGTGAGGTCGAGGCCTTGAAGCTGCAGCGCAAGCGAGTCTCGGTCCCTGCCGGCCTCCTCCTCCTCCTCCAATGCGAGCGACGTATTGCGCAGGACGCCGCGAAGTCGCTCCATGATGACCAGCCAATCCTCCCACGTCTCCGAACGCTCCGACACAACGACGCGGCAGAAATCGTCGATCTTGGCCTTGACCCGAATCGACACCCACTGCTCCTGCGTCAAGCTCCAGCGCCCAGACCCACGCTCGTCGAACGCCTCCCCAGCCTCGGCACCGAACGTCAGCGCGAAGATGTCGTGGTCCGAATTGGGAGTTGAGACAATCTTGTAGCTGCTGAGACTGCTCGCTGCCTCTCTCGGAACCTACACCGCATCGATTCGGCGCCCACCGCCGTCCGTCTTCGACACACGCGTTACCTGCCTCCCGATCGGGTTGAGGGTTCGATAGCCGTCGACGAGATCAAGGGCTTGAAGCACTGGCTGTGCCACCAACCAAGGCAGAGAAGGCGAGATGCCCCTGGTGTTGTCGAGAGCATTCGATGCCCACGAGTTGAAGTTCCCCCCCCACGACGACCCTCCAGACTGGCGATGAGATGGTGGATGGCGTGTAACGCCACATGCCAGCCTGGTCCTCTGTCCATACCTATCGCCGCTCCAGCTGCGGATGCACGCAGAACAAAGGCAGACAAGGAGGCTGAGCGGCCGATGTTGCTGTCCACAGAGGAGCTAGCAGCTCTACCATGGCCCTTGCCCACTCTTGCCCGATCTCTTGCTCAATGGCGCGCCAAGAAGGGTTGGTGATGATGGTGCCGCAGTCGTAGCTCAAGAGGGCCCTGGAGTGCCTGTGCGGCAATGGCTCCAGTAGACTGGCCCACTCTGCCTGCCTGCCGGTGTAGCTGAAGTCGGCGACGTCCTCCTGGAGGAAGACCACGTCAGGCAGAGCGGGAAGGAGCGGATTGGGGCCGAAGATGTCAGCGAGTGGATCCTTGGTGGCCAAGCATTGGACGTTGTACGTGCAGAAAGTAGGCATATTTTCAATCGCGCCTTGAGCGGGCCAGTATTTGTGTCCAGAGGCAGTGCTGAAACAGCGGGACGTTGGATCTCATCGCCGAAGGCATCAGCAGATCGTCGAGCCTTGCCCATAGCGATTCCCACTCCTTCGTCGTGTCAGCCACGAGTGCCTTCCATTCGGCCGGTTCAGCGAGCCCCGTCGAGATCAGCTTCGCCTGCCCCCCCATCAGACCTTTGCTGCTTAGGCGCTGCACCCACTTTGAGGTACCCATCGCTCGCAGCGCTGCCTTGACCGTGATGTTACCAAGAGGTTGGTCATTGACCATCACATGTTGCCAAGGGAACTTGAAGGCGCTGGGACTGAGCTGGAATGGACGGTCGTGCTGACGTGCTGATGCAGTGGGACGACTGCGATCGCGGTGCGGAGGGTAACTCATGCGAAGGCTCTGTATCTTGCTTCTGAAGCAGAGGGGCAGTCTTGGCCAGTACGACGACCAGATGCGCCTCCGGTAGCCGCACGCTGCTTGGATCTTGCGACGCGACGATCCCTTCTTTGCCTGCCTGTGAGGATACTTGCGATGATTCGCTCGCATTGCGAAAGAAGAGAGCGGAACGACGGCGCCGCTGATATGCTGGTGGGGGTGAGCTGACGGGTATTTCCTCTCGCAATCGTGGTGCATGAGAGCGTCGCCAAGGACGAGACGGCAGATGAGCCAGCTGAGGCAGATGAGTCGCCTATCCTGCGGGAGAGGAGGTAATCAGCTACGGTCCACTTCTGAGATAGCAATGCGGCTGACTCACCATTCGAAGCGTATTCCAAGCTTGATCCTTGTCGAGTGAGCCACACCCACTATACCCGTACCAGACGCTCAGAAGTGGGAGACGTCCTTGGAGCAGCGCGTGATGCTGATGCCCGCCGACAGGATCGATGAAGCCACGACGAGGCCTATCCCTTGCAGTGCTCCGTCCGGGTCTTTGATGAAGCTCTGATGTCACCTACGTCTCAGCCATGGGTGAGCGGGGTTGACCAACGAAGAGCAATCGGCTACGAGGCTGTTGAGAGGTTTGGCTCGCGAGCACCAGTGCGTGGTGCGTCTCCAACATGTTGATGGCCTGTGCGAAATGAGGGTCGTAGGGTCAATGAGTGGCAGCGAGCTCGTAGTCGATAGCGTTGTACTCACCTTGTGAAGTCAAGCGAAGAGGCCCACAATGATCCATGCCCTCATGCTAAAGTTTCTGCTCGACATCTTCTTCTCAGCTTGCTTTGCGTGTCCAGCTAGAGAGGTACTCCTCCTTGAAGCTAAGCTATCGATGAGTGGCTGCGCAGATCACCAGGCCGGCATTGCATGCATGGTGGGGTAGCACCTTCCATCATGCTGAGGTGCGACCATGCTGATTGGTGACGTGGTCGTGATGGGTTCCACCTAATAGTCTGGGCTTTGCTCACCACGCCTCTCTTGACCAGCAAGGCCTCCTCAACCGCAACTGGAGCGAGGGAGCTGGTGATTGCCGCACCAAAGTGGACTTGACGTCCGGGTATAGGGTGAGATGATGTCGAGCGAGGGAGCTACCTCGTCGTAGTGTGGTGTGGTGTGAATTGGTGTGAATAGACAGGGCCAGGAAGGCGCAGAGAGGCGCCTGCCCAGCCCCTTCGTGGTGTGTGGTGTGCTACGCTCTGCTGAGGTTGAGGTTGAGGCTGCTGGCTGGAGGGGGGAAAAAGGGAGGAGGATGACGATGGGAGGTGGTGAAAAGTGAGGGGCCCGCTCTTATCTCGTCACGACGACTCTCGAGCAACGTCGACGTGGAGCCCTCCCACCTCTCGATGCGCCGAACAAAGCGACCTGCCAGCAATCAACACGAGTTGCAGGGCGAATTCCAAGCCGCATCAGCCCTGGACATTCTTGGAAAGGTTGAGCGGAACACTCATCCCGGGCGCGGAGCGTGGTGATGGCGCATCGGTTCCTGATGGGGTGCGGGCGGGCGAGCGGATGAGTGGTTGTGCAAGGTCGGGGAGAAAGGAAAGATGAGTGAGCGAGGGACGCAGGCGAGGAACGGTGAGCACGAGCACGAGCCACCTTCAATTTTCGGATTGCTCCGCCTGCTCCGCCTGGCTGACGGTCTGGTCAAACCTCCCGAACGCATCATCTCGTTTCTGTCATCACTCCTCACGCTCGAAACTTGGGACTGATTAGCATTGCAAGAGAACGCGGAAGCTCTAACATATTACTGGCGGGCACGGCTACAGCTGTGCCTTCTTTCGCTCTGGCAGTCACTTGCCAGCCTGGTCGTTGATGAGGCAGTACCTGAAACGCGCCTTGTTAGCCTCCATATCAACGACTGCCTGATTGGCATCGCTGAGGTTACGCTTCTCGATCATAAAGTTGGGCTTCTTGTCGGCTGCGAGCTGCAACATCTGCGCAATCTCCTTTGGTCCACCGACGCAAGACCCTCCCATGGCAGCTCCCGTGCTAATAAGCGCTCCAATGGGGATAGGGCAGACGGGACCGTGAGGGATGGCGATGTTGACAATGTGTCCGCGCGGGCGAAGGCACTTGATGAGGGAAGCGTAGTCCTGCGAGGTGTGGTTGGCCGTGTTGATGATGAGGTCGAGGTCCTGCTTGTATTTGCCAAGCAGCTCCTTGCTACCGTCGGCCGTAGAGATGTAGTCGGTCGCACCGAGCTGCATGGCTGCGTCCTTCTTGGAGGGCGAGTGACCAATGGCAACGACCGTCTCTGCGCCGAGGGCCTTGGCGAAGGCGAGACCAAAGGCGCCAATACCGCCGACACCGACGATGCCGACCTTCTTGACGTCCTTGGTGCCCGTGCCGTAGCGGTGCAAGGGGGAGAAGATGGTGATACCACCGCACATGAGGGGGGCAGCGATGTGGGACTCGAGACCGTCGGGGATCTTGACAGCGAAGTGGGCTTCGCCACGCCACTTGAGGGCGTAGCCGCCGAATGAGGGGCCAGAGCCGTTCTTGAACTCGCCGTTGTAGGTGCCGACGACGCCGTCCCTGCGCGTAAGAAAGCGAGAAGCACAAAGCATTAGCAGGGGGCGAGGAGCACAAAGGCGGCGAGAAGCAAAACACCGCCTCGTCGCACGCCACGCGCACTCACTTGCAGAAGGGCTCCTCGTCCCTCTCGCAGTTGGAGCACTTGTGGCACGAGTCACCCTGAGCTCCAACACCCATACGGTCGCCGACCTTGACGCCCTTGACGTTGGCGCCAACGTGGGTGACCTTCCCGACGATCTCGTGGCCAACGACGAGGGGACGCTTAGCCTTACCCCAGCCGTCGGACATGGTGGAGAGGTCGGACATGCAAATACCGCAGCATTCGATGTCCCTGTGGCGCGGCGTGGGGGCAAACAGGACTAAGCATTAGCGGGGTGCGCGCAAGAGGGGATCGCGCCGCGGCGCACACGCACATCTGCAGGTCATCATCCGTCCACTTCTTGGGCTCGTACTGGTCCCAGACCATCTTGCCCTCGATGGACGTCTTGTCGGGGCAAAGCCATCCGGTGAACTTTTGCTCGGTAGGTGCGGACATGTTGGAGTGTGCGTGTGAGTGTGGGTGGTTGTGGATACGAGAAGAAAGTGCGATTGTCGTGTGCGCTCACCCTCCTTCTTCTATGTCGCGCGACACACCATCCCCTCCACCCAAGCCCGCACGTTTTTTGGCCATTCCCGGCACGACCGGATGCCGAGACGTTTGTGGTGCGAGGCGCGAGGCGCGAGGTGCCAGGCGTTTTGGCCGGGTCAGCAAAGAAGGAGAATGCGGGCAAATGCTGACAGAACCGAGTGGCTTATGACCGGGCGTGTGTCAAACTCTCCGCGAAAGTGTGTGCGGCCGATCGTCGGGCGAGGGCCATGACCTTCGGACTGGGCCACGAGGCCGGCGGTTCCGAGAGGGCGGGCTTGGTGCGCCATGACGTCGCACCGAGGGGCTCACGCTGACACCGACGCCCACGCCCACGCCCACGCCGCGCTCATCTCCACCTCGCTCGCGCCGCCCTCGCCTACGGTCTCCTGATCAATCAACAAGCCGCTGCAGGCCAGGCCCTAAACGCAGGGCCCTCGTTCGACGTGAGACCAGGGGGGCCCTTTACGCGCTCACGCACCGTCTCACCCGCTTATCACACGGTGTGAGCGCCGTGAGGGGCCAAAGATGGAAGCAGCCTCGGTGCAGGCGCAGGCGCAGTGCGGGGTCTGACTGACGGGCCTGGATCGGGGGGGCCCAATCGATGAGATCAGGATCGATCATTCAACGGCGGCAGCCAAGGCGACATCTTCTCCTTCTCCCGATACGACGACATTAGATATTCGCAATTCATATTCGCACTCCATGAGCGGGGACAAGGATGGACGCGATGATGGCGGGGTAGCCTCCCAGCCTCCGCAGCCTGGACTACATCAATGTGAGTCGAGCGACGTGCGGCGTGCGGCTTGCTGAGAGACGCCTGCGCAGGAGGCGTTTGCACTGACACACCGCGCACACCCCTCGCAGTGGTCACCCTCCCCTTTGCTCTGCACATCGACCCACTCCCCTCTCTCCACTACCAAGCGGTACCCCGCAACAGCAGCGACGTCTCCCTCCCCTCGACGGCAGAGGAGGACCCGCTCGAGCTCGCGCAACCGCACAACTCTGCAATAGGCAACAACCTCCGCCTCCAACCGTTGATCATCCAACCACCCGCCCACGACCTGCAGACCATCTCCTACCTCCTCGAGCACTCCCGCGCGACAGAGGCAGTCCCACACTTCGCAGCGCTTCTGCGCCTCCTCGCTGCAGCGGACGATGACCCTCACTTCTCAGCACTTATCGACTTCTTCGACGCCCGGTATGACCTGCAGACGGGTCGTCTCGTAGGCGACACCTCCACCGCCCCTCTTCCCACACGTCGTCCAGGTCGACTAGCCCGTATGGTCTCACGCAAACGTCGCACCTCATCCAACAACAATGGCAACTCAGCATCGCGCCCCTCCTTCTCGCTGGGACAGAGCGGACACATCCTCTCGCCTACAGCAGAGGGGGACGAGCTGGCCGTATCACTCGACGACGACACGATGAGTCTGGCAGAGGAGATTATGCGTGCTCGCTCGCATAGCGGAGGAGGCGCAGCGGCCGGGAGGACGGCACCACAGCTAGTCGTAGGGGCGGCTGCGAATCGCAGCGTCATCTTCCCTGTGAGGTTGGACCTGCACAATGCGGGGAAAGGCTTGTGTCCACCGCCGCCTGCGCCCATCTTGTCGCGGGGTCGAGGAGCGAGTGAGAGCAGCGGGGTGCGCGCCAGCGAGGGGAGCGGGCTGCGTCGCATCCTCTCGCCAGGCTCAGACCACTCATCGCACGATGATTCGCACGATTTGACAAGGCAGACCAGCAGCGGCACCGCCGAGTCGAAGCATCGCCGCAGCTCCACGCTGCAACGCATCCTCAGCAGCCGTCGCAAGTCCCGCCGCCGCGATCCCAGCAATGGCAGCGCAGTCAGCGTCGAGAGCGATGCACCTCCTGTCCCTCCCATCCCATCGAGCCCAATCGAGGACAGCATGGCGGCTCTCAGCTTCGACTCGGCGGGCAATCCACTCAGCCCACTAGGCCAAGGCGATTCATTCGACCCCGTCTTCCTCTCCTCGGACGAAGGGCACGGTGGAGCTTTTCTCCCCGCAACGAAGGACGGCCTCAACAACGAATGGGCGGGGAGCGCGAGTGGGTCACCCGATTTCCTCACCCTCCTCCGCCAAGCATCAGAAACGGCTCTCAGCCTTCCGTCCTCCGCTGCCTCACCCTCCTCACCGAGCGCGAAAGCCAAGGGCAAACAGTCCGCAGAACCCGGCCTCGAAGCTTCGCATCGCCCGCCTTCCACCAAGTCCAGCCAACACGACGATGATGCCGAGTTCGAGGACAACATCTTCTCCAAGTGCGCGCGAGGGGAGACGACCGAAGAGGAAGAGCTCTGGTGGCCTGCAGGTGCCACAGACCCGCTCCCACTCGCCATCTTATCTGCTTTGGCACCGGCATTTGGGTGGGGAGGGGTGTTCGAGCTTTGCTACGGGCCAGGGTCGCCAGGCCACGCCTCCAAGCAGCTCAGAGCCTTGGGGCTGGCAGCTGCGCAGGCTAATGGCCGCGAGACGCAAAGTGAAGACACGTCTACCCACGCGCGCACGTTCGCCGACTGGCAGCGTCTCCTCTCCAGCATGAGTCGCTGGGTCGAGCTCTACGAGATGACGCGTATACGCGGCGGTCTCTCGCGCGAGATCGGTCTAGACCTTCCCGCCGAGACGACCACGCCATCCCCCTCCCCATCATCGGCGCCCGCGCAATACACCCTCACCTCCTCCATCCCCTCCTCCGTAGTCCACGACGCCACAACCCGCTCCCACGCATATCGCCGTCGCATGGGCATACCGGACGGCCTCCCCTGCCAGCCGGACGGCTTTGAGCCAGGCGACTATCGTTGGTCGCGTCAGAAGTTAGGCTCAGCGAGCGTAGCAACGGCCACGACGCTCTCTGCCGCCTCTCTCGCGCATTACTTCTCGGCGATGGCACGTGAGCCCTGGGTGTACGAAGCCGCATGGGAGCTCGACTATCTCGAGGCACTTGTGCTCAAGAATCCAGTCATCGCTGAGCGATTCCCACCGCCAGGGGCCAGAGCGGTCACCGCTTTGCCGGCGCCGGAACCGCCTAGCCCGGGGGACGATCGGCAGCACCTTCTCCCGCGGGCTTGTCCCAACCCCACGTCCTCCGGATGTATGGAGGTGCAAGCTTGGCGCGAGTGGCTACAAGGGTTGGAGGCGGGGAATGTCGTTACGCCAGTGGTCTCGGTGCAGGCTTGGTGGACATGCATTGCGCTTTTGAACGAAGCAGTGCCACAGGGCCTGGAGGTGCAGATCTTGGGTGGGGGAGAGGATTGGCGAGAGGTGCGCGTGGGAGAGGGGGAAAGGGGCGTTTATATCTAGGCGTGCGACGTGCGTGCGACGTGCGTGCGCCATGTGTACTACGTTGTCGCGGAGTCGCAGATGCAATATGAGATACCCTGACGTTGTACGTACCGCGATGCGTTGCGACCCGCTCGGGATGAAGAGACGGCCCGGCGCGGCCTCCACCCCCGCGGGCACTTGCAAGACGCCGGCGGTTGAGCCAGTCCAACTTTCTTTCTTTTGCTCCTTTTCCCACGCACGGCGCGCACGTCCACCTCGTTCTACACCACAAAGTACGCCTCATCTCATCTCACGCATCGCCACCATGGTCTTCGGCTTTGGCTGGCAAAAGCACTACACCCTCACGCAGATCCCAGACTTGAGTGGAAAGGTCGCCGTGGTCACCGGCGCGAATAGCGGGCTGGGATTGGAGGTCAGCAAGCAGTTGGCTTTGAGTGGTGCCAAGGTGTGAGTGAGCGCGACGTGGCTGCCAGACCAAGCTCTCGCTGAACTCACGCCTCGCGCCTCGCGCCGCAGCTTCCTCGGCGTCCGCAACCATGCCAAGGGCGCCAACGCCAAGCAGCAGATCGATGCCGCACTCGCGGATCCGTCATTGCGCCGTCATCAAGGCGGAAGCGCTGAGCTCCTCGCCGAGGACGTGAGCTTGGAGCTCTCTGACGTGGCCAAAGTCAAGGTGTGGGCTGAGCGAGTCAAGGTGAGACGGCGGTGTGCACACTAAACAGTCTTCTCTTCACTCGACGCTGACATCCGCGCGTCCAGTCTTCCACCTCCCGCCTGGACATCCTCGTCTGTGGCGCGGCCATAGTCCCCTCCTCCTTCTCCCTCGCCCCCACGACCCCAAACCACGAGCTCACCTACTCGACGAACCACCTCGGCCACTTCTTCCTCGTCTCTCAGCTCCTCCCCCTCCTACGCAACACGGCAGCCACACCAGGCGCAGATGTGCGCATCGTCATCGTGGCGGCAGATGTGACCGCTCACGTGGACACGCTCGGTCTCGTAGGCGACCGCAATTGGCTGCTCGACCAGCCTACCATTGACTCGGGTCGCGGCTGGTCACGCCTGAATGCCTACGCTCGCACCAAGATGTGCAATGTCCTGTTTGCTCGTCGCCTAGCCGCCCTCACTCGAGAGGTAGAGGGGTTGCGCACTAACACTCTACACGCGGGCGTCTTCTTCTCCGACATCTTCTTTGCAGACGGACATCAGCGCGACCATGGCGCTGAAGTGGGCATGTGGGAGCGATGGACCAAGGGAGCGGCCAAGGCCGTGGGTGGGGCGATTGCGGTGAGTAGCGTGCGCGGCGAGGGGCAAGGGGCGAGGTATTTCGGTGGCGACAAGAGGCGCTAACATGAGATCGAAACGCCCTAACGCACGTCCTAACGCACGCGCGCACGCACGCGCGCGCACAGATGAGCCCAGAAGAATCCGGCCTTACAACGCTATTCGCTGCAACATCGAGCGAGATCCAGGAGAAGGATTATCGTGGCGAATTGTGAGTGCACCGCCCCCGAGCGGGATCGCTAGCATCGAAGCTGATCGCTTCGGCCCTCGCGTGATCGCGCCGCCACGCCAGCTTTACGCCGTACGGCATTCTCTCCACCTCGAAGCTCTGCAAGCTCTGTCTCGATGATAGCGTTGCAGAGGAGCTGTGGACAAAGTCTATCCAACAACTCAAGGCCGCCGGTGAACACGAAGTCTTCGCTGATCTCGCTGCGTCGTCGACAGATAAGCCTGCGCCCTCCACCACTCCCTCCCCACCAACTTGATATCGTCGGCGCTCTTTCGCTCGCAATGAATAAGCAACGGGTGAGGCGTTTGCACATTGCGTGTCTTCCAAGTCGTTGGGAAGCTTCTTTGCAGCACAACAGTCCGGCTAGAAACACCCAGATCACACGATAGCGTGAACAGCCCATCAGTACCTAATCGACGCACCCTGGCGTAGCAGCGACGCGCGAGGGTATTACCGTATCACGCCCCGGCGCCGCCCGCGCACGTCCACTTGGCCTCCCGCTCTGCTCGCCCGCCGCGGCCTTTTGTTTGCTTCTCGCATAGCCGTGATGCATATTGCGCCCTACCTGCGTCTCCAACCTCCGGCCCCACATCCTCGCTCCTTCACACCTCTCCTCTCGCTGCGCCACATCCGGCTTAGCCGGTCGGCTGACCGCCGGATGAGCTCTTCTTCCGGCCGCGCGCACGCACGCACGCACGCAAGTACGCGAAGAAGAAGCACACAAGCACGCGCAAAGATATCGGCCTCGTCGCCGTCGATCGCTGCCACTTGCCCCATCGAGTAGCGCGATGTGTTCGCACGCTAACGTAGCGAGGTGAGCGTGGCCGTGCCGTGGCCGCCTGCTCTTCGACCCCCGTTGCCCCGCTCACCGCGACGAGTAGGCAACGATAAGGCGTTGCAAGCGCGTATAAAAGTGCGAGAGACGATGTGACGTGGTCCAGTGCCCCCTCATCATCACCTCTCCCTTCTACCCCTACCCTCCTCGCGCCACGATGCGAGTCCACCTCGCCCTCCTCACGTTCCTTTCAGCCACGGCCCTCGCCCTCCCCTCTTCCCGCCTCACCACCCGCGATGAGGATCACGTCGTTCACGAGCGACGCAACGCCCTCCCGCAGGGCTGGGTGAAGCGCGACCGCCTCTCGCCTCACTTCGAGATTCCCGTGTCAATCGCCCTCAAGCAGCAGAACCTAGACAGGATTCAAGAGTACCTCGAAGAGGTGTCGCACCCCGACAGCAAGGCCTTTGGACAGGTGAGCGGGCGTGAAGACCCCGATTCTCCACGCTCTGACTCGTCTGCTGACTGTCTTGCGTTGACTCGCCTCACGCGCAGCACTGGGACGCCGCTCGAGTCGCCTCTACGTTCGCCCCCTCGCAAGAGACCGTCTCAAGCGTCTCGGATTGGATGACCTTGCATGGCATTGGATCGACGCGCATCTCACCCTCCGTATCTCGCGGTTGGCTCAACGTACGCCTCTCTGCAGCAGAGGCTGAGCGACTGTTGCGCACGACGTTCCACGAGTACGAGCACGCCGACTCGGGCATTGTCACCGTAGGCACCGATGAGTACCACGTGCCGGCAAGGCTTGTAGAGCACATCGTGCGTAAGCCCGAAAGATTCACAATGCCTTGCGCGCCCTGACAACTTGCTCCCTCTCGCACACCTCGCCAGGATTTCATCACCCCCACGCTCCACTTCGACGCCAAGGTCAAGCGCGACAACAGCGGCAACCTCGACTCCTCCCTCCAACGCCGTGGCGCCCACCCTCACCCCTCGCCCAACCACCCTGCCCCCAACCACGCTCCCCGCGTTGTCGGCATCGGCAAGTCACTCGGTTACCCCGGCCAGTCCACCTCCGAGCCCAAATTTGTCCCCCTCGCCCCACTCCCCGACGGCCACCCGCACCCCATCGTCAATGACTTGAAGAACTGCTCAAACTCCATCGTTCCCATCTGCTTGCGCGCCCTCTATGGCCTGCCGAAGCTTGAGGGAGAAGCCAAGATTCAGGATGGGCTGGGCATTGTCGAGTACACCCCGCAGGCTTACCGCCAAGAAGACCTGAGCTACTTCTTCAGCCAGTATGCAAAGGGCTTGAAGTACACAAAGCCCAAGGTCGTCTCAATTGACGGCGGCTACGCGCAGACGGTGAATCGTGAGTGTGCGCTCGCGTCGGGCGTCATTGTACGGAATCATGGCGATTGACCTCATCGCTGTGCCCCGCACAGAATCATTCGAGTACAATGGCGAGTCAAACCTCGACCTCGAATACGCTATGGCCCTCGCCGAGACCCAGGTGAGCGGGCGACCTGGCTCCTCTCAACCTCGCTCTCCCCGCTAACCCTGCCTCTTATGGCGCCCGCAGACGACCCTCTACCAAGTCGGCGACCCCATTGAATCCGCCTCCTTCTCCGACTTCCTCGACGCCCTCGACGGCTCCTTCTGTGCCAACGACGACCCTAGCCAGGACGCCGTTTACCCTGACAACTCGACGGACCCCCTCGCCTACAAGGGCCCCAAGCAGTGCGGTGGCATCGCAGCCACTAAGGTCATCTCGACCTCGTACGGCTACAACGAGGCGGACCTGACCCCTCTCTACGAGCAACGCCAATGCAACGAGTACGCCAAGATCGCCCTGCAAGGCGTCAGTTTCTTCTTCTCCTCCGGCGACTACGGTGTCAGTGGGAATAATGGGCAGTGCATTTCTTTCACCAATTCATCGGAGTATATCGACCAGTCGCAGGGGGGTCGTTTCAACCCCAGCTTCCCCTCTACGTGCCCCTACATCACGTCCGTAGGAGCCACGCAGATCAAGCCGGGAAAGACGGTCAATGATCCAGAGGAGGCTTGCGAGACAACCATCTACTCGGGTGGAGGCTTCTCCAACGTCTTCTCCATCCCAGACTACCAGAAGAGTGCCGTCGGCACGTACCTCTCTCAACATCGCCCTTCCTACCAGTCGCCCAGAGTCTACAACGGTACGGGAACGTCGCGCGCCTTCCCGGACATCTCAGCCAACGGAGCAAAGTATCTCGTACGCGTTGATGGACAGTACGCTCACGTCTTCGGCACCTCAGCTTCAGCGCCAGTGGTCGCGGCCATCTTCTCTCGGATTAACGAGGAGCGTGCCCGCATCGGTAAGGGGCCCGTGGGCTTCGTCAATCCGACGCTCTACGCCCACCCAGAGGTGCTCAAGGACATCACTGAGGGTGGGAATCAGGGATGCAACACGCCTGGATTTACGGCTGTTCGAGGGTGGGACCCCGTGACGGGACTGGGCACACCAGACTACAAGAAACTGCTCAAGCTTTACACTTCGTTGCCATAGGCGCGTGTGCCTCTGAGTTGGGACGCTTTGATACCTCTTTCCTTCTCATGTAGACTCCCCCTTTCATGGACAAGCATTGCACATGCCTCTCAATGGATCGCAGATTGTTCGCATTTTTGACGACGAGTGTAGTAGGTAGTATAAAGATCGTCCCCCCGATCTCGCCCGCTATGCGCTCGCCTCCTTCTCTCCCTCCTCTCCACCGTCGACAATGGCAGCCTTGCCCAATCGCTTCTCCACCTCCTCGATCCTCTCTTTCGTCTTCCTGTCCTGGTTTTCAACAAAGTAGCGACGCTTGAGCTTGAGATTCTCGACGACGCGAGGCACGTCGGCCGAGCTGGTGGGCGGGGGGATCGAGAGAGAGAGCAAAGCGCTGAGGTGGCCGACGGGAACCTTGAGGTCGCTGCGCGCTGCAGCCGCAGGAGTCTCATCCTCATCCGCAGGAGCCTCACCAAGAGCAAGCGGCTTGCCCTTCTTACTGCCCTGCTTCTTCCCCTTCTTCCCTCCCGCGGAAGAACCAGCAAAGTACGAGTCCTCGGCACTCTCGCTGCCCTTCTTCTTGATCGCTTGGCCGTACGACGTGTCGGCCTCAACCTTACGTACGTCAAGCTGCTTGGCTCCAGGTACCGACGACGGCGTGGCCTTGCTTGCTGCGGCGCTCTGCGTTGCGTTACCGCCAAAGTAGGCGATCAAGACGTCGCAGTCTTCGATCTCCTGGGCAAAGGCGGGCATGGCGGCTTCCTCGCGCATGAGGGCTTCCTGCTCCTTGCGCTTCGAGTCCTCGTGTGCCTGCACGTGCGAGTGTGTGGATGCGAAGTATCAGCTTTATGTTCGTGGGCTCGCCCAGTCAGCAGACGCTCTCGCGCACCTTCCTCTCGGCCCTCTGAGCCTCGGCCCTCTTCTCCCTCTCCGCCTGGCTCTTGGCGTACCAGTCATCCTGTGCCTGCCTGTATGCGCCGTTGCGCTCCCTCCTCTCTCCGTAGAGATCGTCGAGCTGGGCTGAGAGCTTTGTGCGTTGGTCGATGAGCTTCTGGCGCGAACCGGCAGACTTCTCAAACTCGGACTGGATGGTGTCGAGCTGTGCGCGATGGGAGTGAGAACGATGAGTGAGCTCGGGGACTGAATGTTCGATATTGAGCGGCACGGGCTCACCTCCTTCTTGATGGCGTCGTACCGCTCGCTGAGCTGCCTGCCCTCCGGATTGTCGAGCGTCTTGCGCAGCTCATCGGCACGCTTGCGGTCCTCATCAATTGCCTGACGAGAAGTGTGAGCCGCTCTGCTCTGTCAGCAATCAATCGATCTCGCTCCGCCCACCCTTGACTGCGCAGACGCACCTTCTGCTGAGCCTCGAAGCCCTCAATGCCACGCCTCGACTTGCGCAGGTTGGTCATCTCGGCCAAGGCACGCTTCTCGTCTACGATCTTCATGCTGCCGGACTCGACTTGCGCTTGGAGGCGGGCGATTGCAGAGTCGACGTCGGCAACGGTCTTGTAGGGACTGCGGGTGCGTTGAGGGGGAATAGCGTTGGTCAGCAGCTGGTGGACAGGATGCATGCCGGTCATGCCGCACGCCGCACTTACGACTTGCTGCGAGAGGCTTGGAGGTCCTTGACCTGTCGGGGAGAGACGGCAGAGGAGTCAGCATACACGAGCGGGCAGGAAACAACGCTTCGTGCTAGTGCTCGCGCTCGCAATCGCCTCCGCACCTTCTTGTTCGTCTGCTCCTGCAATGCCTTCAACTCATCGAGGACCTTTCCCCTCGCACCCTTGTTGCCGGCCTGCTGTCCCCTCAGCTCATCCAGCTCAGCACGCAGCTTCTGCCTTCGCTGACCCTGCGGTGTATTGGCCGACGGTCCAGCGCCGGACAAGAGAGACTTGACATTGTTGACTTCGCCCTGGACCTTTTCAATCTCCTTCTTGAGGCGGTCCATCTCGCCATCGTGGTGAGCCTTGTCTGGCTTGCCGTGTGAACCGGCCATCTTGGCGATGGTGACGTTGTAGGACTTGGCAGGGGCGGGCGTGGCTGCAGAGGCGGCGGCGGCACCATTGCTGCCGTTTGTGCTGGCCTTGGGCGTGGCTGCGTTCGCTACTTCTGACATGGTGAATGTATGCGGGGTGGTGAGGATGAGAAGTGTTGGTTGAGAAGGAGCGAGCGGGCAGCACCTCACCTCGCAGCCAAGGCCGCCTGGGCGGCCACTCGGCGGGCCTGAGCGCTTCACTTGGCCTCGGCCTCGGCGGGGCGGCATTGGAGCAGCCCTCGGAGCCGTGCGGCCAGCCACGACGACGACGACAGGCTGACGTCTACGCATGGGCCACATTCAAGGGCGAGTCGACCGCGAATTGAGCGTCCAATCAATCACTTGGATTCACCACCACTCTCGTCATGGCCATGCTCTACTCGTCCAACGGCATGATGCATGCTCCGCAGAGATCGCAGGCTTCCGCCTCTCAATCGGTTGCCACTCCCACTGGACACCAATTCTCTCCCTACGACAGCAATGGTGAGTCTGCGAGCCGCGCTGAACCAAGCTGATGGCATGGCTCGCGGATGGGATGGTCCGCTGACAATGCTGTTCTATCGCTGCCCCCCCAACTCCAGGCGGATCTATCCTCGCCATCGCCGGCCCAGACTTCTGCGTTGTAGCAGGTGACACCCGACAGTCAACAGGTTATAACATCCAAACCCGCTACAAGCCCAAAGTCTTCCGCCTCAACGACAAGGCTACCCTCGCCACCAACGGCTTCTCCGCCGATGCCGAGGCTCTCGTAGACCGCATCAAGCAGCGCCTGGTCATGTACCGTCACAACCACGGCACACACATGTCGCTCAGCGCCATTGCGAGGATGGTATCGACGATGCTGTATGGGAAGCGTTTCTTCCCCTACTACGTGTACAATATTTTGGGGGGAGTGGATGAGGATGGCAAAGGGGCCGTATATTCGTTCGATCCTGTAGGAAGCTACGAGAGGGAGCATTGCAGGGCAGCCGGTGCTGCACAGTCGCTCCTCCAACCCTTCCTTGACAACCAGGTGCGTGGCGGGCGCGTAACGAATCGCGAGAGGATGTGGCTATATGCTGACCCAAGATCACTCCCGACCTCTGCGCCGCGCCCCGCCAGATCAACTTCAAGAACCAACACCCCACACCGAACCGCCCCATCCCCGAGCCAGGCAGCTATGACCTCGCAACCGTGTTGCGCATCACGATGGACTCCTTCTCAGGAGCGACGGAGCGACACATCGAGGTGGGAGACGGCCTCGAGATGTTCATTGTGCGCAATGCGCCTGCAGAGGGAGAAGCGGCATCGAGTAGCGAAGGGGCAAAGACGGCCAACTTGGATCTGGCGTCACTGTTCGGCGCTGTGGAGGCGCAGGGTGGGGAGGATGAGCAGACGCAGGGGGTTACAATGGTGGTCAGGAAGGAGCTGAAGAAGGACTGAGGGGGCTTCAGCCCGATAATATCACATTTCTAGCCAGAATGGTGTTTGCTGCATGAAGTATCTGTCTGATAGAGCTCTGCGCTGAGCATCTTCATCAATGTCCTCATCGTAGATTGCGACTCCCTCTCCGCGTGGCTCTTGCCGCTCCCGCCCTGCCGCTCTCCGCCCTCTTGCTCCACGCAACCTCAACTCCTTTGTCTCCCTCCCAACCAAACCATCCTCCCCTCATCGCGCACAATGCGTGCTATCCGCTCCACTCTCTTGACCTGCGATGCTGCTCTGAAACAATTGCTCCTCTCCCTCGAAGAGTCACGCCCCAACAACGCCCGCTTCGTAATAGAAGACCTCGACGAGACGCACCTCCTCGTCGACTCAAGCATGGTCGACGAGATTCGCTCCTTGCTGCAGGAAGAGCTAGACAAGAACAGTTGGAGCTTGCAGGAGGGTGCCTAAAGCGCGACGCCTCGCTCGAAGACGGTCCGAAAGGAAGGTTGAATGGGAGATGGGGAGGTGGGGAATGTGAGATGCGCGGGGGGGGGGGGGGGGGGGGGGGGGGGGGGGGGGGGGGGGGGGGGGGGGGCGAGCTCCTCGTGCTTGCGGCCCGCGATCGCGGTAGCGGCCGATGAACGTTAACGGCGGCACGGCAAGGAGAGACGAGCGGGCCGACGCGACGGAGCGTTGCGTTTATGCTCCTGAGGCGCGTTGGTCGTCGAGGGGCCATGCAATCGCTCATAAAACGATCGATCGAGCTTGAGAATGTCTTTGCGACAACACCAACATCATCGACCATCATGCTCGCCAACATACAACAGAGAATCGCTACCCTTCTCCTCCTCATGGTCGCAACAACCTCAGCCGTGGCGGCTGATCAGGTCATCGTAGGCTCGTGCTATGGCGCGTGAGTATGCTGCGCCCGCCCATTCTCCTCGGAACGACTGTGTCTCTGACCTCTGTTACCATTTCCACACCTCAGACGCGCATGCTCACAACCACCGAGCGGTCCTTACGGCTTCCCAGTGCGCTCCTCCCCTAACCAACCTGGCCCTCTCACCCTCGCCGCTGGCTGCCAGAGCTTCCATCCCGCCAACACGCCTGGCCTATTCACCATCGAAGTTTGCGATGAGGAGGGTTGCGACGGCAATTGCAAGACGCTGAAGGCTGATGAGGCGAGCGATGCTTGCTATACGCCACCAGCGAGGGATGGGAGTGTTGCGAGCCTGTGTCTGACGTGGGAGAGGAAGGGCGGAAAGCAGAAGATCATCATGATGAGGGAGCTGGATTGAGAGAGAGCCAAAGGCCCAAGACATCGCTACTGCGGCGACGTGGATTGCCACCACTATCTCGAGATACGGCAACGGTCACGCCACCGTCTCCTCTTCAATGCTCCGAGGTCCCGACCGCAAGCAAGTGCGTGCGATACGACTCATCTGCCAATGAGCGGGTCATCGCCATCTTCTCCACCCGGCTTTACGACCCTGATGACGCGCTACTACCTTGGCCTACTCGCCATCACCTGGCTGTTCTTCTGCTCCTCACCCACCACCGCGGGCCAACTTGGGCTCTGCTATCAGACCAAGTGAGTTCCGACCGCTTGCAAAAAGAGTAGGCCAGGCGCGCCAAAGGGCACGACAGCTCATCGCCCAATTTTCTGTGTGCTTGCGCACAGGGACTGCAAGCCCGCCCCTGAAGCTCCTGGCCTGACCATCAAGGGCACAGAACTAGGCCCGGCCAGCAACGTGAGCCTCGTGGACACCAAATACTGCATGTCATTCCTCCCTCAGTCGGCCCCTCGCGTAGGGACGAGCGCTTGTCTGGTGAGAAACCAAGCAAGCGTCGAAGCAGTGGTACCAGCTATAATCGCGGCTTACCTTGGGCTCTTGTCGCACGCGCGCAGACCAAGATCTGTGGTGAATGCTTCGAGCCCTTCGATCAGGAATGCATGCCTGCGCCTACGGAGCGATGGTTGTGTGTTCAGCAGCATGCGAAGTAGAGCCTACCTTTGAGGGAAGATTACAGCGGACAGTGTCGCGCCAATGTACGACTCCAGATCATCAATGCCACTTTTCGTACGAGTCGCCATACCCCACGCCCTCGTGACGGCCCAATGGCTCCGCCGATGTGAAAGTCGGGTAATGCTCCGTGCTGTCCGCCCTCGCGCCTTCATTATAAGCGTCGGCTTTCCAGCGTCATTCGATAGCCCCGGCGACTGCGCTTGTGGCAAAGGGGAAACGGCTTAGCGGATCGGCCCGCCATGACCGCAAATGGAGATACGCGCAAAGTGAAGGGCATCAGAAGCTCCGGTGCAAATTCTCTTCGTTTCCTCTCCATCATGCTCTAGTCGAAAGCATCATCATGACGAAGCTCACTATCATTCTCGTCACCGTCTTGGCCCTCGTCGCTCCTCGCTCAGTCGTGGCTACTAGCTCGGCCGCTGAAGTCAAGTTGGGCTGGTGTTTCAGCAATGCGTAAGTTGAGCTGCAACCACGCTGCCAGTCTATAGCCATGCCAAGGACGGTACTCACAAGAAGGACATCTCTCACATCATTGTCGTTGCACAGCGACTGCACCGGCGAGCATCTCCAAGTGAATGCTCAGCCAGGCAAAGCGGTGACGCCCCTCACTACCACGGAATTCCCTTATTGCAAGTCTTATCTACACGCCCCTGATCCTCCCGTCACGGCGTACGCATGCCAAGTGAGCTGGCCTACGTTTGAAATACTTCTTTTTCCTCGTGATCGTTCTACTGACTGTCTCCTCGCCGCTACTTTAGAATGGCTGCAACGGTCCTTGCAACATCGGTCAGGCAGGGCAGTGCACCTACCTCAGTCCTGGCAGCGCTGCCAATGCGCGTTTCGAGTGCATTACCCGTGCCTGATGAGGGCAAGCAGGCAAGAGCTACAAGAGCCGGGCACATCCTCGTCTGTACACTATCCGATGTCTCTCCTCGAAATGTGAATACTTCTCGAGAGTGTCGCCGTCACCTGGAGAGTTCGTCGCGCTGGAGCTGACAGCTTGGCGCCGGCAAGATGGTCCAAAGCTCGATGCCTCGATCCCGGACAGTACCGTGTACCGTCATCGGAGTGCACGCCGTCTCCTCTGCGGCCCGAGCACTGCCCCGGTCTGATATGAAGCCGTCGGGCAGCGTCAGCTTCACCACAGGTAGAGAGTATAAGAGCGGGCGTGGAGCATCGCTGTCAGTCCCAACCTCACCTCACGCACGACCAGCCCAACATGACCAAGCTCGCCTCCCTCCTCTCCGCCATCTTCATCCTGGCAGCTGCCTCCTCAGCCACTCAAGTCAAGCTCGGTTGGTGCTACAGCAACAAGTGAGCGCCCTCCCTTGCCTGTCAAACTCCTTGCTGACCTGAATCACTCCTCTCGCCTCGTCTAAACGCTCGCTCAGGGACTGCACGGGCGACCCTCTTCAAGTGAACGGGGACAGCGGCAACAAAAGAAACAATATCAACACGTCTCAGTATCCTCACTGCTCCAGCTTCCTCGCCGCACTTGAGCCCCCGTCTACGGTATTCGCTTGCCAGGTGAGCAGGCGCTGAGTCGCAAAGCTTGTCCTGTACGCGGAGATGCTGACTTGTAGAGCTCGATCCCGCAGGGAAGCTGCAGTGATGCGTGCTCCTTGGCTCGTATCGGTCAGTGCACGAAGCTTGACCCACTCAGCACGAGGCCTAGATTCGACTGTATTCTGCGTGGTGGGCTGCCCTAGACGCAGTGTGCCGAAGTCGTGTCCGACCTACCTCTCACGCTGCAATGTAGCTTCAGAGCGCCATCGAGCCGGTAATGTCATTTTTGCCCTATCCCCTCTTTGTTGACCAGGGCGAAGGGCAGGGGGAACTTGTGATGAGAAGCAACCACTGAAATGCGAATATCTGTCGTCAGCGCCCCCATCCCTCCTCTCGCACCTAACCTCATCTGTAAACATGGCTCGTCTCACCCCAGCTCATTTCGTGACCACGCTGACGGCCATCCTTGTAAGTCTGGTAATCCATGTCTCCTCATCTCCTCATCGCGTCCGTTTAGGCTGGTGTTATCGCTACAAGTTAGTTCGCTCTCTCTTTGCCCGGGCTCTCCATTCGAGCTGACCTGGATGTCCTTCGACTCATTTGCAGCGACTGCACAGGCGATCCTCTCCTGATCCATGGCTACGTCCACAATCAAGCGATCGGACGCATCCCCTATTGCAAGTCATTCAAAGCTTACCCTCGACAGTACTTTGACGTGCAGGCTTGTACGGTAAGTCCGCTTGATTCATCGGGTCGGCCACCTTCACTGCTAACCCTTGGGCGCTCTGCCACAGTCGAGCGAATGTGACTTAGGCTGCCTCAACGCATTGGACGGACAGTGTACCCCGTCTCCGCCTGGGACGGCGGTCTATGCCAGGTACGAATGTTTGATAGTGAAGGCGAAAGAGGTCGAGGTGTGAGCGGAGCGCTTCAATGGCACCAAGAAGAGGGCTGTTGTTGAAGTCTGTGGAGCTGAGAAGTTATTGCATATTGTCATAAAGCTTGTCACGCCATGTCTAGTCGTCGTCGTCATCATCGGCCCTGTTCATGAACTCCATCATAGTCGGCCGTCGCACCCTAATCACCACATCCTCATCATCGGTGTCCACATCACTATCCTGTCCTACAAACGCGGGGTACTTCCTTGTGAACGTTGCCCTTGACATCGGTCTCTCATCCTCGTCATCCTCGTCCTCGCTAGACAAGACGGCCGCAGTGCGTTTCCTTGCCGCTGGTTGCGGGCTTGGCGTGACTTTGAACGGCGAGAGCGAGAGCGATGAGCGCGTGCTTGATTGGCGGGAGGGCTGCGGCAGGTCGTGATCATCGTCCGCGTCACTGTCCTCCACATCAGAACCAAGGAAGAGAGCGTTGCTTTTGTTCTTGGGCCTGCGTTCCCCCTCCTCCCTCGGCGGTGAAGTAGGCGGAGTGCTGACCCTGCCCGCAGCGACGGGACTACGGCTTGGCCTCGCGCTACTGACAGGCGAGCTTGCGCCAGCACCACTATTCTGAGCGCGCCACATCCTCTCAATCTGCTCTTCCTCGTCTGAGTCGATCATGTCACCCTCTCCGAGGAAGCCTTGATTGGCACCGGCGGGAGCTCTGCGCCTGAAGCCCTTGCGCTTGCGTGAATCGCCTGCCAGGTCCTTGCGTCGTCGATGACCACGACGGCGTGTGCCTCCCAGCTCTTCGTCGTCGTCCGATGAGGATGCAGCAGTGCTCTCGTCGCTGTCACTGCCGCTGACCTCGCCCTGCTCGGCGCGTACAGCCACGGTCGCCTGCGGCTTCTTCGCAACCCTCTTCCTCGCCGGCTGAACCAAGTCCTCGTAGCGTTCCGCTCCGTATGGAAGCTCGAAGGGCGCTTCCAGGAAGCGGTCCATCAGCTTGACGTCCGCCTCCAGGTCTCCCGGCAGTACATCAGCAGGAATGCGCCACTGCCAGCAGGTATCGTCGTCTTCATCGCTCTCCAGGCCAAGGAGGCGGCACAAGAGCTTGAGGGCCGGCAGAGTCGTGGCATCGTGTTGTAGAGGGGCATCGCCCCAGTAAGGAAGGGAGTGAGGCGCCACGAGAGAGAGGGCTTCGGCGGAAGGTGGTTCGACGGCAAGACTGCGGGCCACAGCTTGCTCGAGCGCCTCTTCGTTGCCATCTGGCAAGCCTTGGCGGAGAGCTTCGCGCCACATCGGCCCATCCGTGCTCTTGATGACGTCGAGTCGGTCCTGACTGGCAATCTCGAGCGCCGATTTGACCCACGAAACGCGCGCAAGGTGCCCCTGCTCTGCCAACAGCCCCACGGCGATGCCCACACAGCTGTCCCTCGGGAAGCCAGGCTTGACTTCCACCTCGCGAGGCAACTTGACGGCCTTCGGAGGCTTGGGCGGCTTCTTGCCTTGCTGCCAAAGCTCCTTCTCTTCCTTGTCGAGCTTTTCAAACTTCTTGAGACAGTACTGCACCAGCTTCTTGGCATCACCCGCCGCTCGCGGTGCTACGGGCTGCATAGCGGCGTAGAGCTCGCCTTTGTCCTCAATGCCAGCAAGCGCCACTCGGATGTGCGCAGGGAAGAATGCGCGCACGTCGCCGGCCTTGATGGCTATTCGGTGCAAGATGGCGACGACGTTACTGAGCTGCTCTGCGGGCCGGGTGAAGTCGCGCCATTTGCAGAGGTAGCCTACACAGGCTTCAACGAGGGGACGCGTGGCAAGGGAGGATTGGAAGCGGGTGAAGGAGACGCGACGCTCGATGTAGAGGTCCTCGGCACGGCGCGGGGCAGCATCGTCGTCCTCGTTGTCTTGGCCATTGTCTTTGCGCTTCTGACGGGCCTTCTTCGCTCGGACAAAGAGGTGTTCCTGCGGAGCGAAAGGATGACAGGGGCATCGTGAGCGAGAGCTACTCTATCATGGGCCGTGGCTCGCACGCACCTTGTCCTGCGAGTACTTCTCCAACATCCTCGGCATGACCGTAAGGAAAGCCACAATCAGATCCAAGAACTCCATAGACTGCGTCGTGTAGCATCGCCCGATACTCAAGCAAACCTTGAGCGTCTCGGCATGGTAGAAATGGTTGGCCAACAAATGGTCAGCTCCCTCCTGCGCTGCTTCGTCGCCTTTGCGAGACATGTGTTCCACGAGGCGAAGAAGAGACATCCAGAGCTGTACGGCCGCCGAGAGCTCGAGCCAGTGCTTCGACTCCAGCGAGTCGAGTGAGCGGACGAGAACCATCTTGAAGGACCACTCTTGGAGCCAGGAGTCCAGGAGGGCGAATGACCAACGGGCGCGAGGTGGTTGGACGACTGGGGTAGAAGACTCGCCTGGTGCTGCGTTCTCTGTAGCGGGTGTGAGTGTAGCCGCTAGTTTCTCCTCCTCCTCACATCGCCTGACCCTGAACCAATCGAGGAAGAAAGCGCCAAGCAACATGACCTTCACTCTCGCCTCGTCCAAATCCCCCACCTTCTCCCTCTCGCTTGCAATGTCCTTGAGCACACTCCTCGTAAGCGTCTCGAAGCCACTGCTGAGCAAGAAACGATCCGCCCAGTCCTGTAGCGCCTCCCGTGCCGGCTTGGTCCACTCGGCATGAACGCGAGGAGCACCAGCTTCATTGACTTTGGTGCGTCGCCTGAACTTGCGCCGTGACCTCTGATCGTTGTCGCGACGCAGCTCGGAGACTGACTTGCGCAGAGCGTTTTGCGTGCGGGCGACGCGACGATCGCCGCTGGTGGTGTAGAAGGAGAGGGTGGTGCCGAACCGGGAGTGGCGGGAGGACGAGGGAGCTGCATTGCGGCGTTGTCGTGCTTCAGCGTCGAGGAAGGAGCGCAGCTGCGCGGATGAGGATGAAGAAGCGGTAGAAGAGGAAGCCGCACCGCTCTCGTTGCTCTTGCCTGATGCCGTTGAGGGTGAAGCAATCGCGGCGGCTCTCTCCCCACCGTAGACCGCAAAGATACAATCCGCAGTCACCACATTCCACTGATTGAACTCTGCCTTATCCGCCCCATTTGCCAGCATCAGCAATGTCTCCAGCACGTGCGTGCGCGCCATAGCGCAGACGAGATCGCTCTGCAGCGTAGACTCAGCGATCTGCTCATTACTGCTGAGTGTCGTAGCCAGAGGGTCCCTGATGGCCAGCAAGTTGCGAAAAAGATGTAGAGACATAGCAATCGTCCCGCTGTCCCTCTCCGTGCGCTGAGACCTGTGCTTGCTGAGTGAGGGCAGAAGGACGTATCGCATCACACAACCCAGAGTATCCCTGCTCGCCGAGTCGCCCCTTGACTCCCCCAAGCGGGTACGAAGCACCGCTGCCTTGTAAGCTACCATGCTCTGCTCCAGCGCGATCAAGTGGGCCAGTTGGCTCGCATCCTCCCCTCGCGCTTTCGCGGCACGCATTTCCGCTTGGGCGTCGATTGGCCAGGTGATCGAGGTGAGCAAGTCGACGCAGGCGAGGGAAATTTTGGAGGAGCGCTCGTCCCCGCCGGCTGTTTTCAGGAGGAGAGGGATGAGGTTCTGGAGGACGCCTACTTGCGAGAAGACATGCGCTATGATGCGATTTGGATCGTCGCCACCCTCACGCCAGAGACGGCGGAGGTCGCGCAGGCAGCCTGTCGTCGCGATGAAGTGGGGCAGAGGGAGTGAACAAGAAGTACGCGTTGAGTCGAGCGTCATGTCCACACTCACGCAAGCAATCATCGCCCAACACGTAGACCGTCTCGATCTTCCCTTCGACTTCAACATCCTCCAGTCCACCAAGAGCGCTCACTACCTCGACTACCGTCCCCTTGACCTCATTGATAGCCGCTTCTACCTCTTCAGGCGTGTTCGCGTGTGCCTCGTCCTCGTATGCATCATCGCGAACCCCTCGCTCTCCGTCTGATCGCGAGTCATCCGAGTCATGCTCCAAGTCGTATTCCTCTAGCAGCTCGAGATCATCTTCGCCGGCATACATGGCCGGTAGAGATGAAGGGACGATGATGATGGAAGGAACGGTGTGAATAAATGAAGGAAAGACAACTCGCAGCTCTCTCAACCCGCGTCCCACTTTCTGGCCCTCGACGCGACGCGGAGACACGGAAGCAGCGGCTCGCTCGAGCGAGAAGACAAGACGGTCGAGCGGGCGTTGGTGAGCTCAGCGCAGCGAGCCAACACTTTCGCTTTCACTACCTCACCACGGCTCCTCCTTCCCCAGCCTCTCGGGATGCTCTTCGTCGACCAATACCGACCTCGCTCCCTCAGCGACGTCCACTACCACACCGCACTCTCAGATCGCCTCATCGGCCTAGCCAGCAGCGACGATGTTCCCCATCTTCTCTTCTACGGCCCCTCTGGTGCCGGCAAAAAGACGCGCATTCACGCCCTGATCAAGGAGCTCTTTGGTCCTGCCGCCCACAAACTCAAGATCGACCAGCGCATCTTTTTGAATCCTAGCAAGAGGAAGATAGATGTAAACATCGTGTCATCGGCGTATCATCAGGAGTTGACGCCGAGTGATGCTGGCGGGTGGGATAGGCTGGTCATTCAGGATGTGTTGAAGGAGATTGCCATGACGCAGCAGGTCGATCAGAGTGCCAAGCATAGGTTCAAGGGTGCGTGTGACTGCGAGCTGCAATGGAGGGGCTGGCTTCCGATGCTGACTTGCCTCCTCCTCGCTGCAGTCGTCGTCATCAATGAAGCCGACTCCCTCTCACGCGACGCCCAATCAGCGCTGCGCAGGACGATGGAGAAGTACATGGGCAACCTGCGATTGATCCTCTGCGCTACATCCACCAGTAAGATCATCGCGCCCATTCGATCTCGTTGCCTGCTTATTCGAGTTGCAGCCCCGACAGAGGAGGAGGTACGTGTGCACGCGCCGGGCGAAGTTACAACCCTACGCCTCCAGTAGCTAATCCATCGTCCTGCTCATCCCTGCCCTCAGACATGCACCGTCCTCCAACACGTAGCCAAGCGCGAGAAGTTCCATCTCCCCGACGCCCTCGCAACGCAAATCTACACCGACTCGCAAGGAAACCTGCGCAAAGCCCTGCTAGTCCTAGAAGCTCTCCGTATGCAATCACCGGACCTATCCGCCTCCTCCTCAGTGGCCATCGCAAAGCCGGATTGGGAGCTCTACACGCACAAGCTGTGCGACCTAGTACTCGCTGAACAGTCCCCTGCAAAATTGCTGGAATGTCGTACGCATTTGTACGAGTTGCTGGTGCACGCCATTCCGCCTAGGACCATTTTGAAGACGATGGTGGAGTATCTGGTGGGAGGGGGCAGGGTGGACGAGACGCTCAGAGCACCAATTGTTGAGAAGGCGGCATTCTACGAGCTAAGGACGAGAGGTGGAGGGGGAGGAGGCGGAGGAAAGGCCATCTTTCATTTGGAGGCCTTTGTTGCGGCCGTTATGACTATGGTCAAGTCGGTGAGTGCGCCGACGAAGAGAGTCAATCATCTGCGTGAGCCCGAAGTGTAGCAAGCTGACCATCCTTTTGCAACTGCCCGCACGCGCAGCTGTACATGGGCATCGAGTGGGATGAGCCTTGATCACCTAGCGACTCGCAACCGGCACATCGCACACGCAGGCAACCAAGCGAGGGCGAGGGCGAGGGCGAAGGCGAGGCACCGCCGCAACACCATGTACTATTAGCAATGACGACCCACGCGTGACTTCTCTCAATCAGTCTACCACATTCCAGACTCAGCCACGACCCATTGTCCTTTCCGCTCCCGGCGTGCCGCCCCTCGTCTTTCGTACCATCTCTTTCCTCCAGGCTTCGACACCCTGCATCGGAGGCTGTGGCGATAGTGGGGGCGGAGGTTGACCTGCATCTCTCCGCACACCATCTGTCCGCCTGCCACCTCGCGAGTTGGCCGTGCTCATCCTCGGTACTTGAGGGCGAGCAGGAGGTGGGCGACGGGAGATGGAGGTCATCTGGTCCGTAGGGAGAGGCGGTGGTTGATGAGGCGCCTGCGGCGGACGTCGGGGGCGTTGCCTCGATGAAGGGGTCGGTGTGGGGCCACGAGGTAATGACTGCCCGGTAGCTGCGGCTCCATTGACGAAGCGACGTCGCGGCCGTGGCGTAATGTCTGCTTCATGCTCTTCGGGCGGGTGGCCGTTCAGGTAGGCTCTCCGTCTGGGCAGGGCTGAGCCTGACGCATAGGCACGGTCCTGCTCATCGCCGTACGTCTCCTCATCGTAGTAGAGCGCCTCCTCGTCCTCATATCCCACTTCGTCCTCCTCATACAGTACCTCGTCCTCGTCCTGGCCCTGCACACCGTCCTCGTGCTGCTCAGGCTCCTCGCCCCTCCTACCCGTCACAAGATCCGGCATCTGCACAGTCCAGACCTTCGGCCAGCCCACCTTGTCCAATATAGCGCCTCGAATGCGCTGCAGCATCACCTGCTGAATCTTGGGTATATCCTGCAATTTTGCCCTGCTCCCCACGAGACTACTACATGTAGCCAACAGCAAGAAGTCCGGGTGAAGGCTGACCTCCAGGGAATGCCGACTCCTCTCGTCTGGCTTGGCGGAAGGGTGCGAGACGATACTGAGCGACAAGGTGCCGGAGAATCGGGTGACTCGCAGTCCGAGGGAGAGAGGGAGGACCGCAAAGCGCGGGCGGGGGAAGTTGAGGCAGAGAGCCGTAGTGATGTCAAGGGAGAGGACGTCGCTGTAGTCCACATCGACCTCGATACGAACTCGTCCGGCATCGTCCCGCGGTCGAACGCGAGCGTTGCTGAGGAGTGGGTAGGAGGAGCCCGGGTGTACGGCGGTGACGTTGATTGGGTCGAGAAAGGAAGGGGAGCTGGCGTTGGTGGGTCGTCGTCTGTTAAGGACATCTTGCATGAAGTCACGAGCCGTCCGTCTCGCTCCACCACCCTCCTCGCCTTCCTGTGGAGTCGACTGTGAGCCTCCTGCCAAAAAATCATCTCGATAGCCCTCCCACACATGCGCGACGAGGACGTTCAACCACCCAACATCACAGTCGGCCCCCGTCTCCATATCGTATCCTACCGCATCTGGGATGCGGGCCAAGGTGGGCAGCGAAGGACCCGAACCGGCTTTCTCACCTCCACCTTGCAATGGAGGAATGGGCGGGGACTTGGCGCGTGTCGGCAGGGAGGAGAGGGAGAGAGAGAGTAGTGAAGAAGCACGCCCTGCGAGGGCGGGGCGACGCGGTTGCGGTGAAGACGTGGTGGGGAAGGTACGCCGCCTTGCTTCTGAGTCGTCTTCTCCATCTTTCGAAGCCGCTTCATCCTCTCGAGCCGCGGCGTGGTCCTCGAAGAGTAGGTAGCGTACCAAAGCTACGACGACGCATATGATGCTGAGTTGTCCGACTACGAGGCCCTGCGTAAAGGTGAGGCGAGGAAGGAGAGAGAGGAGAGTAGGCGCGTCCGGCGCAGCTGCTTGCGACAATGTATCCATGGTCAGGGCGTGAGAGAAAACGAAGAGAGAGACAGGGGGTAAAAGGAACTATGACGGGGCTGAGTTACTCATTGCTTCGGCGACGAGGATGATTGGCTGGTTGAAGTTGAATTGAATGCTGCGTGCGCCCTGATCCTCGATTTCTATTCAGCCTCTTCTGAATGGGCCTTAGCCGCCAGTCCGCCCTCGACTCCGCCTGCCAGCCCGTTCCGAGACTGACGACGCCGCCTGTCTGGTCTGAGTTCCAAGGACGGACGGACAGAACACACGACGGGAGTGGCCAAAGTTGGAAAAGTGTGCTGAGCTCACGCCAAAGTCGAAGAAGAGAGGCAGCAATTTGCTTGCCTTCTCTCCAACACACACAACAACACCGACTAGCCCGCCATGCTGCGCAACACCCTCATCGCAGCTTCTCACGCAGCCAGTGCAACGTCAGTTACATCGTCGCGCTTCTGCGGCTACATCGTATCTCGCACCTCTTCCTCCTCGTCGAGTTCAGCGAATGGCGGCTCCCCATCTCGATCAAGCCGCCTTCCTCGGTCGAATCGCGCACATAGTCGCTCTAAAGTCATCACCCACAACATCTTCAGACAAGCAGGCGTAGATGTCGCCGCGGCAGACCGCGTCCGCGAGGCTTCGGTGGCAGAGGGGCGCCAGCCTGAACCGGGGGAGCAAGGATGGAAGAGGAGTGCGATAGGTTGGAAGGCAAGGAGGGGGGATATGAGAAGGCGACCGAGACCAAAGTCCGGTGTACCTGATGAGCAGAGGAGGGGGTATGCGACAGAAGCTCGCTCAGCCGGAGAAATGGCGCCTCGCCGGAACCCTGGCGAGATTAGGCCAGGCGACCTGGTCCAGTACCCAAGCGTCGAAGGTTACGTCTATGGCCTCGCTCTCCCCTCTCATCCCGACCCGCACCTATTCCGCACCCGCCAATTCTTTGCCATCAGCTCGCATGGGAGCATTTCCCTCCTCTCGCAATCAGCCGTCGTGCTCCACCTGCCTGGATTACTGCCTTGCCAAGGGGAAGAGGGGGAGAAAGCCACGATTAGAGCAGAGGAGGTGGCGCTGCTACTCGAGGAAGCAACGGGATTGACACCTAGTGACGAGATTGCTGCAGCTTGCGAAAAAATCGTGGGACTAGACTCGCGAAGAGCAAGGGCGCGCATGGCTTCACGCCTTCGGCGAGTGGTTAAGGAAGTCGAGGATGAGTTGGAGGATCTTCGCCGGCGCCTTGCGCACCTGATGGCGTCTACGCGCCTCCTGGAGAAGGATGAGGTCACAGTTGACGAGGTGGCTACCGCCCTGCATGGCTCCAGCTCCGTGCCTACCTCGGTCCTTATCGCAACGCACAACCTTCTGCACAGCATGCCTCGCTATTTTGTGCATCTCCTCCCTGCCAAGGCGTACAAGATGGCGCAAAGCTATGCCGTCAGGCCACAGAGGGAGCGTGACAATGTGGACACAGTTGCAGCTTGGCGTCTCGCTTCCGACTCGCCCATCGACACGTTCGTTCTTGCAGTCAAGGAAGGCAAGGCATCGCCCCCTTGGAGTGAGGACCATCAAACCATCCTCGCCTTCCTTCTCAACTCGCTCAGCTCCGGTTCAGAAGGCCAGGAAGACATCTACGCACCCGTAGTGGACGACGTGCTCAAGCGATGCGACCGCCTCGTGACTGCGGACCCTGCTCCGGTAGGCACAGGGGGAGGAGCGAGCTGGATTGGCGTAGAGTACAGTAGAGAGCGCAGACATGCGGCCGTCATTGCTTTGCTGGAAGACATCGGGGCCTTCCAGCGCGGAGAGACGGACTGGAGTTTGGCATCAGCACGAAGTCGGCGATGGCTGGAAGCATATGGTCGACCTGTCGATGAAGTGAAGGTGAAGGAGACCCCGACAGCGGACCGGGATGCGGATTTGCGGCGAGCTGTCCACTCGCCCGTCTACGTGATCGACGATGCAACGGCGCACGAGCTCGATGACGGGATCAGTATGGAGCGCATGGCCGAGGGTGACGACGTCTGGGTGCACATTCACATCGCCGACCCTACTTCGCACCTCACACCTGAATCCTACCCTGCTCAAGAAGCGCGCAAGAGGGGCAGCACTCTCTACCTGTCCAACGGGTCTGCCATTCCCATGTTCCCGCCCCACTCCACACGAGGGATAGATGAGGCGGATGAACAGGGCATCAGACGGGCGGTTACGTTCAGTGCGAGGATCAGCTTGCAAGGCAAGGGAGAAGTGCTAGAGACCAAAATCGGGCTGAGCGACTTGAGAGGCGAGGTGCGCAAAATCACCTACGATGCGGTTGATGCCGGAGAGTGCGGGGAGGGCAAGGAGGATCTGGAAACGCTGAGGCAGGTGGCCGGTCTGCTCAGCGATGCCCGTGAGAGGAGCGGAGCGCTGAGCATCAATCAGATTGAGAGTCGACTGGCTGGCAGTACCGCTGCCGGCGCTACTGCCCCCGTCCTCATCACGGACGAGTCAGCGAAGAGCAACGCAGCCCTTCAATCATCACCTCAGCTCCTCATTGGCACCAACTCTGCTGCATCACCCTCACGCTCCCTCGTAGCAGAGCACATGATCCTAGCCGGCCGAATAGCGGCCGACTTCCTCTGGCGTCAGCAAGGCGGCCTCGCAGCGCTGTACCGCTCTCAGACCTTCCCTCGCGAAGTCGGCGAGGAATGGAAGGAGGCGCTTCGTCGCCACAAGGGTGGGGTAGGCAGAGGCGACGTCCTGAAGATGGGAGTCGCAATGCCCTCTGCCGTTTCGCGCAGCACGCCGGAAGAGCACGTGACGATGGGCATCTCCTCATCACCTTCGTCCACCGGGACGGACAAGCTGGAGGGAAGTGGCTACTTGCGCGTTACGTCCCCCCTAAGGCGGTACGAGGACGTACTGGCTCACTGGCAGATCAAGGCAGCTCTTCGTCGCGAAGCTGGCGAAACGGTGGGGCCTGCCTTTAGCCTGGAAGAGCTGGACAAAGACGTCCCCGAGCTGGCTCGTCGCTCTGAGACGGTTCAGTCCATCTCGCGCGGCTCGGAGGATTGGCAGCGATATCGTGCTTTGAGGCTCGCATTCGAGTCCAATTCCGACGAGGACGGCGATATACAGCCATCCTCTGAGCGGGAGGGGTGGCTTCCTGTGACTCCCACCTCGCTGCGTAAGCCCCTCAAGGCTTATGTGCTGGACGGGTCCCTCCAGCTAGACGGGCTGGCCCTGCAGTGCACTACGAAGGTTGCCCTGCCTGGGTTGGGAGGGAGGATGAGGGGGGAGTGCATTTGGCCCGTTGACGCGGCGATCCAAGGCGGGCGAGGAGCGGGCGGCTTGGGAAGGCCAACGATGGGCCAGGAGGTTGACGTTGAGATTGTGGGCGTGAGGGAGAATATTGATCGTGGTGGATTGGTGGCGGTCAGGCCCGTGCAGAGGCCGGCTGCAGCATGAGAGGAGGATGGGAGGAGAGGACTACTCTTCATTGGATCCTGTCAAGAAATGCTTCCTCATGCACCCGTGCAAAATCACACGACGTCCGAGCGTCGACAAGGCAAATGAAATCGGGCCTGCCTTTCTTCCGAACATGTTTGTCTCGACGTCTGAGCACGCCCGCCCGCTTTTCACAATGGCTCGTGCGCCGTGTTTTCGACTGGCGGTTCCTGGACGCAAGGACGGTGGTTCCTCGATTCTCGTTCTCCAACTTCTCTTTCTCTTGGACGTCCCGTCCCCTACCGTCGTCGTCCTCGCGACCACAATGTCGCCGCACATAGGGGATGGTCCTCCTTCGGTGCGCTCTTCACTCCTCTTCGACTCGCACTCACTCCGCCGCACTGCCCCACCTACGCCGCTCCTGTCCTCTTACCACAACCAGCCACGCACATTCCGCCGTCTTCAACCGGATCTAGAGGACGTACGACGCGAGCGTTCCAAGGTAGTAGCTGCCGTCGAGCACAGGGACGATGATCCGCGCCTAATGCTGGGTACAAAGCAAAATGCTATCAAGTCTCCACCGACCGTCTGGAAGACACCGTGCTCATCGACGACGATTTCGCAGCGGTTCAGACGGGCAGTGATTAATGACGATCTGTCTGCGGCGAGGCGGTTGGCTAGTTATGCGCAGCAGCTTGCGACTACACGAGAGGATCATGGAATTCAGCTGGAAAGTGGCGGAGAGGAGAGCATCAGCTCGAATAGAGCACGAAGACATCAACGCGCGAATATGGGTCAGGTCTTTAGCATCCGCAACGTTACTTCAGCGCCTCCCACTCCCTCCTTCTCGTCCTCCACAAACCGACGCACTGCCACTCCGTCCTATCCTCGTGGCAGCGTAGAGGCAGAAGCGTATCTTTCGCACCTTACCTCGCTCGAGCTGGCAATCATGTACAACTGCAGCCTCGCGATGATGGAGTGGCTGCTGGATATGGGACACGAGGAGGAGAATCTCGAGTATGGCTGGACGCGAGATGAAGAGCAGGGAAGGACAGTTCTCCATCTGGCGGCAATTGCCAATCGGGCGGATGTGGTTGCCTTGTATTGTTCGTACGTCAATCGTGTTGCGGGACACGGCGCGAGTAGGGAGCTGGTCGACCTGCCTGCTGTTGGTCCCCCAATCCCGTCTACCTCACCACAAGGCTCAACAACACCAGGTCTCTCCCCACTCGGCCGTACTGCGCTTCATGAAGCCGCCATGCGCGGCTACGATGCCGTCGCTCTTGTCCTCCTTTCCCGCGGAGGGGACCCTCGTCGATTAGATGGATACGGCAATACGGCCCTACACTACGCCTCTGCTTTTGGCCATCTGACCACGCTCCAGATACTCATGGACGCAGCAGCAAACGACGACCGGCACGATAACTCTGACGCACTCTCCACCTCTTCTTCGTCGGACAATCTCTCCTCGTCCCTGCCCGAGGATGCAACTACAGCGCTCAACGCCGCCTTGTTCGGCAGCAAGAACGACGGAGATTTCTCAGCGGCAGATTATTCGTACACACTCTCCGACCGAGCTGCTCTGGAAGCTTTGGGCCGTAAATGGTTTGCGGAGAGTCGAGAAAGAGAGAAGCGCAAGAAGTGGGAGAGGACGATGCAAAATGCGGAGAGCGCTGCTGCGGCTAATTCATTCTCCAGTGGGCTCACCGGAGGTGGAACGCCAAGACCAAGCTCTGCGGCAAAGGGGACCAAGGGAGGAGAGGGGGAGAAGGGTAAGAACGAGACGTCCGCGCCCAGCAAGACGCAAAGGCGTGGCTCTACGCTTGATAGGCTCAAGAGCGGGGCAAAGGAGGTAGTAAGCGGGGCAGCCGCCAGTATTGCAGCGCATTCCCCCCGTCCACGCTCCCCACGGCCAAGATCACCCAAGACGGGAGGTGGCTCGCCAAGGGGAACCTCTTACTCTCCTCCCTCTAGCCCTTCGAGGCGCGGTGGAAGTAGCAGCGGTGCGGATGCAACGCCGATGAGTGTTGCACCTCATCCGCGCTTAGCGGCTGTGGCAGGTCCATTAACATTGCCCGGAGGCGAGTGATACGTATTCGCGAGTCGTGATCACGCGCAGTAGAGAGGTATCGAGGGCGATCGTTAAAGAGAGAGGTATAGCAGCACGTCGAGAGTGGGAGAGATGGTACAGAGAGACGCACAAGACAGAAAGGGGCGAATAGAGGGAAGGGAGAAAGCGAAAGCAGGAAGTCAAGCAAAGCAAACGCACAGCGTAGCAGCAGTACATACAAAAACGGAACGCAGCGGCACGGGAGGTCGATCCTTTCCCTCTCTGAGATCGACCATCCTTCCGCGCTCAAATCAATCTTGCTCCTCCTCCTCCTCACCTCTCCCCTCTTCACGGAGCGAAATCGAATCCAAGTCCCCGGCCCCCATTCACATTAGAGCGCTTCCTCTGCCTCTGCCCAGAACTGAGCGTAGGGCTCGCCGTGGCCGGATCAAAGCTGAGACCCCTGTATCGTCTGATGACGGGCGAGCCTGCCTGCTCAAATGCGCCTGGGGTGAGCACCACTTCCTGCCCTGCTCCATCGTCCCACCCGTCCCCATCAGCAAAGCTGACAAAACGTGCACCAGACGCCGAAGGACCCCGACTTCGCGGCTGAGGCGAAGGCGAGACGTTCACGAATTCGGAGTAGGCGAAGCAATTGCTTGTCGTGTGCGGAGTACGTGGGGTGGAGAGGACGGAATGGGATGAGGGAGTAGGGGATGGGGTGCGTGGCTGCTCCTGCTGCGCTGGAGAGGTGCTGCTCTCATCGACCGTGGGCAGGCGTGGGCGCGAAGACGAGGCAGAAGGGCCAGTGTGGGAGCGAGAGTGCCCGCCGTAGCTGTACGTGGGAGGGGAAATCTTTGCTGCCGGCTGAAGCACGCCCGAGTGGCAGGCTTCGAAGAGTGTGCCACCGCCGCCGCCGCCTCCGCCTCCACCGACGTTACGGCCCCACGTTGGCGCGGTAGACTTGCGGCGTTCGAGCGAGTCCAACAGGCTCGGCGTACCAGGGTGGCCATGTCCTGTCGCCTGGCTTTGATGTCCTTGCTGTGGCTGTGGGCTGCTCGCAAATCCCAAGAGAACGTTTGCAGCCAATGCATCCCCCTCGGTGTGGGGCGTGACCGGAGGTGCCCCTGGCCCTGACGTCGAAGAGTTGGCGTTGTTGGTATTGACCCGTGCTCGGCGTGGTGTGATGCTGCTTGGGTCGGCAAAGGTTCCACCTGGCGAGTCTTGGTGGCGAGTAGGAGTGATGGGTAAACGCTGCGGCTGGGTAGGTGTGGTGGGCGGGCGGCTACCCCGAGCGCTACTGGGCGTCAGACGATTGCGTTCGTCCGCCAGTGCGGCCAACACGCCTGCAACTCGGTCCGTCTCCTCACGCCCTTCGTGGTAGCGCGATTCTTGCCCCTGCGCCAGCCTCGGGGGAGGCGGCAGTGAATCGACGTCGATTCTCCTCCTCTTCTTTGGCGTGGACGGGGTCCTGGGCCCTCTGCCTCCTGGTGAGTAGACAACAAAGGCCTGCCTCGGATGACTGAAAGCCATCTCCTCCTCCCTCTCCATTGCCTCGCGACTCGGGCTGTTGTGCGGGTCGATCCCAGCTGGTGGTCCGCCACGCCTCGCTCGCTCTGGTGAGCCGAGCTGCGGGAGGGAGGAGAGGTGATGAAGTTTGGCGGAGATGCCCGGTCGGTGGTGAGCAGGGGAGGTGAAGGGCGAGCCACGTGCGTCCTGACGCTTGGGTGTCTGAGGAAGAGTGGGAGCAGTTGAAGGTGGTGGAGTAGTTGCCCTCGCAGGGTCGCGAGAGTGCAAGCGCCGTGCCACGTTGCTGCCGAAGATGGCTTCGTAGAGCGAAGGCTCGCTCCCGCGGTGCGTCGTGGTAGTGGCGGGAGGTGCTCGAGGAGGTGGTGGCGAGGAAGCTGTGAGACGTTGCATGGGTGGTGACCCAGGGTAGGACGCCATTTCCTCGCTCACGATGCTATCATGGGATGGTCGCCTTGTAGTGAAGTTGGCCGCATCCGTATGAATGTATGCTCGTGTGGACACCCCATCAACATCATGATCGTCATGATCAGGTGATGATCCGGCGGACACGATACGTTGGCGCAGTCGTTGAACGGCCTGATTGTGATAAAGATTGCGTTGTGCGTGCGGCGGCGGTGTCAGTAATGCGCTGCGATGCAATGCGGTGCACAACGGAAAAGGATTAAGACTCACAGCCATGACTTGGCGAGATGAATGCGCCGCCGTCGTTGATGATGATGACGAGGGAGTTGCACGCTCATCGTCGTCGCTGCTGCTACTGGTAGGATGTTGACGTTTGCGCTGATTCGTCGCAACAGCCATGGTGATGTCGTGCAGATGAACGGAGGTCAAGACCTGCTGTTGATGTTGCTGCTGCACAGAAGCGGATGTCTTGGAGGTGTTGCCGCTAGTCGATGATGATGACGACGGCTGCTGGTGCACAACGCCCGCCCAGCCGCCGTTGCGTTGATGATGAGTGGTAGTGGCAGCCATGCAAGACCACGCTGGCTATCCGGGGTGATCTGTTCAAGGATGGTGAACGTGGAGATGCAGCGACGGAAAGGGGTTTGAGGTTGATGAGACGTCGGATCGGGGTAGAGGATGAGGATGTGAAACGGAGGCGGAGGACAAGGAAAAAGACCGGGTCGGTCGATCGCGACGTGGCTGACCTCGCGAGCCCCTCGAGCCTCGAGCCGCAAAGGACGCGTTGGCAAATGGGCGCGACGCGCGCGCGCGCGCACAATGCCTTTTTCGCGTACAGCAAGCCACGTGGTTTGAGTGGCTCATCCGCGCTAGTGCTAGCCACGCGAGGCTGTAGCACAGCCCCGCTCAACCCAACGTCGTCATCAGGCTCAGATGCCTGTGGACCATCTCCCTCGCCCTGGGCTGCCTAACAACATCGAGGACCTGCGTCACCAACGACGTCACACGGACATTGATGCTCAGCATGATCTCCGGGATCTCCCGATCATCTCACGCTTCGCCACATCGTGTTCCCATACCTCGTGATCCCCATCGGCGGCATCGGGACGCAGCGTAGTGATTAAGTGCGGCTTGAGCGTAGGGTTGCTGGTCAGCCCGCCGTGGAGCTAGCCGAAAGCCAAATGCTCCTCATCGAGCCGACAAGCTAGCCAGCCACTTCAGCATAGCCCCGATCTTGCCTTCACTAACCCCGCAGTAAACCACTCGCCCCGACGTTATCATCGCTGCGTACACAGCCCGACCATACAGCGTGGCTACTTGAGGATTGAGGATCCAAACAAGAGCACTGAGCGGCCCTCGACGATTATAAAAGGCACTTCCTCCCGCTCCCTCTCTGCCTCGACACACAGACAACGATCAGCCACACAATAAACATGACCACCACGGCCAAGCAAGACGCCACATACGCCCACTTATCCCCCACCGCACCTCTCCATACCATCGGGAAGCGCCGACACGCCTCCCTCATTAGCGAGGAGGAAGTTCACCTACATCTGGAGCTCCTCAAGAAATTCGCCGACCTCAAGCGACGCGTCGAGGCAGGAGAGTACGGTAAGGAGCCTCGAAAGGAGCAGAACGGCGACCACCTACCAGCTTACACTGCAGCGGCCAAGAGCGAGAAGAGCGATCAAGGGCGATCATCTTCAGCAGGCCCCTCGCACGCATGGGACGCCTTCCTCTACCGCGCGCTGTACCGCTTCGAGTGGTGGATCGACTACATGCTACCTCAGCTGTCAAGCACCTCGACGACGACTGCTGACTCGGCCGAGAATGCCCCCTTGGAAGGTCTATCGGCACTGTACGCTCGAAGCTTCCGACCTTGGTCCCTCTCTGCCCCGGACACTCACCAGTCTCACGTACGAGACTGCCCGAAAGAGTGCATACCACCACTAGATGTAGCTTTGATCTGGCACGCCTACCTGCTCAATCCCTCACGCTACGTCGAGGACGGCATCCTTCGAGGGAACCACGCCAAACTCGTTCGTATCAAGTTCCCGATGCGCCAGCTCGTCGAAGCCGGAGGTGATTCAGACAAATCAACGCTCAAAGCTACCTCTTCAATCACTCGGGACGCTGAGGTGATGTGGGAGCGCAAGAACCCTCATTCCCCCTATGATCCGCTGGCTCATGATCCCCTCGGAGAGACGGAAAAACTGCCAATCGCATGTATCGGCTGTACAGCGAATTGTGAGGTCAGCTGGAGAGACCTCGCTACCCCTGGATGGAACATCGAGTGCTGGAATTGCCAGCAAAGCCTGGATGCTCAGAGGCTCATTGGTGGTTGGTTCTGCCGAGATCTTGATGACTGGTCGAAAGGTGGAGATGATCAGACGGTAAGTGCCCCGCAACAGGTGTATCGGTGCGATGAGATCTGAGACCTGACTTCCCCTTCCCTACCCTCTCAGGGACCACGCCTCCGCGGCGGTGCTCTGTCGTCACGCGACGGTCGTGTCTTCTTCAAGGACCCGTACGGACCAATGCTGCTTCGCCTCTTCTCTCACGCCCGCACCACCACGCCTCTCAACGAACGCTCTCGCGGCGGCGGGCCACTACGTAATCCGAATTACGACGTCTACGGTCCCATCAAGCAGACATCTCGTCCTTACCAGCTGGACGGGGCGGACTACTTCAGAGGGATGCGCATAGATGACATTGCTAGACACTTTACAACTCTCGTCCTGAGGCAGGTGACGGGCAAGAAGAGGCGCCGAGACGTTAAAGTCCGGGTTGCACATCTGATGCGCTTCTACATCGACTCCAATCCCATCTCGATGGGCGCGAGCGTCGACTTGGTGGCTGCAGTGCGCCGTCAAGAAAAGTTTCTGGCAGAGATGAGCTCTCTTGGCTGGCTCGACTCCACCACGCGGGACGAAGAGGCGGTGTTTAATGGCATGGTGCGCTATCATCGTTGGCTTCATCTCCTAGCGGAGCACCCGGACCAATTCCTCTCTCCTACATTGGATATTGACCTTGCCTGGCACACGCATCAGCTGCACGGTATGGGCTACTATGGCGACTGCTTCAAGACCGTGGGACGCTTCATCGATCATGAGGACAAGGTGGAAACAGGCCACCTGCAAAAGGCCTTTGAGAGGAGCGGAGATCTCTGGTGGCAGGAGTGGGGTCAGCCTTACTCAATGTGCGGATGTGCGAGACAGCGAAGCGGGGCAAAGCGCAACGGCTCGCTGCTCAAGCGCCTGATACGACGCTCGATGCCTGCATCAACCAAGGAGACGACCCTCAGCGACGAGAAGAAAAGCATGTCAAACGACGCCGAGAAGACCCGGGCAGATCAAGCCTCCTCCCACCCCGGCGTCAGCGTGAGCGCCTCTCCGGACATGACGCCCTTCTTCTACGTTCCCCCGCCCAATCACGACGAAGTCTGTGGCCGCGGGCTAGCGAAACGCAATGACAAGCGTGGCGGAGCGGCTGACTGTCTACCGGGCAACAAGATAGGCCATCAAGTCGTGCCCCGCTATGCAAAGGGGAAAGTGGTCGGGACAAGAGACGGCATGGCCGCCATGCCCGTGTTTCCCCAGGGCACGAATCCGCCTCCTACGTTCTTCGTGTGGGGTGGCGGTGCGTGTGGCGGCGGCGGTGCGTGTGGGGGAGGAGCGTGTGGTGGCGGCGGCGGCTGGGGGGGTGGCGGAGCCTGCGGCGGAGGGGCATCAGCTGGTGGAGGATTCGGTGGTGGTGGCTGCGGTGGAGGGGGAGGAGGAGGCGGCGGGGGTGGTGGATGCGGAGGAGGTGGTGGAGGAGGCGGCGGGTGCTGATGACGGAGATATCAATACGATACCTTGTACGATACCTTGCACGCAGTGATGAAGAAGTGACACTGGAGTCGTGATTGAGTCGAGCGGATCGAGGCGATCTGAAAGGATAGAGATACAGCAGGTCGGATTAAGGGTCGAGGTGAGGCGAAACGAGGCTAGGCGAAAGACTGTAGGGTGATGCGTGACTTGTCAGCAAGGTCTCTTTACGGATGCTACAATCGGGGTACGCACGCGGTCAGAGAAAGGACAGAACACCATTTCGGGCGGTACATGGCGCAAGGCTCAATCAAAAGAACTCGCAGCTTGACCCTTCGCTTCACTCTCGAGAGATCCTCGAAGGAACTTGTCGCGAGCAAGCGGTGATTTTCACCAAGTACATAATCTCATCAGTTCACAATCAAAAGAAGCAGTCCCTTGAGGCGATTTGATTGGATCAATCAGGAGGGATGACTTGCGAGCACGGCTTCAGACCAGCATCGCTGCTTTCAGTGCCACGCCTTGCACCCTGAAAGCCTCGCGTAAGTCGTTCAGGCAATGACAGTCAGTCCAGCGTCGCGACCGCGGCGCAGTCGTCCACTCACATACTACAAAGTCAACCCAAGCGGTTCCGGTCTCGAGAGAACTGCTGGCGTTGCGACTTGCATCCATCAGCCCCGCATCGCTCGAGACGCCTACGATATCGAGATCGCTCGTGGACATCCTAGCCTGACCCTTGGGCTGACCGAAGGCAAAGTTGATGAGCCCCGTGGTCGAGACATTGATAAGTTCACCGGCTGAGTGGTCGAGACAGTCGAGTCTGGCCGCCGAAAGGAGAGTTGGGTGAGATTCAATGCGGCAAGAGAGGAGAGGACGCAGCGCTTCCCTACCTGTACTGGCCGGCGCAGACACCTGGCGAGGGGGGTGTGGAAGAGACTGAGCGACCGTCGGCAATATTGGCGCAACAGAACTAACCATTGAACCAATAAGTGCGCCCTGGAATTAATCCGACGCACTTGTAAGCATCACTTGCTTGCCACTGTCATGAGAACTTACAAAGGTTGTTGTCGTGGTCTACTGACCCAGTCGGCGAACAGTAGATATTCTTGAAACCCTGCGCCGCTTCGTCTGCCAGTTGAACGCTAAGACGCGAGCATGCAATCGATCAGCACCAAAGCAGCTAACGATCATTTCTCCGATACGCACGTGAGACAGTGAAAGTTGCCATTACAGATGTCAGGCTGATTGAGTGCCGGCGGATGATGCACCTTGGCTCCCTCGATCTCCCGGGCGATCGACGCAGCAGACGCGACAGCTGTCTTCAAGGCGGCAGAGAGGAGAAGAGCAAGAGGAAGCATTGTGTTACTGAAGATGGGATCGAGGATCAAAGGAAGACAGTGAGCAACGGGCAAAGGCGACGTGTAGCCTTTCTCATCTCGAAGGGGCAAGACGACGAGGGCAAAAGGGTTGAGCTACTTCCCGTCCGTACCGCAGTGTGATGAGACGCGAGAATGGTTGCTGATGGCAGCCGCTCGAGGGCACGGGGCACTTGTGTCAATGGTTTATGATAAGGTGCTCTTGAGCCCCCTCTCTGGGCGCTATCGAGCTTTCTGGTAAACCGTCACGTACTGGCATCAGCGTCGTGCGACATGCTCTGCCCTCAACTCCAAGTCCTCGTTTGCATCGCTTTCTTCATGCTGTCTAGCAGCAGTCAGGCTTCGCCCGTGGCAACCAAGCTGAATCGCCGAGTACCTCTACCTACTTTGCCGCCCATCTGCGATGGCCCTTTTTACTGCCTCACGTGAGTAGAATCCATGTGTACGGCTGCCCAGCGCAACTGACGTGTACCCTCACACGGTGGCGCTGCAGAGTCGAGCTGGCTACAAACGCATACCAGGGCTTCAAGAACTTGTGGTGCGTGGCTAGTGGGCACTCGGATGATGATGCGAAGCAGTGTGAGTGTAAAGAGGAGCGGCGCGACAGTGATAGAAACTCGAAACTGACGCTGCTTCCTTTTCAGGGCGCACCTACTTCTTCAATGGTAAGCAGCATGCGGTAGAAATATCGGACAAGGCGCGGCGAGCTGAAGAAAAGCTTTCACGCTGGACAGGCAACTGTGCGGGCCAAGTCAGGTAAGTTAGCCCTGTCATTCGGAGGATCCTCGCAGAGAGTCCTTTCTGACTGGGACGCGCAGGATGACCTGCTCCGAGATGTACCCCGGCGGGCTTACCGTACAAGGCGAGGGTTTGGTGGACTTTGCTTTCAGCCAGAAGGGTGGACTTTCCCACATGCACACTCTCGACAAGCAAATCGCGGGTCTCTCTAGCGATAGGCAGATCCTTGATGCCGCCACAGGGGACATGGATACGCTGATCACAGACATTGGCTTTGTTGACTTCATTCTCTGTGAGTGAGCCACGCGAAGAAGTGACAAAGGATAGAGTTGACAGTGTTCGCGGTCGATACAGACTGCAAGGACTGGTAGCAGTCGATGCGCTCATTTGCTTCTTTCGACACGTCGTCTTTCTCCATCTCGTCGTAACTGTTCAGGGCCAGAACTTGCACCCTGCACAGAAATGTCAGTGTCATGCCTCATGCTTTCTTCTGGTGTGACACACCGCACTCACAAGCTTGCAGATCAGCACCTGTCACCTTCGTCGAAACGGTTCCCGACCTACTGGGTGCGACTTGAAGTCTTTTGCCGTCGCTCGTAACGCCAATGAGATACTGGTCGGATGTGCTCAACGAAGAAGTGGGTCCGAAGGTGAAGCTCATGCGGGCGCGATGATTGGCAGGCTCGTTGTTTCCGAGAGGGCAGAGGAGTCTGTATAGCATGAAGAGAAGAGCGCATCAGAATGGCGGCAGGTGAGGGGTGAATCTGGCGGAGACTGAACTGACTCGACGGTGCCAGAGCACGGGCCTGTCAGGGAGGGCAAGCGTCAGTTTTGTGTGTGCATGCTACTGACGAGAGAGCTCACCGTTGATGAGGTACGAGACCCCTGAACGGAGGGAGGGAAGTGGTGCCATCAGGTGCGTTGCGCATGACCAGACGCGCTTTTGACGACTCACAATTGTCGTTGTCGTGGTCGATCGACCTCGCAACAGTGCAGCCGAGATTGCTCAGTGCGGGGCTGGCGTCAAAGCCCTTCTGAGCGCTGCCAAGGTGTCAGAAATCGGGGATAAGCGAAACAACTCAGGCACACAGCTGAGACAAGCTCCTGTACGTACGTCAAGCAGTAAACGGTACCACCAGCGCAATCGCTGGGCAAGGTGGAATGGACGAAACGCGTAGAGAGGTCGGCCCGCTCAGGCGAAGACTTGGCCTGGGCAAAGCCGCTTGCAATGAGCAGCGCACAGATGATGGCGAATACGGACTTGTGGCAGAGCATGATGACAGAATCAAGGGGTTGAGGATTGGCTGACAAGACAGGTTGGAGAGCCAGCGCTAGGGTCAAGTCGCTCGCAGAAGTCACGACGTGCCCCGATGATCCTTGCCACTCATGAGCCGCTGGGCAAGGGCAGCAGGAGCGCAAGCTGCAGTTGTGCGAGCGTGAGGATCCGACTGGTCACGGTAGTCCACTGCCAGCTCCCTCGACGCGTGCCCTCGGCCCATCACCATCGAGCCGTTACCGTCACGAGCCTTTTGGACAGCACAATGCTTTGTCCTCCCCATCAGAGTTGGGCGCCACCTCGTCGAACAATCTCAACCAAGCCGCCGCGACGATGAAGATCCTCACATCCCGCCTTGTGACAGGCACGGCGCTTTCCAGCAGTACGGTGGCACTGTTCACCATTGTCTGCCTACTTCTCGTCCAGGCTGCTCCACCCGAAGGAACCATGTCAACCGGCGACGCCTGCTGTCGTTCGCTCTTGACCAACACCTGGTGAGTCTGCACTTCTCTCAGCGGCTGGCAGTTATCGCTGAAATGAAGAGTACGCTTCACTTCGCAGCGAGAGCCAGCCCGCCTGCGTTGGCAACTGGACAGCTGATGATTGCTGCGTTTAGCTGGACGGAGAGTCGTGTAGCGTCGCGACTTGGCCAGACGATGCGCAGGAAATTCAGGTGGGTAGCTTCGCTGCATGCGCGTCGGACACAAAGGCTGACTTACCGCACTTTCTCTCGCTGTCAAGCCTCGCCGCCTCCCTACAACAGCACACCACGAAGGATCGTCGCCCTTTTTGCCACTAAGCTACCATTAGCCTCCCTGAACAATATCACAATCTATAACTTTCCCTTCTTCCCATCCACCTCGCTCTCTTCACTCTCACTCTCGCTCCCCGATTCACTCTCACTTCCACTCTCACTCCCACTCATGCTCTCATCCCCGCTACTCTCCTCACCCTTAGCATCCTTCGCTCCCTTAACAATGGGCAATGTCTTCCTTCTCACCTCATACCCCTCCTGCTCCCTCAGACACTTCTCGATCTCACCCATTCGCGCCTCTGACCCGACAATGGCGGCAATGCTCGTCTGGGCCTCGAAGACGGGACAGACCCATTCGCGCAAGACGCGCTGCACGTCTTCGAGGGTAACGGAGGCCACCTTTGAAAGGAGGGCACGACCACGTCCTCGTCCAGCGGGAGCGCAACGAAGGAGCTCGTCGGAGAAGACTTCGCCCGCGCAAAGGGAGACGGTGGAGACTCCCTCGGCCACATTGTAGTGCAGCAGCGATTTGGCCGAGTCGAGATCGGTCTGTGTGAAGCTTGGTGCAGGAAGACCGGATGGCTTCCCATCCTTTCCCTTGGATCCAGCCCACTCCCTCACACCGGCGACGGCCTGTACGACCCGCTTCGCCTCCTGGAAAGCCCTGGCGCTGTCAGGTGCACGGTACAGGCTGAAGTGGAGCTGCCCCGCTTCGACATCGATGCGCAGGCTTGCCCCGTATGCCAAGCCAGCGCCGCGGACGTGTCGCCACAGGACGGATTCCAGAGCGTTGAGCATGGCCACGGTGACGACGAGAGCTGGATGGTCTGGGTGTGCGTACGAGTTGGGCCCGCGAGAGGTGAAGACTGCGTAAGATGATTCGACTGTGGGGAGAGAGGCGAGGAGGCCCGTCTTGCTGGGCTGACGTCCCAAGGGAGTGAGGACAGAGCGCGACCACGGAAGATGGACCGGCGAAGCCGATGACGCGGAGTTGTTGGCTTGCTGCTTTGCCGCAACACTCTCTGCCAATTGACGCCAGGGCTGCAAAGCGTTCTTCCCGCCACTGCCCACCACATCACCGCCCACCGCGGCGACCATATTGTCCAGTCTGAAAACACTGCGCCTTACTTCCTCCAGCTCGCCCACCACCTCCTCCGGCTTGCTACCCAGCCTCTCGCTCAAGGCGGGCATAAACTCCAGCATCCTGAGAATCGAAGTAGAGACATTGCTCGACTTCCCCTCATCGTGGGTCAAGCTGCGCAGCAAACTCCAGCTAATACCTCTGCCGTCCCTCTTGAGCTCTGGAAGAGACTGCGTCGTCTTGGCAACGGAAACGCGCAGCCTGTCTACGCTAAATTGCGAGCCCCAAAGCAGGTCGCGCAACCACCCCACAGCTTCGGCGTAGCGATTGCGCTCGACTTTGACCTCGATGCAGACGTTTTCTGCGAATCCGCCTCCGACACCCAGCCCGGCATCGTATTCGACGGTATCGTCGTCCAGGCCACGCACTACGTCCTCGTAGCTGAGCGTGGCAGCGCTACCGTCCAGCTTTTGGAGGGGAAGTGAGAAGAGGGTGGAGAGGTAGAGCTGGAGTAGCGGCCGCAGGTGAGGAGCGAGGTGCGTCGTAGGGAAGACGAGGGAGACTGTCAAGAATGCCGAGGGGACTTGAGTAAAGTGGATGGGGAACGGGAGTTGTGGGCCGTCCAGCTCCGGAGCGAGGTGGTCGTCCAGAACCTTGTCTAGCGGCGTGGTCTGGCCATCATCTGCGATCTTCGAGACCTGCCCTTCCACCACACCATCAGAGACGGGTGCCTTCCCTATCAAGCGACGCCCACTTTGGATCCACTGTATACTCTCCTCGCTCGGAATTCTAAACCCACTCAGTATTTCATCCGGAATCGGACGATCGTTCTCCGCCCTCGCCTTGTCCAGCTTCTCAGTCAGCTCCTTGAGCCCCTCCTCACCCAAAGCGGCCTTGCGCTTCTTCTCCAAAGCCTTGGTGTCTTTGCGCAACGACTTCTGGAGCGTCTTGCTCGGCTTGCCCAGCACGACCATTCGTGCGTTGCAGACGAGCCAACGGTCGATGAGCTGCGCCCATTGTGCGCTGGTCCACCCCGCCAGAACCTCGTAACGGGCCACATCGTCCATGCAGGTGAAGAGGTCTTTGCCTCCCGCGTCCCCGTAGAGGTGATCTTGGATGAGCACGTCGGCAAAGGATTCGCTCGTCTTGGTCTCGAGATGATTCATCAGCTTGACGCGGTCACGTCGAATGCAGAGCTGCATACGTTGCATGTCGATGCCTTCCTTTGCAATCTTCTTGAGCAGAGCGAGCAGCTCGCCATCAAGCTGCGCGAGCTTTGCCGTCGGTACAGACGTGAAGAGCGCGGAGATGATTCCACTGCCCGCCTTGCTCTCCTGCGAGAGGTAGACGTCGGTGCACAACGGATCGTCTCGCTCGACAAAGGCGCGTTGCACGGGCGAGACGGCCGAGTCTGTGAGGTAGGTGGATAAGACGCTGATTGCTTCTTCTTCTATCCAGCTGCCCAGCTTGGGACCAACCCAGGAGATGTAGACTTCTCCCATGCTCTCGTCCTCCTCAGGGAACTCGACGGTCGTCTGACGTCGCAGAGGATCGCGAGAGGAAGCGACGTCTGCGTCAATTGGGGTGAGAGAGGGCAAATCGCCGCGTAGGGAGCCGTCGATGATGGGTGGCGTGGCAGAGGGAGTCTCGAGGAAGGGGCGAAGCCAGCCTGGTGGACCCGAGGGACCTGGAGCCTTTCCGGCTGCGATCAGTCCATCGTCGATGCTGTTGACGGTATCGATGAGCTGGGCCAGGGGTAACGGGCCGGTAACTACCAAGGCGGTGTTATGCGGCGCGTAGTACTTTGCATGGTAGTCCCTGATCTCTTGTGCCGTCAACACCCTCAACTTGTCCATCAGCCCACCCGTCTCACTGCGATACGCATTCCCTTCAGGATAAAGGCTGCGCTGCATCCTCAACTCCATCAGGTCTCCACTCGTGTTCTCCCTGCCTTGCATCTCCGAGAAGACGACACCAGCATCATGCCCCTTGCCATCGACGTGGTACACCTCCGTCGTGAAGCCTGCATCTGTGATGGTAGGTCGGAAGAGGTGGTCCGCATACACGGGCAACATCCTCAAGAAGCCATCAGAGGAAGCAGTCGTGATGGTATAGGCCGTATGGTCGTTTGCGGTCCACGCATTCGTCCCCGATGCAAAGCTGCGGTTGGCTAGTGAGTCCAAGATGCCCTTGTAAGGGTAGTCGTGCGAACCCAAGAAGATGAGATGCTCCAATGTGTGAGGGACCCCCGAGTCAGTAAAGATCTCGGTGGGGACGGTCATGTAGGCATTGAGGAGGGGAGAAGGGAAGTCTGCCCATACCAAGGTGAGGCCAGTGCGGGTGCTCTTCCACTTTTGCACCTTCATATCAGGGGCGTAGGGAAGGGCGAAGGATTGGAGCAGTTTCATGTTGCCACGCACGTCGCCGAGTGAGGGGGGCGGTGAGGCGTGCCCATTAGCTGATGGCATCGCGGTGGCCATCGTGGCAAAGGAGTTGTGGCGTCGGGCCAAGTTGGACGGAGCAACGAAGAAGGAGCGCGGCGTTGAGGAGAGGGAGCAACAGAGCCGGCGAAGGAGCATCAAGATGAATGCTCACTGTATCTATGCCCGTCTGCGACTGATCTCCCTTGGGGATTAGGATGATGGAAGGCGGAAGGGAAAGAAGAAAGCGCGGAGGAGGCCTGAGCGGTTGTCAATCCGAGCCAGGCGGAGAGGCGGAGAGGCGGAGAAGCGGACGGAGAAATGAAGCGAGCCACAGAAGAGACACCCCAGCCGCGGCGGCGATCCGGCCATTCACGACCCACGGCTACGAATGAGCAACGCACAACAGCAAATACAATCTATTGTCAACTCTCTCGCTAGACCGCCGTCAGCACCAGAGCTAGCCCCGCCTGAATAAGGAGCGGCGTGTATGCCATCGCCACAAGCGGCAAGCACGACGTGGCGAGGATGTGATGCTGATACCACGCCTTTGTCAGCAGATACTCAACGTCGAAGCGCAACGGCCACGATAGGAGTTGCGAGAAGTACAGCGAAGAGCCATACCGCTTGGTGATGATGTCGAGAAGGAGAGCAAGATTCCACGGTAGGAGTGCGAAGATGGCTACCAAGGCGAGGACTGCGGTACCCCAACGACGCAACTGTCTTGTATCGCCGTCTGCTTTGCTCACCGGGAGGAGGTAGAGGGGACCCATGATGAGGAAACCGAGAACGACCGCCGCGCTCCAGTTGAGGACGCTCAGCACTGCAATGATGGCGCCCGCGTGAAGCAGGGTGAATGCATGGACGAGGTGGCCTACCCTCCGGGTGCGACGCTGCCAAGGCGAGGGCGCGTCGCTACCGCCCATCAGAGTCGTGGCTGCAAGGACCAGAAAGGCGCCACCCACGAGGATGCTGTTGAACTGGGCAGCCTGGCGCTGCATGACGCCGAGAGAGCCTCCTGCCGCGTAGACGTCTGACGAGGTGAAGACCATGAGGGCGACGTACCCCACAAGGTGACAAGCAACCATGGCAAGCAGAGCCGTTCCAACGGGTCTCGAGAGTGCATCGAGCTGAGAGAGGGTGTCGGCGAGGTCGCGCTCCGACGCCTGCAGCGATGCGACGTCGAGACGCAGATCCATGTCCATAGGGTACATCAGCGGCACGTCTTCCGCTTCCTCATCTTGCCCACCGGCCGCCTCCATCAGCCTACCGACCAGCGCCTCCTTTCCCACCCTGGCGCGCCTGCCTTCCGCCGACCACCTCCCGATCCCAGCAAGCGTCAATGCCACGCTCACAAGGAGCGCCACGGGCAGATAGATGCCCAGCTGGACAAACCAATCAGGTCCGATCCCCAGCAGATAGAAGAATTGCGAGTGGTGCAACCTTTCAATGAGGTTCGAATAGCTCGTGACCTGCGACACCAGTATCCTCCCCATGTGCCAAAAGCCGTACGGCCCTCTGGCGGGTGTGGCGTACAGGGTGATTGCATCTACGTGGTGCCGCAAGAGAAGGGCGTGCGGTCCTTCTGGGAAGGATGCTGCAAGCCCGCCGAGCTGGGAAAGGATGTTGAGCGCGGCCTTGCGATACTTGGCTACGCCGCGCCAGCCCCAGTGCAGTTCGTCTTCCAAAAGTCTACCGAGCCAGCCCCATCCTCCTCCATGCTCCCCATCTATCGCATCTTTGAAATCTACATCCGTCCCGGGCAGGCGGACGGGCACCCTGCCCATAATATCCGCCACCCTCCCGAGTGTATTCACAACATCGAGATTAGGCACCTGCCCATCGATACCCGTATGCAGCACAGCTAGGCTCTCAAACGAGTCGCTCGGGTAGTCCACGCCTACCGCATTCCACAGCATAGCTCCCTGTGCTGCTTGCACCTCGTCACGGCGGAGATTGGGGGAGGTCAAGCCGTAGTATGCTTGAGTGAAGGCGTGAGCCCCTTCGAGGTGGCCGGAGGAGATGAGGAAAATGAGGTCTTTGCTCCAGTGTGAGCGTGCGTGCGTTGTGAGGTGACGGGCGAGACCGAGCACCGTCGCAACGCCGCGGACGTTGATGCGAGGGCCTTCGGGCCGAGGAGAGCCACTGTCGTTGCTATCCGATGACGCGTCTGGGTCGTCTGAGCCGTCCCATCGACTTTCCCAGCTGGCAGAGATGACCATGGCCTCCCTTCCATCTCCTCTTGGGCTCCACCACCTAGCATAAGCGTTGGCTCCCTCCTTACTTCTCCCTCCCGGCAATGCAAAAGCCCACTCCTGCTCATGTGGATCCAATCCGAACCCTATAAGCTTCCCTCGCACCCACTTGGCCCTATCCATCTCGCTCTTCCACTGCACCTCCTCCCTAATCTCCCTTGCCAGCTCGTCGCACAAGCCTACATCGTCCCACTCCCAGTATACGTTGGCCGACGCCGGCTGGAGGGCATTCTCGTCTACGTAGGTCCTTTTGGCAATGGGTGGGGTTGGCGTTGGGAGGCAGAGGAAGAGAGTGAGGGAGAGGAGGATGAGCAAGGGTGGGAGAAGAGGGCCCAGCGAGGAAAGGAGGGAGAGGAGACGTTGCCGGAGTACTAGGCGCCGCAGAGCGCGAGGCGAGGGCGCCGCTGTGGGAGTGGGCGACTGCTGCGTTTCTTCACTGATAGGAGGTCTTGACGATCCATTCTGCAGCGGGGTCGAGAACGTGCCCATAGCAGCGAGCGTCTCGTCCGCTTCTGCCTCGATTTCCTCTTCCTGCTCCAACTCCTCCTCTAATAGCTCGTCCTCAGGTTTAGAAGGTACTATCTCAGGTGTAGGAGGTCTTCTCTTCGTTCCATTGCTGCTACTATTGGTCGAGGTCCGCGGCGTCTTGGAAGCTCGTGGTTTCCTAGCCTTTCCAGCTCGGCTTGGCGTGGCTACCTCCCTCAGCTCATCTTCCTCTTCATCCTCGTCCCTCTCCATCAACACCGGCGTCCTTGTTACTCGAGAACGCGAAGCCCTTGGCGTCCTCGCCGGCGGCGGCGAGCTGAGAAGAGCACGATCGGCTTCATCGTCGTCGCTCGCCTCCTCCTTGACGACTGCTGGTCCAACGCTCCGCCTCGTGCTTCGCGCAGGCGTGCTAGAAGTCGAAGGGGCTGCGCTGCTCGTCTCGACGGAGGCGGAGCGCGATGAGAGACGGCGCGAGGAGCGACGGGGTGTCGAGGTAGCTGAGGTCGACATGATAGCAGCGTCGAGTGTTGGGCTCGAGAAGTAGAGCCCCGCACCTATATGCAGGAGTTCAAGATGAGAGGATGGACCAGGATGATCCGAGCGAGCGGCGTCAAGCCAAAAGACGGACGGACAGGCGGAGCGGACAGAGGAACGCGAGCCACGAGCCACCAGCCGCGCCTTCGCAGAGCTCAGCCCCCCCCCACGATCAAAGTCACGTCGTACTCAGCCACGCCTCACAAGCAGCTCTCAGACAGAGAGAGAAAGGGTGACGCATCTATCTGTTGAGCGATTGTATCTAGCCGCGTGAAGCTTCGAGAGGTGGATAGCAATACAAGGGACATTAAGGAAAGAAAGGAGAGGAGAGGTGGTGGATGAGGCTCGACTGGCTTGAGGGAGGGAGAAAGGGCGGGGTGAGCAGGCATCGTGCGCCGAGCTCGTCTATAGGTGATCGTGAACAAGAGCAGAGAGGAAAAGTCAAGCCAGGCGGATGAGAAAGTGTAGGAACGGAGTAGCGCAGCACTCATGCACTCGTCTCCATTGCCTCCTCGCTCCTACTCCTCCCCTGATCCAACGAGGAGATAGGCGGGAGAGCCACAGGCTGGTTCGGCGAGGTACCCGCACTGGCGCTTCCATTGGCGTGGATGGGCGTCATGGCGAACAAGCTCTTGTGGGACTTGCCACTGACACCATTGGAACTGCCGCCATTCAAGATAGCATCCCCACCTTGTGGGCCATTACTGTTAGTCCTGCGCAACAAAGGAGGCAAGACCGTGTGGTGCCCTGAGCCAGACTGAGGCGACGTTGGACGGGAGCGGGAGCTGATTGGCAAGGCAAAGGAGGCCTGAGGGGAGTGCTGCACACTTGAGTGACCTGGTCGACCGTACGCTCCTGAGCCGACACGTGGTGGCGGGCTGAGCTCGCCGTGCGAGTTGGACGACTGTCGCGAGTGGCTGGCCGCAGGCGCCTGACGCAGCTGAGCGTGCGACAACTGTGGCGACGTCAATGGTGAGGTGGCGCGACTAGCCGGAGCGGATCTTGAAGCACTACGCTTCGCTGAGCTGCCGTACGGATGGAAGTTGTGCGCGTGCGTCGCGTGGTGGTGGCCGTTTGCTACCGAGTGGAGTGGTGAGTGGTGAGCAGATTGATGTTGCGGGTGGGCAAAGAGCGAAGGGAGCTGGCGTGAAGAGGAAGACGAGCCAGACGCCTCTGCCAGGGAGGGCAGATGCGTTCTTGATCCACCTGCTGATCGGGCCACGAGCGAATCAGAGGGCGTGCGGTTCTGCTCCTTGACGAGGCGACGAGGGTCCGGGGTCGGTCCGCTCAAGTGGTAGGCACTAAGCGAGAGGCTGCTTGACGAGTTGCTGCCGCCAAAGGCGTGGGAACTCGTGCGCGACAGCGAGGTGTTGTGCTCGTCGGTGGGCGTAGTATGGCCGCTGACGCGCGCGGACGATGTGCCTGCGAGGGACGGCAGGTGGTGGTGTGACTGCGAGCCCGTGGCGTACGGGTGCGAACGATGACGGTGCGACGGGTGGTGACCTTGCCCTGCGACGTGAACTGGCGCAGCGTGATGGACGGGCGACGTGTGGTGGTCAGGCGGCGACTGCCTGCGAGTGGGCGAACCAGGGCGCGAAGGGTAGGGCGAGTTGGGCACCGTGTGCGAGAAGAGACTCATGCTCTTGAGCGGGCCGAGGACGGGGCTGCTGGAAGGGGTCCATTCTGCGTGCGGGAGCGCATGTGAAGCCGCAGATGGTGCTTGAGGCGGGCCAGGAGCAGCCAGGCGGGGCTGAGGAAGCATGAAAGGGGCGGGGACGCCTCCATGCTTGGCGGCTCCTCGGCGGTAGTCCTCGTGAGTCTGACCTTCGCCGTCGCTCGTGTATTCGCCGCTCATGTTGGAGTCCTGGGGGGAGAAGCGGGGCGAGTGCTCGCGACTGCTGGGCATGCTTGATGGATTTGACGCGAGCGTGCGAATGACGTGAGAACCATAGGCAGGGACTGGAGGGCGAGGACCGTACGAGTAGCCATAGGGGGCTGCGGGCGGTGCAGTAGATTGAGGAGGGGGAGGAGGCTGCATGCCGGATGCCTGGTGATGCAGAGGCGCAAGAGCAGCTGCGATGCGCTCGTTGTAGGAGCGATGGCAGTCTGAGTGAGCGCAGCCAGGGGGTCGCTCTGCTGGTGCACCGCCGGCCACTGGAGTGGCAGTGACGGGAGGCAGGCCGTGGCGAGGAGCAGTACCAGGAGGAGGGGGGCCACCGCCGTAGACGTAGCCTGGGTATTGAGGATGATGGGACATTGCCTCGGGCGGCGGAGGGTGAGGGTACCCATAGCCGTAGTACTGCTGGTGCTGGTGCATGGTGTGAGGTGGTCTCCTGCCTGCCTCTTCCTGCTTGTGGATCTCCTGCAGCTCATCCTGTGCGAGCATGGCGAGAGCGGACATCTCCTGACTCGCCGGAGGAGGACGCATGCTAGCATGGTGTGGGTGATGGTTGTGCTGCTCATCATCACTGCCTCCGTCCTCCCCGAGGTGCCACTTGACGTGATGATCTGACGAGCCCCTGCCCGTCTTCTTCGCACCTGCACCGCCAGGACCCTTTGAGGCCTTTGCCTGTCCACCGCCGCTCACGTCGTCCTTCTTGGCATGAGTCCCACCATTTTGGTGAATGCGCAAATGCCGAGTAAGTTCGTCTGAACGAGAGAAGCGCTTCTCGCAACCTGGGAAAGTGCAGACATGAGGCTTCTCGCCCGTATGAGTGCGGATGTGACGGGTCTGATGCTCGACTGGAAGTGGTACAGACAGGGGTGACGGGCGAGTCTGTCAGCTACGGATGCTCAGTATCGTGTCTCTTCCCCTATCGCTGGTACTTACGCCTGTAGAAAGCTCGGTCACAGAGCGGACACTTGTAGGGTCGAGGGATCTGCGACTTGTCGACGACGTACGACGCAGCCTGAGGAGCTTCGTCGTGCGCAGCGGGCGCAGCGGCGACGGACTCCATATTGGTGAGTGGGAGGGTGGGAAGAGAAAGAGGCTGTGTCTGTGTGGTTGGAAGGAGGAGGGTCAGTCTTGCCGTCGTGGACTAATTGCAGAGGGGAGCGTGAGAGTGAGGATGCGGGGGAATCAAGGGGACATGACCTCCATAGTGTGCTTCAAAGGATGGGGAAGCGGGGTTTGCAATCGATGAAGGGAGCGAGCGCGTCCGACGATCGAGGAGGGAGGTCCAAGCGTTTCGGAGACGGCCTTTTCTCGCCTCGAAAGCAAATGGCCCGTATATGCGCTGCGCTCGTGATAGCGGATTGGCGAAGCATAGGGCTGACTCCGAGATGTGCATGGATGGATGGATGGCGAGTACTCACGTTGTATGGCTATCAGTCCTCTTTTGACGATGGTAGTGATGACGAGGGAAAGATGAGAATAGTCGGGGCCGACTGCAGAGGGAAGCCGAAGTTTGGCGCCCGCCTTGGATGTGTCGTGTGGCGATGAGGAGTTGGCGCAGCAAGTGATGCTAGCTGATAGCTGATAGGGACAGCGTTGTTGTGGGGTTATGGTGGTGATGGTGAACAGGTGAAGAGTGTGGACGACGGCGGATGGAGTCGTGAGATTGGAGTCTGCCGCTGCGTCGGAGGAGGCTGAGCTGAGTGAGAGAAAGAACGGAGGGGGGCGTTCCAAGTGGGGGCGAGAGGGAGGGGGGCGAGGCAAAAGCAAGCAAGCAAGCGGTGGCCTGAATCACCGGGTCTCTCTCTCAGCCACGGTCTTGTCGTCGTCGTCTGTCTCTCTTCTTGACGACGCAAGTTCAAGTTTGGCTTTGGCCTCGGTCTCGTCTCGCCTCTGCGACCGACGCTCGCCTCTCCCTCGGGAGCGGTTTACTCCGTCGTTCGCATTTGGGCTCCAGAAACGACCCCCGCGTGCGTGCGTGCGTGCGGGTGGTCGCCGTCCGTCTCCAGTCTGCGGGGCCGCCTTGGTACCTTGTCCCGACAGCCAGAGACGAAAACTTCTTCTCGCACGGCGGCAAACGTCACAGACTACATCGGATCATCGTACAATCCACGACACGCTCCAAGTCACACTGGTAGACACGCTAGTGGTGTTGCTGATGGCAGGTGAGAGAAAAAAAAGGGGGGGTCTAGGCTGATTGCGCTGCGATGCCCATGCTGCCTGCTTGCCCGCCCACGAGGGTGTGCGCCTCAAAAAAAGCTGGGCCCGGCGAATTTCCCCGGGGGCGGGGAGGACGAGGCTGGGCGTGGCGTGGCACGAGAGGGAGACAAGAGTCGAGGCGCGGCTCAGCGACGACGACGACGACGACGTAGCTTCTTTCTCTGCTTCAAAGAAGAACAGAGAGTGTGGTTGAGGCCATGGGCAAGCTGCTGATCAGCTGGCTGATTTCACGAAGGGCGTTACGATGTCCGCTGGTATCAATGTGATGACGGCGATGGTGTTGCACCGCGGGACGGGCCCACCTCAAGTAAGCGATATCGAGGAACCGGGACGACGAAAGACGCAGATAGCGGGGAATAAGGGGCGAGTGGGCGAGTGGACCAGCGATGGACGAGAGAAGGCAGAGAGGGCCGGGACCGGCGGAGATGGAGAAAGGGGTTCACAGCGAGAGGCGAGGTTTGCGGGGGCCGATGCGATCAGGCGAGGTCGTGATCGTGAAAGACATGGCGATGAGCACGCCACGCCACGCTCCGCTCGCACGCATCACTGCAATCGTGAGATCGATATCACAAGGGGCGACCAGATCTCTTTTCGGCGTTGCCAGCCGGTATCGCAGTCAACCGGAAGAGAGCGGGGGGTACGAGCGTGATACCGTCGTGCTCCACTCACACGGCGCGACCGGAGATGTTAGTGAGCAGCGCAGGTGCGCGCGTGAGGACCGCTCGATTGATCGGCCGTTACCGGTGTCTTAGCCGCAAGGCGCTCTGGGAGCAAGATGAGGGGGCCCCAGGCTGTCGAAGAATTAGCGTTGCGGTGTGAGTCTCTCTATCTTGCGGTCAGGGGGAGGCGGCACACGACACTTCAACGCTATTCCTTGCTATACAGAAGATGAAGGCTTAATGCGTACGAGATGACGCTCCTGGTGGCTTAGCGATAGGCGTGACCTTTTGATCCCCCGCGCAGCTCAGGTGACCCATCTTTACATCTTATCGTGCACCACCCCAGGGTACCCCAACATCTTTGATTAGGCTTCTTGGCAGGGATGGCGGCAGCCAAACCATCCTAATCCCTCCGCCCGCATCTGTCTGTCGAGAATAGCAGTCGCCGGAGCCCGTACGCACGGCGGGGGTGGGGGCAGCGGCGAAGAGCATGCCTTCCCCTGGGGTCTGGCCTGGGCTTGCCCTCGGCGATCTCGACTCGACGCCGGTGGGGTGGCGGCGCCCCGCATCGCGAAGGAAGCTCTCGGTCTTGACGCACGCATGACGTGCATCCACAGCCACAGGCCGGCGCTCTCAGCCTTGTTCTCCTTTCTGTCTTTCGTCGTCGATCTCTCCCTAGGGATCGATCGGCTTCTCGACGCGCTCAACAATGACAGCGAGGCGAGGTCACGATTCAACGTCATCCCTCGATGATGTGGGCGGCTCTCATAGCGTCGGCTGCTCCAGTGTCGCGTGGTCACGTCCGCGGTGGCCATCATGCAAGTACGGGCGCCTCACAACACAAAGACTGCGGTCAAGATAAGGTCCATCAATGACCGTCACGGCTCGCAATGAAGCGACAGAGGTCAATCAGACACGTGTCGGCCCCCGCGACCTCACGAGCGCAGCGGGCTCACACCGCAATACCTCTCTGCAAGGCTCGCACCAGCCCAGCGCTATCGCTCATACGGCGGCCAAACGAGATACGCTTCTGACCCAGCATCGCGCCGCTATTGAGTCATCAAGAAGCGCTGGGCAATTTTCTCGTCCCGTACCGACGATGTCAGTTGAAATCCTGCCGCTGCTCCCGCTCGCCGCCGCTAGTCGGGCCGTACCTCTGCGAAGAAAGCCCTCAGCCCACGAGCAATGCGTTATTTCGGCCTCCCCTTGCCTCTTCTTTCTTCTTTGCCAACTCCCCATTGCCTCCTCGACCCAAAGCAACCTCGCTCACCCACGCTCAACATGCTCACCGTTGCTCCCTCGCTTTGTGCGCTTGTCTACGGCGCCCTACTCGCCGCCGCCTCGACGGGCATCACCTACCCTCTCGTTAAGCAACGCATCCCTTCGGCATTGGCTGAGCGCGCAGGTTCTGGTGCTAGTCTCACCATCGACCCACCTCAGTACGCGTACACGACTGACATTGGCATCGGCAAGGCTACTTACAAGGTCGTCGTAGCCACAGGCACGCCGCAGACGACGCTCGGCAAGTCAGCAAACTATCGCGGCGGCAAAGATACTGGCCGAAAGGGCAAAGGCGCCCTCTCAGGGGGTCTGAACTACACCGTTAACGTCTACGAGGACACTATCGCCGTCGGCGGGATCTCTGCAATGGCAGCTGTCGGCGCCACGGATCAAATGGAGGTCATCCTGAACGACCGAGGCACCGCGACTCACCCCGTGGGCATCTTCGGTCTCGCGCCCGACTCCCCGCTCGGCTTCAGTGCCATCGACCAGAGCTTGAAGCCATTCGTTTCCACGTCCAACACCGCTTTTGCCATTGACCTCGCCGCCAACACGCTTTCTTTTGGAGACTCTTTCTCCCCGGGCTTCTGGCTGCCCCTTCCCACCAAGGGCAACGTCTGGAACGTAGACGGCACCATGGACGGCATCTACAACTTCGAAGCAGCCGCCATCGAGTCGGCCAGCGACACCATCTCCGTGGACTTAGCCGTGAGTGCAACGGCGTCTATCTGTAGAGGCACTACAGCTGACCTTCTGTTCCGAGCCCACCCAGTCGGCAAAGAAGATCTTTGCCGCCAAGAAGCTCAACGCGACGATGAAGATGATCAACCACGCCCAAGTACTCGCCGCCGCCGTCGACTGCGAGCGTGGTGGTCCTTCCTTTACGCTTGGTTTCGGCGCAGGCAAGACCATGCGCTTCGTGGGCAAGGAGACGGTAGTCCGCGAGGAGAACCAGTGCTTGTACGTCGTACAGGGAATGCAGCTTGATATGTCGGAGTGGGTTCTGGGCTGGCCTTTGTTCAAGAAGAAGGGTGGGGTCGTCTTTGATATCAAACAGACGCGCGTTGGGCTCAACATGTGAGAATCATGGCGAGACTGGCTACACAAGGCCGGCGTACCCAGGTGCATTGCCTGCTCTCACGGTGGGAGTCTGATCCACCTCTGCTCTCACGCGTGACGGACTATCTTCCTCTTTATATAATCACCCGAAACTTTCCTATACACGATCACCCGAAATGCTAATATGTGCTGAACGCCAAGAGTCTTGCTGACATTCTTTACGGCGTGCTTCTCCCCCGCAACGCCGTTGATGCTACCCAGCATCGATCGTCGGATATCCTCTCCGCGCCCACGCTCATCGCACCGGCCGAATCGCTCAGCCTCAGGGGTCTCACGTACCTTGCGCGAGGCTGCCTGTGTCTCTCACAGCTACAGGGCACACTTGACGTGGCAAGAAGCAAGCACCGTAGAGGTCACGCTTACTTTCTACCATACTGTATGTGACCCTGCTGCAGGCGGGAAGAGGTCATACCACGCGATTCGGCAGAATCTTCCACGATTCGCGCCTTCTTGAACTCGAAAAAGTTAACAGTATCACAGCCTTAGTGCTCTTGCACCTCTCATCCCTCACAAGACGCAATCGTGGCCTCATACCGCTTCCGCTCGAAATGCTGCCACACTTTGTGCTGATGCTCCTCACACGAGTCGGGCTTTTGCTTTCGCAGATGCTCTCCCTCGCCCTCCCTTCTTACGGGGCAGGCCTGGGGTACTGCTACCTTACAACGAACTGCACGGGCACCTCGACCTTTATCCAGGGCACCCTCAACCAGGTCAAGACTCTCAGCGACGGCGATGGCTGCCAGTCGTGGAAGATCTACCAGCCTTACGGTTTCGTCTGCCAGAATGGGTGCGCCAACTGCTCGAGTAATTCCGAGAACACGATGTGCTTATGCTGCGGTTGGCACAATTGGTGTCCTAGCAACGAGACTAGATTGCAGGGGGGCCCTTTGAGGCTAAGCATTGGGGATGGGAGAAGCGAGTAACACGCAGGACGTTCGGAGGATGATGAAAGATTCAGACGTAGAGACATGGGGAGCAGGGCGCCACTTCATACACACTGTGCATGACAAGACGTAGGGGCGACGGCCCAGACACACGAGAAGCCGTCGGGGGAGCGAGCGATATATGCCGAAATGCAGTGGTCGTCACCTTGTCAGCGTGTTGCTTGTGCATCGACTGCTTCTGCCGCTGCTTAGAGGGACTTGCTGCTGCAGTGCCGTATGGCGGCACGCCGAGAGCTGCGTGCACGGAGTATTGTTCACCGACTTGGCATTCGGCTACTACATTCAGACAGAACGCGCTCGTTGCCAGTGCCGCTAGAACGAGGTCAGCTTAAGTGGCCGGCTCTGCTTGCCACTCCTCTCCCCCTTCTCATATGCTCAGACTCTAATCTGTCGCAGCTCCTCAACACACTGCCGCAGCTCAACATGCCTGCCCACTCTGCCGTCCTCAGCGTTTTGCTCGCCCTCTTGCTTCTCATCGTGCCCAAGGTCATGGCCGACTTCTGCTGCTCGTACCCAAATGGTGGCGGCTGGTGAGAATCACAGAGGTACGGTACACACTTCCTGCACTGACTAGATGCCTTCTTTGTCCCGCTGGACGTACAGCTACAGCCAAGACACTGGCTGCATCTTTCCAGCTTTAGAAGCGAACTGCTGCACTCATGCTGACGGCAGTCGTGGACTCGATAGGTTCGGAAACTTCCCTCTGACGGAGCTCAAGCCGGCCGTGAGCGGCAAGCTTGAAGGGAAGAAGAGGGACCGTGACGAAACCAAGCCTGAGAATCTTGCCATGGTCAGAGGCCAGTAGTGCCGTCAGATGGAGGAAGAGTGATGTGGTCGGCAGGAGGATCAGGGTGTTACGCCGACCGAGCGGTGGGCCGACGTGGCAGCGACTCCGTGTACTACCTCCGAATGGCTGATCCTGCTCATTATCCTTGACGTCCCACGCCCGTCGCGACATCCATTGACACGCGTTCGGCCACGCTTGGCATTGCTTCGACGACGACTTACAACGCGGTCATCCTTCCTATAAGCAGCGTGAGCTTGATCCTTGCGCAAATATTTTCTCCCAACAAGCAGCCATTTTCTGGAGATGCACACCCAATTTTCGTTGGTCACCGCAGCTATAACCGGTCTCGTGCTCCTGCTCGCCATCGGAAAAGCCCACGCTTTCTGCTGCTCTTATCCCTCCGGATGGTGAGTGGGACTCTTCCTGAAAGGCAAAGGCATGGAGAAACATTCGTGAGCTGATGACTGCCCTTATGACCGGTCATGCAAAGCTACACCTCGAGCGAGAACTGTACCAGTCCCGGGGTTAATGCCAACTGCTGCGGACCCCCCGACATGGCGCAATCTCCCGACGCTACATCTCGCAACGAGTTCGTGCTGACAAAGATCGAAGATCATCCCTTCGTCCATCGCGACAACGCCAGCCATTAGGCAGACAGTAATGAGCTTCGCTCTGAAGCCTGGCGGCGATCAGGACGAGATACAGTAGCGACGACAGGCGGGCGAGCTGAGGCGGCAATATTGAGTCGGCGGCGGTACCAAAATCCCATTCTCAACAAATAGACCAAGCGGGAAGGAGATGGTTGCCGTGTGGCAATACTTCGGCCTGTTTTGTAAGCCCCTCTGAGCATAGTCGCCGTAATTACGTAGCTGTGAGCGTGAGCAGTGTGGCAAAAACAAATACATGTCGCTTCATCGAATACCTCAACGTCTTTCAGCATCCCCTTGCCCGCCAGGCGCGAACCTCTGCAGAAAGCTTTCCTTTGCCCATGACCTTCTTCAACATGCCTCTTCTCGCTCTCGCTGTGCTACTATTGCAGATCAAGCCGGTCATTGGCGCGACTACTTTCTGCTGCAGCTATCCCAACAAATGGTCAGTCGCACGACCACGCGCGTCCGCCTCGCTGCTTCGCTGACGATGTCCAGTCATGCTCCTCCACAGCTACAGTGAAAGTCTGCCCTGCTCAATGCCGCTCATCAACTCGACCTGCTGCAACCACCTCACGCATAGGACCCTGGGCGGTCATGGCGACGAGTCGCTGATGACGATGGAGCTCAACACTACGGCACTCGCAGCTGAGCAGAGTGTCATCGAATGCAACGTCGAAGCCGGGTTTGCGGTCTGCTCTTTCCCCTTAGACCTCGCCAGGAAGAGTCAGCAAGCCAACGCCGCATGAGCTACGCAGGAAACGGTTGCTCTAGAATGGAGAAGGTTGCCGAGGGCTTAACAAGTTGTGAAATCTTTGTCATGCTCCGGCTCGATAGACTGCTTGTCCACAGGCCAGAGATTCCTCCAGACACACGCACATCTACTCTAGACCAGTCACTCCTCACGATCAGATGATGTAGAAGGGGCATAGATACACATGACATTCAATAGATGACCACAGACAACTCGAGACTGATACTTTCTCCTTCCATTCGCTTCCCCATCTCTGTCACTTCACGCTTACAACCAAGGCATCCAGAGTGGGTCATTGAGCGCCAGCTTTGCAATGCTCGTCGCGCTGTTGGTCAAATCAATCGTGACCTGGTTGTTGAGCGCGTGCGGCGGCGTGTCCGCACCACCAGTCGCTCCGCCATTCGCATTTCCTCCATTTGCGCCATTGCCATTCGCGGCAGGCGGCGCCCCACCCGCAATCAAACTCATCCTCTTGATGATCTCCTGGCATGTCTTGTCCACGACCGCAACGGGCGTCTCGCGAGGCAGGTCGTCGCGCACGAAGAGACCGAGCAGCTCGGCCAGCTTGGCAGGATGCTCGGTGAGCGCGCGACCCATTGTCGAGAGGCCAGCAATGAATGCTCCCTCGATGAGGCCAGCACCGATGAAGGTCTGCATCGATGGACTGAGCCTGAAGGGTACAGCATCTGCGCTCTTGAACGGCGAGTTGGAGTTGAAGGCGGGGAGTAGGTCGCTCTGGTGCACCACACCCGTATCGCGCGCGATGTGGAAGCGACTGGGCTGCCTCGCGCCAATAAAGAAGCAGTAGCTGAGCAGAGAATTGGCAGCCATAGATAGCGTGAACTGCTTGCGGCAAAGCCAGAGATCCTGAGGCGTGCGCATGCTCTTGGCCATGTAGTCGCTGAGTACCGTGTCCGGGCACAGCTTCGCTACGATCTCCTCCAGCAGCTCGGTGCGGACGTTGGACTGCTCGGCGAGGCTGCGTTGCGGGCTCCAGCCAAGGCTCTTGAGCTTCTCGACCCACAGGTGGACCGGATCCTCTTTGCCTTGCCCGACTGCACGGCAGTGCTCCTCCCAGACATCGTACAGGGACACGACACCCGCCGAGGTGGACATGAGGCGTGCATGCGTAGTAAGAGGCACGGCGATGGGCGTCTCGAAGAAGAGGCCGCGCCTGCGAGTCTGGATTCGACGCTCCAGCACACCATTGAGGCAGCGGAAAAGCTGCATCGTCTTCTCTTCGCGACGGCAGTGGCGCGGCGTGTTGAGCGAGACCTGGAACATGTGGACAACACCCTTGTTGCTGAGCATCGACAGCCTGCGTGTGCATGCACCGCTCGATCGAATGACCTCGAACGTGTTGCTGAAGCGGGCGATGCGCACAAAGTCACTGTTGTTGTCGTGATGCTCGAGGTACTGGCCTGGCACTTCAACCTCGTCGAACTTGAGGTGCTGGAACTCGCAGAGGAAGTGAGACGAGTGCTCCAAGGGGTAGCGCTGAGGGCGGCGGTCGATGGCCATCTCGTAGCGGTCACGCCACTGCGCCAGGCGCTTGATTGCCTCGCGCAGCGTAAGGTCGGGCGTCTTGATGAAGTCTTCCTCAAACGAGTCGCGCAATGGACTCGCGGCTAGGTTCTGACTAAAGCGATGCAGGTTCTGGCGCGTGGGAGCGGGCAGACTACCGTCGTCATCTGGCATCATGGCGCGGGTGATGTACTGCTGCATTGCCTCGCTGAGCAGTGCATTCATGAGGCGATGCAGGTCCTCTTCCGCAGATGCCTTGAAGCGTTGGATGATCTGCTCGGCCATGTTCTCCATCGTGAGTGCGAGGAGCGGGAAGGCTGTCTTCAGAACGTTGATGACGCCGTCGACGTGGTCCCATGGTTGAGGAGCGGCGCTAGTGTCAGTACTGCCTGCCGAGGGAGTGCCAGGTGCAGCTCCGGGAGTGGAGGTATTGGCCGGTCCAGAGGCGCTGGCAGCGTTTGTTGCTGGCGAAGATGTTGACGCAGCTTGAGATGGTGCGGCTGCAGACGTCGGTGCCGGTGTAGGAGCAGCCGCAGGAGCGGCCGTCTTGTCCTTCTCCTTGTCGTCACCTCCGGCTGGCGTTGCTGGCTTCCCTTCGTCGGCCTTGGGCTTGTCACTGCTCTCGCTGGGCTTGGCGTCGGTGTCCATCTTGTCGTCGGGGCCAGCGCCGTCTGCAGGCTTGTCTTGACCCTCTGCGCTTGATGATACCTTGTCGCTTTCACCGCCTTCCTTCTTTTCGTCCTCCTTCTTCTCCTCGCTGACCTTGTTTTCACCGCTCTTCTCCGATGTCTCCGTCTTGTCCCCGTCTCCGCCGCTCTTGCTGCCATCACCACTGGACTCTTGAGTGGCAGCCGCCGCAGCTGCGGCTGCCCTCTGGGCCTGCTGGGCCTGCTGGGCCCTCTCCATCTGTTGCCTAGCCTGGTATGCGCGATGCGCCGCCAAGTTGCGTCTGAGCACATTGTACTCCTCGCGCGTTGTCCTCACGCTGTAGTAGAGTGCCTGCGGGTAGCTCTTTGCGATGGAGACCAGGATGCGCTTGGCTACGACCACCTCGCGATGATTGAGCGCTGCGAGGAGCTGCGGAATGAACGTGACCCAGTACCACGTCGGGTGCTCGCCCCTGAAAGACTCGAATGCCTGAATTGCGGCTTGCTGCGAGTTCTCCGCGCCGAGCAACCAGAGCACGCGTACCAGCACCTTGCGTACCTTGCTATTCTTGTACAAGCTCGCAGCCTGCAAGTAGCAGCTCGTCGCGCTGCCCGCATAGAAGCCGTTGGCAGGATCATTGCGCAACATTCTCTCGTTGTAGCGTCCCCACTCGATCCATGCCTTGCCCAGGCCGAGGTCCATCTGGATGGCCGTCGCAAAGGCGTGATTGGCGTCTTCTGACAAGCCTAGCTTCTCCATGAACATGCCCTTGAGCGTGAAAAATTCAGCCTTCTGCGGCGCGGCAAAGAACATGAGGTTCGTGTTGTTGATGACCTCTAGACCTTGACCGAGCTCGGCGGGGTTCTGGTAGTGACATTTGGCTTGCTCGCGCAGCTTGAGGAAGGCCTCCTGGATCTCGATGTTCGGCAGCGTGTAGATCTTTGTGAGCGACGAAATGCACACGTCGTTGAGATGGTGCTTGCGAGCGACGTGAGCGAAGCGATTGATTATCCACGCGGTCTCGTGATAGCCGCGGTAGGCATACGAGTTGGTGCTTGAGCCTTGTGCGCCATTCTGCTGGAGATGAGGAACCAGTGGAAGGTACGCCTTGTTGACCGCAGAGAAGACGTGCTGGCGCCAGGCGACGAGATCGCTCCATGCATTGATGTCGTCGCAGAGGTTGGGCAGTCGCTCCCTCCACGTCTGCATCAGTGTCTTGAGGTCTGAAGAGCGCTGATCAATGTTGGCTGCGTTCGTCTGCGCCAAGCTCGTGAAAATGGTGCTTGCCTCCTGCAGCTCGATGAATTGCTGGAAGATCTGTAGGAGAGGAACGTGGGCTTGCGTGACCGTCGAGGGCAGCGAATGCCACTTGCGCAGCGATAGCTGTATGGCTTCGTCGCAAATGGAGCCGAACTCGGACGACGAGCGATCTTGCTGCTTCAGCAAAGCCATGAAAGCGGCAAAGACGCGGCGACGAGGCGTGGGCACCGCAGAGAGAGAGTCAAGAGCTTGCTCAAGGTAGTCTTTCTCTTGCAACCAGTCGCTGAGTCGCCAAGCGCACTCGAGGAGCAGGTCATGGTTGCCCTCAAGCTTGGCCAAGTCGGTGAGGATCTCCCACTGCTGAAGCTTCTGGGCGCAGATGACCTGGTGCGCGGATCGGAGAGAGAGAGCAGATGTAAGTCTCACACGGCCAACAGTCAGTCCTACGCGGGCACAACAACTCACCCAATGATCCTCCCACAAGCTATACTCTGCCTCGGTGAACGTCAACACGCCCGATCGCGCCCTCATCTGCGCATTCTCATACGCCACCTGGGCCTTAGCCCACATGCCGCTCTGCTCATAGGCAATGGCCGAATTGCTCTCTGCATACACGCATCTCCTCCTCCACAGGCCATAGAAGGCGTCCTCTTCAGCCAGCTCAGCAAACATCTCCGCCTGCGCGTCCAACGTCGCCTCGCGGATCGAGTCGTCTTCGCGCGGCAGGGTGTTGATGAGATTCTGCAGCAGGTCGACGGACGTGTGCCAGGCTTGGAACGTCTTGCCTAGGTACTTGACGACATGAGGAGGCAGCTCAGGTTGTGGGCGACAGGCTTGAGCACTGTCCAGAAGGGTCTGCACGACATTGGGGCGGCGAGTGACTTGACGGAGGTGGTAGTCGCGCGTAAGAATGGCGATGAGGGAGCGAGTGACATCGAGCTGATACTTCCGCGGCAGCGAAGACCAAGCCGCTCGGAAGACGTCGACGAAGATGTCGTGTGCGCTCTCCTTTGATGCGTAGACGAGGCCGCGAAGTGCGCGGATGAAGGCACCCGTCGTCATGCTCTTCATCTGCCCGACGAAGGCAGCGCCATGTCGTGAGGAGAGCGAGGGCGTGACAGCCACCAGCGGCTTGTCTCCATCGATGGACCCCAATAGCAAGTCGAGCACCTGCGTGATCCAAAAGTGCTCGGCCATATGTTCCCAGCTCTGCTGGCCGAGCAGGTATTGTAGTCGACCGGGAACAGCCTTGATCAGCGTGCGATCGAAGACGTCAAGGAACTTCTGACGCAGCTGCGGGTCGCTGTGCCTGCAGCCAAGCAAGAAAGCCGGCTCAAGCTTGACAGTCAGCTCCGTACGGGCGAGCTGAGGCGACGTGTAGATGGAGTAGATGAGCTCAAGGTATTCCTTGAGCAGCTCGTCGTCGTCACGATTTTCGAACGTGATCATCTTGACTAGGAGACCGGCTTTCTCCTTGACCGTAGGGAACTGCTCCTTGCCCTCCAAGACCCACTTCGACAGCGTGTTGAGTAGAAAGCGGCAGACGTCAATGCTAGACGACTTCTCGCCAAGCTGGACAGCGGCGCTGAGCCACCAACGACGCTGGTCTCCGAGGTGTGAGATGCGCGTCTTCGTAAGGTCGAGAGCCATGAGCAGCAGCTTGACGTGCGCGTCCACGCCGCCATAGGCCTTGATCGCCCCTCCCGGCCCAGCTTGCTGCTGTTGCTGAGCAAGGTGATCCTTAGTGAAGCGCGACAGCGCCTTGATGAGCGGCGAGAGGTATGCGTCAATGCGCTCCGGCTTGGACTTGGCCCACGCGCCAAGGACGACAAAGGCAGCGTACGGATTACGGAAGTCGGCAAACCCATCCTGAATCGCCTTGTCGCCGAAAGAACGCACGATGCTGGGCACCTCCTCTGGCTCGTGATGCGTCGACTTTGACTCTGCAGCAACGGACTTGACCTCGGTCGGAGGCACGCTACCGTCGTCGTCTTCCTCTCCCTCGGCGTCCTTGTCCTCTGGCTGGATGTCGGGCACGGCCTCGAACACACGCTCGAGAATAGAGCGGGTTAACTCGATCACGATGGGTTGCTTCATCCTGACGCTCTTCTCCAGCAACTTGCAAAGCTGTGGTGCATGCGCCACGAACCAGGCGTCGCTCTTCTCCTTGCAAATGACCCGCAGCGCCTGCAGCGAGTTGCAGACGATGTTGAAGGCGTTTCCAAAGGGCTCGACGTCGCTCAGGTCGGCCGCCATGAGCGGCCGCTGGAAGATGTTGAGCTTGATGTCGCAGACGTTCCAGAAGCCCATTGCGGCGATCTCACGGTAGGTGAAGAAGGCTCGACCCACTGGCCCGCGATTCATCGAGTCGGTCGAGAAGCAGATTGAGCGCAAAAGGAAGGTGACCAGGGCCTCGCGGACATTCTTTGGGACTGAGTAGGCATGCTGGTCTGCAACGCCGACAACCGCAGGCGAAGCGGCCTTGTCTGCCTTCTTGTCATCATCGTCCTGTTCCATGCGCACGCGCTTACGAGTGGCGGGCTCGGCAGGGGTGGCGGCCTTCGCTGCTTCTTCGCCATCAGCTGCGGTAGCTGCTGCTGCCCTCTTGCGCGTATTGCGAGTTGTTGGGGGATCAGGGCTCTTGGCGGTGGTCTCTTCCTCTGGCTGCTCATCATCCACATCCATTGCGTCAGCGTCCTCGCCATCCTCCTTCTGCTTCTCGGCCGCTGCTTTCTCCCTCTCCGTAACAGCCGCGATCCTCTTCTTCTCCCAGCGCACGATCAAGTCGACGACATCAATCGCGAGCAACTTCTGCTCCAGTGTCTGGCCCGACCCGAAGCGTGCCAAGCACGCCGGCATGTGCGGCACAAATGAGTCGCGGTACGGATAGAACTGGTCGGCGTGTCGTACGAGCAGATTGAGGATGTTCATCAAGACCGCCGACGTATGGGCTTCTGTCGCGAGGAGGCTCTTCGTCCACTTGACCCAGAGCGGTGGCCCTCCGTCGTTAGGCGCTTGCACTCGTGTGGGCAGAGCGGGCACGAGGATGTCCAGGGCCCGCCTGAGTAGCGCCCTGCCCTCCGGCTTCTCGCTGCGGAGCATCCCCGTGTAAACCTGCCCTACGATCTTCATCGGGCTATCGCAATACTCCAGGAAGCGCGAGATGAATACGTACGCCGCGTTCTTGACCGTCGCATCTTCCGAGGCGATGTGCGCCCAGCCGAATTTGATCGTCTCCCTGCGATTGCCCCCTTGGCTGATGAGGAGATCGACGCAGTGCTCGAGGGTAAGGGTGGACATGTGGAGCAGCTCGACACGATGCCCGTCGTCGGAGCAGAGCTGAAAGCCGAGCTTGGACTGAAAGGGCTTCCAGACGCGATTGACGACTGAAGAAAAGAGGTCGGCGTCGAAGAGCGGGCTGGGAGGGGATGGGGCGGGCTCGGCCATGGAGGTGTCGCCGTCGCTGTCACCTTCCTTCTTCTTGTCCTCGTCTGTCTTTTTCTCATCAGCAGACTGCCTGCCCTCCTCGTCGCCCTTCTTTCCGGGCCGTGCCGTGGCAAACAACACCGGGTTCACCAACACACGCAATGCCTGGCTCTTGAATTCCTGCGAGAATTCTCGACTCTCAAATACCTCGATCCACCTCTCCACGACCTTGCGCTTGAATTCCGTGCTCGCCTTGATCGCGAGCTGTTCATAGCAGAAGCGCAGCAGCGGAGTCATGTCAATGCAGCTCGGATAGGTGAATCCGTCCAGCAGATCAAAGTAGGCTTCCACATCTGGCTGCTGGCGGAGGTACGACTGGAAGACGTCGAGGAGCAACAGGAGCTCGCATTTCGGACCAGCGTTGGTCTCGTTGCGTCGACGAGAGGAGCAGGCAGGTGTGCGCCAGTGTTGTTTGACGGCTGTGAAGACGTCCTGGTTGTCGACAAGCCATGTAGGCTGGCGGGATACAAGGGCTTGAATGAGCTGTAGAGCTGTGCAGGCGGACTGAGGTTGAGGCGGCTGCGATTGCTGCTGTTGAGAGTCATCACCGCTGGGGCGGGAGAGGAGCGAGATGATCATCTTCTCTCTCTTTTTCGTGACCTCGGCGCGCAGCGCCTCTGCTCCCTCCTCAGCGACGCAAAGCCTAAAGCAGCGTGCGTAGCGCTGATCGCCCATCTTGGCGGCAAAGTACTCGCAGGCAGGTTCGGCGTACTTGTCCAAATACGTGGCGAGCGGCTTAGTGAAGGGCGTGGCGCCAGAGCGACGCAAAGTGGCCTCTATGTCAATGACGGTGCTGACCAGCTGGTCCATGAACTGCACAGCCGCAGAGGGGAGGAGCGGGAAGACCCGCACGATGGCGCAGAGCGTCTCAATCACGTCGCTATCCCTTGGCAGCTTGCTGTGCAAGAGGTGATGCGCGTCAGCCCACTTCGGAGGGTCCAGGTCGCCCTCGCTCGCCTTCTCGAGCACGACATTTTGACTGATGTGCTGCATGTGGCTAAGCAATTTGCTGCCGATCTCGACTTTGAAGTACGTGGTTAAGAGCTTGAGCAGACGAGCCAGGCCATCCAGACCGACAACGGTGAGCTTCGATGGGTCGGCCAAGGTCTGCAGAATAGGGCTGAGACCCGAGCGCAGCACATCTTTCGGCAGTCGATGCGAGTCCTTGAGCGATTCGCGGAGCGAGTCGAACGCGACTTGCACCACCTCGTCCGAGCGGGAGTAGAGGCTCTTGAAGTACATGGAGATGATTCGCAGTCTCTGCTCCTGGTGACGTGGCCCCTGGAACTCCGGACGGTCAAGCGCGGAAGCGAGTAGCTTGATGGCAACGATGCGCAGATTAGTGACAGCGATCGTGTTCTTGTACTGCGACGAGCGCCCCACGAGCGCCGAGTCGTCTGCGTCGGCCAATGCACACGCCTCGGTGAGAACGCGAAAGAGCTCCTCGTTGAAGGCGGGGAGGGGCGGCTCGAGGTTGAGGCAGAAGGTAATGGCATCTATGTGCCCGATCTGCATGCCAAAGGGCAGAGCCCGCAAAGGCTTTGTGAAGATGGGCTGGAGCAGTCGATCCTTAACCGGCGTAAGGATCTCGGTGATCGTCTGGCCTCGGAACTCGGCTAGCAACTTGAAGGCCTCCCGCGTCACTGAGCGAACGATGGCGTTGCTGCTGGACAGCTCGCCAACGAGGGCGCCTGTGAGAAGGCCTTGCTGATTCTCCCATTGTCGAGCCAACTGTTCGCGCTCCTCTTCTGGCTGGCTGCTGCCACCCTCGCCTCCTTCGCCGCTCTTCGCTGCAGCCGCCTCGCTGCCCTCGTTGGCTGTGCGTAGGACGAACAATAACGTCTCTCCGACCGCCTCTGCATTGCGTGGCGGGTCGGTAGGCATGTCCTTGAGCATGAAGACGAGAGCGCGGACAATCTCCAATCGGTTGTCGCGCAGCCATGTGACCGGCAGTCCAGCGTCACGCACAAGCGCATTGACGCCTGACCAACCTCCGCTCTTCTTGGCCCAGAGCTTATCGTAACAAAGACCGCACAGCTTGGAGCTGAAACGCTTAACCAGGTACACCCACAGCGCTGCGTCGGTGTCGTCCTTGTTCCCCACCGCCTTGTCCTTCTCCTTGTCTGCGCGCTGCGCTGCTTCACGACAGCTCTCCCGGGTCGCCTTGACCATCGCAAGAACCAGCTTCGTGTGCGCCTCCAAGTCCGCCGTGTCATTTACGATGCTCGACAGGCTCTCCGCTACACCGCCAAAGAAGGCATTGGTGAGAGGCAGCAGCCCAGCGGTAAGGAGCTCCTTCTGGCTCGGCTCGGATGAGAAGCGTTGCCCCTCTAATGCAAAGATATGCTTCGCCACATCGAGAACGTAGGTCGTTGCATCTTCCTTCAGCTCTTCGACTCGAGTGGCTTCAAAGAGGCCTTGCACGACGCGCTCGAACATTGCCTCCTTGGGCTGCTGGGCGTATGTCAGGGTGCCATCCAGATATAAAGCAGCAGCGTGCTTCAGCAGCTCCCACGAGTGCTGGCGATAGTACTTGTCCCCTCGTCGGACATGAGCGCAAGCCAGCTCCACGATTGGCTTCAAGCTCAAGCTCTGCGAGGCACTCGCCGCTGCATCGCCTACGGTGGTCGTCTCGTTCCCGTAGCCAGCGAAGAAGACGGTAAAGCTTCCGGCGTCCTTCGGGCTCTGCCACTTGATCTTTGGGGGCTGCTGCAGTACGCGCCTATTGCGGCCGCCCATCTTGCCCAGGATGCGCATCGTCGTGTGCGAATGGGCGTGCGGGTGAGGAAGAGGCTGCAAGTGCTCCCAAAGCGCGTTCATGATGTCCACCTGGTAGGGAGCCATGATCGGGTCGAGGAATTCTTGCGTCAGGTTGTCGATACAAAGCTCCAGCGTCCTCAGGCCCTGGGAGAGCAAGTCGCCCGATGAGCGCAACGCAAGGACGAGAGGTTTCATCAAGTAGCCGAGATAGGGCAGCAAGGCGCTCAGTCTGACAGGCACCGTGAGACAGAGATCGACGAACGTCTCCCTCTGTGGGCTCTCCGCCGCGTCCATGAAAGCGTGGAGCTGCTCGAGCATTACCGGCAGCAGCGGCAAAACATCCTTGTAGAGCAGCTCAAACTTGCCGCCTCCGATGCTCCTGAAGAGGGCGCGCAGCAGCAAGAAGTAATTGCTAGGCTCCGTGGCTTTGGCGGCGAGCTTCATGGAGTGCATGATGAAGTAGCCAAGGTGGGGCTGGAGCATCTGCTCGTTCTCCTCCGGGTAGATGGTGACTGCCATGAATGCGAGCTTGAAGAGGCGCAGTGTGACGGTAGCATTCTTGCGATCCGCATCGCCCAGCTCGTCCAGCCTATCCGCGAGGAAGCGGAGCACGATGCCAACAAATCGCTTGCTCGTGCTCTGCATGGAGAGCAAATTCTGCGGCACGCCCATGAGAGCGTTGTTGCTGAGCATCATCTCATAAAGGAAGGGCAAGTTCGTCGTGAACACCTCGTGGAACGTGGGCGGGCTTAAGTCGTAGAAGATGGGAATGAAGAGATCCATCATCTCCTTCTCTTGGTTCTGCTCTCGGAAGTCCACCATACCCCAGCAGTCCAGCCCAGCACGGAAGAGGGTGCTGAACGTATCCGCATCTGGCTCTGGTGCTCCTCTTCGTTTCAGGAGGGCGAGGATTGTCTTGAAGCCTGTGAAGAGATTGCGCAGTAGAAAGAGAGTGTCCTTCAGAACGTCGCTCTCGCGATGGTCGAGGAGCATGTGCGCCGATTGGATTGGCTGGCTGCGCTCGATTGAGACGACGTCAATGTCGCCGTCAGAGAGCAAAGCGTCCGGCTTGTCCCCTCCAGCCTTGGCGGCGGCCTCTCGGCGTTTCCGGTTCACTTCCCAATCGCTCTTGAGCCGCGGAAGGTTCTTCATCTTCTCAATGAAGGCGTCGAGAATCTGCCTCAGCAATCTGTTCGTTCCCTCCGGATCATTAGTAATGATCGCCTCGACCAAATTGAGCAGCAGTTTGGCGCACATAGTCTGAATGGCTGGTGCGAGAGAAGGATCGTGCAGTATCTTGCCGTGCAGCTGGACGATGTGGGCTAGCTGTTTCGCAGAGAGGTCGGCACGCGAGTGGTGGATCAGATCGGCAAGCATGCTGATGGCGAGAGGGCGATGCATCTCTCGCGAGGTGATGCCCGTGCCAAGGAGAACGCGATCGTCCAGCAGCGTATCGATGGACGCGGCAAAATGAGCGCGAAGCTCGGTACCCAGGATGTGACGTACGGCGACGAGAAGCTCCTTGCGCGCTCCAGCTGCTTCAGAAGGGCAGTCTTGGAGGAGACGCATGCTGACTCCGGGCAAGATCGAGGCGTAGTCCTTTATAGCCGGCAACCCACTCTTGATCACGTAGGCGAGGAAGCTCATCGTCTTGATCTGGGCCTGGATCATCTCCGAGTACGCAGCTCGATTGCGGATGCCCGGCGCTACGCCGACGAAGATGTCTCCTCGCTGCTTTGCTGCTTCGTGGGCCTCGCGCTGTGGTTGAGCTTGAACGAGGAGGCAGTTGTCGAAGATGACGGGGATGAAGCCGTTGAGGGCCGGGCGCATGATGGATGAGTACGTCTGCAGAACCAGTACGACTGCGATGGGGCATTCTGCGAGAATCTTGAAGCCGCCATGCGTGGATGCGAGCGTCTTTGAACCAGACGTCGACGAGGATGATGACTGCGCTGCAGCTGCTGCCGTAGAAGCTGCGGCTGCGTCGCCCCCTTCAGCAGGTGATGGCGCAGCAGGAGCAGGGGAATCTGACGATCCCTCCGCTTTCACTCCGAAGAAGTTATCGACCGTCTTCTTCATGCTGACGAAAAGTCCCTGAATGAGTTCAAAGAAGGGCATTGCGAACTCTTCGCACTCTTCCTTGCCCGACCTGAGCATGTCAGAGAGGACCTTCATTGTGATCTCGCCATTCTCTTCATTGTCCTCCTTGACAATGTTGAGCAGGACGGGCATTAGCTGCTTTGCGAATTTGCGGACGGGCTCGAAGTTGGGGACGCGACGCATCGTCTCGAGGAGAGCATGACGGAGGCGCTGCAAAGGTGGGGAAGTGAGAGAATGGTAAGCGGGAAGTCAGATGATCATCCAGGCGACTCGCTCGCTACTCACGTGCTCTGGAGCATCAGACTTGAAACTGGGTTGCACGGATGCGAATGCAGAAATGAATGCTGGAACAAAGAGCTTGATGAATCCGAGATAGTCGTGCGTCTGATAATGCTCTGCGCATTCTCGCAGCTCGTATGCGGCCGATAGTCGTTTTGAAATGTCTGAGTGAGAGTGAAGCAGCTGTCAGTGAGGATCATCATGGTTTCAAGATGTTCGCCTAGCTCACCCAGCTTGCCATCTGTCAATCGCGCGGCGACATCGTCCAACTTTGCAGGCTGTGGTCGATGGGATGACGACGACGAGGAGGCCGACGACGAAGCCGCGTTGGCCACTTGACCCGCAGGCAGCGACATACTGGCGCGGATGAAGATGTGGTAGGCGGGTATTCACCCTAGCCACAGACTGTTGCGCAGAGCTATCGCTGTGCCGTCGTCACGATGGCCTCCGTGATGTTGGGTGACAAGCAATGGGGAATATGTATGATGGTGTTGAGGGGAGGAAAGGAAAGCGGCCTCGACGGACAGGCGCGACTCGAGAGACGGAGAGACGGACCTTCGCGCGGCAGACGACGACGATGTCGAGGCAGACGGGCGGGCGAGTTCAAGTCGATGAATCATGTCTTTGTGGCCCGAGCACAGCTGATTGATTCACTTTGTTCTATTCTCAAACCGCTTGACACCACCAGATCATCCTCTAGCATGGCGTCGTCTTCGTCGTCCCTAGGCAGCGGCAATGACGACGCTCGCTATGCTTCAGACCTCACAGTCGACGAGTCGAAGCTGTCAGTTGGCGGCGAGCAGGCAGACGTCTATCTACTGCAATGGCTGGCAAAGCTCGAAGTCGCTTTGGCACGCATACAGGATGATGCCGTCGTCGCAAAAGCACAACCAGCACTAGTCAAGACGCTCCTACGCATCGTCTCACCACTCGCCTCCTCCATCGATACCGTCTCGCCCACCTCATCAACACCGCCAGCCCCAGCGCAGCAATGGCCTCGCCCTGGCCGACCAGCACGCCATCTTCTTGCTCGCTGCCTCTTACTCCTCCTCAGGCGTGGCGACTCGCGCTCGCTCTATGACATAGGACAAACACTCCTCAAGATAGCAGGCGATGACGGCAAAGTCTCGAAGCTTACCTTCGACCGCGAGTCCAAGACGGCCGCTCTCTATGTGCTAGGAGACATCTTCGGGTCGCTCGGACAGCAGGTCATGTCATTGTTCGTTGACATTGTCACCACGACACAGAGGATCTTCAAGCCTACCAGTGCGCCAGTCATTGTGCGATACCATGCGCTTGTGTGCCTGAACAAGGCGATTCTTTGCGGCGGTAAAAGTCTGAGCGATGTTGCTGCCAAGGAGGTCGTCAAGAGCTTGCGATCCGGATTGGCAGACAAGGCAGGAGCTGTCGTGAGGGGTTGCGCAGATGTGAGTGCGCGAAATGAGGTTTGGCATCGCTACGCTGTCTATATCGCTCACCATTTCACTTGCTCTCTGCCGCCCGCAGTGCATCCTGTCTCTCTGCGAGCATACAGACTTCATCGCTAATCGCTCAGACATCGAGTCGATTCTTGCAGCCGCATTCAGGGACATCGAGTCCATCGACTATGTCACACGCCGCGCCATCGCTCGAATGGCAGGCAGCCTTCTCGCTTCGACGCAGCGAGAAAACTCAGCGCCCCCACCGCCTGCTCCCAAGGCCAAGAAAAAGAAGGGCAAACGGGACGATGGAGGCGATGACTCGGAGGAGGAGGAAGCCAATGCAGCCGCAGCAGCCGCAGCTCAACATGCTGCCTCCACGGGGCCAGGAGGAGCCATGTTGTCCCCTCAGAACATGCTCGACCTCATCGCTCAGCCCTTCTACCGCGCAGTGACGAAGAGAGGTCGAGTCGCTCTGCTAGACATCTACGCTGCTACGCTCACCGCCCTCGGGATAGCTTGGGTGCAAACCAACTACGCAACTGTACTCCGCCACCTTATCGATGACTTGCCAAACCACTCTCGCTCCACCGCGTCACGCGCAGAAGTCCTCACGCTGCGCTCCGGCGTCAATCTCATCCTTCGTCGGGTCATTGGAGAGCGTATGCTAGGCGAGCAAGACCAAGTGACCGCAGCTCAGGAGATCTGCAACTCCTATCTCAAGAGATTTCCAGTCGTCATGCCTGGCCAACCGCCGCCGCCCTCCAAGTACACCCTCGTCCTCGCCCTCGGCGAAGTGGCGGGACTTCTCCATCAGCTTGGCAATGCACCGCCGCAGATCCTCGACGCTCTATACGATCCGCTGCTGCGCTGCTTGGCCCACCCGAGCCACTCGGTGCAGATCAGTGCGGCGTGGTGTCTGCGTACGTTGTGCCACATCTATCCGGTCCAGCTAGCGAAGACAATCCCTGCCCTTGTCGAGCTGCTGAACAAAGACCTCAAGACGCTCAACGGCGCAGGTGAAAGAGGAGGAGCCGAGGTCTCCAAGCGAGCAATTGGTCACGCTCGGGGTCTCGCAGCTGTACTGAGCGTCATTCCATCACGCCCGCTCTACACGTCTTTCGATGTCGGATCGCAGGTGATGGACATGGCCAGCAGCTTGCTGAAGAGCTGCGGTGACCACTCTTGGTCAATAGCGAGCGTCGAGATCCAAGTAGCTTGGACATTGCTCAGCGCGCTGATGTCGCTCGGCCCTAATTTCGTTCGGCCGCACATGGACCATCTCACTTTACTCTGGAGGAACGCTCTCCCTAAGCCAAACAACCTTAATGGCGGCTCGTCTTCCTCATCCGCCCCCTCGAGTCGATCAGAAGCAGAATGGGCGCTGATGCTACACCTCCGAGAGAGCGCTCTAGGCTGCATCCTCGCCTTCCTCTCTCATAACGCTACGCCCCTTCTTAGCCTCGAAACGGCTCGCCGCCTCGTAGCCCTCCTGAGCAACACCCTCGCATTTGTGGACAACTTCGCCTCTCAACATCCGGGCCTAGCACAAGAGCAGATCCCAGGCGCAGAACGGAGCCAACTCACCTTGCTAGACCGCGAACATCTGCTGCGCCGCCGACTGTTCCAATGCTTTGCCGCCCTCGCAACAAATGCGGCCATGGAACCACTGCAGGACTCGCTGATATCCGTCGCCCTGCACACTTTCGCCGAGCCGGATAGATACGTGGGGAGCGCAGCGCAGGCTGCCATTGCGGCGAGTGCGGGCTCATTCACTACCCTCTGGGCGATGAGTGATTCCTACGCTTTCGGCGTGACCAGCCTGCAACGAGACGACGAAACGTTCATTGCCACGTCTGAGACGGATCCCGAAACGCAGTCCGCCATGGAGCGACGTCGAAAGACCTATCCTGCCACAGAGGAGACGACTCGGCCCAATCTGCTCAACAGGGATAGCGTCGAGGTGCAATTGGACGCCCTCTCCCGCCGTCCCGTTCTCGGAGCGGCCGAGCATGACCCGCTTGTCCTCTTTGCGCGGTACGACCTTCCCACAGGCTCAGCGCCTCTTCCTCCTCCCCCTGCGACTGCTATGGTCGACTCGGCTCTCGCGCTTTTTGCAGCTCTGCTGCCCTTCCAAAAGCGTCATCTGCAAATTTCGGCGTTCGAGACGTTGCTCACCTACTCGCGCAGCGCAAAGCTGGAGAAGAATCCGGGGCGTCGTGCTGCGATTCAGATCAACGCATGCGTAGCATCTCTCGGCGCACTGCGAGTGGCCATGTCCGGCTCGCTCGGCATAAGTGGAGCCAAGCCGACGGGATTCAACAATGATCGCCTCACCACAGCGCTGCGCGAGGTTCTGAAGGACGCGCTTCTCTACGGCGACTCCGTGCTGCGCTCCGTCAGCAGCCAGACGTATGGCCGCCTCGCAGCGGTTGCGGGTTCGCAAGCAATGAGCAGCCAAGTGCAGTTCCTCGTCGATCAAGTCGTGTCCAACCGTGACCCTGATGCGCGAGCAGGGTGCGCGTTGGCGTTCGGAGCCATCTATTCCGAAGTGGGCGGTCTCTCTGCTGGCCCGCTCACGAAGACAGTGGTCAACGTCCTGATGAGCTTGAGCAGTGATCCTCACCCGACGGTGCACTACGCCGCTCTACAGGCGCTGCGCCTCGTGATCGACGCCGCTTCCCTCAGCTATGCTCCCTACGTCAGCGGCACGCTAGGTATGCTCGTCAAGCTCTCCATGCAAGACACTCACGAGCCCGAGGGCGGATCAGCCGGTTCGGTCAACCTTCGCGCCGACCTGCCGGCACATCAAATGATCTGTCGCGTCGTCTCCGGCTTGGTGGGAGTGCTCGGACCAGACTTGCAAGAGAGCTCGAAAGTGCGCGGGTTGATTCACGTGCTGCTCGACGAGATGAGCAAAGAGAGGGACGATGATGGAGTAGTCGTGGAAGCGGCTAAGGCGCGTCAGCATTATTGCTTGTTCGTAGCTGCAGAGCAGATGGATCTTCCTGCCTGGGTTGCGCAGTTGACAGAGAACCTGCGGAACCGGAAGCGTCCGCGAAAGTTGGCGGCTGTGCACGGGCTTTACCAGCTGGTGCAGCGCCAGGCGTTGCTGGTGAGCAAGCTCGGAGGGGATGGCCTCGTGGCAGACCTTTTCGCTCAACTGGATATCGAGCCGAGCATGGATGGGGTACGCGAGGTGTTGCTCAGCTGGCTGCGGCAGACGGCAGAGCTGAGCCCGGGGAGCTGGATCGACCTTTGTCAGCGAATCATCATTGGAGGTGTGCAGAAGGGAGGAAATTCAGCCGCGCCGAAGGCTGGTGCTGAGAAGCAGAGAGGAGGACCGCAACTACAGGATGAAGAGGCCGCCGGACTAGGCGTGGAAGACGAAGCGAGCAGTACGGTTGCTGCCCTTCAGGGTTCGCGTTGGCGCACCCGCCTCTTCGCCCTGCAATGCCTTCACGAAGTGTTCGTCGTCGTGCGCCGCTCCGGCCACTTGGAGCACTTCGCCACTCCGCCGTCCCAACACAACGCCGACGGGGAGCGCAAGGCCCCCTCCCCCGCTGGCGCACCATCGCAACGTCTCATGAGCAGCCGCGTAGCCGACCTGATCCGGATGGCGTTCACGGCCAGCACATCGGCAAACGACGAGATCCGTCTTGCGGGTCTCGTGGTACTTCAAGATGTCATCGAGTCCTTCAAGCTTGCGCGCGACCCTGAATTTGAGGAAGCACTGCTACTCGAGCAGCACCAAGCCCCCATAGCTGCGGCACTCACGCCCGCCTTCTTGGCTGACTCAACGCCCGAGGTGCTCGCGGCGGCCATTGGGGTATGCGCTGTCTTCGTTGGCTCAGGTGTGGTGCGCGACGTCACCCGCATGGGGCGTATCCTCAAGCAGCTAGTTACAGCACTTCAGTCGTGTAGCAACAATGGGGAAATGCGATCTCTTGGAGACGTCAAGGACCTTTCACCAAACGCGGCCGGCATGCTGAAAATTGCAACCTTCTCCGCCTGGAGCGATCTAGCCGTCGCGGCGTACGCTGGTTCCCAGCCATACCTCCTGCCCGTCGTTGAGCCTCACCTGAATGGCGAGCTGGTGCCGTATTGGGTTGCGAGCTTGAGGGAGTATGCAAAGATCAAGATCGACCCGGACAGCTCTAGTGCTGGACTTGGGCTGGGAATGGGCGGAGATGGCTTTGTCGTAGTCAATCCAAGTCTAGACTCCCAGTGGGCTGGTCTGGCACGGGAGGTCCTACTGCCGTACTACCAACAGAGCTGGGTCAAGATGTTGCGTGCGCTTAGCGTATTGATGGACAAGGACAACACTGCAGTCTTCAAGGCACTGGACGGAGGCGAGGATGCTGGCGCATCGGCCTCCCGCAGCGAGCCGACGCTCAGCTTCTTTGTACTCTACGGTCTAGCGTTCGAAGCCCTCGCCTCCAGTGCAGGAGCGGCCGTGACTGGCAGCGCCGCCTCCTCCTCCTCGCGTACCCAGGAGACGACCCTCATTTACCTCGCGGCGATGCGCTCTCTCGCTCGCCCGCAAGTGGCGGGCACGGCCATCATACAGGACTCGACCTTCGGCGAGCTGGTCAACCTTTGCTTCCGTTTGACGATGACAGAGAGCGCTGCTGTGCAGGGAGCCGTGCTCGATCTCGTCGTAGGGCTGGCGAAGGCCTACGATCAGCGGTTATTCGACGGGTCCGAGGAGCCGGCAACCAACGGAGACAAGGGCTCATCGACAGGCTCGACTCTTCCGAGCGCAGCGGAAAAGCTCACTTCACTCCTTCGGATCATCGTCTGCGCCATCTCACGCGCGCCGCTACAGCCTGGCGCAACTACCGAGGAGAAGGCCCTCCTGCTTCGCTCGGGCTTTTCTGCTCTTCTGACTCTTGCCGACATGCTGCCCCTCAACGCAGGCCGGGAAGACGTGTACTGCACCGCTTGGCATCTCTACGCTGAGCTGTTGAGCGATGAGCGACTCGCAGGTGGAGAGGCAGTGGTGGACATCGTGCCGCTTACTCTGGCCTCGCTCAGGGATCTGTGTCAACGCAGCGCGAGCCTTTCGACCCCAGGAGTGGGGAGAAGTACCCATGGCTTGGTCTCACTCGCACTCAACAGCATCGACGATCTGAGGGGTCGTGCGGGCAAGGTGGCGACTGCTAAGACGCGCAATTGCCTCATGGCATTGACAGTCATCCTCACAAGCATCGCCGGCGGTATCGTACTGAGCAAACCGGTACTGGAGCAGGCGTGCTACCTTGTTGTGCACAAGATGAGCACGCCTTTCCTCGAGGAACAAGACCAGCAGGACGAAGACGATCAAGCGATCAGCGCCGCTGCAGCTGAGGTTCCACTCACAGCGGCCAATTGCGGGCGCTCAATACTTGTAGCGGGTGCTACCGCCGCTACCACGCTCTGCGGCGAGAAGGCCGACGCGGCTCCGTCATCAACGTGCTCTCTGGCGTACTGTGTCGGCCAGCTACTGCCAGGCTTCGTACACCTGGCCACTCTCCGGGCGGCAACGAGCGTGCAGCGAGCCATCGCCCTCGAGATCCTGAGAAGTTTTGCGGGCATGTTCCCATCTACCTCAAACGACGCTCCGCAAGCTCAGGACCTACGAGCAAGGCTCATGGGTATCGTCCTTCCCGCCTACTTGTGTCAGCTGCGCGACGAAGACGCTGACGACGGCAGCGAAGAGGGCAAAGACGAAAAGGAGATAGCCGCAACGAGCGTTGCCCACCTCCTAGACTTGGCCTCACGTCAGCCATCTGCCTTCCGTGAAGCGACGGCCCGCTTGCCTGCGGACGCGAGGGGGAAGCTGGAGAAGGCGATCAGGGGTGCAATTGCAGCTAGACAACAGCGAGGTGGCAGCGGTGGCGGGCAGACGGGTGGTAATGCGGCGAGAAGAGGAGATAAGACGGAAGGCGGTGAGGGAGGAGCGGGTATCGCACTGAAGAGCTTCGCGTGAGCTGGGAAACGGTACCGGCCGAGAAGTGCGTTGAGCGGCAGGTGATGCGCACAATTGCCGACCCTTCAGTGACCCGTCTTAATTTGATACGAGTCTTCTCATCCGCCGAATGAACAGATCGTCGATCATGGCACATCCTTGGTCTAGAATTCGACCCACTGCTCCTCTGTCACCCATCATGCTCTCCGCAAAGCTCTTCCTGCCCGCCATCCTCCTCACTGCCGGCAGCCTCGCGCAGTCGATCGCCGCCAATGACCTCGCGAAGCGCGACTGGCCTTACGCGCCTGCCGAGTGCACCGATCAGAATTGGCATTGTCTGACGTGCGTCGTTCGTATCTCCTCGACGAGCAGATCCTTCCACTGACGATCCCTCTGCGCACAGGATTGACACAACTAATGGCGCTTTTTCAGGCTTCAAACAGCTGTACTGCAAGGAGGCGAAGGTCCAGGACGAGGGCAATCGTGCGTACGTGTCGTAACCAGATTTCGCTCAGCACTGACAGCATCGCACTCCCCTACGGGTGCACCAGACCGCACGTACTTCTTCAACGGTGAGTCGGACTCCAGATGCGTCATGAATCGAGCCCTTGGGCTGATCAAGCTGGCTATCCTGGTCTCCTCAAGGCGCTTGCGAGGGCGCCATCAAGTGAGTTCGCCATTTGGTGGACCATGACATGTTTTTCCCATCCACCTACCTGACCTCGTTCCTTCATCTCAGGATGAAATGTCCTGGCCCTTCGCACAAAGCCCTCAAAGTGGGGTTCACCAATTTTTGCTTTGAGCGAAAGCCAGACAATGCCTCTGTCTTGAATACCGTCGATCCCAATGCGAAGGGCCTTACCAGCGATGGAATGACGATGCTGCTCACTGACGGGAAGTCCACAAAGACCAGTACGACGCCTTGGGTCGATTTCTATCTTAGTGAGTTGACAACACTTTTTGGCGAGAAAGATGCCAGTGGACCGCATCGCTGACACAATGCTGCGACCTGCATGTACAGCTTGTCGTTATGCGTAGCCGAAGAGATGCCTCTGTGCTTTTTTGCATTTTTGCCATCGCCCAAAGAGCAGAGATGCCGACTGACTATTGCTGCGGCGCTGTGATGCCGCATTGCGTTCAAAGCGATGCAAGCCCTTCAACCCTTTGCTCGTGCCATGGACGGGATCTGCATTGAGCATTTATTGCAACGGCCGTCCAGCCTCTGACTCTCGTGCATACCCTGCCATCCTACCATCATGCGCGACCTCATCCTGTCAAACGTACTGTCAAGTGTACCTGCTGCGCTGAGCTTCTTCCTGGCTGTCGTCAGGAGTACGAGTACGGCCACGGCCATAGCGGTCAACAAGACCAGCCTGGGTGATGCGGTCTCTCTTATCGACTGGAGGAATTACGCACCTCGCAAGTGCATTTTCAGCAACTACCATTGCCTCACGTGCATTCTTACTACCATACATCGGTAATTCGTCGAGACTGATTTCCTCTCCACTGCCTCCCGCGCAGCGTCGAGAACTACGATGGGGACTTCGGCTTCACCAAGCTAAACTGCCAGGTCAGCCTGACGTACGAGGCTAATGTGAACAGTAAGCTCTTTACGAAAGCGTCGAGCCCGCAGTTTCACACAAACTGAAAGCCCGTGGGGGTCAGAGACTACCTACTTGTTCAATAGTCGGTCTCATGGACGCGCGCCGCGGCTATGCCGAGCTGTGACAGTAGCTGATCATCTTTTCTGACCGGCCGGCATTCAGGCGTCTGCACAGGCGAAATAGCGTGCGTTTGCATTCCGTCTAGTCATCAGTCTGCGCACTACGTACCCTGCTGACTTCCACTCGTATCCTCCCCCAGAATGGACTGTCGTGGCGCACCCCCTTGGCCCAGCCTCAACCGCGGTTTGACGAGGTTCAACTTTGGGCTTGAAGGCAACCACTCCTCGCGTTTTGAGACCGATGACCCAAATGTGAACGCATTCACGAGCGATGGACTGGTAGTCAGGCTGCCCGACAATAAAAGCCAGGTGACTGCGGTGCCTTGGGTCGACTTCTATGTTGGTGAGTGACGAGGTTGCGCTTGGACAAACACTTTGGCGCGCTGACGATACGGCGAGCAGGGTGTCGCACTTGGTAACTTGGCAAGCTGCACGCCTGTTGACCCGGCACTGTACCGCTTGAACGAAGAGATTGTCACCCACTTGCCGCCATGCGTCGGCCGTGTCCTGCTCGGAGTGTAGCGAGAAGCCGGAATGAAGCCGTAGCCAATCCCCCACCGCCATGGCGAGGGAGATCCCTTGACCCTAAGCCTCTATGACCTTGTCTTGCGCCAATCAAGCGTCCCAGCTCCTCTCCATTCCCTCTGTTCACACCATGATCGCGAAGCCAGCCTGTCTACTCGCGCTGAGCGCCTTCTTCCTTACTTTTGCCCACGCCTGTGTCATCACTGGCAATACCACGCTCACCGAACGAGACTGGCGAGACTATGCACCTGCCCTATGCACAGACAAGAATTACCACTGCCTGACGTACGTACGTCTTCGACGATCCCATGCCGCTGCTGTGCTCCATGCACTGACTTGACTTCTTTCTCTCGCTCTCGTCCGCAGTGTCGAGATCCGAGATCATTTCTTCATCGGCTTCAAGCACCTCTACTGCGACATCAGTAGGCAGGAGGACGAGCAAGCTCCGGAGCCTAGATGTGAGTGAGCGAGAGAGATGCTGCGCCAAGACGACGGGTGAGGGGGTACAGCTGACTGAGCTGATACGGTCTCTCGCATCAGGGCGGACGTATTTCTTTGATGGTGAGCTCAGCACAAAGGGTGAGTCGACAACAGCTGTACTGTCGGCTGATCACTTTCTCTGCCCCTGCAGGCGTCTGTGAAGGTCAAATTGCGTACGTCTCCCTCGCCCGCTCTCAACTCTTTGCGACGATTAACCACCCCTCTCTCCTTTCAAGGATGAAATGTTTCTCCGATCAGCATATTCGCACTCGAGGCCTGACCTCGTTCAGCTTCGGCCGCAAAGCCAATCACAGCTCCGAGTTCAGCACGACCGACCCTAACGTCAAGGGACAGACAAGTGACCTACAGGTGGTCACCTTGACACCCGGCAAGGAGGTCCAGCGAAGTAAGACGCCTTGGGTCGATTTTCAGCTTGGTGAGTGCGTCGTCAAAAGGAAGAGGGCGGACGAAGGAAGCTGAAGATGGTCTGGGTTCTGCCTGTAGCGTGCAGATTTGACAAGTAGACAGAGGAGAGGGGCTGCGGCTGGGTCGCCTCGCATTGCTGTGCTTTGCGCCGCTCCTCAGCATCATCTGCACCAACTCGAGCTTTTGACCTGATGTATGCGTATATGCTTATATTGTTTTTGAGTTGAGCAAAGACGAAAAGAATAGCCACGTACCTACTGAAATAGACGGAGCGAGGTGAGACTATGTACTGAGAAAACAAAAAAACGACGATGGCCCTGCCCCGAGATTGTGTGCTTGGCCATTTGGAACACTGAATGCGCCAATGGGCGCCTGAGGATCCCTATTGATACATGTTGAAGCCGAGATACTGGATGACGTTAGACAAGGATCGAGTCGAGAGTTGTGATATCGCTGCGTTCGAGCCTAGATGGCCGCGGCCATTCCACTGTGCTGCTGCTGCTCCCCTCCCTCCTCTCCTGCCTTGGGCACACCTCCATCTTTCAAGGGCTCAAAAGGCCACATTGCTCCACGCCCTCCCCTCTTCATCTTCTCGTCCAACATGGCTCTCATCCTCTGCAACGCATTCGCATTCAGCTCGAGCGGCGCACCACTCCCGCTCCCCTGCGCCTGCACAGTTGCAATGCTCGCATCATTGATCGTGCCCACGAGAGCCTCGAGCTCCGCAACTGAGGTGTAGAGGAAAGCAGGGTGCGAGGCGAGACGGGAGTAGGCCGCGTTGGGGGTAATCATCTCACGCGATGAATTGGTGGAAGAGCGACGGTCACTGCCCGTAGGGGTGGTACCGCCGTCCTCGGGCGAGTCATTGCCGGAGCTGGAGGCAGAGGAAGCAGCATCGCTGCCCATGTCCATCCAAGGGGTGGACTTATTGGCAGCTTTGCCGCTCATAGAGCCGCGTCCAGCATTCGCTCGAGCAGTGGTTGCGCGAATTGCTTGTCGCTCCAGGAGGCGAAGGAAGGTCTGAACATGCTCTGCTGGGTTAAGGGGTGGCTGCTGCTGAGCCCCATCGGCGTTGTTCGCGGGATTGTCGGACCCCCCAGTAGAAGCTTTTCCGTTGCCTTTCCCACTCTTACCACTGCTGCTGGCTGCAGCGCTTTCGTCCCGCATCTTGAGGTCGGCGCCTGCCTGGCTCAATGGGTCATCATTGTTTCCCGCTAGAGCAGGCGTGTACCCTGTAGGCATGCCCGTCCCCATGCCCAGAGAGCCCATGTTCATCCCAGCGCCATTGCCGCCTCCGTATGCCCCTGCGTTGAGGAAGCTGGACAGGTCGAACGGACTCATTGCCCCCTGAGAAGAGGAGGCCTGAGCCTGCGCGACAGCCTGTGCCTTTTCGTCGAGGAACGAGTCCCCGCCGAACGTCCCGCCACCGTTGCGGTCCCACCAGGATTGGTCCGGAACGGGCTCGTTGCTGAGATTGAGAGCAAAGGGAATCGGATTCGGGTTGAGGAGCGCATCGTTGTGGTGCGGGCGATGAGCGAAAGGGACATGGTTGTGATGCGTAGGGTGGACAGGCTGCTGCCCTTGCTGACCAAGGTGCTGCTGGTGAGGGTGTTGCTGCATGCCGGTTGGCGTGCGGATGAAGGCGGACCCTCCTCCGTGCGGGCTGTTGGCGTGCTGCTGCTGTCCCTGCTGGTTGTTGCCACCGACAAGCATGCCCATGAGCGAGCTGAATGTGCCGGGCGTCATGGCGTAGTCCTCATTCCTGCCGCCACGCGCAACGCTACCACCGGGCGTACGGCTCGGACCTCGACCGCCACCGGGGTGTCGCTGACCGTCTTGCCCGTTGTTGTCGACTGCGCCACCACTGAGGTCCAGAGAAAGGAGAGGATTCTGGTCTCGCCCGTCACTGCCACGACGCTGCTGTGTTGATTGGGGTTGCATCGAAGACCAGTCCTGCGACTGACTATGCTGCTGCTGAGGCTGTTGTGGCGACCAGCGTACGTTCATGGCTGCGTTGCCTTGCTGATGTTGCTGCTGCTGATGCTGCTGCTGGTGGTGGTGAGGATAGCCACCGCCTAGCCCTGACGTGGGGTCGAGTAAGTTTGGATTGACCGATCCAGGCGGAGCAGGCGGGAAGCTCTGCAACGAAGCCGTAGTCGGTTTGGTGTCGTCATTGCCAGCACCGCTACTGTTGCTCCCTCTTGCGCTGGAGCTCCTGCTGTGATGGTGAGAAGAGAGTCCTCCTCCTCCTGCGTTTGCTGCTCCACTCGCATCAGCCGCTGCGGCTGCGGCAGCAAAGTCGCCGTTGAGAGCCTGGTCGATGAGCGCGCCGTAGCCCAATCGGACAAGGAGGGAGCGGAGGGCTTCGTTCTCATCCTTGAGCTGGCGGGCCATGGCCTGGAGCTCTGCATTGGCTTCGAGGCCCATCTGGTCGAACCGACGACATCGTTCCTCGAGCTCTTTCACTCTTGCCTCGCGGCCTGGAAGCACGGAGGCACAAGCAAAAGATCAGCTCACAGTCTCCAACGAGATCAACTTTGCCTCGCCGCCCGCAACTCACGCTTCCTGAACTCCCTTTGAGCCTTTCTGTTCTGGAGCGTACGCTTGGTGACTGGCGGCTCGCCCGGCTTGCTGCTGGGTACGAGCTCGGAGCCCGCTCTCGTCTTGGTGAGTGGGCGAGAAGCCGCGGCAGAGGAAGACTCGGCGGCCACTGGTGAGATTTGGTCTTCGTCTTCGTCGCCGGACGACTCGGGCGAAGAGGCCTTGCGCTTCGTTGTGGCCGGTGCCATTGTTGGCGAGAGTAAAGAGGTATGAAGGATCCGCTGATGGAGCGATGTGAGAGTGGAGAAGAGGAAGAAGCGTTGTCGAGAGCGGGCTTGCTTGGTAGCGTAGTAGGTGGTGTGGATGGACCCTTGGGCCAGTCGATGGAAGCAGAGATGAGACTCCAACGGCCGCCTTGCTACCGATTTTGCCCTCGTCGTTGTGCGTGCGTAGGTGCGTGCGATGGAGGCAGGCGACTCGACGAGATCGATCGCCGCCGCCCGGGCCTCTCTCCATCTGAACCCTCTGGCCCCGCTGCCCTATGAGCAGGGCTCGCGGCGGAGCAGCAATCGTTAGCCTAAGACGAGGCGCCCGTACAACTCGAAGGCCGGGCGGGGCATTCATTCATTCCGCCCTTGGCCTCAACCGCTCATCCGCCTCCCGCGTCGAGGGCCTGGGCAACCTCGCTCCACTTGGACATCGAAACAAACCTTGACTTCACGCCTCGTGTGAGTCGTGAGAGACGAATGAGCCAGGAAGAAGCTGGGCAGCGCTGCGACGTCACGTAGCCGCACGCCTCGTACGCAACGAGTAGCACGCTCCCGCCTTGAACTCGTTCGTACCAGCTTTAGCTTGTCTCACTCAGAGAAAAGGCCGTCAGCTACGAGGACAGCGAGCGTGAGACGCCATGCCGTACTGGCCTAAGACGTGGTCTGCGCCGTGGAGCGCGGGGGTCGCCGTCATCGGCTGGCGGGCCTTTTGACGAATAGTCTCGGCATTGCAAAGCAAGAGGTGACTACGAGTAGTTGGCACATGAAGTTGGTGAAGACAAAAGAGGCATGGCATGGCCACGCCCTCTCGTTCGTGAGAGGTCGTGGGCGCTGCATTGTTTCGTGCTATCTTCGTCAAGATACGGCGTGACACACACACTCTCCCAATCGTGGGACACATGGTCACTCGGTATCGCAGCCAAACTTGGAGCTCATCAAGCTTCCTCGGTCATTTATCATCGAGTCTGACCCTCACTCAACCTCGTCGTTGACATCCTGACCCACGTGCCTGTCCTCATCTTTCTGTTCCAGCTCATCACGTTGAAGACGTCGAGGTGCTGCTCCAGCCTGACCTCTCTCTCGCAGCATCTTCCGCGGCGCCCTCACGTCATTGAGCATCGTGCCCTTGATAACTTTTTGGAAGAGCGCGCCGCGTGCGATGTAGACTGACTGTGGGCGGGCGATGAAATTGGGGCGAAGAAGTTCAGGCGGGCCCTGCATGCCACTGATTTGGGCTGCTCAAGTTGAAGTTCGGACGTCATGGTCAGGGGGTTGAGGATCTTCTTCGCATCGAGAACGACGAGAAAAGCATGCTGTTGAGAAGAGATACTCATCGACGAGTTCGCTGATGAAGCCAGGCTATCGTGTTGCGTCGAGCCAAGGCACTATGCAATTCATTCGGCCAGAGAGAGACGGTCCTTTGCATCGTCGATGCCTTGCCTGCCATCAGGCACACGCCCAGCCCCTGCGTACCTCCGGCCCATCTCTGTCGACTATCGTTCGTCATCTCTACGGATCTCCCTTGTCGTCGTCACGCACGCACATATGAAAACTTCCGCTCCATTCGTTGTACTTTCGACATCGATCTTGGCTGGTTTGGCTTGCGGCTTGCGGGCAGACTGGCGTGCGGGCATGCGGGCGGAAGTCGACTTTGACTTGACTTGAGTTGGCGGCTTGTCTCTGCGCTCCGTCTGCTCTGCGCCGCGCTCTACTTTGCCTTCAGACGTCACGCTGCTGGCGCGGGCACTTCGAGAGAGCAATTGCCCGGATGAGGGCCCGCTCGCTCGATTCGATCTTCGCAGCCAGCCAGCGGGACCCTGGCCACCACACTGACCTTCGGAGCTCTGCCCTCAGTGCCCTCGTCGCCATATATTCTCTGCTGCAGACGAAGCTACATCTTCCCAACCAATCCACACCTTCTCAATTTTCCCAACACACACACACACACACGCGATCAACACAAGTGAGTAGTGGGCTGAACTGCAAGCATACACTGAGCAGTCGTGCTCACCATCATCTGCTCCACTCTCTCCACCTCGCTCTCTTCCGCAGTGGCTCCCGTTAACGCAAACCTCGCTGAGCAGATCGCCGCTGGCAAGGGTGAGTGGAGCGCGCGCAGTAAGAGCTGTCCATAGTCTCGCAGCTACTGACTTCTACCTCTTCTCACCTCCCTCTCTCGTCGCTCGCAGCCACGGCGGAGGACGTCAAGAAGGCGTCGCAGAACCCCGCCTCGGGCGCTGGCGTCCAGGTCGGCGAGAACGTCACTACCGCCGTCACCAAGCTCAACAACGGCAACACCATTCCCACTGTGAGCACAGTCATGCGCAGACCGTTGTTTGGTCTTGAGCGGCTCGCTGACCTTGATTTTGGATTCGCACTCGCAGGTCGCTCTCGGTGTCTACAAGGCGCCCAACGACAACACGACTGAGCAGGCCGTCGAGTGGGCCCTCGACGCCGGCTACCGCCACATTGACGGTGCCGCCCGTTATGCCAACGAGGAGGCCGTCGGCAAGGCCATCAAGAACTGGTGCTCCAAGTCGGGCGTCTCGCGTGATCAGATTTTCGTCACCTCGAAGCTTTGGGACGCTGACCACGAGCGCGCAGAGGAGGCCGTCCAGGACTCTCTCAAGAAGCTCCAGCTCGACTACATGGACATGTACCTCATCCACTCGCCCGGCAACATGGGCCCCGAGGCACGTATCAAGGCCTGGAAGGGACTCGAGAAGGCCGTTGACCAGGGTCTGATCAAGAACATCGGTGTCTCCAACTTCGACGTTGAGGAGCTCGACCACCTCCTCGCCGAGGCCCGTATCCGCCCTGCCGTCAACCAGATTGAGTCGCACCCCTTCTTCCAGCACGAGGAGCTCCGTGAGGCGACCATCGCCCGTGGTATCCACATCCAGGCCTACTCGCCCATGGCACAGGGTGCCGCTCTCGAGCGTCAGGAGATCAAGACGATCGCTACCAAGCACGGCAAGACGCCCGCTCAGGTCCTCCTTCGATGGGGTCTCCAGATCGGCAACATCATCCTGCCCAAGTCCCTCACTCAGCACCGCATCGTCTCCAACGCTCAGCTCTTCGACTTCACCCTCGACGCTGATGACCTGACCCTCCTCAACTCTCTCGACGAGGGTATGAAGATGGGCAAGCTCGGCCCCCCGGGCACCTCGCAGCCCCCTTCCCCCGGTGGAACTCGCCCTGGCTCTCGCAGAAGCTCCCAGTCGGGCGGCCTCAGCGGTGGTGCTCTCAAGATGACTTCGTCGTAAAGACTCGCTTCATGGACGACGCAAGCAAAGAAACAAAAGACGTACTCGCAGCCCCCACTCCCTTCTACATTGCTCTACCCTCTCTCTCTCTCTTTAGTTCTCTCTACTAGCCAGCTTACCCCCAGCCAGTTGCCCCGCTCTCTCTCGCTTTCTCACCATCAGAGATACACCACCTACACCCATTCTTGTGACAATAGAAATCCAAAATTCAATGCAGCACAGCGCCGCGTGAGGATCAGAGCTTGAGCAGAAAGAATCATCAGAGCGTGGCACTTCTTCGATTGCATTTGAGTGCGTATGCATGTGTTGCTTGGCTTTTTCCCTGCCCTCGAGACAGGGCAGAGCAGGCGTGACGTGGCTTAGCTTGGCTTCGCATGGCGTTGAGTGATGGACTCCACGCACACCCACCCACCCCAGGCCCGTCTCACGTCTCAACTCGAAAGCTGGGGCAGATGGAATCGAGGTCACCTCACCGTCGCGGCATCTACCTGCATCTCTCGCTGCTGCCTCATCACGTCGGCTGTGCCTTCTCGGTTTTTTCATGTTGAATGCTTGTGTATATTGAGTGGAGCCAAAGAAAGTACAGATGGGCGTTAGGGGTGATACGAAGGAACAAAAAAAAAGAATGCAGATGACAAGAACAGGAGAATGAGCTGGCCCGCTTGTTAGCATGGCCACTCGCGAAGTAGTAGGGGGGAGGACCACGTCACCTCAGGTTCACGATGCCCCGTTGAAGGACATCAACCGTCACGTAAATACAATCACAGTAGATCTCGAAAGTCGCCCGCACACGCGCTTAAGCCAACTCCTTCCTTGCGCGCTTGGCCGCGTTGACGAGGTTAGCCAACTGCGACTTGACCTCGCTCTCCTGCCTCGTCTTAAGACCGCAGTCAGGGTTGACCCAGACCTTGTCCTTGCCGATGGCCTCGACGATCTTGCTGAGCTTTTGGTACTGCTCCTCGGCGGTAGGCACACGGGGCGAGTGGATGTCGAAGATACCGGGACCGATGAAGTTGCAACCAGCGTCCGAGGGCTTGGAGCCGACGAAGACCTTGAGGAGCTTGGCGTCCGACTTGGAGTTCTCGACGGAGATGACGTCCGAGTCGCAGGCCCAGACGTGCTCGATGATGTCGTTGAAGTCCGAGTAGCAGTAGTGCGACTGGATCGAGCAAGCGTCGGTGACACCGGAGGTGGCGATGCGGTATGACTCGACAGCGGCGGTGAGGTAGGTGTCCCAGTCGGCGTGGCGGAGCGGGAGACCCTCACGGATGGCGGGCTCGTCGACCTGGATGGCGACAATGCCGGCGTTCTCGAGGTCGACGACCTCGTCACGCAGGGCGAAGGCGAGCTGGTACATCTGCTCCTCACGGCTGATGTCGGCACGCGGGAAAGACCACGCCATGATGGTGCAGGGGCCCGTAAGCATACCCTTCATGACGCGCTTGGTCTGCGCCTGGGCGAACTTGGACCAGCGGATCGTCATGGGGTGAGGACGCGAGACGTCACCGACAATGATAGGCGGGCGAACGTAGCGCGAGCCGAAGGATTGAACCCAAGCGTTCTGCGTGAAAGCGAATCCCTCGAGCTGCTCTCCGAAGTACTGGACCATGTCATTTCGCTCGGGCTCACCGTGGACAAGGACGTCGAGGTCGAGGTCCTCCTGGAGCTTGACGACGTGCTGGATCTCCTTCTCGATGAACTTCTCGTACTCCTCTTGGGAGATCTCCTTCTTGTTGAAGCGGGCACGCTGGGTACGGATCTCCTTGGTCTGGGGGAAGGAGCCAATGGTGGTGGTGGGGAAAAGGGGCAGCTTAAGGCGCTCCTCCTGCGCTTGCTTGCGGACCGAGAAGGGCGACTTGCGCTTTGAGTCCTCGGGCTTGCGGCCGGAGACACGGTTGCGGACGGCCGGGTTCGAGTTCTTCTCGTAGTCACGACGAGCCTTGATAGACTTGGCGTTGGCCTCGAGAGCGGGCGACGAGCCAGAGTTGACGGCATTGGCGAGAGTAGCGACCTCAGCGCACTTCTCGGTGGCGAAGGAGAACCAGTCGAGAACCTCGGGGCTGAGCTTGTTCTCGTTCTTGATGGTGTAGGGGGTGTGGAGGAGCGACGACGAGGTGGCGACCTGGACACGCTCAGCACCGACAGCGGCGGCGACCTTCTTGGCAACCTCGAGGCGGGCGGTGAGGTCGGTCTTCCAGATGTTACGGCCAGAGACGAGACCGAGGGAGATGACCTTGTCCGACGACTTGAGGGCGGCAACGACGTCGTCGACCTGCTGGGGAGCACGGTCGAGGTCGACGTGGAGACCCGAGACGGGCAGGTCCTTGACGAAGTTGAGGTTCGAGTCGAGGCGGCCAAAGTAGGTGGTGAGGAGAGTCTTGATCTGAGGGACCTCCTTGGCGAACTGCTCGTAAGTCGACTTGAACTCCGAGGCGTACTTCTCGGCAACGTCAAGGCAGAGGATGGGCTCGTCGATCTGGACCCACTCGGCGCCAGCAGCGTGGAGCTTCTTGAGGAGCTCAACGTAGACGGGGGCGAGCTTCGAGACGAGGGAGACGGGGTCGAGGTTGGGGTTCTTGGCCTCCTTGGCAACCTTTCCGAGCCAGAGGAGAGTGATGGGACCGACGAGGACGGGACGGCCCTTGTAGCCAGCCTCCTTAGCCTCGACGAAGTCATCGACGGGCTTGGTGTCGTTAAGCTTGAAGTCGACGGCCTCGTGGAGCTCAGGGACGAGGTAGTGGTAGTTGGAGTCGAACCACCTGTGAGTGCGAGGATTTGGATGGAGTAAGAGCATATAGTCAGCGTCCGGTGTCCCTAACAAGGCGTGTGCAGCACACCGGCACTCACTTCTTCATCTCGGTAGCGGGCAAGTCAACGCCGTTCTTCTGGTGACCACGGGCCATGGCGAAGAAGGTGTCGAGGGGGTTGAGGCCGGACTTGGCGTAAGCCTCGGGAATGATGTTGAAGGTGTTTGAGAAGTCGAGAACATGGTCGTAGAGGGTGAAAGTACCAGTGGGGATGTAGTCGATGCCTTGGCTCTTGATGATCTCGTAGGTGTGCAGCCTCTGCTCCTTTGAGACCTTGAGGAGCTCGTCGACGTTGATCTTGTCCGACCAGTAAGCCTCGAGGGCCTTCTTGACCTCACGTTGAGGGCCGATGCGCGGGAAACCGAGGACTGAGCTGGACGTCATGGTGATGTCGTGTGCAGTGGGTGAAGAGGGGAAGGGAAGGAAAAAAGAGTTGGGACTTCGTCAAGTCGAGAAGAACTGCGAGCGAGCGAGCCACTCTCGACTTGACTGCCCGCGCGGCCGGCCAGTGCTCCGTCTGTCTCTCAGCGCCTCTGTTTCTGCTTCCTGCTTGCCTCCCCTCGTGCGCTGCACCCGCCCTCTGGCTCTTCTCGCTGAAAGACGCCATCCGTTCTGCGTCCGTGCGACTCAGGCGCCCCCGGCCGTTTTCAGCCAACGTCAAGCAAAGCAAGACTGCTCCGATGCCTGCGCGCGAGCCAGAACGAGCCGGTGTTGAGCGCTGCTGAGCCCACAGCGTTGCCCCAGCCAAGTGTGGCTCGAGCTTGGAGCACGACATCAACGCAACGCTAATGCGAGGCCAACAGCAGCCAATAGCGGCGACGATGGTGGTGAACAATTGAGAATGATCAATACAGGTCTGCTGCGGCCAGATTCGGAAGGCATGGCATTGCGATGACAATAATGACGAAGGAAACTTGAAGTGGACCCTCACTTCTGCGTAGCCGCTCTTCCTCGCGGGTCCATCGCCCCTACGACCCGCACAGTATCTCCCACCCTGATCGTCTGTCCCAATCTCTCCCCCCTTTGATCATCCTTGATAGCTGATAGCATCCCGAAGCAGGGCTTGCCCGTCTTCAGGCTTTGCGGCTCCACTCGTCTGAACCCTTGGAGCACCTTGTACGGTAAGCTGCTGCTCGGCTTGTCCTTTACGCCAGTCTCCGGGTCAATTGTGGTGACCAAGCATCGGCCGCAGCGCGCCATGCACGTTATTCCGAAGCGGCCAGCGCCGATAGCAGAAGCACCATACGGGGGAGTGTTGGCAGAAGACGAGGCGGTGTCGAAGATCTCGAGCTCGGTGAAGCCGTCCTCTTCCCAGGGGAGAAGGTCCGGCGACTCGAGGAGGATGTTAGGGCGGAAGCGGATGATAGGGAGGGTTTCAATGTGCTCAGCTGTCGGTGGAGAAAGAAGCAGAATGTAAGCTCTCAGTTCTTTTCTTGATCCTTGTTCCATGCTCTCCACTGCTCGCCTGCACTTACGACTCCAATACTCCAAGTCGACGCCGTTGGGAGCCTTGATGGCCGGCACACCCCAGCTGGGTAATCCCGCCTGACCCACTGGCGCCGTCACGACTGGCCCTGCTCCTGCCTCCTTGCGCGCCTCGCTGGTTGCAGAGTCTACGGCCTTGGTAGTGTCCGCCTTGCTAGATAGAGAAGGCCAGATTGAGCGCATGAGAGTCTCGCGAACGTGCTCGATGGAGGCTTGGTTGGCTACCAGGATTGGGTAGAAGTCTAGGCGAGCACAGAATAAGATCATTGAGTCAACTGCTGGTGGTGAGAAGTGTCGGTGAGCGCTCGCTGACTTACCCTGGAAGTTGAGCGTGGGATCATTACGGCGATCGTCGGGACCAGAGGCACGCTTGGTCGGGCCCTTCCTTACCAGACGAACGGAGCGTCCGAAGAACTGTGGCCGAACAAGAGGTAGCGGTGAGCTTTGGCCGACAGTGACATACCAACCCCTCTCCTGCTCTCCGCCTCCTCACCTCACTCAGCGCCTCGTCTGCCTCCTTGCTGACAGCATACCCATCCACCTCGCTGATCCAAATCTTGATCCCCTCTACCAGCTCCATCTTGCTCAGCTGCTCCTCGGTAGGTTCCAGTGGCGTCTCGACGCTGATAGTGCCCTTGCCCTTCTCGGTCAGAGGCACGTCAATACGGAGCACTCCACGGGCAAAGTCGATGTGCGGGTGGATGAGAAGCATTCGGGAGAGTTGGCGTGCGGTTTGGAATTGTTTCGTCTCAGCGTCGATGATGAGCCAGGTGCGATCCTGTGAGAGGGCAGGAGAGGTTAGTCGGGAAGTGTACGGTGACGCAACGAAAAGAGGCAGCAGCTGCGTACCAGATCTGCGGCGAAGAGACGACATGGACGGATGTCTAGTGAGCTACCGTGACGATTCATATCTCTGCACCGCGCCCGACTCACACAAGCCATCATGCGTGTAGGTAGCCTCTTGGACTGACGTGCCTTTGCAGCTCTTGATCGGATGAATGTAGAGACTCTGCGTGCGAGCGACAGGTGAGCGCGACGCCTATGCTTGGGTCACAAGATAGCGCCTGTCCTCACTTTGACGCGAATATCTTTGCTGAGCGCAGGCGCATTGAATGTGGCGGTGGCGGGCTTGAAGATGAGGGCCCTCACTCGCAGCATAAGCAGCGGTAGGGCCGCCAGCAGCAATCCGCAGGCGATGCTCAGGAGGATCGTGGACGTATCCATGGTCTTGATGTATCCACTGGGTAAGAAGCCAAGTCTTCAGGCAAGAGTCACTGGAGCCACCTCCGACAACCTTCTTTCTGCAAAGGAGTCAGAGTCAATCAGCGGGCCGGCGGCAAGGCGAGCCTCAACCTCTCTCTGTCCGTCTCCCACACCAGCCACGCGGTTGAACGGACGTTGGGCGGCCGATCACGAATCAGTCCTCAGCCACATTGACAGCGATAGGGCGGGCGCCAACGCCGCTAGAATAGGCAAGAGACGGCGGCATGGCGGAGGGGTGTCAATGAGCGGAGATGGATAGTGTGTGGGGAAGCCAAGGCGATGTTGTCGCTGTTGTCTGTTGCTGCTCCATTGCTACCACCCCTTCCGCATCATCCTTACCCCATCAACCTCCCACCCTCAACAGAGACAGGCGGCCACTTCGTCGAATTGTTTCATCGACTCCTCGCCTGGCACGCTTTGCCGCCCAGCTTCGGTCCTTGGCCCGACTGCTTGCTTGGTTGCTTGCTTATTGCGCCCTCGCCTGGCGCCGCTGCAGCCCGCTTGTCTCAGAATTGATCGACTTGCGGCCTGGGAAGCGCGGGCCAACGGCTCAAGTCTGAAGTCGACGGACGGGGAAGTGAACTTGAGTGAAGCAGCTGCCGCCTGCCTTGCCGCCGCCTTCGCCCTTCGCCTTCGCCTCACCTCGTCGCGTTGGATCGCTGCCCTCGTCGCCCACATCTCATCTCACTTCCACTTTCCCATCATCTTCCGAGCCACAAAGACTCGCTCCTCGTCGGTCGTGCAAAGCTTGATATCCATCTCATCCACTGCGCTCTAGCACCAAGCTAGTGGATCTTATACCCAACTTTGGCCGCACGACACGCTAGCCTACTTTCACGTCCGTGCGGCGCGCCCCTCGCCCTCTGAATATCTTCCACGCCAACAATGGCTTCGATAGGACAAGCTCCCTCCAGCCCGCTCTCAACAAGTGGTCGCTTGGACAACGGGTCCACATCGGGTCATGCTGCCAATGGCTCTAGCAGCAGCAACGGAGGATTTGCAGGGTTCGCCTCCTTGCTGCGAAGTGCAGGGAGGAAAAGCACAGAGTCGCTACGTAGCGTCAGGAGCAGCGCTTCATTCACAAGCAGTGCTGGCAGGAGACGAAGCTTTGGTTCTTCAAGAAGGAATCTCGAAGTGAGTAGCAGCGAAGACTACCTTATCAGATTTGCTCTTCATGCTCATTTAGTTGCTGATCCTCTCCCCCTTGCTCGCTCTCGCGCAGGTCTTTGAGCCTGTGCCACCCCTTCCTCCTGCAAAGGACTCTCCTTCTCGTCCGCAGACATCTGCGGGCCAATCCGTGACATCCTTTCAGTCGCTAGAACCGCCCGAATCGGGATCTGCTGGCCGCCATCACCACGACATGGCTAGGCAGGTCTCGAGTCGCTCGGCGAGCAGGCAGGCTCCGCCTCTACACGGCCTGCGTGAGGAAGGCGGCGAAGACGGTTTGGCGCCACTAGCATCCGAGACTGGAGGAGCAATGCATCACTCCTCGCCCTCAACATCGTCCAGCCTGGTCAGTCGGGCTCGCTCTGCTCGTCGAGGACTCGGTGGACTGGGCAGTAAGATGGGCCTCCCCAATCCTGTCGGCAGCCAGGATCTGACGCCAGACGAGGCAGATGGCGCTAAGACGCCTACAGGTCGAACAACGCCTACGCAGTCCGACTTCCAAGCTCGCAACGGAACCGGCGGCACCGCTTCGACGTCGGCGCAACCACAAGGCGGAGACGGCAATACCGTTGCCCAGCTATATGCCGTCTTCGGCCTTCCTAAAGACCCCTCAGTCTGGACTCTCGCCGAGGAAGACTGCGTTGCCGGCGTGCACCACACGGACGGCGCAGTTGGGCGATTCTGGCGTCCAGAGGTGCTGGGCTGCTCCATCTGCCCGTCTCCATCAGAGATCTTCGCGCGTCAGGCTAACGGTGGGACGGGATCGCACGAGTCGGACACCATTGGGTCAGGGAGAGGCGATGCAGAGAAAAAGTGGGAAGGGAGGAGCGCAGATGGAAAGAAGGGCTCGACAAACCCCAAATTCATTGAGATGGCAGACGGGAGGGGAAGGATCGAGAAGGCTGAGACTGCGAGAGTTCTCAGCAAGGCGCTCAAGGTAAGTCGATGGAGCGCGAGGTGATAGTCAATCCTGTCTTTGACCCATGCGCTGACCATATTCGCCTCCATGCGCGCCTGCAGCTGTCCTTCACTCGCGAGATCGAGATCGTCTCTGGCCAAAACAACTACCCGCCGATGGCCACGTCGCACACCTTCTCCTTCAGCGTCCCCACCCTCTCATCCGCCAGCGGCGAATCCCTTGACCGGGCGGCAGCGGTTGGCTCGTCCTCTGACCTGCGCAAGGGCACAGGGGCTGTTGGCGTAGGCCACCACAAACCTGCTGCGGCTACGGGCGAAGGGTACGGTATGGTCAACGGCGGGTCCGGATCAACTCGCACGACCGGCTTCGAGGAGAACAGTGCGCCCGCGACCTTCTACGGCGTCGTTCTTACAGTCTGGTCCGCAGCGGATGAGCGTCGCGCCAAAGCGGTCAAGAAGGAGCTGAACCGCGCAGCCAAGCAGCGAGGCGGCACAAGCTCCGGAAAGGACAAGAAGTCGTCGTCTCGTGACGACGACGAGGGCGCAGAGGGCTTCCTCCCAGCGAATAATGCCTACTTCATGCCCTACGCCATCTGCATCATCTCTCGCTACCCGCTCTACGATCTTCTAGGTGATTGGAACAAGTGGGCCTGGCACAAGTACTCGCGCAATATTGAGATGCACAACAAGCTCATGAGCATCATCCTTTCCAAGCCTGCCCCGAGGCTGGGCTCGAAGCTTGTAGTAGACGCGGCTGATGGGGATTTGGCTTTCACTACCACCTTCCCTGGCGCGCTCGAGTGGGGAACGGGGCTGATAGGCATCGACTTCACCATGTGGCCCCTCTTCAAGACTTTGTCGCTGGACAACATACTCACTATCTGCGAAATTGCCCTGGCCCCAAATGGTCGCGTACTTTTCCTTTCGCGCCACCCGGCTCTCCTTGGCTTGGCAGTCGAGACGATCAAGTACTTTGTCGAGCTTCGTGGCTGGCAAGGGGTCGCAAACCAGAATTGTCATGCCCGCGACGTCAAGATCTACCTCGAGGACCCGGGGACATGGATCATCAGCATTAGCACTGAGCTGAGGAGCATTGTCAAGCCAGCGAAGGAGGTCTGTGTCGTCGATCTGGATATCAATTACGTCAACTGCCCGAACCCGCCTCAAGGGGCGCCGAGTACCAAGGGGTTGCGAGAGAAGAGAAAGAAGAAGTAAGTCGCGAGCATGGAATGAGAGCGACATTGCTGTCTCTGCCAGACTGACCTCGCCCTTTCCCATCTTTGTTGCTCAGGCTCGTCAATGCTCTCGGCTTCTCAACAGGTGACTTCCGGCCCCCGCGCGAGTTCATCGAGGCGTATCCTGGAGGCAGGTTCCGTCCGATGTCCAGCGTTGTCTCCCGCTCGGGCCAACACACGCCCTACGATCAGCTCGAACGTCCCATCTGGTGGGACCAACCACGCGTCATCACCGCCTTCGACAAGACTCTGCACGACGGCACTCGCCCTTCTCCCCTTATGAAGCTTCTGCGAATGCGAGCAAGCAAGAATCGTACCACCTCCGAAGCAGAGCTGGCAGCCATCCTCGCCCTTAGGAAGCGTGCATCGACCTTCGTTGACGCCCGCGACGGCCTAGAGAACAAGATCGGTCGTCTGAACAAGCGCCTGGCTTTCCTCATGTCTGAGTCCGAAATGTGGAAGGCTCAGTTCTCCAAGATCCAGCAGCTGGTCGACCGCCTCACCAAGGAAGCAAACGAGACGCGCTCCAAGCTTGACAAGGAGCGTCGCGAGTCTCGTCGCCTCTCTTCCACACTTGCGCAGAGGGACATGGAGCGCGTCCAGTTGCAAATACAGCTCAAGGAGACGGAGGACGCTCGTGAAGCTGCTCAGGCCGAGCTCAACACGATGCAGCGCGCTATGGATTCGCTCGAGCACGAGAGGGAGGCCATGATGGATGAGATTCGGGGTATCATCTCTGGCGCGGATGGTACGGATGTGGACGTTGCGTTTAACATGAGCAAGCTGGACATCTACAATGACTCGATGGGCCATGGAAGCTCGAGGGCGAGCAGCCCATCTGGTAGCCAAAGTTCAAGCAACATGACTCCCTCTCAAGCTGCGGACAGGATACTGAAAGCCCGCAAGGCGGCCGAGGACCGAATCAACGAAGGTCAGCCCTCTCGCTCTCGCTCTCGACTGGCAGCGCCGGCAAGCTCGGCAGGCCATAGTGGCTCAGCGCAGCGTCATTCTCCTCCGGCGTCGAGTGCAGGCAATCACTTCCCCGAGGATCAGATGAACTACGAGATTCAGAAGCGGACAACCAGCGTTACAGATCAGATCGCCCGCATTCAATCGCAGCTGGAGAACACGCTCAGCCAGTTGGAGGACCGCTCAAAGTCCCACCGACATCGTCGGACGAGGCGGGACTCTAATGGGTCGTATACTAGCTCGTCGCGATATGAGCATCGTACGCCTAGTAGTCTCGGTGGGCATGGAGGAGCAGCTAGCGGGACGGACCATGAGAGTGCTGCGACTCACCATCGCGCCGGTGAAGAATCCGAGCTGGACTACGAGTCCTCCGCTACTACAGGCGGTGCTGGCGCTGGAGGATACGTGTCCTCTGGCTGCGACAGCGCAGCCTCTGCTGCACGTCGCGAGAGGAGGAGGCTGCGTCACCAGAAGAGGGCGGAGGGTCCTCCCACGTCCTACCGAGGGCCGAGTGCGAGCATCGTAGCCGCTACGACCGGTGTGGGCAGCGAGGAATTAGCCGCGCAGGATGGTGCGACCCGCGGCGATGCAGCAAGACCTCGTGCGTCGAGGTCGAGCAGTCGTGATCAGGTTTTGCAGGAGCGCGACAGCACCAATGCGTGGAAGTCGACCACGACCACTGTCGCCCCACCCGCCACTGCCATGTCCGTAAGCACGAAGAGCGATGCGACGCACGACTCGGATGCTCCTACGACTACGACGGTCTCCACGGCGGACACGATGCCCAGTGCTGCTACAACCGTCGAAGACGGCAAAGTTGACGAGAAGGCGGAGCCGGAAACGGCTGATACCTCGTTGGACAGTGCGGCAGGGGAGGCAAAGGCGGACGGGAAGGCGTGAGGCCCTGTGCTGTGCGGGGGCGAGGCTATCTTCTCGGGCATGCTGAGACTTGAGAAACACTTTATTTCACTTCACCACGAACCTGCCTACTCAACTACCCATTCATTGACGTGCTTTAATCCATCGACAATTCGTCTTCTAGCCTGACCAGATTTGGGTGAAGGGAGGGCGAAAAAGCAGGTGGCTCGAGCGCGAAGTCCGAGACCTGCAAGCCAAGTGGAGTCGGGCGACGCGAGTCGAGCGGAAGAGGAGGGAGGACAAAGGGTCGAGATGAAAAGTTGGGAGTTGCCGTTGCTTGGGAGTTGCCGTTGCTTCTTTACCATCTCAAACGATCACCCAGGCCAGATCCGCATCTCAGCGCAGCAGCTGTGACGATTCGCTGATAGCTGCGATCATATGCCGCCCTCGAGCAGCGTCGTCGACGATGGCGGCGGCGGCGGTGGCGGCCCTTCGTCCTCCTCGTCCCACTCGCCTCCCGCGCAAGCTCCCCGACTGCGCACCTACTTCCCACCTCTCGCGACCCCCTCTACCTCTTCTCTAGCACAGCGTCGCCAGCATCTCTCCTCAGCCGCCCCTCGCGCAACCGCGAGCACATCGCTACAGCGCTCCATCCACCTCGACGAACCCGCCATTCGCCGACTCGACCTCGCTGCTGAGCTGGGCGATGCGAAAGCAGGATATGGGCACGAGGGATGCGTCAATGCAATGAATTGGAGTCAAGATGGGCGAAAGCTAGCCACAGGATCAGATGACTGCTGCGTCCTTCTCTGGGAGGTGGGCACGTCGCACATCCACCCGCCCGCTTCTAAGCCCACGGTCGCCAAGCGCCGACCTTATATTGGCGCTCCTGCTGCCATGTCGAGCCACTCAAGCCACGACGACGACGACGACTCGTTCGCTTTCCCCTCCCTCGACCTTGGACTCTTTACTCGCATACATACAGGGCATCGAGGCAACATATTCGATGTGGCCTTTGCGCCGCACACATCCGACAGGCGGCTCATATCCGTAGCTGGAGATGCGCAGGTGCGCGTATTTGATCTGGAGCGGGGCACAGGGGGCAAGAGGGAGAAGGTCAAGCTGTCCAATGGCGAGATAAGGTGGATTGATGACTTCCACGCCGCCACTGGCGGAGTGGAGTGTAGGACGTTGAAGTGTCATCGAGGGTTCGTGAAGAGGGTGCAGACTGAGCAGAGCGCGGATATCTTCTTAACAGTGTCCGAAGATGGTGAGTCGCTTTCAACAGAACGGAGGTTGATCCGAGAGCATAGAGCTGAATTTCATCGTGCTCCGCACGTACGCAGGCGATGTTCGTCAACACGATCTACGCACGCACCACATCTGTCGACCCCGTTACGGCTCCACTGACTCCTCTACACACGGCTCGTGCCCTCGCCCTCTCATCCACCACTCCGCGCCTCTCTACACACTTTCCCTCTCCCCACTCCAGCCCTGGCTCTTTGCCGTAGCGGGCATGTCACCCTACGCCTACCTATACGATCGTCGCATGGCTGGACGCGTCCTCGAAGACGAATGGGGGGCTGCTGCCTCTACGTCCTCATCTTCCTCTACCACGGACCCTCTGCTCGCGCGCTGTGTGCGACGCTTTGGCCTCCCTTGCGGAGACTGGGATGGCAAGGACTGTCGCCCTCAGCAACTTGAGGAACCCGGCGGCGCCAATGTGCGAAGGGGCAGGAGGAGACACGATACCATGGAGCACATCACTGCTGTGCAGCTTGGCGAGACGGAGGAACGGTGTAATGAGCTGCTGGCATCCTACTCCGGTGGGGCCGTGTACCGCTTCAATATCAGGGACGGCACGGGCGTGCTGCAGCATCGCGAGGGAGAGGAGACTGGCAAAGCCAAGAACTATACGGATAGCAAAAGGGGCGTCAAGAGAAGCAGTAGCGCCAGCGCGGGTGACGAGGCATGGGAAACGACTTCAGCATCGGCTTCGGGCTCCACCTCATCTTCCTTTCGTCGTTCGCGGAAGCAGTCACGCCCCTCGACGGCAGAGCGAGACGCCCACCAACAAGACGAAACAGACAAGGAGCAAGGAGCGTCGGACCCTAACGAAGGCACAACGCCTCGGCCCAGCGTCACTACAGCGCACGAAGAGGCAAGGGCTCGCGAGCGAGAAGCAGGGCTCGACCCAGGTAATAATGCAGAAGAGACGCTTTCGTCGTCCTCGGGCTCATCCTCCCCCACAGAGCAAGAAGCGGCAGGCTTCCCTCTATACCAGCAACTCATCGCGGACGGGCTCGCTGGGGAGCTCGATGGCGGGGCTTCAGAGGATGGAGGCGAAGATGACGACGATGAGGACGAAGAGGAAGACGAATCGGATTGGCCTCCCGCCGCTCCAGTGATCTACGATCTCGACGACGAAGAAGACGACGAAGACGAGGACGAAGACGAAGACGAAGATGTGGATGAAGACCTCGACCTAGAAAGCGATGAGGAGTTCTACCTAGACCGTGCCCATCCTGAGGATGAAGAGGAAGACGAAGACGCCGCTCTGTATTCAGATGAAGATGAGGACGATGATGGGGAGGGCTTCCCTTTCCCCTCTCTTTTCGGATTCCGGCCCCCTCGTGGAGCAGAGGAGATTCGCCAAGACCGACTCTCTGACGCTCAAATCGCCAACGTACCCATCGTCTACCCAAAGCAGCGCTACCGAGGCCACATCAACGTGGAGACAGTCAAGGATGTCGCCTTCCTCTACGGCACCGGATCGGGCGGGGAGAGAAAGGACTTTGTCTGCTCTGGCAGTGATGATGGACATTTCTTCATCTGGTCTCGCGAGACCGCCGAGCTGGTAGGGCTATGGCAAGGGGACGGCTCTGTGGTCAATGTGGTTCGGCAGCACCCGCTTCTACCCGTGCTCGTCGTCAGCGGTATTGACGATTCTGTGAAGGTATTCGCGCCAAAGACGTCGGAGCTAGCCCCGGGTGAAAAGGAGCGCACTGACGGCGAGGAGGGAGACAATTCGGATGGAGTCACCATTGGCAGGTCACGCAATCGTTGGGACTTGAGAGACACGATCATGGCTGTTAACAATCAGAGGTTGCAAAGGGGTATGAATGGCTATGACGACGACGAGGATTCCGACGACTTCTCGGAAGAAGATGAAGACGATGAGGGAGAAGGGCACTCTGGCGCATCGGGACGTCAGACCTTGAGGATCAGAGATCTGCAAGACTTCCTGCCCATCGGCATGGTCCCACCGGAGCGCGGTGGGTCGACGAACGACGAGATTGCGCAAGCTATGATGCCGCTCGGCGCAGTGGCACCCGAGAGAGGTGGACCTACAGATGATGAGATCGCAGCGGCGATGATGCCTGTCGGGATGGTACCGCCTGAGCAGGGAGGACCGACGGATGATGATCTGGCCGCGGCTTTCCTGGGGATCGACCCGGCGCAGAGGGGTGGGAGAAGGGGAAGTAGCCGCCGTGGTGGACAGGGAGGAGCGGGTGAGACTGGGTGCGCGATCATGTAGGCAGTCAGAGACTGCAGCGCCGAGCACACGACGCGATATTCCCTCTGCATCTCCGATCCTTTTCGAATCCATCACCATTCGAGTTCACATCACAGATGAGGGCCGAGCATGTATGCTGAGATGAATTGAAGTGCAAGTGTCGAGCAGCCGTTCGTGAGATAGATAGATATAGAGCCAACGCTGCTCCTAAGCCCCGCGGCCCCTTCTTACTTCGCGGCCTTGAACATCTCTGCGATGGTCTGCGTGCCCGCGAACGCCATCGCTCCAATACCAAAGATGAGGATAGCAACATCCACCGCTTTGCTGTACCACGGTCGGTCATTGAGAGCCTTCAAGCTTAGCAGGACCGGGAAGATAAAGCAGAGCGGTACGCAGAATACGGAGCCGATAAAGCTGACGAATACGTCCAGCTTGCTGCTTCCCGCCCAAGCAAAGAAGACCGAGACGACGACGATGCTGATGCGGAAGAGGTTCTTGTACATCTTGACTTTTGGGTTGTACTTTCCGCTCTTGCTTGCGAATACGCCTCGCTCCAGGATCTGGAGGGCGGGGAAGAGCTGCAGCGGAGTGGAGAGGAGGATGGCCACTGCGTAAAGGAATAGGAGGGCTTGGACGAACTTGTAGTTCTGGGGCAGGTTGGTCATTACGACCGTCTGGGTCTTGCTGCCGAAGGCCAGGTAGGATAGTGCGCCGGAGGAGGTGAAGAGGAACATGACGACGATCATTACCCAGGAGAGGGCCTTTGGGAATCGGTGTGGCTCCTGCATCGACTCGGTGATGGGGATGACGAGCCCCACGCCCTCGAAGGTGAAGACTGACGTGCCCACGAAGAGAGGGAATGACTCTGGGTTGAAGGCCTTCACGTCCGAGAAGCCCTTCTCGGCGATGTGTCGGATCTCGTACTGGTAGAGGTAGATGATGCCTGCCAGGATGAAGGCATCGGCAATGAGGGCAGTAGAGGAGAGCTTGGCGATCTTGCGGATAAGGGAGAGGGGAATGAAGATTGCCGCTTGCATCACGATGAACCAGACGGGTGAGATGTTTGTGCGCCCATTCGTCACGCCGAGCACGAATGCCTGGAGATTTTCCGCCACGAAGACCGTGTAGGCTGCCACAAAGCCGAGTTGGGAGAAGACGATCGATGTAAGGATGGCCAAGCGCATACGTGGGCCGTAGAGGATGCCGCCCATGTCGCCGAAAGAGGCAGGGACTTTCAGGTTTGCTTGGACGAGGAGGAGGAAAGACTTGAGTGAGATGAGGGCGACGGCGCAGAGGAAGACGGAGGAGAAGAGGAGACCGCCGTTCAGGAAGGCCTGGCGCATGAGAAGGGGGGGGGCAATGTGGTCAGCGTCTCACTTCTCTGAATAGGAGGCGGTGATCGCGCTCTCACCTTGCCTAGGAAAAGGATGCCCGTGCCCACGAAGCTCTTGAGGAGCATCATGACTGCCTCAGTGACCGATGCTTCACCACGAGGCTTGTCTCCGGCGCTGCCTTGTGTCCCATCGTAGCGACGACGGCTGGAGCGACGGCGCAAGAGGGCGGATCGCTCAGTTGGGACCTCTCTCGGCCTCGGCGCCTCCTCATCCTCATCTTCATCATCGTCGTCCTCATCATCACTCTCGTTGAGGTCCTCTCCCGCAAAGTGCCCATACAGACTGAGGAAGTCGATGAAGCTGCGTAGAGCCCTCGGCGGGGGTTGACCCTGTCTCTGCGCCTGGTTGAGCATGAAGAACCTCCGAAACCCTCCTGGCTCGCGGATCTGCTCTACATCCAATTCCGGATCAATTGTGCTTGTTCGCGGTAGGTGAGCAGACTCGCTGCGAGTGCGTCGGGCTGCCTTCCTGCGATTCTGATGAGCCCAGCGGTAGATGTCCTCTACGATTGCACCTCCTTGCGCGTGGTGAGGGGCAAAGTACTCCGAGTTGGCCCCGTCCTCGCCCCCATCGTGTTGCGGTGATGGGTTTGCTTCACGGAGGGTGAGGCGTGAGGCACCTGCATCGTGCGAGTCTTGGCCGTGAGAGGGGAAAGCGACGCTTGATGTATGCGCTCCTCCTGCTGCAGCAGACCCGGCAAAGGACCAGGCTGATGCTCCCGCAGCACCTCCCTCAGCGCCAGGCAGATTGAGATGTCGATCAATGATCCTCGCCTTTTGCTCATCAGAAATGGGGACGCTGTCCAGATCGGCCATGTTCTGCGGCGTGGGCACTTCGCTGTCATCGATTGGCGCCGTCGAGTCGGGTCGATCCGGGTCATCCCGATCGTCAGCGTCCCCATAGCGTTGGTGACGCCATTGCCGGCGTTGGTTGGCAACGCTGACTTCCGACTCGTTTGTAGTATTGGTCGAGGGAAGGTGGACGCCAGATGCTGAAGGCGATGCAGCATAGGGGGGAATGTTGGGGATGCGAGGAGCGTGCGGGTGGGCAGGGCTGTCCGTCCCGCTACCTCCAGTGTCTTGCGACGAATGCTGATCACGATGGTCGCTCATCTTGGCTGCAGAGCGAGGGTGAGAGGAAGGTGGTGAGGCCAAGGACGCAGAAAAGCGAGTAAAGTTGTTGAGAATGGTTGCTGTCGCCGGTCTCGTAGCGCCTTCGTCTGCTTGCCTCGCCGTCCCCCCCGTTCTTCAGGCACGAGTCCCTGTCGACCCTTGAACCTCGACCTCGCCGTGCCACTCGTCTCCGCTGCTCCGCACATCGAGAGGCAGACGAAGTGGATCAATTTGCCGCCGCGCCTTCCGACGGTCGCGGTCGATGCGTCATGGCCGATTATCGAATGCAAGGGCAAAGTCGAGACAGTCTCAACCACATTACAAACCAACACTTGATCATCATCCAAGCATAGCATTATACGCAGCAAGGATGGACGCTAATCTCTGAATGAGCATCATCTTCACGCTCCCTCGTCCACCTCGATGTCCCGCATCTACGACGCCCTGGCTGGCGTCGTTCCTCTCGCCTTCGTCTGCTTCGCCCTAATCGTCACCTTTCTTCCTCATGCTGCGGGCAGAACATGGTCGCAGATACTTCCCTCATGGCTGCACCCGCTAGCTCACGATGTTATCTCGGCGGAGGATGTGAGGCAGATGGAGGACCAAGAGTTCAGCGGCAAGCCCGACAGAGATAGTTCACCCACTCCGCCTCATCGAGGACAAGGAGAAGGTGACGAGGCAACGCCACTCCTGCCTCGCTCGACGATGCGAAGCCGTGCGCCTCGGTATACCCACATCATCCTCGCCGCTGCGGCACTGCTTCACCTTCTAGCCTGGATCTCCATCGCAGCATACGACTTGGAGGTGGGCCTGTCGCTCGTAGCACCAGCCCAGCCGCTCCTGTGGACCTACGCCCTTGTTCGTTCAGTCACCCGCAAGGCACCCACGCCACCCTTTGACCTCCTCTTCATCTACGCTACCCAAGCTCTTGCAAACATTGTCGCCATGTACGACGGCAGCCTGCCCCGAGTAGGGTATGCAGGTCACTCCCTCTCCCTCCTCATCTGCGCCCTCGCCCTGACCAGTATCTTCGCCATGCCCCTGAGCTTGGAGGTGCCGATCGACTCAAAGTCAGCAGGCGAGGATAGATGCTCCCTTTGGCAGTGGATGACATTTTCCTGGCTTTCTCCGCTGATATCCACCGCAGTCGAGCGGACGCTGGAGAAGGACGATGTTTGGAAGCTCAGTCGCTATTGCCAGAGCACGCTGCTGCTGCGCAAGTTCAAGCAGGTGAAAGGCTCCACCCTCCCACGAAGGATACTGAGGGCCAACAATCACGACATTCTGCTGGATCTCCTGCTCACACTCGTATCGGCTGTACTGGCCTATGCATCACCGTTCTTCCTCAAGCGCATCCTAGAAGCGATAGAGAACGCTTCCAATCCGCAGCATGCCCCTGCTGGTGCGACGACGAAAAAGACGGCCTACCTATATGCCCTTCTTTCACTCACAGCGGACGTAGTCAAGTCGCAGACTGATCTGCAGCACCTCTTCTATGGAAGGAGAGCCTGCATCAGGATCAGGGGGCAGCTTATCTCCGCCATTTACGAGAAGGCGCTCAAGACTCGTGATATGAATGGCGTCGTAGGAGAGAAGGGGAGCACTGAGGGCAGCGGAAACGATGAACAGCAGCAGCAGCAGAACGGCCATAAGAAAGGCGAGCAGAGAGCCAATGGCAAGCTCTCCTCGCCAGACGATCCAAGCGACTCCACGCCAGCCTCAATCGGCAAAATCGTCTCCCTCGCAGCAGTGGACTCGATCCGCATTTCAGCGCAGGCAGCAAGCGCCTACATGCTCTACTCGGCCCCCATAGAATTCATCGTCGCCTCCCTCTTCCTCTACAGGCTGCTCGGCCTCTCTGCCTTTGCTGGCTTCCTGGTTCTTCTGGTCGCCTCACCACTCCAGTCGATCCTTACGCGAAGGATGATACAGATCAGCAAACACCTGTCGGCCGCAAGAGACAAGAGGCTATCAGCGCTGAATGAAGTGACCCAGAACTTGAAGTTCGTCAAATACTACGCCTTCGAGGAAGAGATGAAGCGAAGAGTCCTCGCTTTGCGCGAGGTGGAATTGGGCTGGCTCAAGAAGAGGCAACGGACCCAAGCAGCCGTCATGCTTCTTTGGACCATCACACCCGCTGCGGTCACCACGGTGTCCTTTGCCTTTTACGTCCTCGTCGCCAAGCGCGACCTTGATGTGTCTACCGCCTTCACGAGTATAGCCCTCTTTCAGCTTCTACGCGGCCCGCTAAATGCGCTGCCCATGCAGGTCAACGAGGTGCTCAATGCCAAGGTCGCAAGTGATCGCATTGAGGAGTTTATGAGGGCAGATGAGGTTGCAGAGGGGGTCACTAGCTTGCAGAAGGTCTCAGAGGACGAGGAAGGGCAGCAAGCGACGCCTCCTTCGGAGCAACACCTCTTCGGCTGCGAAGACGCGACGTTTCAGTGGCCGGAGGCGCCGATCAGCGATTTGATTGGAGCAAGGGAGAAGGGAGCGGCGCAGCTGTCCCTCATTGGGCAGGCGTTACGGAGGTTGCAAGGAGGGAAGAGCCAGGACGACAAAGCAAATGGCCGGAGAAGCGAGTCTTCACCGCTCCTCGACAATGGCAATGGCGAGAGTAGCGGTGCCTCCACGCCCTCCAGCTTCCAACTCAGCAACATCACCTTTCTCCCTCCACCTTCCTCCCTCACCCTCGTCATTGGGCCCACGGGCAGCGGAAAATCTGCTCTCCTCTCCGCCCTTCTCGGCGAGATGGCCCTGGAGTCTGGAGTCTCTCACATGCGCAAAGATGCCCGCATCAACCCTCGCACAGGTCTCTCCTCCACCATCGCATACTGTGCGCAGACTCCCTGGCTGCAGCATGCCTCTATCCGGGCGAACATTCTCTTCGGCTCGCCAATGGAGCAAAGCAGGTACGATGCGGTCTTGGACGCTTGTGCTCTTCGGCCGGACTTGGAGGTGCTGGAGGGGGACTTGACCGAGATTGGTGAGAAGGGCGTCTCCCTCTCTGGTGGTCAGCAGGCGCGAGTCGCCCTTGCCCGAGCCGTCTACTCACGAGCGGCAACCTTGTTTCTGGACGACCCTCTGAGCGCGGTGGATGCGCACACGGCGGATAAGCTTGTGAGGGAATGCTTTGCTGGGCCACTCATGAAGGGCAGGACTGTCGTGCTAGTCACGCATCATGCTGATCTTGTATTGGCGAGGAGGGGAGTGGCAAAGTGGGTCGTGGCGATGAGTGAGGGTAAGATCACGAGGCAGGGCGAGGTGGAATTGATGACTCAGGAGGGGTGGCTGGACAGGGTCGGGGAGGCGGGAGAAGAGGGAACGAAGATCGACAGCGTCGCCGCGAATGGCAAGGAGGGACAGCGCGACGCCCTGAACTCAGCTCAGGCCAAGTCCAACGATGAGACCGAACCTACGCCCGCCGCTTCGCCGGGTAAGGCGCGCGTTCTAGTGGAAGAAGAGCATCGTGCTCGTGGTGGGGTCAAGAAGGAGGTGTACAAGATGTACCTCGAGGCATTGGGCTATACCATTGCTGGATTGGTCGTCGCAGCGCTGATTTCCTACAAGCTGACGGACCTCGCGGAGAAAGGCTGGCTAGCTTTCTGGGGAGCTTCGTATCGGCTGCGCGAGGAGCAGCGCGACGTGGGCGTGGCTGCTGGGAGCCCGTCATCGCAAGCGCATCGACTGTTCAGCTCTCTAGCGCTCAGCATGCCAGTGGCTGGCCTTGCTCTACCAATCAGGACGCAGGAGCATCATCTCGCAAGCCCATCAACGGTCTCAGTTCTCTCTTCGCGCTCTTCGTCGTCATGGTGGCCATTCGGTCCTGCCTCTACCACGCCCGTCCCTTACCTGCTCGTCTTCTTCCTCATTCAATTAGGTCAGGCGACCTTTATCTTCCTCGCCGCCCTCCTCACCTTCCACGGCTCCCTGAAGGCATCACGCTCCCTGTTCGTCCGCATGCTCGACGCTACCATGGGTGCCACCAGCCGCTGGCTGGACAAGACCCCTTCAGGACGCATCGTAAACAAGTTCAGCCGAGACGTGGAGGTGGTGGACGCTAGTATCAACCAGTCGCTGCGCTACTTCGTCACCTTCGCCATTGCGGGGATCATAGCGGTTCTCACGATCGTTGTGGTCCTCCCGCCGTTCGTCGTGCCAATGCTCTTCCTGGCCGTCGCCGAGTACTACGTGGCCCGCGGCTACATCCGTGCAGCGCGCGATCTTCGTCGCCTGGAATCAGTGTCACGCTCTCCGATCTTTTCGGCCTTTTCCGAGCTGCTCCAAGGCATCTCAACCGTCCGAGCCTACGCCGCCGAATCCCGGATGCTCTCTGAATGCACGCAAAGAATCGATCTGGCGAACAGCTTCTTCCTCTACTTCTGGATGTGCAACCGCTGGCTCCTCTTCAGGCTGGACATACTCTCCTCCCTCGCCATCTTTGTCGCCACTCTGGCCGCTCTGCGCGGTACGATTGCTGCAGGCTTGGCAGGACTGGCATTGACGCAGGCGCAGAGTATTGTGCAAGCCTCGTACTGGATGGCGCGGATGTATACCACGCTGGAACAGGACGCGAATAGTATCGAGAGAGTGAGGGAGGCGTTGGATGAGACGCCGCAAGAGGAGGTGAACGGGGCTGAAGAACAGTACGAGACTCCGCCAGAGGATTGGCCGGCGAAGGGCGGAGTAGAGGTGAAGGGGTTGGTACTACGCTACGCTCCTGAGCTACCGCCCGTCCTGCACGGCATCTCATTCAGCGTCAAGCCAGGAGAGAAGGTCGGTATCGTCGGACGTACAGGCAGCGGCAAGTCGACTACGGCACTGGCGTTCTTCCGCTTCGTGGCCTTTGATTCTGGCTCCATCGAAATCGATGGGGTGGACATCTCCAAGATCAGCTTGCGCGACCTCCGGTCACGTCTCACTATTATTCCGCAAAATGCGGTGCTCTTCAGTGGCACGATCCGCGACAACTTGGACCCCTTTGGCCAGCATACCGATCAGGAATGTGAGGAGGCCCTGCACGCCGTCAGGATCAGGACGACAGCCGTGCCATCCAGCGCAGACGCGAGCGTGGAGCCCAGTCGCCCGACAAGCATGTATGAGACGCGCGATATCCACGGCGATGACGACAACGACGACAGCAGCGACGATCCCTCTCCGCCGACACCCTCCTCCTCCCAGACTTACGTTCACCTCGCAACGCGCGTAGCGGAGGGCGGCTCCAACTTCTCTCAAGGACAGCGCCAACTCCTTGCAATGGCTCGGGCTCTTTTACGTCGCACTCGCCTCATCCTGATGGACGAAGCTTCCTCCGCCGTCGACCTGCGCACTGATGCACTCATCCAGCGCACGGTCCGCAGAGGCTTCCGTGATGCCACGGTGATCACCATTGCGCATCGTCTCGCTACGGTCGTAAGGGCAGACAAGGTGCTTGTGTTGGACAAGGGCAAGGTGGTTGAGTTTGGTGAGCCGCTCGAGTTGATGGGCAGGGAGGCAGGAGTGTTTAGGGGGATGTGTGAGATGAGTGGAGATGGGGAGCGATTGAGGGGGGAAGCGGAGGATGAGGTCAGGAAGAGGAACAGGCGAAGTGCAGTGGGGGATAGATCAGAGGTGCCTGATGCTTGAGGCGGTTCAGCAACGGACACATTCGTCTTTGTTGTGGCTTGTTCTTTCGTAGATGACTATGCAGCAAAGCTAATGTTGTGGCGCTTAGCCCGCGCCGCGGCGCGTCGCCTTGGTACCTGACCAGGAACAAAGGGGCTGGAGAACTGAGAGGGCGGTGATGGAGGGCGGTGATGGCGGCTCTCTCGTTGTTTTGCAATCAACGTCTCTCCGAAGAGGCAGTTGTCATTGAGATTGGGCCACCTTCCTCCTAACCCCTCTCTTGCTAACATCCATCGCAAAGCACTCGACGACCTTCATGAGGTCAAGCATCTCAAGTCCGACGCCTGCCTCGCCCTCGCCTTCGCCGCAGCATCGCATCAGCCGTCACTTTGTTCTCCCCTCGCTCGAGTCAAATACATTCACCAACTTCGTTCGTCGTCCCCGCCGATGGGTCGAGGAGCTGCGATCGGCGGATGGCAGCGATGTAACTGCCACGATACCCGATACGGTGAAACAGCAGCAGAAGAGACCAAGGTCGCTGGTCATCTTTGAGAGCAAGAAGCAGTGGGCTGGTGCGGGCATTCTGACTTCGCCGCAGCGCAGAGGGGGAGGAGAGGAGTCAGGTGTGGACAGTACCGGAGTCAAGAGGATGGCCTCAAACAGCAGTGCGGCTACTATTCGCTTCGTGGGCTTAGATGGGGAGACAGAGCTCAAAGAGGAGCTTTCTGGACGCTCGACTAGGGCAAAGACCGTCGATGCCAATGAGGATGACCTTAGCCCCGTCTCTATGCGCAATCATGTCTTCTCGCGCAGTAGCTCCCTTCGTACCGCTGGCAGCCCAGGGTTGAGCAACCATGTTCAGACCGCACCAACTTTGTCTTCATCGGCTCAGGACTGGCTCTCAAGCCCCGTATCCAAGCCTATAGCACTCCATGGAACGTCTGTCCATGCCGAACGCGCTCATGCGCCAGCCGATTATGCAGAAGAGCTTCGCAAATGGTCAGCAAAGCGACAGCAACATCCCTGCCCAAGTGCAGCCGCTTCCCTCTCGCCGCTACCGCCGAGCAGTGAGGTCGCCACGCATACCTCACATACGGGGAGCGATGCAAGACCTTCCACAGCTGGAGTTGCTTCGTCAAATGGGGAGCGCACTCTTCACGTCGGCGAGCAGCCGCAGCAATCCGCTCGACGCAGCTTGGGCAAGCAACGAGCGGATCTCAGCGCAGCAATTGTCGACGAACATGAGAGTGAGCGTGGAAACCAGACTACTCTGCTTGCCAGTGCACACACCCGCGAGACGACAACCGCACTGCGTCGCATGCTCAGCCACTCGAGCACGAACGAGGCTTCCGATAGGACGGTACGCCCACTGATCGTCGACCATCATGGCCCTCAGTCCAACGATGATTTGGCATGCGGTAGCACCCGCGAATCATACGGACACATGCATGGTAGTCAGGTGCTCGAAGAAGTCATGGCAGGAGACGATGTAGCTGCCACTCAGCGTAGACACACCGGCGTCGCGGCCTACGGGACCGCCACGGTATATCATGACCTTGCTCAACATCGACTTGCCGCACCGCAAGCCGACCTCTCCCCTCTGCAGCGGAGCCATTCATCAGGCGACGGGCATCCCAACTCATCCAATATCACCAAATCACGAGCTGCCTTGCCGCCTGCTACTCCGGATCGCGCACACGCAGCCAGGCCAACACACAATGCCTCCCCCCCACTTCCTTCGCCCTCGACAGCAAAGCCAGCGCCGCATGCTTCACGTCAGCGAGAAAGCTTCATACATCATCGAGACCAAGACTTCATCCCGCAACGCCCTCTCTCCAGCAGTCTCGACCCCGACGTGCTACGCTCCATCATCTCAGACTTTCCCACCACGCCAACGCCGCCAGCCAGCTCGCCGAAGGACCCAGCATGCGAGCCCCTCCCTCCCTCCGGCACCACGACCAGCGTAGCCTTTCGCACAGCCACAGAGAATGGGAGCGCGTTGACGTATCGCTCACCCCTACCATTCCCAGGCGAGCAAGCCGCTCATTCTCACTCTGTTGGTACCACGTCAGCATCATTGGAGAAAGCTCTGAGGGAGCACGAGGAGCAATCGCAGCGTGTCCCTGCGAGGAGGAAGGCTGTGGTAATACCCTCCTCTCAGGCTGCGAGGGAGAGCTCAGTCAGGAAGCAGCCGGCAGCACCACTGCCTGTGAGGATTGATCTACCTAAAGTCATGCTTCCACCCCGCGTGCCTACCCCTGTTCATCATCGAGACCAGCAAAATCAGCAGCGCGGCGAGCAAGGTACCTCAGCGCCGCCCCGAGGATCCTCTTCTGAAGTTGCATCCGAAGTCAGCAGCTTTGCCAGCATCAAGTACTGGCGGCAAGTCGTCGCAGTCGAAGGATTTCTTGCCAAGGAGAAGAGAGCCACTGCAGCGGAGGCCGTCGCTAAGGGTGCCGAATGTAGGCAAGCATCTCCAGCTGATGCAGCGAGGCCTGACGTAAAGCGGACACGCCCCTCGACGCCTCCGCCGCAGCACCCACGCCAAGTCTCTGGCGTGACGAGCACGTCTAGCCCTACGACGGTCGGCACGACTTCCAGTCGGAGGAAACTGAGCGAGCAAGAAGCGGCCAGGCTTTTTGGTCGCTTTACTCCGTACAGAGCACCTGATGCTGAGATCGACCGTAAGGCAAAAGGCAAGAAGTCGCCCCCGCTGATCGTGAGCGGCATGGTCGCTGCGCTACCTAGTGGGATTGCGAGGGAAGACAAGCGCTACAGTACCCATTCGACGAATGACACTTTTGGAGTCGGGCGACGTCGTCCTCGAGAGAATGACAGGAGCGTAGAGGCCGAATCCGGTCACAGCCGCAAAGAAGAGCCACAACAGCAACGCAAAGAGGCTCAATCGACTCTACTTCGCAATACGCCAGCACCGACGTCTCGCCCCTTATCCGCCAAAGATAGCTCGCCGGCTCCACCTTCTCCTCCTCCGGGCAGCTCACGTCCTCCTACACCACCTCGCACCACTACCAGCACCGCCTCGGCCGCACGACACGACACGGCCTCAAACTCCATCAAAGACGCTGGCAGCGCTCACGATGGCGACGACGACGACGGTGCACACCTTGTGATCTCGCTCATCGCGCAGCGTGTCGGTGCAGCAGGGCAAGCACTGCTCACACTGGGGCAAGATCTCGCTGTGTATCAGCAGCAGGCTCTCGCCGAGAATGCGGATTCGAGGGGGTCGAGGACTTCGACGCCGGATCAGCGAGGGAGAAGGCGCGCTTGATGCGCGTTACGATGATTGCACAGCTTCGTCACCATATTTCAGTGTGTCTTCGAACATCAGTTCATCTCATTGCCCTTTGCGCTCTAATACCCCCAAGCAGTGCCCTGTACTGCCCTTCCTTGCCCGCCCACCCCGCTGACAGCGCTCGTCCTGTGCACTCCACCAGTAGCGACGCTCCTTGCCATCCTACGTGCCTTGAGCACCTTCTCTCCCTGTACCTCCTTGGCCGTCTTTCCCAGCCTCAAAACAACGTCCATGTGACTGAAGTACGTCTTCCTGATACCCATCCTCATCCTTCCCTTATACTCTGCCTTCTTGAGCAGCTGGTCCTTTCCTACCCAAGCCTCATCCACGACGAGCCGTGATCGGTTCATACCCTTTGCAACGGCATGATCGCGTGCGAGGCACAAGGTGGACTTGATCCTCTTTGCGGCTCGTTTTGGGCTGAACTGCATCTGCAAAATGGCATAATCGATGGGCCTTCCGCTAATCTGATCAGCGAGGAGCTGAAGCTTCTTTGGAGAAATCTTGAATGCCGCTGTAGAGTACTTGTGCTCTGGTCTTTGCAATCCATTCCACTTCTTCCTCTCCAACCTCCCCTGTTGGCGAGTCGCCATTCTCTCTGCTACACGAGCAGCACGTTGTCCCGTAACATCTGCGTCTTCTCCCTCCAGTAATGGATTACCCTCCGCGTCCACCGATGCTAGTGCGCGTGCTTGTAGATTGTCCTGATCAAGCTTGCGTTGATCTGCTGCAGACATTCCTTGCCTGAGACGTGCCAGCTCTGTCTCTCTGCGATTACCGAAGAGAGTGCGAGTGGCCGCCTCGCGAAGTGATTGGGTGAGGGACTTTTCCTCTTTGGCTGGTGTGCCGTCGGGTTTTTGCTTCTTTTCTGGTGCTCGGCGAGAGACTAGGTCGCGGAAGGAGAAGGAGGGGTTGGGGGTGGTGGTAATGCTGCACGAAGGGGGAGAGGTGAGGTGAGGTGAGCACGGGGATGATGTGAAGAAGATGGTCGACGTCTACCCACCTTCGTACAGTCTGCCTTGAAGAGGAAGGCGTCGCTGATGAGGAAGCAGTCACCCATGATGAGCCCAACTTGGTCGGATTGGCCAGTCGCAGCACCATGACGTCTGATCGCCGTGCTGGTAACGAAGAGCTGGATGAGAAGATGTCGCAGCCACACTCATCACTCCTTGTTCCGCTCCCTCCTCTCCGGCTCCGCGTGGCGAGCCCTTGGCCTTCCGTTCTCAGACGAGACGAGACGAGGCGAAGCTCAGACGGGAAGAGGTCGAGATTCGATTTCGCAGCGACGGGGCGGCGACAGGCCAGAGACGGGCAAAATGGCGGTGCGGAGCCCAGCTGCGCCTGCGCTTGCGCCTGCTTGAATTGTCGAGTGTAGTGTTGGGTCACTCCCGCTGCCGCTGCCGCTGACGCCGCCGCCGCTTCTGCTGTGTTTCACTTCTTCTTCTCCCTCTTTACTCTCCCCACCTCTCGCCTCCAACCCCCTCCTCATCGCGGAAATGGACATCTTCAGCCGCGCCATCCAGGCCACGCCCTGGCTTCGTGACCAGTCCCTGCCCGTCCAACTGCCCGTCATCGCCTTGGCCGCCATTGTCGCCTCGGTGGCCTTGAATGTGGCCTCGCAGCTCCTCATCCCGCGTTCCAAGTCGACGCCACCTATGGTCTTCCACTGGTTCCCCTTTGTGGGCTCAGCCGTCACATACGGCATGGACCCTTACACCTTCTTTCACGAGAACCGCAAGAGACATGGCGATGTCTTCACTTTCTTGCTACTGGGCAGGAAGGTCACTGTGGCGCTGGGGCCAAAGGGATCTAACTTGGTCTTGAACGGCAAGCTCAACGAGGTGTCTGCTGAGGACGTCTATGGCGCTGTCACTGTGCCCGTCTTTGGCAAAGAGGTCGTCTACGATGTGCCCAATGCCGTCTTGATGGAGCAGAAGCGCTTCGTCAAGGCCGGTCTGTCCACCGAGAACTTGCACGTCTATGTCGGTCAGATTGTCGATGAGGTGGAGAGTGAGTCGAGAGCGCGAGTTGCGAGCTGGCAGATCTATCAGTGATATTGACCTCTTGCCCCTTGCCACCCGTGCAGACTTTGTCGCGAATGACTCGACCTTCTCAGCCCTCAAGGCTGGCAAGCCCGCTGTAATCGACACTTTCCAAGCAATGTCAGAGATCACCATCCTTACCGCATCTCGCACGCTCCAAGGCCAGGAGATTCGCGAGTCTCTTGACAAGTCCTTCGCCGACCTCTACCACGACCTCGACGCCGGCTTTACCCCGATCAACTTCATCATGCCCGGCCTGCCCCTCCCCGCCAACTTCAGGCGCGATCGCGCACAACAGAAGATGTCCCGCTTCTACCGCGACATCGTAGAGAAGCGACGAGCAGCCGCAGAGAAGGGTGGGCTAGAGAGTGCTGCGGGCGGGTACCACGACATGATCGCGACCTTGATGGAGCAGAAGTACAAGAACGGTCGCCCCCTCTCCGACATTGAGATTGCCCACATGATGATTGCCCTCCTCATGGCAGGGCAGCACACCTCGTCCGCCACTGGTTCGTGGGCCCTTTTGCGCCTCGCTTCCAAGCCAGAAGTCATCCGTGAGCTCTACGACGAGCAGGTACGAGTCTACGGAGATGGTACCCCTGGCTCCTTCCGCCCTCTCGACTACGAGACCAACAAGACGCAGCTGCCCATTCTCGACTCGGTCATTCGCGAAACCCTTCGCATGCACCCTCCAATCCACTCCATTATGCGACTGGCGCTCAAGGACCTCCCAGTCCCCGCGACCATGGGCGGTGATGGCTCCGCGGGAAAGAAGAGCGATACCCAAACCCTCATCATCCCCAAGGGCCACTCAGTCCTCGCCGCGCCCGGCGTGTCAGCAATCGACCCTTCCCTCTGGCCGGACGCAGGAGAGTTCAAGCCATCACGTTGGCTTGAGGCAGGCCAGCTCAAGGGCGAGGAGTCGTCCTCTACCTCCCCCTCAGACACCGTCGACTACGGGTGGGGAGCCGTCTCCACTGGCGCCAACTCGCCCTACCTCCCCTTCGGCGCCGGCAGGCACAGGTGTATCGGCGAGCAGTTCGCCTACCTCCAGCTGGGGACCATCGTTGCGACGGTGGTGCGCGGTTTCGAGTGGGAGATCGAGGGTGGAAAGTTCCCTGAACCAGACTACACTAGCATGATCGTACTGCCAAAGGCGCCGGCGCGATTGGTCATGAGGAGGAGGAAGCATGCAGCCTGAGTGAGGTATTGCGCCCATCTCGTAGCGATGAGACGGCTACTGAATGCGTCGTCCTGATTCTCTATTTGTCTCTTCACCGCCCCACTACCCACATCATCATCATCATCATCATCACCCACAGTCTTTACTACGTATGCTCGTCTATTGTTTTGTAGAAATGGAAAGAATGAGATTGCACTTCCTCCTCATCATCAAAAGATCTGACGTGGGTGAGCCTGAGCCCGCATCTAAGGCGGAGGATCCGTCGAAATCCTACACCCTATCCCACATTTGGTCCCAAATTCGCTTCGTCAGTTCACTGATTTTTTTTTCTTCTCGTCACCCGACTCACACTCACAAATAACAAACCTAGCCCACCCCACCCAATCATACAACTGCGGCATCCCCTTCTCCTCTAGCGCGTCCATCCATGCACCTTGGTCGCTCCTCGCTAGCACCCAGGGGGACTTGGTAGCCACGAAGGAGCCGGGGGATTGGTTGTGTGGTGGTGGAGGGGGGTAGACTGTTCCGAGGCCGTAGTCTATGATGGGGTGGGAGAGGGGGGTTGAGGTGGAAGTGGAGCCGTTCGTTGACGTTGATGTGGGGCAGTTCAGGCTATAGTGGGGTGAGGTGAGGGGGTGAGTGGTGAGTTGGAGCGTGAGGGGTGAGGGGAATGAGGAGGGGAAAGGGGGGACTTACGTGAGTTGACCTGCGCAATTGCCTATTGCAAGATGGGGCGATATGAGTGACAGACTGGCTTGAGAAGAGTCCTCAGAACATCAACTCCTACGTACCATTGAAGATGTAGGTTCGCCCTGAGATCCAAAACAGCGAGGCGCGGGCGTGAGAAAGGATCGCATGGCCGCCGCTCCTTATTGAGCAGCTGCGGCCGTCTTATGCGCTCACAAGTGTACCCATTGTGATCAACTATGTTCGTAATATTGCACGAATACGTTGTAATGTTGGCAATAGCCGAGCCCACTGACTTGACACTGCTCGTAAGGGAGTGGCGCAGGGTATGTTCTTTTGTTAGCTGCGAGTCTCTTCGCTGGTAAGCGACCAACTATTCAATGGCTTCTCCAAACGCACGTCAAACAATGGCCGTCTCGATCGCAAGCGTCAGGGAGTTGTCGTAGCCCGAGGTGGTTCACCATCCTGCGCTTCGATGGAGCGCCCGCAGTGCCCTGCGCTGTGAGCACGATGATCATGCTGATTTTTGCGAAGAGTATACGCATGCTAAGAAGGAGGTTGCGCTTGTACGTAAAGCAGGTCATGGTCGGCGAGAAGGGGGCAGTGAGATGGTGTCGACATGTAGCCAGGCAAAATCAAGCTACTGACTGCGGCTGCCACCCATTGACTTTGCCCTTCGGCCTCGTCATCAGCGATCGCGTCGACTAGTCGAAGGAATGGCCACAACTTGAAAGGAAGACCGTCAATGTTCTCGATGTGCGGTAAGGGTAGCTATCGCAGCTGGTGGGCATCCATGATCTCACATTCTTCCCGGCGATGGCTGCGGTCCCTTGGCCTCGCTTCGCTTCGCCTGGGCAAGACGCGTCGCGATTCCTGAGCTCCGGGTTTTTACACTCTCCGTGTCTTCTCCCGTACGCTTGCTTTTTGCTTTCAGAAATCAATCGGATGTGTGGAGCTTATTGGGAGAAACCCAGCCGACATCATGCCAGCTCGGCTCGGGAAGACGAGGTGTCTTATTACAGAAGAACCCAACAAGAAAGAAAGGTCAACCGAGATTACCTCTTCCTGATAGGTGCTTTCACCCTGTTGCAACATCAGGACTCCTTGCACCCTACCCACGAAGCGTGCGATACAGTCATACGGTGAGAAGAGTCAGCCTCTTGCCTCCTGCTCATTTGAGCCCCCTCACCCACACAAAAAGAAGTAAGCAGCGTTATCCCAGTCGTACAGCTCTGGCATGCCAGCCTCCTCCGATGCGTCCATGTAGCCGCCCTTTTGATCCCTGGCGATGACAAGAGGCGACTTTGTAGATATGACAGAGCCGAATCCTTGCTGGTGAGGAGGTGGGTCCACTTTACCCAGGCCAAAGTAGACAAAGGCTTCCTTGACAGGGCCGCCCGCTGAGGAGGGGCAGTGCATGCTTGGAAAAGAGGGCAGGTTTTCCGAGGTGGAGAAGAGACGTGTCGCGATCCTCTGTCAGGCTCTCTGATGAAGTGGTCAGTTCCGCATCAACATACGTGACTTCGCCTGCGCAGTTGCCTAGAGGACCGTGAGAGTAAAGATGCGTTTAGCCATACGCTGGGCGAAGTCCTCAAAGAGGGCACTCAGTTGCAATGATTTCGCCAGACCGGTACTCACCATCGAAGACGTAGGCGCGCCCTGCACGTAATGATCGACCGAGGCAAGGAGTCAGCTGGTCAAATGCGCTTGGGAGGAAGAGGAAGCCTCGCTTGCTGCTTCCATCGCAAGATCCACACGCACATGTGTAGCCATGATGATCGATGATTTGTGTCACGGCGCAGGAGAAGGTCGTGAGGTTGTACAGGGCCCCTCCGATGGATTTGATGCTGCATCAAGAGGGGTCCGCTTAGTCCAAATCAGTGCCCAGTCGGTGCGTGAGAGGCGTGAGAGTGGCTCACTCGAGACAATGATTCCCTTGGAGGCAGGGACTTGGGACGTTTCTCCGTCTGAGCTGACGACTGGCCACTCTGATCATCGCGTGATCAGGCGCCGGAGAGCGAATCGCGGCTGCCTGCCAACCACAAATTGTGAGCATTGTGCAGGTCAGTCGCAGTATGGCACCAAAGTGGCGCAACATAGTCGGGCTTGGAGATGTAAGTTTGAGAACTCCAAGAAGCGTGAGGCTGAGGAAAGATGAGTAGCCCTCCTCTTGAACCTGGTACGTAGCCAGTAGATCGTCGATCTCTTGTACTCGCCGTCATGGTCGCTTATCAGTATCAGTCAAGCAGCAGGTTCAGTCTAATTTCTCCGGCGATGCCAACGACCTTCCTGTGCTCACTGAGACGCGATGCATGTTACTTTGCGCTTGACCAACGGGCCTGAGTCCGTAGGCGGGAGTGCACGAAGAAGACGCAATTCCGTGAACCAGGGGCGGATATGCATTTAGCGTACTGATGGGAAAAAAGGCGACGACTTTCGATCGCAGCAGAGAGGAGCTGCTCTCCTCACATTGCTCAGGCAAACGCTTATTCTGTCAGCCAAGGACGAAATCGATTCGAGGTGTATCATGGCGCTGGCTTGCGCTAACGATTTTTTCAAAGCACCGATCACCAACGCTTGCACCCTGCAGCGTTGCGATTGGTGGTCAGTATGCGGCATAACTGGTCGCCCCTGGACTCAGATCTTGCTGTACTCACAGACTTGGAAATCGGCCCACCACGCCCCTTGATTCAACCTCTTCGGCCCCAGCTCCCCCGAACCGTCCATATGATCTCCGTCAGACCCTTTGCCCACCACTCCTCGATGTCCGCAACAGATAAAGGAGCCGTGTGGGTCCTTGGGAGGGCCAACAGTCCCAAAGCCGAAGTCGACATCAAACTCTTCGACGAGGCCCGATGGAGAGACGGGGCAGCTCATGCTACGCGAGGGAGAAACGAGCCGGGAGGCTGAGTAGAGGTCAAGTAGCAGGACGGCAATAGGTACTTACGTCAATGCACCCTTGCATCTGGCTGGTCATGCGAGTAAGACGGCAGGTCAGCTGCTGCGACGATACTGACGATGAAGGACCTTTTCAAGTCACCATTGAAGACAAATGTGCGCCCTGCGTGATGATAAGGACCATGAAAGGAAAGGGCTCAGTAGAGGCTGACTGGCTTCGCCCATTGAATGCATGCGCACATGTGTACCCATCATGATCCATAGTCTGGTTGACGGCGCAGGGCTGTTCCGGCTGGATCCCCACAAGCGCCCCCTCAATGCCTTGCACCCTGTCATTGCGAGCGAGTCAGGACTGGATGAGCACCAGCCTGTCACAAATCTCACGAGTGTATGGCGCGACGTCTGCACTTACGTGAGACAGTAGGTCCCTTCTTCACCGCACACTGGGGGGATTTCCATGGGTGCGATGTATTCGCGGGGGCCCAGCCTAGATGGCGTGGACTTGGTAGGTGTGCCGGCAGCGTCGGCCAGAAATGTGCAGCAGAGCAATGTGAACGTGAGAGCGGCCAGAACAGTCACGCTGGGAAGAGCTAGCTGCAAGGAGTCAGAGAAGGCATCATGGTGGAGAAGCATGGGGGTTAGGGATGGCTTGGTCGGCAGAGCCTCGTGCGGGGTGGTGCTATGCGGGGAGTGTAGGCCGATAAAGAAGGCAACATGCTGGCGACATATACGAGAGACCATGTCCTCGCAAAGCAAAAGCTTATCTTTAAGTGGTTGACGAATCAATGACAAAGTCGGCGGCTGCGGGCCGTTCTGGGAGCAACGTGTGACCTGACGCTTTACGGGCGGCGTGTTTGTGTGGCAGTCATCGCTGCATCAGCGTGACGGCACAAATGAACCTGGGTTGTAGAGCAGCGCTGCAATCCCATTCACCACATGCTACACCCTGTTGCGAGCCACATTCTGTCAGCTAGATCTTGTATCTGTGTCGCTCTGCGCTCACGCACTCACAGACCTGAAAGTTGACCCACCAGCGACCATTGTTGAGCCGCTTACTTCCTACCATTCCATTGCCATCCATGTGATTGCCGTAGGAATCTTTCCCAACGATGCCGGGCGCACCGGCATGAATGAACGAGGCGTGACGGTCTTTCTTAGGACCAATAGTGCCGAAACCGAAGGAGAAAGGGATCTGCTCCACCAGCCCGGTCGGGGTGACTTGGCAGCTCATACTACACGAAAAGGGGGAAAAGGACATGAGCGCAGAAGTCATGATGCGCAGACGAGATGCGGAGGGACACGTACAGCACTTCACCGGAGCATCTGCCTGTTTCGGTGTGTGCGCAATTCAGAAAGATGGCGGTGAGCTACTGCAGCGAGACCCTCGGATGAGGATAAGGCGGGGCTGGCTTACCATTGAAGACGAACGTGCGCCCTACAGCCGGCAGTCAGTCAGTAGATGCTCAGCAGATTCAGGCAAAGCTCAAAAGATTGCGTTCACCCACAGCTATAGCCGTCATGATCGATCGTCTGATGAACACCGCAGTGCTTTGTGTGGAAGCCGACGAGCGCCGAATTGAGGCTCTGCACCCTGCAATGGCGGACATGTCGAGTAGCGACTACAATCAGCGTGAGACTCGACCAGCAATGACCCCATTGCGTGCGGTATGTACGTGAGGCAAAAGTAATCCTTCTTTGCGCAGACTGATGGAATTTCAGCTGGAGACGAGTAGCGGGCAAAGAGGTCTGGCGTGGGAAAGGCATTCGACAATCGAGAGCCTGAGATCAGGAGTAGGGCGAGGAGAGGGAGAAGAAGTTGCATTGCCTTGCCTTGGCTTGAATTGTTGTGGTGCATGGCTGGCGGAGGTCTTGTAATCGAAGGTGCGTACTGATCTTCGGAAAGGGCAAGGAGGAGCTGGGATGAGGATGCAGGTCGTAGATGGCGGGAACGAGTAAGGTGAGACGTCTGACGTTGCGGGATAACGTGACAGTGTCTACTGCCCTTGACCCTCGTCAATGTTCGTCTATTACTGCGAAGGTCTTGTCAGGATAGGCTTCCCAAAGCGGAGATCGGATGGCGGCGGCGGCGGTTATACGGGGTAGGCGACAAGACAGGGAAGGCGGCGAGAAGGTGCATCTCGACCTTGAAATTGGTCGATTCTGCGTTGAATGATCTCGTGGCCTGCCGAGAATCGGCGGAGCAAGCTCGCTTGCTTACTCTCCGAGAAACGATATCTCGCGGCAAGGACGAGCAACGTCGATGAAAGCGAAAGATGGTAGATTGGGAGGTTCAGATCAGGCGCTTGCCTCAGCTCGTCGGCATTGAAAAAGATGGCGACCCCTTGTGATCACCAACGCTTGCACCCTGCGCGATTGCGATCCCGGTCGATACTCAGTCAGCCTCATTACAGCCTCAACACAACACGCTCGCACACTCACAAACCCTGAAGTCGGCCCACAAACTATCGATGTACAAGCTTTTCTGGCCTACCAACCCGGCCCCATCCATATGATCTCCATTGGACCCTTTGCCCACGATGGTCGGCGCATCCGTGCTAATGAACGAGCCATGCTTGTTGACGGTGGCATAGCCAAAGAGAACCACGCTGCGGTCGACTTGTCCACGGGAATCGACGGTGCAGCTCAGGCTGCGCGGGGCCAGGGAGTGGGGAGACGTGGTGTCAGATGGCCGACGTGAGCGATGAGAGAGCGAGTAGAGCGAAGAGCAAGTACGCACACAACATGTCCGGCGCATTTGCCTGGTGTCGTCAGCGAGTTGCGAGGGAAGGGCCGTCAGGTGCTGTGGGACAAGGATCTGCCTGCATGGCGCGTTCCACTGACCATTGAATATAAATGTGCGCCCTGTGGCATATGATAGTCGCAGTGAGGCAATCAGCAAAGTTGCCCTTCTCCTCTCTGTCAAAGAGCGCAGCGCACTCACAGCTGGTCCCATCGTGATCGACGGTCTGATGAACGCCACAAGGCGGGTTCGTCTTGAAGTCGATCAGGGCCCCATTAATGGTCTGGACCCTGCACGGTAGCGAACACAGAACAGTGACCGTTAGCATGCGGAGGATCGCACGAGAATGAGCACTTGTGAATCTCTCCTCTGCACTACGTACGTGAGACAAAAAAAGCCTGACTCGGAGCAAGGTCGAGGAATCTGCAGGGGCTCGGTGTATCGGGCTATAAGGCTTGAACCAGATGTGGTCGAGGCGGCGGCCTTTTGGATAGTCGCGATCGTGGCGAAGGCGAGCGTGAAGACAACGAGGGAGGGCAGGGTGAAGATTTTGCGCTTAGTGCTGAAAGGCATCGTGTTGTTGCAGTCCTGATGCAAGGTTGCAAGTGGTGAGGGGAAAACAGCAGCATTGCCCTCCCAGGCTGAGCGAGATGGTGGTAATGGGTGCGAGATCCCAGATAGGGATTTGATTCGCGTGCCCTTAATTCCGCAAAGTCGCGTCACCGGCCGATGGCGCGAGGCGACTGAGTGCCGGTGGGTGGACCCAAACGCCAAGGCACACAACCGACTTCGTGAGGACCCTTGATGAAGAGTGGTCTCAATGATGATGACTCTCGCGCGGAGATGGGGCGGCAGCGATTTGCGGAGCACCTCCAGTAGGAAACTGGAGCAATTGATTATCTCGTCCTCGAGCTCGACCGTCGCTCGTCCCGGAGCCCTCGTCTACTTAGTAAATTTCCTGCTAGAGCGTCGAGGCCGAGTGCTCCTTGATTCTGGCGAAGTATCTGGCTGGGCTTTGGCATCGACATCGTCCTTGACCTTGCGTTTCGTGCCTGCCTTCGCCCCATCGACACCTCCGTTGGACTTCGGCTGAGCCTTCTTTGCAGCCTTTGAGGAGCTCGAACCTGCTTCGGGGGATACTGCTCCATCGTCATCCGCACCCGCACCCTTGGTTGCCTTGCCCTTGCCCGCATTCCACTTGCCCTTCCATCCCTCCCATCCTCCTTTGTCCCCCATCTTCACCACAGCATCATAAGCGGTCGGGCTGACATTCTGCACGCTCAACCTCCCCCGCTTGAGCAGATCCATCTCCCCGACAGCCTCGAGCTGCTGCGTCGTCAGATAGTCCAGCCTATCCCCACACCCCTGTGCTGCGATGTGCTGAAGGAGAGCAAGTGGCACGAAGTGGTCAAATGTCTTGACGTACTTGACCTCCGGCATGAACCACTTTGGTTCCTCCCTCTTCGACCTCTGATCGTAGTAAGGGTGCGTAGGATCAAAAGCGCACTCGTCCGGCACGGGGTCAGTGCAGACTTCCACTTCCCCAGCTACACCTGGTAGCTTGCAGTTGGAGTGATAAAAGAGGACTCGATCCCCTACGGTCATGCTACGCAACGTCTTGCCTGCTGCTGGATTGCGGACCCCTTCCCAGTGTGTGCGTTGTGAGGGGGACGAGGCGAGGCGGGAGAGTGGGAAGGACACGTCGACTCCATTCTCGAGACGGGGCAGTGGTTCAGATTTCGCGAGATAGTGGCGGATGGGAGGCATGATGCTGAGGGATCGCGAGGAGGGATATGCAGAGGTGAGGGAGGGACCAAGAGGAAGAAGCGCGTTCTTTGTTTGGACTCGCGTTTTGCGATGCAATCGGCCTTGATTCCTTGGCCCGTGCAGCGCCCAGACTCCACTTTGACTTGCTCGCGCCAGGCCAAACGCTCCTTGAATTCCTTCTTGCTGTTCCCATTCTCGCCCTCGCTCTTTTCTCTCGTCATGGCCTCCCTCTATCACCGCTTCGGTGCCTTCTACTCCTCTTCTTTCTCTCGCCGCCCCTGGCTCACACTCGCAATCGCAAATGGAACACTGGGCGTGATCGCGGATTCACTGGCGCAGAACTTCGAGAAGCAGCAAGCACGACAGCAGGCAAAGGACAAGGAGGGCAGCGTTTCATCAAGAGAGACCAAAGGTTGGGACTGGGCTCGCAGTGGTCGCTTTGCGGCCTTTGGTGTCGGTATGGCTCCAATTCTGGCAGAGTGGAATAAGTTCATCGAATTCGCATTCCCGCTCAGAACGAATGCTGCGTCCACGTCTACGACTGCGGGGGGTGGTGGGCAGGCGGCAGGTAAGGCGAGTGTGGGAGCTGTAGCCGGAGCAAGAGGGAGCATGTCTGCCGCCGCGGCTGGAGCTTCAGCTGCGGCTTCTACGGCGGTGAGCGCGGGAAAGGTCAGTCTGGTAGCCTTGGGAAAGAGAGTGTCTTTCGATCAAGTGCTATTGTGAGTGTGTGCCCAAGCAAATTCAGTAGGCTAGTCCTGCTTCAAGAGAGATCAAGCCGATACTGACTTGCCTCTTATATAGCGCACCCTTCGGTCTCGTATGCTTCGTCGGAGCAATGGGAGCGATGGAGTACGGCTCCTGGCCGGGCGTCAAGGCCAAATTCTCAGATGTAAGTCTCAGCTCTGTTCCTCTACGGCTTGCTTTCGCTCACCGTCGAAATCTCTGCTTCAACTCTCTTCTTCCTCTCGCGTCAGATGTACATGCCTGCCCTCCTGGCAAACTGGCAGGTCTGGCCCCTGATCCAGCTAGTCAACTTTCGCTTCGTACCGTTGAGGTTCAGAGTGCCCTTCACCAGCTCATGCGGCATTGCATGGACGCTGTACCTGAGCTTGTTGGCCGCAGCCAAGGGTAAGGCAGAACAGGGTGCGGAGGTGAGGAGGGTAGAGACGGAGAAGGCGGTGTGAGTAGAAATGTAATAAAATTAGAGCAGAATACGAGCAGAGTAACTGTAGTGAGGTGCAAGTAGGGAACACGGCAGATCGAGCATCTACAGCGGGCATGGCTCAATCCTCTTTGTCGACCTCATGAAGGACGACCGTACCGTCTCCTACCATCTCCTGCTCTCCCTCCCTTTCATCCCCAGCCGCGCGCAGTAAAAGCTCCACCACATCCTCTCGTTCCACCCCAGTCCCTTCCATCTCCGCCCTCCCCGCAAAGAACTCCAGTAACGTCCCCTTGGCCAATCGCCACGCCTCTCCCCTCAACACCTCATCACGGGCCACCGTCCCCGGCATGCTCTGCCTTGCTCCCGTCCAGAAGTTGTAGCACCAGTACGCCAAGTGTCTAGGCTCGTGACCGGCAGGCAAAGTTGTGGTAGCAGGGCGGCTAAGTGCGGCGAGACCTACATTGGCCCCTTCTAGGGCAGACAAGAGACCCCATTTGCGCCACAGGGCTCCAGCGTGGGACTTGCAGTTGAAATTGTACTGCCGGCGATAGTAGGCGAGCTTGAGGCGGAGCCAGGCACTTTCCCAGCCCTGCTGCAGCAGCTGGGCCAGGCTCGTCGAGGGAGTGGTGGCACCTTTGCCATCAGTAGAGACGACATGAGTACGCTGCTTGATTGGGCGCGTAACGAGGTAAAGGCAGAGCGTATCATGGAACGGCGTGTAGCACTCCCCGGGATTGACGGCGTGGATTGGGTCGTCCAGAAGGTTGGCGGGGAGGTCACGAGTGAGGGACGAGAGCAGGAGGAGTTGGGTCAACTGCGGTGCAGGGAGGAGTGACAGGAAATCAGTAGCTGAGCGACGTCTCGGTGCTACCCCTGACTCACCTTGCTATGCCCATACCTCGCTAGCCACCCGCGCTTCCCTTGATCTTCAGCTAGCGCCTCCCAACTCTCATACCTCGGGCCTCTCCACCCCAGCCAGACGTGTGACAAGCTCGAGAAGAAGATCACCTTCGGCGGAGGGCAGTGCAGTCGTCGTTCCTGCTGCGCAGCAAGAACCACGAGCAGTGTAGCCAGGGGATTGAGGGCGTTGATTCCCGTCAGCCACTCGACACCGTCCTCTGTTACCTGATGGCCAGATTCAGATAGCCAGGCCACGCCAACTGTATTGATGAATGCGTCTAGCCGTCCGTCCGGAGAGGCATCAAAGACGGCGGAGAGAATAGCCTTTGCACCGTCGACTGAAGACTGGAGCGTTGCAAAGTTGCAGATGACGAAGGTGACCCGCTCGAGCAAGGCGACCCCTTTCTCGTCTCCACCAGCTCGGATCTTGATACGACACTTGACATCTTCCTCCCTCTCTGCACTCCGGACTCCTGCGATAATCTGAGCACCAGCAGTAGCCAGACACTCCCACAGTACCTCAAACCCAATGCCCCCGCTAGCGCCCGCAATGAACACGACCTGGCCCCGCCAGCTCCCCTGGGACAGCAGGCCCTCCGGCTCCACACCTACGCCAAAGATCAAGGAGCGCAATGCTCGCAGCAGCAGTATGTCAGGGCGAATGATGACCGGCCAGCCACGCCCTACGTCACTGAGTACATCCGCAAGGCGTACAAGGCGACGTCGAATCCTTGGTTGCTGCAGCAAGACGAGGAGTACTGTCATGCCTATCAGCCAGAATAAGGCGTGCAGCGCTCCACTATTGGAGGGCTGTGTCACATCTCCGTGGTTGTTACGGATGCCCGGTGAGGCGGGCTCGTCGGGTGGGTGAAGCACACGAGGGAGTGGCTGGGGTGGTGCGGGACCTTTGGATCGGCCCTGTTCGTCGACTAGGTGGCCATGAGGTCGCGGCGTGGCCCTGGCCATGGGGATGCGCCATTGTGGCTCGGTACCTTGAGGTTCGTGGTACATTTCTGGCATGGAGGCGGAGGTGAATAGGGAGAGGCGAGGAGGTGAGAGTCTGGTTGACTGGCGTTGCGACGCCTGTGCCGAGGAGGATGGGGTAGAGGGGGAAGAGGATGGCATCATGTCCTTCGGAGACCGTGAGGGAGACCTTTGCCCAGTGATTGCGGCTACAACGGGCCGTCCCTTTTGCCCTCGCTATCTTCCGCGCTTGAATGGTGAGTCGACGGCTGGATGGAGAATAGCGGGCCGTCCTCTAACCGCAACTTCTCCGGCTTGTACAGAACGAAGGTGAGACCATACCTTCCATTGCTCCCTCTCTTCTACCCAGACCCGTCGCGCACCCAAAGCGAGGTGATACCCTCATGACAAATACATTCAGGGGTCATCATCACTCTTGACGCCGCGGAGATCTGAGTTGTTGAGATGAGAAATCGAGGAGGAGCGAGCGCGCAAGATTGAATTCAAAGGTGAAGCCGGCAGCGCTCGAGCCAAGTGACTTTTTTCCCCGCCTCGGCCTCGCGACGGCTTCGAGAGGCGAGTTGACCACGAGCAGCAGTCCGCGGAAGGGAGCGCAGCTGCTACGTTTCTCTGCGTTCCTCATCAACAATTCTGCCCCTTCTGCGACTCGGTCACCCTTTTTTCCACCTGCAATCTCTTACGCTTTCCTACCTCACATCTCCACATTAGCCCTTCGAGCCCAAGATGTTCGGCTCGCGCTCATCCTCCTCATCCTCTTCCTCCTCGGAGCCCTCATCCTCATCCTCAACCACCCCTTCCTCACCACCGTCATCAGATGCTGGCGCCCCTGCCTCCGCTGGCCTAGGCAGCATGTCCTCCCTCTCACCCGAGTGTACCCCGCTCAAGCATAAGTACGATGCCTGCTTCAATGCGTGGTTCCAGGACTACCTCGGCGTGCCTACCTCGTCATCCACCTCTGCTGCTGGTGGTGCTGCTGAGCCCGCAGCGAAGCCGAGACGGAGAGGTTTCTTCGGCGGAGGAGGAGGAGGAGATAGCGAGTCAATAGCCACAACGGGAGGAGCAGAAAGAGATGCGGTAGCCAGGGAAGGGAAGCGCAATGAGCTCGAGGAGAAGTGCGGAGCTATGTTCCGGGAATATCAGGCTTGTGTGAAGGTGCGTTGTCCCCTTCCTTCCCCGCTGGGTCTTCCCTCTTCTCTTCTTTGGACCTCCCCCTGCTCACTTCCCTCTCGCCTTGTCATCCTCGCAGAAAGCGCTCAAAGAGAAGGATCTCCTACCTCTGCTCTCCCAAGCAAGAGAGTATAACCCTTTCCCCTTCCCAGCCCAATCTAGCGGGGGGAAGGCGAGTTCAGAAGATCATGGCAACTCACCTTTCCCTTTTGCGGCGGCTAGTAAGGAGGAGAGGATGGATTGGGAGAGGAAGGAAGGGTGGTAGATGATCGATATCGGAGAGATGGGATGGCGGGATGAACAGCATGGTAGGCACTAACTCCCAGGTGGTACAACGAAGAGAATGGGGAGCACGGCGGCGGATCGCAATGCAATGTGCACATGCAAGGATGTACCATTCTGCCCACGAGCTCGCTCATTCGCTGTCATCGTCGTCGTTGTCATCGTCATCGTCGCATACATTTACAAAGAACCAATGATGAGTCTAGAGCAAAACCCCCTCCCCTCCCTGACCAGTCCGCTCAAGTAGCAGGTCTCAACGCTCTCAACCTCTGAGCGAGCTTATCCTCATCTCCCGATTCCTTGACCGCAGGCTCCTCAACGGCAGGCGCAGCGAGGCTAGGCAACTTGCCTTCGTCCATCTTCTGACCCAACTCGATGCCGTTCTCGTCTGCCACTTTGGCCATGAGGAGGTCCACTTGATCTTGAGGTGTGGACGAGGCGACGCTGAGGGCGAGGGAATGAGGGAAGAGCGAGAGATCTTAGTAAATTGGGGAAGCGAGATGGCAAGGGCTCGAAATGACGCGCGGGTACGTACGTGGACCCCATTACGCCTTCCATCGTTGAAGTCTGCACGTCCAAGTCCTCGAACTGGTTCTCGAACTTGTCCATCACCATGGAGATCTAGGTGTGGCAGAAGAGAACGAAGCGTCAGCGTCTCCTCACTCCATCTCTCTCTCTCTGCCTCGCATCCTCACCTGCTCCAAATTCATACTCTGCATCGCCTTGTCCATCCCCTTGACTACGCTGGCCATACTCCCCGTCACTTGACGCATAGTCACAGCCGTTTCGACCCTACTCGCAACGGCGTCTATCCTGCTTGCGAGTCTGAGGAGGTTGAGGGACTCATTGTTCTTGCGGATGGCGTTGGAGGCATAGATGCGGGCCCCTTCGTTGTTTCCCTGCGCGAGAGCTTTCTTCAGCTTGGCCTTCTCTACTCCTTCATCCTTTGTAGCTTTGCGTGATTGGCGGTTGAGGGATTTTGCGGTGAACTGCGAGGAAACGGTTGGGGAGAGGGACGTGAGTAAGGGAGATTGAGAGCTGAACGTAGGACTGGGCTGCGTACCTTGAGTTGGAAGAGAGATTCTGCGGCGCAAGCGGGTGTAGGGGTAGGGCTAAGTCAGCCAAAGCTGTTCAGCCCTGTATCAGCTGCCAGCTCAATGCGCTCACTCTCTAGCCCGCTCATGCTGATGTTATTGTCGACGAGGTGTTGGATGGTAAGATTGTAATGGACGGATGGACGCTCGACCCGCCGATCCATCGTGCAGCAACACCACCCACCAGCGGCAGCAGCGTGGAGGTCGACTCGACTCCCGCGAAGGGGCGCACAATGCAGCGCTTCGGCCAGAAAGCCGAGAGTCGCTGCTGGTTCTTCCTGTCCTTTCCCTCACTGAATTCAACAATAACAATGTCAGGTGACAAGCAGACGACATCAGACCCTATCCCGCTAGTCAGCAAGCTCGAGGACATCTACTCGTCCCGCGATGCTCAGCTAAAGCAGGGACAGCGATGGGACGCCTTGACGCAGCGCTTTGAGAAGGACTTTGGATCAAAGCCAGACTTTATTGCAAGAGCGCCGGGCAGGGTCAATGTCATCGGTGTGTAGCGAAAGACGAGCGGGGGGTGATGCATCTCCACCTACTCACCATCCGCTCATCGCCGTCTCTCCTGCGCAGGCGAGCACGTAGACCACATGGGCTTCGGCGTCCTGCCCGCGGCCATCGAGCTAGACATCCTCATGGTCGTCCGCGTCGTCCCTGCAGACGAGGGCACTTCTTCATCATCATCATCGACGATCCATTTCGATCTTGCCAACTCGACGGACCGCTTTGAGCGCGCCACTTTCTCGAGCGATGTGCGAGACGCAGCCTCAGTCGAGCTCATCCACGATGGGCCGACGAGATGGGCAAACTACTTCAAGGTGGCATGGAAGGTGCGTACGCCTAAGTTTATGCTCCAGCATACAGCTTGCTCAGCCCTCTCTCCTCGCTCGTGCAGGGTCTCCATCCTCATCTTCCCTCCAACACCCTCTCCGACCGACCTCCCTCGCGCATCGAAGTCCTCGTTGACGGGACCATCCCCCCTGAATCTTCCCTGTCCTCCTCGGCGGCAATGACCGTGTGCTCGAGTATTGTCATCCTCGAGGCGCTCGGTGCGCGCGATCAGGTATCGAGGAGGGAAATGGCTGAGGTGGCCATCGAGTCGGAGCGCTATGTAGGTGTTGCCTCAGGCGGCATGGACCAGAGTGCCAGCATCTTTGGAGAGCCGGACTCGGTGAGTGCAAGAGCAAGACGATGTGAAGAGTAAAGGATGGGAAAGCTTATGATGCTTTCGGCAGGTCCTTCACATCACCTTCCATCCCGGTCTTGCGATCTCTCGCGTCTCGATGCCGAAGAGCGATCCAGAGTGAGTAGCCGCAGCCTCGCTTTCCCCTTATGCGTCCTCCTCCTGCTTACCCCTGTCCTCTTCTGACGCCCTCGCCCAGATGCACCTTCCTGATCGCAAACTCCCTCGTCGTATCAGACAAGAAGGTAAATGGTCCAGTCCAATACAATCTGCGCGTCGTAGAGCTCCTCGTCGCTGCACGCATCTTCTGCCTCTCGGTGGGCATCGACCTTCCCTCCTCTGGACCGCAGGCCACCCCGACTTGGCGACAAGTGGTAGACCTCTACTTCAAGAAGTACCCCCTCAGCGACAAAGAAGGTGACGAGGAGGTTCAGCAAGTGCGCCAAGAGCTCGGTGAGGAGGCAGCCCAGCTTCATGTCCTCTCGCAGCTTGTCGAGTCCCACCTGCCTCCTGCGGCAATCGATCTCGAGGAGGCGAAGAAGCTCACCAAGCTGGAGCAAGGCGATAACTTCGCTAAGGCATTCTTGCAGCGCTTCGATGTTCGCACTGAGCAAGGATTCGAGTGCCTCAAGAGGACAAGGCACGTCTTTGCTGAAGCTCTGCGTGTTTGGCGATTCAAGGCACAGTTGCAGAGTGGGCGCGAGGGGAAGGAGCTGTACGAGGAGTTGGGAGAGATGATGAATCAGTCGCATGAGAGCTTGGCTCGGTGAGTTGACGCGCTGATTGCACGTATCGACGTCCAAGCTGACCTCTCTCACCACCCACTTCACATGTAGCGACTACTCCAACACCTGTCCTGAGCTCGAGTCTCTCGTCACTCTTGCTCGTACCGCCGGCTCCTTGGGTTCACGCTTGACTGGCGCAGGCTGGGGAGGATCGACTGTCCACCTCGTGCCTAAAGCCAAGGTTGGCGAGGTGCTGCAGGCGTGGAAGGAGGGCTACTACGCAAAGCGATGGCCTGAGATCAGTGGGAATGAGGAGAAACTGGGTGAAGCGATGCTGGAGAGCAGACCAGCGGGTGGGGCATGTGTCATGAGGTTGTGATTGCGAGGCGGTGATAGGCAAATGGAGGCTCGAATCGGCCGCGCTATGGTGTATGAGCGTCACTCATCAAAGGAAGAGCAGATCCATTATCCCCCAATCGCAAGCCCGGTCATTATTTACATTCATGGCTCCCCTTGGTCCCTCGTCGGGGGCAGCCTCTTCCTCACGACTTTGCCATCATCAGGCGAAGAGACTCCTGGGGGCAGCATGCAGCGGTACCTGTTCGCAGCATCGCATGAGTATGGCGGTCAGCGAGGAGCAGCGAAGCCGAAGGGGGGGCATGTGCGCGTGAGTGAGGCAGAGTGACGCACTTGTGGTTGACGTTCGTGACTCCCTTGCACCTGTGGGGAGCAGCCCACCGACAGTGAATGCAGCCGCCTTTGGTGTCGATTTTCTGATTGTGGCACAACACGCAGATCGCTCCCCGGCCAAGATGATCAGCGACGAGGACAGGGGACGAAGTACCGTTGAAGAAGAAGGCTTACCGTGCACACCCTATAAGCCATATCCATCGTGTTGGCAATGGAGTTACAATCTGCCCAACGCGCGACGTAAGAGCCCGATTCCTCGCGATATCAGCCTTCACGTCCTCCTGCCGCAGCCTCAGGCACGCAACGCAACGCACACGCAACATCGTCAAACTTAACTGCTCGGACTCGCACTGATGTGCTTTCCATAGGTATGCCCGGATGGATGGGATCATTCTGACACGTCGGGTTGAAGTAGCAGATGCCGAAGGCGATGCTCTTGCTCGAGAATAGTGCCACGAGCAGGAAGAGGGGCAGGGCGAGGCGCTGCGGAAGGGGAAACATGGCAGGCGCGGCTTTGGTGATGATAATGAGTGGGGAATAAGAGTGGATGCATGGATGGACGTTCAGGCAAGCGTGGAGTCACAGGCGCTTGTCGATCATGCTGTTGCTCTCCAGCAAGAGGAGCACGTCACTCCCTTTGCCCTTGACGTAGCTGGACATCTTCGGGGGGACTTCGGACGGTTGAGAGCATCAAAATCGAAGAAGGCATCGTCATCGCTGACCAATTGCACTGGACCTCGATGGGACAGACAGACACGACTGCCCTCGACCTCCTTCGTGCTCTTTTTGCACCTGGAAAGGGGTGGCGGGGCTGACGAGAATGTGAGTCGCGATCGACCTGGCGGTAGCGTTCGCCGAGAACGTCAGCGAGGACGCGTCGAGAGGTGACGCAGAAGCTGGTTGGCAGTATCGAGGGATGAGAAAGGTCAAGAAGCATGACGTGGAGCGCAGATGAAGCGAGCAGACGTAACGCTCAAACGAAGGTTTGGTGCCGTTGCGTCCCAGAAGACCGCCGAGGCTGCTGGTGCTTTGGAATACTGTTGGCATTCAAGTGCCGCACCCTGCCGGTCCGTCATCTACGAGAGCGAGGAAGCCGCCATGTGGTTGAGAGAAGAACGCTCATAATGCTTCTGCGAAAAATGTCATGATGCCTACGGGCCACAATCGGTCTTTGGCGCCCAATTTGCCCAAATGTCTTGAAAAGGGTGCCGGAGGGCGGGTCATTGGAGGCTTTTCAAGGGACCGTACTTTTTTTTTGGGTAGCTCGCTCGCCCGCTTCCTGGCCGCAGCTCCGTAGTCACGCAGTCGTAGAGGGAGGGCTATATCTTGGGCGCAAATTGAAGGAAAGGTTGGACATTCCTGGGAGAAAGGAGGCCAGCAAGACGGGAGATACGAGATGCCGAGCAGCTCAATGCGAAAGGAGGAGCAAAGGTTGCTCACTTGAGCGCACTCTTGCCTTGCTTTCTACCATTCGGTCACCAGCCTTCCACTTCACTGTCCCCCGCCGTAACCACCAAGCTCAAGATGCTCCATCGCACGCTATCCTGCGTTCTTGTCGCCCTTCACGCCGCGAGCATCACCCTTCTTGCCCTGGCTCTGCCTTACCCCGAAATCAACGTAACCGACTTCACCATCACCTCATCGTCCTCTGACGTCGTTGCTCGCACAGACCCGATGCGCGCCGTACCCTTCACCCCTCTTCTGGCCCCTTTACGCTGCATCGGCAACAATGTCTTTTGCCTGAGCATTCAGATGGCCAACGAGGCTTACAAAGAGTTCCTTCACGTCGATTGGGGAGGATGGTCCTGGATTGAGGATACGCCCGGCCAAGAGTGGAGGACCTTCGGTAAGTCAGCGAGCGCGCAACACGCAGTGCTACGTGGGGGGATCGACAAGAGGTCACTGTTCGGAAGCTTAGCGGCCATAGGACAAACCGGCTGACTTCGCCCTCCCTCACACCTCCTTGGGCGTCCGATGCTACGGTGGTTGCTCAGGCTTTGCCGGCTCCTTCACCGGTTCGATTCGAATGCACTGCCGCCAGGACTCGGAAGATGACTTCACCTTCTCCTTTGGCCAGCTCAAGTCGTGGCGCGTAACATGACCGATAGCTGAAGCCGCCATGGGAGGCTGACCTGTGTCCTCCTTTTCCCCGCGAGTAGGAGCTACATGTCCACCTATAGCCGGGAGCTGAGGGGCCATACGTCGGATGGGAAGACGATGGTGAGTTGCGCTTGCGCATAGAAAGGAGAGCAAAGTGGCCTCTCTGATCGGCTGTGTCCCTCGCGCCGCATCCCGAAGAGCGCAGTTTCAGCCAAACGAGCCGTTGCGACGAGAAAGTCTTGGGTCGACTTCCATGTCTGGTGCAGGGACTGGGAGAACGTCAAGGCGCCCAATGCCACCGGCCTCTTGTAAAGTGGCAGAGACTGCTACGGGCTGGCTCGTCGTCGTTTCAATGCTGTTACTCTGTCTCGACTACGTCTCTAAGAGCTTGGGGAGCCGCGAGCTGCTCCTTTGACGTCAATCAAAATCTTTCCCAGCACCCGCCCGCCAATGAGCTTCTCGTACGCAGCCTTGACGTCGTCAAAAGCGTAGGTGGAGTCCACGACCGGCCTCATGTAGCCATTCTCGAGTGCCTCGCAGAGCTGCCGCCAGTCACTCGCCTCGTACGTAGGCGCCTCGTTGATGTACTTGCGGCTGATCCCCCCCAGCCAGCGAGGAAGTAGCGTAGTCTTAAGCACTGCCTTGACAAGCGGCAGCATGGAAGAGATGAAGCGACCTGAGACGCCGTCCGAAGCGCCCACATTGACGTACGAGCCTGCGGGTTTGAGGAACGTCTCGCAGCGTTCTAGCGTGCGTGGTGAGCCGACGCAATCGAGAATGACATCGAATGCGGCCTCGCTCGAGAGTGAGTGCTTCTCTGCGAGGATGGTCTCGACGTCTTGCTCGCGGTAGTCAATGGTCTCGTCAAGCTTGTCGCGTTGTTCGAGAAAGGTCATCTTGCTGCTCGATGCCGTTCCGCAGACGTAGCTGGCCTCGATGAGTGGCGATTTGAGCAGGTCGGCAAGGAGGAGACCGACAGTCGTTGTGGATCCGAGTAGCAGCACTGTCTGACCCTTTTTGACGTGCAGAGCGAGCTTAAGCGCCGTCATTGCGGTGATGGACAATCCGCCAGAGGTGGCCAAGGGTACGTTGCTAGGCTTGGCCGTCATGCGCGCCATGTTGGCTACGGCGTAGTGGGAGAGACTGCCATTGCTAGAGATCTCGCGGATGGGGAACAAGCCAAATACTTCTAAGCCCTCTGCGGGCTCGAAGCTGATCTTGCTGCTGTCTGCGGGCGCCTCCCATGCTAGGATGCGGCCTGCGAAGTCGGAGCCCATGGTACGTGGAAGTGGCTGCCAAAAAGACGGCATCACTTCCGCGATCTTCCAGTCAGCTGTGGGGTGACGATTGGAATGATAAGCATTTGCCTTAGATCAAGACGATGTCGTGGCGCCGACTTACACGGATTGAGACCGACGCTGTGGATTTCGACGAGTGCATGACCAGGCTTGAGCGGTGGGACAGGCACCTCTTCCTCCAAGCGGATATTGTCCAGCACCGGGCCCTTGCGATGGATCCTCCAGGCTTTTGTCGTCGTCTTCTCCGGCGCCGTTGGCGGTGCGGATGTTGTAGCATTGCTCATCTTGCGTTGTGTGCTCTGTGATGGACAAGAGACGAGGGAGACAAGCTTACCATCACATCGGCCGCCCGTTTCACGCCCCGCCCGGGTCTGCTTCTCTCCACTTGATGGAAACGCGGCAGGGATTCGAACTGGTCGGCGAGCGCCCGACAGCGGCGCGCCGGCAATTGCGTCGCATCTCCAAGGACTCGGGCCGCTATTCTTAGCAAAACACAGTGGGGGTTTGTTTTGTTTTATCTCAACTCCCGAGCATCTCGTTATGCTCTTGCCAAGCCGGACACACTGAACCCGTCAACACGGTCTACAGAATATCTCGGCGAGGCTGATTTTCAGGAGGAGTACACCTCATGACTGTTGCAGCTGACCCAGCCCTTCTCAACTGACTGGGCCATCTGCACCAAGTCTCCGGTGCGGAGGGATGTCTCAGAATGGCCCTCTTGAATGCCACGAAAGCGAGTGAGCGGGGCGGATGGACAGGCGTCTGAGACTTCATTCATCCATCTCTCTCGACGAGAGATGAGCAGCAATGAGGGCGGCTCCGGAATGCAGAGCTCATCCCCCCTCTTGTCCTTGAGGGGAACAGAGATGCAGGCTCATACGGCCGCTCTCATATCTGGGCGCCAAGGAGTGACAGGGGCGAGGGGGCTGACCTCAATATCATCGAGGAGCTCGAGGAGCTGTCCAGGCTATCTTCCAGGCCCTGTGACCCTATTATCGAGGAGAGAGGAGCGTGGATGCCGTCGCTCAGATCGCTCGCTCGTTGTCCACTCGGCCGCCTTGGTGTTGCTTTCGTGTTGCTCGTGTTGCTCGTGTTGCTCGTCGACCAGAGAGAGATGCACACGAGCTTTCCCTGCATCGACGCGCATCTCATCACCGGCGTCTTGACAGCCAGCCCGCCCGACCCCCTTCAGGGGAATTTGGCCTTGGCGGCGGGCGGCGGCGGGCGTGGGTGTGGGCGTCTTGCAAAGCTGTCACTCGATATAGTCACGAGGCATGGCATGTCATGCCGCATTGAATCTCTCTCACACCCTTTCCATCCTCCCAACCTCACCATCATCTCGCGCTCCCCTTCGTCTCCCTCTCACCTGCCCACTATCCCTCGACCTCACCGTCAACCCCACAGTCTTTACCATTTGACGACGTTCTCAGGTTCCTATCACACCTTCTTTTACTAGCTCCCAACTCAATATCGCCCAATCACCCCCTTGTTCCATCATGCGCTTTCTCGTCGTCCTCGCCGTCATCATGACCCTCGCCACTACCGCCCTGTCTCTTGTCCTCCCTTTGGAATCCGACATGAACCCGCTCGACATCGATAACTATCCTGCTGACATCGCACCTGTCCTTGTGAGTACCATGGCATGCATCTGCTGCAATCCATCCCCTCAATGGAGCTCATACTGACATCGAATCTCTGCACAACTCGCTCCCAGCCTCGCGACTCTTCGGACCCCAACGGCCCTCACGAGAGCATGGACCCCACGACGGGCGACGACCCTACCGGCTTCCCTGGTGACGGCCAGACGTCAGAGAAGAAGGCGCCGTCCAAGAGCAACGGGCAGCACAAGAACTCCGGTCGAGGCGGCAGGCAGAGTAACAAGAAGGGCAATAAGAAGAGCAGCCAAGGCTCGAGGCGCAACTGCGAGGAGCAGCTCGACTAGGCGCTCTATTGGTCACACCCCCACCTTCTCTTCATAGACAACGAGGTTCCTCTTCAACACTATCATCTTCATCACCGGCCGCCTGCGGGCCTCCGCATCCCCTTCGATCCTTTACGCTTGCCAAGTGCTCCTTGCGGAATGCTCGATGCGATGCGATGCGATGCGATTCGGCTCAATCGGAGAGCCTGCTTGTATATACTTCACTTGACACCCCCTAATCAACAGCTTTTGCTGCCTATGCGCTGCGCTGGCGCTCGTTGCGGATCTGTTGCCCCAGTCACCGTCACTGACCCAGAAGGACTCGATAAGGCAGGCCAGCGGAGTCTCGCGTTGGTTCAGCTTGACTCTCATCTCTTCTACCTCACGTCGCTCAGACCACGCATCGCTCTGCTACATCAAGGAGTGTATTGCATCTAAAGTAGGTATTAAACAGGACGGGTGAAGACGAAGGTACAAGGCTCAATACATCGCACTGCTAGCCTAGCAGTCGGTGGCCTTGATAGCGTCCTCGATGGACGTGACACCGAGCTTGTCCTCGATAGCGCTGACGGCACCGCCGAGCTCCGAGTCAAGGAAGTCAGACGTGGAAGTCACGCCGAGTCCCTTCTCCACTGCAGGTGCGTAGGCGAAGAAGTGAGAGTCAGTGAGAGGTCGGGGGAAGAATGGGGGGATGGGTTGCACTCTACTCACGGTAGCAAAGCGACTTGCCCACGAGCTCGACGTCCGAGAGTCCGTCAGTCTTGCAGCCAGAGAGGCCGATCGACTCCTCGAGCTTGGTGACGCCCAGCATCTTCTCGAGAGCAGAGATGGCGCCGCCCAGTTCTGTGTCGAGGAAGTCGGTGAGAGAGGTGACGCCCAACCCGGCTTCGACTGCGAGCGTGAGTGGACAGGGAGGAATGAGGTGTGAGCGGCCGAAGGGAGATCGAGGGTGGGAGAACAGAGCTACTTACGGTAGCAGAGACCGGTGCCTACGGCGTCAACGTCACTCTCGCGCTTGATGGGGGAGGCGGAGACTGCGCCGGCGAGGGCGAGGAGGGGGACGGCGAGGGTGAAGCGCATAGTGGGCTGAGGTGGATGAGGGGTGGGTGAGGGTTGGGAGAAGGGTGTCCTGAGTGAGGTATAGAATGTGATGAGGGAGGAGGGACTGATAGAAGTGATTGGCTCCTCGACCTCTTATAACATTCAGTCAGGTCGTCTTCTCAAGTTGACGAGAGCTCCAGAGATACGGTGACACCCGGCTCTCGGCCTACGCATCGACACATGTCGATCAGCGAGCAGAGCAAGCTTCCGTCTCTGGAGGTACCGTTTGCTTGGCTTCCCACCCTCAGACCGATTAATGCGCTCCAGAACATCGTTGAATCGACTCGTGAGCGTCTTGCGTCGAAATGACTTCGGCCATCCTCCTCCGTAGAGCTGAGGTGGGGCAGAGATAAGACAGGACGCTCGCTTCCTCGATGAACGTCATGTGTATGGTCGGTTCAGGGCCCTGAGGAAGTCACGATTCCCAATCATCCGACTCTACGGGCTCATCCGGATGTCGAGCCGTCCTCTCATCGCTTCGCTAGAACGACCGCGGGAGAGAGAGAGGAACCAGGGTCCCGTGGAAGCCGAGACGACGATCTCGACTCGAAGGTCGCTCCTCTCGCGCAGTCGTGTGCCCAAGTGCGCGTGTTGATAAGGCAGACCAGTATTTGCGAGCCTGGCAATTTCTTTTCTCGGGTGGGTATCAGTGAATCGTTCGTTGAATGGTAGCCGAGGATGTACGAGGAAAGGCGCTTGGAATGGGAGAGTGTCCAAGGGAAGGAAGGTCGCCCGTCGTCGGCGACTTGGCACTGCTATCTCCAGCTCAGCTCATGGAGAGATCCAAAGCCCGTCGTCATCCGAGCTCGAGTCGTCATTGCCTTTCGTCAACACGCCTGTCAAAGGCAAGGCTGGCTCGCATGACCCAGAATTGGACTCTGCCTTGCTTGGTCAAGTTGACAGGCGGCGGCGAGATAAGGATGCCTGCCTGCGTCAAGAGGCCGAGGCATGAATCGGCGTTCCAACGTTCCCCTCGCTCGACCGGAAGACCCGGCTCACGGAGCAATACCCACGCTCACCGCTCATTTGAGAGGTTTGGCCTTCTTCAAGAATAATACGCTTTCAGCGTCTAAGCTCGACCAAAGGCCGGTCCACCCTTGCCCATCTGCGGTCTCGCCGTTATCATGGCGCAGTAAATGGACAAGAGGCGCTCCGGTCAGCCGTCCTCCTTTTGGACTTGGCTTCGCCCGGTGAACGAGCCCCTATCACGGGCGCGACGATGCTGCTCGATGGCGATGCTCAACGACGACGACGCTTGGCGACCGACTTTCCAGTCTGCTGTAGTGACAAGACGGTGCGACATTGCGCATTACATTCCAACGAGGGTTTGCGTCCGACGAGACAACAGGGAGAGCAGCATACCACCCGGAGACGTAGCACGGGGTAAGCAAAGAGAGACGGACACAAGGTGGAGCAAGGGTAGAGAAGGCGAAAGGACTGGGAGGGGCTTTGACGGGTATCAAGACTTGTCTACAGGCCGAGGAGGCCTTGAACCAGGGAGACGGCTGAGGACTTGGCCTGTGCCAAGTTGTTAGCAGGCGCGGCCGACTTGCCATCCTTGGAGGGCTGCATCCCGTGGGCACCCTGCACCTTGGCGGGCTGGTTCCTGACCTGGGCGTACTTGCTCGCCAAGTCGCTACCCATGACGGCGGCGACCTTGCTCTGATCACCCGTGTTGAAGAGACCAGGAGCCGTACCACATGCGACCTTGGGCTGAGTGCCCTTGAAGAGCTGGCCCAGGTAGTCAACGGCCATGGGGATGCCCTCTGCCTCTCCCGTTACGTGCTCAGCGAGGGGCAGGGTGACGAATTGGATGTTGGCGCCGCCCGCACATTGGTCCTTAACGTACTGCTGCGAGTCGTTAAAGGGAACAACCTCGTCGCCAAGAGCGTGGTAGATCAGGCGAGGGAACTTGGGGACCGAGATCTGGTACGAGGCTGTGAGTGGGGTGTGGAGGCCAAGAGGTAGGCGTGAGTACGCAAAATCATGGATCATCCCTACGACGACCCGCAGCTCACCCTTGGACTTCAGCAGCGTCTCTTCCTTGAGCGTCTTCTGGGCAATTGGGTCCTGAAGCGGGTTGGAGATGTTGACGTACTTGAAGTAGTCGACGAAGGCAAACTGCGTTACGATCTCGCCGATGCAGACGTTGGGCTGGACAGCCTTCTCGAGGAGAGCGGCGCCCTCCGGGGTAAGGTGGTCGTAGACGAATTTCTTGAGGTCAGGGTGCTGGCTCATGACGCCGATGAGACCGGCGCCAGCAAAGCCGGAGAAGGCGCCGCCGTTGAGGAAGTTGAGTAGGTGCTCCGGGTCAATGGGCGTACCACCGTGAACGGCGCCGATGATTGGAACTTCGGGAGCGTACTCCTCGTGCAGCTCAGTTGCCCAGACGGCAGCGTGCGCTCCACCAGAGTAGCCAAAGAGGGCGACTTGGCTGTTCTGAAGCTTCTCGTTGCCGATGATGGCGCGGATGCCGTCGAGGATGATTTTGCCTTCAGTGCGGCCGGCAATGAACGAGTTGGCGGGACCTGCGCGGGCCGAGATGGGGGGACGGAGGACGGGAATCCGTCAGCTAAATCGTTGCTTCGTCTTTCGTCATCACGCCATACTCACCCTCCTGATCCGGGATGACAACGTAGTAACCCTGCTCGATGGCCCAATTGACGTAGAAGGGCGCCTCGATGTTGGCCGCGAGCTTAGCCGTTGAGTTGGACGTGTCCACGTACGCCCACGATGGCGAGCACGAGAGGGAGACGGCGTCCTCGAAGTTCTGGTAGCTCAAGATCTTGGGCGCACCGTCTGCGATCTTCTTTGGTACGAGGATGGTAGCAACACCGCCAATTGCCTGGTTCTGCGTGTTCTCAGAGCGCATCATGACCTGGTACGAGTGGTCGAGGTTCTTGTTGTCCTTGAATGTAGAGGTGGTGGCGCGCGAGCGGACAATGTCGCCCTTCTTGTAGGCTGAGATGTTGCTAGGTGCGGCATAGAAGGGGTCCGAGTTGGGATCCGAGAAGCCAGCGGCAACGGGCTGGGCAGAGAGTAGACGTGGTTGCAGCAGAGGGTAGGCATTGACGAGCAACGAGCCCAGGGTAGCTGTGAGAGCAAGGGAATGTGACAGTAGCTTCATGTTGGGCCGAAGAGGTGTGGGCGGTGGAGGGCTAAGCTAGGATGCGGCAGAGATGGTAGCAGGGGAGCGAGGACGGATGCTGGCTGGTAGCAAGGAGGGGAGGGGCCAAAGGACAGGAATAGGGAGATGGTAGGATTGAGGTCAAGAAACAAGAAGGGTCGAGCAGAGTGGTCGTTCCATTGTCTTTCGTTGTTATGTATCGCTCAAGCTGGGAAGTCAGACGCGCAGAGCAAACCAAGGTCAAGCGAGGCAAAGTCAGCTGCCTAGCCTACCTACGGCTCACGGGTGGGTGGTTGATGCTGACAGGCTAGGCAGAAAAGGGACAACAACGACGAGACCTTCGCTTCCATTTGCTTTCGCTGCAGGCAAGCGCCCAGGGACTCCCGCATGCCTAGAGTGCTCTATTCAATCTGAGTAGCTGTCGGCCGATTCATGTCGGCGAGCAGACCGATGGTGGTGGTAGCTGTGGGGATAGAGTGCGGGGCGTAAGAGGCGAGTTGAGAAAGTCGTCATGGCCCTCTCGTCGCCCTCGTCGTCGTCAACTACGTCGCCCGCCCGGGCGTAGAAGCGATGCTCAGTCTGAGACGAGGCGAGACCTTCTGCCCTCGCCAGGCGCAGCTCGCCTCGCATCGGTGAAAATGAAAGGGAGCTCCAGCAGCCCGGGCAGGCACCAGAGCCGCAAAGACCAATTGTTGGGTTGAGGCGTGCAGGCGAGCTCGCGGCGGTGAGTGGCCACAAGCTCGCTCCTAGCCCTCTTCCCGACACCCGACACCACTCGGAATCCGCGAGCTGCTCTCAGCATCACTAATATGTCAATGAAAGCGCACTCAACCGCTCAAAGAGCATTGCGGGGAGCGTCGTTACCGTTACGAAGTGAGCAATAAGAGATCATTCCCGCCGCACCCCGCCTTCGCACTTTGGGTCTGACGGAGCAGGGCAAGGGCGAAAATCGACGGCCTACGTACGGCAGTCCACTAGCTCCTCCTTGCAACCAGATCCGCAGGAGCAGCAACAAATCGCCGCCAAATTGGTATTCCACCATCACTTTGACTCTCGCCTTTCTGGGTCAGAGTGGACCGTGGGTTCGCGGGTTCGCATCGTCTCCACGAGCTTAGCGCTACACTCGGAGCCCGAGGCCCGTGAAGCATGCTAATTAGCGTCCTGGTCGCGATCCTTGACAGCTGTTAGTCGAGCGTGGGGGAACATCGATCCTTCAACCATCAGCGATGGATAATCTAGCGCTCACTCGCAACAAGACGCGAGCTCCCCTTGCCTGTTACGGTCTAGCGTTGCCAAGAAGCGGTGCTTCCACGCACGATCGTGCAGACGGGAGCGTCCTCGGCGTCGCACTTCCCGTGCTTCGAGAAGGCAATGTCGTGCCGCTATACCGGCGCTACAAGGAATGAAGGGCTCACCCAAGTCTCATCAAAAGAGCAATGCACCAATCTGCAAATGTTGGGTAGGCATCATCTCGTAATTTGCAAAGTGACAGCACGATATGATCAAAGCGCATCCTGAATCAGCTACGAGCTACACTGAAGCGATCACGAAGCCCCAACCTGTGTCAACCGCCCCGGGGAAGCTGCTGTCGCCGTCGTCGACGACGATGCGGGCGCCGCTCCTCCACCTCCCTCGCCGCCATGACCCTGCAGCCCTGCAGGGCTCGGACGTCTCGAAGAGTTCACAGAGCCGCTTCCTCCATTCACGCTCAATGTTCCCCCTGTTCCCGGCCCGCCCATGAAGTCCTCGTCAGCATCGTAGCTGCCCTCCTCCTCAGGGTGAGCCCGTCTCAGTCTGTGACCGCCGTGCGGCACGCCGCCGAGCAGACGCTTGGCGTCCTCTTCGGAGTAGTTGAGAGAGTTGCGCTTAGATCTTTGCCAACGCTGCGCTGCGCCGCCACCTTGGCCTTGCGCCTGAGCGGCTCGATCTGCCGCAATGGCTGCCGCCTGAGCCGCGTTGGGTGTCGAGCGGTAGCCCATTGAAGAGGCGCGATACGGGTGAGGTGGAACCGTGCCGGGCGGGAAGCCAGAACCGTAGGAGGACGAGTTGGAGCTCGACTGCGATGCACCTGCTGCTGCTGCTGCTGCTGAGGGAGAGGCGTCATCGTGACCCTGAGACTGTTCATGGCCGGCCGCCGATGCTGAGCTCGAGGTGGGCGGACGTGCCGCTGCTGCTGCTTCCTGTTGTTGTTGCTGCATCGTGCCATCTCCATCCCTCTCCTCATCAGGATCCCTCGGCCTCGGCTCACCAGTCTCCGCATCTGTGTAGAAACAATAGTCGAAGCTCGTGAGGAAGAGCGCGAAGACTCCCGCAGGGATGCCAAGCGTAGGGCTGAAGACGATTCCAACATTGCGCATCGTCATCTTGTTCACTTCCTGGTAGGAAATGACCTTGATCAGATGCGCGCAAAGCGTACGAAGCAGCGAGTAGTTGGCGAGAGGCAGGCAGGAGACCAGATGGCCCAGTTGACGTATCCGGTCTTTCCAGTCCTGGACGTCGTTGACACGCATGAAGTCGAGGTGGAGCTCGCGAGTAAGCACCGAGGTAGGCAACTCGCGGAGGAAGGTCTTGAGAAGGCCAGCGACAGCATGCGGGTCGTGTTCATGCTGCTGATTGTCAGGCTGGCGGGGCGAGCTGCCATTGCCTTCATTTCCTTTCCTGCTTGATGAGGCAAGTAGATCCACGTCACCCTCCGTGTTGAAGCGCTCACGCAAAGCCTTGACGTCGGCCGTGCTCCCTGACATGCGGTAGATTCCCTCTTCCTGGATGGCGTTGCGCTTTTCGAGGTATTCGATGCAGCGGAAGACGACGCTGGGCAGGGTGAGGCCGGACCCGACGCTGGAGACGGCAATGGCTTCGGTGAGAGGGACGCCGAATACGGGACCGCCGCTCGTACCGATATGGTTGCCGTGAGATTGCGAGGACGAGGTTGTGGAGCCTTTACTGAGCGCAGCGACGTCACTTGAGCTCGCTGAGCTACCTACACCGCCTCCGCCGAAGCGATGCCAGAAGCGACGGCGGTCAGGCTGCTGGACGGCCTGCTGAGCCGACTGCTGCTGATGGCTCGCGCCGGCCTGAACTGCCTGACCAGCCGCTGATCCTCCACTTCTGCCACTCGCATCCTCATCTCGTGCCCCGAATTTGTAGCCTGTTGGAATGGGTGTGCCATTCATCGGCCCCGAAATAGCCGGGCGTACCCCTTTGAGGGAAGGTGAAGAGAGACCCGCAGGATCGCCGTCTGCGCCGCCCGTGACTGCCGCTGCTGGCGGAGAGGGGCTCATGACGCCCTCCTCGGCAGCGCTTGAGGCGGGGGCAGGACCCTCTCGACTACGATTGAGGCGGCGTGACAAGCTGTTGCTGCGTTTGACCTTCTGCGTAACCGGTGGTGCGAGCGTGGCGACTTGCGAGGTTGAAGCAGAGGTCGACATGCCACTAGGGGGAGCATTGTCTGCCTTGGTCATTGGTGGGAGGGAAGGAGCTGCGCCGCCGGAGGGTACAGCAGCAGCAGCTCCAGAAGCGGACGCTTGCCTCGTGGATCCGCTACCTGGGACTGAGCTAGTCGAAGACCACGTCCCGATATTGCTAGCTCCGCCAGCCTCTCGACTGGCTCCAGCATTCGATCCAGCTCCCCCTCCTGATCCTGCTCCTGCTCCGCCGTTCTCGACCCGCTCAATCTCAGCAATGGTCCTGACCAACGCGTCAACCCACTCATCCCTCTGCTCATCGCTCTCAGCGCAGAGTACATGCCTCACGAGCTGTCCCGACACCGGTTGCCCACCGGCATCGATGCGTTCACCCTGCTGCTGCTGCCCTGACCCCGTACCGTTGGCGCCGGGAGCATCCCTCTTCTTCTCCAAGATGAGGAAAGCGTGCCTGTACGAATTCTCGTCCATGTCACTCTGCGCCGCGCGCTGCTGTCGTCCGATCTGGGCTCCTCTGATCTGGATGCTGCCCAGAAGTGCTCCGTCTTTGGCCTCAAAGTAGTCCAGCCGCGGGCCGTCCAAAGCGTAGTAGCGCGTAACCCAACGGCCAAGGTTCTGCCCCTTCTTCGTGAGCCAACCATCCTTGCCTTGGTTACGCGCTCGTGGGCGCTCAGAGACGACATCGGTACAGAGGAAAGTGCAGACATCGTCTTTGTCTGGCAGCTGAACGGCGAGGAGGTTTCTGAGCCAAGCCTCGAGCATAGCCTTGCGCATGTCAACCTTGCTCGGCGCATGGTCTTTGAACAAGCCTTTCTCTGGTAGTGGGACAGAGCTGATCTTCTTTGCTACGGCCTTGCCACCACGATGGCGCAGCTTGGCGTCGAGGCCCAGCACGTCGTTGATCGACTTCTCGATTCGCCAATTTGTAGGTGCTTCGAGCGGTACAGGTTGCACGAGGTCGATGCTGAGAAAGAAGGTGGTGATCTCGCGACGGCGGTCGTCGTGTCGTAGGTTGGAACCCGATACACGGATGCTTGCTTGCTTCAGTAGACGATTATCCAAGCGCGGTTGCGGGTGAGAGAGGTTGGGGGAACCGCCGGGTGGAGTGGAATTTGCGAGCTGAACCAGAGCTTGAGACAGGGACATGCCGCCATCGATGTTATTGCTGCGTGGGGCCGTTGTTGCGTCACGAGGCTCGAGGCGGGACGGCCGCGGGCGCAGGGTGGAGGATCCCGCAGATCCGGCTCCTGCCACAGCTGCGCCTGCCATTGGGCCATCGGCGAAGACCTTGCGTCGCACGGCGCGCTGCGGTGAGCCAAAGTCGTCCGAGTCCCCCGTTCCTACTGATCCTACTGATCCTCTCGGCTGATGGTTCACCAGACCCAGCGCTGACTTGGTAGGGGTAACACTGCTCGACGATGCGCCCTGATAGGAAGGGCCATCCTCATCGCTGCCTGCCCCGCCTATCGTACTCGAGTCGACGGCCGTGTAGTCCTCACTGGCAGCTCGTTGTCGCCCGTCGCCCCCTTGCTGCGACCCTGGAGCGATGCCGGAGGAGAGACTGCGAGCCATTACTGCGCCTGCATTGAAGGCTCCAGGGCGAGCGCTGGCCGCCTGCTGCTGTTGTTGCAGCGCCTTTGCTCTCTGCGCCATGACCGACCTCGCACCAGGGGACAGCGGTGTTTCGCTGGGCGGCAGCGGGGCCGTCTCTGTGAGATCGAGAACGGACGAGTCCGATGAGAGGTCATTAGGTACAGATACGGAAGAGGGCAAGCCGCCAGCGGAGGAGCTCGAGGACGTTTGAGCATAAGGCGAATGGCTCTGACTGGATGGCAGAAGAGGAGCCGGAGGGTCTCGTCTTCTAGGCGAAGCCAATCCGGCTGCGGGTGAAGACGAGGCGGCCATTACGCCGGCGTCTGCTGAAGTTTGTCTGTTCCTGGACGAGGCCGAAGACATGAGCTGAGCATTTGCGCTTGAAGTCGCCGGTGCCAAGGGCGAAGTGACGCTTCGCTGTGGCGTCGTCCCTCCATCGACGCTACTGCTGCTACTTGGCGTCCCTCCACCCATCAGCCTAGCCTTGAGTGATTCGTTCTCCTTTCGGATCTTGCCCATGAGATTCCAAATGCGAATGTTCTCGTTGCTCAGTTTGGCAGCTTCGAGGCAGTGCTTGTTTCGCTCGGCCAGCACCTCGTCCAGGGCGCGGGTGATATCTCCCTGTGAGCGGGCAATGGCATCGGCGAGGGACAGAGGCTGATACATGGGGCTAGCCGGGGCAGGCGTGCTGCTGCTGAGGGCAGAGCGAGGCGTAGCAGGGTTGCTTCCTCCTAGCGTCGTCGCAGAGGGGAGGCGACCCGACGTCGTCGAGGCATGGGATTGGGTGGAAGACGCCGTGTCGTGAGCATTGGAGGATGAGGCTGTGGACGAGTCGACGCGTGGGCGATGATGTGCGGGCAAGACAGGGGCTGACGACGGAGGCGGCGCTGTCGAGGATGACGAGGATGAGGGTAAATCACCTGCTGCCGCGCTAGTCATGGCGTCTTGGCGTCGCACGAGAGCCGACTAGCCTTGCGAGCTTGAGCGTGCTACTGCGACGATGTGACTACGAGGAATCGCTGACGGGTATGAACTCGGTTGGGCGTGGTGTCGCGAGAGGTAGCGCAGTGAGGCAAAGACGAAAAGATGATGATGGGTGATATCCTGGCGGTCGGTCGTCAACGTCGTCGTGACAGCTCACAGAGGAGGGGCAATCGATCGATCGATCGAAAAGACAAAGAGGCGGACGAATGACTGAACAAGGTTTGGCAAATGACAGGCCGTCGTCGCTCCCCCTCCCTGCCTACTCAGTCGAGAGATTGACCTGCCCCTCGGTGTCTGAAACGCGCGTCATTCATTCGACTCGACTCCAAGGCCAAGCTGCGCCCACCTGCGCCCACTCCTTTGTGCACCGACCGACTCACTCTGGGACCCAGTCCAGCAGGCAGCGAGCGCTCCCTCCCGCTCGCGCCGCCCTGCCGGCGCCGCCGCCGCCGCCGCCGCTGATGCCTGCTTTGCCCGTTAGCCGGGCCTGCCTCTCCTTGGACTTTGCACACCTCGGCCTCGATTCCGCCTGAAATGGGAACGATCCTGTACGCTGCACAGCATACAGGCCATCGAGCGAAGAGCGAGCACCGCCTTCTTTTCGTCTTTCGCGGGCAGACCGCGACTTTCAGCCTATTTCGATCTTCATTGGAGGAGATGCCTCAGGCGGCAGAGAGAGGTTGGCGACCCCAGACTCTCTTCGTCAAATCGATCAGGCTCAGCTGTCATCGGCGCTGCGACATTAGCCCGCTTTTCCTGACTTTGAAAGTGGCGGGCGTAACGGGCGGGCGTACGCACACGTCAAGCTGGGCTGGGCGTTCAGCGCTGGGCGTGAGACAGCTGCAAGCGGATTCTGTTACTTCGCCCAGCCGTCGTAGCTGCTTTGTCGGGCGAGCGAGCTACCAAGACGGTGTAAATCAGCGACGATGTTGCACATTGGCTCGGCTCGGCTGTCACGGCTCAGCGCAGGCCTGTCATAGCGAGGGCGTCAAAAGAAGAGACTGTGAAGTCGACATGCCGTACACCAGTACGCAGCACAGAACAAGACGAGACGGCTGGGCAGGGGCCTACCGCTTTGACCCTTCCCCACTTGCACTTTGACGCCCAGGTCATGAGACGCCAAAATCATGCTTGGATTGTCAATCTCGGGAAGGGAACGGGGACGGGGTCTGATCGCGCTTCATTGATTGATTGATTGAAGAAGAAACGGATGTGACTTGCATTGGTACGTAGGGATCGGACGGGATCGCACGACGCCATCGGTAGAAGATTGACAGGAAGATAGAAACAAGCAGCAGAAGCAGCAAGCGTCGCCCTGCATTGCATACTGGCCCGCACGCAGACCCAGAGCGAGGGCGTCGCATCCATTCGCTCACAAATCGAGCAAGCCACTTCATTCCCTTCAGTCTTCCTCACCTTCATCATCGTCCCGCTCGCGCAGTGAGCCCCTTGTCCTAGCTCTCGAGGCGGCGGCTCGAGTAGATCGTGGGCGCGACGCGGGTGGAGCCGGGGCTGAGATATCATCGTCACTCGAGGTGGCCTCTTCTTCTTCGGACGAAGAGGCGCCTCGGCCTCGCCGACGTCGCTTAGCAGGAGGAACCTTCTTCTTGGTTTGGGGCCCAGCTGCCGTACGGCGTGGGCGACCGCGGGCAGGTGCTGAAGCGGGAGAAGAAGCCGCAGTAGTCGCTTGTCCGGAACGATTGCTGTTGCTGTTACTGCGTACGATGATCTTGCGACGCTTCACGCTTGCTGGAGAAGCAGCAGCAGCAGCGTCTTCCAGCTCCGTCACTCGCCTTGCGCGTCCTTGAGCGGCCAGGTCGGCCAAGGAGACGATTGCTCCCCCAGGCTCGACAATCAGTTGTTCCTCCTCTCGTGCCTGGACGTCGGCTCGGTTGGGTATCTCTTCGTCGTCGTCGTCATCGTCACCTGACGCTTCGCCATCGCTGCCGTTGCGCTCGTTGTCTGCATCGTTGGCTACTCTGGCTGCAGCAGCAGCTGCTGCTCGACCACTCGATGTACCGTACCTGTCCAGCGTAGCCGCAAGGCGCGATCGCTCAATGGGCGGCTCAGGCTCCGTAGGAGCGTCGCCCTCATCATCCTCGCCCTCTGCAATGAAGCCTCCTGGCGCAGCGGCAGCTTTCTTGCCCTCGCCCTCCTGCTCGCCTTCTTCGGCCTCCTCGCCCTTTCCATATTGCTCCCTCACCCTCTTGGCAATGCGCAAGGCGTTGACCAATTTCCTCCACCCCTTGATCGCCCTCTCCTCCCTCCTACCCAATTCGCGCTCAGCAGCCAAATGCTCCGACTCCCAGTACGCATCAAGGACCAGATCCTCCTGCTCCTCAGGCACGACGATCCCGACGAGCTTGGGGTGAGATCGATGCTTGCGGAATTCGAAGCCCACGATTGCCTCCGCGTAATTGACACCGAGCTTCTTTGCCACCTTGGCCGCGCCGTTGTGTGGAATATGCGCCGCCCCGGCGGGGAGCATAGAGGGGACGAATAGGTCGATGTTGCCGAAATGGTTCTTGGGGACGATGCCATCTTTGACTGGCGGAGGCACGTAGACATCCGTCTGAAAGTGAGCGTAGAGCCCCTCCTGTGGGTCTTCAGCCCCTTCTGCCCTGGCTTGCTCCTCGGCACGCTTGCTCGCAAGAGTGTAGCCGCGACTCTTCACCCACTTGAGCGCTTCTTGTCCTTCTCGCACGACGCGACCCTCGTTGTACCATTGCCGTGCAGAGCGTAGGGCGACGACGTTGCGCCGGTGGAAGACGGGGATGCCGGAGAAGGTACCGATCTGTGTGTACGGGTGGATAGCCTCGTCACGTTTCAAGTGACGCTCCAGGGCATAGACGGGATGGTCTTTGAAGCCGCCCACAGAATTTGGCATCGGCTCCTTACTTGCGGCTTCCTCGAGCTCCGCGTCCTCTACGGCATCTCGCTCCAATCTTTGCGGGCGGTGAAGAGCAGAGACGACCGTCTCCCACCAGTCTGGCCCTCCACCGCCTTTACGCGTGCCGCCGGGTGGTCTCATACGGCTGATGCGAGAGTGAAGCGTCTTGGTGTATCGAGCAGTTACATCGCGCGCATACCCGTCTTCCTCGAATGCAACGACATACACAAGCTTGTTGGCTCGATCGCTCGACGTGGGCTCCATGTGTCTATTGCCCGTCGGCGAGACGCGAGCACGGATCGGATCGACGGTAATCCAGCGCTGAAAAGGTTTCGAAAAGACTTCGACCCACATGGTGGGCGGCGAGTCGAGATCGATGGGGTCGACGTCTAGCTGCTGAGGTTCGAGAGCTGTCTCTTTCGTGGCGGTGGGCTTGTACTGCCGGAGCTTGGGGCGATACTCTACTTCGAGGGGGGTGGACAGGCCCTTCCACTTTGCGTCACGATAGTCGCCATCCGCTTTGTCCTTGTCCTTGCCCTTGTCCCTACCCTTGCCCTTCCCTTTTGTTCGGGCGCCATTGCCGCTAGCCTCTACTTCGTGCTGCTCAGCCGCGGGTGCGTCGCTAGCCACGCTCATTGGGCGCGAACGCGTGCCCACCTTGCTGGTATCAGATTCATTGCCCGCCAAGCTACCCCCTGTGCTTCCCGGACGACTCAATCTGAGCCCGTCTTCAAAGTCATAGTCGTCGCTCGTATCGTCATCCGTAGCTCTCGTTCTCGTACGCTGCGGCATGCGCTTCTTGCCCTTTCCCGCTCCCTTTCGCTCCTCAGGATCCACAGCGCCCATCGATGTGGCTACTTTGCCTGCTCCCACGCTCCACGGAGCCACCTGTGGCGAGATGACGAGGCGAGCTGGTATCCCGAGCGACCGACAGAGGCTGCAAAAAAGTTGAGCTGACGTCTCGCGAGATCCTGCGCGTGCTTCTGCCGCTGCGATGAGGTCAGAGGGACCGGCGATGGGTTCAGGTGGAGCAAGGAGGCGGAGGTACGCTGGCCGTGCAGAAGGGTCTGACCCGGGTGGGAAGATGGTGACCTCTGCAAAGGGCTTCTTGGGAGGCAGTGGGTCGATTTTGGGGGGTTTCGCTTTCCCCTTTCCCTTTGCCGCGGTACGCAACGCAGCAGAGATAGCCTTGCGACGCTTCTCTTTGTCTTTTTCCTCCTTTGCCTTGCGCTCGTCGCGATCACGCTGTGTCTCTACTGCCCAGCCGTCGACTCTCCTCCCGCGGCGGGGAAACGCTCCCGTGAGCAAATCGGTGCTTGGTTGGCGTATGGCGCCAGCGGCCGCCTGATCCGGATTGAGGTAGAAGCGTGCGGCCCACCATCTCACCAGCTCGTTGAGGAACGACTCGAACATGCGAACGCGCTCGCGCTGCGACTCCACACGCTTCGGATGGATAGCTCGCAGCTTTGTGCGGAGAGGAGCTGGGAACATGTTGTAGAGCTGGATGCGCAGGTCCTCGTCGTTGAGCCAGCGATTACGCATCTTGGCATGGGCGAGGAGGGCAAGGACATGTAGCTTGTGGCCATCAAGGCGAGCTGCACGGTCCCGAGGTGTGACGGTGTTGAGATTGCGGGCACGCTTGGGCGTTGACGGCTGCTGAGCCTCGTCGAAGGTGAGGGAGAAGGGAGCCGCTTTCGATGTCGATGCGCGAGAGGTCGAGGCCTCGGCGTCTTCTTGTTCGTCACGATCAACACTGTCGCCGCTGCCTTGTTGGTGGACTGCCGCGTATGGATCTGCGCTGACGTCTACCTCTTCCATCTCTTCGTCTTCATCGTCTCCATTGACCCTGATTCGCGCGGTGTCCACGTCCTCCATCTCAAGCTCTGCGTCCTCTTCATCCGTCGTGACGATTTCGATGGCCTCTTGCTTCTTCCCTGCTCTTCGCGAGCGGGCCATCGTGGTGCTGATGCAGTATGCTCGATGATACAGCGGCCGTGGTAATGGCAGTGTGGGTCAGGGTGGAAATCTTGACTCAGCACTTTGCCGTCATCCCATCGACGGACGACGCTCAATCTGGGAGCAGCGGAAAGCGGCGCGAAGCACCAAGCGCGAAGCGCGAAGCCTCCACCCGCCTGCCCTGCCCCACGCTCCGACCCTGAGAGCCTTGACGCATGGCATCGACGGGAGGATGGTGACAAGCCTTTAAGCATGGTGAGTCGGCATTGCGAGTGCCATCATGGATCTTGCACGGAGGACAGGACTTCCAGGCTGGCTGCATGTGGATTCCTTGCGCCAAGATCTTGCCCACTCGCTCAATGGCTTCTCTACCTTGAAATTGATGTCGCCGACCCGTTCAACGTTTGGAGCCCACATCGCACGATGCTGTCAAGCTCATCTTCCCACACTTTTCATTGCTAGACCACTAGTCTCTACCACAACTTTTGGTGATGTCGGTGTAAAAGCGTTTGGGCCGATTGGCTTGCCATGCTGCACGTTGGCGTTAGCCTCCGGTCCCCCCGCCCCGATGTTGAGTGGCCTGCCTGCCTTGCTATCGGTTGCCCCGCTCCCGCTGTGCCGCCCGACCGGACCTGCTCAATCGCTCGTCTCACGAGGAGAAGCAGAGATTCAGTCGAAGCGTGGGTGCGTGCGTGCGTGCGAGCGTGCGTGGCATCGTGCCGAGAACCAAGGCAGAGGAGAGGGGGGGCGAATGAACGGCGACAACGGCGACTCAGTCGTTCCCATGGGCCACCAGTTCATCACAAAAAGCACGCTAACGACACAAAGAGGCGTGGCGCGATGAGGCGCTCGTGCTCCCTTGTCCTCATTACCATCACCCACGAGTTCCTTCGTGGCGGTTGACTTCGACCGTTGCACGTCACAGCCGCCGTGAGGACGATGGACGACACTCGACGGCCCAGCACCCCCGCATTGCAACGTCGCGCGGCGTGTGCACAATGTCCCTCTATCGCACCCTGTGTCAACTGCAACGCACCAGGGCAAAGCTGTCAGCAGATCTTCCGTCCATCAGGAGACTGCGCGACCTGCCCTACCAACATCTGCGTTGGCTCACCTCCTGCAGCCTCATCTACGGCGGCCAGCTCAAGCGGCGGCGGCTCGAAGAGTAATCCAGGCGCCATCGTGGGTCCCGTAGCAGCCGTGGGCGGTACCTTGCTTATCGCGGCGATCTTCATCGCTATTTGGTGGAAACGACGCAAGACGAAGCGAGCAAATCGAGCAAGATTGAGGGCTGATGCTAAGCTGCGTGACGCAAAGGCAAAGCAATTCACCGTAGGCTCAGGAGCAGGATCGAATCGCTCCCCCTCATCAGCAGGACATAATGGTCCACAAGAAACCGAATGGACAGAGCTTCGTACGGATGGCCTGCAAGCTTATCAGCCGCAAGACCCTCAACAGCAAGAGATTCGCCCTAATTACATCAACAGGCGCAACTCCACGGGCGCGGCGACGCACCTCTCCCGCATCACCGAGGGACAGGAAGACGACGATGCAAGATCTACGGCAACGCATCGATACTCGCAGCTGTCCAGGCGATCTCGTCACAACCCCTTTGACGTCGACGGGCGGGAAGGCGCTGCCACTCCTGAAGTCCCACCCCTCCCACCCATGGTTCACCGAGCTATCGGCGCGCCCATGGATGCCCTGCAAGGGCGTTCGGGCACGCAGCGTGTGCCCTTGCGCAATGACGTCCAACTGGACTACAGCGTGCATGACGCGACCGATGAGGATAAGCGGTACAACTTTGGGAGACAAGATCGTTCTACCTGGCGGTTGAGCACTGGCAGCGGCGGTGGCGCAGGCCGAGAGCCCTTTTCTCCAGCAGCGCCCTCGACGGCTAGGAGTAGGCATTTTGATCGAGATGATATTGGTCCGCCATTACCTCCCTTGCCCACCATCCACGATACCGCCTCGGTCAACACGCAAAGCACGTCAGAGGATGCTGCCTCGACATCGGACCGCGGCTACTACCCCTCGCCGCGAATCGTGACCCTTGGCACCCCTACCACGTACACTCCGCCTAGTCGGACAACCCTCCTCGCGCAGCAGCAGCAGCAGCAACAACAACACGACAAGCGCGAATCGGTGGACAGTGACCCCTTCAAGGATGAGCGCGCCATCAAGCGCCCCAGTGCCAACCACAGACGGGGCAGCTACAACGCCGTGGGAAGCCAGGACTCGCAACCTTCCAATACGAGCGGATCGCAGGGTAGCTCGCAGCATACCGGAGATGGGGAGGGCGAGGGCGACGAGTCCCAGTCCTTTATGAGCGCAACGACCACCACACGTCGCGAAGGCGACGGCGAGCGTCGAGGCGGCCGCTCCATCGCGGGCGAGACCTTTGGCCGTCCCTCCACGATGAGCCGGTCCTCAACAGCTCAGTCTGGGGCGACCACAACGCAAGAGCCGCAAGTCGAAGCGTCGTACCTCTCCTTACCCCCTATTCCCTCACTGCCACCGCTCAGCGGCACTACAGGTGCGACGGACAGCCCAGGTGGGCAGGAGATCATCACGTTTGCGCAGCAGTCAAGCGCGGGAAGCATGCCACCTTCGGCTGCCAGCGATAGCACAATTACGCCAGCCGGAAGATCGGGAGAAGCGACCGCCACGGGCACAGGTACTGCTTCGTCTGCCTCTCCTGCATGGAGCTCCTCTCTACTCCAGCAGCAGCAGCAACAAGCCCAGCTGCAGCGCAGTAACACTACAACTTCTGCCAAATCGGGCGTGTCAATCCCTTTTGTGCACGAGAGCAGTGGCAGCCATGCCGTGCGAAGCGGCAACGCTTTGCCAAGCGGCACAACACAAAGTACGGCTCCTTCTTCGTACCCGAGCTCTTACTCGCGCTTCACCTCTCCGCGCGACGATGTTGACGATTACGAGGAGGAGGCAGACGATAGCGCGAGAGGATACTCGCGCCCGCCCTCCAACTGGCGCGGCTCGCACGCCGCAGCGACGGGCGCTGGGTGGGGATTGGCGTCGAGGAGCAACTCGCAGCGCAATGCAAGCGGAAGGCAGCGTGGCGGTGGAGGAAGGTCGCCTACCAGCTCCATTGGGGGGCTGAGCGTGCTAGATGGCTTTGATTGGAGGGTGGCGGATGGTGAGAGGGGCAGAGGGGAGGATGTGCCGCCCGTGCCGCCTGTTACGCCTGGTTATGGGCACGAGGGTCGGAGGTAACGGTATACAGGAGCGGAGGATCACGTTCTTGGGTCACGTCAAGGTCCAATGTCACGCATTTGCCCATGGCTGATTGGCTATGACTGAAAACGACGCACACCCGGCAAAGCCTCGTAAGGCCGGTCCTCGCCGCTCGTGTCTCTGGGTCGCCGGCTCGACGTTGTGGGCGGTAGGTGAAGCTCTAATGGCACTAGAGAGGGCCGAATTACGCTCATCATCAATTGCCGTGATGAGGCCCGTCGGGATCGAGCTGTACATGGAGGCGTGGCGACGTGGTACGAGCTCGTGCTAGCCTGGGTCCTTCCTTACCTTCACCATACCACAACTCCACAGACAGGATGCTCGCCAACACACGCCTCCTCGCCATTCTTTTCGCCCTCTTCTCGCTCCTCAGCCTGACAACCGCCGAGTTCGCAGACGACTGCGACACCCGCTCCGGAGCACACTGCGTGCATGGGCCTTCTCCCAAAGACATGCGCGTGGGCCGTGAAGTCATCTTCCACCTCGACGCAGGCCAGATTCTCGCCGAAGGCCCCGGATACGACGATGGCAACGCCTACCTGCTGAGCGAAAATTCAGCAGGCACCGCCCAATTTCAGTGCCTACTTGGTTCGCCACGTACCTCGCGGTTCAGCTTCACCCTTGGCCCGAGGTACTCGTACGTCGTCATCACAGGGCCGAAGGGCGACAAGGGGATCGCGTCATTCAACGGGTCGTGCACCGAAGTGAGCTATCATCGATATGATAAGCCGGTGGACGTTACGCATGAGCCGGGGGTGGACCTCATCTTTCGCTGCCCTGGCGAGGGAAAGTAGTCGTGGAGAGGCGGTATGGGGAAAGCAATGGGACAAAGAGGCAGGGAAGAGATAGGAAGCTTTATCTGAGCTAGGACGCTCTCTTCTGCTCGCCCTTGCCCGGCGCGATGTGATGAATGACTTGTATTTCAATCTGGTCACGCCGAAAGAAGACAAAAATGTGACATGAGGCTATGAATGAAGTGATACGCCACGGCACTACGCCGCGCGCGCTCAGACATACTGGCTGCCAATGCTAGCAAGCGCTGCAAAGGTACCGACGGCGCCAGCGGCAAAGGCTGCTGCGACTCCTACAACGACGTCGCGGCGTGGACTGAGGCGGCGTCGCTTGACGGGCGTTGCCCAGACGCGGGTGAGCGCGGCGGGAGTCGTAGGTTCCTTGGCCGCGGCGGCGGCAGCAGCAGCGGCAGCGGCGATGGCGTCGCTGGTAGTGAGCTGGGTGACAGGAACCTTGTCAGCGGGCGTCATGTCGGGCTCTTTGGCAATGGGCGTGCCGCTGCTCGTCTCGAGGGGCGATGGCACCAGAGCCGTGGGAGACACGTCGTCTTGCTTCTCAACCTCGTCAATGGGCCTCTTCTGCCCGCGAGCCTCGCCCTGTGTGCCGCCGTTGGTCGCTGAGCCCGGTGTAGCGCGGACGAGCTGCTCCTTTTCGGCAACATCGCCTCCACCCACCTCCGAGCCGACTTGGTCAGACCTCGACCCGTTGCGTTTCATCCCGACGCCCTTCTCGAGCCAGCGGTCCCAGGCCTCGTTGAAGGCCGCCTCGTAGCGAGCGAGTACTGCGGGGCTGCCCATCTCGTACGAGGGGTCGTAGATGGGCTGAGTGTCCGAGTTAAAGCTCCAGTCGTCCTCGGAGTCGAGGAGATCCTCGTCGTCGTCGTACCCTGCATCGGCGCGGTGCGCGTGGTTGAGCTCAGAAGCGGGCTTCGTAGACGCACTCTCATCCTCGCCCTCCGACTGGTCGCGGTGGCTGCTGCTGCGACTCTCATTGTACGCCTGGTCTCCGTCTTCTGCGGGGCAGGCGGAGTTGCTCTCGCTGAGACGCGGCTCGTCTTCTTCGTTGTCTCCATCGGACTTGCCGTCGCTGTTAGCGCTCTTAACATCCGTGGACACTACCTGGGTGTCCGAGAGGCGTGCATTGGGCGACTGAGCATGCTCGTCACTTTTGCCCGCGCACTCCTGCTTGATGGTCAGCGATGCGTCTGCAGGAGCTCCGGCATCGGTCTTGTGGTCCTTGCTGGCGGAGCTGCGGTTGCCCGAGTCGCTGGCGCTGGCCGAACCACTCGCGCTGCTTTCTGCAGTCGCACCCTTGCGGCTGACTGTGGCTACAAGATCGTTGATGTTCCTGCGAACAAAATCCGCGACAGCCTTGTCCGAGGCTTTCTCTGCGGACAAAGGCGTAGCAGTGGTGCTCTTGGTGATCTCGTGCATATCGTTGGGCTGACTGTTGCCAATGTCGAGTCCGTACCTGCCGGAGGGCCTGGGAGCGCTGGTCGTGGCAGTAGAGGTGTTGGCAACGCCAGCGGCGGCGGCGGCGTGACTGCCAACGCTAGGAGGAGTGCCGGCAGGTAGCTGCGAAGGCGTCACCGACTCTACCCACTGAGCGGCTCGCTTGGCGGGGCTGAGAGAGATGAGCTCAGGAGGTTTGGTCGGGACGGCTGCAGCATCCTGCTTTTGAGCCTCGCGATAGCTGCTCAGCTTCTCGACACCTGCTCGGAAGGGTGCTAGCTTAGCCTTGTATGCTTCATGGGCTGGATTGACAGGCGCGGGGGCGAGTGCAGGGGCCGACGGTGAGGCTGAGCTGATGTCAGAAGTGGTGGAGACGGGCGTAGTCTTGGAGACAGTAGCGCTCCTGATCGTTGCCGAGGTGTACCTGCTGAAGCGGCATTTAACCGCCTTGAAGTTGGAGCTCCCCTTTGTGACGTCCTTGCCAAAGGAGATGACATCGCCCGACCTGAGCTCGAAGAGGCCATTGCTGGGGACCTTGTGCTCGACGTTCTTGCGGGTGACGTACGTGCCGTGAGAGGACTTGAGGTCCTTGCACCAGACTCGTTTAGCGTCGTAGCCTACGATGATGGCAGCATGCTGGCGGCTGAGCACCTTCGAGTCGAGGCGGTCCTGTACGATGCGAGCGAGGAGCGAGGAAGTGTGAGTTCAGGATTCATGAAGGACCTGCCGCCTATGACTCACGACGAAAGGTTTGCCGTTGAGGCTGCTGATCCACTTGACGCTACCCTTGGTGTCGAGGCCGCGTCCGACTTCATAAGTTTTGTTGCCGCTGATAGCAGGTTCAGGGGCGCCCATCCACAGAGAGGTGCCAGGAGAGGCGGTGCTGCCATCATGCTGGATGTCGAGGCGAGCTCCTGGGCTCTTGAGTGGCACGCAGGCCTGAGTGGCCGTAGAGGAGGCCATGGTGGAAGAGGTCGTAGTGATGAGGAGAGAGAGATGAGGTGATGAAGTTCGAGACAAATGCGAGACAGGACACGCAAGAGCCGCCTCCTCGGTCCAAGTGCTCCTCCAACCCAGAGCTGAGCAACGGATGAGGGCCGCACCCACCGCACGGGCCATGTCAAGCCACGTGAGCGATGCGCGGGCGGGTGACAAGCCCATTCTTCACCTGTTGCCGTAGCTCAGAGGTCAGGGACTCCGAGAATGTGAAGCTTCGCTCCATTGTGGCATCCCAGCCTGGCCACAGCTCGTGCGAGAGCTGTCATATGGGAGCTGGTATCGTAAGAGGCGGGCGTCGGTAGCGTGGCCGAGGCAGGCCACTCGTCAAGGCAGCCTCGACTCTTCCTCGCGACTTAGGCTTGCCGTTGCTGAGCAGGTAACTGAGCCTTTTTGAAGCAACCTAGAAGTAATCGTTCCTGTCGAAACAAAATTACGAGCTCCTTGCCGTCGCTTTCCAGGAAATGACGGTGCTGCAGGCAGAAACCGGGGTTGTGGGGCAAGACCCTACTGCGTGCCCCGCATGAGCTTTGTTGAAAGCCGCTAACTCGCTTGCAGTGTGGCCGAGGTTCAGGCCGAGTGGAGACGTCGTGACGCAGCGCCACCGCTTATAGTCTCCCTACGATGGAGAGATCAAGAACCGCATCAGCATCGCAATCATGACATCCACGACAACGACGACACCTGCTAGCAATGGCGTCTCCGGCGCTGTTCCTCGCAGCAAATTCAATCCGACCTGGCACCACCGCCCCCGCTCCGAATGGACGTGGCGCGAACGCCTCCTCGACGACATGGGCATCCTCCAAGACCAATCGGGCTCCGCGCGTCCTCCTATCCACAAGATGACCGATCCTGTCCCCGTATGCTCGGTCTGGAATCAGCACAGATTCGTTGCACCTTGGGCCGTCGCTCCCATCCTTGCGCACTTCGCCTTTACGCGCGCAACGGGCATCAGCCTGCCAGCTTGGGCAGCGGGACCCCTCTACCTCGCCTGGTTTATGGCCTACGGTATGACGCTATTCCACGCATTTAGACGTATGACCAAGAAGTACGGCTGCTTCGATGGAGAGCATACCCGCGATGGCATTCCAGACGACAAGACGGCGCGTGTGTCCAATGAGCTCATGGCCGTCGTGGCCGTGCGCACCGTCTTCGCGTTTACGGTAATCTACCCGAACGACCAGACTAACCTGCTCACATGGAACAATGTTCTGGGCATGCCACTGAGCCTGTTCGCCTACGCCTGCATCATTGACTTTTGGTGAGTTCGGCACGTGCGTGCGGCGGCAATCGAAGCGCGTGCTAACACCTTGGCGCCGCAGGTTCTACGTGTACCACCGCAGCATGCATGAGGTTTCGTGGCTCTGGAAATTCCACCGCACCCACCATACTTCTAAACATCCCTCAGCCGCAATGGGCGCATATGCCGGCGCTGAACAGGAGATTATGGACATCCTCGGTGAGCTTTCACCTTGCCGCAGTCGCGCCGCAGGCGGTCCTGACCCTCCTGCCCCCCTGCACGCAGGAATCCCCTTCCTGGCCTACCTCACCACATGCGCTACGCCGTTCAAGATCGACTTTGCTACGTGGTGGATCTCGACGTGCTACACGCTGTGAGTGAGGCCTTGTCGCAGGGACCAGTAGAGCCGTACTTACCCAGCGCAACGCATCACCACAGATTCATCGAAGCTGGTGGCCACACTGGCATCCGCGCTTACTTTACCAATCCCACCGCCTGGCCTCTCAGCTTCATTGGCTGCGAGCTTGCTCTCGAAGACCACGACTTGCACCACCGCAAAGGGTGGAAGAGCAGCGCCAATTACGGCAAGCAGACGCGACTCTGGGACTCCCTCTTTGGCACTACCTGGGAGAGGATCGAGGGGCATGCGAGCAACATCGATTGGAGCAAGGACATTCGGGTTGGGTGAAGCGTGGCGCAAGGATTTCATTGAAGTAATAGCATGGCATGATTACATATACGTCGTCGGGAGGGGTTCCTTCTCAGTCGTCGAGGGGCTTGAATGATACATAGTAGGGCGTGCACGGAAGGGTGAGGCTGGGCGCGTGACAGGATCGGAGTCAGTATCGCGAGCGTTGACGAAACTACTCGTCGCACTCACGCGGGCGTAAAGGTAGGCGGGCTCGTCTTCATCTGGTTGTCGTCGTAGACGATCTCGTATCTGTGCGCGCGCGGGCGCGAGGTCAGCTTGATAACTCGGCACACTAGCGTCGTGCTGCTCGGTGGCGCTCTCACTTGCCAAGGAGGTGGGCAATGACGGCCATGCCCTCGTAGGTGGCCAAATTCTTGCCCAGGCATAGTCGTGGACCCGAGTCTACGCCGCGAGAGGTCAGCTTCAACGTCGCTCAGCATCGTCTACGGCGGGGTCGCGCGACTCACTGAAAGCTCGAAACAGGAAGTTGGAGTGCTGCTTGAGGCTTCCGTCCTCACTCAGGAAGCGCTCCGGCTTGAACTCCTCGCAGTCTTCTCCCCACACCTCTGGCATCCTCGCAATTACGTAGTCGGAAAACTGTACGGCCTCATTCTTGCGGACAGGCAGAGAGGGCAGGTCCTTGCCGGGCAGCGTGGCCTCATCCAGCGTTGGGTGCAGCACGGTGTCGCGGGCCGCGCGCTTGCGGGTGAGAGGTACGTTGGGGTGAAGGCGGATGGATTCATAGAAGGCGGCGTTTAGGTAGGGTAGCTTCTTGTAGTCATCGTACTCGAGGTCACGCTGAGGGGCTCGGCCCAGGTTCGTCCAGATCTCTTGACGTACGCGCTGTGCGATGTCGGGGTGTAGATACATTTCAAACATGAACCAGCTACGTGGGTGTGCGGGGTGTGAGCGGCAATGAAGGGTGAGTTGCGCGTCTCGCCTACTTACCTGAGAGCTTGAGCCGTCGTGTCGCGGCCTGCGATCATGAAGTTCAAGATGACCGCCGGCAGATCGCCACGCGGGCACCCAGCATCGATGAAGAGCTGCAGCAGATCTTTACCTCCCTTGCTGGCACTCTCAGCTGTCCCCTTTTCTCTCGCGTCGTACCGCTGGTCGATGAGGCTGCGACTAAAGTCGTAGAGGTAGCGAACGCTGTCGTGGTACTTGCGGCCGGGCGCAGTGAAGCGCTCAGCCCACAATGGGACGAGGCTGAACGGTCGGCGCTCGACGAACGACTGACAGTAGTCGAAGCAAGCTGCGAAAGTGACTTGCGTCTCGAGTCCGGCTACATTGTCGGGTAGCGTGTTGAGGTCGACGCCAAAGGCTGCGAGCGCGGATGTGAGGATTCAGTCAGTACGAATGTGAGGACAGTACGTCTACTTTCGGCACTCACCCAGCTTTGTGAAGGCCTCGAGAGTGAAGCGATGAAAGACGTCAGGGAGCGCCACAGTCTTGCGTTGCGCGATCGAGTCCTGGCACAAGGCGTCGAGCTTGTGGAGGTCAGCAAGCACCGATGTCTGGATTTCATGACGAAAGGATTGGATGGAGAAGATGTGCGACGACAATTTGCGCTGGTGGTACCAGACATCGCCGTCAGAAACGAAGATGCCGTGGGGGCCCAGGAAGTCTGAGATGATCGTCTGGACTGCCTTGCCCTTGAGCCATAGCTCGACGTCCTTTTGGACCGTCTTGATGTAGGCAGGATTGTTCACGACATAGATACGTCCGCCAAAGAATCGGCCTGGGAGAGCCATAGTGTACGGTTTCCCACCAGGAGCGACTTCTCTCTGCTGACGTAGGCTTTCATCGAGGAAGCGGACGCCGCGCTTACGCAGGGCGAGTAGATGGGGCAAGGATCCGACGAGGGGCCACGATGGCTTGAGCTGGGGGACTTCAGGGCGGGCTGGGACGAAGGCGGGTCGGTCGTGATACACGGCGGCCAAAAGAGCGAGTGCTACTACGGCGAGGAGCAACGCGGCGGCCAGCGTGGCGAGCGGGTCGCTCGTAGCCAGGACGAGGGATGGCATGGCTGGGGCGTGAGCGACGAGATGGGAGGGGTAGATGACCGTGAAGACCGCATGGCTCCTAACAGCGGTTGGGCTTTAACCCCCTCGCCCTTTGAAATACAGTACATCGCTTGTTCGGCTGAGATGGAGGCCGAGGTGCAATGCCGGAAGGGCTCAGTGACCCGGACCCTGTGGGACTGACGCAGCGGATCGGCTAAGGCGGCAAGGCGAATTGGATGCGCTTGAGCCACGCGAGGAGGGCGGGAGGAAGGGAGGGGTGAATAATTTGGAGAGCGGAAACGAAGGTCGCACTTGTCGCACTTGGCCCACCTTGCATCCTCATCCTCCTCAGCGAATCGTACATCGCGATGCGAAAACAACTAGATCAGCGCATACCAACGCTGCTTCGCAACAATGTCGCCCTCAACCACCGCTCCTTCTTTGTCCTGGTGGGCGACCGTGCTCGCGACCAGGTGGTGAATCTGCACTTTCTCCTCTCGCAATCGCGGCATACATCCAGGCCCAATGTCCTGTGGTGCTACAAGAAGGATCTGTGCGTATGCGAGGCTCTCGATGACAGAGTGGCTAAGCGATTCTAACCTTCTATCCTCCCGTCTCTCGCGCACCCAGCGGCTTCACCACTCACCGCAAGAAGCGGGAGCAGAAGATCAAGCGTGACATCAAGCGAGGGATCAGGGAGAAGGTGAGATGCGATGGCGTGTAGGCTCGCTCCAGAAGATGTGACTGACATGCTCATCCTTGATCGTCGCGCCGCGCTAGGGCGACTCGCAAGACCCATTCGAGCTCTTCGTCGGCGTCACCGACATTCGCTACTGCTACTACAAGGACACGCCCAAGATCCTCGGACGAACCTTTGGCATGCTCGTCCTGCAGGACTTCGAGGCAATGACGCCCAACATGCTGGCGCGGACCATTGAGACAGTCGAGGGAGGTGGTGTCGTGGTTCTCATGCTGAGAACGATGTCGTCGCTCAAGCAGCTCTACCAGATGGGAATGGTGAGTGTGCGCGGCCAGGAGGTGTCTACAAGGATTTATGCTGACATTCTTACCCTCGCGCCCGCAGGACGTCCACTCCAAGTACCGCTCGGCCATTGACCCCTCAACACCAGTCGCACGCTTCAACGAGCGCTTCCTCCTCTCTCTCGGCGCCAACACCGATACCCTTTTGTTGGACGACGAGCTCAATGTGCTGCCGCTGAGCAAGGGCAAGGATATCCAGGCAATTGAGGGCAGCGGGTCTGTACCCAAGGAGTCGGAGTCGCAGTTGGCGAAGCTGCGCCAGGACATCGGCGAGGACGCGGGGGTCACTCAGGTCGTCAAGAGCTGCAAGACGATGGACCAGGCTAAGGCGCTGTTGAGCATTCTAGACGTTCTTTCGGCGTCGTCCCTGTCCGCCACTGTCACATTGACGGCCGCCAGAGGTCGCGGAAAGTCGGCGCTGCTCGGTCTGGCAATAGCAGCGGCAATCGCGCATGGCTACTCGAACATCTTTGTCACCTCGCCATCCCCGGAGAACCTCAAGACGCTCTTCGAGTTCGTGTTCAAGGGGCTGGCCGTGCTGGGCTACGAGGAGACGGCAGACTGGAGCCTGCAGCGGGGCAGCGGAGAGTGGAAGGACGTCGTCGTGCGCGTCAATGTCTTCCGCAACTCCCGCCAGACGATCCAGTACATCGACCCCAACGACTCGCATGTGCTGGGTCAGGCGGAGCTCGTAGTCATCGACGAGGCGGCGGCCATCCCCCTGCCAACGGTCAAGAAGCTGTTGGGCCCTTACCTCGTCTTCTTGAGCAGCACCATCAATGGCTATGAGGGGACGGGGCGCAGTCTGAGCCTCAAGCTAATCGAGCAGCTGCGACAAGGCGCCAGTGGCGCTGCGGGATCTAGTGGCGCGGGACCCTCAGCGCTGCGCTCGCTCAAGGAACTCACCCTCAACGAGCCCATCCGCTACTCGCCCGGCGACAACGTCGAGTCGTGGCTCAACCAGCTCCTCTGTCTCGACGCCAGCCTCTCCAAGACTCCGTCAAAATCGACGTCGGCGCATCCCTCGTCGTGCAACCTGTTCCTTGTCAACCGCGACGCCCTCTTTTCCTACCACCCGGCGTCGGAGCTCTTCCTCCAAAAGATGATGGCACTGTACGTGGCAAGCCATTACAAAAACTCGCCCAATGATTTGCAGCTCATGAGCGATGCGCCTGGGCACCGCTTGTTCGTGTTGCTGGCCCCGCAACCGCCCAACGCTACGACGCTGCCGGAGCCATTGGCGGTGCTCCAGGTGGCACTCGAGGGCAACATTGCGCGGCAGTCGGTGCTACAATCGCTTTCTCGCGGAGAGCGCTCGTCGGGCGACTTGATCCCGTGGTCCCTCTCCCAGCAGTTCCAGGACTTTGACTTTGCGAGCCTCAACGGCGTGCGCGTAGTCAGGCTGGCGGTTCACCCGCAGTATGCTCAGAGTGGGTACGGCACGCGAGCGCTGGAGTGTTTGAGACAGTATTACGCGGGGGATCTGGTGGACGTCGACGCTATTGCGGAGAGAGAGGCAAAGGCGATCTCGGCGGGTGAGGAGACGCTACAAGATGTGGCGCAGAGGGGAACGAATGACGGTCTGCAGAGCGAGACGATTGCGTTGCGCGACGCCAAGCGTATGCCGGCGTTGCTTCAGCGCCTGTCGGATCGCCGTCCAGAGCCCATCGACTGGCTGGGCGTGTCGTACGGCCTCACGCCGCAGCTCTTCCGCTTCTGGAAGCGTAATGGCTATACGCCGCTCTACATTCGACAGGGCAAGAACGACTTGACGGGCGAGCATACGGCGGTGATGCTGCGCGGCGTTGGGGACGAGGAGCTGCCGTGGTTGGGTGCGTTCGCTGCGGACTTCCAGCGTCGCTTCGCATCGCTGTTGGGCTACCAGTTCAGGGGATTGGGAGCGTCGACCGCTTTGGCCATCTTTGAGGCTGCGGGGAACGTGGCCAACGCGGGCGAGCCGCTCACGCCAGCCGAGTTGCGCGCGACACTCACGGCGTTCGACCTCAAGCGGCTCGAAGCGTTTGGCAACAACATGGTCGAGTACAGCGTGATCCTCGACCTCCTCCCGACGCTCGCGCAACTCTACTTTACAGGCAAAGTGCGACAGGAGGACGGCGAGGCGACGCTCAAGCTTACGGCGCTTCAGTCTGCGCTTCTACTCTCGATTGGTCTGCAACGCAAGGAGCCTTCGGAGGTGATTGCGAGCGAGTTTGAGCTGCCTGTTCAGCAGGGCGTGGCTTTGCTGGGCAAGGCGGTGCGTAGGCTCGTGGAGTGTCTGCGCGTCGTGGAGCGCAAGGAGCTCGAGGCTGAGGCACAGGATGAGTGGGCAGAGGCCGAGAAGCGGTTGGCGAGTGGGGCCGAGGGCCTGAACACGGTGGTGAGCATTCGAAAGAGCGGCGACGGCGTGAGCGTGGACGATGCGGAGGAGAGTACGGCCAAGAAGAGGAAGAGTGGTGGCGAGGGGCGCGGTGCGGGGAAGAAGCGCAAGTAGTCGCGTGTTGTCACAGTCAAATACATTCGCATTTCCATGGAGCACAACATCAGCATGTCTCGTAACACAGCATTCGCGTGTCAACGTAGACAATATCGTTCCACAAATCTCATCTCGCACTCAGAGCTTGGAGAGGAGACCGTGCCCGTGCTTGAGAGCGTCAACGGCCTCAGCCATCATCTCGTCGACAATCTCCTTTGCTGGCTTGATGTCCTCAATGACGGCCGCGCATTTGCCAAGGAGGTAGCGCTCCGCTGCTCCCTTTTCTGCCTCCTCGTCGTCCTTTTCGAGGTCGTGGTAGACGGGGATGATACCCTGGCTGGTGAGCTTTTTGATCTCCTCGGGCTTGCTCTCCCACTTTTGCACATAAGGGGTCATCTTGACGCGGAGAGGGCGACCAGTGAAGATGATGGTGCGAACGTCGGTCTCGTGCGTCGAGGAGAGGACGGCCTCCTTGTGCTTCTTTGGGGCGCCGGATTCGACGGAGGCGACGAAGCGGGTGCCGACCCAGACTCCGTCGGAGCCGTACATGAGGGCCGAGGCGAGAGAGCGGCCCTAGATGACGGTGAAGCACGTAGCAAGAGCCGGGGGGGGGGGGGGGGGGGGGGGGAGAGGGAGGCAGCATAAGAAGGCGCGGTGGAAGGGTCAGTACACGATAGGCGAAGCTCGCGCTGCGGACTCACATTCCAGATACCACCGGCGGCAATGGTAATGATGGGCTTGCCGGTCAGAGGCGACTTGTGGCCGCGGCAGAGGTCGACGACGCGAGGGCCGAGGATGGAGAGGGGTACATCACCGGTGTGTCCACCTCCCTCACCACCTTGGTAGATGATGACGTCGCATCCTGCCTTGATGGCGTTGGGGACGTGCTTTGGGTGACCAATGATGTTGGCTACGGGGATCTTGGCGGCGTGGAACTTCTCGACGACTTCCTTGGGCGGGACACCAACGGCCGAGCTGCGTGCACGCACAGGGGAGATGTCAGCATGGTGAGCATGTATGCGAGCGTTGAAGGCGGCGCGCACTCACATGAAGAGCTTCGCCTTGGCCTCGATGATGATGTCGACTAGTTCGTCGAGCTTACCGCCCGTGTAGTCGGTGTTGGTCTTGCGCGCGTTACCGCCGACCTTGGGGAGAAGCAAGTCGACGCCAAAGGGGGCGTCTTTGTCATTGAGCTCAGCCTTCAGCTCGTCAATGGTCTTGCGCAGCATCTTGGGCGTGTAGCCGACGCCGCCGATGACTCCGAGGCCGCCTGGAACGCGAGACAAGGGTCAGTATATGCGCGCGAGAACGAGCGTCGTACAACTCACCAGCGTTAGTGACGGCTGCAGCGAGGGATGGGCCGGCCTAGAAGAGGGAGGAGCAAATAGGGCGTCAGCGTAAGTGATAATGCCCCTCTTGCTGGAGCTCTCGCCGCGCTCGCTGCACACTCACTGCGACGTTCATACCGGCAAGGGTGATGGGATGCTTGATGCCGAACAACTCGGTCAATGGCGTCTTGATGAGCTGCGAGCCAGCTCCCGTCGGCGTGTCCTTCATCTCGGTGTCGTGGAGGGGCTGAGACATGATTGCGATGCGAAGAAGGTGTAGAGAGGATGTAGAGGGGATGTGGGGTAAAAGAAGGAGGCGGCCAACCTCAAGTAACCAGCCCAGTCTTGCGCCACCTCCGCAATGCCGGGTGGCCATCGATAGCCGTTGTCCGGCACGCCTCTTGCTCTTTGACGACCGGGCCACGCGATCATAACCTCATCTCGCCGCCGCCCTCGTCGACGGACGGAGCGGACGGCCAAGCACTTCTTGCATTCGCCGCCGCCGCGACAGACCAGACGAGACCAGACGAGTCGACTCGAGGCTTGAGACTCGAGACTCGGACGACTTTGATTTCTTCTTGTCCGTCCCTCCGCGCATCAATAACGACGGAGCAAAGGCAGCAAGGCCGCAACAGAGGACAACATACCATCACTTTCAGCTCTACCTCTCGCTAGGAAGTCATCGATCTCGCGCCCCCTCGCCCTCTCGCTCCGCCCCGCCCGCCGCCCGCTATGGCATCGCAGCAAGCCGTCGAGTCGGTAGAGGAGTTTGACTACGAGGACCTGCAGGGTGTTCCCCTCTCCGTGTCGATGTTGGCGGGATCGCTCGCAGGTATCTCGGAGCATGCCGTCATGTTTCCAGTGGATGTGATCCGGGTGAGTGCGCAATGTGTTGAATTGCCATGCCACAAGCTTGGCTGACGGCATCCTGTCCTGCCCCTCATCACACCACACCCGCAGACTCGAATGCAGATTCTCTCAACACCAGGAGCAGCCCCAGCATATACCTCGGTTCTTAATGCGCTGAATCGAATCACAACAGCAGAGGGGGCCAAGTCACTGTGGAGGGGAGTCAATTCAGTGATCTTGGGGGCGGGCCCAGCGCATGCGCTGTATTTCGGCACCTACGAGGTGGTAAAGGATATGACGGGCGGTAACAGGGAGGGACATCAATGGGCCAGCACGGGTGAGTGCCGCGCCTCGTTCCCAATACTGACTGATAGAGTATCTTGTACTGACATCCACTCCCCACCTCGCACGCTCAGCCTTTGCCGGAGCATCAGCGACTGTAGCGTCTGACGCATTCATGAACCCGTTCGATGGTGCGTACGTTCGACGCTCACTCTGCGGTCGCCGCTGACCTCTAAGCCCCCTCCAATCCTTTGCCTCGCTCCCTGCGCCGCCAGTCATCAAGCAACGCATGCAGATGCAAGGCTCCGCGTATCGCTCCGTAGCCACCTGCGCTCGCACCATCTACGCCAACGAAGGCATCCGCGCGTTCTACATCTCCTACCCAACCACCCTCACAATGACCGTCCCCTTTACCGCTGTCCAGTTCTCCGTCTACGAATGGGCAAAGAAGGTCCTCAACCCCTCGGAGACGTACTCCCCCATGACCCACGTAACCGCTGGCGGCTTCTCAGGCGCAGTAGCAGCCGCAGTCACAAACCCGCTCGACGTCGCAAAGACGCTTCTGCAGACACGAGGCTCGTCGACGGACACTCAGATTCGCAGCGCGAGTGGTATGCTTGAGGCTATGAAGATTATCAAGCAGAGGGAAGGAATGAAGGGATTCGCAAGAGGACTTTCGCCGAGGGTATTGACCTTCATGCCTAGCAACGCACTGTGTTGGCTGTCCTACGAGGGGTTCCGTTTCTTCCTCAGCAAGCAAACCTGACCTTGTCATCGTCACCACCTTAATGCTATCCGGTCACGATGACCTTTGTCGTCTTTATGCCTCGTCGGCTGTGTGCCTCTCTCTACTCTAGTGTCCTGAGGACGTCTCGGTCCGCCAAGGGCCCGATTCCGTGCTCTCCTTCTTTGCCTGCCCTTGCCTCTGCAGTGTGCCGATGCGATGCGGCTGAGCCAATCTCAGAAGCGCGGACTAGGTGGGTCAGGCGGACGGAGAGAAGGCTAAACGACGCACTAAGAGCACGGACCTGCCTCGCCCAATGCGATAGCCGTAAAAGAGCCCGGCCTATATAACCGCCGTAGGCTTCAAGAAAGGCGGCTATTCCTCGTCCCCCTACTCATCGACCTCCTCATTCCTCATCTTCAACCACATCATCTCTTCACAATGTCTGCCGCAGACAACGACGTCAAGGGCAAGGCGCCCACCACGGCTGCAGACCATGATCCCGCCTTCGCTGCTCTCCACGACGAGAACGCGACTAGCCTCGATGATACTCCTACGCACACGTCAGCGCCTCGTCGAGCCCAGAAGGCCCACAACGACGGTGGTCTCATCAAGGTGCAGCCGCTCAGGAAGGCCGAGATGCAGCCTTCCTATGCCCAAGATATCGGAGGCGATGATGGTCCCCACTCCTTCTACAGCTCCTTCATGAGCGGTCTAGGATCCTGTATCGGGGCTTTTGGTCAGATTCCTTGCTGCTTGTGCTTCCCGTCTCCATTCAAGACGATTCCTCAAGGCAGGGTAGGACTCGTATCAACTTGGGGCCGCTTCACTCGCGCGCATGACCCGGGACTCATCCGACTCAACGTTGTCAGCGAATCGCTACAGCTGGTGGATGTTCGAGTTACCATCTGCGCAATTCCCACGCAGAGTATCATTACCAAGGACAATCTGTCCGTAGAAGTCGACTCAGTGGTGCAATTCGTCATCAACAACCCATACCGTGCCGTTTACGGGGTCGGCAACGTCACCAACGCGCTCATCGAACGGTAAGTGGAACCGCGCGGAGGACTCTTCAAGACCTGATCTCCCTTTCCGTCCGTCGTGCTCACGAGCTCTTCCTCTACCACTCTCTCCCCGTCCCACTCGCCCTCACAGCGCTCAGACAACCCTTCGAGACGTCGTCGGCTCGCGCAACCTTCAAAGCCTCATCTCTGACCGCGAGGCCGTCGCGCTGCAAGTCGAAGAACTCGTAGAAAGCGTCGCGGAGAAGTGGGGTGTTGCTGTTGAGAGCATCTTGATTAAGGTGGGTTCGATGCGATGCGTTGCTTTCGTGACCTCGAGGCGATTCGTAGCTGCCGCAAGCACCGTGGCTCGGAGGCCAAGCGTTGGTGACGCCCACGTGGCCTTACTCCGATTCGCTTGCGCCTCGCTATTCCGCACCCTTGGCTGACACAACTCCGCCCCTTCCGCATCCTCACTTCTCTCTCGCCAACGCATCCGTCCGTCGTCGCTACCGTGCCTCTCCTGGTCTCCCTTTGTCTTGAATTCGACGAGCACAGGACATCAAGATCTCCAAGAGCCTCCAGGAAAGCTTGTCGGCCGCTGCGACGCAACGCCGCTTGGGCGAGAGTCGCATCATCCAAGCCCGCAGCGAGGTTGAGGCAGCCAAGCTCTTGAGGCTTGCAGCCAATGAACTCGCATCAGGTCCAGCTTTGCAAATCAGAGAGCTCGATGCTATGCAATCGATGGCCAAGAATGCAAACGCCAAGGTCATCTTCTTCCCCATGCATAGTCAGGGTCAGATGCCGGGAGGTATTGGCGCTCAGGTCGCGCCGCAGGGTGCGCCTACGCCTGCAGGTGGTAACATGCAGCAGTACATGGCCATGTCCGAGATGGCAGAGCAGTAGGTGTGCTCAAGGGACGTCAGCGTACCTGATACCCCATTGTGTAGGCTCGAGACTTGTTTGAATGCATGTGAGATTACCGTAGCGTTGCGAGAAGGCGTCAGCCTCTGGCCGCCTTTCTCCTGGGAGCCTTAGCAGCGGCGACTTGGAGCAAGGCACTGCAATAGGGACGGAGCAGCGCAAAGTTGGCCATTTGCTGCTCGTTATTCCGCTTTGAGACCTTCTTGTCGACTGCGGCGCTACGGCTCTTGCAGGCATGTCGATGGGCGGAGGCTGGCCTGAGCGCCAGCAACGTACGGGGCCCCAGGAGTGGAACGAGACGAGGGCGCGAGCAATCGAGCTTAGCCCCGTCGGCTCAGTCTGAGGAAAGAGAGGATTTGACGCCTGAGGTGGCTCTCATCGTCAAGCATAGCACGAGTCATAGTGGTAGTGCAAGCCGATAGGACGTCGGCATGGCTTCTGAACATCAAAAGACGCTCTTCTCCAGGAGTCGAACGGGCCACCATCAGCCTACTTCGAAGCCATGCTGCTTTACGGGACCGCCTGCCGTGCTTTTTCCAATACTCATTCGGTTCGTGGTCGCCGTTGCCTGGCTTTGCCTACGAGGAATCAGTGTGCGCGTTGGGGCAAGCGATCAGAGAATGGTAGCAGAGCCCAGGACGGAAACCGCATCAATCACTCTGGATGCTCTGCCTGATATGGGCTATCATTCTGCGACGCTGGCAAAGGGAGAAGCACGAAGACGGCCGTTAGTGGCTGGCGCCGAAGATTGAAGCGGCCGCTGTTGCGCCTGTAAGAGGCAGGACGGGAAGCTGAAGACGCGGTGTCCGGCAGAGGCATGCAAATGGAAGATCTACTCGAGAGGGCAGACAGGTTGAATACACGAAAGTGGGTCAACACCTCGAGTGATTGGGGTGAGCGGGCATGTTGACGTATTTCCTATTTACGGTTCTTCAGAGGCGGGCCAGCTTTGAGGCAGCGGTGGGAGAGAAGGGAAGAAGTCTGGAGTCGACCAACGTTTGAGTCGCCGAGGCTTTGCAACACCACCGGCAAAGTCAATCTTGTCCATGGCCGCCACACGATCTCCAAAGAGGACTCCAGCGCGTTTGCATCTTCCACCTCCAGTGGGCCTGGGCTTCAACATGCCTACCGCAAAGTTGCATCGCTGCGTGACCGTCCGAAGCTTGCTGATGTTGAATCGTACCGGCACGCTGGAGCCAGGCGGTGGTGCATCCCCCCCAGCGATAGTGTCGAGCCCACTGCGCGACCCAAAGAGCTGCTTGGCCTTGGCGACATTCGTGTCCTGGCCATAGAAGGTCCTGACGAGCATGCCCCCTAGCCTGATGACGCCACCCTGGCTCATGACGTAGCGTCCGTCAAAGAGACTTTGATGTTGCGGGTCGAGAGTGGTCCAGCCTTTGCATGACCGACGACGGTGCTTATCAGCTGCTATGTACAGTAGTTGCGTCGGGCTTCAAGTCGCGCAGCTTGGCTCGAAGCAGGCAAAAGGGCAAAGACTTTGTACGCCAGGTCGTATATTGGTCGCGGCAGCGGTGATGCTGGCCAGCTCAAGGTGACCTCACCCGGCTCGTCTTGCCTCTGAGACAACACGACGAGAGCCAGCTTATCGAACAACGGCCTCTCGATCGCTGTCGCGCACGGCCACGAGCTCGCCCCTCCCTCTCTGACTTCGAGTCGTAGCTTACGCGAGGGGAACTTCTTCATGATGGCTTCGCGCTGCGGCTTCCACGCTCCGAGACCGAAGAGAATCTCACATTTGGTGGCGGCATCATTTGCTAAGTCGAGGAGGACTTCGCCGCGGGGGAGGAGGTCGGCAAGTGAGCTTTGAAGTATGATGTCCGCCGCTTGAAGCAGGACGAGGTGGTAGGCATGAGCGAGACCGTGCCTGGCTCCAAGGGCGCCAAAGAGTTTGCGGTGATAGGTCAGGCGGCGCTCCATTACCTTTCTTACGTCGCCGTTGCGCAGACTGCTCCTGCCCTTGTAGTTGGACGAAGGACGCTCTGGAGCCTCGAAGCACGGTGTGAGGTTCCCGCCTTTTACGCTCGTGGTGAAGTGAGGCAGTTGATAGTGGCGGTAGAACGCTTTGTATGATGCCATTTTTCTCTCCTTTCGGTCCGAGTTGCTAGGGTTGAAGCTGCCCACGGCATGGCAGAAGAGACTACCGCGTGTGCGAGCGCTCCCCCGCCTCGGAAGTCAACTCTTGCATCTCGCATGATGCAGCGGATCTTGGCGTCCATCTGATAGGTGATCTCTGCCTTGTGACCGCTTGCTCCACGCGCGCCCTCATGCTGCAAAGGAAGGACTTTAAAGCAGAGACGCTGTCATACTCACCGTCTCTACCACGCCCCGCTCACGAAAATGCGCACTCAGTCTACCTCACAAGCCATATCCTCCTGGATTTTGATGCTCCTGCCCTCTGCGTTGGCTGGACTCAATCGTACGTACTGCCTCGCAGGCTGTTCAATCGCAAGTATGTCACTCATGTATTGCTCCCGCAGTCGTTGGCGCCGTCTTTGGCTACAGCTCCACCTCCTTTGCGCTCGGCCCGTCGTGGCATGACAGTGGCAACTTAACGGCGCTTGTCCGTCTCTACTTCATCTACTCGCTGATCCTCAACATCAATGCAGCTTGGCTCATCGCATCGGCCGTTCTTTGGCCTCTTGTTCACACTCGCACGAGCTCTTTTGCAAAGGCATCATACCGGTGTACATGGCGCCGCGTGTCTCTCGCCATCAATGCCTCGATGCTACCCTTGGTCATCATCTTTGGTGCCTGCGGGCTAGCCTACGCCTCCAAGCGCGTCTACGACGACGCAGGAAACGGGTTCGTGGAAGTACAGGCCCCCGTCTACGGTCTCTTACTTGTGCTTTCCTCCATCTTCCTCTCCGCCAATTGGATCTGGCAGCCTCAAGACAAGGAGAAGTAAGTCCCACCCCCCGGACTCGCTCTGGTTCGGCAGCGGGCCAATCTTGACTGCGCACTGACCCTCAGTCAGCTGAGCATCGCCTCGCAACTCATCTGAAATCCGAGCTCCTTGCAATTCATTCCATGTATAATAGCGGCCCATGATCAGCCCTCGCTGAGCGTCATCCCACGCCATGTCTTCCCCTCCATCTTCAATCGATCCAACAGCGACCAAGGACGTCGAACACGCCGTCACGCCAGATGAGAAGGCCTCACCCTCTGCGGCCCCTACTCCCACGCAGCCAGGTCGAGCAGGCTGGCTGTGCGTTCTAGGCTCGGCATGCTGCCTGTTCATGGGCTTTGGTTTCCTCAACGCATTTGGCGTATTGCAGCAATACTACGAGACGACCTACCTGCGCGGCACCTCTCCCTCGAGCATCTCTTGGATTGGGTCCATCTCCACGTTCCTCCTCTTTGGCGGCAACCTCGTCGCTGGAGTCTTGATGGATCGCTTCGGACCTCGCCCCTTGATGGGCTGGCTCGTCGTCTCTTACACCGTCGCGTGTATGCTGACGAGTCTTTGTAAAGAATACTACCAGGTCCTACTCGCTCAAGGCGTTCTCTTCGGCCTAGCCGCCAGCTGTAGCTTTGCGGTTCCCCTCAGCTGTATCATGTTGCATTTCAAGGAGAAGAGAGGGCCGGCAATGTCAGTGAGAGCCGAGCAACACCAGTCGACTCCCTTTCGCTAACCCTTGCACCCGTGTCAACGCAGCGGCATCGTCGTTGCGACCTCGTCAATCGGCGGCGTCACCTGGCCCTTTATCATTCGCGCCTTGCTCAACAATGCCGGCTTCGGCTGGACATGGCGGGCTGTAGGCTTCATCGGACTCGCCTTGCTCAGTATTGCATTCGTCACGGTGACCTCGCCGATCAGACGCAGCGAGCAGAGGGCTGGTCCGAGGCAGAGCTTGTTCTACGCGCCTGTTCTGCGATCCAGGCCATACCTTCTCCTCGCTGCCTCTCTCTTCTTTTCCTTCCTCGGCATCTTCTACCTCTTCTTCTACTTGCCGGCATTGACTGCCGCCCAAGGCGCGCCAACGGAGCTGCAGTTCGCAAGCATCTCGATCCTCAATGCCTGCTCATTCTTTGGACGGCTCGGCGTGCCCATCCCTGCGCCCAAGCTCGGCGCTCTCAACCTGCTCACGGGATGTTCAGCAATTGCCGCCATCATCGTCCTGGCCTCCATTGGCGCGCAAAGCACGGCAGGCGTGCTCGTCGTGGGAGGCTTCTACGGTTTCTTTAGCGGAGGCATCATTTCGCTCTTTGCGGCCTGCGTAGGTAGCATAACGCCCGATCTGCGGCGCATTGGCTCGAGCGTGGGCCAGATGGCAGGTCTTTTGGCGGTGGCAGCGTTGTTAGGCTCGCCCATCGCTGGCTGGATCATCGACTCGCGCGGGGGATACAAGGCGGCAGCAGGCTTCTCGGGAGGATGTCTCGCCTTGGGGGCCATCTTGGCGTTTGCAGCCCGTCTGGCGCAGGAGAGCAACTTGCGCAAGCCGGCGTAGAAGCGGCGTGACGGCGTCCGTGGCCTTAGCTGGAGTGACAGCTGCTGGTCCGGAGCATGAGAAGGGCAATGAATGTTGAAGCGCAATGCAGCCCGTGTGATGCCCGCTGATGGTGCGCAGCGAGCAAGAAGGGGGGGACGAAGAGGAAGATGAGGAGGCGGGCTCGCTGGTCTGACGGACGGAAAAGACGCGGAGTTGAGAATCGGATTGCGGGGGAAAGACGGGGAGGAAAAAGTCTGGCTCCACTTTCCCTTCCTCGCACCATTCTCTTTCTTGCAACCGCCCTCATATCATTGCCACTTCTCATTCATTCTGATCAAGAGGGGTCTCCCGTGAATTGCCTTGATCGATGAGGCGTGGATCCAAGGATGCGTCAGCAGGACGTTCACGCTATGCCCTGGCAAATGCGACCTTGTCTCCACCCTCATCGCCCTTCTCGTCGTCCCATTCATCCCCCTCCTCCGTCCTCCAAGCCCAATTGGCCACCAATGTAATCCCACTCAAGACTACCAATACCCCAAAGATCGGTGCTTGTCCCTCGATCCAGCCGTTCGCCAAGTCGTCGTAGATGTCTTTGGCTGCATAAGCAAGCGCGCAAGGTCCAAACACGACGATGAGAAGCAGCATGACCGCGTTGATGGCCAGGCTCACTTTGCGCCATCTGCGACGAGACGATGCGCTCTTGAAGTCGCACTTGCGTGTGTGGGCCAGAGGCCAAAGGATGGCCGAGGAGATCAACCAGGCTGCGTCCACGGTTAGAACGAGCGAGTAGATGAAGTAGAGACGGATGAGGGCTGTCAGGTGGGGGGTGTCTGTTGGGGAGGGCTCGAGACCGTAGACGGTGGAGGCGTAGCCTAAAACGCTCGCCAGCACTTCGTTCCGGTGTCGTGGATGTGTGGTTAGCATGACGATTCGCTGTCGCCGCCTCTCACGTGCCAGGGCTGCTCACGACAGGCCGCTGCCATTGGTGTGGGCAGCACCATCAGTGGCCAGATGGCAATGGCAGACATGGTGGATTGAGATGGCATATCGAGGCGGTGGTGCGAGGAAACAGAGGAACGATCTCAAATTTGGGAGCTCTCTTGATATACCTCTGGACGCATCCGATGCAACCTGCGAGATGCGGGGCTGTGCCGTCGCCAAGACTTCGACGACATGCACGGTGAACCAGCGGTGCGCTAGGAGACCACACCAATGACGGCGACTAACGAGACGAGGCAACTGATGAGATAGAGTTGCACACTTGCATCCTCGCACGCGCGTGCCCCTTCATTGAACGCTCTGCCCTTCTCGATATAGTACAGGTCAGGTCATGCGACGACTACGTCACTACATGGGCGGGCGCGTTGCGATGGCAGGGGTAATCTTCAAGGTCCTCGCCGCTCTCACCTCTCCAGCAATGACTCTGCCTCTCCGAGACGCTCTCCCGATCCAGGCAGCGGTTGAAGAACGGCGCTGAATTGCAAAGCCTGCGCTGCGGCGATGGCGAGGATTGAGAGTCGCTCTACGTCTTGCAGCGTGACGGCGTACCTCCTACTACTCCATCCGCCGATAAGCTCCACTTGTCCTACCGCCATGGCGACGAAAGCAGAGACCGTCTCGATGTAGACGGACCATTTGAGTTGGCCGGCGAACGTGGCGCAACGAGCGTTGAAGGAGAGTTGCAACAGCGTGGCCGTTCCAGCCAGGCTGACTGAGGCGAGCGAGATGAGCGAGGACAACGTGAATGCTGGCGTTTCGTCAGGGCTGCCGAAGCAGCCTCGCTCCTGCCTGACAGCTAGGTCGTGGGGTCGAAGCCAATAGTGGTACCCGGCAAAGAGGGCGACGAGGGCGGCCGGCAAAGCGGGATGGGAGATTGGCGAGAGCTTCTCGACGGCGCGACTCTTGACCTCGCCCTTCCATGCGGGACGACGTGTGAGGCGACGCCATGACGTCGAGGGTTGGATGCGTAGAAGCACGAGTGTCTGGTAGTACACGCGGAAGAGGTCGATCGGGACGAGTACGACGAACATGATGATGCTTGCGGCGTCTGGCTGCTCAATGAGCCCGAGCACGGAGCTGAAGAAGGCAAGGACCAGGCTTGCGGCGCCGATCCATTGAGCGGTGATGGAGAGGCCGGCACTTGTGGTTCGAGACGACCAGTAGAGGGTGTCGACTGCGTGCGAGGAAAAGGCAATCGTGAGCAAGGGATGAAGAGAGTGCATTCCGGCGGTCCACGCACGTATGCAGACCAGAAAGGGCACAGCCGCGTCGAGGAGCGGGACCGCAGTTAGGAACGGGCGGTGTTGAGGATGGATGCGGTCGCCAACGAGAGCAGCTGGCGGCGTGCAAAGGGTCAGCAATGCTCGACTCAAAGCCACACTTACGCGCGACTCACCTTTGGCCTCCCACATGTACTCCATCGCCATGGACGAATTGAGCGTCACCTCTTGCCCAACGTCAATGGGGAGTTGTCCAGACGCAGGCTCGGGCGGCGATCCTTCGAATACATCCAGTTGCTCGGCCATGTTGGTGCGGATGGCTTGGTGCGCGGAGAAGTGCACTTCGACATCGGCGTGGAAAAATGCGGGATCCTCACTCAGCTGAATGTGCGGGACCGCACAGGGTCCGGCGGGAGGTCGAGCGGGCAGATCGCCGTCGATTGGGCGTCTACGCGGGAGGGTCAGGTGATGGCCCGGGTGGCCAGGCGTACGAGAGACGCGTAGCGAGGGGGCGTAGCGGTACTGCTTGGTCAGGCTGTCACCGATGTCTTCGCTGGTGCCATCGAACCACAACAGCACCTCGAGCGGGCCATGTTCTCGTACATTACGGCAGTGGCTGGCCAAGAGGAGCTGCTGAACATTCGGGTCGTCCGAGGAGCGATGACATCGGTTCTCTTCGGCTGCAACTTCGCGCTGCGCACTCGTGTAGACGGCCTTGAAGAAAGAGCGAAAATCGTTGAGCATCACGATGCCGATCCGAGAGCGAATGTGGGGTAGATGCAGCTGGCACTGATTGTCGAGGTAGAGGCGTCCTCCCAGCGAGTCGTTGTGAACGCGATTGACGAAGTGGCGATTCTGGTAGACGTTGTCGAGGAAAGCCAGGCTTGGCGGCAGAATCTTTTGGCTGGCGCAATCGAAGCTGCGCCCTTCCTCCGGCTGCTCGTGTCGTATGCCCGCGGGAAGAAGAGCCAAAAGGCTGATGCTCGCAGAGTTCTGTTCCAGGGCAGCCTCGAGCGACGGCACCGCGGTCGTGGTGCCAAAGTCGTGGCCAGGCGTCAAACGCTCAGAGTCGAGCGTGCGAGGTAGCATGAGGCGAGAGCCGCGAAACAGCGAGTTGGCGCCGATGAATGCGCCCAGCTTGCTGAGCGTCTCGTTGCTGGGCACTGCGGTAAAGGCAACGCGCAGGGAGGAAGGACCCAGCTCTTGCGAGTAGAGCGGGTGGACCGGAATGTTCAAGGGAAGCGTCAGAGAGGCCTTGGACATCGACGTGACACTTTCAGCCACGACGGCGTCGTAGAGAATCAGCTCCGAGCGGTTCGCGCCGTGCACCGAGTAAGACACCAATCGCGCATCGTCGGGCAACGGTAAGCCCTGCTCAACGTGCTGCGTCACGTCCATCCATACCGTCGCCCGGATGCCGAACGGCGTGTCCCTGTCGAGCAGAGGTTGTGCGATGGGAACCAAGTGGCTTGTGAGCTTAGGGTCGACCTGCATCAGATCAGGATGCAAGGTGTTGAAGCTCCCTTTGACGCTCAACGTCCCCTCAATCGCCAGGTACGAGATGACAAAGGCCGCCAGTAGGCCGACCACGGAGCATATTGTGCACAACGTCGAGCGTTGCCTGCGTGCGCTCGCAATGGGCGAACGAGACGTCGGCTCCTCCATGCCGTGCGATGATGAAGGAGAGGTATAGAAGACGAGATGAGATTAGGAAAAGGAAAGAGTAGAAGGCATAACGCAGGTTCGGAAGAAAGTCGCCGGCGGGAATGCGCAGCCCGATCCTCTTTCTAGCCCGCCCGATTCAACCCCCGCGTAGCCGCTCACCCTCCTCATTCTCCTCGCCCGCCCTTGGCCCGCCCTCCTCCACCCCGCTGGGGGTGCTCTCACTGCGTCGCAAAGGGATTACCGTTCTGGCGAATCCATTCGAGCTCGCTATCCGTGCTCTGCCTTCCCAGCGCCTCGTTACGATACGGATAGCGCCCAAACTTCTCGATAATCTCGTGGTGACGAGCGGCAAAGTCGGACGTGTTCTTGTAGTATGGCGAGTCGTCCTTCATCTCCTCGAGCAGGCGGGCCAATTGCTCGTGCTGTTCAATCGACTCGGAATGCTCGAGGGGCATGTAGAACCACAGGCGCCAGGCCATCGATTTCGCATTGGCCTGCGCATCAAGGCCCTTGGAAATGGCGTCCTGGCTGACAGCTTGCGCGATTTGGTCGTAGTGCGCGTAGATGAGCGGATTGGTGGCGGGGAAGATGCATCGGGGCATCTGATCGAAGAGCAGGACAAGCCCAAGCACGCTGTGATATTTGTCGAGGGGAGTGGATGCTTCGCTCATCTCTCGGGCGATCTGCTGGGCGTGGCTCTGCGCGGGCAAGTCCTTGATGTCGTCGAGGACAGCGCCAAACTTCTCACGGCACTGGGAGTTGAATCGATCGTTCTCTTCTCGACTCCGCTGGAATCCCCACCATCGCGCCATCGCTGCCGCTCCTGGTGATTGGGCGCCAGCCTCGACGCCTTCGAACCAGATGTCAATGACTTGTGGGATCGAGGTGCGGAGACGGGCGAGCAGCGCTGGCTTGACGAGGGTGGTCATGGCGAAGTGATGATGTAGAGGAGGGAAAGGGGAGGGGGGCGTGATGCTGTGATGATCAGCTCCGTATCGTGAAGAGTAGACGCAATGGAACGAGAAGGAGGCGGACAAGCGGAGGTGACGTCCTTGTGGCTACTTCCGAGGCCAAGAATTGCTGCCCCTTTCGCCCGAAAGACGCCGAGCAAAAGCGGCCACCAAGACTTGCTTCTCTATCCGCTCTCCCCTCTTCAATCGTCGAGGCAAGTGCTTGACATCTCATAGCGGCAGGTCTGCATGCGATCGTAGTCTCTCCAGAAGGAACAAAGTGTCAGCGGAGAAATCGCCTTGCCGGGCAAGTGATGACCAAGTGGGGGGCTCCGAGGGGCCTGCGTGGGGCCCGCGTGGGGGGCTCCACATCAAGAATCTCTCCAAGCGAAACAATTTAGCGAATCCCCCTCCCACTGCGTCTACGGATAAGTTTGCCGCCCTCGTCTGTGCACCTAGCACAAGAATTCTTCTTGGCCAAGGGGCTCGCACACGACGATATAAAGTAGCAGTCGCCGCGATCAATGCTCACTCCTCGTCAATCTTTAGCCAACATGCTTCCCCTCTCCCTGCTCGCCACTATCCTGGCTCTTGCCTCACTCGCGCATGGCGGGAGTAATGGATTGGGACAGACACCGCAGATGGGATGGTCCACTTGGAATGCCTACGGCTGTGAAATCGACGCAGACATCATCATCGAGAGCGCAAAGCAGCTCGCCGACCAGATGAAGCCGTTTGGCTACGAATATCTCAACATTGACGACTGCTGGCAAGCCGCGGAGCGCAATGCACAAGGCGTCCTCGAGGCGAACAAGACGAGGTTCCCGGATGGTCTAAAGGCCGTTGTTGACCAGATCCACGACTTGGGACTCAAAGCCGGTATCTACTCCTCCGCTGGAACCATGACGTGCGGCCGCAAGATCGGCTCGCTTGATCACGAGGAGACTGACGCCCAGAGCTGGGCTGACGCCGGGTTCGACTATCTGAAGTGTGAGTTATGAGCGGCAGAGACACATGACTCAGCGTGATTCTGACCCTGACGCTCTTTGCCCGCGCCGCGCGATTAGACGACAACTGCTTCGCGCAAGGACGTTCGGGAACGCCGCAGTTCTCCTACGACCGCTACAACAAGATGGCGACTGCTCTTAACAACACTGGCCGACCCATCTTTTACTCTCTCTGCAACTGGGGTGAGGATGGCCCCTGGAACTTTGCATCTACAATTGCCAACTCATGGCGCATCTCCGGAGACATAACGAATTCTTTCAATCGCGAGGATGATCGCTGCCCGTGCACGAGCGTGGTTGAGGGCGATTGCAACACGCAAGGATATCATTGCTCAGTAGAGAAAATTGCCAACTTCGCTGCCCCCCTCGGACAGAAGGCTGCTCCTGGCGGATGGAATGACCTCGATAGCCTCGAGGTCGGCGTGAGCGTGGGCGAGGGATTGACACTCGACGAGTCCGTCACCCACTTCACGCTGTGGAGCATGATGAAGAGTCCCCTCATTCAAGGCCCAGTCTTTGCCGACCTCTCGAGCCAAGACCGTGCTGTCCTCACCAACGAGCACGTCATCGCCATCAACCAGGACCCTGGCTCCACCCCCGCCATTCGCCTACAGTCAGGCAAGCAGCAAGTCTGGCAGAGCACGCTTAGCAACGACAGCTATGCGGTGGCGCTGGTCAATTTCGGCGAGTCCAAGTGGGACGTCGAGCTGCCCCTCTCTGAAGTCTTCTTTGACGATCGCAAGCTGGCCAAGGCGTCGTGGACTGCGTACGACTTGTGGAGCGACACGGACTTCCAGAATCCGCCGCGCAAGCCTGGTCAGAGCAAGTTGCAGGGTATGAGCGTGCAGGGCAAGCTGCCGCGTGTTGAGCTCAACCCGCATCAGACGAGGGTATGGAAGCTCACTCCCAAGAAGCACGACGAGTTGTGAAGCGACGAAATGTCAAGATGAGGCTCCTTGTGTAACATGCATGTAATGCTATGGGATGCGTCAAGCCGTTCCTTCCGCTGCTCGTTTGACCCCCGCTCCTGCAGCCAACTCAGCCGCCGCGGCCGCCCTCCCACTCTTCTGTCTCGCCCGCCTACTTTCCAACTCGTGCCACTCGCCCTTGAGCTTCGAGAGAGCGTCCGCGGGCAATTTGGGCTTCGGCGCTTCTTCAGTAAAGTAAGGCATCGCCAACGCCTGAGCCGCCGAAGCGCGTTTACGTGGGTCATAGTGCAAGAGGGCTTCTGCGACGTCGAGTGCCGGTGGTGAGAGCAGGTGAGCGTAATTCTTGCGGAAGCGCTGTGACCAAACGTCTACGGCTCCACCATCGGCGTCAGGCTCGCCGAGCGCGGGCACCGTGGGCCTGATCAGCTCGAACCACGGCAACTGCTCAGCCCCTTCCCACCTTGCCCCACTCATCGGCCCGAGCACGTCTACGATCGCCTGCACCTGATGGATCTCGTCCTGCCCCTGAAAAATCGCCTTGCGCGTGAAGAGTTCGAGGAAGATACAGCCGGCTCCCCAACAGTCGACTTCGGTCCCATAGCGCGTCGTACCGAGGAGCAGCTCTGGCGGACGATACCATAGCGTGACGACGCGATTCGTGTAGTCGGCGTCGGTACGGCGCTTGGCGTACAGGCGGGCTAGTCCAAAGTCGGCCAGCTTGAGCAAGCCCGCATTGTTGAGAAGGATGTTGCTCCCCTTCAAATCGCGATGCAGGACCGCTTTGTCGTGTAGGTAGTCTAGCCCTTCGAGGAGCTGTTTCGCCAGCGACTTGAGATGAGCAGCGCTGAACTGCACGGAGGGGTGATGCAACACGCCATTGAGGTCGTGCTCCATGTACTCGAAAACCATGTAGACCGCTCCTGCCCCTGGCCGCCCACTCGCCGAAGTGCTCATCGTGGTCATCATCTCGTGCAGCCGCACCACGTTCGGGTGGCGGAGCATCTGGAGTAACTTGATCTCTCGCATGGCCGTGATGGGGAATCCGTCCTTTTCGCTCTCCATGCGAATCTTCTTGAGCGCAACGAGGACGCCGGTAGTCTCGGATCGAGCCTTGAAGACTTGGCCATACGTTCCCTCGCCGACTTGGGCGATGCGCGTGTAGAGCTCGGTGGGTAGGGCACGCTGCGGTTGCGCTGGCGTGACAGGCGTTGCGTCCTCGTCTTCATCGCCTTCGTCTTCGCTAGGACCGAGCACAGGCGAGCTAGCCAATGTAGTCATGACTGCGGGCACGCCGGGATTGTTGGAGGCTACTTCGAGGATCTGGCGTGGCGCTGGCTTGGTCTCACCGCTGTCACGCCGCTTGATCCGCTTGACCGCTTCCGGACTGAGCGAGGCCTTGCCGCCGCTCTGCGATCCTGTACCGCGATCCGACGGCGTCCTTGACCTCTTCCACCCTCGATCCCTGCTCTCGTCGCCATTCGCCCTGCTATTCCTGCGATCGAGCTCAGGGCTTCTGGATGCTCGGTTCGCACGACTTGCTGCTGGACCTGTGGGTGGGGCGCCATCGCGACGATCTGCACGCGGACCCGTAGGTGGCTGGCGAGGGTGACGTGGCGGCGAACGTGATGCAGACCGTGGACGGCGAGGGGTGAACGACGTGCGCGATGGTGGACTCGGAGGAGGACGGCGTGTTGCGTCGGCGCTGTCCTCCATGTCAGCATAGTTGAGCGAGTCTGAGAAGATGTCCTTTGCCGTAGCTGAGCGAGAGGCGGCTCTACGTGCCTTTGTGCGAGCATCTGGATCCGGGCCAGAAACGGGGGTGGATGTGCTCGTAGTGGTGCTTGATGCTGGTGGCCTACGCCGCGGCGAAGTTGGGGCGCGTGGTGGTGGTGATGCCCTGCGGCGAGTCGCGCTCCCATCTCTTCGCCTGTCCCCCTCTCTCGCGCCAGATGAATCCCGCGAAGGCGAGCGCGATCGCCTCTTTGCGCTTGTGTCATCCCTGCCACTCTGATTGACCCGATCGTCTCGACGATCGCGCTCCCTATCCCGCCGAGACGCCCAGCTATCTCGTGGCCCTTTAGGTGTCGCGCCATAGTAACCCTCTGCAGCCCATCTGCCCGCCCCAGCTTGCTGAGCGTAATAGCCGCTTGGACCAGCTGACGGTCCATAGGCAGCTGCGTAAGGATCCATGCCATAATATCCCGCCGCCTGAGGATGCCAAGCTTGAGCGGCTAAGTAGCGATCATCGTAATCGCTTCGTCGAGGGCCTCGGCGCTGAGCGTCTCGGTCGTTGCGAGCGGCGGTGTCGTCTTCTCTTCGCCTTGCTCGATTGCGATCGTCCTCTTTTGCTTCACTACGCCCTGTATCTCTGCCTGGGATCCCTTCCTCTCCTCCCCTCTTGACCCTTCCAAACTCGTCGGTATCCTCTTGCTGAGCAGATGCAGCTGAGCCTCGAATCGTCCAGGCACCGGCGCTGTCGCGTCTGGAATTTCGCCTGCTGCTGCTTCCTTCGCCGCCATTGCTATCGTTGGGCGGCCGCTCGCCTCTGCCGTACATCGTACGACGTTGGCGCGAGGATTGGTGGGTCTGTTGGCTGCGTGAACGACGAAGAGGACAAGAGTTGCTGGGCGGATCGACGGACCGACGGACGGACAGACGGACGACCAACTCAGATTCAATTCCTCCACGCGACGGAACGGGCTGCAGCACTGTGGCTGCATCGAGACGCGATGGCAGCAGCTCTTCTTGTTTCCCTTTCATCTCAAGCTTTTTTTCAGACTATGCTCATCGTGTCAAAGTGTTTTAAGGGAAAGTAACTTTCGTGGGGTTCGGATCAAGATCAAGAGTAAGAGTGTCGAGCATGAACGAGAGCGTCTGCGGGCAAGAGACCATGCCTTACGCCTGGACGCCGAAGCCAACACGCTTGCCGCGAATGTCAAAGACAGCACCTGTGCGGAAGAACTGCGAGGGCAACGTCCAGTACGTGACATTGCCTCCATCTGCCAACGTGTGTCAGTGCGCGCCTCCTCTTCACACACCATTGTCCTCGCCCACTCACAACCTTGCACAATGGAGTAACACTGCCCGCCCTGGCGCATCACGCTGTCCGCACCGCTTACCGTCACTTGGCCGGTAGTTCCGGCGGGTCCGCTCAGGGTCACCGCAGCTCCTTTTACGCAGTCAACCTTTGCCCCGCGCACGGTACCATCGGGAGTCTGGACGATCTCGGGCTTCAGACCCATGGACGTGAGGATCTTGATGGAAGACTGCGGGCCAAGAATGGGCAGAGCAAACCACGGTAAGCAAGCGAGCCGCCTTACCACGCGTATCGACGCACCGCATCGTCCACAAAGACGACCGTGTCCTGCGGGTCTAGCGTCCCTCCAATTCCGGTAGGCACACCATTCACACGGGCGTCTATATCCCAGAGGTTGCCTTTCTTGGTGAGCGGAGCCCACCAGGAGGCATTGAACTGGCCAAATTGCAACTTTCCCCCCTATCGCGGAGAAGAGCAGGACAATGAGAGCGGGCACAAGCAAGTGCTGCTCGCCGTAGACGTACCTTACCGTCCAGAGTGACTGCAAAAGGCGTTGGCCCCGAAGCGGTCACGAGAGCCTTCCAAGAGGTATTATATCCGGAGTAAGCAGCCTTGTTCTCCGGCGCGAGGCCGAGGACTCCGACGGGTTTGGTGACTGCCCAATTCGGACAGACGGTGTTAGAAACTGATGGTCCTGTCTACCCCGCAGACTCACAGGCATTAGGTCGAATCATTGCATCCGAGTCGGCGTTGCCGATTCCAACGCTTTGAGCCGTCGTTCCACTAACACCGACGGTGTCGAGTACAATTTCGACCTTGTAATTCTTGCTGCGTAACCGATGGCAAGCGAGCAGGTCAGTCAATCCTTCCCCGAGACAGGTCTACGTCTGCGCCCTCACCCAGCAGCAAAGTCTTCGACTTCCATCTTCCCCGTCTTCAGACCCGTCGTATAGCCCGCCGACCTGGACATGATGACATTGGGCGTGCCTATCAGGTGGCGCGGAGGGTCAATCAGATGGACCATCTTGCGCGCTCAACCGCATCTGGCTCACCAAAAGTCATCACCATGGGATAGGTCTTGCCGCCGACATTGGCCGTCGTGGTGTAGGCATTGATGCCCTTGTCGAACATGAGGGCTTGTCCAGTGCTCTTTGCCGGAGCACGAGCGCGCAGGGAGCCCGGTGCGACGGGGAAGCCGCCAATGTCACGCCGAAGCACGGGCAACGAGGTGAGAGCAGAAGGCGAGCGGGGGGAGGGCTCGAGCTCGGCAGCCGCAGCATCGGTGTGGAGCAGCGCAATAGCGAGCGCCATAGCGACGGTGGCGCGCAGTAGGTGTGTAAAGGAGGGGAGCATGGGCGTGTGTTGTAGAAAGGCAAGTAGGTGTGGGTAGGAAGGGAAGAAGAGGAAGAGGGGTCGAGGGGACGAAGGAACGAGGGTAGACACACTCGGAGGTCAGCCATCCTCGAGCACATTGAGAGCAAGGGAAGTGTATTGGCACTCTCAGGAGCGAGATTGGGGCACGCCAAATGCCCTCATCAACAGCCGCCACCCGTGACCCAGTCCTCGGAGTCGCGACGCGACGCATGCCCTCCTCATCACCTCCCGCTCACGGCCCGCCACGACCGCCACGGATGGAGAGAAGATCGTCTATTCACGACCTGACTGAGAAGGAGCAAAGCATCGCGGCCAACGCATCTGACTAGGCGGGCAGGCCGAAGCCGACACGCTTGCCTCGGATGTCAAAGACGGCGCCTTTGTGGAAAAATTGCGCGCCAATAATCCACAAGCCCTTTTCCCCCAAGTCTGCGAGCGAGAGAATAAGCAGATCAGCTTAGCTCTGAGCTTCTCGTGCGCTCACACACTCACAGCCCTGGATAATCGAGTAGCACTGCCCAGCATGGCGGTACACGCTGGAGGGCCCGTCGACGACGATCGAGCCGTTGCCATCAGGCCCACGAAGCGTAAGTGGAGCCCCTTTCTGGCAGTCGACCTTTGCCGTCTTGATCGTGCCGCCCGAGATCTTAATGTACTCGGGCTTGAGACCAAGGCCACGCAGAATCTTGTCGGCCGACTGCACGGGTGAGGGGGGCAAGTCAGCATCAAATCGGGCTTCGCCATCTAGCAGGCGCACGCACGGCATCGTCTGGAGCAAGGCGCTGCTCTTGGCAATCCAAAGTGCCTTGAGAAAAAGGTATGCCATTGATTGATCCAAGCAGGTCCCACGTATCGCCTAATTTGCTCAAGGGTACCCAGAAGGAAGGATTGAATTGGCCAAATTGCAGTGTGCCCGTCTGCGGTGACAGCGCAATGGGGTCAGTGGCTGTTGACCTCACCGTCAGCACCACCGGCGCGCACGCTCACCTTATCACCCAACGTCAGCGCAAAGGGCGTAGGGCCAGAAGCGACCACGAGAGGCTGGAAGGAGGAGTTGTAGTTAAAGTAGGCATCCCGATTCTCAGGAGCGAGACCGAGAAGTCCAACCGACTTGGAGCCTGAGCGGTTCGTGAAAGCTGAGCAGGCAAGACGACTGCACGCACATACCTGCCATTCGACTTACGTGCTGCAGAGGAGATCAGGGCATCCGAGTCGGCTTTGCCTACAGCCACGCCTTTTGCGGTGACCCCACTCAAGGAGACGGTGTCAAGGACGACCTCCACCTTGTAACTCCCATTGCTACCGAGCAATGATGCGATGACGAGGACACCGTACACAGTCAGCTTGTCCCTCCCATGCTGATTCGCGCAGACTCACATCGAGCCGAACGTCTCAGTGACGATCTTGCCCGTCCTCTGGCCCGTGGAGTAGCCGCTCGCCTTGGACATGATGACATTAGGCGTTCCTGCGAGGCGCGCGAGTCAGCCTTTGTCCCTACTCCTTCTTGCTCGTACGCAGCTCACCAAAAGTCATAATCATCTCGTAGGCCTTGCCACCGATAGTAGCTGACGTGGTGTAGACTTCAACACCCGAGTCCCACCCAATAGGCTGGCCGCCCGCACGAGCGTGAATGAGTTCTGGCGTGATGGACGAGGCGCGAGAGAGCCTGCGACGGGTCACGGGCATGGAGACGCTCGGAGCAGAACGCAGTGCTGCCCGGCCAGCAGAGACGTCGCGATTGGCTGCTGCGGGCAAAGCGAGAGCTAGAGTCATGGCGACCATGCCGATGGCGGCGGAGAGGGAAATGAAGAGCATTATGGTGTTACTTGGAGCTGTAGAGAGTCGGGGTTGGGAATAAGGAAGAGATGTAGGATGCGGAAGGGGGACGAAGTGACCGTGTCGAGGTGGCTGGGCTAGGGCGCGTCGAGCAGGATGAAGGGCATCTATCAAGCGAGGTTAAGACATGGTCAGAGCTTCAATCCTATCTAGGACCGCGCTCTTTCAAGCCGTGTACACGTTTGGGCACACGGTCAATGCAGGTTTTCACTCACGGCCCGTCATGACAGGCCCACGCAGTGTCTCGGAAATTCTTTCAATTCAAACGCAAAATATCGAGAGGCGACAACAACTTGGCAGTTAACGAAGCGCGGCGGAGAAGAGGGATCGCGGAGCAAGCAGTGTCCTGCAATGGTAAAAAAGGAGGGGAGTCAAAGGAGTGTGTGTAGGGAAGGGACCGGGGTATCGCTTGGATCTCAGCGCGGCGAGGGAGCGAGCAGCGGCACGTGAGGGGGAGGCCCCGCTCATCCTCACGCTCGCCCTCTGCTACGACCTCGCCATCACTGCCATGCTGCCGTCACTTAAAGGTCGTGTTCTCTGCGAAGAACCGATGTCACTCCGCCGAGTACATTGCTCACAGCTGACCTGCCAGCCGAAGCCACTGGCGCTGCAGCGCTGGAAACTGGTGCGGCAGCGCTGTTCACTGCGCTCTGCACAGTAGTTGCCACACCACCCGCAGCTGACGTCGCATCTCCTGCGAGAGACTGAGCAGCAGGAGTTGACGTCGCGGCCGTGGTAGAGGGCGCCGCCGATGTGGTGCATCCTGCGCTGACGAGCAGGCCGAGACCGAGTGGCTCGCCAATGTCACAGATGAGTGCCTTTGCTACAGGATTGCTGACCAGGCCGCCGATGAGGCCTACGAGACCGGAGCCCACAGCCTTGAGAGCATTCGCCAAAGCCGACGTTTGAGCTTCGTTGAGACCCTGCTCGAGGACCGTCGTAAGCTGGTTGGAGTTCATGGTCCTGGCGAAAGCGGGAAGCGTGCCGCCCGCATCTCCAGCCGTGATGGCGCCCTTCACGAGCGTGGTGAGCGTGCCGGCCCCATTCGCTGCGGCGGCGCCGAGACCCTGCGTGAGAAGATTAGTGCCATTGGCAGCGAGGGCCTGTGCGACGGCAGGAGCGGCTGCACCGTTGTTGGCGCCCATGAGCAGGCCGAGAATGCCGCCAAGTTGATCGCCAGCTGCGCCCAAAAGCCCTCCCAAGACGGGGATGTTGCCGAGAGCGCCGAGAAGCGCGCTAGCAAAGTCGCCGCCAAGCTTGAGAATACCCTGGATGAGACCCAGCAGGTCGCCCAGGCCCTTGCCAAGTGCACCGATGTCGAGGGGTACACAGACCGTGGCCGCTTCATCGGCACAGATGAAATAGCGGGTCTTCACATTGATCTCATCGTAGAGGAATGAGGGGGCGTTGTACCCGCCGCCATCCGAGCCGATGTTGACCGAAAGCTGATTGAAGACGTTCAGGTTGTGACCAATGAGAGGTACCGAAGCCAGAAGACCGACGAGACCGTTGCCCTTGACGAGGCGAATGTTTTCGATCGTCGGACTGATGGCTGTGCCCGGGTTGTTGATCGTACCGCCGGGCGTGGTAAAGCCTGGGTCGAAAGTATTGTTGAGAACGGCGTACGGGTCCGAGTTGAAGGGCTCATCTGCGCTGCGAATGACCGAATTGAGCGTGTTGAAGGTGATTGCAGCGGGCAGCTGGTCCTGAGTGTAGAGCTTGGCGCTGACGGTGGGGTTGGCCGCAAGGTTGAGGGCTCCCAACAGCGTGGGCAGCGAGAGGAAGACGTCGATCATCGTGACAACGCGAGAGCCAATGCCATCGATGGTGCCGTCCGCCTGGACGCCTCGGAGTGCTGGAACGAGCGAGTCGTATGGCGTCAATGGCTGCGAGCCACCACCAGTGCCCAGAATCTCGATGGGAATCTTGAGCTGCGGCGTCGACTCGGTCTGCTCGACAGGCTGCAGGTACGAACGGAGCAGATTCTGCGCGACTTCGTTCCCAGGGTTGTCGGGCATGTACTGGAAGTTCGTCGTGATAACATTGGTCCCGGGAATGAGGCCCAACTGCGGAATGATGGCACGACCCACGTAGACGTTCCTGTAGACGATGGGCAGACTGACCTGGTCCGTAAAGACGGTGAGCTGGCTCGGGTTTTCCAGGGTAGCCTTGAGCGGAATGAGAATGTACTGCGGCGTGCCTCCTTGTACGACGAGGTCTGAAGTCGTGAAGACGTGATTGAACGAATTGATACCAGCGAGCGAGGTGGTGACGTTGAAGGGAATTCCAGGGTTCTGCAGCGGAATATCTCCAATGACCGTGCGAGCAAGGACAGACGTTGTACCCTTGAGACCGAAGTCAGCTCGGTCCGTGTCAGTGAGCTTGGCAAAGAAGGCCTGGAACGAAGGGCGATCGATGGCGGCGACGTCTTGGTCCTTGAAGTTGAGCAAGAGCTGCTCCCTGTCGTCTGGTCCCCTCGACGTGCCTGCCTGGACAGGAGCTGAGGGGAGATTGATCTGAGCCGTGTCGACGCCTTGGTACGTGAGCGTGATCATGGGACCAGCCCTGATGGGCGTGAGCGAGAAGCGGAAGGGGTTGGCGAAGATGGCAACCGTCTGGTTGTTCGATCCCTTGATGACGTACGGGTCCGGGCCAAAGATCTTGGCCGTCAAGTCGGACAGCGTAATGGCAAAGATGATCTGATAGATCTGGCCAGGGAGAACGGCGTTGGTCTGGAAGCGCTTGAACGCTGCGGTGAGCCATGAGACGGGCTGGTTGCCGTTTGCTTCTGTGACGACGGAGACACCGCGGAGCTGTAGCGTCTGGTTGTTGCCGGCCAAGAATTGCGAGAAGAGGATACCGAGCACGTTGAGGTTGGCCGTGTTGCCTGTCTGGTCCTGGATCTGACCAGTCGTGTGAGCGAGCGTATTGGCAACACCAGGTTGCCCGCTGGCAGGCTTGGGAGCGAGGAAGAGACCCGTCGCTTGAATTGGCCCGACGTCTACGCCCATGAAGAAGATCTCGAAGTTGACCGTGTCAAGCTGCACTCCCAATGCCGAGGGCGAAGGGATATTGGCGTCGGCCTTGATGATGAGCGCGTTGGACGTCTCACCAGGGATGTCGAACGACGTGATGACGATGCCCGGCAGACCATTGAAGACGTCGAGAGAAATCGACTTTTGCAGGATGGTGTTGCTAAACGCGATACCGACGGCGCTGACCTTGACGGAGGGGCTGTGAATATCCCACGTGAAGCTGGGGTTCTTGAGAATGTACTCGGCAAAGTCGATGAATCCTGCGCATGTTGATAAGGAGCGAGCAAGGTTAGCGTGTTCAACTGCCAGTCCCTTCGCGCGCACTCACGGTCCTGGTTGGTGATCGTTAGGTGGCCCTGCGTGTTGAGGTCAGGCGTACCTGATCCAGCAGCCGAGCAGATGGGCGGCAGCTCAATCATAGCGATCTGCGAGCCCATCCAGTCGACCAAGATTCCGTCAGGGAACTCAATGTACGCATCAGCCGGCGCATCGGTGAGCAGCGAACCCTTGAGCGATACGTCGAAGCCCGTGTTGACGAGGTTGGTCGCATTGGCTTGAGTGAAGAAGAGCGTAGCCTCGTTGACGATGATCTGAATGAGCGGGGCAGCAGCAGGACCAACAAGGTAGAGCGCTGTGTTGTCCGTGTCGGTGGGGACGGGCTGCTGAATGAAGTTGAGGTCAGTCTGATAATCGTCAAGCTTTAGCGTCGACTCGATGGGAATCGACGTCTGCAGTCCCTTGAGCAAGTTCAAGATGGCACCCAAGATGTCGAACTGCCTGCCAGAGTTGCACGGAGGCGGGGTGTCGTAAGGGTACGGCGAGATCGTCGTCCTCGTGTCGGGCAAGTCGAGAACCCTCTGAAGGAACGGAGGGAAGGGGCCCAGGCTCGTGCCCGTGTTCTTGGCTGCGGTAAAGATGAAGCGAATCAAGTTCTTCGGGTCGATGTTGAGGTTGATGGGAATCTGCCTCGATGTCGTGACCTGGTGACCAGGGTTCGACAGCGGGTTGCTGGTGAAGTCTTGATCGATCGTACCCAGCGTGATCAAGCCATAGTCGGAGGGACCAAAGTAGTTGGCGAGCGCGTGCAGCCTCAAGATGTTGATGCCAGCGGTGAAGGGGTTGGCGATCATGACGGAGGCCTGAGCAACGCCAGTCTGCGCAATATCCTTGGGCACAACGAGACGGGCCTCGATGACGATGAGCTTCATCAAGGGCGGGATCTCGGCCGTGAGCCTGATGCCGGACAGGGCTTGGACGAGCGACTCGATGGGCGTCGTCTGCTGCGTACCAGCGACAATCGTGGGCGACGTGATGTTCTGAACGTAGTTCTCCAGCAGCGTCTGACCGGCGCGCACGTTCTCGGCACCCTGAGGGCTGTAGTTGATCTGCGTGGGCACAATGTTGGTTCCAGGTACCAAGACGATGTTCTTGATCAATGCCATACCGATGGGTCGGTCCTGGAACAAGACGGCGAAGCGCACGTCGCCGGCACCAATGGTAATGTCCGACGGGTTGTACAGTGCAGTGTTGACTGTGATCAGCAGGTACGTCGGGTATCCATGCACGACGTCGAGGTTCGAGACGACGGCGGGGCGAGCATTGAGGTTCTGCAGACCCAAGATGTTCGTCGGCAGATTGAATGGAATGTCTGAGATGGTGACGACACCAGCAGCTGTGCCGGCCTTGGCAGTCGCCGCACCATGCAGATTGAAAGTGACTTGGTCCCTCGCCGTCGTGTCAGCCAGGAATTGCGAGAACGTCGGGTGCGAGTTGTCGTAGACTTCGAAGGGCACGTCGTTGAAGACGAGGGTCAAAATGCGCGCCTCGACATTCGTGGTAGCTTGCGAAGCCAGCGGAATGTTGAGTACGGCGGCATCCTGTCCATTGTAGTTGGCAATGAAGGGGCCACCCGTGTTCTGAATATCGACGGGGAAAGCAAAGGGCAGGTAGAAGTTGGCCGTCGTGTTCTGCGACGACGTCGGAGGTGCCCAAGACGACTGCACCGTGAAGAAGAGCGACAGCTGGTTGATCGAGACGACTCGAATGACGTCAAATGCCTGCGCGGGCAGCGAGACGTCGACGGCGAGGACCTTGATACCGTCATTGAGCCAGGCGACATTCGAGGGGCCAGCATTTTCACCATGCACCACAATGTTGCTAGGGGTGTTGTGCACAAAGCGCGTAAAGACCTCAGAGAGGACGGCAAGGCCGGTATCGTCGTTCTGAGGAATCAAGCGACCGACGAGAGGAAGCTGCGTAACAGCCAAGGCCTGCAGCGTAAACTCATTCTGCGCCGCGGCAGGGCCAATTTGAGTGTCGTTGCGGGTGATCGAAGTGCCGAATGTTGAGAGCTGAACACCGACTTGGGCAGGGCTGTTGATCGTCGATTGAGCAGTGAGATGAATACCGCCGGCCTCGTCGTTTGATGGCAGGTCGAACGAGTTGATGATGACCATGCCTCGCAAGCCGTTGAAACCCGTGAGCTGAACGTCCTTGGAGATGGCGATGTTGGGCACCGTGATGCCGAGCGCCGCCACCGACAGACCCTCGCCGCGAATCGACCATACGAAGGAAGGTTGCGTGAGAAGGAACTTGGTGAAGTCGGTGAGGTAGGGCACACTGGGCACGCGAGCCTCGACCATGACGTTGAGAGAAGCACCCGTGTCGCCCTTGAGCTGGACGTCCGGGAAGGATGTCTGGACGAGGAGCTGGCCCTGCCAGAAGATGCTCAGACCCTGAGGGAAGGAGATCGTGGCGTCAAAGGGACCAGAGTTGGTAATGGTGCCCTGGAGCGCGACCTGGAAGCTCTCTGGCTGCGGGTTGAGAATCGTGACGCGATCGATGTTGAGGACGGCATTGTCGACAATCTTCTGCACGATGGGCGAGGCCAAAACGGGTAGCAGCTTGTTGAGCGATTCGTCCGTGCCAAGGGGAACCTCGGTCTGTGAGAACGTCAACGTCGTGTCGTACTCTCCAATCCTGGCGTCAGAGACGATTTCGAGGTTGAGCGTGGCCACTCCGAACGCCCGATCGACGTAGCTCGGCAGATTGAAGCCCGTGTACAGGTTGTCACGCTTCGTCAGCTCCATGTGCTCGATGCGCTTGGCCAGTTGCTCGTGGTCCTCGTACGGCGCGGCGCGCTTGGCAAACTCGAAGCCATCGTCCTCCTCGCTGCCATCGCTGCGAGAGTGCGGTGCCTCAGCAAGGGCGCCAGGGTTGGAGCCAACGCCAAAGAGCATCTGCGACAACTCGTCGTCCTCCTCCAGCACAAACGACTCCTCGTCCGATCCACCAGGCAGACCTCGGCGCGAAGGCGTGTTGCCGTTCGCAGCCGTCGTCGGCGTGTACGTGTAGCCGCCCAACGCGACAACGCCGTCGAGGTACCTGGGGTCTTGGCCCGACTGCACGACCAGGCCACGCAGAAGACCAAAGATGTCAGGCGGGTACAGGTTGAGGCTGAGCGGGATCGTAGGAGAGTTGGTCAAAGCCTTGCCGTTTGCGAGGAACTCGAGACGGTGATCGATGTTGGCGATGAAGATGCCCTTGGACGAGGCATTGGCGACGATGCGGTTGATCGTCAGGCCAGCCGTGAAGGGGTTTGCCAGACCAACGACGGAATTGGCGACAGAGTCGGTAATTCCCGTCGTGTCCAGCACGGTGAGATTGGCAGCATTGACGAGCTTCGTCGACAGACCGGGCAACGTCGAGTTGAGACGAATACCACTGAGCGTGACCGCCAGCGACTCGATGGCGCTTGAATCAGCAAAGCCAGAGATGTTGAGCTGAGTGTCTTGACCCGAGATGAAGCGGTTGAGCGTCTCGAGACCCTGAGGAGCACGGTTGGGGTCGAAGAAGGACGTGGCGTTTACGTCGACTCGGCCAATGGCGAGGTTGAGGTTGGGCAGCGTGACATTGCCCAGCACTACCTCGTTCTGCAGCTGGAAGATGGAGTCGCCGACGGACAAGTTCAAATTCGACGGGTTGACAACGGTAGTGCCAACGACGAGCGAGATGGCGTCGGGAGCACCACCCACGACATCCACCGAGTTGATGACGGTGGGGTACTTTCGCAGGCCAGCAAGACCACGCAGACCAGAGCCTACACCGAACTTGATGCCGTTGAGCAGCACACGACCAAGCGGCGTGTCTGTGAGCGCCTTGGCTGAGCCCATCAGCCTGAAGTCAGCGGCCTCCATGTACGTGAAGGCGTTCTGGAAAGCAATGAGTTCCTGACGCGCTGCCTGCGTGTTGTTGGGCAGGACAAGCAGCGAAGGGGGAAGCGTGATGTCAATGACACCCGTCGTCTCACCAGCGCTGATGATGTCGAGGTGCGTCGTGGAATTGGAGTAGCCGGCATTGATGTCACCGACATGGGCGCCCTGGTAGATGATGCTGATCGAGTTGGACAGCGAGACAATGTCAAGCGAGAAGCCAAAGGGCAGACCAATGCTTCCGCGCAAAGCCTGCGAGAACGTCGTAGGGTTGTACGGGTTCTGCTCCGAGTAGATGAGCGAAAGGTAGTCGATGGTGATGCCCTTGATAGGGTCGATGGGGATGGGCGTCTGCAGCGGGACGTTGACCACAAGGGCCTGGATACCCGTGCTGAGCCATCCCACCGTCTGACCATTGGCCAGCCTCGTCGAGATACCGCGCGCCTCGACGGGGACTGCCTCGCCGTTGATGTAGCCCGTGAATAGCTCTCCAAGCAAGTCAAGCTCCGTCGAGTTGTCCTGGTGGGGCACGAGCTGGCCAGCGATCAGGATACTGTTCAGTCCCTGCGTGATGTTGACATTGTTGGCCTGCACTTCGCCGAGGAACATGTCCCTGTAGTACAGGCCGAGGTTCAACGTGCCCAGCTGGATACCAAACGGTGACGGATTTCGCAGCTGCGTGAGTACCTGCGTCGTGATACCCCCTCGCGGGTCGTCACCGGGCAGCTGGAAGTCGAGAACCTTGACATCAGAGAAGCCGTTGATACCCTGGAAGACGACGTCCTTGGTGAAGACGAGGTTCTTGTATGTAGGCAAAAAGCTGAAGGCCTCGACGTGGACGTTGCCACAGCGCAATTGCCAAGTGAACTCGGGCTCAGAGACGAGGAACCTGGCAAACTCGCCGAATCCCTCCTCATCGCGGATCAGGAACGTCGTGGCCTGTGTGCGCACCAAGAGAGGGCAGAGTATTGAGTCAGTGAGAGGGAAGCGCGATCACATCTCGCCATCGCCACGCACCTGCTTGACGCGACCGTGACCTGCCGCGACACCGATGTAGTCGAGCGTCATGGAACCCAAGTGCAGCTCGCGCATATTTGGTGGCGGTGTGTTCCAGTACACCTCGACAGGCTCTCGGAAGTAAAGGTGAGCAGGGAAGATACCCGTCTTCTTGACCTGACCCTCGATCGACAAGGGGAAGGATGAGTTGCCAATGTCGGTGAGATTGGCAGCGTAGACGTGAAGCTGCGATGTGTGGAGAGCATGGTTGCCGATGGCCCACAGTACAGGGACCAAGGTAATCACGAGGGTGATGATGATGATCGGAGGGGCGAGGAAGAGACAGCAGAAGCCAAGCTTCTTGCTCAGGTACTTGTGCTCGTACGGTGTACCGCGAGCGTCTGCGGCGAGGTGGGACGGGAGGACATGGGAATGCTAATGTCAGTGAATGATGTGTTGGGAAGCCGCGCTGCATTGCAGCCTACTCACAAAGGTATCCCATGGGTCGACCAGGCTGGTACATGCCAGCTCCTGATCTGACTGAACCACCATCACTACCTGCTCCGCCACGCCGCCTTCGGACCAGGTCCGTCCTGGACCCATACGAGGCGTCGTCGGCCATGACGATGCGCGCAAGGAAGCGGTTTGTATTCGATTGAAGATGAAGGGGTGATAGATGAGGTGGATGAGAGGTGAAGAAGAGACCTTCAACTGGCCACGACGATTGTGGTGGCGGGTGGCGCGCGCGTCCCTGCTAGCGCAGCAGCGGATCTGAAGTGATCTCTGAGGCGTGGGCTTGTTCCCTTGCTGTCGTGGAGAGAAAGACAGAAGAGGATAGCGGCCCGCAAGTCGATGGTATTTGCTGTGGCGACGACGGCGGCGGCGGCAATGACTCCTGGGTGCGATGCAGCAGCGGCGGCGAGGCCCCGCAGAAGATGCGGAGCGCGGAAGAGGACAAGGACGAGGGCGAAAGGAGCAAAAGGGCCACGGAGCACCCGAAGAGTTGAAGGAGGAAGGGGGAAGCCAAGGGGTATTGAGCAGAAGGGAAAGGGACTGGTAATGAGAAAGGAGTGTAAACGCAGCGACGACGAGCGTGAGAGTCGTTTGAACAAGGCGTAGTTGGTGAGCAGCGTCAACCAGGCGCAGACGATGCAGAAGTGCGACCGCTCTCCGCCCCGCTTCACTTCACACTCTGGCTGTTCTCCCTCGTCTTGGTCTCGCAGCGCAGCGCAGCCTCTTTGCCTCACCCCGGATCGAGCGAAATTGGGCGGGGGGCTAATGGCAGCGGGCGTCTTGCCACTGCTTGCTGCGAAGAAAAAGCGGTCTCTCAGAGCTTCAACAGCGTCGTAGCAGCCTAGGCCTGCCTGTGGACCAAAAGACGTATTTGCACCGTCGATTGTCAGGCGTAGTGGCACGGCCTGGCGTTTTGCGGAGCTTCGATTTCAGATCGGAGACTGCGACGCAAAGACGACCTAGACTTCAAGGCTGCTCGAGTGCCGCCCTCTCAGAGAGATGAGGCAATGAATGCGGGGGGCGGCAGAACGGCAGCAAGACGCACCGCAAGAGGAAGACGCTTGGCCAGCGGCGGCACGCCAACAGTGGGATGCGAGGCGCCCTGTCTCTCTGCGTCTTGCTCTTGACTGCCTGCTACCACTAGCCTCCTTGCCTGAGTGGCTAGCGCTGGCTCCGCCCTCGCCTACAGGTCGAGGCAGCCGCGTGATTGGTGACGACCTGCGCCCATCTTCTACCGTGGAAGGAGCTGCAAATGCGAGAGGGACGAGCGAGCGAGCGAGCGAGGGTACGGACCCCGAAGAGCGTTACGGATCAAGGCACAGTACGAGAGGGAGAAGGGTACGAGTAATTGAACATCGTTGCGGGGTAGCGAAGAGGCGAGAATGAAGTGCAGTGCAGAGAGCGCACAGATGGGGAGGGTCGAGCGCTGAGAGTGCGCGGCACGTCACCTCATTTTGCCGCTCCGCGTAACCGTTGACGGCGGCATTGAAGGTCGTACGAGTGTGCGGGGTGGCGAATCGAAGCCTTAATCGCAATACGTAGCAAGGGCGAGGAGGTGGTGATGACGATGCTCGAAGCGGCCCATTGTTTGTTGACCTCAGCTGTCCAGCCAGGTGCACGGCTCTCAGCATGGTTTCCATCTAGGCCGCCGCCGCCGCCGGCGACGGCGGAAAGCTAAGAAGCAAGACGAGCCGGCCGTAACGCGGTATGCTTGGCGGCGTGCTTCTGGATGTCGTTGCGCAGGCGTCACCTGGCTACAAATACGTCGCATTCACCAGTACGAATCAAGGTTAGCGTTGAGATTCGCATTGTCGTGCGGCATCTGCTTGCAATGTGGTGTTGAAAGGGATCGAATGAGCGGCGGCTCTGGTATCGACGTCTCCCTTCGGGACATTTGACACGGCTTTGGGCATGCGATCTCGCACGACGATGTTGAGCAGTAGCACAGGCTCTCGATCTCTTTGATTGATGGCGAGCTCTCAAAAACTTGTGCTGAACTCGTATGGGCGGCAGTTGGTGATGCCGCGATTGAAGAGGCCACCTTCAGGCCTTCTTCCGACCCGGCCGGAAGGCGGAAGGGCGAGCAGCTGTCGAGGGCAGACGCGAAACCAACACTTCGTCGACCCGTCTCGACCTTCTATCCTGCACGCCCACGTCAACATGAGCGACTCGACAGCCATCAAGCGACAGCTGGTCATTAAGACGGGAGTAGTCAAGAGGTGCGTCATACTGGAGCTGAGCGATGTCGTCAATTTCTCACGCATCACCGCCCGCCTCCTCCTCGCCCAGACTCACCAAAGAAGAGCAAACCTACATCCGCGAAGCCCAAGAGCAGCGACAACGCATCACGAACCTCGAAGCACAACCTGACGCGGATGAGTGGAACGTCAAGCAGCAGCACAAGGTGCTGCAGGACTGCCTCCAGATGGTACCCGACTGTCGCCGTAGACTCGAGGCTGCGGTCGAGGATCTGAAGCTGTTTGCTGAGGGACTGGATGAGGAGTTGGCGGCTTCGCTCGAGGCGAAGGCTGCGCAGGAGGCATTGCAAGGGGCTGAGGCTGCAGCTAATGAGGCTGATGGGGCTGAGGCATAGACTTGCAGCAGCGATGTCAGAGATGACGAGGGAGGGCTGGGCATCTGCGACGATGCGCGCAGACAACGTCACACCTTGGCCAGACGCCAGTGCCAATGACAGCTTCACACCGAGAGGGCGATGTGCGCAAACAACACGACTCTATGAATTACGAGTCACTCCCGCGCACGCACACTGGTAGATGATGTAGATTGGCGAGGAGGGGAAGGAACGGGAGGTCACTACACTAGGCGAAGGGGAGAAAGACGTCGCCAAGGTGTCGCCGAGTAGGAGATATCGAAGGAGGAAGAGAGACTGAGAGTACAAGTTCAGAGGCTCTGCTTGCTGGTGCAGTTTGTCATGTATACAGGTTGCAAGTGTTGATCGAGACGTGGAGCGGGAGCGAGAAGAGCGAGGAATTGAGCGGCCGTGACGTGACGTTTGTGCGCGAATCGTATATGCTGTGCGATCCGTCTAGCCTTATGGAATGAGGTGCTGGATGTAGTAGTGGATGAGTGGGGGCGGGGTGGGAGCGTGACGTGGTGGCGGTTGCGCGTGGACGGGATGTGGCGGGCGAGATGCCAGAGACGGCCTTGTCCATCGAGGCTTGGTAAAGGGCCAGGTGGATTGGGTTCTGGAAGGGAGCCGTCGACTTGATGACTACGCCGCGGACGTTTTACTCAGCGCCCCTCCTTCCGGCTCTCTGCAGGTTCGGACTGGTGGATCTCTACCTCGCCGGAGCCGTAGCAGTCGAGGCGCCAGCTTGCCCGCCCTCAACGTGCTTCTCCCAAACTCCCAGCAGTTCAACGGCGGTATCGATGGCGATCTCGGTCCCATCCCTAGCAATGCGCAGACTCTTGTTCTCGTTCCAAGGGTTGCGCAAGTGCTTGACAGCCGTGAATGGCAACGAATTGGTTTGGACCCACTCAACAGAAAAGGTGTGGCCGAAAACTTCTTCTGACGAGGGGGAGGGAGAGGGACCTGAGACTGAGGCGCCCTCTGCCGCGGTGCTTGTATTTGTAGAGGGCGAGAGAGTCATGGTGGGGGTGGGAGTCGCGGTGCCAATCGATCGGCCGCCGTCTTGCTTTGCAGCAGGTGAAGTGGTTGCTTCGCTGTCTCGCACTCTTGCCTGACCCGAAGCAGCCAAATTCTCCTGCACTGCGAGCTGACGCTCCAATTGCTCAGCCTTGCGCTGGCTCTCTCGCTGGTCGATGCGGAGATTGTGAATGATGGCGCGCGTAGCAAGCTGGGTGGCCGCTCGGGCATCGCTTGAGGCTGAGTCACCTGGCGTGAGCGACGAGGAGTACGAGACAGATGTTGCGGCACTGCTGTCCATCGCAGCTGAAGGCTGTCCATTCGCCATCATGTCCCTTCTCATGACACCGTCGTCGGTCAAGGCTTTCTTGCCAGTCTGAAGGCCCGTAGCTGTGCCAGGCAGCAATTCTGCCTTTTGTGCTTCCTCATTGGGCGTCAAAGCCTGAGGTGAGGTGACGAGAGTAGGTCCGCTAGGCGCGTCTTGCTCGCTGGCGGCGACAGCTTCAGTCTCTTGCGACCGATTGGCCTTCGCCTCCCGGCCCGGGATAGGCCCAGCCATTCTTGCGTACCCAAAGAAGGCCCCACTCCCATTGGCCGAGAAGACTAGGATCACTCTGTCGCTGTTCCTGAAAGCCTGCGCCAATACAGCCTCATTGTGGGGTTGCGTTGCCCATGTGCGCGTCTCTACGGAGCGGTCCAGCTCCTCGATTGTGCGACTCTTGAGGATGAAGTAGCGAGTGCGAAAGGCCGGGTGGCCGAGGAGGCCTGAATTGGTGCTCGTGTATGACACCTCTGCGCTCGAGCTGCCGATGGAGCTTGACCCGACTGAGGCGAGAGTGTTGGGCGAAGAGAGTGAAGCGACTGCTTCCCCGCGGAGGTTGGAGGTGTCGCTGAGTGACAGGCCCGCTACGTCGAGACAGTCCGTCTGTGCTTTGTTGTTGGTCGAGGGGCTTGCGCTGGCGCCTTGTGCAATTGGACCTTCTCCTTCGCCGCGCGACTGGCCGAGCTTCTCACTCTCGCGACGGCGGTACTCCTTGAGGAAAGCGACGTGAAGCCCTTTGCCCCTTTGACCTCCTACGCCAGCCTGCACCTCGTCGCTCTTCTTCCTGATGCGGCAGACGAGCTTCGGGCAACGAGGGTCCTGAGGACGAAGCGGGTGGCCATTAAAGAAGAGTACGGCCCTGTCGAGGCGGGAAGGCGTGGAGTAGTTGACGAAAGCGCAGTTGGAGCGAGCAATGATGAAAATCGAGACGATGCCATGAGGAGCAGCTTCGTTGAGGCTGGGTTCGTCATCGTCTTGTGCGTCGGCTGGAAGCTGAGAGAAGAAGGCGCGCAATTCGGCTTGAGACGCATTTGCGGGAACATTGCCCACCCACATGACATGCTCTGATCGCAGCCCGACCGGAGGCTTGCCGTAGCTCGAATCCACTGAGCCAGCCTCCGTCGGAGAAGTAGCGAGAGCACCTTCTGCCGGCTCTCCGGTGCTTCTCGTGTCTTGACGGAGAGGTGCGCGGGACGCTCTGCCTTGCGAGCCTGAACCGCGGTAGCCAACTCGTGAGGACGGAGAGGACGCGGCCAGTGCTGGGGCTGGACCTCGTGGCGGGGCGTAGCCCATCGGCTGCTGACGTGGGTAATGCTGTTGGGCCCATGTGCCAGGCGAAGAGGCCGGCACAGCAAACTGCGGAGATGCGGCTACCGATTCGTGGTAGCCCATGGCGGCAAGTTGTGCATATTCCGGACTGCTTGCGGAGACATAAGGCTGAGGTGGCATGGGTCCAGGAGTGGTTGGGGAAGGATAAAAGCCGGCCACGCTAGTGTAGGGCTGCAGAGAGGGGTGCGAGAAGAGGTAAAGTCAACTCTTGCTCCTTGTATGCTGCTGTGGATCTGCTCACCGAGTAAGCGTAGGTAGGAGGCCACTGTGCGGAACTGGCAGAGTCAGTCCTTCCTGGTCCTCCAAATGACTCGTAAGCAGGCTGCTGATGCATCCCGGACTGTGGTGGAGATGAGGCGTAGCCCTGCGGCGGCGGCTGTTGCTGCTGATAGTGTTGCTGCGGCATCCCGGCACCGCTGGCTGCCGAGACCGACAAAGCCCCCTGTGCTCCTGCCCCTCCTGCGACCGCTCCTCCCGAGCCTGCGCTGGACCCGTATGCAAACGCTGCTTCTGGGTGCATAGCAGGCCCGTAGCCGGCGGTGGCACCGGAGAGATCAGCTGCATATTGCATCCCTCTCCCACCTCCCTGATAAGCCTGGTAAGCTTGCTGCTGAGGCGGAGGCAATTGCGTCGAATCCGATCGGTAGAGATGTTGATGCTGGCTCGGAGGAGGAGGGGCCGGTATGCCGGCTTGGCCCGACATGAAGGCAGGCTGCGGCTGCTGCTGCTGTGGGTAGCGGTATGGATCGGCCAGGCTGTATGCTTCTGCCGTCGTAGCTGCGGCGCCAAAGCTGGACATGCTGCCCGCGTGGTGGAAGGAAGAAGACGACGGAGAATGGGATGCACGAAGAGTCGGCGGTGACGATGGCGTAGCAGACAAGGGCGAGATCATCGTGTCTTGGGATGCTTCACTGACGTGAGCCGGTTGAGATCCCGCACGCTGCTCGCGCTGATCCGCTGAGCTGTTGCTGGGCGCTGTATCTGGCATCATCTGTCGTGTTTTCGTTGGCTGACGGCGCTGCCATGGGCTTTGGTGTGTGCTGCTTTGAGGCTGAGAAGATGCTACAGGTGGTGTCGATGAGGAGGGAGAAGAGCAATGGAGGCGTGAGTAGGTTGCTAGAGGGAGGAGCAAATGGGAGACGAGGACGAGGACGACAATGATCCGCTCCGCGGCAACATGCTAGCCGCAATCCAAATGTGATGAGGCGGTAGAGGGCAAGGGCCAGGCCTTCTCGCGACGCGGGACGAATTGAGTCGCCTCATTCCCGCAGTAGCGGCAGCCCACTTTTACGCCCGTGCCTACATATATCAATGACCCGCCGCTTAGGGTCCTCGATTGGGCGCGGGTGATCGGTAGCACCGGTAGCGCGGCGCTCACACCTGACACTCACCTTCGTGTTTGGCTGGCGCTGCGATTTCGACGGCTGCGCTTCCTTCGAAACTCGAGTCTTGGGGTACGTCGGGCTGTGTCGCAGCAATGAATTGCGCAGCTGCAAAGGTGCCGCTGGGTGACGAGGATCGTGAGGCTGGTAGGGACTGATGAAGCCGGCCTTGAGTCTGTGCGGGCTGGCCTGCGTCTGGTGACATGCTGGCGTGGCTTGATGTCCGCGGCCACAAAGAGTCTCTCTCTCAATTGCCTTGTTCTCAGCAATGTGAAGTAATGAAGCAGCTGAGAACAGACCAGTAGAGCAACGCCGTCTCTCTCCTCGATGCCAGTCTATTGTTCTGCCAACTCGTCAACTACGACCCTTCCTTTTCTTCCCTTCCCTCCCCACTGTAATGACTGACGGTGGCGTAATAGCCGGTGAGCCGTGTTGGCGATGAGAGACAAGAGTTGTGATGGAGTAGCAGCGGTGCTACAGGGATTGCAAGGCCTTGATAGCAAGTGGCTGACCTCTCTTCAGTGCTTCGCCAGACTGAGGTGTGAGGAGGATGAGAATGAGACAGGAAGATGACGCTGGTTTGCCACTGCTTCGAGATAGCGACGAGGCGACCAAGCGTCGTCACGAAGAGGCGATGATTGGGCTTCGAGCGATGAGAAGTCGGAGGCGGAGGCTTGAGGTGAAGAGACGTTTGAAGGCTCGGAAAAGCTTTCCCTCGACTCGCACCTGCTCTTCTTGACGGCAGTCCGCCGGAGACTGCGTAAATCGGAGGGGAGCGTGCGTGGACGGGAGTCGGCTCGGCTCTCCCTCGCTCCCTCGCTGGTCCCCAGATCGTCCCGATGCTCACAGACGTCAAGGACGAAGAGGGCGAGGAACTTGACGAGTTGTTTGCTGAGCTTCACCGCGATGCGTGAGTTTTGGTGATGGAGCAAGGATCGTGAGGACAGCCATCTAATCGTTCACTCAGCAAAGATTGTCAATTGGCAGCAGGGTCTGTCTCTCGCGCAGCGGGGCTGAACTACGACTCGACTCCGCTTCGTCTGCGTCTGGCGAAGTCAGGTCAACGCAGCCAGCGTTGTGGTAGCCGCCAACTCTCGCAGCATTCCCGCAGTCATTTCTCACATTCATCGACGAGCCTGATCGAGGAGGACGTCCGCGACGTGTTGCGCAACGACGAAGCCCGCGCATCCGGCCTACCTTCGATGCTGCCTTTGCTCGTCAGCTCCAGTGAAGCTACCACCGCCAAGGCCGGATTAGTGGTGCATAGAGAGCAGCACGGAGGTATCTTCACTTGATGAGGCAGGCAGGCAGGCGAGCAAGCAGGTAGGCAGGCAGGCATCCATCCACATCGACAAGGCAAGGGCGGCTGCGTTGGAAGCCTTCAGCGGCTGGATATATCGAGAAGAGTATCATGGGGAGCACAGAGATCAGGGCGTAAAAGGTAAGGGACCTGATGCCACTACTCTACTCTAGAGCAGCGACTTGACAGCCTCTCCATCGTAAGGGCAAACATCACCCGCATCCTTGGCCACCTTGACCCACCTGACCTTGCCCTCCCTGTCGACGGCGAATCCACCCGAGTTCTGCCATCTCCACGAACCTGCGCCCGTCGTGGTATTTACGATGCCCTCATTGTTCTTGAGGTCTGTCAGCTCCTTGAGCGTCGAGCGTGAGAAGAGGCCTCCCCAACCAAGGGTGCCCACGCCAAAGGACGAGTAGAGAGTGCGTTGCGGGTCCGCGATTAGGATGGCATGGGGCAGGGAGGTGGCGCCACTGCGAGTGGTGCTCGAGGGGGTCAGCGATGTCTGTGAGACAGCTCACTCGGGCTCTTGCTCGCAGACTTACCCAATTCTCTCCCACCACTTCTTCGTCTCCTCCTCATCGCTATGCTGCACGACGACGATTTGCACCTCTCCTTGCCCGCCATACTGCTTGTCGACTTGGCCGAGCAGCTTGATCTCCTTCTCTGCAAAGGGACAACCGCAATGACGCACAAAGGCGACGAGCGTGCCCTTGCTGGGAGTGGCAAAGTTGATGTCTTGACCGCTGGAGCCGCCTTGGACGATCTTGATGTCCGACGAGGACGGGAAGGCGGGCGCTGCTTCGCCCACGGATGGAAGGGAAGCCGTCTGAGGAGAGGAGCGTGGCAGTAGAGACTGGATGTCGTGAGGCAGGTAGGAGGTCATCGTGGCCGAACTTGATTTGAAGTGAGGAAAGGAGGGCCGAGGGAGCAGAAGGAGGTACAACAGTAGGTAGGTTGGTAGGAGAATTTGAATGTGGAGGCCGACCAGCACGAGCGGAGCATTTCATCCCAGCCTCCGAACCCCGCCTGCGAGCTCTACCATACGTGTTCCTCCTTTATTGAAGCAGATGAGGCCGCATCGACTCGATAGTCACACAGAGGGAGATCGAATTGATCGTCTTTCGCCGAGCGCCAGTAGCCAATTGTCGTGAGCTTGCTCTCTGTGGCGCTGACTGCAGACGAGCAACCCCTTCCGCAGCTAGAAGCAGTCGCAGTTGGCATAGCGATATAAAACTTAAGAACAATGAGAGCCCTTGCTCCACCAGCAGGCGATGAACGCATCGCTGTCATTGCCTGCACCAAAAGTGAAGACAGCTTTGCCGTCGAGTGATGATCTTGAACTCATGTGCTGAATGGCGAGGGCCCGTGCAGGGCCTCTCAGTCCGGTCAACGGGAGGAGCGCCGAGTCCTTCGTCTTCTCGTTGCTCCTCATCGTGCAGCCGTCGGTCAACTTCATATCTGCTGTCTCCTCTTCAGCGCTGACGAGGGAGCGCAGCTGCCCAGCATGGCAGATGACGTTGTCTCCTCAAGCGACTCCTCACCTCAATCCTCTCGCCTCGTTCTGGAAGCTAAGAAGCATGCCTCGTTCTTCCTCCGTCACCTCCGCCTCCTTCCACGCCCGTACACCTCAGCAGATACACAGCGAATGACCATGGCCTTCTTCTGCCTATCTGCGCTCGATCTACTTGGCGTTGTGGAGGACAAGATTATATCAGAAGAGCGCGAGGGGTATAGAGAATGGATCTGGAGGTTGCAGGCTGGTGAGTACGTGGGCTGCGATACGATGAATGGCATTGGTCGCTGACGATGCGCATATGCTTGCGCGATGTAGACTCTGGTGGCTTTGTTGGATCGCCGGCGATATCTCGAGGAGAGAAGGGCAATCTCGCAATGACATATACCGCACTGCTCAACTTAGGCATCTTGAGGGACGACTTTGCGCGGTTGGACAGGGAGGGAATCAAGGCTCTCCTGAGGGAAACGCAGCAGCTCGATGGCAGGTGAGCCCCTCTCCCCGCTCAAAGGCCATGGCCACACCTGCTCATCCTACTTCCCTCCTTTGACTGCCAGCTTCGCCTCATGTCCTGGCTCACTCGAGCGTGATCCACGCTTCGTCTACTGCGCCTTTGCCATCTGTACGATGGTCGACGATTGGTCAGGTGTCGATGTAGATCGAGCACTCGACTACCTCGACTCGTGTCGCTCCTACGATGGAGTTTTTGCGCAAGGAGCAAGACAGGAATCTCACGGTGAGTGAGCAAGAGGTCGCAGCGACGCATAGCAGCTCACACGTGCCGTACTCGCAGGCGGATCGACTTATTGCGCCGTCGCCGCCTACTCAATGGCGGGTGCACTGAAAGCCCGCTTCTCGCAGCGCGATCGAAGGCAACTTGCCTCCTGGCTCATGGCGAGGCAGAGCGAGGAAGGGACGGGTGAAGGCGGTGGCTTCAATGGAAGGATCAACAAGCCCCAGGATAGCTGCTACTCCTTCTGGTGTGGGGCTGCGCTGGCCGTGAGTAATCTAGTGGTCGCCCCGGACCATCCGATATCATCCATTGATCCTCCTGCTCGCATTCGCAGATCCTCTCTCGCCACGACCTGATCGACCGCAAGAGCAACGTCGTCCACCTTCTCTCCCTGCAGACGGCCGTGGGGGGCATACCCAAGACAGAAGATGACCATCCGGACGCCATGCATTCGTACCTTTCCCTCGCTGCCCTTGCCATCCATAGAGAAGGCCAAGACGAAGGAGAGGATGGCAGAGATGACTGGCGCACCCGCTGCGGGTTGAGGGATGGGCTGGCGCAGGACCTCGACCCATGCCTCAATGTCGGGACAGAGACGGTCAAGTGGATCCGCAGTTGCTTATCAAGATAGCGCGGTGCTGTCTTCACTGTAGTATAGCCAATAGCATAGCATCGAATAACTTTGACGTCTTCATCACACCACCATCATCTGCGTATCTCTTTCAACGGTGGCGTGGATGTGAGCCTTCCTCTGCTTCGGCCGCTGTCGGGTCGGCACACCTGTCCTTTCACAGCCCGCCCGACGCACTATCATAAGCAGGGGGGCAGAGCGGGCGGGCGGGCGGGCGCGACGCATTTGCTGAAACGGCCACTCCCGTTTCTTGTGTTTCGCGCCGGCTCACCGACGAAGACCGGAAGTAGGGTGTGCGGGCGTCTAGGCGGGCGTTGAGGCGGTCAAGCGGCTGATGATTATCGTGAGCCTCACTGGACGACGGCTCAACTTGAGCCGTTAGACTGCGAGGTTCGTCGTGGCAATGCCATCTGCCACGAGTTGCTATCTTTTCTCCCTCTTTCCAATCAAATAGATCTTCCCCCGCATTTACCCCATCGAGCGATCTTGCCTCCTTACCAAGCACCACCGATAGACGAGGTCAAACACTAGACAGCATCAGTATCACCACTACCCTACCGCCACCAGCACCTTTCAGCTATCAGTATGGCCGCGCAACCCACGCAGCTCACGGGTGACTTCGATGCCGTGCGTCGCGACATCGAAGCCATCCTCAAGATGAAGGATTATGATGACGGGTCGATCGGACCAGTGTGAGTTGCTCCGAGCTCGAGCCCGCCATCCCATCACCTTTGTCCAACTCACATCCGTCCCCTCCCCCGCACACGCAGCCTTGTCCGCCTAGCCTGGCACGCATCAGGCACCTACGACGCCAAGACGAACACGGGTGGCTCAGTAGGCGCAGGCATGCGCTACGAAGCAGAGGGCGGTGATCCGGCCAATGCTGGTCTGCAGCACGCCCGCATCTTCCTCGAGCCCATCAAGGAGAAGCACCCATGGATCACCTACTCGGACCTCTGGACCCTTGGTGGCGTTGTAGCCATCAAGGCAATGGGTGGACCTTTGATTCCGTGGAAGCCGGGAAGGTCGGACTTCTCGGATGACTCGTACATCCCTCCCAGGGGAAGATTGCCGGATGGAGCGCAGGCTGCGGACCATTTGAGGCACGTCTTCTACAGGATGGGCTTCAACGATCAGGAGATTGTCGCCTTGAGCGGGGCGCATAACCTTGGCAGGTGCCATCCTGACAGGTCAGGCTTCAAGGGCCCTTGGGTGTGAGTACGAGCTGCGGCGGATGCTAGCCTTCTTGACGTCCAGCTACTGATCCACCCTCTTGCTGCCTCCCGCCCGCACACAGCGTCTCGCCGATCCGCTTCTCGAACCAATACTACAAGCTGCTTCTCAAGCTGAACTGGAAGAAGAAGGATCTTCCGCGAGACTCAGCAGACAAGGGCGCCTCATGGCAGTGGGTCGCCACACCTCCCGGCGGCGACGACGAGGACGAGGAGCTCATGATGCTGCCTACGGATCACTCCCTCATCGAGGACCCATCGTTCCGCGAGTGGGTCGAGAAGTACGCAGAAGATGCCAAGCTCTTCCACGAGCACTTCTCTGCCGTCTTTGCCAAGCTGATCGAGTTGGGTGTCTACAGAGATGAGGACGGGATCGCGCGATTCCACCACTTGGAGAAGGCGGCTAAGGATGCGAAGCAGGGTGGATACGACTCGGCGCCCAAGAAGTCGGACAGGCCAGGTGCTCCTGGACAGGTTGGCGATGGTGTCGCGAGTGGCGCGGCCAAGGAGAATGAGAAGGGCGTCATGCACGCTAAGGCCAAGCTCTAAGCGGTACGAGGATGATGATGGAGAGGGGAAAGAAGAGGAGGAGGATCAAGAGGAATAGCAAGTCGCCGACTGCACTACGAGTCGACTTCTCAATAGGACTCGGAGCTCGACTGCCGAGGGCTTCTTGGCTTGTTTGCCTCCCCTCGGCTCGTGCCGCCCTCCTTCCCTCGCATCGCTCTCCATCTCGACGTCCCCACCTTTCTCCCATTTGTCACATGACCTAGCCTCTCGTCTCTAGCGGCACTTTTCCAGCCTCTCGATTGCACACACAGTTTTATTTGTCTCGCGATTCCAGGTCGATATTATTCTCGTCTCATAGAACCCTTTCAATCATAGAGCTCGTCTCAGAATTGAAATGGATGACGATCTCCTTTAGGAGTGAAGATTGAAAGCAAACTGCTCGCGCACATCTTGGCGCGGGGCCCCGCCGTGTCCCTCCCCGCACGCTCGAGATTGGGGGCTGCTCGCGATGCAATCTGTCCAGTCACTCGTCGAAGCAGCAAGGTGATCTCGTGGAGCTGCTTGAGCGCTGAATGCCGATCTCAGTCTTCTACCACAGCTGAAGGGAGAGGAATTGGATCATCGTATTATCATTCGAGGAGAATAGTGTTTGTGAGGGCTAGTCAAAGGCGGAATACCACGTCAGCACGGCTGTATCTGGTCTTGTATGAAGTGCATCACGCTTCGACGCCAATCTCAAGCGTCTCTGCATCGTATGAAACGCTCGCAGCCCTGAAGAGAGGCCAGCCAAGGATAGACTCCCCCTCCGGGCTACCCCTAAGCGCAGCGGTGCACCTTCCCGTCTTGCTGTCCTTGAATACGCCACTAGTGCCCGGCACCTTGACCACCCCTCCCCCGAAGCTGATCTCCATGGGAAAGCCACGAGCACAGTCTACTTCTGCCTCGAGCACGTTGCTGCCCCGCCAAGGCACGGTACGTGTCTTGAGGTTGGCTTGCTGGAAGAATTGCTCGGCGACCTTGAGCGGCACGTACACAAAGGGGCTACCCGTGTCGACGGTGGCGATAGGGATGGCCATCCCGTTCAGCTTGACGCCCGCAGCAGCCCATTGATCACTGTACGCCGTCCTGATCTTGAAGCCAGCCGGCTTGCGACCGATCGTGACGAACCCACCCGAGCTGAGACCAGGAGCGAGGCGGACAGTCATGACCTGTCTGCCACTGGGGAGGGAGCCTGCAAAGCCTTTCAAGACCTTGTTGACCCTGGTGCTGTATCCTGCCGGATTGGAGTCGGCCGTGAAGCCCACTACCCCATCGGCGCCGAACTGAGCGATGCTTCCACCGTTGAGCGAAGGGACGGGCGCGGAGGAGGAACCGACGGCCACGTTGTTGGCCGTGGCGCCGCCAAGGCTGACCGAGTCGAGAAAGATGGTGTCGGTCACAACGGAGCCGTCTTGCTGCTTGACAGTGTCCTTGAACTTGGTGGGGCGGCCGCCTGCGTAGCGAGCTTCAGGGGTGAAGACGGTCTGAGGATAGCCTGGGTGGACGGGACAAGATTGAGATCAGCTGAGCTGGCTCATGCAGAAAAATACCTTGCCCGCTACTCACTGGGTACGATCAACATGACATGCTCCCTGTTGCCGACCCTGACGCGAGCCGTAGGCGCAAACAAGGCGGCATCGGCGTCGAGATTGTCTCGCTTCTCGACGTTCTCGGAGCCATCACCGTGACCGACGTCGAAGCGGGGCAGAGTGATGGGCATTGCTTCAGCGCGCACCTCTTCGTCTTCGGAGCGGGCTTCAGCGACGAGAGGCGTAGCGGCAGCCATAGGTGCTCCTCGACTGCTGAGCTCACCGCGACTGGTCAGCTCGCGAGCTTGAAAGGCGGGCGTAGCGGCGGCCTGAGGAGATCCACGGGTGCTGAGATCACGAGCCGTCACGGCTCGAGAGCTGAGCTCGCCCCTGCTGCTCAGATCGCGGACGTGGTAGGCAGGAGTGGGGACGGCAGGGGCGCCTCTAGTGCTCAACTCGCCCCTCATGGTCAGCTCGCCCCGAGCAGTCACTTCGGCCCTGCTGCTAAGCTCGGCCCGGGCAGTCACTTCGGCCCTGCTCGTGAGCTCACGTCCGGCGTACAGGTGAGCTCCATCAACTGAGGGTGCAGTGGACCCCATGAAGAGGGCGAAGGCAAGAATGAGAAACTTGGAGGTGAGCATCGTAGTGGTGGACCTAGGTGGTGTGTGTTGGGGGCTCCGGGGATTGGGATGGAAGGGCGAGGGAAGAGCGAAAGGTGAGGGCCCAGCATTATAAGGACCTTCAGATGAATGCTCTGGGCGACGAGGTCGAGGGCAGGGGTAGAGGGCGGATGAGAATACCGAACGACGAGGAAGGAATGGGGACGGTATTGGGGGCCGCCATCGGATTGAGAATGACGGCTTCACAGACTCGTGGGCTTAGGCTGACACGGCTCTGCACGGGCCGTACCGTCGAAGAGGGGCTGAAGGCACGCGGGGCGCGCGGATGGTATCGAGTACGAGGAGGCGTACCGTCGTCGGTCAGAAATGGCCTCGGCCGGTCATTGTGTCATTCTCATGCCGCTTCAAGCCCTTTACCTCCAAGACCAAGCCTCCTCATCCCACCCCTCAACCAGTGCCTTGTCCTCCTTGTACACACGCCCGAAGTTGGAAAATCCGTCCCGGAGAACGAGAATCGTCTGCCCGCCATTCTCGCTGCGTCGTGCTGTCGGGCGAGGGCCGCCTGTCTCTTCGTCCTCGGGTTGGAGAAGGGCACGGCCCCCTTGTCCCTCATCTTCGCCCGTCGTTGTGGCAGGCGAAAGGGGCTTGATGACTCCTGCATCCAGAGCAGCTCGGCGAGTCTCTGAGTAGATGCGCGCTGATTTGGGACCTCGTTGTTGCGAGAGGGAGCAGTGGAAGATGACAGTGGGGACTGCGAGCGTAGAGAGGTGAAGCGGGTGAGCGAGCTGGACGTGTGCGCCCTTCGGGAGCGAGCGAGAGAGGCATTCACCATCCTTGAGCTCTTTCTCGACAAGTTGGTGCACCTTCTGATCGAAGGTCGTGCTGGGTACGTTCAAGGCGCCGACGATGTTGCCACCTTCGAAGTCATCATCTCGCACATCGATGATGGCAATGTCTCGGCGCTTAGTGGGCGTGACAGCTGCCGACGAGGAAGAGGCTGCGCCATTCTTGAGGGCTGATGCCAGCGCTGAAGCGGTCACATATCGGTATGGAGGAACAAATGACATGCTGAGCCGGGCAAGGGAGCCACTATTGGAACGTCTTTTGGATGCGATTTGGACGGAAGAAAGGAACAAAAAGACGCAGCTGCTCCACTTCTCGCCCTGTCCGCTCTCCACGTGAAGACGGTCGACGCGATCTGGCGTCGCAGGGAGAGCAACACTTCGCTTGGCTCTGGGCGGCGGCGGCAGCGGCGTGAAGCGGCGCCCCGCTGCCTTGGTCGAGTGAACTTCTCGCTCGTCATTCGTTGATCCCCGCTCTCGACCCTTCTTCTTCCGTATCATCCATCACGATCCTCAGTCAGCTCGCCGATGATGATGGCGTCACCAACACGTCGGCCAGAGGGAAAGGCAGAGAGGCGGGCATCGCCATCGAGAAATCGCTCTGCCTCGACTGGGTCTGTGTTGAAGCCCTCGTCTTTGCACAACCAAACTACGGGCAGCGATGCAGCGAGACCCTCTTCCAGCGGCAGGTCATCACCACTCAAGGCATTCCGAAAGGCCAACAAGTCGGCCTCTCGACCCGATGTTGGGCTTTCTGCTCCAAAGTCAAAGGCGCAGATTGATGGGGAATTCGAGGACCTGCTGGTGAGGCGCAGCTCTACTGATTGCATACATCCTGCGAGACGTCAGCTGACACTGTCTCTTAACCTCTCGACCCTTCGCAGACACGCCTCGAGGTATCCAAGAATATTCGCTCCAAGCTCGTCGCTCTCGCCACACCTGTCAAGGAGGACTTCCTGCGCCGAGAGTCAGACTTGACCGCCTCGTCTTTCGGATCCTTCGGAGGTAGTGGTGGCAGCAGCAGCAGCGCAGTCCCATCTTCGACATCATCGTCTTCGCCGCAGAAGAGTCGCATGCCATCTACTAGCAGCACTGATAATCTCTGTCCACCAGACAGACGAGCACTCTTCGGCGGCGGACCCCGATCAAGGAGCTCGACCTCGTTGGACTACGGCGCCGAGTCCGCTTCAGCAAGTCGAAGCGCCAGTGGCCAGAGCAGCCATTCTAGCGCCTCGTCCTCGTCTTCTCCGGGCAAGAAGCAGAGGACTAAGCAAGGTAGTGCGAGTAGTCCTACACTCCCCTCTGGCAGCGACATCTTCAATGGGGGCGGTGAGCGTACCCCTCGCGCCCGCACGAAGTCTGGCGCAGGCAGCGCTCTCCGCAGCCTCTCCCCGTCGCGAGCTGCTGCTTCGTCCAATCTCGCCCCCGCCAATTCTGCGACTCATCACGCACGACACCTCCTCTCCGTCTCCTCCCGCAAGCTAGACATAGACGCACTCAAGCAGCTTCGCGTGCTGCTGAGCTCCGAGTCTCCCACATGGCTGGGCGACTTCCTCTTCACAAATCGCGGCTACGAGGGCCTGCTGAAGCGCATCGGCGAACTAGTGGAGATGGAGTGGCGAGAGGACATCCACGATGATAAGGCGCTGCATGAGCTCTTGAGGGGCATGACAGCGCTTGCTGCTACAGATCGCGGTCTAGTTGCGCTCTCAAGCTTGCTGTTCAGGCCCTATGTACCTCAACTGCCAGCTGGTGGGACATGGGGTGCAGGACCTGCGGGATCATTGCCGGAGACGGCACCTGCCTCATTCATCGGTAAGGAGGATACACCGCCCGAGCTGCCTGTGGGGTGGGAGCTTCATCCGCCTTTCGGACCTCTCGTCGCCTTGCTCCTCTCGGAAAAGAAGCCAGGAGAGCTCAAAACGCGCAAACTGCTCATTGACGTGCTTGGTAGCCTCCTGAATTTACGTTTCCCGCCAGGGCTGGGAGAAGCAGCCGGCGACTGCCTTCGTGACATTCGCGAGAAGCGCGAAACTTCGCCCTGCTATCAAGCTTTGAGTAGCTCCAGTAGCAAGACGACCCCTTTGCATCTGCTGCTCCTGCTACTACACAACCCTCTGCAGGCACGCTCCCTCTCTCTCCTTCCCTTCATCTCCATGTCACACCAATCACGTCCCTTCAAGGCCTACCTCGGGGAGCTACTCTCCGTCATCCGCGACTACTTCTGGGTCTTTTGTCACTCGGACAACAAGTTCTGGGATCACCACGCGCTCGGTGAGAAGGGAAGAGAAGAGCGCGGCGGGCCTAGCGTGCCCGGTGGGATGACGGATGGTGTCGAGTGGGAGGCTATGCATTACCTCACTGCGAACTTGAAACTGCTCAATCGCATTTCCGGGAGCCTAAAGCAGGCGGACGCGGAGGCGGCCAGGCTCTTTCATGAGGGTCTGTTCGACTCGGGGATGGAACGACTTCTTCAAACTCTCAGGAGGGCATCTACCCGCTACTATCCTCTCACGCATCTCGCGATGGCCGAATACCTGACTCTTGCGGCTGAGAGTAGGTACAAGCTGCCGACGAGCGTGATTATGAGGAGCGAGGGTGGAGCACTTCGAGTTAATTTCGAGCTGCCTTCAATCCCGATGAGGAGCAGCTCGCCTGTCAGACCGGTGTCGCCCGTGAGGCAGGCGTCTCCGACGCGTCAGCAGCAGCAGCAGCAGCAGCAGCAGCAGCAGCAGCAACAGCAACAACGGCCGACTGAGCAGCGCTCTTCTCCTCCCACTATGGCCGCAGCGCTAGCATCGTCGCAAGCAAGGACGGCCCCTCCAACCTCCATCTCTCCCACTCGCAGCCCAGCAATCCGCCGCTCCCCTTCTCCCTCTCGAAAGACCCGAGGGGAGCAGCTCGCTTTCGCTCATTCTCCAATTCGCGCCGCAATAGCTTGCAACACGCCTCTCTCACCGCCTGGTAATGACTGGCTTCCTCCCAGCACCTCCTCCGGCTCAGGCTCGGCATCAACGTCGGCGGCAGAGGACATGGCGGCTGCCAATGCCTTCCTAACCACGAGCACGAGTGACGAGGCCTTCTTCAGCCAGCCTTTGCCTGCTCCTCCCGTCGGCACAAGTAGTGCGGATGTATATGCCAAGCAACAGAGCGGCAGACAGTCACCCTCCAAGACTTGTGCGGCTACGCCTCGATCTCCTGCGTCAGCGTCAGCGTCAACACCGGCTTCGGCATCGACAGGCACTCTCGACACTCTCGCCAGCCTGGAGCTCGGCGCTCCTCTTCCTACGGCACGAGCGGCTGCGGCCTTCTCGTTGGACCCTTCAAGCGGCTCGGGTTCTGGCAATGGCTTCTTCCATCGTGCTCCGCCTGGCGGGATGGTCCCTGCGATGGGGACTGCCAAGGATCGCATCCGTCTGTGGGAAGGCAGGGCGACTGCTGCTGTCAGTGGCAGTGGCCATGGGAGTGGAGCTGGTCGATAGGCTCCAGTGCTGGCTAGGTACGGACGTTTGATGGCTCCTTGTATCGACCTACATCTCGTTTTCGCATATCGTCTCTTCTCGCACCGTCTTCTCGTACCGCCTTGTTCCTCTCCTCGCATCCAGCTTTCATCTCTGTACTCACCTCGTCGTACTCTGCTTAGGTGTAGCCACGTGCTCCCAGCGGACCATTCCGTTCATCCTATCCTCGTCATCTCGTTGCATCGCCACGGTTGTGGAATCCGAGCTCACAGGCAGCTGTCGCGCTCGAGAGGCTTCATGAGAGCTAACCCTCGCAGCTCTCACATCTCAGGCCGAGGCGAGGCGACCGAGGCGAGGCGAGGCGACAATGATGGGTCAAGGCTGCACCCGCGTCGTTCCAAGCCATTATGATCGCTTCATCACTAGTTCAGCCCCGGAAGACCGAGCGATGATCGGAGCCCTGCTGCTGCTCCTCACGCTCCTCATTCTTCTCGCGCTACGACGTTGCGCCTACGCACGCGCCGCCCTTGCCTGCCCCTCTGGAGCCGTTTTTCCGTCTCCGCCTCTGTGTGCCTCGTCCTCTCCGCTCCCGCCTCCGCCGCCGTCGACGCCCACAATTCGGCGACTCCAGCTCAGCCCAGTCAGTCGGGCTTGAGCAAGTCGCCTCGGCTGCATCAATCGCACTTCGCAGCGCCTGCTCTCCTCTGCCTTGCCTTGCCGCGCAGGGCAAGCTTAGCCTACCCACACAGCAGCGCACCAGTGAGGCAGCAGCCTTATGTGTCTCAGCCGACGCCCAAGGAGCGAGACCTGAGAGACCTGAATTGAGAGTCATCGCGAGACTCGAGGGGGTCGCGCTCGCACACTCGCGCCCACGCCCACGACGACGGCGGCGGCGGCGGCGAGCTGCGAGCAGATCAGGACGACGCTGGCCTTTCCGCATCATCGCATCGACGCATCCTCGCCTTCCTTTCCTACTCATCGTCCGTCTTTCTCCTTCATCTCCCCAGCCATTCCTCACCTCACTCTCGCATCGCCGCCTTATCACGGCCTCTGTGCCTGACTGATCAACCTACTCTTCGCATCACATTCTCTCTCAGCCAGCCGCCCTGCCTCCTCCCCGCACTTCCGCCGCCTATTGCCCTCGTTCCTCTCTTGGCTGGTCGTGACGCCCCCCGCAAATTCCAAGTAGAGGTGACGCCAATCGCCGCAGAGTACACGGTACGCGGTAGCATCGCAATCCAATCACCTTTCTGTCAAGGAGACCCAACCTCGCGCGACAATCTCCGTGAGCCCCTCCCTTCATTTCTACCACTTCAGCGCGAAGGTGAGTGCTCGAGCCAGGTTAGGGAGCTAGACGCGAGCGGCTGGACATCATGGTAGCAATGGGCGGCGTCAAAGTGGTTGGCCCGTGAGAGCCAGCAGACAGGCAAATAGGCAGACAGCTGGGCAGGAGGCGGTTGAGCTGCGCGTCTACACGATCGTGATTGTGGCCCGCGACGGCAGGCTGTGCTCCCATGTATGATGCTCGCTCGCTCGCTCGCTCGTCAGTCAATTGGGCCATTTTGCTGATCATTTTCTCTCTGCTGTACCACCACTGCGATGGTGTGGCACGTCAGCCTCGCACTCCCGGCTGCCCAACGTATGGCGACTGCCCAGACGGCATCGTCGTCAAGGCACCAATCGAGCGCATCACGCCTCGATCGATCCCCTGGTGGACCCTCTGGCAATATCAGTAGCCCTCGTAGCAGCGCAGCCTCGCACGGCCGAGCCCTAGGAGCAATGGGACGCGGAGGTGATGATGACTTGTCGCGAGGGACAAAAAGGAGGATTGAAGAGGATGATAGAGAGGAAGGGTGAGTTCGACAAAGCGACAATCATTCTCTGCCAGTCGTCTACTGACACAATACCGCTCTACACCCTCCTATCTCGCTCGCAGCTACTCATCGCCGGCATACAGCTCAGTGCGCAACGACAAGGGCCCGCCCTCCTCGTACAGCCGCAATGGCGGTGGAGGCCCTGCCGTAACACCCACCTACGCATCACCTCGTACGCAGCTGCCTTCATTCAACAGCCTGTCCTCGCGCCCTTCGCACGACGATTTGGCAAGCAAGAAGCGCAGAGGAGAAGAAGGAGGAGGAGGAGCAGGATACCCAGACGGCGCTGGTAGCATGACCAGGTCGCCTTACCCCGCCTACTCGCGCGAGCCATACCCAGAAGACGATCGATACGCGCGTCGAGCAGGTCCGCCTGCCCCGCTTGCTCCACCGCCGCACCGCAGCAATGGAGGCGCCTCTCCCGGAGCTGCGCCTACCTCGGCATCGCTGTCTTACGCCTCCCAACAACGCTCGCCGGATTACTATCGCAGCGACGACGGCTACGATGGCAATGTGCCCCTCGCCCGCCGACGAGGAGACGCGGCGCAGGCAAAGGCAAAGAAGTTGCACATTGACGTTGAGTCGGCCTCATCCGATCGAACAGAGTACGACATCCGACCGGTAGAACGTGGCAACGGCGGCTCGCACCAGCTCCATCCCCACCACGCCCATGCCCAGCACGCGCCACGTTTCGGCCTTCCCCCACCACCTGAGGGCGGTTTGGTAGCAAGGAGTGCTCCGCCTACGCGTCTCCACTTCTCGGACAGAGCAGGCGAAGACCCGCGCGCCGACTTCGATGCCAGGCGAGGACTGGACGTGCCTCATCGTGTGGCTGCCCCCCCTGGAGGGCCGTACGGGCCTGCTCCGCCTGCTCTGGCGCCTCCTCCCGGAGCTGGATACGCCGCCGGAGGAGCGTATGGCAGCAGTGGGGTGCGACCCCTTGCGGCGCTTTCCTCGATGAGCAGGGGTGCTGCAGGTGAAGCTCACGTTGGCAGTTCACCTCCTCGTCATGCAGAGAGGGATGGAGCTGCTCCGCCATTGCCCTCGTCTGTGTCGAGGAGTGGAGGACCTCCACAGCATGGACGCGACCCTGGACCAGGCCCTACACCCCTTACGGCTCGCTTTGTACCACAGACGGCGAACCTCCCCTCCCCTGCCTACCATACGACGCGCTTTGTCCAATCTACCACTGCGGGTCAACCAGCTGGAGGAGCGCCGGCACCATCCGCCGCTCCGGGGGGCGCTGCACCACCACGCACGGCTGGTCTCCCGCCCAGTTCTTCCGCCTACCCACCTCAGACGGCCCGCCCACTCGTTGCAGATGCTCAACACCCCACTTCCTCGGGCAAGGCGCAATTCCTGTCACTCTTTTCGAGCTTCTACGATTCGCTCTCCGACTCGCGCACGCTCAAGGCTACGCTCGAGGACCAGGTGCGGCGCAGTAACACTTTGCTTCAGACGTTGCAGCGCAGCAGTCGTGTGCTTGAAGCGACGGTCGATCGAAAGATCCGAGAGGAGAGGGCTATTTGGGAGGAGAGGGTGAAAAGGTTGGAGGGACGAGTGAGGGTGCTTGAAGGTGGGCCAGAGGAAGAGGACGAGGTGACGCGAGACGAGCTCATGGGAGAAGCGAGGGAAAAGGGGGCGGAAGACCATGAGGCCAAGCTTGCGGGAGAGAAGGCAGAGGCTAGGGCCGCGAGCGAAGAGGTTGAGGAGGAAGCCGTTTCTGTCGAAGCTGCTACCGCCGCTGCTGAGGAGGCGGCAGATGAAGAAGAGGACGAGGTGGGCGACGATGAGGATGACTCAAAGGGCACGGTCGACATGGAGACTGATGCCAAGTCTGACACGCCGGCAAAGGGCAAGACAAGCAGTAGCAAGGCAGCCGGCGGGAGGCGAAAGAAGAAGTAAAAGATGATCGCCAAGGACGATGGACATGGTCACGGTCACGGACATGGACACAGAGAGTCACCAGCTTTCCTCCGCTCAACTCGCCCTGGCTCTTCAGCGCTGTCTCGAATCTTTCTTTTCCCTTGCGCTGCTATTTAATTTGGTGTTCAGACTCAACGACATTGTCATCGACAGCGAAAAGACGAATCAAACGATTGATGACCTTGCGACCCTACGCTTTCACTTCGTGCTGGCTTGTCTGATCAATCAATCGCGCCTTTCCACGTCCTTTGCACTATTCATCACGATGCCATTAACACGTCAAATAGTCTACCATTCCCTCACCGCATCAATTCCTCCCAATAAATTGATATACGATCCTCCTCACCAGCCCACTCAAATGCTCCGGACTCCTCGCGTATGTACCCATCACCAGCCCCATGCCCGCGCTTGTTAGCAACAAGTCCCCACCGGGCACAAAGGGCGCCCACCCACGCTTCCTCGCAACGGACCAGGCACTCTCCATGCCTTTTGGTAGGACGTAAGCCGCCAGCTCTGCTCGACGTCTCGCATGGTCGACGAAGAGGGAGCCGCAGGTTGCGAAGCCTGCCAGCCAGTGCAGGGTCGACCCACTGAGGAAGTCGAGCAACCATTTAGGCGCGCCAGAGCCAGGTCGGGCGAGGAGATCGTGTAGCTGATGTGCCGAGCAGAACAAGGTCTGGAAGATGATGACGAAGACTCCCAAGAAGGAGGAACTGCGGACCGCCCCAAAGATGGAGCGCAATAGTACCCGTAGCGGTGATTTGAGGAAGGAGCCCGTACGCAGGAAGAGGGCGGGGACGAAGTGCAGAGTGAGGTAGACGGGCAAGATCCAGCGCGTCACTTCAACGAAGCGATCGAGCGGGGAGAAGAGGTGCGAGTCTTCCCATGGGTGGACGAGATGACAGGGCACATAGTCCTGGGTGAGTAGCGGGAGGGAAGAGCGGTCAGCGTTGCTGCTCGAAATGTCTGCATCGAATCGTATTGCGTATCGCAGATCGCGCATCGCGTGGCGCTACTCACCCCCGGGCTACCCCCAGCTCTGACTCTTTTGATCCACTCGATCATCTTTGTGGCATTCTTAGCCGTCATCCCTCGTCGGTTTCCAGCCGTAGGCAGCACGTTGCCGTACTTCTCTGTCCCATCACTCAATACCTTGACGGGGTCAGGCAATTTGCCATCCGGAAACCAGTACTTGATTACCATATCCACATCGGGCTTGTTTCCCCTCGCGATGTCTCGATGTACTCCGGTGACTCTCGGTGTGACCATGGACGCGTTTGTGATCCAGTTGACGTACCCGCGGGGAAGCGTCTCTGGTGCGTTTAGCCAGGCGTACATGATCTGCCCACAGGCGAGACCGAAAGCCAGTACGGCTCCGTGAGGGATGTTGACCTTTCCCTTTGCATGAGCCACATTGTAGCTACCTTCGAGGCCGCGCACAAAGAGCTGTTGAGCGAGGGAGATGCGGTTAGGCTTCGTCTCTGCGAGGAGGGCGAGGGACGAAACGCAGCCGGCGAGGTAAGCGTGCCAGATTTTGGAGCGAGGGTCATCCCGCATGAAGGCGCGACGTTTCTGCTGCGACTTGACGTGGGCTTTCTCTTCGTCCGTCTTGCCTGCTAGCTGGTGGTAGCCTGAGCGAGGAGTGTTGACGCCTGATGGGCCGCCCGCCGGAGTGGAGCCATTACTCTCATCGGCTCCCATAGCGGTTGCGTTTGGGACTGGGTCGGTGCTGATGGGGACGGCGCGTTGCTGCTGTTGTTGGTGCTCATGGCGGTGATCATGACCAGCCTTCTCCCCCGGCACGGGTGTAGAGGCTGATCTGCTGCTCCTCTTTGTTGTAGGCGGGGGCAAAGGAGTGAGCAGTCGTAGAGAGTTGTGTACCGTCTTGTACAGTCCGGCCCAAATGCCGAACATCATTGCGAATCGGAAGTTTGGAATAGAGAAGAAGGCTTCGCGGAGATCCTTGCCGCGTACTGTCCTCTTGCGCAGCCCCTTGACGAGGGCGAGGACAAGCATGAGAGTCGCCCTGAGCCCGTAGGCAAGGTTGAATGCTCTCAGCCCACCACGGAAGACGTGAACCGCCAACCTCTCCCAATCTCCGGGCAAACGTGCCTGCTCATCGTGGGGTCTCCATACTTTATTGCCCACAGATTTGCGTATCTGCTGAGGTGGCATCGATGAGAGCTGATGTAGCCCATGAACGGAGAGTGATCGTCGAAGCTGTTGTGCCGTTTCGGAGATGTTGGGAGTCTGAGGTGCGGAATGAGCTGAATAGAAGTTGTTTGCGGCCTCGTCGTCGGATGAAGGCGAGTCCTCATCATCGCCTTCATGGCCCGACTTCGTCGACGAGGTGATCGAGGTGAAGTGGGGAAGGTGAAGGTGAGGGTCTCGTCGCCGTGTTGAAGTAGTAGCCGAGGGCTGCGAAGCTGATGGTGAGGTCGTAGGGGGGGAATCACCTTCGTCGTCATCTTGGTCTCCGCCGGGTATCGAGAAAGAGGGCGGCGACTTGGAAGGAGGCACCCCAGATGGCATGGCGCGGAGAGATTGCGAGGATGAGCGAGTGGATGCCTTTTTGGTGCTGTATGATCGCTATCTAGTCGCGACACATTGGTGGTGGTGATGATGATGACAAGGAGCAACAGTCTTTAAAAAGGCTTTGCTACAGCCTTGACCGCTTTGCCTGGTATACCGAACCTCTCGTCGAAGCGATCGCTTGCAATGCAATCCAAATGTCGCCTGCCAGGTTGCGTCGCCGATGGCTTTCCCCACACTCGCCCCTCGCCGAGTGTGCGTGAATGCGTGGCTTTGACAGACCCCAGAGAGAGACACAGGTCTTCGACGGAACGGAAGAAGATGCGTGGACGACGTCGACGGACAGAGGAGGTGGCCGCCTCTTCACTTTAGAGCCGGCAGAAAGCCGTTGGCAACGCACACGAAGCAACTTTCTTCTTGATACCGCCACCACTCATCAATTGGATCACACCAGCTATGGTAGCCCCTCTTCGAACAATGGCGGCCGCCTCATCGTCATCATCATCATCAGTCAGGCCCGCTCTGAGCAGTCTCGGCCGCCGCCACCTGGCCACGCCCGTCTCTTCTGGCTCTCGGTCGTCTGCCCATCGCATCCTCGTCATCGGCGGTGGAGCAGCCGGTCAAGCAATCTCACACCAGCTGCTGCGAAGTGGCGCTTTCCCCAACAAGCATGACATTGCCATCGTCGACCCAAAGACGACGCACGACTACCAGCCTGGTTGGACATTGGTGGGCGGCGGCCTGAAGAAGAAGGAGGACCTTCGCAGACCAATGGCAGATTTGGCTCAAGAGAAGGAAGGACTGGGTCTATACAATGACGCAGTCGAGTCCTTTGACCCGGACAACAACTGCGTCAAGACCCGTGATGGCCGCACATTGTCCTACGAGCATCTCATCGTCGCACCCGGCTTGCGCCTCATGCCTGAGAAGGTCTCGGGCCTCTCTGAAGCCATGCGAGACATGGATGCCAAGGTAGCAAGCATTTACGACTACGATTCCTGCGACCGTGTCTGGGACCTCGTTCAACAACATCGCTCAGGCCCAGCCATCTTCACTCAGCCCCCTCAACCACACAAGTGCGCCGGCGCACCCCAAAAGATCATGTGGCTTGCCCTTGATCATTGGAAATCGCAGGGCCTCAGCCGATCTGATATCCCCATCACGTATGCCACGGCCCTTCCGGCCATGTTTGGCGTACCAAAATATGCGGCCACTCTCGAGGCACTGCGAAAGGAGCGCGACGTCGAGGGCCTCTTTGGTCACAATCTTGTAGCGGTCAACGGGTCAACAGCCACCTTCGCAAAAGGAGAGGAAAAGGTCACCCGTCCCTTCTCACTCCTCCACGCCGTCCCACCTCAAGGCCCTCACGACTTCATTCGCTCCTCTCCTCTCGCAAACCCCACCTCCGGCTTCGTAGACGTTGACGACAAGACACTCCGACATGTCAAGTACAGCAACGTCTGGTCTGCTGGTGACTCGAGCTCACTACCGACGAGCAAGACGGCAGCAGCAGTCACTTCTCAGGCCCCGATTCTCGTCAACAATCTCCTATCCTCTCTCGCAGGCACCTCCGATGCGCCACAAGAGTACGACGGTTACACCTCCTGCCCAATCCCAACCGAATACGGAAAGCTCGTTCTCTGCGAGTTTGCTTACAACGGCGTGCCTAAGGAGTCCTTTGGCCCCACTTTGGGCATCGATCAGGCTCAACCCAGCCGTGCCTTTTACTACCTCAAGCGCGACTTCTTCCCTTGGGTCTACTTCAATGCTATGGTCAAGGGGACTTGGGCGGGCCCCAACGGTTGGTTGAGCGCGCCCAAGTGGAAGGGAGCTGCGCCCAGCGTAGGTGGCGGCCAGGCCAGGGCCTTCTCAAGCGTAGTGGGAAAGATGGGCGGCTCAAACGGTGCTGCAGGACGTCGCGGCTTCGCCACGTCAGCCCGCGCTGCGCGTGATCAACCATCACGTCGCCCTCGTGACCCCCTCGAGCGCGACTCGACGGCAGTGCGCTACGCCCTTCCCGGCGGTGAGACGCTCATTGTCCGTCCTGCGCCGTCCAGCGGTGGTGGCTCAAGCACCGGGAGCAGCGCGACGACGACTACGACGGCGGACCCTGCGAAGATCCTGGTCGAGGAGGCGAACAGCGAGGCGTACCTTCCCCCAGCTCTTCGCCCGCGAACCGCACGCAAGCAGCAAGCCCGCTTCAACTCTACCACCCCGCGTCGAACGGACCTTTCTCCTTCTGAGATTGCTGAGATTCAAGCCCTTCGCCGCGAAGGGGGCGCCTCCGTGCCTGACATTGCGCGGAAGTTCAACTGCTCCGAGGTGTTTGTAAGGATCGTTGCGCCTGCGGGAGCTGAGGCGAAGAGGGAGGCTCAGAGGGGGATGGAGCGGGTCAGAAGGGGTGAAGAGGGGAGCACGAGGTTTGGTGATCTGCTGAGGAGAGAGGCAAGGAGGGCTAGGAGGGAGATGTGGTAGATGGCAGGGAGCGAGATGCTGATGAGCACGAACGCACGGCACGCACGCACACACTCAAACACAGCTCCAAAGATAGCTTTGCTCTGGATTGTCACGATGAACAGTTGATCGATGCCAAACAATCAATCGACATCCATATCGCCTCGCTCTCCCTGCTCACCATCATGATCGTCTGCTCCCTGCTCATATCCGTCCCCATCCTCCTCTTCCATCCCATCCCCGTACCGCTGCCCCTCAGACCGTCTGCGTCTCTGATGCTCTGCGTCTGCCTCCTCGACCGCTTTCTGCATCAAGGCCGCTTCGGCTAGACTGTCCAAGAAGTTGGGGGTCGTAGCGGCAGCAGCAGGCGGAGCCACTGCGGCAGCGCTGCGATGCGCGAGTGGCGGGGTGTCATATTGCGTCTGGCTACTTCCTGAGACCGGGGTAGTGCCAGGAGGGCCGAGGGAATCGTCCGTTTCCATTTCGGATGACAATGCGTGAGGACCCGTTGGGCCGGCGGAGTGCTGGTGGGAGGTGGTCGGTGGGACGGGTGAGGAGCGAGAGGAAGGAGCAGGGGAGGAGGAGTCGAGCTTGCTCTTGCCAAGAGGGAAGGGAGAGGCGCGCCTCGATGTATTGGCCGTGCCCGGTGTACCTTGCCGCGGCGTGTTGCTTCTCCTCGCCGTGTTGGCTGCCGAGGGCCTGCCTCCCTTCTTTTTTCCACCCGCGCCTCCTTTGACGGGTGGCATTCCCTCCTCCTGCACGAACGCCCCGGCGGCGTTATGCCCGTCATCGCCAACTTCGTCTTCGTCCTCTTGATCGTCCTCCAGATCCACAGGCTTGATGTACTTGGCGCGAACACGGGCACGTTCCTCCTCCGCAAGGTCTTGGTTCCACTGCTCTGCCCAATACTCAGCGTAGCGCTCTGACAGTGGGCGGCATCTGCCCCACCACGGTTCCGCTGGGATGGAGGCCGCGTCGTTGTCGGCGTCTTCCTCGACTGGCATGGTAGCATCGGTCATTTCCGACGTAGCTTGAGCATCCTGCTCCCTCGCCTGCCTCCGACGACGGCGTCGATCCGCCGCTTCCAACTCCCTCTCCACGCCTCTGAAACCTTCCTTCCCACCTGGTCTGTACCTCAAGCCCTCCCCCTCCTCGCTCTCTCCCCTCAATCTCAGCCTAGCACCACCATAGACACTCCCCATCACCCAGTATCCACAGCTCCCATCATCGTGCGCATTCTCTCTACTCTTCATGATCGCACTCAAACTCGCGCTAGCAGTGAGGAGCGGGATGTCGTCAAGGGAGGATATGCCCACCGAGGCTAGCTCGCGCTCCATGAGGCTGACGTCGTGGACGGAATAGAAGGGAGAGTCACGCCCGGCCAGACGGGCTGCTCGGATGACTGTTTGAACAAAGGAGTTGGCGGAGCCGTCTTGACCTAGAGGCTTGGGCCCGCGCTTCTTGCCAGTCGAGGCGAGATTGGCGTCCTCCGCAGTCGGGTGTGGCCTCAACGGTCGGTAGTCAAGCAGATCCTGGAAGGCCCATCCTTGCGGCACACCATTGATATAGAAGCCTATCCGCGATTCAGGGCCCAAAGTTGGGAGAGGTCGCAGCTGTCGTGTGACTTTCACTTTGCCTCCGGGAGGGCCCTTGTTCTTTGAGCTTTTCCCGCCCCCACCGCCAGGCTCATCGCCCGGGCCTGCTTGGCGTTTCGACTTGCCTGTGCCTGGCGGAGCAGTGGATTGGGAGGGGGCGGAGGAAAATGATGAGGAGGCCGTGGTCCCATTACGCTTTCCTCCCGGGCGGACAGCACCCTCCCGATGCTCGCCCTCCTCGACCAGCTCCGACATTGGGTCCAACCCGCCATTCGGCCCCGCGTTAGCAGCTTGCGCCAATCTCAACCTCCCGTCCTGCCCCAGAATCCTGTCTCCTGCCCATGACCTGTCCATGAGATGCTCCATCTCCTTGCTCTGCGCGTACTCCAACTGCTCAAAGTACGTCTGACCACGATATCGGATCGGTATGCGCCTCTTGCGGACATGCCGTGGGTCTCGTGGGTCCTTTGGTGATGGCTGCGGCAAGGGTGAGGGGATGTGGATGTACATGCCTATGACGTCGCCTGGTTTGAAGGGACTGCCATATGGTTGGGGTCGGGAGAGGGTGATACCTGCGCCAGAGGGAGACGAGAGACCATCAGATCACCTGCTTGCTTGCTGAGTGTCTGCTGCCTCTGTGACTTACATTGACCTGTGGTATCTCTCAATGCGTATGAGTATCCATCAAATCCCACTGGCGCATTCAAGGGTGCCTCTCGCCTTCCCCATCCCAGCCTCACATGAGGTCCATCCTTGCCATTCACCGCCGCGCTGCCGTGCTCATCGGCTAGCACCTCAATCTCAACATACCAGCTCCCCTCTCTGACGGGCACATTACATCGCACACTCCTCCAACCTTTGTCTGAGCTCACCACATCTGCCTCACGGCTGAGCTTTGTAAAGGCAGAACGATCGCTCCAGTCCCATCGCAGCCTATCGGGCTGGGAGGGAATGGAACGATAGACTGAGGTGGGGAGGTAGGAGGTGGAGGGGCCGGCGAATGTGTAGCGCCAGGAGTTGCGGTTGAGAGGGGTGTTTGGGGGCTGATAGAGCCGTGAGGACGAGGAGGATGAGGAGTATCCGGGCGCGACATGGAGGAGAGGGAGAGGGGCAACATCTTCCGGGTCATCTTCCCGCGGCAGGGGGCCACGATAGTGTGGTGGCAGCTTGTGCTTTGATGTCGATGCGACCGCGCCTGAATTGCTGGCGAGCGCGGGTGTATGTCTACTTGAAGGCGAGGATGAAGAGGGCGAAGGCGATCGGGACGAGTTGGCTTGCGAGGAAGAAAGGTGCGAGGCTGTATGCGCCAGATAGGCCTTCGTCCCCGAGCCAGACGGCGCCATGCCCTCTTCGCCGGTCGGCAAGGGCCGCTTTGCTGGTATGCCGGCATATCTCCCGCTATCTTCACTTGAGATCCCTCCTTCCCTCTTGACAGTCATGTCGGCGTCGTCCTCCATCGTCGTCTTTCGGCGTGAAGTGATGTTGCAATTGGACGTCACAAGGTGCTGCGTCCGCATCAACTGTTTTCCCTCTTTCTCAAGTCGACGACGCGATTGCCCTCTCAGTCCGCTCTCCGCGTCTGCGCTTTGGCCATCCACGACATCGACGACGGCTCGGAGCGGGGCCAAGCCTCAACGACGCGGACAACGGGAAGATGAGGGATGAAAGAAGAGGGCGGCGAGCGAAGGCAGAGAGAGCGCCGCGGCAGGCGAGTTGAGTGAGCATTGGAAGGAGCGCAAGGGCAAGCCGGGGGAGGAAGGAAGGCAGCAGTGCCTTTCCTCCCACCTGTCCGCGGCCCTTTTGTTCATCATCGACAGCCTTTCTTCCTGTTCTGTACTCGCTACATCGTCTCCTTCCTCCTCCCGGCTGACGCACTCTCCCTACTTTACGCCGCCCTTTCTCTCCGGCTGACAGAGACGGCCTCTCCTGTCCTTCTCTTCTCCACCCAACGTGCTCTCCTCTCTGCCCGTCGAACCGAGAACAGAGAGAGATCCACCTGAAAAAAAGGCGGCGCCTACACGACGACGCAGACGACATCCATCCTACATAGCAAAACGCACAGAGTCATACTACGCGACCAACGCCACCTAGTCTTCTTCTCATCAACGCCATGTCGGCCTCTTCCCCAGAGTCGCTGCTTCGCCAGCGTCCCTCTGCCATGAGCCACGACTCGACGGCCACGCTCAAGTCTCCACCAGTCGTCAGCGACTCGGGTCGCGCTAGCACTCCCGACTCCAATGAGACTGTTGGAGAGCATGACAAGAAGTCAGGTGCAGCTCCCTCGTCGCCGCACCCTTCAAGCATCGGCACTACGAAAGACGGCCACAGCTTCGTAGTCCCACACACGCCCGACATGCTCACCTCCATCTTTGATCCACGCGAGCCAAAGACTCCACTCGACTTCATCACAATTGGCTCCCTCGCTCTCCAGATCATCCTCTACTTCGTCCTGCCACGTTCGCTGGCTCGCCCTTTCTTCCTTCTCTACTTTGCCTTCTGGCGAGCAGCGTACAATGCTGGTCTGGGTCACATCCTCAAGCAGCAGTCGGAGCGCAACTGGATCACTCGCACCGTCAAAGCCAAGGGTTGGTTCGATGCTAAGCGCCAGCCAAAGATGTACAAGTGGGTGCGCAGCCACCTCGAGACCAAGATGGAAAAGGACTACAACTTTGAGGCATGCCCCCTCGATTACAACGTGTGGATCTTCTTCCGCAGCATCGTGGACATTATCCTCCTCAACGACTTTGTGGCCTACAGTCTCTTTGCATTTTCTTGCACTCGCCTGCCCGAGGGCCATAGCGTTGTGCTCCATGTGTTGCGATGGGTCGTCGGATGGGCCTTGATCTTCTTCAATCTGTGGGTCAAGATGGACGCGCACCGTGTGGTCAAGGACTATGCCTGGTACTGGGGAGACTGCTTCTTCCGCATCACAAAGGACCTTGTCTTCGATGGCGTCTACGAGATCGCACCTGACCCGATGTACTCGCTTGGCTATGCCGGTTACTACGGTCTCTCACTGGTGTCAGGCTCCTACGCCGTCTTGTTCGCTTCGCTCGCTGCACACTTCTCGCAGTACCTCTTCATGGCCTACTTTGAAAATCCGCACATCGAGAGGACCTATGGCGAGAAGAAGCCTTTGGCAGCTCGTGTGCCCTTGTCAGAGGCGCCGTACAATGCTGCCTCTGCTCACGAGGCTGCGGGCCAGTTTGTTCCTCCCAGCAGCACTGCGGCCACGTCCTCGGAAGAAGCCCGCTCGCCTCGCCTCAATGGATCTGCCGCTCGCCTGAGCAGCTTCAGTTCGACGGGCGGCACGCCTTCCTTCGGTACCGACTCGTCCTCGACGAGCTTGGCCTCCGATTCCGAGGCTGATCTCCTCAGCAGCAGCCCAGCTGCGTCCGTCACTGATCCCAGTGAGATCCGCCGCCGACTCAATGCTGAGGCCTCTGCTCAACGTCAGGGTCAGCAGCCGCAGTCCTCCTCTGCTCACACCTATGCGGACGGTCGTGCCTCTCGACGCATCACTAATCTGCACGACCTCCACCACAAGCTCTTCCGCAAGGACGTTGTGGTTTACAAGAACTTGGACCCACTGCGCGGCTCCGACTTCTTGCTGATCGTCGCTGGTCTCTATGCAATCGTCCCCTTGCTGGTCCCCTCTAATCTCGGCCCACGCAGCACGCTCGCCCTCTACTTCCTCAACGCCCTTGCTTGGCGCCTCTTCCATTCTGGTGGGCTTGGCCTCCTGCTACGCGCGCAGAGTGAGAGCAAGTGGATGGTCCGCCATTTCCTCAAGCACTACAACTACGACGACCCAAGCGATGCGGTCTTCGAATCCTTCGCCTCGTTCAAGACAATCTATAATGCCTCGCTGGTAATGGTGTACACCTCCTTCGGCCTCCTCTGCTGGCGCTGCTACGCACCAGTCGGGACTGACTGGACCGTCGGGACTGACCTGCTTCGTCACACCTTGGGCGCCTTGCTTGTGGCGCTGCACATCTGGGCGGCCAACTCGAGCTATAAGGTGCTCGGCCCGTTCGGCTGGTTCTACGGAGACTTTTTCATCGACGAGTACCCCCATCAGCTCTACTACACGGGAATCTACCGTTTCCTCAACAACCCAGAGCGATCCATGGGGGGAGCAGCCTGGTTCGGACTGGTCCTCATCTCGGGCTCTAAACTGGCTCTTACTCTCGCAGTCGTAAGCCACTTGGCGCATTGGCTCTTCCTCTCCTGCGTTGAGAACCCGCACATGCGCAAGTTGTACGGCGAGGCTGCGGTCGGTCGTCAAGGTGGTGTCACGAAGCAGCTCAAAAATGTGGCGAAGCGTAATGCCCACCTCTTTGAGGCTGCTCAGCGCCATCCTGCCGTTGCAGAAGTGCGCGGTACGCTGGAGAAGGTGGGCAAGGATGCGACCAAGACGCTTGATGGATTGGTCAAGGAGAGTGGGAGCAGACTGGAGAAGATGCGAGAGGAGGGACGCAAGGTCTGGTTGAGAGGGACGGACCGCCTTCTCATCGTGAGGACGGGCGACGACGAGCAGACGCGGACGATAGATCGCACGCAGTACTCCGTCAGTCCTGTCGCACCTGACGCCGCCGGACCTTCCTCTTCGTCGGCGGGCAGCAAGGCGCGCTTCCACCTCGGCGAGCCAGTCACCATTGCCTGGTCAGCCGCCGCAGGCCACGCGAAGCGCGACTGGGTAGGCATTTACAAGGTGGACCGCTTCGGCTCACCCGGGTCTGCGGACAGGGAGGACAACCGGCTGGTCACCAAGATTTCATCGCATGGCGCATGGATCAATGTCGGCGAGGAGGAGGAAGAGGACATGGAGCACGACGAGTCGAAGCTCCCCTCGAAGCGTACCAACGAGCCTGCGAGCGGAAAGGTAGTGTTCAGGGGCAAGCGCTTGCCCTGGAGTGTGGGCACCTTCGAGGCGCGCTACCACCACGATGGGAAGCAGGATGTGCTTGCTCGAAGTCCCAAGTTCGAGATCTATGTCGAAGACCACATCGGGCGCCTCGATGAGGCAGTCGAGGCTTCCTCCTCATCTGCGGCCTCAAGCAGCGGTGCCCTCCCCTCCCCGACCAGCAATACCCTCACCTACAACACTGTCTACCCCACCCTTGCCCGTCTAGTCATGGCGGCTCTCGAGTCGGACACTTTGCGCGGCCCCCGATCCCAGACGGGTCGGCCCCGCGCTCCGTCCACTGTCGGTCCACCCGCAGAGACTGGCCGTACGAGCGATGCGGATGAGGATGACTTCACGATCTGGGAGCAGGACCAGGCCAAGAGGATCGCGAGGGGAATCAAGGTGGCCTTTGGGGTGGAGTTCTCCACCGAGGTCGTTGTAGCGGAGGCGAATGTCAGGAGATTGGCAAAGGATGTTGTAGAGGCAAAGAGACTGCTTGTGGGAGGAAGCGCGAGCGGGGCAACTAGTGGAGCCGGGACGCCTCACGCAGCAGCAACGGGGGCGTTGAGCCCTGTGACTGCGTGAGTGACGGGAGCGAAGTGGGCAGTGCAGGCTCACACAAAGGCTCAAAGGGAGGAGAATAGTTGGGGCGGCACGCAAAGACGAGATCGGGCTCGCAACACACGTAATGGAGCGCAGCGTAGCGCGACGCAAGGGAAGGAATCGCAGGCACCTCGAATGGACCTCATTCGGCGGAGAGGCAGCAGCTGTCTCCTCTCTGCAGTTTCAAAAACTAACGAAGCAATGAATGATTATACACATGAGCGAGCGGCAACAATTGAGGGTGGATCCAAGCAAGCGAGGTTGAGTGATCGGCGCATTGACGGCCCTTGACTGCTTGGACCGTGGCCTGAGCGGCTTTCGGCCCGTCATTTCCCTTTCCCCGACTTCCCCACACTCGGGACAGAGGATCGGGCGGCGTCCAGGTACACGAGCGTGTGCTGCCGCTTCTTTGCTCTGCTCGTCACTCTCTTTCTCATCTACTCTGGCCCTCATCTACTTGATCCATTGCTCTTCTCCAAACACAGCGATCGAGATTCTTGGCGCACTGCGATTCAATCAAGGCCATGGTGCTCCAACGGATAGGCTCAACCTCCCTTGTCGGGCCCGTACAGGGCGCCGCCAAGACGATGCGATCGACGATGAGCAGGCGGACAATCGTGACCAAGGCGAGCGGCCAAAGACATCTACAGCAGGTCTCTTTTGGTCGAAGGTACAATAGCTCCTCCTCGTCATCGTCATCCTCCACAAAGAGCGGACAGGATGGCAGCACCGGGGGAGATAAACTCACAATGGCCTCGTATGGCTTCCTCTTTGGCTGCGTTTTCTCCGTTGGGGCGTTCTATCTGCGCAGTCCAACAAAGAAGTCGATCGCTCCCTCTTCTGCCTCGTCTCCGACTTCTCCATCATCAGCGTCCTCTTCCATCGACGCAGCCATCTCCAATCTTCGCACCCACTTTGGGGATCGCGCGTCCATCTGCCTCTCCACAGACGCCACCGACCTCGAGTCGAAAGGCTTCTCTTCGTGGTGCCAGCATGCCGCCTCTCTTCCCTCTGTCGTCGCCTTTCCAGAATCAACGGACGACGTGGTCGCAATAGTGAACGCGGCTCGCAACCACGGCGTACCGCTGTTGCCCTTTGCAGGCGGGACGAGCCTCGAGGCACATTGGTATGCTCCTCGTTTCGAGGGGGAGGGAGAGAGTGGGGAGACACGGCCTAGTATAAGCGTGTGCTTTGAGCGTATGGCCGAAATCCTCGAGGTGGACGAGGAAAATGGCATGGCTCGTGTTCAGCCCGGCGTGGGATGGCAAGACCTCAACGAAGAATTGAAGGAACGAGGATCGCGCCTCTTTTGGCCGATCGACCCAGGGCCGGGCGCCTGCTTTGGCGGGATGCTAGCCACCGGTGGCAGTGGGACAGGAGCTGTGCGGTATGGGACGATGAAGGGAGAGCTGGTGCTCAATGTCACCGTGGTTCTTCCGTCGGGGAAGGTCATCAAGACGCGATCCGACGCTAGAAAGTCGAGCGCCGGGCCTGACCTGACACGTTTGTTCCTGGGGAGCGAGGGTACATTGGGAGTAATCACAGAGGCGACGCTTAGGCTCGTACCCCGCCTAGAGGAAAGCGTCACGACCGTGTCCTTTCCTACGGTGGAAGACGCCTCCAAGGCGGCACGTGCAGTACTCTACAAGGGCATCGCTGTCTCCAGCGTCGAGCTCCTGGACGAGGTCATGATTCGCTCCATCAATCAAGCGTCCTCCCAGACTGGCTCGTCGTCTCGTCAGCCCCTCGCCGAACAGCCGTCTCTCTTCCTCAAGTTCGCAGGCTCCTCGCCCGCGAACGTCAAGGAGGATCAACGCATGGCCCGCGAAGTTGTGCTGGAACATAAAGCCGACCCGGCTACTTTGCGCATCTCTTCGAGTCCGCAAGAGGTCGAGGAGCTATGGGAGGCGCGTAAGGTTGCGCTATGGTCGGCAATGGCTTCGCGCGAGGGAAAAGAAGAAGGCAAGGGCCAGCCGAGGGCATGGACGACCGATGTATGCGTACCAGTTGCCCGCCTGCCTGACCTCGTGAGAAGACTCAAGGCGGACGTGGCGGAGCATGGCCTCTTCGCACCCATAGTGGGTCACGTAGGCGACGGCAACGTGCATGCTATCTTCGTCTACCCTGATGGAGACTCAGAGGAGCTGGCTGCAGTGACCGAGAGCGTGCATCGCATGGTCGAATGGGCTCAGCAGCTTGGTGGGACGTGTACGGGGGAGCACGGTGTGGGTAGAGGGAAGAGGGAGTTCTTGGAGGCAGAGCTGGGAAGCGGGACACTGGGGCTACTGCGAGAGATCAAAGGGTTGATCGATCCAGAGGGGGTTATGAATCCCGGGGCTTTGCTGCCGCCCAAGGGGAGTGAGAGGAGAGGGGAGCAAGGGAGTCCGTTGGCGAAGCATGCCACGTGAAGGAGGGTGAGCGTCTACAATTCTACGTGGTATCCCGCAGCCTGCTTGTCTCATTGCCATGCTACGCCCCCTCAGCCTGATCAGCATACACACTCCCCACTTTGACCCCTCTCCCCCTTGCCAGAATCCCCCTTGCCTGCTCAGCCTCCACGAACCAAGTCCAGCCTTTGAGCTTTCTGCCCTTCGACTGTGTTGCGCAGTACTTTATCCGTCCGGTGACAGTAAGCGGGTACTCGAGACAGTGCAAGTGCAGGTGGTCGACAGAGTTGAAGGGAGGGATGTGGAAGCCGTAGAGGCGCTGCGAGCTTGGCCGAGATGTTGAAGACGAAGCCATCTCCAATGCTTGCCGACCAAAGGCGTGCAGGGAGTCAACTGCGGTCCGGCACAGGTCAGTGACTGACCCTACGTCTTGTCACTTCATTCTAACTCACCAAGCTCGGCGCCAGGCTTGCCACTGAGCGACTTGACACTCCCCACATGCTCCCGTGGTATAGCCAAGAGATGAACAGCAGCGCGTGGTGTGCGATCGTGAAAAGCAACAAAGCGGTCCGAGGTCAGTACGAGGCGGGTCGGACTCGGCGTCGATGTGAGTGTCGAAGGTACCGGCTTGGAAGGTGCTGCATAGGAGTCGGGAGACGATGGAGCTTCTTCAGCTATCTTGCAGAAGGGGCAGCCAGTGACGGGGGCTGCTTCGCCAGGCTCGTCGCCGTGAGACTGAGCAGAAGGGGCCTGCTTCCCCGGTAGGCAAGAGAGGAGCATGAGTGCGACTGATAGCGCTTCTTGCGATTCCGCGGGTGCGTGAATGAGTAACGGGTCACTACTCCTCTCTCTTTCCCTGTTGCTTGACTTGCTTGTCGTACGACTTGAGGAGCCCAAAGCGGTCCCCCGCCTCGCATCTCACGCGCCAGTCGGAAACGACGTCGAGCGACGGACAGGCAGAGGCCAAGGCATTCCCGTCTTGCCTCCACTCCATTACCATCAACAAGCATTACAGTTCGCCGCTCTTCCGAGACGGGCTCCCTACCATCATTTGCCCTCGTCGACGACGAGAGGCAGCCGCTAGATATACCCGATCTGCGCTGCAACGAGCTGGCCCCTTTCCAGGCTCGCCAACAATGCGCATCCCCCTTCACCTTGCCATTGTCCTCCATTCGCTACTTCTCCTTATCCTCACCACCTCGACACGAGCTCAAGTCAAATCCTCCGCCCGAGAGTCAGCCCTGACAGGTCCCATATCGGGCCCTTCGCCCTCACTCGACCACGATGAACAGGACTCGTCTTCCCTCCTCTGGTCAGACATCCCCGCCGTCCAGCTAGGCAGAGGGTTGCAGCCCCCGCACAGATGGAAGGAGTTTCTGCCCAGTCATCATGCGGGCAGTGGTGAATGGCCCAGTGCAGGTGTGGTACCCAAGCGTAGCGACAATGCGAGGCGGAAGTTGGGCCAGCTGGATAATAGCGCGTCACGAAGCCAGCCGGTCGTCGAGGACGACGAGGGAGACGACGGCGAGGATCACGATAACGATGACGATGACGACGTTGAGCAACACGAGCAGGAGCGAGACTTTCGTCAAAGGGCAGCGAAAGAAGCAAAGAAGCGCAAAGATGCACACGACCGCCAAGCCATGTCGCACCTCCGCAGCAAGGCAAAGAAGGAAGCTCGCAGCGCTTGGAAGTCGGCAAAGAGCGCCGCAAAGGTCGTCGCCCGCCCCAAGGAGGCAACAGAGGAGGAGGAAGAGCATAGGCAATCCTCCATCCCTCTGCTTGGCGCAGTTGCCACTGTGTATCACCTGGTGGCATCCAGCCTAGCTCACGCCTGGCGCTTCGTCTCTTTCTTTACCCGCTACGTAAAGCATGCCTTGCTCCTGGCATGGCGCTCCGCGCGATACGCGTTTACAATCATCGGCCGTGCTATCCTAAGCATCTGGGCATCAGGGCGCTACGTGACTCGCCAAGTGTTGCGACCCATCCGCATCATCTTTGCCCCAATCATCTACATCTGGCTAGGCCTGCGCTTCATCATCTGGGATCTACCCTCCTTCTATCTCTTTGCAGTACTGCGCGAGGTCTACCCGCTCTACGTCTTCTGCGGAGCGGCTCTGGCCCTGGGGACGGCTATTGGCATCGGGTGCGCCATTGCGCTTTGGGTGGGCAGTCTTGTCACCAGAGGGAACTCGCCCCTCGAATCGCATCTTGACTCCTGGCGAGGTAATGAGACTGGCCGGTTGCTGAAGAAGAGGAAGGGCACATTGGGTGCTTTCGACTTTGAGAGGGAGAATGAAGCTGTTGTACGACAGTGGGGGGAGAGAGAGAGGAGGAGGGCGAAGCGGGAAGAGAGAGAAAGGAGAAAGAGGAGAGAGGGGAAGCAAAGGGCTGCGGACCCTCCTTTGAGGAGAGGCCCGGCAGATCGATGGGACGGCTTCCCTTCTTACGCGAGCGACAGCATGGATGCTCATTTGACCAGCGAGGTCACGTCCCCCTCGTCGTATGAGGACAACCCCTCCCTCAGCGGCAGCGACCCCACTCCAGACTACCTACGTGGCCTGGGCAAATCTTGGCGGCCTCTACCCAAGAGCGTAGCTGACAATCTGGCACAACGTGTCGCTTCTGCATCCTCTGCTTCTGCTATGGATCCCGACGGCGATGACTACGACGATCATGATCGCAGCTACGAAGAGGAGCAGCCTGTGTATCCGTATAGCGCAAGGCAGCAGTACGGCGGCCCATCGCCGCGGTCATCACGCGAGGAAGACGACTATTTCTCCGTCGGTCGCGGCGGGGCTCCTGGGATCACGAGGCAGGCGCCAATGGATAGCCCTCAGAGCTACGCTGCGGCTGTTTCCGGCCCTGGATTTGGGGCGCCATACGCTCCACTCGGTGCAACTGGCCGTCAGTCGAGGTCGCGCCGCAGTGCTGAAGGTGGTGCCATGGGGACGGCTTCGGCCTCGGGTTCGGCGCTTCAATCGCCTACGCTGGGGCTGGGCGGTGTTGGGCAGCCGGCGGTGAGTAGCCCGGAGGTGAGCACTGCGACGGCGAGAAGGAGAAGGGGAGCTCAGGGCGGAATTGTTGTGCGATGATGACCCGCTGCGGAGAGTTGTAATGATACCCAGATGATGATGATGAGAATAGCCGTCGTATCGAAAAACAGCGTGGCGAGTCTGAGCGTGGGAGCCGTTGCATCTTGGTTGCCAGCTGCGCTGCGTCTGCGAGCTGCAGGCGCGTGCATGAAGAGTCGGGACGATTGCGGGGAAGACTGGGCCCGTGCTCGGTGAGATGAGTGGAGCCGGGGCGAAGTGCAATTGGCAATGGCAGCCTCGAGGGCAAAGAGGGCAAGACCAAGTACTCCTCGACCCGCCTTGGTCTCTTCTTGCCTTCTTACACCACATCCATTCGACTCGACAGCCACGACGACTTGATAGAGAAACGGATCCCTGCAGAGCGCAGCGCCCCCGAATCGATCCCCCTGGCGAGGCAAGGAGATAGATAGATCAGCATAGCATATACGCAGGAGATCTCGACCTCATCCTTCGCCGCGTCAATCCTCTCACCTTTTACCTATCAACTCACTGCGCTCATTTTGTCGTCATGTCACCCAACATCGTACCCAATGTCATCCGCCCTACGTCCCCCTCTGGCGCCTGTCCCTTCGCCCTCCTCCCCCACGAGCTAATGGCCCAAGTATTCCTGCACCTCGACCCGCACACCCTCTACACCGCTGTGCGTCAGCTCAACCACCAATGGAAGATTACGGTAGAAGAACACGTCATTCCTACTCTCTTCAGGACGAGACAGTGGCGCGTTGCGCTGCGCATTCACAAGAGGCCAAGGAGAGTACATCCGAATAGCGTCCAAGGGGCCCAGGCCGCTGCCATTGCTCAGCAGGCAAGCCGAGATGGGGGCGAAAGTGACAAGGCAAGAGTACAGAGGGTGCTCAATACCGAAGGAGCGTGGGAAGATGAGCTTGCACCACCCATACCTTCAGAAGAGGGCAACAACATCACCGCCGAAACAATCACCGAGTACCTACCCCTCACTCTAACATCCCTCTCCCCTTCGACGAACACCTTCCACTTTACCACCTCACCCAACTGGTATGCCCTCTACGAACTAGGCGTCGAGCCTCCTGGCATCGACCCAAACTCAACCGCAGGCGACGTATCGTTTCGACTCGACCTCAACTTCGGCCTCGCCTGGCGCTTCGAAGGCGATGGCAAGGAGGAACATCCGCAAAGGCCCGGCGGGTGGACCAGCCTCGATAAGGAGAATAGATGGTTGAGCGAATTCTGGTGCTCGACCTACGACTTAACGCCGCTACCACTCAGGAGGAGGAGTCACGAGGGAGGAGAGGGGGAGACGGTCAGACTCAATGCTACCAAGTTGGCAAGGAGGAAGAGGGTGCCTGTAGAGGTACCTGCCAAGAAGGGTGAGAAGTCAAAGACCAACGGCAGCAGCAACAAGTTCACCTCGACTGAACTGGCATGGGATGACTCGCACATCGAGTACCTACACCTCGACATAGCGCTGGGGACGGAGTTTTTCGTGCGACGATCGGCCCGCGCTAACCTGCTCATGCGAGCGCTTGAGGCTGAGGCAGCACGGAGAGAGGAGGAGGACGAGCAACAGGCCGAAAGGGAGAGGGAGGCGGCAAATGGTCTGATGGCCGCACGCGGTGCAGGAAAGGTATCAGCCTCACCTCAGCCGCCAACAGGACCAACAGGAGCGTGGGGCAAGCCCTTGCTGCAGAAGCCCAAAGCTACTAGGGCGGGAGGTGCACTCAGCCCGACACCAGCGCGAGCTACGGGTACAGGCACACCACCACGTCCAAAATCATCTGCCTCGTCCCACGGCAAAGCCAACAGCCCTCCCTCAGCTCTTAGTGCATCAAACACGAGTGGCACGACCTCGCCGACGCCATCCAAGTCGCACCCCGACCTCGCCCTGCTGAGCAATTCCGCGGCCTCCTCATACCTGTCCGGCCTTTCTCCTGCAGAGCAGCTTCAGCTAATGGCGAAGAACAAAGCTGCAGCCAAGGTCGCGGGAAGGAGAGCCGCATCTGGCTCAAGCACGGGCGGTTCCAGGGCAGGCAGTCGTGCTCCGAGCAGGGCAGGGAGCAGGGCAGCTTCTGCTGCTCCGAGCAGAGCAGGCTCAAGACCTCCTTCCAGGCCTGGGACACCGTCGGGCTCTGCACCTGCACTCTCATTGTCGTCAAGCGGAGCGGCCTCTCCTTCTCTTGTGCCAGGTGGAACCTCGGCCCATGCATCAGGCCACTCCACGCCGCGGGACCGTGATCTACCCTTCGCTCGCGCCCTAGCTTTATCACAAAGCACCGCTTCTCCGTACACTGCTCGAGCTCTGAGCGGCTACGCGACGCCCAATCCTGCCGCAGCTTCTGCACTCAACCCTTCCTCAGCGCTTCACCCGGCGCAGCTTACGGCTCGCCTCGGAGGGAGTGGATACGCGCGCGGCGTAAGCTCAGAAAGAGGCAGTGGTGCTTCCACGCCAACGAAGGGCGAGGGAAACAGCTTTGCTCTCAGGGGCGGTGGAGGAGCACAACCCGGTGGAACGCCTTTTGCTCAGTTCAAAGGAAGACTGAGGTTGGGCGGCAATGGGTTTGAAAGGCTGGGCGCCGAGCTGACTCGAAAGAGAACGAGCAAGAAAGAAAGCGATGGCACGGGTAGGAGGAGAAGGGAGAGGAGCGAGACTATGACTGCCGAAAGATGGAACGCTTCGGCGGCAGGCGACGGCGTTGCTGCTCTGAGCTTGGGCAGCGAGTCAGAGGACGCCGCCTCCTCGTCCGACGAAGAGGTCCCGGCCGCCAACGGCCATCCTCCCGAGGAAAAGGGTCTCGATGGCATAGCAGCGTCAGGCGAGCTCGGCTGGACGCGCGCTCCTGTGCCTTACGAAGGAGAGGGAATGATGCGCACCTGGCGTGAGGCCAAGCTCCTTGGCGCGGCGAATGCGAACGGGCCGAAGAGACGAAGCTCGCTGCGTGCTGGAGCTGAGGAGCAGGAGAGTAGTGATGATGACGAGGGCGAGGTGAAAGGGGCGGTGGAGACGCAGTGGATCTGGAGTCGATGATGTGCAGATGTGCATTGTTGTAGAAGAAGCACGGCTTGCTGATGTTCTAGTTGACGGAGTGCTTCATCTCCTCTTCTGTGCTCTCCATCAAATGCAGCCAACCTTTTACATCTCGTTCTCCGCCTCAATATCTCACCCTAGCACTATAATACATGACCCCATCCTTTTCATCCTTCTTGGCTCTCGCGAACCTCAAGAGCAACGCCTCGCGTCTCTTCTTCTCGCTCGCCACGTCCTCCACGAATGGCAAGAGGTCCTCCAGCTTCCATTGCGCCCGGGCAGCGAAGAGGGCTTGGAAGCGTGCTGCTGGGTCTAATGGCAGAGATGAGCTGGGGAAGAATGCAATGCGCTGCTTGGGAATGCGACTTTTCAGGGTCGACGAAGAGGAGTTGCTACGGCCAGCAGCGGCGCTCGCCGTGCTGCTCAGTGGATCGGCGTGTAGGAGGTACTGCCCTCGAAGCAGGTCGAGATTGACTAGGTTTGCTTGATCATTGTCGTCGCTTGAGGTTGCGAATACGTCTCCCAACCTCGTTGTCCACTCCTTGATGAAGTCATCGAGGAGCGGTAGCCGACTGATGGCATCGCTGCTACTCTCGCTTCTCCCGAGGGCTGGCTTCTTCTGTTTGGTCTGTTTCTGCTTGAGCAGCTCGAGGCCGATGAAGCGAGATACTTTGTGACCATCGAGTGCCACTTTGGTCTCTCCTGGTTCCTCGGTGGTCACGTCGCTCCCAAACCATCTTGTGAGCATCGCCTCGAAGATTTCTTGCCTTGCTCCGTCAGCGTAGTCTGCCATCAAGGAGTCGACGGTAGGCTTGAGTGGGACTGCGTGTGGCAGGTATGCATTCGAGCTGCACACGAGGAGGAGCGAGTCGAGGAGGTTGAGGAGGTAGGGAGGCGAGAGAAGACGTAGCCTGCCTGCGAGGGGATGTGAGGTGGTCAGAGGGACAGTCCAGAGCTTTATGCTGGGATATCGTGTCTACGGCAGCTCACCATCCAATTCAACGACACAGCGTTCATCCAATCCTCTCTTGAATTCGTCGTCACTCGCCTGCACAACGCTCCTCACCTCCCTAGCGCTGTATAGTCTCCTCCCGTTCTTCTCTTCCGATTCACCAGCATAAGCGCTGCTTGACAGTAGCTCGGCAATCCTCTCTAGCCGTGGGACGACAGGCTGGAGCTCCAAGACGTCGGTGACGTTGCTACGAAGTGTCAGCTTGCTCGAGGGCGACGATGACGAGTCGAGAGAGCATAGAAGGAGTGAGTTGGATTGAGTCACTTGACGCAGGGCGTATGTGCGAGAAGAGGTGCAGAGGACGGCTTCGTCGCTGTGTCGTCCGTTGATTACGAGGCTGGTGTGAGCGGGTGCAAAGTGTTGGGGTGAGTGAAGATTCAAAGGGAGCCAGTAGGAAGCTGAGGGACTCACTGCGAGACGTGATCCGTACCCTCGTCGCGACCCCTCGACCTTTTCCCTTGTGATCCCGAGCCCTCTGTAGCACCACTGGCCCCCTCTGCCTCCTCACTCGGATCCTGTGCGTCCTCGATCATCTTTGCAATCTCGTCTGGCAACTCGAGCAAGCGGTACGAAGGTGCTGAGCCTGCGTCTTCGGCCTCAAAGACGTTGTCCGCATGCGCGTCTGATCGCCTCCTCTTACTTGGACGAGGAAGGGTGCAGAGAGGAATGGACGATGGTCCTGCCTGCGAGCTCATTGCTGCGACGAGAGCTAGCGGCTAGAGAGCGGGAAAAGGGGGTTGAGGATGAGGCAAAGAAAGTCCAGTGTTGGACACAAGTCCCTCTCCCTGTACGCCCTCTCCGTCTGTCCGTCCGTCCGTCTGGCACGCGTCGCCTCATTTCCGCGTTCCCCGCGCCCCCATCGAGAGACTGTCAGAGCTGAATGACCAAGACAACACCATGAGGCTTGAGGTACAATACACGAGAGATCGAAAATACAAATGTCCGTTTTACGCAACGAGTCCGTAAGCCTACTCATGGTCAATCATCAGCGATATCCAGGCGTCGCATAACTGTAGTAACCTGCTCCTGGTCCACCTCCTCCATACTGGCCTCGCGCCTGCGGCTGCTGACGCTGCCCTCCCACCGGTCTCTGACCTTGCGCCTGGCCCCATCCACCCCCATATCCACCGTATTGCTGCGGCTGCTGTGGCGTTGCCTGACCGGTCAATGGCGTCCCCTGCGCATACGCCGGGCTATATGGCTGTTGCTGATGACGATGCTGTGCCCAAGCCAGCGCTGGCGCTGGAGATGCCGCGTAGTTGCTTCGCGGCGTCGCCGTCATCGGATAGGCATTTCCTCTTCCATACCCCTCATCATACCAACCATCACTTCCCGCCCCACCATGATAATCATAGTCGCTCGCCGCGATCGACGACACGTACGGCGTCGGCCCAGCTGCGGGGCCAACTCCTCCACCGTAGCGCTTCTCTGCCCCAATAGGGAGATCGTCGTCCGAATGCGTGGCCCACTCGTCCGTGAGCGGCGTGTATTTGGCCCCACCAGCGCTGCCGGTAGCCCCACGTCCGACGTTGCCCGCCGTAACGTACCCAGCTCCGGCGGCCTTGGACGCACCAGCACCTCCTGCAGCTCCAGCCCCAAACGCCGCAGCCTGTCTGGCCCTCTCGGCCTTCCTCTTTCTCCTCACGCACGTCATGACCATGGCCCAGATAATAATGAGCCCCACCACTCCTGCCGCAATAGGGATCCCGTACTTGACCGCTCCCTCCTTGCTGAACACGCCGCCCCCACTCCCCGAGGAAGACGTCGCATCGTCCACACCCGTATCTCCACTGCCATCCCACATAGCCCCACTCTTCGTGTTGGGCGTTTGCGCATCCGTCCAGCCCGGCAGACCAGCCCAGCCTCCCGCTCCGGGGTCTTTGATGAAGGTGAGCTTGTTCCTGTTCAAGGTGACCGTTGGCTCGCCAGAGGTGTCATTCTGCCCTGTGTAAACCCAGGAGGTGATTGCGTTCGATCCGGAGCCAGTGGTGGCGACGTTGGACGCAGACTGATCTGCGCAGCTGATGCTGAGAGATGACAGCTCCATGGCATACCAACCGTTGGCCGTGTAGGCGGGTGAGGTGTAGTCAATTTGCCCACCGGCCCAGTCTTGTACGCCTTGGGGCTCCGTACTGTTGCCTCCAGCCCAAACGCTCAATTGCACGCGTGCGGGACTGCGTGGATAGGAGTCGCCCGCCTGCCTTTGGGTGAGCGTGCGGACAACCTGGCCGTTGATGCGCCACTGAAGGCGGTCCAGCTGCCAGTTGAGGCCGAAAGTGTTCCATTGCGATACGTCGAGTGAGGACGGGCCGACGTTCTCGCCATTGCCCAGCTTAGGAACACCGAGAGAGAAGTAGTTGGATTGAGCATCCGAAGCAGAAGAGGTGGTCGACTCCCAGTCGATCTACGTGGGAAAGAGTGGGACGCTGGTTAGCCCAACGTCGACAATTCGAAGGGCTTTGTCCCTTCGACGTGGACGCGCTACTCACCTCATCCTTGACATCGCTCATCAAAATGAATGCGGCTACCAGTCCTTGAGTAGCATTATGTCGCAGCCTCGCCTCGACATCTCCATAGAAGAGATATCTGGTCGAGGACACTTTAACCTGTCTCTGACTGGTCATCTGCATCAGTACGCCCTCCGGCCCCTTTCCCAGACTTCCACTGTCCAGAGTCAGGGGAGCCTTGCTCGCGTCCCCGGTGTACTGAAGGATAGGACGGAAATAGGAGACATTGTTGTAGGACGCCGGAGGAAAGGTAATGTTCTGAGAGGTGCAGATGGGGTTGGGCTGGCACGAGGTGGGAGAGTGCGAGGAGAGAGGGTTGCAACCTCCAGCGCAGTACAAGGCGCCTGTGCCGCAGACGCCCCCGTCTGAGCAGCAGGGTGCAGAGCTATCGCACTGAGAGGAGGCTGAGCACTTGTCACCTGCCGCGGCGTGGGTGAGAGTTGCGAGTAGGGTGACGGAGACGAGGATGGAGACGAGAAGAAGAGCGGCACGGCCGCGTAGGCGAGCCATGCTGATTGTGAAGCGCGAGTCGCGGTTGCGATGAGGGGGTGAAGCTAGTCCAGACGAGTAGCGAACAAGTGATTGGCGTAGAGAAGTGAAGATGGAAGAGAGAAATGAGAAGGACAAGGATGGTACTTCGCTTCCACGACGAGCCTATGGAAAGCTGTGTCTCTCAAGCCCCGGCGCAGGTGTTGATGAGCCTCCTTTCCTTTCCCCGCTGCTGCGTGGTGGCTCAAGTGACTGCAGGCGCGTCCCCAGGAGGCAGGCAATCGGGGGGCGGCGGCACGATCGGCACTCAGGCAGACCAGCGGACGCCGCCTTCAGTTGAGCGCGACGGAGGAAAGCAAGGAACAGTGGCGAGCGCGGCTACGACGAGACGCCGGGCGTGGGGAGACCGACGACGAGAAGAGCGGAACCCATGGAGGTAGTTCAATCGACTGGAGCGAGCCAGCCTTGAGATGCTGCTCAGCTCGGCGTCGCGCCCGAAGCAGTCGGATTGGCTGCAAATTCCACCGCTTCGTCGGCTCTGATGACGAGTCTGACTTCTGCTCGAGCCAGCTAGCAGGACGAGGTCGCTCAAACAGCCCGCTATCCAGACGCGAGTTCCGGGGACATCACGCAGCGTTCTTGATCGATGTACGGCAACTCATCGGCCGAGTCATCATAATCTACCTGCCTGCTCCAGTGTTGGCCAGCGTCACTCGAGGCGAGCCAGTGCACGCAATGCCCCTCTCGACGCTTTGCAACGCTGCGAGACTATTGTGAATCGCGTCACGCATCAGAGCCGTTGTGGTTTCGTGGGGTGTATGATTACAAGACTGAGAAGAGAGGACAAAGGTGAGATGGGCGAGGCAGACGAAGCGTGATGTCCTTCGCCCCAGAGAGGCGAGTAAAGGTGGGGCCCGATACGACCAACAACAAGAGGCTTGCCAGCCGCTCGCCCCCACCTCTTACTCTCCTCTGCTCCTCGTACCGCGGCGAAGTAACATGCATGCTTGGAGCACGCACGCTTACTTCTTGGCAGCGGCAGCCTCCTCCTCCTTCTTCTTCTCACGGGCCAGACGAGCACCCTCGTTACGGTGCTTCGCCCTCTCCTCACGCAGGGTGCGGAAAGCGTTGACCTCCTTCTCCTCGCTGGTGATAGCGCGGGGAGCCTCGACGGGGATACCAGCAGGGATGGGGAAAGCGGCCGCGGTGTCACGGACCGAGGTGATGGAGGAGAGGTCGACCTTCTTGTCCTTGTTCTTCTTGTTGCGGCGGGGGAGGACAACGAGGCGAGAGTGGTAGGCCTTGATGCGGTCAGCGTTGAGCTTGAGGGACTCCTCGCTCTTGTTGCGGCGGCGGTGGTCGACGGGAATGCCAACCGACTTGGCCTCCTTCTTGCGAAGACCAGCGGCCTTGATCTCCTCGGCGGTGAAGCCCTTGCCCTCGCGCCTGGCGGATTGATGGGGAGGGGGCAGGTCAGTCACCAGTCCGCCCTACTGGAGCACAGTCATCACATCGCCGCCGCGCACTCACAGCTTGGTGTTGTACTTGAGCGTGGGGCATCGGACAGCAGGGCGAAGGGGCTTCAGGGGGCGGAGGCCCAGGGCAGCAGCCTTGGCCTGGCGAGCGTTACGGCGCGACTTCTTGGCGCCAGGCTGGTCGAACCAGACCTTGACGCGGCGCTGCCAGTCCTTGCGGAAGTGGTTGTTGTGAAGGACGTTGTTGTGGCGGAAACCCATGGCGCTGCACAGACGAAGGGGGTGAGTTGGTTAGCTGGTGTTTAAGATGGTGTGGATGGTGAAATTGAGGCCGCAGCAACGACGACGACGACGAACGGATGGGCGGCATTGCCAGCATTGCCAGCATTGCCAGCGAGCGAGACCCTACGGCAAGTAGCTGCTTTTGCCGGTGCCGGGGAGAAGCTGTAATTGCTTCCAGCCTTGTGGCTGTATGCGAGCCAGAGCCTTACTCCCCATCGACTAATCGTCCCCCTCCAACGACCACCAATCCAAATTGCTTTCGCCCACTTCTCGCTGATGACGACAGACAGGCCAACTGCAGCGTCAACAGGACTGGAGCTATGAAGCAACAGTATCGACAACTTGTCGCTGCATCATCGCTGCCGTTGCCCTTTTGCTGTCGACGCCTTCTTCGCCGGCAGTCCTTCATCCATCTTCTTCCTGCCACATCTCCTCCCGTATGCGAGTAGCGAGGCCTGTGCCTCTGCTTCCCGTCTTTCTGATGTTGCAATCTGTTCGTCGTCGTGGTCGTTGCTGCAGTCTCCAATTCCATATGATGTCGCATACTCACTCTGATGAGGATGAGGGGGAGGGGTAGTTTGGTGGACAACGAGGACGAGGACGAAAGCCAGTTGCTTCGCTCTCGCTCACTTGACTTGACTGGCGGGGCGGGGCGGCAGGCGGGCAGGCTGCCACTCCGCCTCTCGTCGTTCGTTCGCGCCGCCGCTCAGAAAGAAGAGGGAGCCCGGAACGGAACGGCCAGACCGAGGGTGGCGCCCGCAGCAGCCATGTCGACTTTCGCCGGGCGAAATTTCAGCATCGTCGAGCATACCAGAGCATTAGCTTACCATGGTACTACCCATCTCGACTTCGCGTCATCAACGCTACGAGCTACGAAAATGCAAATACGGCAGTCGAGCATTACTTTACTAATTGATGTCTGCGCGCTCGACTGGTCTCACTAGAGTCATTGAGTCGGGCCAGGCTGCGATCAATTTGGCATCTTGTCACCACCCGTCGAGATGGAGGAGAGACAACGAATCGAAGGCGAAGCATCGCACCTCTGGGTTGGCACCCGCACGATCTCAGCTACCAAGCTCTCATCTCGGCGGTCTCGTGTATCGACCTGCCACCACCACCATCACTACTCCTGCTTAGTAAGCATGACAAGGTCGCATTGCCTATGTGACCCCAACCTTGCTTGCTGTGTCAGTGTCAACGAGGGTCAGCGCATGTGGCGATTGAGCTACCGATACTCTGCCATTGACTGTCATAGATTCTACTGTTTTGAGTACTCTGAAAGGAATCCGAGAAATGAAGGATGCCTCACTGTGTACCATCATAGCAATCACGCCGCTCGCGACGTTGCCGCCGCCACAGCCCCGCCACCACTGGGTCGTCAATTCGATTTATTAGGCGAGCAAGAGAGCGAGCCCGCAATAGCCGCGCTGTTGTAAGTGGTATCGTGACCTCCCCTTGACATCCTGCGAAAGAGGCAGGCCGTCGTCGCCGTGGCTACTCCTCAACGTGCTGCGTGGCCATAGCGATACTTCTCCGCACAAAGTCACGCCTGTGTGGCAGCGTTTAAACTGACTGCTACGTCCACGTGTATTGATCGAGCATTGCTTCACTTCCCCTAGTCTGACCTTGGGGCCCCTCCACTACTTTGCGGCCCAGCAGTGGGATGCCCACCTCCTCCTGTCGACGCTTCAGCTCCGGCACCACCTCCGCCAATGATCAACTGCGGGTGCTCCACAACCAGCCTCTCGCCCTCATACATCCTGTTCATGAGCGCCGCTCTCCTCAAAACCTCGAGATCCTTCTTTGCCGTCTCGTAGAAGGCCTTCAGCTTCTCCGCGTCCAATGACCCGCCGGCATGCTGAGAAGGGTTGCTGAGCCCATCGCCTGCGTTGAGTGGTGTTGACTCAAGGATCGAGGGAGCGGGTGATGTGAGAGTTGACGGGCTGACCGGGGATGTCTTGGCCCCCGCTGGTGAGAAGGGAGAAGACGTAGCTGCTGATGCTGGGGGGAGGAGGGTTGAACGAAATAGATCGCGCGATCGGCGCAGAAAGTAGGTGCGGAAGTTATAGGATGACTGTAGAACAGGGTCGAGGCGATGTTGGGGTCAGAAGGGTGCTCAAGGAGTGGGCGATGCGACGCTGCGCTGCACACTCACAAAGGACTGAGCGGTGGCGAGGTATTTTCGGTACAGGCCAAGGATCTGGGCTCTTGATGGCGATGACATCGTATTTGTGGGTCTGTGGCTCTTCTCAATGATGCGTCCTGCTGAGCTGTAGATGAGTCTGTTCTCTCTTTCGTTCGTAGATGGGGTTGTTGGTGGTGGTTATAGAAGTGGTGATTGGTGGAGGCACGCTTTCATGATTGGCGGCGTGCTCGGCGATCGTTCATCCAAATCATGTCTCGTCCGACTTCAATTGAGTGGCCGGCCACTCCGTAAACCACGTGGCGTGCTGGATAAGAGAGCCACTCTCAACACGCTCGTCTGAGCGTTCGCGGGGGGCGAGAAATCGACGCGTGTGCATATAGGCGGGGAGGGGGACACTCGAGTTGCTCTCGATGTTCCCAAAGCACATCCACCCACTTCGACGTCTCTGACGGGAAGGTCATCGCCAAGATGGCCTCCCCACCAGCCTATCGCAGCGCTGAGCCATGCATCGCCTCCTCTTCGCCAAGTCGCGGCGACCTATCCTCCCCTCTACCGCCTCCATCGACTCCACCTCCTCGCTCCCTGTCGCCCGAGAGTCCCTCACTCCGCCATCAGCATCAACTCAGAGCGAACCCTTGCTCACCACCGCCAAACGACCCCTTCTCTGCCCACAACAAGGCACTAGCATCTCAGCATCCGAGCTTTGGCAAAGAATATCCGCATGTCAAGCATCCAAGCAGCACGCAGCGGCGCAACGCGGGCAAGAGGAGCCTGCCTGTCAGCCCCAACCTTCCACAAGGGGCAACAGGTGCGGCTGCGTATCGGCCATCGAATTCGTCATCCTCATCGTCGTCAAGGCGTACAGCAGGGAATCGCCGAGCAGGCCGGGGAAGCTCATCTCACGGCCACGCAGGCAGCAGCAGCAGCAGCGGTACAGACGCGAGTGAGCGTAGACGACGTGACCAGGTCCTCGGGGGCTTCTTTGGCGCCGACTCGTCGGAGGCTGATGCGCCTACTTCGGACGATCATCTGGATCACGTACCCTGGAGTCAGCCAGGCAGCGATGCTGAAGACACTAGCGCGCACGTCGGGCTTGGCTTGGGCCAAGGGTTCCAAGAGCAGGGCTCCCCAACCTCAGCTCGGCGTCGTCTTCCCCTCAGCGCCTCGGGTACACCCGCAGCGCGGCAGCCCATTTCCCGCTCCTCCTCCGTCAACGATCCCTTTGGCGCATATCAAGCCCAGCCATCGGGCTCCAATCTCTTTCCCATGCGGGACCACCGCCCATCACTGTACCGTAACGGCCCATCAGGTGCATCCTCTTCGCCCCGCCAACCAGTGACGCAACGTCGTCGTCTTGCTGGCACATCACCTAAGAAGCTCTCCACCGCTCGCAGCATGGGGCGGCTTGCCCTCGACCAGGGCAGCAGTGACAGCGAAGACGAGGGAATCAATGCAGTCGTCAAGAGGGAGCAAGAGGCAGCGGCTGCATCAGCAGCCGCGCTGGGCTCATCCATGCACGGCCGATCAATGAGCCAGTTCTGGACCTCTCTGGTGGAAAAGGTGTGGGATTCGGGTGACACAGTGATCGACGTGAGCGATAGCCAGATCATGTCCATCCACCCAGTGGTTGCGGATCTGGCAAGCTATGTCGCGATTGAGCCGCCTAGGAGTTTTGAGCCTACTACATCCACAAGCTCCCTCCCGCTGCCGGCGAAGGCGGAGGCCTTTCAGCGACATCCTTCTATGGCCTCGAGGGCTCCATTCAGTCGTACAACTACAACGCTACTGGGTAGCGGGCCCAACTCGCCCCTGGCCAAGACGGATTCCACCTCGCGCCATTCCTTCCCTAGGGGTACTCTCCAACTCTTCCTCCACAACAATTCACTCACTCGTCTGCCCTCCGCCCTCTTCGAAGTGGGCAACTTGCGCGTCCTCTCGCTGCGTAAGAACAATCTCACCTCCCTCCCAGCAGCCATTGGTGACTTGGCGCAGCTTCGGGAATTGAACATTGCGGGCAATAGACTGAGGTGGCTCCCCGCAGAGATCTTAAAGCTGAGATTGGATCGCTTCAGCTACTGGCCGAACGCTTTTGTGAGGCCGGCGCAGGACACCGGAGAGAAAGTAGAGACGAGAGCTGTATTCAGCATCACGGGGGCGCTGCTTGCTAATCAGGTCGATGACCAGGAGGATGGTGGGTGGCCGACCGACGAAAACCCAGGTGCAGCGGACGAGAATGGGAGGGACGACACGATGGAAACAGACTTTCTCGCATCCCAGCCTACGGTGCGCACCCCAAGCAACCAGCAGGAGTCAACGACGCCTTTGTCGCCTAATCAAGGCTGTGGCATGATGGGACCGCCACCTCTGCCATACCGCGGAGGGCTCTATGGTCAGCACCTTCAAGCTGGGCCTTCCGTGGCGGGTCTCGCACCACCACGTCGCACCTTTGACCGTTCACGATCCGATGCGCAAGTTGACGACCTGCTCTCGAGGGGCGGAGGGAGGATGGTCGGCCGCGCCAATCCAGCGTCGACCCCGTCGGATCTCCCGTCGTTGACTGCCTCTCCCCCGCTCGGCCAGGATGGGGACGAGCCAATGCCAAGCGGCGAAGCCCCAGCGGCACCATCGGAGTCGACGGCCCCTATCGCGGGTGCACAGATCTCACGCATCCTCGGTCCTCTGGAGCGCGTACCTGGAGCCGGTGCCCTGCCCACGCTTAGGGAGCTTTGCATTCGTCGCCTCCTCTCTCCCTACGAGGCGTCTGAAGATGAAGACGACCTCGTTGCGCATGGAGCAGACGATTCCCACGCCACGGTGATGCCCAGCCCTTCCCGTTCGTCCCCTAGCGCCTCATATCGCCGATCAATTGTCTGGTCACGCGTCCCCTCCTCTTCCTCTGCCTACCAGTATCGCTATCACAACACAAATGGTCGTCGCCCTACCTCTCTCCTGGAGTCATACGAGAACGGGGCGCTGAGGGATTTGGAGATGGGCAACCAGATGGAGACGAGAACCATTCGGGCGCTCGAGGCGGCAAGAAGGACGATGGAAGGGAAGTGGGGCAGTAGGAGTGGGATCACTGGACTGGCTGGGGCGAGTGCAGCAGGAGGGGACAGCTGGTGCAGGGGCGTAGCAGGGACAAACCGGGACCACCAAGTCGGAGCTGAAGGGGAAGAGGATGGGGACGAAGCGGACGCCTCTTCTTCCTCATCGGAAGGCGGAGCGGCCGACGCTGACAGGAAAGGAAGCCGCATGGCACCCGCTCCTTCAGGTGTAATGGACGTTTCCTCCCATCTAGACACTCAAGGGGATGATGCTTCGCTCAATCCGTACTTCAACCGCTGTCCCAATCCGCGCCATCAGGAGACCCACAGCCTCTCTACCCAAGCTGGCGGGGTCGGCAGCGATGGTGACTTTACAGTGGACTATCCACTTCCTCCCTCAAAGTGCCCCTACGCTCCCATCTTTGACGTAGCGATGGAGCAGAGGCTAGAGTGGGTGAGCCATATCGCTGGAGTCAAGGTGGCGGGCGTAGATAGCGGGGAATTGATCCCTGTGCTTTGGAGGGGTTGCAAGAGGGGATGTTTGAGCTTCTTGGACGAAGCGACGCGGTGAATGCGGTGAATGCGGGCGGAGGGGGCCTTGATACCTTGAAACTATTCTTTCAGTTCATCCGCATGAAGCAATGACTATTGACGCCGTCCATAGCATGACTCGTTGAAGGTGCAGTGGTGCCACGACGTCGTGATATTTTCACTTTCTTGCTCCACGATGCATGACTGAACCCTTTAGCCCGTGGTTGGTTGGAGCCAGGCGGGAGCCAAAGACGGCAAGTCGGTGCACTGGCCGAGTCGGCGCCTTGGCCGGCCCAGTCCGCATTGCGTTGCAGTTGCGAGACAAGCAACACTCGGAGAGCAGCACCGAGGCGCTCAAAGCTCAGCTCATCGCTGCCCTTTCGCCTTGTCCCCTGATCCACACCACTCAACCTCATCACCTCTTCCACAGGAACACCAGAACGCCGTCTCGCGACCGGCTGCGGCGACTACAGATCGACAGCGCTCAGAGATTGGGCGATTAGCGATCACGAGCGCCGCATCCCATTGCCACCACTTGTCCACATCTCCACTCAGGCCCGCTCCCAGACCGCTCCAATCAAAGGGGCGCAGCTCAGCCCCCACCGTCGCTGCCATCACACCTGGCAGCATTCGAGCCAAGACCGTTCGTTGCCGCCATCGTCAACAAAGGACGCTCACGCCATCCCATCCACGTCCGCTAGTGGCGTTGCCAACCCACGCCCTCGTCGCTCCCGGGTCAGTGAGGCACCAGTGCGGCAAGGCACTCGCCTGATAGCAATCGGTCTTCCCCTGAAGACCGTCTACAACGAACGTACAACTCAGTTGCAGCAGCTCGCTCCAACAACAGCCGTCGGCCAGCCCTCCCCCACCTCACCCCTCATCGCAACGCATAGATCTCTCGCCCAGCATGAGCTCTCCAAAACGTAGGATCGAGACGGACATGATGAAGCTGTGCGTACGGCGAGGTACACGATTTTTAGCAAGACGCTCACAGCTGACTATTCACTCTCGTCCCTGATGCCCTCCTGCCTCGCAGCCTGATGTCGGACCACGAGGTGACGCTCATCAACGACTCGATGCAGGAGTTCTACGTGCGATTCGTCGGGCCGTCAGAAAGTGGGTCGAGCCATTGCGTGTGCCGTACCATGCTGTTCACGCTACTGACCCTTCGACTCTCATCCTCGCCCCTACCCCTCCCCCCTCTCTCATCGACCACTCACTTGCTCGCAGCTCCCTTCGCTGGCGGCACATGGAAGATCCACGTCGAGTTACAAGATCAATACCCGTACAAGTCGCCCTCCATTGGCTTCATGAACAAGATTTTCCACCCCAACATCGATGAAACGAGCGGTTCCGTCTGCCTCGACGTCATCAACCAGACTTGGTCGCCCATGTTCGACTTGGTCAATGTATTTGAAGTCTTCCTCCCGCAGCTGCTTCGCTACCCAAATCCTACTGACCCGCTGAATGGTGACGCGGCGGCCTTGTTGATGAGGGATCCCAAGGGGTATGAAGGCAAGGTCAAGGATTACGTGAGGAGATTTGCCAGCGGAGGGGCAGCAGCGGAAGCCAGTAATGGAGATGGTGAGAAGAAGGAGAGGGAGAATGGGGACGACGATAGCGATGAGGAAGAGGAGGAGATGAGTGACGCAGGCAGCTTCGAGGCGGATGAGGCGGCGGACATGGAGCTGTAGAAGAGGGCGCCGACGAGGAGCCTAGCGATTGGAAGCGGACAGTCGATGGGGCTCACATTACATTGTGCTTGTCATCTATCCCTCTACTTGCAGCATGTTTCTCTTCTCCCAGTCGATTCTCGTTCTCTCAATGTCCATGACCATCATCACAGCGATGAAGCTCTGAGGGCGGAACGAGCGTCTGCTCGGCGCTCGAGCCATGCACACTCGACGGGCCTGGTCGTCTCCCGCGCTGCAGCGGAAATCCGGCCATACATAGATAACTTTGGGCGACGATTGCTTCCTTGTTGTCTTTCGACCTTTTCGCTCCATCTCACCGCAGCAATGTCACGCTTCTTCAGGCGAGGCGAAGGAGGCAGTGGCGCATCGACGCCAGGCGCATCAGCCGCCTCGTCAGTCCGCAACTATGCCTCGCCTTCGTCGTCTTCGCTCGCATCGACGCCCGCTACGACGACCGACTCCCCCTCTTCCCTCCTCGGCTCTCCTACCTCACATCTCATCACCCGCCCTCACCCCTCCGTCACCATCTCGCCCCTTCCAGCCCCAACAGAGGAAGAGAAGCCCGTCCTAGCCCGTCTTCGCGAGCATGTTGAGCGCCTCATTCATTCTCACTATTACAACACCGACGGATCACCACGCCAGGCTGGATCCATGGACGAAGAGGGCAAGCCAGTCGAGCCCTATTACGAGAAATGGGAGAGACGCTGGCTCGACTACGAGCCAGAAGACTGGACTGTCCGTCGCTACTACAAGGCTTCCGCCAACAAGGAACCAGAAGCAAAGCGACGCCTAGCCCACAGCCTTGCCTGGCGCCGCAAGATGAAACCGGACCTGATCCTCCCTTCGTACGTCAAGATTGAGGGTGAGACGGGCAAACATCTTCTCTCCGGCTTTGATGATGAAGGCAGGCCTCTATTGCACTTGATGCCGGGCAAGGAGAATACCAAGCCGTCACCTCGTCAGATCGCCTATCTCATTTGGGGTTTGGAGAGAGCGTGCGACTTCCTTCCGCCAGGCCAGACCAAGATCGCCCTCGTCATCGACTTCCATCAAGCCTCAGCGGGCGAATCTCCCGGTCTGGCCACGCAGAAAGAGGTTCTAGCAATCGTGCAAGACCATTATCCCGAACGACTCGGCCGAGCATTCGTCATGCGGCCCCCACTGTGGATGGGCGCCCTCTACAAGGCCCTCGGACCCTTCATCGACTCGGCCACGAGGGCCAAGATCAAGTGGAACCTGCCTGCCAAGGAGTTGCAAGGATTTATACCGGGTGAACAGTTGCTGAGGGACTATGGCGGGCGCTACAACTTTACCTTTGAAAAGGAGGCATTCTGGGACGAAGTGCTCGATTTCACCGGGGTTGATGCAGAGGGAGGAAGAAAGTGGGCAAGTCTGGCAAAGTGTGAGAGCGGGAATGAGGAGCAGTGGAAGAAAGAAGGCAGAGGGAGTCTGGCTGGCAAGCCAGCAGAGGAGAGCGAGGGGAGCGAGGGGAATGAGGGGCACGACGGCCTCATGAGCGGAAAGGGCCCAGCGAATGGCACCGAGCATGACGATGTTACCGACGACGACGACGACGACGACGACGACGACGACGACGACTTTACCGATGCACAAGACGACCTTGCAACGATCGCAACGACTGCGACCAGCACCACCACGACGACTGCGACCGCACAGCCGCAAGCATAGGCTCACGACGACCCAGCACAGTAGATACATACATGCACATCAATCAGCTCAGCTGTACGCTGCATCGCAATGGCAGAAGCTCGCATACCCTGCATAACGCGATGATGGCAGCCCCCATGTGAGCTCGGAAGTTTGAAGATTGCGTGGGTAATGTCGATTTGGGCCTAACGACGTGGACCCGAGGCCGCCGCTGTGGGCAGCAAGAGAAGCCAGCTCCCCATCCTGGCCGAGAGCTTGATGACAAGGACAGACAGCCTTCGCCTTCCTTCTCTCGTTGCTGCTTGTCTCCCCTCGCTCATTTCCCCCTCATTGCCCGACCGCGGGCGGAGTCCTGACGCCCTCCGCTCACTTATGATCAATGGGAGGTACCTCTACCTCTTCAGCACCAGGCTCTGCATCCTGTACGACGGGCCAGCCGGCATTCTCGCCGTGATCCGTCACCATGCCTCCGAAGACCTTCCGTTCTCCTTCGACGGGGCTGGGCTTCGCGTGGTGATGAAGGCCTGAGAGCTTGCCGCCGCCGTGGTGTTTGCGCCCACCGCTGATGACGCCCTTGCTCAGGCATTTGGCCGAGTCGCCGAAGATGTTGTCATTCGTAGTCTCTGCCGTGATTGCATCAGTAGACTCCAGGTTTCTGCCACCGCACCAGCACGTGTCGTCAGCTTTGTTGTCCAAGGGGCAGGAGGCGGTGTCCGATTGGAAGCTGCGTGTCGGACGGGAGGACGACGTGTGAAAAAGAGTGTGAGGAATGAAAGGGGGCGTAGAGACACTCACCAGGCGGCTGTCAGGGTGACCCGGCAGCATGCTGCGGAGCCAGCGGCGACTGGGCGGACGAGGAGCAACATCAGGGCGGGCACGAGTAAAATGGCGGTAGTGAGAAGGTGGAAGCTGCACATCCGAGTGGATGGCATCTTGTTTTACGCGTGCGGCTTCGTGCGTGGCGAGCAGACAACGGGATGACGAGGCGGGCAAGTTGTAGCGCAGATTGGCGAGCAACTGTCTGGGGCTGAGAGGGTCGAGAACCGAGGAGCTTTTGTCGATGACGATGGGGTAGCTCGTTCACCGCTAGGCTGAGCACTCTCTTGGTGAGAGCAGGGTCAGGGCATATGCATGGCGTAGTCAGTACCGTAGAGGTCAGCCGGCACAGTGTCCCTGGGCATCGCTAATACAGTCATTTGAGTGTTCGTGTTACAAGCATCATCGAGCTGCTTGATTGTGATCGAATGATGATCCTCGAGGGGTCGGCTCATCACTCCTTAGGGCGTGTCGTTGCCCCTTTCTCACGCTCGTCAAAGGCTCCGCACACGCGGATACCGAGCAACAACCCGACGGAGCCTGTTGCAAGGTCGCAACATTTGAAAGGGGGCAGTGGCCGACATGCTCAAGTTCATCCATGCGCCGATCACCCGCTGCAGGTGAGCGCACGTAACTGAGGTTGGGCCGCCGAGGGCGCGGCTAGTCGGTATCGGCGAGCGCGACGCCGATAGGCTGGCGCGCGCGCTCGTTCTTGTTTATCTGGTGGCAGCGCGATGTGAGGCCAGAGTCAAGTACATCTGACGGCCGCCGAAGGTCATTCAAGGGGAAAATGTAGGATCATCGATGCGGGCGGAGGGCTGCGGCGGCCGGGCTTTCGCGAAGTGGCGGTGGTGGTGGCGGCGGCGGCGCGATGTGGGCAGCGGCCCGCTCACGGTATCGCACTGTAGCGGCGGCACGAAGCAGACGAAGGAATGCACGTGTTGAGAGCGATTGACAGGCATGCGCACGAGATTGCCATCATGCCTGATTGGCATTGGTGCCCGAATCGTATATTGTTTCGCGTAGCACAACCTCGCCATGTTTTCGTGTGTTTCGCCATGGCTACTCTATGTCTATTTCGTCACAAGCCTCGCCGTGCCTTCCCCTTCTGTTCCTCGCTGCCGGCAGTGCTGCTTGGGCTCGCCCACCACGCTACATCTTGGCAGGCTGCTTGATAGCTAGCGAGCAGCAGGCCGTGTCTTCCAAGGCGCTTCCAGGGCAGTCTTTGCCAACGCTGTTCTGACTAGCGGCAACAATGAAGCGCGAATGGCTGATCAGCGCATGGGAGGGCCACGGTCCTCGCGTCAATGCTCACCAAAAGCCAGCGACCTTGTCCTTGCAGCAAGCCGCCACCATGGGCCTGGCGACCAAGAGGCAGGTAGTCATCAGCATGATGACGGCGAAGAGGGTGTGAGTGAACATGGTCGTGAGCATCATGTTGGACGTTGCAGTGCAAGACGGTGGGCTCGGTGTGATGAGTACAAGAACGAGAGTGCGCTGCTCGCCTCACGCGGTATTTGAAGCGCAATAGCTTGGCTGACCCAGTAGTCGAAGCAAGCAGCTTTGCTCAGCATGACCGATACAGGCTACAGGATTGTCTCGGCATTCTTGTTGCTGCGGTCAGCCGGTGCATCGTGCCCGCTGGACTTCCGACATCGTGGCTTCTGTTGAACCGCTCAATGCGCCGATGTCGCCAGGAGTGTTGTCGCCTACAGATTATGATGCTTGAGAGCGAAGGGGAGCGATTGTCGTACACAAATGTTGTCGGCATGATGACGGTGCGATGTGGGAAGAAGGCCAGTTGGACCGAGAGCAGAGGGTCAGGATGTTGACATTGGTCTCGGATGAGTCGCACGATGTGCGATACGTGGATGGCAAGACTCGAGCACAGCAGGGCAACCTTCTTGCCCGCACGGTCGTTCTCGTCAACCTAATGCGACCAGTGACGGCAACAGAGCTCGGTGTACGGAAAGCTCGTTTAGAGCTGTTGGCTCCTGCGGATGGCGAGGGGCCGCACTCAACACGAAGCGATGCGCAACAATGCTCGCCAGTGGGAGAGAGAGGCCGATGGCATTTTCACACGTCCTTTACAACAATGGCAGACCTGGTGAGTAGTTCGGACGTCGCCGACTTCATTTGCCCTCGACATCGATCGCCTGCCTCTCATCCTCAACCTCAGGGTCCCTGATCTTGGCCTGAAAGAGCGTCTCACTGGCCGGCGGGCAGCAGTGCGAGTCAGCGGACCAGCCGTAGGGGCAGTCCGTGCCGTTGAACTTGGTGCTAGTAGTGACGGACAAGAGGGTCAGCCTCACCGAATCGCCAGCTACTTGACGGGCATTCTACACTCACCAAGCAGCCGTCATGTCGTTCCTGCAGCAGACTTTGCCCAACGCCTCGCCAAAGAGCAGGGGCGCTGCGAGCACGAAGGCAGCGATAACACAGCAGGTCAGCGTATTCTTGCGCATGGTGTTCGTGCGATGAGAGTACGTGTCGATGTCAGGAGGGCAAGAGGGCTGCGCGCCAAGGCAAAGCTCAGATGGGGAAGCCAGCGAGGCCGGTTTGTAGCCGCAGAGGCAGGGCGAAGGGCCTGCCTGATTGCTACGCGGATTTCGCCGTTCGCCAGCATTTGACCTTTGACCAATGTAGCGCCGAGTCTCAGCAAAGAAGCAAGCGTGGGGAGACGATGGACTTCCCGTGGGCAGGAGCAGCCGGGCGATTGCGGCAGTGTCCCCGGCCCAGCCAAAGAGCATCGTCGTGTGGGCGTAGACGACGAGCTGGCAAAAGAGCCAACGCACGTCGTCGGCGCAGGACTACTGGGGCTGTCGGCGGATGAGCTATGCTGAGGTAGCCTTGCCTTGGCAGTCCTTTAGCTGGGCCCTGGGCACGGGCACGGCCCTAGCAAGCACGACGAGGTCCCAGCAAGCTCCCATGGGCGGAGTCTCAGCCAAAGGCAAGCCACCGGCCGCACGTGCGCGCCAGCAACGGACTGCGACATCTTCCCTTCCCGCGCAGCAAAGCTCGTATCGCGTCAGAAAGGAGGTGCAAAGCGCGGAACAGGACATGGCCGCACCGACCAATCTCGCATCGCTTCACGCGTCATGCTCTGCACATGAGGCGCTTGCAACACCTCAGCAAACCATCTGAAACAGCACGCCCCCTCATGCGGTCGCTACAGCATGATGCAGGAGCGACAAGGCAAATGACGAAGATTGGTCGACCTTGTGCCGGCCGGCGCAGCGGCGAGCAATGATCTGGATGCTCACGCCTCTTGCGGTGAGCTGAGGACACAAAATCCGCTGTGCCAGGTGACGATCAAGACACTCATCAGCTAAAGAGGTTTCCTGCGTTGTCAAAGTGCCTCAACGCAGCCAGCAAGCACGCTCTGCAACCTTTCGCCGGCGCAAACAGCGAAGACGATGCAGGCACGGCGGCGCTAAAGACAGCTGGCCGTCACGCGTCGTGTCCATCGCTCCTCACACATATACACAATGAGCGATCTCAATTCATCTACGACGCAGTCAAGTATGAAGTTCTCCCCATCTTGTCAGCACAAACAAGACGCTCAGCGTGGCGTGAAACTCGTCTTTTACAGAAATGAACGCGAGATGTTACTGCCGTTGAAAGAGATGATGAACAGGGTATTTGCGGCGAGTGAACGCGACCCAGAGATGACAGTCCGCCCGGGCGTTTCCGCTTTGCCTTCCTGACCCTCGCACAACAGCATCTTGTCCTGTCACACTGAGAATCGCGCTGTCAAACAACCTCTGTTTCATTGACGAAGCAAGACTCTTGTTCTGACCTTATCTGCTAGCACTACAAAGGTGACGCCAGCTTAGAAACCCTTCTCTAACGCCTCGACCTCGGTGCCCGTGCGGAAATCCTGAATCACAAACGTGCCAACCCGCTTGTTGGTTGGACTGGCCGATCTGACGACCAGGGCGTACTATTACCTCGCAAACGATGGCCTGCAGGATGGCGCGGGTAAGGGCGAGTCGGTAGCGACGAGCTGCTCCCTTTGCAGCCTGTTCCGCTCTTCCATGTGGATGGCAGCACGCAGAGCTGACGCTGCGCCTTCTCTGTCGTGTCGTTGCGGTGCTGGCAAACTCCTTTGGCGTCGCTCCTGACGGCAATCCGCGGGCGTGCAGCTACGACAGACCATTGTCTCGCAGTGCCTCTAGTGTTGTCCGATTTGAGTCGCGTGCAAGACCGAGTCGAGCAGCTGATGAAGGACCTCGTCGACGGTGAGCGTCTGGGGACAGAGGGGTCGTCGGTCGTAGGAAGGCCAGCTTGCGCGCCACGTCGTGCTTGGTGCCGCTGTCGAGCTTACTCCGATTCTCATCTCTAATGTTCCTTCCTACACGAGGGGGCCGCTGACCGTGTTGATTTCGCCATCGTATCGTGCTCGTAGGAGAGGTCGTGGCCTTGGAAGCAGCGCTGCGGTCAAGTGATGGTAGCGAGTGATCGAACGAAAGCGTCAAGGTAGTCACAGGCAGCGCCCGCGTGTGCGCTGCGCCAGCGCGAACGACTACTCGCCCGCCATACCCTCCTCGAGCTCCCTAGCAAAGTCGGCGAGGTCGTCACCGTCTTCTCCTTCTTCGTCATCGTCGTCCTCATCTTCATCGCTGTCGTCTTCTTCTTCTTCATCGTCGTCATCGTAGGCGAGACTAGTGCTGGGAGCGAGAGTGGATGGTTGCCAGGTGCTGCGTGGCGCCACGCTGTTTGAGCGCGGCGTGCCAGCGGTAGCCGTGACGACGGGCGTAGAAGGTGCGGCTGGCGCGGGTGGCGTGGCTGGCGCAGCGCGTGAGGCGATTGTAGGCGAGGTAGTCTTGCTGGTCGTGGCGGCAGCGTCGGTGGCTTGCGTCTCCTCCTCGTTCAGCGAGAGGCGGGCGGAAAGGCGTCGTGATGAGCGGGTTGCGGGTGCTTTAAGTGCATTACTCGATACGGTAGAAGAGGCGGGCGACGATGTAGCCGCAGGGGCGGGCGCTGCCTTGTCGTCGTCCTGAGCTTGGTTGATGACGGGTGGCTGAGATGCTTGGGCATCGACGTCATGCTTGATCCTCTTGCTGGGCTGATCGGTGCGCTGAGCTAGGACCCGCTTTGCCCGCTCGCTGAGCGTCGTTTTGGACCGGTCGAACTTCCAGGACACGCTGGCGGCTACTGCTTCGAGGCGGTAGACGTGGGCGTCGGCATCCCAGACGAGGAGCAGGTGATGGTCGACGCCGCTCGCGTGGTGCTCAGAGACTTGGCTCGAGGTGAAGACATGGGCGTTTGACGAGGCCGAGCGGGGTGGATATTCCAGAAGCAGGTCGCCAGACGATGAGGACGAGGTGAGGGCGCCTAGGTGTGGGGACGAGCTAGCTTGCTGGAGCGACGAGGGTAGCAGAGAGTCTGTGACGGCGGGAGTGCAGACGTTGATTAGCTTGCCGATCGTTCCCTTACAAATCCTGCGGTCGCGCACTCGCACTCGTACTCACACTTAAAGGCGTAGAAGGCGTCGCTCTCGCTGCTTCCCTGATCGCTGCCTGCTCTGCGCTGTGCGAGCCTGCGCACGCTGTCCGAGACGACGACTGGAGCACGTTGCGAGGCAGCTGACATGGCGAGGATGGAATGGATGGCGGGAGGGAACAGCCTTGCTGGCGTGCGATGCGGATGGCCGCGGAGATGATTGGTAAAGAGAGGCGGAAGCAGACATGTATGGATACCTCGATGCTGCTCCAATAATTCGCGCTGGCCCGAGCGTCTCACTTTGCCATGCGGGCTGCCCGCCTCGCCCGCCTAGCCGCCTCCCACTCCTCTCTTGCTGCGTCCGCGTCCCTGTGTCCGCGTCTCTATCGCTCTCCCTTGTCTGCCGCGTCTGAGAACGACGCGGCGGCAAGGCATGAGAGCGGGAGAGCGAGCGGGTAGCGGCCCAAAAAGAAAGGGGACTTTCCTTGACTACCACAACTACCACGACGGACCTTCTGTCTGCGACCATGACCGCTTCTCACCCATCATCTCGTCACGCGTGATCGTACTAGACACCACCTTCCTGTCGTCGCCGTCATGGCAAAGAGCCGCCAGCTCAAGGCGACGCCGGCGGCAGCATCATCGCCTGCGTACGACTACCTGCCGCCTCACAACGCGAGACCAGGACCATCGCATTCCCCCAATGCAAACACCAACAAGCCGCTCCCCAAGGTCACTTACCGCAAGCCACCGCCATCGAGCGCAGCGGCTGCGGGAGGCAGTAGCAGCAGCGCCTTTTCAAAACCTCTCCCTCCTCCCGACCCATCACCTGTTCGTCCTCGTCCTCCCCGTCCGGACAGTGCCATGTCCACCTCGACGGCCTACTCGGCGCGTGGAGCCATCGTACACACCGCCAGTAGAGCGGTGCCGGTGAAAAAGGGCAAAGTGCTCAATGTCAGGAGAGGTAGCAATCGCGAACAGGAGCGCTCCTCCTCATCTTCGCCTCCGCTCGAACGGCCGCCTTCAGATCGAGATAGTCTGGCGTCCTTGACAGATGACGGCGGCCAAGGCGACGCCGCTTCAGAGTACGATCCGGATGAGGCAGTGGTACTGCAAGAGCAGCCGCGACGTCGAGGGCCACCAGCAAAGCTCGACGTAGCTAGAGCGAGAGCAACAACAAACTACGATAGCCTACCATCGCCCCAGGCGTCGCTCAACTATCCGAGCCCGACTGAGGGAGTGGGGCGGTCCACCAAAAGCAATTCGACGCTCAGCATCAATGTCGCAGGCATGAGCACGAGCGCTAGTCATGGCAGCGCAGGAACTGGAAAAGGCCTGCCGAAACGAGCTTCCAAGAGCGCTACGACGGCGCTGCCACAGATGCCCCAGCGCAGCCCTTCGACGTACAGCGGAGACGGTAGCGCTCCCCAGACGACCGGGCAATGGGCATCCCTCGTGGAAGAGCCAGACTCATTCGAGACAGATGCCAATCTCGCAAAACTGGCAGCTTGGTCTGCCTCGACGAGCTCGCAGCCCAAGCAGGCAGTCGAGGCGGCGCGGCCACCACAGCCTCGAGCCTCGCAGAATGGGGCGCCACGCAGCACGGCGTACCTCCTCAACTCGCTCCTCTCCTCGCAAGCGTCCATCGAGATTACCTCTTCCTTCACACAACCGCCCTTTGCATCCGTCGAAGACTATGAGTTTGCCAAGCGCGAGCTCAAACGTCTGCAGGATCGACTGTCAGACAAAAAGTCTCGCCTACGCACACTCAAGAGGGTGCGAGGAGCAGTCGGCAAGCTGGCAAAGGCATCGTCACCTAGCCGATCAACCAGCATCAACGGCATCAACACGCCGCTCGGCACCCTCTCAGAGTTGCCCGCCTCGTCTTCAGACTTGAGCGTCGCATCCACGGCCGCACGCTCGCGCAAACCTACGCTCACATCGTCTCACCAACACTCGCGCAACCTATCCAATGTCACGAGCTTCTCGACGACGACCGAATCTCTTGGCCCAGGAGGGTCATCTGCGGCATTCGAGTCGGCAGCTGAGCAGGTCGACAGGATCGTGGATGAGGTCATGGTGTTGCAGGACAAGATTGACACGCTCAAGACGAGGATGAGGGAGCACGTAGCGAGAGTGCTACTCGAGAGGTGCGAGGCGCTGGAGAGCGGGGGTCATGAGCCGGAGCAGCAGCAGCAGGGCGACGAGGAGGCAACGAGTGGCGCATCGCGCGCAGAGCTCGAGGAGGCAACGAGTGGCGCATCGCGCGCAGAGCTCGAGGAGGTCCGTCAGCGGCACGAGGAGACGCAAAGGACCCTCGCCGAGCTGCAAATGTCCCACGAACAGGCTCAAAGCACGCTCAGCCAGGCGCAGCTGTCCTTGTCCGAGCGCGACAGCGCTCTTGCGGCAAGCAAACGAGCCAATGCCGACCTCCAAGCCCGCCTCGATGAGCTTGAGCGCAACGGGCGTGCCTCTTCGGCTCGTCAGGCCAAGCTCGAGGCAGATTTGGCCTCCTCACAAAGTCAGCACGAATCCCTCTCCTCTACGCTCTCCTCACTGCGCTCCGAGCACGACGCGCTACGTGGCAAGCACGACACTGTCACTCGCGACTTCGAGGCTGCGAGAGCGACGCAAGGCGACTCATCCTCTCAAGCTGCGGCGGCCCAAGCCCGCTACGAGGAGCTCGAACTCGCCGTCTCTGCAGAGCGCAAGATCATGGCTGAGCGCGACGCCCTCTTCCACGCCTTCGAGGCGCGACTGGAGCGAGCAGAAGGTACTCTTCGCGAGCAAGATCGACGCTGCGCCGCATTGTTGGGCAAGAGCGAAGGACGTGAAGAGCTCGACGATTTCCTGGCCAAAATCAGAGGTGGCGGGGCCAAGGCAAAGGAGAAAACAGCCGGTCAGGACATCGATGCGCTGCTCAGCTCTCTGGGACAACACGTGGAAGACTTGGCGGATGAGCTGGCTCGACGTCATCGCGACGACAGCTACAGCTTCAATGGCGGCGCGACAGACGACTACAGTCGAGCGGACGAGCTCGGCGAGCTGCTGGAGCAGTCCCGCAGCGAAGCGACTCGACTCCGTGCGCAGGTCGAGGACAGCCGACTGCAGATCGAAGCTCTCAACTCTACGCTCAACCGGCCAGACAGCACATCGCGTGTAGTATCGGCGCGTTTGTCCACCAAGCCGATGCATGGACGATCCTTCTCCTCAGCCTCGTCAACGCACCAGGTGCAAGAGTTGCAAGATCGAGTTTCAGTCATGACGCGAGAGAACGAGGAGCTGAGGGAGCGCCTCGCTTCAAGGAGCGCGGGGTCAGACTCATCTCTGGTCAAGGTTGGAGGCAGCGACGATGGACGCAGCGAGTACGATCCTCCACCGCCCTTGCCACCCCTCGTGGCTAGCTTTGAGAAGCTTCTGCCTGAAGGCTTGACGCAACGCATGGATCTGCAAGCCTTCCTGACGGCCATCAATCAGGTGCCTGCTACGAAGGCTACACCTACGAGCTCTGTCTTACTCACGCGGCTGCACACACTCATTGATCTGGCTCGCATCTCGACGGAGAAGGCCATCGCTGCGGCGGACGACGCAAAGCGCAACGAGAAAGATGTGACTGCGCCATCAGCTCTTCCTCGCTCTTTCGCCAATACCCGCGTCGGATCAGGTCAGAGCAAAGCCGCACTGCGATCCACTGGCCTCAAGCCCATCCAGATCTCCAAGTCTGGCTTCCTACCGTATCGTTCGCTAGCAGACGGGACATCCACGCCTCCGGCAACAGCTCACAGCAACGGCTCTTCAGACGCGCCCATTGTGCCACCCAAGAGCGCCGGCAGCCTCGTCCCGCCTCGCAGCGTGGTACCTCGTCGTTCCTTCTCAGCGCAAGACGCCGAGTCTTCTCCGCTGCCCTCGCCGTCGCATCCTCGCCACGCGGGCGCAGAGGGTGGGACGACCGCCTTCCTTACCTCTCCCTCCGAGGCCAGCTCGACTACGCAACTGGTCTCGCGTCTTCGCTCCCTTGAATCGCAGCTGCACACACTGCGATCTGGCAAACGTGCGGCGATGGAGCGCTGTGAGGCTCTCGAGGCTAAGGTTGTTGAGATGGAGACAGAGCTCGAAGAGGGAAGGAAGAGGGAGGTGCGATGGTTGGAGGGCATGAATGACGCGAGTGCAGCCAACGCTAGCACGATCGTCGGCCAAGGAGCGGCGCCCGGTTCAAATGCCATGACGCCTTCGACGTCCGGTCAGCAGCTCGCGGTGAGAGGGGATTCGCCCAATCGCAGCCCGTCGCCGCGGCTCTTCAACATCGCTTTGCCCGTTTTGAGCGGCTGGGGTGGTGCGGGCACGAGTGCGCCCAATTGATTGAGAGCCAGGAGGGAAAAGGAGAAGGGACAGCATTCGCGGAAATCACAGCATCATTTTGTCACCGTCCCCTGCCATCATCTAGTGTCCCTTAACTTAATATGTAATTGCAACTGTGCGCAACTGCCTATCTTCTGCCTCCCCAGTGTGAGCTGTAGTCTGACGGCAATGCCTCTGGCTCGAGTGTCGCAAGGGTGCCGCTCGCCCCGCTGTTGCTGAGCGAGTGGGTGCGAGAGTGCGTCTGCTCGTCTGAGTCGACGTCATCGACGTCATCGACGTCGCCCGCTGAATCCTCCTCCTCTTCGTCATCCTCACTCAGGCTCATTTGATGGAAGAAGCGCCGATCGACCTCTTCGGGTGGTGTCGTCGGAGGCTGCGGCGTTTCTGCCTGCTTCCCCTTGCCCGCCAGCTGGAACATCCGTCTCGCCTTGGCCTTGTTCCCACCAGGCGAGGCATCGGACGCAAATCCACTCTCTGAGCCATCATGAGCAGTGCTTCTCCCCCCCTCGCTGCGTGGCGGGCGCAGCGTTGAGCCTCCCCCACCACTCAGACGGCTGCTTCTCGCCCCGCGGATCGTAGCACTTCCTCCGCCCCACGAGCTGCTCGTCGTCTCGTCGCCGTTGTCGATGCCGTCCGATGAGGGCTGATAGAGCTGCAGGAGCGATGACGAATGGAAGACGCGCGGGCGTGGTCGAGAAGAGGGTCCTGCTGCGGCTGCGGACGATGAAGAGGAAGATGCCGGCGTCACTCGACCGCCTGTGTTTGCTGGGCTGGTGCGGTGGCTTGCGACGCTGCTACCTGGGCCAGTGGATGCGAGGAGTGGCGACCGGCCAGAGAGGATGGAAGAGGAGGCGGAAGAGTTGGAGCGGGTGAGGCCCGGCATGAGGAGCGTCGGAGCGGGTGCAGTGGGGTGACGAGAAATGGCAGGCGCCGCTTGGGTGCCCATTGACCGTCTCGCGTTGATCCTTTGGGCCGCTGCACTCGCATTGCCTGCAGAGCGAGTGGATCTAGGTCCGCGGTTAGACTTGATCGTCTTGCTTCTCGATGGAGCGTCGCGGCCATCGTCATCGAAGATGCTGCGTGGTGCCATGCTGGCAAGCTCAAAGGCTTCGCTGTTGAATTCGGCGTCTGGTGGAGGGTAGCCGAACCTGCTGAAGTCGTCGCTCGTCGCCGGAGCGCGATTCTCCTGACCAGGGTCCTCATCATCAACATCATCGGCGTCGGATTGTGTGCCCTCTTCCTCGCTCTCAACCTCTGCAGCATCCGCTTCTTGGTCGACGAGACCGTCATCTTCAGCCTCGTCCATGATGCCCTCCTCCTCCTCCTCTCCCGCAGGCTGGACCATCTCGCCCTGGTCCTGCTCATCTGCCGCCTCTCTCGTGTCCTGCGGCGCCTCTTGCTCTTCATGCTCCTCCGCGTCATCGTCCAGCAACCCTCCCAAACCTCTGCCTCTTGATGTGCCGGCAATGGCTCCCACTCCACCAAAGCCGTCCATGGCGCTTCTCCGCAGCCCCTTGAGACCCTTGAAGCCGCGCCCATCTTTTGGCACCCTGACTTCGTCTTCTCGCAGGCCATATGTTGGATCGTAGGAGTCGGCACCCTCTTGATAGTAGTCTGACAGAGGCGGAGGAATATCGGCTGTGGGTGGAGATGGAGGCCTGGGCGTCGGCTTTGTGCGCGATGGAGGTGCCGCTGAGGAAGAGCGTGGGGCAGCAGGCGGCCTTTTGTGAGGCGACTTTGGTGATGCTGGAGACTGGGATGGAGGTGCCGCCGGGACTGATGCTGCGCTGCTCCTCTTCCTCGTACGCGTGCCATTCGATTTGGAAGGTCCTGCAACCGCGGCTTGATCCTCTGCCACCTTTCCCTCGCTCGCCTTGTTCCTGCCACTGAGCCAAGTCTGGCTGAGTCGATGAATGATGCCGGGCAAGTCTTCGCGAAATACCTCCTTGAGCTGTCCCTCGATCTCTTGCTGGAGATATTTTGCTACCACGGCAACGCTATCGAAAGTGCTCGAGACCTGGACGCTCTCTAGCGGGTCGTTCTTGAAGACGAGGGTAATGCCTTTGCTCTTGGAGACGACGAGGACGATGATGGCTCGCAGGCGGACGTGGGAGAGGGTGAGCCGCATGGGCACGATCAGGGGTGTGGCGGCAAAGAGGATTCCCTGGAGAGAGAGCGCGAGAAGTCAGCATACAGTCACGAGTCATCTCGGGGCTGCTGGCCACCCTTTCGTCTCACCCTTCCAGAGGCAAAGGGCGTAAAGGTCTCTTCGCTCGTCGTTGAAGCACGAGCATCACTGGGGGCTGCTCCTCCGCTCAATGGATTGACTTGTACCCTCGTCTGTACGACCACATGAGCATCTCCAGCGTATGTCAGCCGAAAGATGCCGCGAAATCGTCTGTGTGAGCAACGGTGCAGCATCGTCAGCTTGTGTGATGCATTGACTCCCACACATCTCGCGTGCAACTCACTCCCTGCCTAGCTCTCCGATTTCCAAGATCTCCAGGTCAGGTGGGACGCTGCCCATGTTGAGCTCCGTGACCTCGATGTCATCTGCAATGACTTTCGGCTTGGGACCGCGATTCAATGCTGAGGTGAGGAGGGACAGGGCATGTGCGTGGAACGAGGGCGAAAAGGGCGATGGCCACTCGAAGTTGAATGACATGTTGTGTGGCGTGGCGCGATCCTCTCCTGGATTATCTTGATGCTGCTCTGCCGGGTATCATCGTCGTCGCAGCTGAGCCATTTCCAGGAACTCGGCGAGCGGCTGAAATGAATGTCGCAGCTCGTTTTGGACGGACTCGACTCGCGACTCAAGCGTCGTCGAATCCCCTTCCGCGTCTGGGCGTGCAGCAAGGCGGCATGTTCTCTATCGACGGCCCGCCGCCTATCGTCCTTCTTGACTTCACGCTCCACCCTCACGACATCACGCCGCCAACGCCGCTGCCATCATGGCCTCAACTTCTCAACAACAACAAGAACAGCAGCCACCGGGTCTCACACCCGACCAAGTATCCCTCTTCACATGCCTCAGCGCATACACCGACGCACTCGATGCCCTGCCCCTCGACCTCACTCGCTCCTTCTCTGACCTCCGCGAGCTCGATGCCGTCTTGGGTCCACACGTCGCCTCCCTCGTCGCGAGGATCCACCAGCTCACAGATGTAGTGACGTCGGCAAGTCGAGGACAGCTGCATCAGGGAGCTGAGATTAGTGCAGGGCAGCGACTGCTGCTGCTCAAGGAATGCGCCGAAGAGGCCAGAGCATACAAGATGGGTCAGTGCCAACTCGTCAGAGACTTCGCTGCATTCCGCTGACTCCATCACCCTTTGCTACGCAATGCTGACAGGCGGAGAAGACAAGATTCGTGTCGCCCTCAACACATGCGAGACAATTCTCTCTCACACAGACTATATAGACGCTATCCTGGACCAGCTCTCCTCCCTCCCCGAAATTGCCGCCATCCTCGAGCCCTCAGGCGGCAAGCGATCTCACGTCGCCGGCGAGCTGAGTGACGGCACTCCCATCACCCTCGCCAGTGCCAATGCTGCCACTTTAATGGCTGGAGGATCGGGCATTTTCGCCAACACTGGGAGCCAGGCTGTAGCCGCTGCGGCTGCCGTTGCGGCCTTGAGCGCGGGCAATGCGAGCATGGCGACCTTGGCTGCGCAAGACGGCCTCAGCGGTGTCACTGTGCCTACGGGAAAGAAGAGCATCGGTACAGGGGCTGGAGCTGCAGCCAAGAGGAAGACGGACGCGGCTGCAGCGGGAGGAGCAGCATCAGCTACAGCTTCATCGTCCAAGGCAGGTGCAGGGGGGGCTGGCTCAGGTGCAGTCAAGAAGCGTAAGACGGCTGGCGATGCGGATGGAAGCAAGAAGGGAAGCGCCGCTACTGGAGCAGCCTCTTCATCGTCTGGCGCAGCATCTCGCAAGAAGGCTTCAGCTGCAGCAGGTTCACCTGGCTCACCGGCGCTGGGAGGCAAGCGTGCCGCAGACGACGATCGAGCCTCCTCCGCCGCCTCGTCTCGCGCAGCTCGAGCTGCCTCCGAACTCGAAGAGGTCCGTTCATCTGGCACTCGCTCTAGACCGGCTAGAGCACCTCGTGCTACGGGCGGAAGCGGGTTGCGACGTCGCCTTGATGATGGCGACGAGGACGGCGATGATGGCGGGGACGAAGGAGATGGACGTGGCCACAGCGATGAAGCAGGTGAAGACGGACGCGGCGAAGGCAGCAGCAGCGCTCTCGGCCTCAGCATGGGCGATAAAGATGAAGACTCACCAGGCCCGGCAGGTCGTCGCTTTGACTCTCCTCGCTCTTCTCACCAAGGCGGCACTGGACGCAACCGCAAGGATGACGCCAAGGGACGACGTGGTCGCGCAACCAAGGGCGAAGGTGACGATGACGCTGACGATGGGGCTTCATATGCTGGCAGCATGGCGATGAGCCAATCGGCCTCACAGCTACACCACAGCCTCTCTGGCCACGACAGCACTCTGACCTCAGCAGCTTCCGACCGAGGACTTGGAGGCAGTGCTGGCGACGGAAGCGGTGCAGGCGAAGTGGACGAACGACGCTACTGCTTCTGTGAGAACGTCTCGTACGGCGACATGATTGGTTGCGACGACGATGGATGTACGCGCGAGTGGTTCCACCTCGAGTGCGTAGGGTTGAAGGAGCCACCTAGTGGGACGTGGTATTGTGATGATTGCCTCGAGAGGCGGGGCAAGAGGCGAGGGGGTAAAGCAAAGGTGGTCAGAAGTGAAGGCAAGTGGGGCGGTGGGGGTCATGAGGTCAGCGGTGGGAATGGCAAGTCGAGCAAGGGTGGTAGGCGATGAGGCATGGCGTGGCGTGGCGCGGCGCGCAGACACATGGTGAATTTTGAGCAATGCATGCAGCGCAGCGTTAGGTGACATGTCTTTACTTCCTGCGCCCTCCCTTCTTGGCTGCTGCTGCGTTGGACTTCTTAACAGCGCTGCTCTTTGCACTCGATGCGTCCTCTGGCATAGCCGGTTGAGATGCGGGATCCTGACCCTTTCTACCACCCGAAACGAGATGCTTTGCTAGTCTGGCAGGCCAAAGAGTGGCCATCGTTGGCTTGTGCAAGGCGCTCTCCTCGTTGAGCTCGGTCCACTCTCCGGTGGCATCGTCCGATGCCCACACGATGCTCTCTCCGTCTGGCTCGCGAGTGACGAGGAGGTCAAGGGCAGGTCCTCCGATTTGAGGGGCGAGTTCTGGATTGGCGACTCCCTGCTTGACTGATCGCTCGACTGCGTCCCAGTCGACGTTGCCAGCTGCGACGTCCTTGTGAGCAGGTGGTGGTGGGAGGGAAGCCCCGGCGTTGAGGCTGACTCGCACCTTCTTCTCAGCCGGCGCACGAACAGGAGCAGCTGGGTCAAGCCAGATTTGATAGAATCGTGGTCCCCAAGCAATGAATCGTGCCGCCCTCTGAAGCTGATGAATGCGCTTTGCATCGCGCGAATAATTTACTCGCTTGACGAGAAGCTCCATGGACGTGGCGATCAAGACGAGGAAGAAGAGTGTGGTGCCAAAGCCTGGCCTCCATCGCACGTAGTACCAGCCAGTACCACGCCACTTTGGGAAGCCCGTTGACAAGAAGTGGTCATATCGGTCCTTGCGCGCGTCTCGAAGGATCTTGATGACGAGGCCAAGTTGTTCGAAGCGCTTGGATGCTTGAGGATCTTGGGGATGCTTGTCTGGGTGAAGCTCGACGGAGCGTTTGCGGTAGGCGGACTTGATCTCGCTGGCTGTAGCGGACGAAGTGAGGTTGAGGAGCGAGTAGAATGTGGTACCCTTGCCCGTTGTGGCCTCGAGGGAGGATTGTAGGTCGAAGATCTGTGGGAGGTGCGGGGCAGAAACAAGTCAGCTCAAGGCCACTGAGCTGCTGAGCCTCATGAGGGTGCTCACTTCGTAATCAGTCTGCTCCCATGCGCGAGCTGCAGTCGCCAGGACCAGCAAGCCCAAAAGAGCCACGAGCGAGAAGAGTCTCATCGTCGACGCCGTGGTGGTGTTGATGGAGGGCGAAGCTTCGCAGCTTCGCAGCTTCGCGGCTTGGCAGCGTGGCTCGCGCTCGCACCCACGTCGTCCAACCAACCAACTCCCAACTCCAACCTTGGAGATGAGCCACGGCATAGGCGAGTCCAGTCGACGACGAGTGGAGCCCGCCCGCCCTGCCTCCCTGTCCGCCCTCCGTGAAATGTGAATGCGGCCGCCGGTGAGCGAGGTCAAGGGCTCAACGTGCTGCTGCACTGACTCCTCTCTCCATCACCCTCGACAGCATACACGATGGCATCCTCGATCATGGATTTTGTTCCCCGCGGAGCAGCTTACGCGGGCGCACCAGACAATTACGGCACAGAGCATACCAAGTCGCGCATTCAAGTTGATGAGGACAAGGGCATCACCGTCTTCTCACCTGATACGTACTCGCAGGGGGGCCTAGTGCGAATCGCACAAGATAGAATCACAAAGCCCGGAACAATCGCCGATCCTACCAGTGATGCCGCTCAAAAGGGAGCTAGAAAACCTGATCCCAAGGCAAAGGGACTGCAGATTTGTGCGTAACCTGTTCGTGGCGTGCGATTATATGCACATCGCTGACCCGATTTCGCGCTTGCTAGGGTACGAGGTACACGGCAACGGACCCCAGAAGATTGTACTCATCATGGGATTGAACAATTCTGGCTTCGGCTGGCTGGGCCAAGTCGAACACTTCGCTCGCGACCCGCGCTACTCGGTCCTCGTACTCGACAATCGCGGCTACGGCAACAGTGAGACACCGACTGCAATGGAGGGCTACAAGACGAGCGAAATGGCTCTTGATGTCCTTGAGGTCTGCGATCATTTGGGGTGGAAGGAGAAGAGGCAGCTGCACATCACCGGTGTTAGCATGGGCGGCATGATCTCTCTCGAGGTAGCAAGAAAGGCGCCAGAACGTATCGCCTCGCTCTCTCTCTTGTCAACGACAAGTGGACAGGCAAGAGGCCAAAAGTCCATTGTCACCGGCCTGCCTCCTACAGCTGCCGTCAAGATGATCACGAGGCTCTTGGGAGGCAAGTGGTTGGGAATGGACTCGGACGAGTACCGCGTGCAACGTGTTGCAGAGACGTTGTTCCCCAAGGCGTGGCTTGATGCAAAGGATGACCATGATCCCAAGAACAGGTCGCGACGCGAGAACATGCAGGAGGTGAGTCGACCACGCGAAATCAGACTCATCGCAGCCTTACAGTCTAACTCCTTCTCTTTGCCAACCTGCCGCCAGCTCTTCATGTGGCGCTTCCACTTTGTACGACGTCAACATCCTACGGGCGCCCTCGGCCAGATCCGTGCAGCATCAACGCACCACGTACCCAATGCCGTTCTCCTCACCATCGACAGCTCCGTCCCGTCCATCCTCATCGCAACGGGCGATGACGACAATCTCGTCAAGCCAGGCAACTCACGTCACCTCGCCAAGTGGCTACCTCACGCCAAGCTCGTCGAGATGAAGGGAGTGGGCCATGCAATTCAGCTGCAGGAGACGGACAAGCTTAATACGCTGCTAGAGGAGAACTACAAGGAGGGGTGGGAAAAGACCAAGGATGAACGCGGCGTAGAGGCGGCTGGTGAGGATCTTCCCGCTTCTAGGTTGGGGACCAAGGCCCACTGGGATCAAGTCTACCAGTGAGTGAGTTGCCCCAAGAGTGAGGCGTGGCTGCCGAGAGTCAACGTCAACTCACGTCTGGCAACTTTCCGTCGTTTCACAGACGCGAAGTGGCCAATTTCTCCGAGGATGGAGACCGTGGCGAAGTTTGGTTTGGCAAGGAGAGCGCCGATGTGATGCTCGACTACCTTCGTGACCATTATCCGGCTGCCTCCAACCCCCGCATCATGGACCTTGGCACGGGCAACGGACACCTACTCTTCTCCCTCTGCGGCGTACGTGGCGAGGACGAGGATAGCGATGACGAAGAGGACGAGGATGTCCGAGAAAGGCGTGAAGCGCTGCGCTCTATCACGACTCCCGAACGGATGCTGGGCGTCGACTACTCGCCCGCAAGCATTGAGCTTTGCGAATCCATTGCCAAGTCGCAAGGGGAGGCAGCAGCTGGCATCAAGTGGCAGACTTCCGACATCCTCAATGCCGCCCAAGTCAAGTCTCTCGGTCACGCCGCGTGGGATGTCCTCCTCGACAAGGGCACGCTGGATGCCATTGCCCTCTCTTCTCCCTCCGACCTTGCTGCCTATATCACAAATCTCCCGGTCCTCCTCTCCGCCCGGGGGCTTCTCCTGCTCACCAGCTGCAACTTTACGCCAGAGGAGCTCATCACCCGCGTCGAGGCGGTAACGAAAGGCCAGCTCAAGCATAGAGAGACATTGCCGGCGCGCAAAGTCTTCCGCTTCGGTGGCAAGGAGGGAAGCACGACGAGGTGTATCGCCTTTGAGAAGCAGGCGTAGCGAGGGCCAAGAGGGTAGATTACGCTTCCCTTCTCGCAGTACTTCTCATAGACGTAGAGCAGAGGACCCCATTTACTGCAATTAATTTCGGTCTCCTGTTGTCAGGCTGCATGCTAGGCTGCCAAAGAAATCAGACGAGTCGTCGAGGTGATTGGGCCCTTTCGTGCTCGCCTTGCTCGAGCGAGAATGCGTCTCACCCCACTGCCCCCACTCCCTCTCACTCCTCACGCGCGTCATGGTGATGGTGGTACGTGATTTGATTTGAACATTCTCGCTGAAAGCTTGCGCTGATGACAAGGATCATCAAGGTGGTGCGTTTGCGCAGAAGCTCGCGAAGAGGGAAAGGTGAAAAAAAAAGGGACTCAAAGGATGACTGAGACGACGGAAACACAACTTTGGCGGCTGCGGACGGGAGATCTACGCTGCTGCTGCTCTCACATGTAGAACCTGGTGACGTGAAAGGGTTTCGAGTCCTGTCAGTGGCTCAGCTTTATCGCTCACGGCTCCCCTCGCTGTCCTACTCACAGGCTCTCGCAGAACTTGGCGTCGCGTCCGAACGACTTCATGAGCATCGTCGAATCCGTGTCGGAGATCTCGGTGAAGACTTCCTGCGACTCGCCGGATGAGATCTGGGTGGCAGTCTCGGACTGGTCTCCGTACATGATGAGACGTGCCTTCTCTGCCAGAATGTGCGAGTAGTAGACAGGTGGGGGAAGAGACACGGAGCGCGTGGCGCGGCAGTACTCGTAGCAGAAGGAGGCGATGCTCTTCTGGAGCTGGTCACTCGTGTGCTTCGAGTCGTCCTGGAGCACGACGAAGTGGCAGGGACGAGCGGTACCAATGAGTCCTGCGTGACCTTGAAGGAAGAAGTCAAAGCCGTAGGGGTGGCAGACGCCGGAGTCGACTACGAGGCCGGGGGCCAAGTTGCCGCTGCGGTCTTGGTCACCGGGGTTGTTGGCAAAGAAGCGAATGTGGTGGCGCTTGACGCTGATGATGTACGTGAGAGGGATCGTCTTGCCGGGCTGGACTGCTGCCACGGCTTGAGAGATTGCGTGAGCCTCCACTTGACGGGCCATGGCCTGCGGCGCGAGCGGGTAGTGGTAACGAGGTCAGCAGCCGCAAACTTTGGTAGCGAGCTCTATGATGAAAGTTACCATCTGGCCATCGCTGACCCCGTCTCGAAAGACGACGATCTTTGTAGGCAAGTTGCCCCCATTACGTTCCTTCCAACGGTTAAGGTGCGAGATGCACATGTCCTGCGCGGGTGGGGGCACGTGGTAGTGAGCAGAGGTGGTGGTGATCAGCAAAGCATGCACGTCGCGCTTCTCACCTTCATGTGCAGAATGGCCTCCTGGCTGCGGCCGCCACGAAGGTGCGTCTGGGCACGGACTTCGGAGTGGAAGCGGGAACGATCGCCGGCGATGGTAGCAACGAGGGCGGCGATGGATGCACGGCTAGAGCCAGGAGCGGCGTGGGAAACGTCGGCGCCCAAGATCATCGTCGTGGGGGTGAAAGCAGGCACGTCGTTGGGCGTGACAGAGTGGTTGGCGCCACCGAGCTTGACATTGACCTTCATGGCTACGTTGGCGCAGTACTGGTCCTGTCCGCGCTCGTTGAGGGCCTTGCGGGCCATGAGGCACTGATTGGGGACGGGCGAGGGCAGATCGGTGAAGCAGACGCGCTTGATGGCTCCGTACAGGTCGGCGTCACCGTCTACGAGGCAGATGATGAGCTGGGGTGGAGGGGCCGAAGCACCGCCTGCAGCCTTCTTTGCCTCGCGTCCAACGACTTGAAGCGTCTCCTTGACTCGCTCGGGAGTGGGAATACCGCGCTCGTAGTAAGGTGCGCGTTCAACGCTGAGGCCCAAGCCCTTGAGGTGGTTGGTGAAGAGACCGGCGAACTGCTGGACGACCTGGTCAGGGGAGCGAGTGAAGTTGACAATGGCCCACGTTTTGATGGGCGTCGCAGCGGGCGTGAGGAACTTGGTGTTGCGGAGGTTCCATGCGCCACCATTGGGCTTTGCGGTGCCGCGGCCGTACTGGACGGTAGGGACGGGCAGGATGCGGGCCTCGACTTGGATAGGCTGCGTGCCGACGTTGAGGCCAGCGTTGCGGGGATCCGTCTCGTAGGCGATGCGACGGCGCCAGTCGACCACAGTGGAGAGCTTCTCGTCGGGACGCTGACGGCTGACGTCGATCATAGCGGCAGTCATGTCGGGCTTGAGCTTACGAGGAGGAAGAGCCGTGCCGGGAAGGACCTCGCAGCACTCCATGGGGACCATAGCCTTGTTGCCCAGGACGACGAGGGGCAAGTCGAGGTACTTGGTCTGGTAGTTGTACTTGTCCTTGAGATAGTCGACTACGCGGATGCGCTGGCCATCCTTCTCGAAAACCTCGTCGCGTGCTGCGCGGGGGGAGAAGCCCTTGAAGGTCTCTTCGCGGTTAGACTCGCGATGGGTCATCTTGAGCTTGGCTCCATTGAGACGACGACGAAGCTCCTGGAGCTGCATGGGGCGTAGGGAAGAGAGCTCTTGGCCAGCACCACCACCGCCGCCGCCGCCACCGCCGGGTCCACCACGGCCACCGCGGAATCCGCCACGGTCACCGCCGCGTCCTCCACGTCCACCACGGTCTCCACCGCGACCGCCACGGCCGCCACGGCCACCGAAGCCGCCGCCGCCGCTGCCATCCATGCCGAGGATACCAGCGCAGACGTCACGGAGGTTGCCGGAGCGAAGGAAGGCTGCGAAAGCTGGGTCGATGTTGACGATCATGCCGGCTTGAGTGGCACGAGCAGATTGGAAGAAGCCTGGGTGCGGAAGGTGAGAGGAGGAGTGGTGATCAGCTCAAGCCTGTAGCATACTCGCGCTCGCTCTTACCTTTCCAGATGTCAGCTCCAGAGGGGATGGGGACCTTGAGGTCCTTGTCGAAGAATCGACGACCTCCGCCGCCATGGACCTTGAAAGTCTCTGCTGGCTTGTTGCAGAGGAAGATCTGCAGAGCCTGGATCGCATTGGTGACGGCCTCAGGGAAGGCGGCTCCAGCAGCACGAATCGTCTGAGGGTCGGCCTCGCAGAACTTGTGGAGGACAGAAAGGTCGATGACATTGACCAGCTTGAGTGTCGTCTTGAACTTGCGACCCTCGTCACGAGGTAGGTTGGGCAGCGTCATGTCTGCGCCGCGCTCGGGGAGGCAGATGGTCCAAGAGAGTTGATTCTCAAAGGGCATCTTCTTCTGTGTGTAGCATGAACGACGACCATCGTAGCCAATGGAACCGATTAAGTCGTCGGTCAGAGGATGCGTAGGGTCGGCGGCGCCATCTCGAAGGGCCATGCGAAAGACGGATCGAAGAAGCGTAATGGGAAGCCTGCCCCAGCGGTATGGCGGTGAGGTCAGCAAAATCTCTCAAAGCTTTCTGCACCGCGCACTCACTTCCTCTCGTTGCGCTGCTTGCGCTCTTCAGGGGTCAGCTCCTTCTCAGACTCCTCGGGCCTGACAGGGTCGATGACAACGTCGTAGTGGTAGACGGTCAAGTTGCCATTGTTGCCGCCAGCAGAGGGGCGAGGGCCTCCGCCGCGACCGCCACGTCCACCACCACGGCCGCCGGAGGCCTGGCCAGAGGCTCCGTCGCCGCCGATGTCGAGCGTGAACATGTTGGTCGAGACCATGAGCTTGCGTCCGGCGCTGCCTCCCTTGTCGGGGCGAGGGACGAGGTCTGCGTGTGCGGGCGAAGAGCCGGGCAAGGCTCGAGGGTGTCAGTGATCAACGATGCAGGTAAAGGCGGGCGCTACTCACCCGTGAGAGTGACGCTAGAGATCTCAGATCGGCGACGCTCCTCCTCGAGCTCGGCTTGCTTCTCAAGGGACATGTGGCCAACGGCCTGCGTGGTGGCGTGGTGGCGTCATCATAGCGAGTGGATGCGTTGTATGCCGTGCGTGGCGAGCGAGAGCGGTTGTTAATGCCATGAGGGAATGCGATGTAGACGAGCGAGAGAGGAACAATGCGAGGAGGGGGAAAACCGGGCTTGATCAGTATCGACTTCAAGCGGATGCATCGTGCTGAGTCGCTCTCACCGCAGCCAGCTGGTCAGCCGAAACGGCGGCCATGTTTGCAGACGTTGTCGGAAGTGGGACTGGTCTGTCGAGTCGTGATCGCCTATGCGGGCGAGGCGGGTCGGTGCGGGTGTTGGTGGGTTAGGAAAGGAAAGGGTTTGGGGAGGGAGAGAGGGCGGTTGGGGATGGGATGGTGTTGGTGGTGTAGAGGTGAAAACGCGGGCGGCGGTGGCGAGCTGGCCGCTTTGTCTGGCGCCTGATGCTGACGCTGAACAGCCGCTTCCCCTTCATCGACGGCTCGCAAACGACGCGACTCGTTGACTCTTGGTTCAACTCGTCGTTCAGAGCAGGGCCGAATTCGATGTGGCCCCTGCCCTCTGCTGAAGTGCCCAAAATGAGCGGATGTTCCTGTGAGATGCACTTCGTGATGTCTGCTCTCACTCTTGTGATCACACATCCAATCATCGTCGAAGCTCAACGACGACGACGGCGCCTAGGCGGGGGTGACTGCATCGCGCCCGCGGGCAGCTGTTGCGCGTTGGCTGTGTGGGATGGAGGGGTCACACTTAGCGGCCGCTCGCAATCCGTCGGCCACTTTGATTGCCCAGGAACCAGTTTGCAATCATCTCCTCGTCGTCCCTGGCCTTGCGGTTGTGGTGTTGATGAGGCTGCTCGTTCTCCTCTGACCCCGCGCTCACCTCTCGATTTCGGTGGCCCGTGCCTGCACTCGTCATCGAGTCGAGCCAATGGACGCCAGTCCGCCTGGTCCGCCTCCTTCCGTCCTCGCGTCCTCACGACATCATCGTCATCGCCTCGAGGTCCTGAGATCGTCGTCATGTCGTCGTCGAGTGATCAGCTGGCTGCTGCACTCAGCGCTGCGGCATCCAAGCCATCGCAGAGTAGAGCACAGGCATACCAGGACATCCTCGTCTCGCTCCTCGAGCAGCCACGCTCTTCCTTGTCCGCAGAAGCACTCGTCCAAGCTTGCTCCGACTACCTCGACGCCACCGTCTTCTCTGAACTCAACTCGTCGGGAGGAGGGCTCGTAGTGGGACGAAACACTCTTACTGCATTCGATGAGGCTATCAAGAAGGCCGGGCATGGGGAGGCAGAGGCGATGCAGGGTGATGACGATGACGAAGACCCGTCTAAGCCAGCCATCCGCGACGAAGAGGTGCAGAAGGAGATTCTCGAGGCTGCCCTCGCCAAGGTTCAGCCCAGAGTACTCAGCTTCGAAGAGCAGGTGAGTGCGCCCGAAGCAATTGTGACAGCTAGATGGCACGCAGACTGAGCTTCTCCCCGCCTCGCCCGCAGTCCACCTCTCTGCGCCTTCATCTGGCCGACATCCACGAGTCGCTCCAGGACTGGTCATCAGCGGCTAGCGTCTTGCAGGGCATTCCACTCGATTCTGGCCATCGAGCTGTTTCGGAATTGCAGAAGCTGCGCATCTACGTCCGCATCGTGCGTCTACTCCTCGAAGCAGACGATGCCATTGGCGCAGACGTCTACCTCAAGAGGGCCAGCATGGTTGTCCATCTCGTCCCAGGAGCAAGATCGGGATCGATTACAGGTCCATCGACTTCCAGCACGACCGCCTCGGCCTCACCTGAGGATGTCAAGCAGGGCAAACTTCTCGGCCTTCAATACAAGCTGTGCCAGGCTAGGATCTACGACTCGCAACGCCGTTTCGCCGACGCAGCTGTGCGCTTCCATGAGCTCAGCTACATTGCAGAAATCGATGAGCAGGAGAGGACGATGATGCTGTGAGTGCATCGCCGCGGCAGTAGACCGTGCGTTAGCTAATGTCACCCCATGCCCCCCGCCGCTCTCGCTGTCAGGTCGGCCGCTGTTACCGCCTCAATCCTAGCTCCAGCTGGTCCTCACCGCTCTCGCATCCTTTCTACCCTGGTGCGAGATGAGCGAGTAGCTGCTCTACCCCAGTCCACCATCTTGTCCAAGGTCTTTCTCGACCAGATCATCAGGCCAGACGAAATCGCTGCGTTCGAGGAGTGAGTGGACGCGTGCGAGAAGCGCTGCCATTACTCGTACTCCAGCTGACCATTCACTCCTACTCGCGCTGCCGCCAGACTGCTGCAACCGCACCAAAAGGCCATGCTCTCTCGCGCCGGCAACGAGCGCGAAGTGATGAGACTCGAGGAAGAAGCGGCGGCAGCAGCATCGGCGGAGCCAGCAGCTCAAGGCTCGACTGCAGCAAAGAAGGTCAAGAATGCCCCGACCACCGTTCTAGACCGAGCAATGATGGAGCACAACATCTTGGCCTCGTCACGTATTTACCTCAACATTACGCTGGCCGGATTAGGATCGCTGCTGAATCTCACGACGACGGGTGCAGAGACGATTGTCCGGCGCATGATTGTTCAGGGCCGCATCAAGGCAGAGATAGACCAGGTAGACGGCTTGCTCACTTTCCTCGAAAGCAGCCAGATGGAGCCTACGGCGGGAGGTCTGGGTCTGGGTACAGGAGCAGAGTCGGGTGGAGGTGACGCAGCGGCAGCGGACGACGACGATGCGACGCCTGTCGGCGAAGGGGATGGGTTGATTCGAAGGTGGGACGCTCGCATTGCGCGTACGGCTGGTGCGCTGGAAGAAGTGTGCAGCAGGATTGCTTCGCAGTCGCAGGCGTAGGCGGCGCGGCATGACTGCCATGCGTAGACTACAATGTAAGCTCTTCTTAGCTAGCAGCGGCCCAATCTTTTTCGCGTAGCAATGACGAGCAATGGTGGTCCCCTGCTCCACACGATGTGAGCTCAGAAAAGCAACGCAGCACAGTCCTTTGTGCGTGCGCGAGCCTTTCGATGGAAGACTCGCTAGCGTGGCGAGGCCGAGGAGCGAAGTTGAGTGGCGTCTCGTCGAAGGCGTTCAGGAGGGCGCGAGCAGACCCCCTCCCTCACTCGCATGCGTCTAGGGTGCGTCCCACTGCGTCGATTCTATTTCGAGGCCCGGCCTCATTGGCATGCAGCCGGCGGCAGGCGAGCAAGCAAGTGTTGATTGGTCGCTGGAGTTGGCCGAGCAAGACTTCAAAGGGGAGCTTGACGCCGTGTAACGCATCTTTCTCTCCTCTCCATCATCCCAGTCCTCTCTCCATCCCCAATCCTCACGGTTCCATCTCCTCCTTCTCGGCCGAGCACTAACTCAAGACACTCTTTACTAGATCTCAACCCCACTCTACAATCTCTCATCATGATTGCTGGCAAGCTCCTTCTTCCCCTCCTCGCCCTCGCCTCGGCGGCTGTGGCTGACAAGGTGGGTGCCGTGGTGCGCCTGGTGGCCTCGAGAGCCACGTCCTAATCTCCTCACGTCTTCCCTCGCGCAGCCCACCTTCTCTGTCAACAATCTCCCCGACAAGTGGGAGAAGGGACAGGTCGGCACCAACCAGTGCAAGAAGTACGGTGCTTCGAGCCCCAAGTCGATGTGCCAGTGAGCAGCGGCGTTGCAATGCAGAGCTACTACTCGAAATCCTCGCTCACCTCTCGCCCTCTCACCCGCAGGAACGTCTTCATCAACTCGGTCGATGACTTCTGCCTCTGGGCCCCCTTCGAAGGCCAAGGCACCGTCGGTGCTCAAGAGGAGCGCCACATCTCCTACTGCCTCAAGTCCGGCTACGGCACCCGCCTCATCCCCAAGGGCGCCGTCAAGCGAGCTCACTTTGTCAGGACGTCTGACTTCCTCCAGGTCACGGGCTCCGGTGACTTTACCTCCATGCATATCAAGAAGGGCGACGAGGGTGGAGAGCTCGACCCGCACGGCGCGACGGGAGCAGGTGAGTACGCGCACGCGTCGGTCCGCCGCAGTCACGACTAGGGTACTTACCTCCTCCTCCCTCTTTTACCTTAAAAACCGTAGGCAATCCGCCGGGTGGGTTGGTATACACACGCTCCGGCAACGGGTGGACGCAGCTGAAGGAGTGGTCGTCGTTCATGAGCGCTACCGAGTTCTCGATCCGCGCCTGCTTCCCGGGCAAGCCCAATGCAACCAAGTACTGCCCTCACATCTACGACGTCATGGGCGCAAAGTGAGCAGCCACACGTGCGTGGCATCTGCGTCTTCCTTGCTCACCCACTATCTTCCCTTGCTCGCACGCAGCTGGAACCACCCTGGCAACTACGGCGGCGGCTTCTCCAACTGCGACGCCGACTCTGGCCACTTCCCCGGCGTCTTCAAGGGCTCCACCTTCTACCAGGGCCAGAAGCACACCCCTTCGGGACACAAGGCCCCCAAGTCGTCCAACTGCCAGAACGTCGCTTCTCCCGCTGCGGGCGCCAAGGCTCAGCAGACTCCTTACAAGAGGGAGGAGAGGGCACAGCCCTTTGGCGAAGCCCAGTAGGCGCCGCATCCGCGATGACAATCAACAAGCAACGACGACAAATAATGCACACTCTTGACGGCTCCCATTTCGCTTTCACTTCTACATGTAGCTTTCCATGCATTTCATTACACTAGCACGCTCTCTCTACCTCATCGAATGGACAGTATCTCCCCCCTTTCCCCAGCACACACGAGGCTTCCACGCCCGCCACGCCCGCTTTCTCTCTTGAATACAATCTCACTTCACTCCACACCAACTCGCACGATTCCATGTCATGTCGCGATTGCAGCGGAGTCTGAAGCTATACAGAAGAGAAGGGCAGTAGCCACGCCCGTCTAGTCGTCACCGTCATCATCGCCCCCCCTCTTGCCCACAATGAACGCCCCGCTCACCGGCAGCTTGGAGATCTCCAGATCACCCAACCCGCTGTTCCAAATCTTGACCTTACTCGACCCTTCAATGCCCGTCTCTGCCCCCTCACCCGTGATCAATTTCCACGAGTACGAGCGGAACTCCTTGCTGCGGCCGGGAAGCACCGTAAAGGGCACATCGACTAGCTGAGAGCGCAGAATCTTGCGCGGGAGCGGCGACGGGTCGTCGGGATCGGGCGTAGTGGTAGCATTCGCCCATGAGTGCGGGCGCACACGACCGAAGGCTCGCTTGGGGAGGGGCGAGGGGAGAGGCTCTCCGCCGTCGTCTTCGTCTCCGTCCCTCACGCTGGTGTCGTCGTCGTCATCGTCGTCCCCTCCGTCGTCGTCGTCGTCTCCGTCCCCGTCGCCGGGATGCTTCATGCTAGGCGGCTTTCCGTCGTAGATGAGGATGTCTGGCCAGAGGTAGCGGATCTCGACGTCTACCGCTGCGAGCTCGCCGGGCATGCTCAGCTCGCCGAGGATAGTGCCGCTGAACAATCTGTGTGTGGGCAAAGAGAGCGGGAGATTGCGTCAGCTGCTGTCTCTGTCACCCGGGCTATCACACCGCACTCATCGCACCGCACACTCACAGCTTCTCCTTGCTCCACGGGTGCGTCTTGATTTTCAAGTCCTGGATTGTCACATTCTTGATCAGGTCGGTCACCTTGGACCCGGGGAAGGAGATGGGCACGTCCATGACCGAGAGTGCAGAGGAGAGCCAGCCCGGTAGGTCTGGCGAGCCAGCGCCGGGCAAGGTGGGGTCGGGATGCTCAAAGGGCGAGCCACCACGTACGTACACGGTATTGGCTTCGCCGCGGAGGAAGCGTGAAAGAAAGTTTCCTAGGGCGTCTTCGCTGGGTGAAGCGAGTGAGCGGGGAGGAGAGTGAGAGGCAGAAAAGACGTGTTGAGGCGCAGCGGGCTGCGATTGCTCCGTCTGAAGAGCGCCGCCAGAGGGAGGAGGGGGAACGACGCGCCCCTCGAGTTGGAGCTGCAGTTTCTCCTGCCCGTCGAGTTCGAAGGGGTCGCTGGCAATGACGGCGAGAAGGACGGTATCGATGGGCTTACTTGCAAGGGCGAGCGAGTCATTCGCTCCAGCCGCGGGCAGGAAGACGCCGAATGGCAGGCTGTACCTGACCGACCCTTTCAGTAGGTTACCCAGCGGATTTTTTGCCTCTGCGTACGCTCGAATGCCCAGTGCCTTCTGACCCGCGGCCTCGACTGCGTCACTGCCCCCATTGATCTCAAAAAAGTCGTAGCGGGTGAGGTTGAGGAACTCGTCCGTCGAGTTGCCCACGTCTAGCTTGGGAATTTGCTGCCTGACCCTCTTTGTGATATCCTTCTGACCCAGATTGATGAAGCGAGGAATCCACGACGATCCCTTCTTCTTCTCGCCCATCTGCGCCCACGTCAGACCACGCACGCTGAGAGACCGGACGTTGATGTCGAGGGTGGCGTCGCCCTGCTTGACGGCGCGTTGGCCCAGCTGAGCGAGGTAAGGAGCTGGGGTGACGGGCTTGAAGAGGAGGGTGAGATTGAGCGGGCGCATCGTCAGACGAGCTCGTCGTGTAGAGTTGCCGCCCAAGACGGGGTCGTCTGCGTCGTCGTCTTCGGAGGAGGTTCGGAGGAGCTCGGGCAGGGGGACGAGGAGGGGGTCGATGTTGAAGGCCAAGAGGTCGCGGGGCGGCGGTGAAGCAGGCTTGGCGGCGACTTCGATGCTGCTGTCTACATCGCTCCTGGGGTGCTTTGACTGATCAGGGATGAGATCGAGGTCCTCTGTAGGCACATCTTTTGCCCAGTCCGGCTCAGCAATGGTCAGTTGGCCCAGCTCGACCTTGACCCCTGCCACTTTGGCCAGCGCCCATTCTACAATGTGCCTATCGCGATTCTTCCACCACGATGTGCGTGCTCGTTGACCAAGCCAGATGTCCAATGCTCGATCCGGGTCCAGTCCAAGCCTGCCATCGATTTGCACCTGGATACCGTCATCTGAGATGTTGAGTAAGCGAACCGAGTCCGGCCCTTTGAGTACGAGAGCCTCGTCGAGGATGCGAGCCTGTTGATCCTCTGTGGGCGCTGAGAGGGTTGAGAGGAAAAGATGGGACGATTCTATGGCCGTGAGGACGACGAGGAGGGCGATGAGGCCGCCAAGGGTCCAGAGGCAAGCCTTTGTGATGGGTCCTGGGCTGCGGCAGGAGCGGGCACGGCGGTCACGAGATGTGTTGGTGCCGTCTCGTTCTACCGCGGCGTCTCCGCCATCATCTCCTCGTCTCCTCCCCGATGTAGCTTTGGCGAATCTAGAAGCAAGCTCGGTGCGATAGACTTGAGCGGCGGCTACGGTTGTCTGCCATGCTGCAGCCAGGCGGTTCTGTGGTTGCTGCTGCTGCTGCTGACGAGATGGAGAGTCGGCTAGAAGTGGTTGTGATTCGTCAACGACTTCCTCGTCGTCACCTCGTTGATCGTGGCGACTATGTGAAGCCATTGTGATGATGGAGATTGATGATGGTGATGGCTCTTGAAGTGGAGAGGCTGAGGCGCAGCATAGCACTGCACCCTCGACGCGGTTAATCCGGGGCAGCCAATCGAGTCGAGCGAGGGCGCCACTGCCTGGCCTGCCCTGGATGGATGGATGGATTGAACCAGCCGCTCAGCCGCCCATCACGCCCACCCACGCCCACGCCCACTCGTCTGTTTCCGCTCCTGCTGCCGGCCTGCATGCAAGGACGACTCCAAGACGACTTGGACGTGAATTTGAGTCAGTGAGGCCAAGTGAGCCTCGTTCCCAACATCATCCTCCTTCTCCTCATCCTCACCACTCGACTCGACGTCTTCGTCTCTCCCTCTCTCACGCCGCGCCCGCCATCATGCGGTGCCCGCAGTGTCATAGCGACAATGTCGAATTCGACAATTCGCAAGCCATCTGTCAGGCTTGTGGTAACGTCCTGGCAGAATCGCAAATCGTCTCAGACGTCACCTTTGGAGAGACGTCAGCTGGAGCAGCCACTGTCCAGGGATCCTACCTCTCTCAAGACCAATCTCACGTACGCTCATCCAATCCACGCTTCAGATCGGGAGGTTCAGGAGAATCGAGGGAGCAGACGCACTATCGCGCAAAGGAGGCAATCGATCGTATGGGAAGGGCCCACCGCGTCGGCTTCTCGACGAGGGAGAGGGCCAATCGCATGTTCAGGCTAGCATTGGCAGGAGAAGTTCACGAAGCGCGAACAGTGGGTCAAGACCCCACCAAGAACTTCGTCCTAGGTCGCAAGCACGAGTACACTGTAGCCGCATGCCTCTACGTCGCCTGCAGGATGGACAAGACGACCCACATGCTCATCGACTTTGCTGACTCGATGAACATAAACGTCTTTACACTTGGTCGACACTACCTCAAACTCATTCGCGCACTTAACCTCCAGCTGCCCGTCATCGACCCGGCCATCTACATCTTGCGCTTCGCTGCTCTCCTCCATTTTGGTGAAGAGGTCCACAGGGTAGCCGCCGATGCAACACGCCTCGTCAAGCGATTCGACAAGGACTGGATCATCCAAGGACGCAGGCCAGCAGGTGTTTGCGGCGCAGCTCTCCTCCTAGCAGCTAGGATGAACAACTTCCGTCGCTCCATGAACGAGATTGTACAAGTAGTCAAGATGGCAGACGTCACCATTCGCGAACGACTGAAGGAGTTCAAGCGTACGCCTACCGCACAACTCTCCGTCGCTGACTTCAAAAAGGTGTGGTTAGAGTCAGAGTATGAGCCCCCTGCCTTTTATCGACCTGCGATGGAGGAAGAGCGCAAGGCGCAAAAGGAGGCCAGGGCGCTGGCAAAGGAGGAGCAAAATAGGCTCAAGGAGGAGCGCAAGGCTGAGCGTCTCGCAAAGAAGTTCAAGCAGGGAAGTGCTGCCGTCGAGGACGAGGGCCTAGCTGATCAGACAGGTGAACAGGCTGCTGGCGAAGACGAGGCACTGGACCCCGAGGCGGACGCAATGGTCCAGCGCATGCTGCAAGATGAGATGGGACAGTACATCGATGACCCACGATATCGTGACTTGGACCAGCAATTGGAGCAGCACAACGCCGCTGCCATGGAGAGGGCGCGATTGGGGGGTGCTACCGTGGGCACTGCGCCCGAGTTGGAGATGAATGAGTTTAGGCAGCGTCGTGCCGTCGATGAGGAGGACGAGGATGAGGACGGGCAAAACCAGAGTGGCGGCAAGCAGCAAGAGGAGCAGGGCCAAGTCGAGGGCGAGCCCTCATTCAACGACCTCGTGCCGAAGGAGAGCGCGACGCAGGGCGAGAATCACGAGCGAGCGGTGCTCAACGGAAGAGGCGAGGAGGGTGAAGCAGATGCGCCGGCGCCCGCTCCAGCACCCGCTACAGCACAGCAGCCACAAGCTGAGCCTGAGCCCGAGGCTGGCCCCTCAACTTCGACATCTTCGACTCGCCGCCTCAAGTACTCCCAGCTCTCCCACGGCGCGCCCATAGACGACCCGCTCACCGACCTAGACGAAGACGAGCTCGACCAATTCATCCTCGGCCCAGAGGAAGTCGCAATCAAGGAGCGCGTCTGGATGGAATTCAACCACGACTACCTCGTCGCAGCCATGAAACGTCAGCTCAAGGAGGAGGCAGACGAAAAGGCCGGTATACGCAAGAAGCGCACGAGAAAGCCGCCGCCTAAGCCTCGCGACGCAAGCACAGCTACGGGCGCCACGGCCGAGGAAGCTGCGAGGGCCATGATGGAGAAGAAGACGCGCCATCAGCCCAAGAGTAGGAAGATCAACTACAATGCCATGGCTGGGATCGGCAGCATGTTCGACAATGAAAAGTCTCACAAGAAGAAGAAGAAGGGCAGCAAGAAGAAAGGAGATAAGAGACAGCGTGTGAGCAGCGGTGGCGAGGGGTCTGGTACAGAAGGCGAAGCGACCGGTGCAAGAGGCGCGACGTCGGAGCTCGAGCCCGTAGAGGAGGAAGGAGACGAAGTGCCCCGCAACGATCCGCGTAGGCGAACGGAGAGCAAGGCCAATCGTAAGCGCAAGGCCTCTTCTGCTGCGAGGAGTGGCGGGGCTACATCCGAGGGCGAGGATACGGGTGGAGAGACGACGGATCTGGGTACGCAGAGGGGAGATACGGACGGTGGCGAGGATGGCGAGGCGGACGAGGGCGACATGGAAGCACAGATGCGCGCCCGTATGGGGGCGATGTACAGCCAGCCGGTCGACGACTACGAGGGCGAGGAGGCCTACTGAGGAGCGGCGGCGATGCGGGAGGAGCCGTGCAGCGATGCGAGGGAGGTCGTGCGGCGCTGCGAGGGCCTTCGGGCAGCGATGCGAGAGAAGTCGTCTTCGACGTGCCTACATATCCCCGCCCACAGCATCTCATCACATCTCGTCATTCAATCATCAACACATCATCGTCTAGAGATTCAAATACAGAGACTGTGCGCGCGCGTGCTCTCCGAACCTCGCCACTCAAAGCCTCGCCTTTGCTAGTCATATCTTGCCCTGCGTCTTGGCAATGCTCGTCTTCGGGTAGCTGTACTCCTCCATCCCTCTGCGGTCGTACCCGTACTTGCCAATGAAGTGGTTCAAGCTCTGCGGCCCCCTACTGCCGTACTCGTACTTTTCGTTCTTGATCTTGCCCGCGTCGATGGCGTGGAGGAGAGGGGTGTAGACGCGCCACGACTCGTTGAGCTCGTCCTCGCGAACAAAGGAGGAGTGCTCGCCCTTCAATGCGTCGAGGATGAGAGTCTCGTACGCCTCGGGTGAGCGGTAGTCTGTCATGCGTGCGTTGTACTTGAAGTCGAGCTCGACGGGGACCAGAGAGGACTCGAGGCCTGCGCGTGCGCGGTGAGCGGGAGATGAAGCATTGTCAGTGTGCGCCCGCGCATCGCATTCGCTCTCCTGTACTCACCCGGCTTCTTATTGGAGATCTTGGCGTAGATGGACTCCTCTGGCTGGATACGCAGCACGAGCTCGTTACGAGGGATCTCTTCGAAGAGGCCCTTGCCCTGGTCGCGGTATTGGATGCGAATCTCGACCTTTCCCTCGTCGAGCGCCTTGCCCGCCTTGAGGATGAAGGGGACACCCTGCCATCGCGGCGTGTTTACCCAGAGGGCGAGGGCGGCGAACGTCGGGCAGTTGGAGTCCTTTGGCACTGTGTCGTCGTCCTTGTAGCCTGGCTTGCCATTGGCTGCCGAGTACTGGCCGATGAGGACGTCCTCCTCCTTGATGGCGGGGACGTTCTTGAGCACCTTGACCCTGTGCGGTGAGAGGAGAGAAAATGTCAGGCGGCAGTCATCGCCTCGCATCACGCTCTCGGCACCCACTTCTCATCACGGATGTTCTCAGCAGAGAATGTCGCTGGTCGCTCCATGGTGAGGAGCGAAAGGACCTGAGTCAAGTGGTTCTGCTGGATGTCACGGATGATTCCAAACTCGTCAAAGTAGCCTCCTCGCCCCTCTGTGCCGAATGGCTCCTTGAAAGTGATCTGCACGTTGTCTACGAGCTGGTTGTTGAGGCCTGCCTCGACGAATGGGTTTGCGAAGCGCATGAGGAGGATGTTCTTGACCATCTCCTTGCCCAAATAGTGGTCAATGCCTGTGCGTGCGAGAGCAAGGAGTGTGAGCGATGGCGTGCAGTGCAGCATTACGCGCACGCGAGCTACGCACGGAAAGTCTCCTCCTCCTTCCACAGCTTCTTGAGCTCGCCCATCATCTCCTGGCATGACTCGAGGTCCTTGCCAAAGGGCTTCTCGATGACGATGCGGTTGTGTCCCTTTTCAGCGTAGCAGTTCTTCTTCAACCCAGCTGCTACGACGGTGAAGACGTTGGGCGGTAGCGCCATGTAGAAGAGGCCTGTGTGCGGGCGGTGGGAGGGGGTATGAATGGATACGTGTGAGTAGGCCGCGCATCGCAGCATCTCGCCTCGCCCCATCTGCTCACGCTGAGGCTCCTTGCTGCCAATTTCCTTTTCCTTCTTCTCAATCTCCTTGTTCAAGTTCTGGAATGCATCGTCCTGGTCGTATGCGCCTGGCACGTAGTTGCAGATCTTGAGGAATTCCTCCTTCTCGCCGTCCTTTCCATCCTTGAGGTTGTCTGCGAACTTGCCATGGAACTCCTTGTCGTCCATCTTTGTGCGGGCATACCCGATGATACGACTGTTCTTTGGCAGCAGCGAGAGGCGGAACAGGCTGAAGAGGGCGGGCAGTGTCTGTCGTAGGGGCGAGGGTGATGAGCGTGGTGAGCGATGTGGTGATGATGATGGTGATGTCTGCCGCGCCGTCTCACCTTCTTCTTTGCCAAATCGCCCGATGCGCCCAGGACTGCAGGCGTAGCAAGGAGTGAGCCATTGATTGTCCCCTCCACCATACCATCACGTCACCTTGTTCAGCTGCGCTGTAACTCACCAACAATGACCGTCTCCTGCTCAAAGACCTTGATCTCAGCTTTCTGCTGTTGTTGTGACATGGCTACCAATTCGAGGTTCGATGAGTTTTGTTGCTGCGAGTTGGTGTTGGATGATGTGCGCAGAGGGAGGGAAGAAGCGATGGGAAGATGATGCTCAGCTTTGGGTGGAGAGATTACCGACACTTTCTCAACCCAACGCACCCTCACCAGCGAGAGCAGACCCTCGAGCCTCGAGCCGCGAGTCGACCTTGGACTTTGTCGTCACTCCACGCCGTGCGGACGGACTCAAGCAAAGCGCAGACAGAGGACGAGACTCAGCGGGGCGGCGCAAAGAGGCCGGCAACGTCGAAAAGAGGTGGAGCAGAGCGGGCCGTCTTAACCGTCGCCCTAGAGTCTACCAAGGACCGTGGCCGTCGCCGTGGCCGTCGAGTCGTCTCGTCTGGATACGATGTTCGCTCTCTCTGTTGATCATCTCAACAGCGAGCAGCGAGTGCAGTCTGCAACCCGATGTCGTTGCTCTTTGGACATGGGAGCAACCCTTTCGCTCGCGCTCTCTCGCGTCCTCAGGCACGCCTTGCTGCGCTCACTGTCCATGCTCGAAAAAGTCTGCGCTCGCACATAATCCTCTCGTCATCGTCGTCCCCGTCGTCCTCTCTTTGTCCCGATGGACTGGCGTCGTCACCCCCTTGCCCTCGCGCTTGTATCGTGTGGCTCTTGTTGTCAGGGGCCGCTCTCTCGTTGCCTCCACGCGATGGGTGCCCAGCCCTCTCTCTCATGCAAGCCTCGGGCGCCTCTGACGCATTGGGGGGCGGTCCGGGCGCGGGGACTGAGCCGCTGAGTGAGGCGGCCAGCCATCGATGGCACCCTCTTGTCCATCTCTCCCTCCCATCACCACCACCAACGCAGCATCACCCACAACACCATTATCATGAAACTCAGTCTCAGTCTCGCATTTGTCGCTGGTCTCGCAGCAGCCTTTACCGGCGTCGAGGCTGGTGTCCACCGGTGAGTTGCTGCGATACGGTGTGGCGTCGTCACGTCTGGCATCCGCTCATGTCCTATCTCTCTCACACACACAGCGCCAAGCTGTCCAAGGTTGACGGCGGCCAGCCTCTCACCTTCAAGGCCCTCCAGACGCAAGCCGAGATGCTCAAGATGAAGTACGCAGGCGCAAAGCAGTCGCACTTCTCTGCACCCGCATCTGGAGAGGAGGGCGAGTTCAACATCCTCCCCGAGACGAGCTCAGATGGTGTAGCATCCGCATGGCAGGCAGAGGCAAAGAAGGGACACGGTGTGCCCCTCAGTGACTTCCTCAATGCGCAGTACTTTGCCGACATCTCCCTGGGCACCCCTCCCCAGAACTTCAAGGTGCGTGGTGCGAGCGACACGCGGGCTCCTCTCTCGCAGCACTGAGGCTGACTTGTCGCACTCCCGCCGCCCTCGCAGGTCGTTCTTGACACTGGATCGTCGAACCTTTGGGTCCCTTCGACTGGATGCTCCTCCATCGCCTGCTTCCTCCACTCCAAGTACGACAACTCGTGAGTACGCGGCGCAGCGTGGCGCGGCGCGAAGCCATGCCCTGCATTCTCAACCTCTTCACCGCCTGACCACGTCTTTCTCATGCCGCCACACACACAGCGCCTCGTCCACGTACAAGAAGAACGGCACCGCTTTCAAGATTCAGTACGGCTCCGGCGCCATGGAGGGTTTCGTCTCCAAGGACGTCCTCCGCATTGGCGACCTTGAGATCAAGGGCCAAGACTTTGCTGAGGCTACATCTGAGCCTGGCCTCGCATTTGCCTTCGGCAAGTTCGACGGTATCCTCGGTCTCGCCTACGACACCATCTCCGTCAACGGCATCGTCCCTCCCTTCTACCAGATGGTCAACCAGAAGCTCATCGACGAGCCCGTCTTCAGCTTCTACCTCGGCTCCTCTGAGGAGGACGGTGGAGAGGCCGTCTTTGGTGGCATTGACGAGGAGCGATTCGAGGGCAAGCTCACCTACGCCCCCATCAGGAGGAAGGGATACTGGGAGGTAGAGGTCAACTCGATCAGCCTCGGCGACGAAGAGCTCGAGCTCGAGAACACCGGAGCTGCCATCGACACGGGCACATCCCTCATTGCGCTCCCTACGGACCTTGCAGAGCTTATTAATAAATCTCTCGGCGCGAAACGGGGATGGCAGGGATCGTATTCTGTCGACTGCGAGAAGGTCCCCGAGCTCCCGGACCTCACCTTCAAGTTTGACGGCAAGCCGTACACTCTTTCCGCCTCGGACTACATCCTCCAGGTCCAGGGCTCGTGCATCTCCGCCTTCCAGGGCATCGACATCCCCGCTCCCCTCGGCCCCATCTACATCATTGGAGACGCCTTTTTGAGGAAATACTACACAGTCTATGACCTTGGACGCAATGCGGTTGGCTTCGCCAAGGCCAAGTAAGATGCTCTCGCCCTCGTACGACGCGACACGACGCTCCGTCCATTGTCTCGACCCTGGTTCCGCATCTATCTTCCTCCTGTCTCATCTCTCCCTCATGACAAATCTCGACGGCTCTTCAATCCTATCTGACCATTTTGATTGCTCATTTGCGTGCCAGTCTGCTAAACGCTGCGTGAGGAAACGATTCAATCGCGTCACCGTAGCACGCTTGAGAGCCGTGGCGCCTGGCTACCTCCCTACACACGGACGACGGGGGCGACGTCGAAGAAAAGGTCGATCGTATTTGGATATGAGATGATTGAGGGTATGAATGTAAGACATGACGGGATACAAGAAATCTATGTGGCCTCGCCTTGCATCACCTAATCACTGTGCAGCTCGTCCTCCTCATCTTCCTTCTCAGCCTGCTCGCCCTCATCATCGAGCTCGTCCTTCTCTTGCCCCTCCTGGTCATCCTCCTCCCCCTCCTGGTCATCCTCCTCCTCGTCCTCATCATCCTCGCTGTCCCACTCCTCTTCGCTCTCCCCGCCCTCGCCTTCCCCTGCCTCGCCGTCCTCGTTCCAGGCCTCCAGCTCGTCTTCCTCGACCGCTGCTTCGGCGAAGAATACGGCCACGGTGCCGGCGCCAGGCAGGCCGACGTCGCCGTAGCTGTCGAGGATGGAGAAGTCAAACCACTTTTTGAGGTTGGCGAGGGTCTCCACGAGAAGGGCGTCGCCTTGCGCGTTGCCGCGAAGCATATTGAGCCCGTGGAGGAGGAGGCGCACATTTCCATGCTCATAATAGCCGTTCGAGTCGATGCGGTCGATGTCAGCGAGCGTGAGGGGCAGCACTGCCCCGGAGGGATCTCGGTAGTAACCACCCGGCAAGCATTGCGGCCGGATGGCATCAGCAAGCTCCTCGACGCTCTTGAAGCGGAGGCGCCTGCGGCGTTGACGGCTGCCGCGAATGGCACCGAAGCGCATTGCTGCAATTCGGCTGTACAGCGACAGGGGACGGTGGTCAGCACCGCCACCGATGAGGGACGGCGAGAAGCTAGGGATGCTCACCGAAGGAATGCCTCGTCCAGCGCCGTCCCTCCCGCTGGGACCCCCTTTGCCAGCGTGACGAAGAGCATGCCCTCCTCGTCGATCATTGGGGTGGCCTGCGCAAGCGAGGCGAGCAAGACAATGGCGTTGGCGGGGGGGGAAGCCCGCCTTGATCAGATTGCACGCCTTACGGGCCTGCAAGAGGACAGTGCACTGATGAGTATCCGCTAGGCCGGAGGTCTTAGCTGCGCTGCGTTGTGACTCACGATGCAGGTATTGTCCTTGTCACAAACTCCTCCGTGATGCCTAGAGACCCTTGCGTCAAGAGTCGCATTCCACGGCCATATATTGACGCCGTCTTGGCGCTGCTCGTGTCGTTCGAGCTGGATGAAAGTGGTGTTTCCCGTGCACCAAGTGCATGGCACGTCTTGCGCCTTGATGAGCTCAACTGCGATGGGGTAGATGCGACTGACAAGGAAGAACGCAAGGCATGAAGTCAGCAGCGTGAAGTGGTACTTTATAAGCCGAACGCACTCAAACTCAGACTTGTACTTCGATTGCTCTGCCTCCGTCCGCTTGGCAACCGTTGGCGGCTGTGCGCCGCCCCAGACACTCCTCTCGGCAGCTTTTCTAGTCATACGACGGACGATGGTCTTCTTGGACCTCCTGTAGCCGGCACGAACCTTGGGCGCAGCGTGGCCGCTCGCTTGCTAATAGGCCTTTGACTTCTCCGACGTATCGTGTCGGCGCTTCTCCATCTTCGCGAAGAGCTCATCGCCAAGTAGTGTCTTGACACGGATGTCCGAGATCTCGCCCGTAGTGCTGCCAAAGCGGATGAGGGTATCGACAAGCTCTTTGGCGTCGAAGTACGACCTCCAGGTGCCCAACTCCATGGTGTAGGAGTCGTGCGAGACGACAGCTTGGAGCAGACCGTGTACGTGTCCGATCTTGTATTTCTTCGGCAGCAATCTGCTGGCCTTGTCGACGCACCACAGTAGGACGCCATCCTGGCTGGGATCCCAGGCAGCGCTGAGGTCGCGCAGGTCCCTCGCCTTCAGGCTGTCCTTCACAGGAGGATCGGCGGTGCCAGATGCTTCGAAGAGCTCGTCGAGGGCAGCTTTGGCCTTACTCTGAATAGTGTATGACGTCTTGGGCCTCGCTTGCTCTTGTTTGCGCCTTCTTCGCTGGTCGCACTACTTCCTGAGAACTGAGAAGTGGCTACTTGCCGCTAAAAGTGCTTGCGGCAGCGTATAGATTCTCATCGGTGAGCAGGCATCCTCAGTCGCAGCCACGAAGTGAGTAATGAGTCGCTGGAGAAGCTCTTGCTTGAAGATGGTGGAGCGCAAAGGGGCTGAGATCACGATGACTGCAGTCGTACTTGTTGGCCGGACGCGAGACTCTCGATGACTTGCACGAACGTCTTGTGCTGCTGAGCTCCTTGCGCGAGTCACCTTTTTGTCAACGACACGCTTGACCATGATCATTGAGATGAGCAATTGATGGATCCATCGCTGCTTGCTTGCCTGATTAGCCCGGTTGCACGATACCTATCCCCCTTGCTGACCGCCACATCGGCGCCGAAGCATCGTTGCACCGGCACTTGGCATGCACACTGTGCATCGTCTTCTCTCCACGCTCTTCAATTCTGGGTGGGTATGGTAGCGCTTTGATGAGTAGCTCCACACGCTTGTTGCGGTGCGATGAGAGTCGGCGGATGGGAGGGGACGGCGGCGCGTCCCACCTCGTCGATGAGGTGGGAGCGCTAATTTGCAGCACAGAGGTGGGTAACCAGCTGTTGGAGAAGTGGGCGTTAGACGATGGTGAAGCGAATCCGGGCTGGGCTTGGTGTGTCGCCTTTGAGCAAGAAGGCAGGATGATGAGGACGACGAGGGGGGGAGGACGAGATTGGACGAGGATGTGATTGGACGACGATGTGACTGGACGACGATGTGACTGGACGAAGACGAGATTGCCCTCAAGCGGGCCCTCGAGCGGGCCCTCAGGCGGATATATGGTATGCAGGGTCGCAGCGGGATGCCCTGAATGAAAGCCACGTGGCACCCGCTCCGACTGGCCAAGAGGGCTCGAGCGTAAACTACTACTCTATTTTTGGGGCCTTGGCTTGCTCGCATTTTGGACCCTTATCCGTCGCATCACGCTGGAACAGGCAAGGATGCCGAGGGCGTATACCGGTCCGCCTCTGCCAAGACTGCCATGGTCTGGTCTTCTGAGTGTTGAACAGGTGAGCTGCCGGCGATAGCCCGACTTTGAGTGGCGACTGACATTCAGCGCTCCAACCGATCAGCTCAACCGACTCAAGGTCGAGATCCCTGACTTTGTCATTTGTCCTGGCTACACAGGTCGCTTTGCCTCGGTGCCAGACGAAGGTGGCAGGGTGTATGTTGCCGGTGCCACGGGTGGGCTATCTCACACCAAGACGATCCTTCGGCGATGGGCCTCAAAGGCGGACACTGATCAAGTCAAGTGGTGGCTCGAGACAATGAAAGACAAGTCGATTGAGCCCGTCACGGTGAGTAGAGGCGGAGCGACGAGCAGCAAGAGATCGAAGCTGACGCTGCCCTTTCGCCCAGTGTCACCAACTCTTGAGCGGCCTAGACTTTGATCGATGGACCAACTACCACAAGGCTTATCATCGTGCCGTAGGAGCCAATCGATTCAGGAGGCATCACGCTCGCAAGAGGGCTCGCATCGTGGAGGAGAAGGAGACAGAGCTCGGAGTCGCACGAGAGCTGCTCGGACTCTCCAATACCAACGTCGAGGTCAAGAAGGCGTCGCTCGATCTCACTGAAGCAGGCTCGCCGGCTCGCAGCTTTGAAAGCTCTTCCGTTCGCAGCACCCTCGGCGATCCATCTCCCGCTCACACCAAGACAAGCCGCTAATGCGCAATGCGCCTAGCTGCTCCTCATCTCGCATCGCCTCAGGAGCACGTCAGATCATCTCCACTCAAGAGCCCTTTCCTCTGATCACTGTCCGATAGACCCACATTATTCTCCTCCCACACCATCGGCTTCGACAAAGCCAAGTGAGCGCCGCGATTCACACAAACAATCGCCTTCTCCTCACGATTTGTATCCCTTCCAACCTTCTTCATCTCTGCGCTCGCTGTCACAAACTTCTGAACCGCTAATCATTGTACATCTATACCAAGTCATCATCTGTATTCTCGCTGCTCGCTGGGATCAGGGCGTGAGGGCGTAACGCTTCTGCGCCGCCTCTGGTCCGCCATCATCCCCCTCGACCCTGACGGACCCTGGCGATGGCGGCGAGCTAGCGATGAGCAATTGCAAATAGAACTCTGTCGCGACGATATTGTGTGGCGTTTGCCCTCTTCGCTCGCTTGCTTCGTCGCGTCACCCTCTCACTTCCAATCCTCCCCTCAGGTACCTCGACTTCTTCGCTTTAAGGTCAGCATCGTCGACGATCTCGCCCCTCGCTACCCGTAACGGCCCGCCTTCTCCGCGGTCTTCACGACTAAACGCCGCCGGTCCTCGATGGTAACATCGCCTCAGGTCGCGATGTCGTGATAGCGACGAGGCGGTGCACAATACCCCTCTCTCCCGCCGGACCTCGGGTGGCGGTCGAGGAACCTATTTGAGCACCTCCATCGACCCAGGATCTATCAGGGCCTGTCGAGGCAAGAGGCATCTCACAAGTGTCTCTACGGATGGCGAGCGAGGGGGCGGGACCTTGGTCTGCTGCAGAGGGAAAGCCACAAAAATTGCCTCGCCTACGCGGACCGCCAAATGCGAGAAGAACGCTACCGCGAGACGTGAGAGACGTGAGAGTACGCTCGTGCTCCAGGGTCCTGCTTGTGTGAGATGATCACCTTATAATGCGGCACAAAATCTTTTTGCTCGACTAGATCCAACTCATCCCATTCTCCATCTACCCCTCCCCCTCCTCCTCCTCCGCCACCATGTCTTTCCCCACCACCCCATCCGAAGACAAGAAGGATGGCCTCGCCTCGTCCTCCCCTGAGGTCCACGAGCGCCAGATCCTTGGGTACGTCGATGAGGCCGACTCAGTCGATGACGCGACCGTCGCATTCGCCAACCTCGTCGACGAGGAAAAGGACCACGACATCAAGCTGCGCACCATGGGCTGGAAGAAGGCGGCCATTCTCCTCTTCGGCGAGCAGGTCTGCTTGGCCATCATGGCGCAGAGTTGGTCCTTCAGCGTGCTGGGCTGGGGTCCCGCCATGGTCACCACGATCCTGTCCGGCGTATTCTTCTGGATCACGTCCTACACGATGTGGCGATTCATCATGAAGCACCCGCATGTGCGTGCGAAGCAGGGGACGCCGTCGTGTGAGCGCGCAAGCTGACCTCCTCCTCACGCCCTCGCTGACAGTGTCGGGACATCTGCGATATTGGATACCTCCTGTTCGGCAAGTCTCGCATTGCATACGAGCTTTCAGGCTTGATGCTGGTCTGCAACAACGTCCTGCTCATCGGATTCCACGTCCTCACGGCAGCCAAGATCTTCAACACTCTCACCGACCACTCTCTCTGCACCGTCTCCTTCTCCGTCATCGGAACCGTCATCGGCATCGTCTTCTCGCTGCCTCGCACGCTTAACCACGTCTCAATGATGAGCGTGGTCTCCGCGATAGCCATGGCAATCGCAATCCTCCTCTTCCTCATCTTCGCGGGCATCGAGTCCAACCCGGCGCTTGGCTACGGAGGCGAGTGGCCTACTCTGGGCCCGGTCAAGACGTACGGTCTGCCCAAGGCGGGTACCACCTTCGTCGAGATCATGGTCGCAGTCCTCAACATCACCTTCCTCTGGGTGAGTAGGCGCGGCGGCTGACGTGAAAATTGCCAGCCGGAAAAATGCGAGGCCCATGCTGACCCTTCTGTCGCCCCTCTCTTCAATGATTCTTCACGATACAGGTGCCTCAACTGCTCTTCCCTTCCTTCATTGCAGAGATGGCGAGTATCAAGGCGGGAAATTGCATCCGTCCGCAGCAGAACACCGAGCTGACCTCTCCTCCCACCCCTCTGCCGCCTCACAGAAGCGCCCCCAGGACTTCCCCAAGGCCTTGTCTGCGCTTGCGATTGCCTCCTTCGTCCTTTTCATCGTGCCTGCGGCCATCGGCTTCGCCTTGCTCGGACAGTACTCGACCGCTCCTGCGTTTGGCTCGCTCCAAGAGACGTACAAGAAGGCCAGCTTTGCCTTCGCCATCGTGCCCACCATCATCATTGGCGTCATCTACTCGAACGTTACGGCCAAGTACATTTACCGTAGGATTATGGGCAACTCGCCTCACCAACACCGCAACACCGTCAAGGGTTGGGCTCCTTGGGTCCTCCTCGACGTCGCAATTTGGGGCATCTCCTTCATCTTTGCCTCTATCATCCCCAGCATGGGCGACTTCCTCGGCCTGATCGGAGCCCTCTTCGACTCCTTCTTCGGCTTCATCTTCTGGGGAGTAGCCTACTACCACCTGCACAAGGGCAACTACTTCAACGGCCCGCTCCGCTCCGCGAACACCGTCTTCCACGTTCTCACCATCGCCGTTGGCTTGTTCCTCCTCGGTCCGGGTCTCTATGCGTCCGTCGAGGCCATCAAGCTCGACTATTCTGGGGCCACTCGTCCCGCCTTCTCGTGCAACAACCTCGCTCTCTGATTCGCGATTCGTTCCTGTTCCTCGGCCTCGTGTCACGGTAATGTCCTCGCCTTTCCTGTCTCGCCCTCGTCATCGGAATTGAATCAGGTACTAGCTGCCACTATGCTCTGTGCGCTCAAGATTGCGAGAAGGGTTCCGATCCATGGTATGGCCTCGTCGCGGTCCGAGTCGTCCGGGAGCGTACACGGTGGGCAGAAGTCTGCGCGGCTCGGTCGACTAGAGTAGATACGACGGCGCTCACGTCGCTCACGCGCACGAGCCACGCCCGCGGCCCCGCGGTCCCCATTTGCTGGCCGCCCTACTCGCCGCTGACGCTGCTTGAGACGCTCCTTTCTCTTCAGATTATTCGCTCCTTCTCTTCCCTCCCGATCATCCTCATCATCTCTCCCCTTTCTCTCGCGGCGAGGGAGCCGCCACCGCTACGCTACGGCGCGATCACCGATCCCGGCCCGCGTCGCCGCTCGTCGTGAGGGCAACAGATGCCCTGGCTGACTAGCGGTCGACTCATTAGGTAGTCACGATTCGGCGCCGACGTTGTGGTCGCTACCCTCGTCGAGCAAGCCAATTGCAGGCGAGCCGCTGCGTTTTCACCTTCTTCGCCACCCTCCTCGCGACTCAGCAGTCCCGTCCCTACCTTTCCCCTCACCGCAGCATCGTCCATCACCCTCAAAGAGCATTTCATCCTTAACTTCTGGCCAGGGAGGCCTCTGCGCCGCAACATGCTGGGCCTCGAATCTTCGTCCCTCGTTGACACTTCGACGACGGTCTCAGCGGCGACAGCTGGTATGGCGCATGGTCACGGCTCACGCAAGCCGGCCGTCACACAAGCCTACGTCGCAGCCAAGTCGTGAGCTCGGTGTGCTAGCAGCGAGACACTCGATATGCACTCACATTCCGCTCCTCGCCTCTGCCACGCCCGCAGCGACCTCTGGTCTCCATACGTCGGACTGCAATTCAGCGTCCTCCTCCTCACCCTCGTAGCCTCCGAGGCCGTACGCTATTTCCGAGGCCAACGTCGGCTCGGGCAAGGCAGCAGCGACCCTTCCATTGTCAAGGGCACCGTCGTGGCGGTATGCACCACGACAGTCGTGCAGAGCATCTTCACCTTCTACGGCGGCTACACCGTCTTCGTGCAGAATTGGGGCCGAACCTCGCCCGGGCTGCGCGAGTTGATGTACGGCAACATGGTGTCCGACGCGGTCATTGCGGCCATTGTCCATTCTCTCTACAGCTGGTACCTCTTCACGCTGACCAGTGGCCAGATGCGCTGGGGTGGATGGCTGCTGGCGAGCATCATCATGATCTTCTCTACTGCGCAGCTCGCATGCAGCATCCTCGCGGCGCTAGGGTTCGCTCAGTCGACGCCCTGGTTGCCAGAGAGTGATGTGCAGCTCACTCGCGCTGTATTCAGGGCATGGCTGGGCATCTGTGCGGGCACCGATTTGTTCATCAGTAGGTGGGGGGTGTGCCCGCAGAGGTAGCCTTGACTGACATCCTGCCTCGCGACCTCACTCGCAGCACTCGTTTGCCTCTTCAAGGCCAATCAAGCTCGTCGCGAACAAGACCCGGATCACAAGTGGTGCATCTGCTCACTCTTCTGGTCAGTGGCGCGAGCGAAGACGAGCAGCGGCTACGTGAATCTGACTTGCCTGCCTTCGCACCTGCGCACCGCCAGGACCACCATCTGGGTACTTCTCCCCGGCAACGCCATCGCAGTCCTCGTCACGCTCGCTGCTCTCCTCGCGCAGAGCTTCGCTGAGCACCACGACTACTACTCGTGGCTCCTCATCTGCATGTCAAAGGTGCATGCCCTCGCCATCCTAGTCTGCCTCAATTTGCGCGATGATGAGCAAGCGTATCCTGCCAAGCATGGACCGCAGGTGAAGACGTTGCTGATGACGCGCGAGTAGCACGCGTGGTACGTGGGATGCTGCTGCTGCTGACCCATGCTTCCTTGCCCGCGCGCTCTCACAGGCCCAGACAATATGCCTCCGCCTATCCTCATCAAGGAGCACGGTGGTGGCGGCGACTCAGACTCCACCTCGCTACGACGAGTCTCTGATTCCTCACCTACCTCGTGCACCTCGACCGGTTCTTCGACCTCCGGAGCAACCACCGTCGTCTCTACCTCGCAATACACACGCCACCCTCTGCACATCGACACGGACGACAAGGTGCTGCGAGCCCGCAACCACCGCCACCGTGAGCGCTCGTACCGCGGCGTGCTCCCCGTCTACTCGATGTCGACGATGGACTCTCAGGCGAGCAGCAGCGGTCACGGCCACGGCCACCCCGCCCTCCCTCTCTACAGCAAAACGGTTAGCCCGACATTCGCTCAAGTTACGCACGGATCCTCGCCTTCACCTGCCCGCTCGATGCGACGCCCTTCCAGCTTCTTGGACATGCACCAGGATTACGTCGAGGGCAGAAGTCCGGCGTCGTCGAGCCATAGCGACGATACGCTGCCGGTGGGCAACATCTCGACGACTGCGATGGGCGAAGGGTCTTGCGACTCGTCTTACTCCAAGGTGCGATCCCCCTATAAGGCACACAACGGCCCGCAAGTGTATGCCCCGACTCCCCAGCATCCCGCGCAGCCTTGGTTCGACGGCAGTGAGGCGGGTTCAGTGACGAGCAGCAGATCGTCTACTCGACGTGACCTCGTTGATCCATGGAGGGACGCTGCGGCTCCCGCTGACTACGAGAGGCAGAGGGCGAGTGCGACGCGGACTCAAGCTCAATATCCGCCACCGCCCCTCCGTCGAGCCACTCATAATTCCCCTTTGCCTTCCTCTCGTCGACCTCAATGGATCTAAGCGCACTAATCGCGCGGCTAGAATTGGACTCCAAGCCAAGCAGCTCTCGACGCCTCCCGCCTCTTTGTTCCCCATCGTCACCTTCTTTGTCTCTACCGCGGCGGTATGATCTCCTCCTTCTCCGTAAATTCAGGTGACCATGATCTCTTCTCGATGCGATTGAAGTCCCTTGTCTCGCTGCTCGCTGTGGTTTGCGGCGCACGACGCCTGATGCGCTCATCCAGAGCAATGATGAGCGGGCCAATGTCGCGGTAGTGAGCGGCCCCCCACCCCTCGCTCGCTCGCTCATTTGTTCCATTCTATTGGCCGGCGTCTGCATCGCTTTGGCTGGCTCAGTCCGAAGGAGGATGGGAGAGAGCATCTTCGGCAATGAAGTCCTCGTGCTCCATCCATGGCTCGCTGTGCTGCCTCCACTCTCTTTGCTGGAATGCCTGGGCCGAAGACTGGCTGAGTGCCCGCGTTGCTGCTTTGCCGCGTTGCTCTTCATCTTCGACGTCACTGATGCAGCAGCCAGCCGCCGCCCGCCCAGCGCGAGGGGACAAGCGGACCGAGTCGAGGCCCGCGGGCGATGGATGACCGCATACAAGGGCCACCACGACGGGTGATACTCGACATCCCTCCTTCCCCTTTCTCTCCATCATACCACACATACACACACACACACCTCTCCGCCACAACACAGCATGAGTCAGTACGACACCCACTCCATCTCTAGAGCGACGTCGCTGAGCCGCAAGTCGACGGTGGCCTCGCGCAACAAGTCGCTCATCAGCAAGCAGACTGCCCCGCACGAGCTGCGTCCCTCTGACATCCTCATTGAGCGATTCAATGGTTGGAAGCACATCACAAAGCAGTTGATCGCCTACTTTGAGGGTATTGCCGACATTGAGTACAACACGGCCAAGGAGCTCACCAAGCTGGGCGGTGTCATCCAGGTGCCCTTCAGAGAGGGATCTCAGTTCCTCGGCGAGGGAGGTGCGTTGCAGCGGGGCAGATGATGATATAGGGGACCCGATAGACTGACATCCATTCTTTCTCTCTCTCTCTCTCGCGCGCTGCCAGGCATCCAGGACATCTACTATGGCATTCGTGACAAGACTCGCGTCATTGCCGACCACCACGCTAACCTGGCAAAGACGTGAGTGTGTGCGCGCGAGCAGCGTGACACGACGTCACAGGGCAGATGCTGATCCTCTTTACTCCCGCCACTCGCAGCGTCGAGGGATCCATCGTCCAGCACCTCCAGAAGCTGCGTGCCGAAATCAAGGCCCACGTCAAGAACATCCAGCAGGACACCGTGAGTTACGCGCGAACGCGCTGCGACAACGCAGCTTGATCACATCGACTGACTCTCCTCTGCTCTGCATCCGCGCTGCGCTCGCAGGGCAAGCTCGCCAACTCCGTCGCAAAGGAGCGCGAGATGTCGACCAAGATGATCTCGGACCTCGCTCGCTCCATCACCCTCCTCAAGAACACGCCCATGAGCGTCACCGCTCGCGAGGACCCGTACACGACGAACACTCAGGTCGCACGTCAGCTTCAGCGCCAGGTCAACGAGGAGAATGCTCTCCAGAAGAGCATCGTCATCATGCAGCAGAACTCGGCTCACTTTGAGGAGGGAATCGTTCGCTCCATCCAGTCTGCCTGGCAAACGTTCGACGAGTGGTCTGGCCGCATGAGCGCTCAGGTTCAGGACACCTGGCTCGGCCTCGGCGTCACGATGCGCTCCCTCCAGCCCAACTCGGAGTGGATCGCATTCGCCGCTCGCTCTGACCACCTCATCGACCCTGACACCCCCCTGCGCAACCCGGAGACGATCGAGTACCCTGGCAAGGAGGACCCCTCGGTCATCCCCGTCCACCAGGGCATCCTCGAGCGCAAGAAGCGCTTCACCAAGTCGTACCGCGAGTCCTTCTACGTCCTCACCCCCGCCGGTTACCTCCACGAGCTCACTTCTTCGGACCCAGCCAAGGCTGGCTCTTCACCCGCTCTCTCGCTCTTCCTTCCCGAATGCACTCTCGGCGCACCCTCGACGATTGCCTCCAAGTCGCACAAGTGGCACATCACGGCTGGTGCCCCGCAGAAGGGCATTCAGAAGGCCCTCGGCCGTGGCGAGCATGCATACACTTTCCGCGCTCGCAGCCACGACGAGATGATGGAGTGGTGGAACGACATCAAGCAGCTCTCCAAGGTCTACCTCACCACCTCGGAGCAGATGGACCGCTCCGGCCCCGTCCCTGCCGCCGTGCGTGCCGCAGGCTACGTCAGCGAGGAGGAGGACGAGGAAGACGACGAGGAGGGTTCGAGCGTCGAGGAGGACGATGACGACGAGGAGTACGAGGAGGCCGGCCATGGCCACGCTGGCCATGGTGTCACCGAGCAAGGCAACGCCGCCCCTGCCCTCGCTGCCCCCGCCACCACTGGCGCCGGTGCTGGTGAGGAGGCCGCTCCGGGCTACTCTGCCCCCGGCAAGTCGTCGGGCATCGCCATCGGCGACAATGGCTACGCGGTCGAGAAGAAGGGCGACGCCGCTGCTGGTGGCGCCGGCTCTGGCCCCGCGGGCGAGCCTAGCCAGGACGCCTCCAAGGGCAAGGCCACGGAGGGTGCTGCTTCGGGCACCGCCTGAGCGCACACCCAGATGGGAGACTGCGTGCGTCTCCACCGTATACCAGCGAGCGGGCGTGGCGTGACCTCTTTTGACTCCTGGCCGCGGCCGGCGTTCGATGTGCGAAAACAAAAACAAAAACACCACAATCAAGCCTTCTCTTCTCGTGCCACTCTCTCTATTCTACTGCTTCCTGTTGTCATTGCCCGCTGCAATCTGACGAAGTGCTTGCCTATTCGAATCGATGCGATGCGTGCTCTATGCTACAAGCGTGCGACGTGCCCTCATCTGCTCCTCCGTAAGCTCCTCGCCCTTGGTCCATCCCCCGACCAGCTTCGCCTTCTCGCCGCCCTCGTGATCGTACCGCGCCGGCGCCCATCCGTTAGCCTCATCACGGCGTGACAAGTCAAAGGGCGACGAATCACCCACGGCGACCGCACCCTCATCGCGCTCCTCTGCCGCGCGGGCCATCATATCCCTCAAACTCTGCGAATAGACGGCGTCCAACCCCTCGCGAAGAACGTAGCGCCCGCCACGCACGGCTTCAACGTCGAGCCATCGTTCCACACGTTGCCTGTCCTTGTGCTCGTCCTCCACGCCATCCCCTGCCTCAGCCCCGTCCGCGAGAACGTCTACATTCCCCTCCTCGCCTCCCATGAGGCTCAAAACGCTCCACCCAATCATCATCATTCCCGGTGGACGTTGCTCCCCAACGTGGTCGAGGGCCTCGCGTATCCCCTCGAGGGTCGAGGCAACGAGACGTTGGTCAGGCGAAGAGGCTCGCTCAACGAGAGCGATGGGGAGGTGCAGCGGATATGCCTTGCCTCCAGCACGGCCTGTGGAGTCGTGCGAGGTCAAGACGTCCAGTAGAGCCTCGAGTCTTGCCACGCCCATCAGGACAAGCAAGGTCCTTCCCCTCTCGTACCCAGGTAGACGAACCTGTTTCCCTCCCCTGCCCACACCGGTGCACAACACCAGGCTATCCGCCGCCCCCCTCTGGGTGACGGGAAGGCCCAACATCAAGGGGCCAGCAAGCGCAGAGCTGATACCGGGAACGACGGTAACCTGCAGCCCTGCTCGGCGAAAGGCGAGGACCTCCTCCCCTCCTCTTCCGTACACGAATGGATCCCCCTGCTTGAGGCGCACGACGTTCTTTCCTTCCTTCAAAGCGGCAGAAAGAGCCAGCTCGATGAGCTCACTTTGTGCCCCCTCTGCATTTCCTGGGAATTTCCTTGCGATGACCAGAGGGGTGCTGCTCGGGATCAACCGAAGGATGGGGGCTGGGACCAGCTTATCGCTGAGGATTAGGTGGGTCGAGGGGGAGGTGAGGAGGGAGAGGGCCAAGGAGGTTAGGAGGCCGGGGTGACCGGGCCCTGAGCCTATTAGGTAGATTTGACCCTTGGATTGGGAGGAGAGAGGGGGTGGAGGTGGGAGGAGAGAGAGGGAATGTTGCGAGCGGGCACGATGCGCGCGAGAGGTGGATGCGTGGATGGAGCGACCGCGGCGCTCGTCCTCGTCGGCGTCGATGTGGTGGCCATGGCCATTTGCTTGGGCTTGGACCTCGCCTTGTGGAGCTCCTTGTCCACCACTACCACCCCGCTTCTTCTCGTCAAAGGATCGCAACACCCCCTGCATCTGCTCCTCACTCATGCCTCCCAGATACTCTATAGGCCAGTACTCTGAAATCTGCGCAACCCAGCGCATGCGGCGCTTCGTCTGCTCGACGGCGGCGGCGGCGGCGCGCTCCTCTTCTTCTCGTTGCTGCTGGCGCGCAGAGCTGCCGCCTCCATTGACTGCCGAGCTGAGGTGCGTAGCAAGGGCAGTCAGGTCTGCCCTACTGTTGGCGCGACTAAGTTGCGGAACGGGGCTGTTGAGCGGTGTGGAGTCAAAGCTCAGGTCGTCCTCCTGTACGGCTGCCGTGCCCGTAGCTGCGGCGCGAGAGGTGAGCTGAGGCTGAGGCTGAGGCTTTGCGCTGATATAGTCTCTCGCTCCTTGGCTACCGGCGGCAGAGGACACGGAGACCTGCGACACCGAGTTTCCCTTTGCCAAATCCCTCATCTGCCCCACCCTTTGCACCGCATCCCCCACATTCCTAGGCAGGGCGCTCACTATTTCCCTCCTGATCCTTCCAGCCAGCCGACACCCGCGCCCATTGGTGGTGACTGCAATTTGAAGGGGCGAGGCGGCGACGCTCCCTCCTTGCTGCGAGGAGGAGAGGGCGAATCGATGAGTTGCCGGAAATGAGAAATCGCACAACGTTGGCCTGTCGGCTACGTTTATGGGTATTCGGCGACGTCGGCATAGTTGGGCGAGGAGTGTGGCTCGGTCCAGTGATGACAACGACGAGGAGGAGCAGCTGGTGTGATGATGTTGCGCCGCATCCTCATCCCCGGAGTGAAGCGTATCGGTTACGCAGAGTGCGAAGACCTTATTCTCCTCTCCATCTACATCGTCCAACCATTCCCCCCACTCGGTGCTATTCTGCTCGCCGCCAGGTGGCTCCTTCCAACTCACACGGCCCGCTCGTACGCCCTCCTGTATCTCAGTGCAGCCAGTATCGCCCGTCTCCAAAGGTACGACGAGAGGGATAGCCCCAACTTCTATGGCGGTACGGGCACGAGATGCTGCTAGCTTGCCACTTCCCAGGATGACGAGCAAACGGCCCTGCGGTCGATGCGCCAAGAGCAGAGAGGCAGGCGTCGCCGCGGTGGACGCCGACGTCGAGGCGGTCAACGTGTCCATGCTGGATGGCTACTTACCACCGTGGAGCCTGGTTCAGGTGGTGGTGAGATAAGGAAACAATTTCGCTCGCTGTTGCGGAATACCCGCTTATCCTTCTGGAGCGGGGAGTTCCATTCAAATCAATCGGGCTTAACACTCTCAGTCCGCCTTGCAGCGGCCATGCGCATGACAATTTCAAATCACGTCAGAGGCAGCATAGTCGACGTAAGAGCCGCGCCTGAAGAGGTCACGGCTAACTATCCATCCATCCTTCTACGGGTCGTACGACGACGCAAGGCCAGTCACGCAAGGTTGCGACACGGTGCTCAGTCGAGCGGTGAGAGGGAGAACATTGAGAGATTACACGACTGCTAGCAAAAGAGAAGAGCAGACAAGAAGGGGAGGGGAGGAGGGACAATAAGTGGCCAAAAAGGCCTGGCGTAGTAGCGCGCGTGGAAGGGGGAGCAAAAGATTACAGAACAGAATAAAGGTCAAGGTCGAGTGGGTAGTAAAATGAGTGAATGAATGCTACAGATCACCCCTCGAGGAAGGGGGATCGTCGTTGAGTATTGTCTTGTCGTTGTTCTTGGTGCGATGCGGATGCGGGGACGGGGTCGCCGCGAAAAATGAGGGCGAGGGCTAGGACGAGGAGGGAAAGGAGGAGGAGGGTGTAAGGGGGACGACGACGACGTAGCCTACGGTGACCAGGAGGGAAGGTGGCTACGTCGTCTTGCAGCTCGATGGGCTCAACGACGTTGACATCGCCGCTGCTGCTGCTGCTGGTGGGCGCAGCTGTGGCCCGTCGACCCCGCCTCCAACGGCGCAATGCCATCTCCACATTGCCCCTCACAGATAGTCACGCCCTAATCCCCCAACTCTCCTGAATCTTCTCGATCCACTCTACGATCATCTCTAGCCTCTTGCGCGGGGAGCGCACGGGCATGAGCTGAGACTTGGCGTGCTCATCGATGGGTAATACCATACCCAGCCACCAGGAGAGACGATCCACCTCCAGTGGCTGGGGTACGGGCCCGTACGTTGCGAGGATACGTTCGAAGAGCCCAGGAGCGGTTTGGGTGCGGAGCAGCTCGATGAAGGATGAGCAGGTGGAGACGAGCTGAGGAGTCGTAGCCATGGGCGTAAGATCCGCAGGTGCAGGGCTGGTGCGGGAGTTCTGGTTGTTGTCGAAGGGCGGCAGGATCACCGAAGGATCCGCTGAATCACCCTGCGTCATTGCCGTAGGATCGCGGGCGATGGTAGGGGTGAGCAACTCGGGCATCCCCGGATCACTCCTCCTCTGCTCCTCGAAACGGCGCAATTGTTCCACACGCTCGTTGTGAGCAACAACCTCGCGCTCCTCGGCTTCGACCTCCTCCGGGCTCACGTCGTCCAGGTACTCGACACGCCCCGTCGTGTACCCATCAAGACTGCCCGTCTCCAGCAGCCTAAAGCGGCGCCACCCAACCGTCTCGAGCATGCTTCTCCCATCCAGCAACATCTGGCAACTCTGAATCTCCAACATGGTCCCATACTGCGGGACGGAGGGATCAGCCGTCCTATTGGGCAAGACCATACCGAAGCGCGCGGGCCCAGGTGACTGCAAGCATCGCCTGACCATGAGTCGGTAACGAGGCTCAAAGATGTGCAGATTCGTGGGCATGCCAGGGAAGGCCAGCGTGCAGACGAAGATGGGCGTCCAGGTCGACGACTCGCGCTGTTCGGCAGCAACGGACTCGACGCGTTGCGTGTAGAGGTGGCGAAGACCGAAGAAGGCGCCTTCGTCTTGCTCATCGGCGGTGGCGGCAGCAGCAGAGGTGACTTTACTGCTGTGCGCGTCTTGCGAGTCGGCAAAGACGCCCATGCGGGAGAGGGAATCGAGGTCCTCGCGAGACAGGCCCGAGGAGGACGTGTGATCGTGCTGCCCCTCTTCTTCATCTTGCACCGTGGCGCCGGTCGTCGTCTCGCTCTTGTCGGTAGAGGCGTGCGGCGCGCCCAATTGACTGGTGAGAAGCCTCATCAAGGCCTGATTGAGGGGGTGATCCTGGAAGAAGGCGAAGCTGGGCATCTGAGCGCGACAGAGTGGACACTTGCTCGAGTGATCGAGGGAGCGACCGAAGCATGTGCGACAGAAGGTGTGGCCGCAGGGCGTGGTGATGGGCTCGTAGTAGAGGAGGTAGCACAATTGGCACTCGAGCGAATCGGTGAGTTCCGAGAGGAGTTGCTCGGGGTTGAGCGACTTGGTCGTGAGGGCGGTGCTCGAAGGAGAGGAGCCCTCGGGACCTTGAGTTTGAGCGGACTCTTCTTCCTCCTCCTCCTCGTCTTGGACGTCCCTGTGCAGCGGTGTGGCGGCCCCACTCCCATCGGTGTCCCACCCGCTCTCCTCCCATTTGCGATCATACGCAGGAGCCATGGCGCCCCAGTACTTGCTTTGAAGGGCGAGTCGACGACGACGTTCCTCCTCTTCGCCATAGCCGCGCGGTTGACGAGGACGGGCAAAAGCGCCACCAAAGTCGTCTTCATCTTCGTCTTGTTCGTCCTCGTCCATCATATCCTCCGTCTCGTCTTCCATGTGTCCCTCCTCGTCTGCGACTTCGCCGCCGTCACGCTCAACACGGTCGTCCGCTTCTTGCTCGTATGACATGATGCTGGAGGAGCGATCCCGGGCGGCGAGGCCGTAGGGACGGCGGGACTGAGAGGCGGCGAAAGAGTTCTCCTCGTCGTCCTCATCGTCCGTGTCTGTGGCGCGAATGCCGGAGATGGTACCAGATTCACGGCCCGCCTCAGATCCGCCCAACAAGGCACGGAACTGGGGTGCGATGCGCGTAGCCCCGGGTCGAGGACCGGGGGAGTGGTGTCGTTCCCTCTCTACGAGGGACTGGGCAAAGTTGGACCCTCGAGCTAGAGCGCTCGCTGGATTGGGTCTGGCGCGACGGGCTACGCGGGAGAGCATGCTGGACGAGGACGAGGGTGAAGATGAGGAGGAGGAGGGTGAAGAGGCAGCGCCGTGGTGCATGCGACGAGCTGATGCGTAGCCACGGAGGGGTCGGCGAGCTCGTTGCGACGAGCCTACCGCAGCAGATCGCATGCCTGGTGGCTCTTGTGTAAACTTCTCGAGCACAGCTACCGCTTTCGCCAGCGTGACGTCGGTGCGAAGAGACAGATGATCGATGCTCTGCCCGTCTGTACCCAACGCAAAGATGTTGGCTTTACTGCGACGTTGTGGTGGGATGACGCCAAGACGGAGGCTCTGATTCTCTGCGCCTACGACGAAGCCATCGATTGGCAGCACGCCGGCATCATTCTCGCCGCCGTCGCCACCATTGGACGAGTTGGAGTCGGCGGTGGCGTCGTGCTCGTGGTTGTGGTCGTCATCGGTGGGCGATGGCGGGCCAAATGAGGCGGTGTACCCTGCCCAGGAGCCCAGCCCTTGGCCAATGGCAGATCTCGGACAGCCAGATACGGAGCAAGGTACCGTCATGCTGCATAGGGGCAGGCGTGGCGGGACGTGGCTCGTAGACCTGGACGAGGATGCTGCGTGGCGTGATTTCGCTTCGTTGATGCTGCGAGTGATGCATGGAAGACACGTCGAGTGGCCGCAAGGGAGGGTGACTGGATTGCGGTACGGCTGCGAGCATGAAGGGCAGGAGACGAGGTCCAGGAGTTGACGGGCAAAGCGACGCGTGCGGCGGGTCATAGATGATGAGGATGACGTGGGCGACGAGGTCGGCTGCAGCGTCTGAGCGGCCGGACGTTTGCCTAAGGATGTCGTAGTAGTAGGGGTGGACGAGGTCGTATCGAGCTTCGAAGGTGGCGCAGTGTCCATTCCTCTGCGTAGAGTGCGTTGGATGGCTGCGTGCGGCGGGGAGTGGTGGTGAGCGCGCCATTCCAATAACGGGGACGACGTCGTGACAAACTCACCTGCAATCTTGTGAGCCTCATCTGACGTCGATGCTGCGTGCCCTTCTGTAGCCGCAGCCGCCACCATGCCTCCTACAGCGTGCGCGGGTGCATTTCGACCGCCACCACTCGCGTTGATGGCCTCATGATGAGACGTCTCTGAACACATTGCTGGCGGGGCGAGTGAGGCGAGCGAGGCGAGCTCCTCGTTGAAGCGGTGTGGTGGCAAGTGCCACTCAAAGTCTTTCGGGGCCAAGAGATTGCGAGGATGAGGAGGGGGCGATGATGAGGTAGCGGGTGTTACGCGAGCCTTTATTCGACGATTGCTAATGAGCGTGCTAGGAGCGCAAGCTCAATGTGTCGAATATGGAGAAAGCCTAGTAGGGCTTGGGGAACGACTTCGCGTGGCGTGATGCTGATGGTGAGAAGGACAAGATGGCGAGGTCGATTAGAGGATGGTAAGTCGCTCCTGATGATGCGATGCGATGCGAGTCCCTCGCTGCCTTCCTCGGGGAAAAAGCTTTGTCAAGAGCAGTCGATGAGCCAAGGGTCTGGCAACCTTGCAGAGGGTGGCTGTGGGCCAAGGTCGAGCGAGGGTAGCCTAATCCCACACCAAAGAGTGGGCAATCGCAGCTTAGCGATGCAATCAGACCGAGTGCGAGTGCGTGTGCGTCTGGCCACTGGGACTTGGTGTGGTAAGGCAGAGCAAGCCTAGTCTACGAGTAGAGTGGCGGCGGCCTGGCTCGCTGACCAAATTGATGTGCGAGCGCCGAGCGGTGCGGCCGCGACCATCGACGGGCAGCGGCACCACGTCCCGCCCCCGCTTAGCCAAGCACAATCTGAGACCGACCGACCGACCGACCGACGGCACAGCGAGGCGACAGGCGCCAGGCGCATGGATGGCGGAAAACAAGCAAGACCCCATCGTCCCAGCACACAGTGGGAGGGGTCATCCCATATTCATTATTCGTACGACAAGGCGAGCCGCGGGTTGGATGGTGTCGTTCAGGAGTTAGGTGAGGTGAGCAATACGGTGCCGTGTGGCGATGCATGGAAGGCAAGCAGTGATCTCGCAGACGACAGACGAATGCCATGGTATTGCGATGCGTGGCAATGCGAGACTTGCTACCAAGCAGAGGAGATGAGCGAGGAAGCAAAGCGCTACGACGACGACGACGACGACGACACGTCGATCGACGATGGATTCTGACAATGATCGACAGCGACGTCGGAGGAGGATTAGGCGTTGATTGATCGATCAAGGGGGCGTGCAAAGACGCCGTGACATACTCACCACGGCCACGTGGTCACGCGGGCGGACGGAAAGAGGAGAAAGTCAAAAGTCGAGTCGGCGTCGAGTCGTTGAGGAAAGAGAGTTGGACTGCGTTGCTCTCCGGACTGCATTGCTCTCTCCCTCTTTGTATGCTCGCTCACCACCACACGCGAAAGTGAGATGGCTGGTCCGTCCCCTTCCTCAGACGCAGAGGCATCCGCGCTCATCGCCTGCCTGTACGACCGGGCCACCAAGAGCGACTCGAATCCCAAGCCCCTCGTCCGGCATACCCTGCACCACGTCCCCTCGACCACTGACCCGGGGCAACGTTTCGCCATCACGTCGTGGAAGACCGTCGAGTTTGCCTATCGCAAGGCCGAGAGCGTGGGCGTGGGCAAAGATCTGCCCACCCTAGCCAGAGGGCTGTTCACCGTCGCTCACACTCTTGATGATCATGACGGTAGCGAGCCAGAAAGCTCAGCGCACGCGGCTGCGAGGCAACGTATCCTCGTTCGCGGCTATGACAAGTTCTTCAATGTGGGAGAGATGCCTTGGACAAAGGTGCGTGTGCGCGCAAGATGATCCTGATCAAGATAGGCTCGCTCGTATGCTGACCAGTCTCTCTGGTCTCGCGCACGCGCCCCGCAGCAAGCGTCCATCGATCGCTACTCCTCCCCGCCGTACCTACTCACATTCAAGGAGAATGGTTGCATCATCTTCATTTCGGCCCTCTCACCTACGCAGCTCATTGTCACGTCAAAGCATGCGCTGGAGTCGCTCGAGAATCAGGAAGGTGATGATGTAGCTGGAGAAGAGGGGGAGAAGCGCGTGTCTCACGCTGCAAAGGGGGAGGAATGGTTGGGCAGGCATCTGGCCAAGGTCGGCAAGACCAAGAAAGACTTGGCAACTGAGTTGTGGAGTCGAGGAGAGACGGCTGTAGCTGAGGTGAGCTGACGTGTCCATACTACCAAGGCAATCCGCGATCCACGCCGCTGACCTCGCTCCACACCCGCCCGTCGCCCGCAGCTCTGCGACGATTCCTTCGAGGAGCACGTCCTTGCCTACCCACCAGAGAGATCGGGACTACACCTACACGGCCTCAACGCCAACCGCCCTCACTTCTCCACACGCCCCATGTCCGACGTGAATGCCTTTGCAACGCAATGGGGTTTCATCCCTACCCGCTACCTCACCATGAACAGCATGGCCGACGTCAAGGAATTCACCGATCGCATAGGCACCACGGGCGAGTACGAGGGAGAGGCCATTGAGGGATTCGTCGTGCGCACCACCATGCCCGATGCGCCAGCGCCAGCTGACAGGGTGAAGGGAACAGTTCCGCCCCCTTACTCGCCCGGGCAGACCTGGTTCTACAAGGTGAAATTCGACGAGCCTTACCTCATGTATCGCGACTGGCGAGAGCTAGCGAAGCGCATGCTGGTCGATCGCAACAAATGGTTGGCTGAGAGGCAGCGTGGCATCGATCGCGAGGCCGATGATGGCAAGGAGCCCGACGAGCTTGTGAAGAGCGCCTCGCGCCTAGAGATAGACGATCCCTCCCCTGTCACGGCGGATGGGGCAAAGAAGAGCAAGAACCAGCTAAAGAAGGAGCAGAAAGCGCGCCAACTTCAACTGCAACGCTCGCTCGGCCCAGCATCTGGCGCGCCCACTCTACCTCAAGCACCTAAAGCCCGCTCTGATCGTCCTGAGACGAAGCTCTTCGTCCAGTGGTGCTGGGATCGCATGTACGGGAGTCAGGATGGCAGAGTGCGCGCCCAGCCCGCCTTGTTTGAGGGCCTCAACGTGGGGAAGGGGATCATTCGGCTGCGCGATACTTTCCTTGCGTATTTGGAGACGGGCGAGGGGAGAGACCGCCTCGCTGCGCTGGGGGGAGCAGAGGGGGCTTTGGCTGCTAGGCTTGGACAAGACGTCAGCACGACGAGTACGCCCACATCATCGACGCAGCCCGACACGCGACCCTACACGCACCTGCTACTCCTTCCCATCTCCCTTCCCGGCGCGGGCAAGACGACCCTCTTCCACTCCCTCTCCTCCCTTTACCCTCGCGCTCTATCGCACACACAAAGCGACGATGTCCCCACGAAGAAGAGCGGGCCGACTTTCCTGCGCAACATCTGCTCTGAGCTCAGTCGCTCCCGCGTGGTACTAGCGGATCGCAACAACCACTTGCTGCAGCATCGCGACGAAGTGGTCGAGGCGGTGCGCACCTGGGAGGCTCGCGGGGGCAGGAGTGAGGAGCAACTTCGCGAGGAGAAGAAGAAGCATTTCCAAAAGTACGGGAAGAAGATGGGAGCCCCGCCTTTCAGCGAGGAGGTGCCGTTGGAGCAGCGACCCCGCGTCAAGTTCCTCACGCTGCTGTACGAGCTTGACGTCCTGCCGTTCAATGCGCTTCATCGCCTTCTGTCGGATCGCATCCTCGGGCGAGGGGATAATCATCAGTCCCTCGTTGCGGACACGAGCGCGGCGGCTGGGTGTCGGGCCCACGAGGTGGTGCTTTGGCGCTTCTTGGAGGCTTATGAGCCCTTTGGCTCAGCGGAGGGGAAGGGGGAGGGGACCAAGGGATGGGGTGACGTGGTGCTACGCCAGGAAGGGGCGAGCGTGACGCTAAACGTGGAGGCGAGCCTGCGCGAGCAATTGGAGCAGGTGTGGCAATGCTTGACGCAGCGAGGCGTCTTGCCTCGCGAGGGCTGCGAGGAGTTGGAGGAAGCGGTGCGCAGGACTACGCCCGCCATGCTGGATGAAGCCATCGAGCGCGCCAAGGGGTACAAGGCTACGCAGATCAAGAGCCTCCTGCCCGCGCCTGGCAGCACAAATAGCAGCGTCACAGGCCCGCGCTACTACGCCATCTCAGTCGAAGTGGACTTGGCGCGTCTCCTCCCTCCCCTTCTCGAGGCCAAGAGCCCGCAAAACCGTGAGCCTCAACGTGCCGCCCGCCTCTCTCGAGCGCGCGCCCTCCTCACCAGCCTCTCCGCATCCAAGCGCGTGGTGACACGCCCACACATCACCCTGGTCCACAATAGCGCGCTACGCCGGGACATTGGGGACGACGAGGAGTCTGCTCTCCAGTCCCTGCCTGAAGCGGAGCGCAAGGCGGTCCAAGCTGCGAGGAGGAAATGGCAACGTTACGAGGCACTCTGTGGAGCCGGTGAAGCTGGTGTTGACTTTAATGTTCAGTTCGACCGGCTCTGTTGGGAAGGGGACAAGGTCATGACGCTGAGCGTCTCCTCTGTCGCGCCTTGCCTTGACTCGGCGTTGAGCGTCGAGGAGATGGAGAGGCTGCAGGGAGAAGGAGAGGAGTGGAGACCCCACGTTACCGTTGGGACGCGCGATGCGGAGGTGCGACCTTTTGAGGCGAATAGGGTTGTGAGGGTTGTGGATACGTTGCGTAAGGAGGGAATGCGTGGTGGGCAGGAGGGCGAGATTGAGTGGATCGATTTGGAGGGGCAGATGAGCGTGAAGGGCAGGCTGATGGGGATGAGCGCGTAGCGTGGCGCGGCGCAGCGCAGCGCGAGGACAAAATGCATGTATCCAAGTGACGCAACTGCCATGCCGTGCCCGCTCGTCTATGGGTATCAAAGATGATTCTATTACCACACTCCATCCCCTCTCCTACTTTTTATCCGTCTTGACCTTCTTCTTCCCCTTGGCATCACCCCCCTTGCCCCTCTCCTCGAACGGAACGATCCACCCTTGCTCCCACAATCCCTTCAACCACCCCCCAACCTCGCGCTTGGCCTCCTCCCCACTCGCCTCCTCTCGCGAACGGGCAAACTGCCAGACGAGGACGGCGTTCAACAGTCGCGTGGTCATGGGGCCCGGCTTGAGCTCCAACAGGGCGAGGACGGCATTCCCGTCCAGTAGGGGCTTCTCGTCCAGGCGAGCATAGAGGTCGTGTTGTGCCACGAGCTCAAGAAGTGGCGCGTAGGCTGTGGACCAGCTTGAGGCGGGGAGAATCGAAGTTCCTGCCGCGTAGAGGAAGGCGGCCGTGAGCGCCGTGCTTGGGTGCATGTTGAGCGCTGGGTTGTTGAGGTTCTTGTCGCGGAGGAAGAGCGTGACGAGGGGTTGCGTGGTGAGCTGACCCTCCAGTAGAGTGGGGAGGTTGGGGATCGACTCGAGAGCTTTTTGCTCGATGTGATCCACTCCGTCCTGCGGACCGGGGAGAAGAGAGGTAGCTGCCGTCACGAGGGAGCTGACAGGCTGAGCGCTTGTGGCTCGGCCCAGCTTGAGGCCGTAGAGGAGGACGGCTTCTGATGCCGGGATGTATTTGTTCTTCTTTTCTTCTACTTCGCCCTGAGCGCTGCCGAGCAGCGCACAGCAGTATTCGAGGCGACGACGTTGCTCTGCGTCTGCGAGTGGGGCCTTGAGCTCGGCGGGGACGCTGGCGAGGAGGGCGGGGTCGTAGTGCGGGAGGAAGGAGGTTGGGATCGAGAGTGTGGAGTTGCGTGTGATGGGAGAGGGGGAGAGACAGTCGAGGAGATGCGAGAGCGTGAGAGCTAGCTTGGCTGCGGAGCTGGAGTTCAAATCGTTGGGAGCCGCTCGGTGCGGGAGGGTCTTGCCGTTTACGATGAGGGAGTAGGGGGAGAAGACGAGGGAATGGAGGTCGAGGTCCATTAGGTGGTAGTGCGCGAGGAGGGGAAAGGGGCCTGGGCGTGGTGTGAGACAGGGCGCGAGCAGCAGAAGAAGTCAGCTACAGCCGCGATCAGACTACGCGTCTCTATCACCTCGAGCCGCGCCACTCACCCTTCATCATCTTGTCCACCTCGATACCGACCCTCTCGCGGGACACCTTGCTCACAAGGGCCTCCCTAACCAACTCCCTGCCTCTTCGTGGCACCTCTCCGGCCTCCATCTCCCTCAATCGCGGATCATCCCCTCGCTCCACGTTGCCTTCGCCCTTTAAACAGGCTACGATTCCCGCATCGAGCCTATAGTTGAATCGCGAAGCAAATCTCACGCAGCGCAGTATGCGCAAAGGGTCATCGAGGAACGTCGTCAACGGGCTGAGCGGTGTGCGTACCAGCCCTGCACGCATATCCTCCAGTCCCATTCCTGTACAATCCTCTACCTCCCTCGTATGGACATTGAAGAAGAGGGAGTTGATCGTGATATCGCGACGCTCAGCATCTTCCCTCGGATCGCCAAATTCCATGACCGGTATGCGCGAATCACCGTGATACACCTCTTTGCGCAAGTTGACAAAGTCCAATTGCAAGCCATTGAAGGTAGCAGTGGCCGTCTCGAGATTCTTGGACTGCTCGGGGTTGGCGGCAATCTTTGTGATGCGGCTGAGCGCTTCGGCCGCTTGCGTCGCCATGTTGTCGTGGGAGGAGGAGCCGGGCGTAGAAGGGGCGACGGTGCTGAGGTACTGCTTGAAGAGGATGGCGAAGTTGAGGCCGGTCATTAGGGAGAGACTGATGTCGAGATCGTTGCTTGGTAGGCCGAGGAGCTTATCGCGCACCCAACCGCCGGCTATGCGTGCCTCGAGGGGGCCGGACCGCGCGTAGTCAACGTGAGAGCCTCCTTCATCGGGGGAGGGCTGTGGGTGTGTGGAGTTGATCCATGCGCAGCACGAGGAGAGGAGGGAGACGAGCGTTGACTCGGAGGGAGTGAGGGCGATGGTGGGTGAGGGCGGGAGATGCGCCATCGCGTAGCTGGTACGGTGGTGCGAGTGGACAAGACGGAGAGCTGTGCGTTGGCTGAGCTGGCTATATGCTGGTGATGGCTGGGCGGTCGGCGGAGTAAAGTGCGTTGGAAGTTGCGGCAGAAGGACCGCCTGTCTATGTGAAGAAGAGGTAGCGATTCGTAGGAGTGGGCGAGAGCGAGCGAGCATACAAGCCTCGTGGAGGAGGAAGAGGAGGAGGAGTCAATGGGAAGGTCCAAAATTGAGGAGCGCAGCCCTGGCTCGCCCACTTTATTTTGCCGTGGCCCGAGCGTTGAAGCGGACGGGACGGGAACCTCGGCCGAGATCGGCAGCCTCGACTCGACGTTGTCCGTGATGACCAACTCAAGGCAGGGCGGCAAGGCAACGGGGCGGGGCGGGGAACGAGGGAGCGTGGCAATGGGATGAATTGCAGCTCATTATCACCATCACCACCACCACCACCACCCTCCTCACCACTCACCCACCATGCTCGCCGCACGAGCAACAAGGGGGGCATTTGCCCTTCGCTCCTCGGCCTCCGCACGAGCTGGCCCTTCATCAATCTCTGCGCCCCTCCTGCGTCGCTCCCTAGCCACCGAAGCCGACCCAGACCGTTGGGCCACCAACACTGAAGGCGCAGGCGTCCGTCCTAGCAGCAAAGCCGTGCCTACCTCGCCACAGGCACCAGGCAATGCCTCGACACACATCCTCGAGGACATGCACACCACGACGGCACACGAGATCCTCTCCGAGAGCGGATCCCGCAAAGAAGCTAGCCTGCGCCACTTTACCGTCAACTTCGGTCCTCAACACCCGGCAGCTCACGGCGTGTTGCGCTTGATCCTAGAGCTCAACGGTGAAGAGGTGCTGCGAGCTGACCCGCACGTTGGTTTGCTTCACCGTGGAACGGAGAAGCTCATCGAGTACAAGAACTACACGCAGGCGCTGCCTTACTTTGACCGACTCGACTATGTCAGCATGATGACCAACGAGCTCTGCTACTCGCGTGCTGTGGAGAAGTTGTTGAACATCGAGGTACCTGAGCGAGCCAAGTGGATTCGCACCTTGTTCGGGGAGATTACCCGCATCTTGAATCATTGCATGGCCGTCCTCTCGCACGTCATGGACGTCGGCGGGTTGACCCCTTTTCTGTGGGCCTTTGAGGAGAGGGAGAAGCTCATGGAGTTCTACGAGAGGGTCAGTGGGGCGCGATTGCATGCCGCCTACGTGCGACCGGGAGGTGTGGCATTCGACTTGCCTCATGGCTTGCTCGATGATATCCACAAGTGGGCGACGCAGTTCGGTGAGTAGGCGGGGCGCGGTACGGAGCACCACGGCAACTCGAGCTGACTTGACGACACCCACGCCCGCTCCACGCCCGCTCCTCGCCAGGCTCGCGCATCGACGAAATCGAGGAAGTCGTCACTGGCAACCGTATCTGGAAGTCGCGCACCATTGGCGTGGGCAAGGTGACAGCCGAAGAAGCCCAGAACTACGGCTTCTCAGGCGTCATGTTGCGCGGCTCTGGCGTACCTTGGGATATCCGCAAGGTAGCCCCTTACGACGCCTACGACCAGGTCGACTTCGACGTGCCAGTCGGCAAGAACGGAGACTGCTATGATCGCTACCTGTGCCGTATTGAGGAGTTTAGGCAGAGTCTGCGTATCATCGAGCAGTGCATTAACAAGATGCCGGGAGGGCAGATCAAGGTCGACGACCACAAGATTGTTCCCCCGCCGAGGGCCAACATGAAGGAGAGCATGGAGTCGTGCGTATCGCATGCCCGCAGGAGGCCAGCCTTCTCCCCTTCGCCTACCGCATGCTGACATTGCCTTCCCCTCCCCGCTTCTCTCTCTCCCGCTCGCACAGCCTCATCCACCACTTCAAGCTCTTCTCCGAGGGATACCACGTTCCCCCCGGCGAGACGTACTCGGCCATCGAAGCCCCCAAGGGCGAAATGGGCGTCTACCTCGTCTCTGACGGCTCCAACAGACCGTACCGTTGCAAGATCCGTGCTCCCGGCTTTGCCCACTTGGCAGGATTCGACTTTATGAGCCGTAGTCACTTTGTGCCCGATGTGGTCGCCATTATTGGTACGATGGACCTCGTCTTTGGTGAGGTGGACCGTTGAGCGGGCACGGTGGAGAAGGAGGCCGCCAGACTGTGTTTTCGTGCCGTGGCGTAGCTTGAATAGCATCGACTAGATATCAAATCGATTACGCGTGGCGCGTGGCGAGTGGCGAGTGGCAGTGACCGGCTAGTCATCCGCTTCGATCAACTCGCCCAACAGCTCGAGGATCTTGCGCTGATTATCCCGAGCGGCGGGGGAGGACGTTTCGAAGAATCCTGGTAGGCCGGCCTGCGAGCGCAGTGTGGGGGTTTGATTAGCGTGAGGGGAGAGAGAAGCATGCTGCAATCGTGAGCGACCGTACACGCACCTTGTGGAATCGAAGCTGTTGAGCCTTGACCATCTGATCCCACTCCTCTAGGGAGGCTCGAGCCCATCTCTCCTCTTCCTCTTCGTCGCCCCGCTCGCGCTCGCGCCGTGAGTCTGCCAATCTCCTCTCGAGGGCATCTTGCTCTCTCTTTGTCTTCATGACCAGGCGAAGGAAGGTGCCATCTTTGGCTAGGCGGCGGAGCTCGGGAAGGGCTTGGGAGGGGGTAAGGTGACGCAGGTCTGGGCGAGGCGGGGGTGGTTGATGGGGTAGGGGAGGAGCATTCGCAGAGGCAGAGGCAGGAGGCTTTGGTTGAGGTTGGGCGCGACCTTTAAGTCGTGGGTCGGAGGACCTCTGTTCTTCCACTCTGGGGATCGACGGAGGGGTCGGTTGCTCGTCATTCTCGCGCAGGAGGGAGAGGAGATGCTGGATGTTGTGCGGGTCGGAGCGCGATTGAGCGTCTCGCTGGCACGGCGAAGAGTAGTGAGCTAGCGTCTCATCTTTACCACCTCCATCCCGTCCCACACTCACAGCAAAAGGGTTCATCTCATCGCCTGCCTTGCTCGCTGGTCGCGGGGACGTGGGTCTGTTCGTCGATGGTCCAGCCCAGCTTGCGCTTGCCAATATTTCCACGCCGGGCGTTGTGCTGCCGCCTGCCCTATGACGCGAGTTCAGCCCGCACTTCCGCCCTCCCGCTGCCCGCTCGACGCTGCTCAGCCAATCAATCAACATCGCCCACGCTCCCCGCACTCTCGTCGTTACCATCCCGACGATCTACATAAGCTAGACAGCAGCAACCGCTGATCCCTCGCCATCGCATCGCGGCCCGCCATGCCGCCCAAAAAGAAGACGACATCATCCATCGCTTCGGCCTTCAAGCCCTCGTCCAGTAAGAGCGGGTCAACAGCCGTTCAGCAGGGAAAGCTCAATGCCTCTCGTTCGGCCAGTCTCGACAAGGTCAAAGGGTCGACTCCCAGTGCCAGCACAGTCGCAGTCACATCTCGCTCCCCTTCACCGGACAAGGCATCGTCCCTCTCCCGCAGTCAGAGTGGGACTGCTGCAGTAGGAGGAGGGGCGCAGCTGAGCAAGGAAGAAATCGCAGAGGCAGAGAAGCTCCCCCATCTCGATGTGAATGCGCGCGACTTGAATGGGATCTGGAACGAGGTCAAGAAGGAGAAGCTGGGCAAGGTTGGGGCGAGTGAGTTTTGCGACCTCATAGCCAGCACGCGTACGCTTTTGCCGTGCTGACCTTTGGCCCCCCCCCCCCCCGCCTTTTCCCCCCTGCCTCCCCGCGCCCTCCTAGTCCACGCCCAAGGGCAGAATCGCATCCACCACATCCTTCGCTCATTCGACTTTGATCCCTCATACGGTCCCTGCCTGGGTCTCACACGACTCGAGAGGTGGAATCGCGCCAAAGACTTGGGGGAGGACCCGCCTGTCGAGGTGTGGGAGATCTTGAATACGAGGGAGGGAAAGTTGGACGAGGAGTACAGGGAGAGTTGTCTGATTGGGGCTGGCATTTAGGCGGTTGCGATTGTCGATACCTTTTTTTCTCTCTTGTCTGCTCGATGCTCGATATCTTGAGTCATCCCTGGTCTCCAGAAAGGGCAGCTGCTGCCTCTGCCTGTATGCGTCTCGATGTCGTCTCGTTGCGCCGCCTCGACTGGCTGCGCCTTTTGCCGTGCATCGGAAGCAACACTTTGGACCCCTCTCGAGAGTCTGCTCTCTTCCTCTTGACTCCACTCATCACATCACATCACATCACATCACATCACATCCCCCATCGCGCCGCTTTCTCGCTCGCAATGACGAGCATATACGATGCGCACGACAGCTACGCAACGTCTTCGCGCCCCGTATCGTCCTACTCGCATCACCAAGACGATGATGACGAGGATCCATGGGCTGTACCGCATCAAAGCGCGAGGCAAAGCTGGGCGCCTTCGTCCGATGATGGTGAGGATGAGGAGGAGTCTACCGCCGTGAAAGACAAGATGCATCGACGCAGGGAGAGCTCGCAGGGCACCATAACGGGTCAAGGCTCCACCTCTCCGATGAAGGAATCCTCCCCCACTTCACCACTGAGCGAAGCAGCGGACCCCACTCCAGCACCCGCGCCTGCCTCACCACCTCCCTCCTGGAAGAGTCGCGAGCCCAACAGCGCTGTCCGCTCAGCAACGCACGGCCTGCCTACGACGAACTCGACGTTCAGAGGTGGGTTTGGGGACGTGCAGAGCAGCAATGCTGTCAAGACTGCCACAATAGGAGAGTATATAGCCTCGCCGCTTCCTGTAAGCGCACCGACTCCTTGGGATGGGCAACGCGTGAGCATTCGCCTGCGTCCCGAGTTGCAGGGATTCGTATTCAAGCACAATGCCTATGACGTGCGAAGGACAGCCGTCCTTCCCGTCTCCAGCTCAGCGGCAGAGAGCACATCCGTCATGGGGATGGGCTCCTTCTCATCCGACGCCCTCCTCGACCAAGCACGGAGACAACGTCGCGTCTCACCCACGTCACGAGCCACTGCCGCCTCCCTCACCTCTTCTTCTGCCCTCTCCGCACCAGCCGGCCCTTCCTCCCCCACCTCTTCCGTAATCCGCCGCTACTCCGACTTCCTCTGGCTCCACTCGCTTCTCCTCTCCCGCTGGCCTTTACGACTCATCCCGCCCTTACCCCCGAAGAGGCTCGGCATGCCCCTAGTAGCGGGAGTGGCCGGCACTGGAGCCCTAGGATCGGGGGATGATGCCTTCATCCAGCGCAGGGTAAAGGGACTACAACGCTACCTCTCAGCGCTGATGAGTCACCCAGTCCTCGCACACGACAAGCACCTCGCCGTCTTCCTGAGCGAAAAAGGCAGTATAGCAGATTGGAGGGCGAGTCACCCTGATCCGGTCATCGTAGAAGAGACGCTAGACCCGCGTTCCCCCTCCAACCTCGCCAGCGTCTCTTCCTTGCGCAGCAGCCCTTCGACTTCCCCGCCAAAGGGATTCGACGATGTCGTAGGTGGGAAGAGCCTGGATGCCCTGACCAACAAGGTGGTCCCGGAATTGCTGGATAGGTGGACCAATCTTGCGAACGTGGTCGAACGCATGGCGAGGCGATGCGAGGCGCAAGGACGCGATGGGGAGCTTCTGGCGGATCTGGTCGAGGGGGTCGCCGTTGAACGGAGGGGCGGAGGCAGTTGGGCCTGGTTGGGGGGTGCTCAGCAGAGGGGCGCGGATGAAGGGCGTGATGAAGAGGTGGGCACGCCGCCCATTACCAGGCGTATCGCAGCACTACACCGCGACCTGAGCTCCCTATCGCAATTGCGTGCGGACCAAGCGCTAGGAAGGCGAGATCACGAGGGCGAGGACGCCCAGTCTGACAGGCAAAGCTTCGTCACCCCGCCGTCGTCCTCGTCAAACGGCCACGCCTTCTTCCCCCTCCTAGAACGCTTCAAGACGCTCCGCGACCTGTTCCTGTCCATGCGCTCCCTTCTCGCACGCCACGCCACCCTCACCAAGCAACTAGACGACGAGCTCGCCGCACTCAAGGCGCGCATCAAAGCCGGTACTGCTAGGCTAGAATCCCTCCGCCTGGGCACTACTGCTGGTGGTGGTGGTGGTGGGAATGTGGCAACATCAGCGGAAGCTGCTCGCGAGGAGGCTACGAAGCTTCACGAGGCCTTGAGGCGGGACGCGGGGAGGATGGAGGAGCTGAGCGTCAGAAGGGAGAGGGCGAGGCGGGCACTATGGGATGAGGTGGGGCTGGTGAGAGCACGATGTAGCGAGAGGGCTGTTGCTGCCGTTTGGGCGGGCGAGGGGCCGATGATGCAGGGTGAGGGGAGAGGGGAATCGTCGTCGTCGTCGTCGTCGTCGGCGTGGTTGGAGGATGAGCGGAGGTTGAGGGGAGCGGAGCGATTGGCTGTTGAGGAGTGTTGGAGGGAGTTGGGGCGGTGAGCACATAGATACCCGTGAGGAGAACAACAACATGATGACGATGCGACCTCGAATTCAATTTTGCATTCTCTCCACACTATGCCCGCCCGCCTCACGGCCTGCTAAACGTAGCGATACTCTTGCCGTCATCCACGACTCCCTCACCCGGCTCACCCCCCTCACGCGTCCTCTCCCCCTGGACATCGGGGTTCAATGGCCTAGTCCTGGTACGCTCGATCGCCTCACCAGCACCAACGCTCGCGGCCTGCTCAGGCGGGATATGCGCAGGAGGGGCTCCCCCCACGGCTCTTGCCATCCTCCCCGCCTCGATCTCATGATCGCTCAGTGCTGCCAACCTACGCAACTCGTGAAGGAAATAGCGAGTCAATCTAGAGAGTACCAAGGGGAATCCCAGCTCGGGAGCAGAAGCTGGTGCAGCACTGGCTGCGATGTTTTGCTGGTCGGAAGAAGGGTGAACTTGCGCACCAGCTGCGGCTGAGGCGCGACGATGTGCCTCGAGGGAGCGGGCATAAGGAGAGGAAGGCTGGAATGCCCCCTCTGCATCTGGGCCGAGGTCCGAGGCCAGGCGAGGGCCCGTGTCACTCTTGTCTTCTTCGCCTTTCGCGTTGCGGTCGATGCCCTAGCGTGGCGGCAGAGAGAGCGGGACGTGTTAAATGAGCGGCTCGATAGGGAGCACGGATTGTTCTCGCGGCGGCGCGACGCGACTTGCTCACCTTGACTTTGGAGAGGACCCCACCTACATCCCCCCATCCAGCTCCAAACACGTTGCGCCACAATGCCATGGCTAGCCTCGAGTCCCCCTGCCCATCATTGCCCAACATGGCGATACTCTCATCAATAGCCAAGAGAGCACCACGATGCTGGTTGTGCATCTCCTTCATGTAACCCTTCACAAGGCGCGCAGTCTGCACACCGAAGCGTTGTCGCATTCGATCCTCTGCGTCGATGAAGAAGTGATTGACGAGTTCTTGCTGATAGACGCGAGAGAGGTGGGGAGGGAGATCACGAAGGCGGATGAGGAGGATGATAATGTGGATGTTGGTTACTTGGAACCAGGATTGATACGTGGGGGGCAGGTGGCATTCTGTGCGGGCGCGATGGCCGAGGGGACAAGGATTGAGTTAGCATCGTCTTCGGAGAGAGGAGAAGACTGCGACGTCAACGCACCTCCAGCCCAGAAGTCGCGCTCGATGTCCCACACGGCGGCACAGCGATCGTAGAGGTCGCTGGTCACTCGAATGGCTTTACTGCTCTGCGTATTGTAGCCCAGCATCCATGCGACTCCTTGAACGAGCTGTGCGGGCGGGCGGGCGATGAGTTGAATCAGCAATCTCATCTCTCCATCTCTCACCCTCTCTCTCCTGCCACCCACGACGCACCTTCTTCGTCACCTCATTGTACGCGCTAGGATGAGGTGGTTTCGCCGGGCGAGGATGAGTAGGCGCCTCTGCCCCGCTATTTCGCATGGCCTGTGCCCCCGGAGGAGGGGTAGATGCGGCCGCTCGTGGTGGTGGGCTGGGATTGGCAGGCTGGCCCGTCGAGTCAGAGGTGGGCTTGACAGTCTGAGTCTGCGCTGCGCTTGCGCTTCGTTCCTGAGTGCGGTTCGCTGTTGTGGACAGGCCACGACCAGCTACAGGAACGAGCGTCGTCGAGGTCCTAGCGGACGAAGACCTCGCTGTGCTGGCTGCTACGAGGCGGAGCGACATACTTGCTGCGAGATGGGGGTGGTGTCGTTGTTGAGGAAGAAGAAAGCGGCGCTGCGTTGAGCGTTAAGAGCGTTGAGCGTTGAACGTTGCTCGCGTAGCCGTCCGGCCTCGTCGAGCTGACCAAGCGCTTAACCAAAAAGCGGCAACAAGACGGCGGTGGAGGACGGGCGGACGGGCGGGCGAGCAAGCTCTCAGTCCGCTCCCACGTGGCAGCGAGGAAGGGCCCGGAGGTAGAGGTGCTATTCGTAGATTAAGGGAACGGATCGCACTGAGCTCATGCTGGAGAAGGTCATGCTACTGTCTGCGTTCCACGATGAGCTCGACTCTACTCAGGAAAGTGCGCCTCTCCCATCACCCACATTGGTCATGCAATTCGCGCGCCTAGCTTTGGGTTGGGAAAGGGCCTCTTCCCTCGGGACTCTCCTCATCTCCCCACTCTACGCTGCAAAGTCTTCCTCGGCGCTTGAGGTGATGAGGGCCGGCTTTCCATCTCGCTACAGCCAGCGCGAGTGATTCAATTGAGCCTGCTCGCCTGCGCTTTTTCTGGTCTGGAAAGGGCAACGGCCATTGAAGGCGGCGATGGCGCATTTCTAGTCTGGAAAGCTCTGTGTGTGCGTGTGTGTCCTTCCAGTCAGGCACTCCGATCATATGATGCCTATACCTCTCATTCCGAGTTAGGAAAGTACTCGCATCGCAGCAATCGTCACTGAGCTGATCGCGCGCTTTTTTGGGTTGGGAAAGGAGCGATTCATGTACGTAGACGAGCGACGGGAGGGCTAACAGAGGAAAGGCATTCGGTAGCGATTCTGGTAAGGCAAGGCGCATCAAGATGGGACGAGCTGGTTGCGGCTGGCGAGATCGCATGGTATGTAACTTTGGGTCAGGAACAAGCGAGTGAGTGCGTGCGAGGGCGACTTTGTCGTAGCATGGGCCGGGGGTCCAATTTGCGTCTGTTCGGGGCAATGCAGAGAAGGGGTTGCACGATAGAGATTATCCCTTCTTTTCTGTACTACTCATCGCGATCGCCATTCTTCCCTCCATTTGTGAGTGAACGACGTGATAATCGATTTGTCGCAGGAAGTCAAGCAGACCCGTAGACATCGCCCTCGCTCTCCACTCGGGCCGACTGCCACTGGGAGAGAAAGTGACACTCGTGCGATATGCCCGACCGCGTCATAGAGCGCACGGCGCCCAGGCCAAGCGGTTGACGGCTGACCGGCCCGCGTTCCAGAATCTCGCGCTCGTGGTCACTCCGGAGGTGGGCCCCGCACGCCAAGAGCACCGCATTGCATTCGCGCCGCCCTTGTACACTCGTGTCGACTGATTGATTTGTTCTCTTTCTCGCCCATACTACTCTTCAAACTCAAGCACAACTCCTCACCAGCAACCATGAAGTTCTCACTCGTCCCCACCCTCGCCCTCCTCGGTGCAGCTGCTGGCGCGAATGCCCAAGGTGAGCGCGCCGTCCGTTCCTCCACTCCACCCTCCCGACATGCTCCTCACTGACTCCCTCTTTCCTCTCCCCTCCCCACCTCCCCCCCCGGCGCACACACAGTGGGCTCAGCAATCAACTCCGCAGTCGACGGAGTCACATCAGTCGTATCCGCCGGTGTGAGCGGAGCCACCTCCGTCTTTGGTGATGCGACGAGCTTCGGTGGTGGGGTCTTCTCTACGGTCACGAGCGGGGGAGTCGTGGCCTTTTCGACGTTGAGCTCGGGAGGACAGGGGGTTTTCTACAGTGAGTGTGCGCGTGGGGCGAGGCAGCGCGTGAGGCGAGGCAGGAGATGCAGCAATACAGGGACGTAATCTAATGCTCACTTTCTCCCCCTTCGTCGCGTAGCCGCCACATCCGGAGCAGCTGGGGCCGTTACCACCCTCACATCGTGAGTCGTAATGCTCGTGCCACTTTGCGAAACCTCAGACTGACCCTCTTTTCCCCCCCTCCTCTCTCTCACGCACACTCGCCCACACAGCGGCGGCTCCCACGTCTTCGGCACCGTCACCTCTGGCGTGGTGCAGGGCGGCTCATCGATTGTATCGACCGCAACGAACGGGGCTGCAAGCGTGGCCACGAATGGGGCCAATGCCGCGCCTGGCAATCTCGACATGCTCGCTGGTGGACGACAGGTGCTGGCTTTCGTCGGGGCAGCCGTTGCCGGGGGTGTCATGGTTGCGCTCTAGACCCGCGGATGAGGGGCGTGCGAAACCATTCTCGTTCTCTTCGTCTTGGATCCCTTCATTTTGCTCTGCGTAATTTGCATATTTCTTTGTCCCTGCACCGCTACGAGGCCACGAGTCTCAAGCAGGCAGCGCGAGACGTTGGGGTCCGGAGGGAAGCAAAGTAGGCTCTCCATGCTGGCCTCGACCACGCCTTCACGCACCGACTCATAAGATCCCGCGGCAGCACTTTTCGCTCTAATTGACAGCCATCGACGTCTCGTCACTTTTGCTCTGCTCTGCTCTGCTCTGCCTCACCTTGCTCATTCCCATCGATCGTCGCCGTCGCCGTCGCCGTCGCGCCCCTTTGTCCCGGCGCGCACGATCGCGCCGTGAAGCCGTAATTGCGGTGGCTTGACGCGGAGGAGGATCGTCGAGCTCACTCGCCGCACCGCACCGCCCCCCTCCTCTCCCTTACGGCTGGCTGTGACGGCTCGACCCAACATAACCTTTGCCCGCGGGTCCTTTGCTGGGACGAATCAAGTCGCCGTAGGTGAACAAGGTGTGGGATGACGAGCGACGAGCGGCGAGCGGGCTGTGTAATGGCAACGACTCGCAAAGAATCCCGCCGTCTGCGCTGCCACGTCTTGCGTCGAAGAAGCTGAGGCTCAGCCTGACCCTGACGTGCTCGACGAGCGGAGGCAAGGTGATGGATGCTGCGATCGAGGCTGTCTGGCCCCTCCCTCCCTCTGTCGCCCTCTTCTAATTCGATCCGATGCCGCGCAACCCCCGCTGTCAGGAGTCGCATCACGGAGCATGGCAATCTCGATTTGACAGACGGCGCGCTCACCTCACCCACGCTCAGGCACACGCCCCGTGAGAATGTGGGCGCTGCGTGGGGGAGCGGCTCCAAAGACGAAAGAAGGAGTGGGGGCCGCGCTGCGCTCAAAAATAAATCGCCGTGGCCCGCTACGCACGTTGCAAGGCGGGCCGCTCAGTGTGGTAGCGACGAGAATGCTCAGTGTGACCGACTGACTACTACTTGTCCGAGTGCCCGACGTCCGTCGTCGTCGTCGAGGAGAAGGCAGGCATGCGCGTGTGCGCCTGCTATTCTAATTCATTCACCGCCGCATCCGCTGCCATCGCGGCCCGCCCCGTAGACTAACTAAGCCTCGTGTGTGGTTGCACACACGCTGACCCACCTTTTTTGCCCGCGTGCAGCTGCAGCTCTCACGCAACTCTTCATCTCGCCGGCCCAGCCAGCCAGCCTCTCTCGGCGCGTGCGTGCTGCCCGACTCGCGCTCTCTCCTCTCGGCGGGACGGCTCGGCGTTCTCCCCTTGTCGCCCGCTCCCCCTCTATTCTCCCCGTCCCATCCCATCCCATCCCATCATCACCGCCCTCGCACCCTCTCACCCCATCCCTACTCCTATCTTGACAATTGAACCCTCAGACCCTTGGCGCCGCCAGAACCGCGCGAGAACCCTTTTCTTTCACTGCCCCCCTGGTCATCGCCATCACGGTTGCGCCCGGGTGCACGCGCTGTTACCCTCCGAGACCCATACGCCGCCGCGACCCGCGACCGCCGCGACCGCCGCAACTCCTGAAAAAGAGGCCGGCCAGGGCGAGCACCAGCGTCAGCAACAGCTCTTCATCCTCTTTCTCGTCACCTCACAGCGACACAACGCGCAACCTCGCCATCCTCGCCTCTCTCTGCAACCCATGCTGAGCTCCTGAGCTTGCACGCACGCACGCACACGCCATGCCTTCTTCGCCTTCAACGGGCAAGCGGCCGCTCTCTAACGTGGCGGCCGCCAACAAGGCAGCGTCATCGAGCAAGCTGGTCACGCCGCCCCCGGCCGAGGATGCAGACGATTCCATGTACTCGGACAGCGGCAGCGGCAGCGACTCCGACGAGGACGACGAAGCTGCGAACCTCGAAATGGACGGCCAAGATCTCTGGACACAAAATTACTGTTCCGTCTGCGATTGCCTCATCGAGCCTGGCCAAGGCGTTGGGCCGCGTAGAGAGGGAGACGATGAGCCGCCCAAGACGTCGCCCAGTGCTAGTAGCGCCGCCACTCCTACGGCTCCTCAGTCGCCGCCCCTGATGAGGAGCAAAGCGGGTACGATCAAGGGACGGCCCGCGAAACGAAATGGGAGCAGCGCACGGCTCAATGCGCTGAGCGATCTCAAGCCGACGACGAAGATCACCGGGCAAAAGGACGCAACGTCTGCAACGTCGGCAAAGATGTCTCGACGCAGCTCGAATACCAGCACGGCAAGCAGCACCCAATCGACGGGCAGCGAGTCGCCCAACAAGCTGCAGCGCACAAAGAAGGGCGGGCTACTCGGCTCGCTCACGCCTGCGGCACTTCGTCAGCAACAGGAAGAGCTCCTCAAGGCCAACGCCCCTCCTGCCCTCTACTGCTCGGAGCGATGTCGCACCATCGACGAGCAGCAACAGCGTCAGCTGAGCGCGCGGGGAGCACAAGAATTGGATCTCTACACGTCTCAAGCCGGCACCCTGCCCGGCGTGTACGCATCGGACGCACCTGCACGCCCCTGGCCCCGTACACCCAGCATGACCTCCCTACCAGCCGCAACCGCCGCCGCTTACCTGGCCGCAGCAAACAACCGCACGCCCGAGAGCGACTACGGAGGACCGTGCATGTGTGCCGACTGCATGGACAAGACGAGCGCGAGCGGAACCGTACCCAGCGGAGCGAGCGATACGACGGAGAGCAGCGGCGGCTACCCGTATACGCGCAGGGCGACGGGCAAGCAGCGTTCCCAGTCGGGGCGACTCCTTACACCACGCGACCTCTACCCGCGCGACGAGGGCGGCGATCAGGACGGCTATTTCCCCAGAGTGTCGAGGAGTAAGGCTAGGACTTTCTCGCTGGAGAGCGGCGAGCGAGCTGCGTCGGCCGTGAGCGAGGAGAGCAGTACGCATAGCAGCGGCTCATACGCCAGTCTGTGGGAACCGCGCATCCGTCGTGCCAACAAGGAGCAGCAGCATCAATCTGAGCCGGACACTCTGCGCCTGCTTCGCCGCGCCTCCCCTTCGGTCGACGTCGTGACTAGCAGTCCGGGCGGGACGAAGCTGGCCTTTGGGACCAGCATGACGAGCGAGAGGACGCTGGGTACGAGTGCCAATACGCTGGTGCACCCGGACCAGCAGCAGGAGCGTGCAGGGCACAGGAAAGCTCGATCTTTGGCGGTGATGACGGGTGAGCAGCAGCAGCAGCAACGCGAGGCGGCGGGCGTGGATACATTGACGGCCGAGCGGCTGAGCAAGAGCTATGCGAGCGATGCGGGCATAGACGCCATGGCCACGCTGCGCGCTGCGCGAGACAGTCGCGGAGGAGGGGAGGACTCGCGCAGGCACTCTACGGCATCGACGAGCGGATGGTTGCGCAGCTTAAGCTCGGCTTGGACGACATTACGCAGCGCAAGTAGCACGACGAGCGTACCGCAGCTGCTCCTACCGGGCGGCGAGGCGGATCAATCGCGCAGCGACCTCAACAGCCCGAGTGTCTCTTCCGCCATCACCTCGGCGTCGTCGCGAGGCTCCCGCTCGCCTCGCTCGCCGCGCTCGCCACGATCCGAAGATGGCAGCAATGCGTTGTCTCGCTCCGCAGCTTCGGAGAGCTTGTCGCGCGTGCTGAGCTCGACGCACCTCGCCAGTCCCGTAGCCCGTCCAGGCGCCAGTCGCGGTCACGTTCCCGCTTTTGCGAGCGAGATTGGGCGGGGCGAGATACCAGGAGATGCGGGCGGCGGGGACGCGGGTGGGGACGCAGGAGAGGAAGCGGGCGAGCACGAAGAGCTACAACGTTGTCGCCGCCGTCGCAAGGCAGAGCATCGCCATCAACGCAGCAAAGACGTGACCGTGCTGCCTCCTCTCCTCGCACCGAGCAATCGATCCAGCACAGCCCTCTCTGCGCAGCATCGCGCCAACAGCTACGCCAACCTGACGACGAGTCGCAACCGCAGCCAGTCGGGATCGCGAGGCGCAAACTCACGAGGCGCAAATTTTACCGTAGGAAGTGCAGGATCCTATCGCGACACGCACCAGCACGCAACGCCACCGACACCTACGAGTGCCACGGGTGTTGGCGGTGGGGATGAGTCGATGCGCTCCCCTTTGCCTCGTACCGCAAGTCAGCAAGACGTGGTGTATCGTCCCAGCATGAGCCCACGAAGGTCAGGAGGACTGCTAGGCGCTATGACCCCTATTACGGCGGCTCCCGCTCCACGCCACCATCACGTTCACCACGCGCATCGACCTCACGCCGCTCCTCGCACCAGCGCGAGTGGGCATCGCCTCAGCACGGGCAGCAGCGGCGGCGGCGGTGGCGGCGGGCATGCGCTGGGCCATGTGGGAATGCTCGGTCACCACCCGCATGGCTCCAACCCCGCGTACGGGCGACACAATACCATGCCTGTGCGCACCAGCACGCCCATCGTCCCCGAGCACGGCGGAGAGATGAGCGCAGAGGCACTCACGGCTGTGGTGCCCGATCCGCTCGTGAGGCCCCAGAGTGCCATGAGCCAGCGTCACCTCCGCGCCTCGTACATTGCGCGCCCACGCAGCTCGGCGGCGCATCGGCCCGTGATCGAGGCGCGTCAGCCTCACGTCGTCGAGTCGCCTGCCCCTCCTCATCGCGGCTGGTCGTACGACAACCTGGCGGGTGCGGGTGCCGGGGCTGCGAATGCGAGCAATGCCAAGACGTACCACGTCCTTCAGGTGCCACATCGTCGCGAGACGCACGATCGGTACGACGATGCGTACGGGCAAGGGGGAGCGATGCTCGAGTTGATTGGGGGCAAGGAGCTCGCTGATAGCGCGGCCGAGGCTCAGAGGCAGAGGAGGGAGAGCGATGCGGGTGCGGCGCCCGGAGAGGGGGGCGGGAGCGGGAGGAGGAAGCAGTTGTTCCATTTTGGGGCGTAGGCGAGCGAGAGGGGAGAAGCGACGAAGAGAGTGTGTATATATCGACGAGAGAGACGAGCATCCCCCCCGCCACGACATCTGGACCATCTTTTTCTCCCATCAGTCACCACATCATCATGCCCTGCGGCCCTAATGCTTCTTTCATATGTACTAGCATATCATTGAGAGAGCGCGAACTTTCTCACAGTAGTAATCTTCATGATGCCGAGTCACCATCATCCCAATCGCCTCGCCCGCCGCGCGCGTAGAGTAGATGCAGATGCAGATGTGATGTACGCGTGTTTTGGCTGGCCCACGCTCAGAGACCCTCGAAGAAGGCCAGCTCGTCCTTTGATAGGGCTGAGCCTGAGGATCGCGGGTCGGACGACGCGTGGGCGTGGGCGGGCTGATGTTTGGTAGCCGCGATAGGTGAGGGACCTCTGAACGAGGCCGGAGGGCGTAGCGCCTGCTGCTGTTGTTGCTGCGGTGGCGGGCTGCTAGAAGACGATGAGAGCGAGGTGCGAGCGTGGGCGTGGGCGTGAGAGCCAGGCCCTGGCGGGGGAGGGAGGAGGGCCCCTCGTCGCGTAGCTGAGCTAGCGCTCGAGGTAGAGGCGGATCGACCCAGCCCCGTCGTGCCGCTCATGGTAAGGTTTGCCAAACTGGCATGAATGGGTGGGGATTGTGCCCGCTCCTCCCTCTCTCTCCGCGATGGAGGTAGAGGGACAGCAGGCAAGGGCGACGTCGTCCAAGTCCTATCATCTCTGAACCTCTCACTGCCACCCATCGCTTGTCCACTCTGGCCCCTCCTCTCCCTCTCCCCCCTCTGCCTCGCAGCCTGCTCTGCCAGCCAGCGACGTCGATCCTCCTCCTCGTCTGCCTCATCGTAGTCGTCATCTCGGTACGAGAAGCCTGTGCGCTCCATGTCCTCTAGATTGGAGGCGAGGCCGGGGGTGAATCCTCCGCCTGCTGAGCCAGGGCGAGAGCGCGCGCTAGGTTTGGGAGGGGGAGCGAGGGGACGACGTGCGGCAGCGGCGTAGGCCTCGCGGGGAGGTTGATCGTCGGCGTAGTCGTGTTGTTGGCGAGAAAGCCTGCTACTAGAGCTGGCTACGGGCGGGGGCGCCGCGTTGAGGATATCGAATGGGTCATGGCTTGGCTGCACGCGCGGCGGTTGCGCCTCGGCTTGCTCCTCGAAGATGCTAAAGTCTAGATCGCTGGCCTTTGACGCTGATTTGACCTTGCCTATCGAGGGGGTACGAAACATCCCCCCGCCTGTGGAGTGGAGAGGGGGAAGAGGAGGGGCTGATGCGGCTGATGGTGGAGGGGAGGACTGAGCGGCAAGCCAATCGAGGCCATCGGCGTCTACGGCGGGTGTCGGCGCGGGTGGTGGTTGTGGATCTTCCTTTGTAGCAGCAGCAGCAGCAGCAGCGCTAGGTTGCGGCTTGCGCCATCGACTCCAGAACCCTCCTCCTGCTGCGCCCGCGCCTGTAGATGCAGATGAAGCTGCTGCTTCCTTCTCGGGCGGCTCGTCCATGATACTACTCTGCTGAGCTACCTGCACCTCGTCTCTATTATCCACGCTCTCCTCTCCTTCCTCCTCCGCCTCCGCAGCATTCACGACGGGAGGCGCCTCCCTGCCTCGGGAGACGGCGCCTGAGAGCCATCCTCCCACTCGACCGGCAAACGCACCTGCTCCGCTCGGCTTGCTCTGTGTCCAGCCTTGCCCTGATGAGGGGGTCGCGTTCGCGTTCGAGGCAGGCGCAGTGGCAGTGGCAGTGGCAGTGGCAGTCTGCTCCTTGCTCGTGGATGGGCGCGCAGCAGCAGCAAAATTGCTCGTATCTCTATTCTCCTCGAGCTGAGAGGCGTGAGGAGGACGAAGCGTAGGCGCAGGCGCAGGCGCGGGCGCGGGCACATCAGCCGACTCTTTAGGCGGGGACCCATTCAGTGATGTGGGCAAAGGCGGCAGGGCTGGTGGAGCGAGAGGAGGAGGAGGCTTCTCTGCCCACGGATCTACGCCTGCGTCCACGTCGACTTCTGGCTCTGGCTCATCGCGTTGCCAGGGAGGAGCGACTGAGCTTAACGATGATGATGATGGAATCGCCGCATCCTCTTGGCCTCCCCATCCGGCAGAGGTTGCGGTTGACTCCCACGTAGATGGCGCTGGAACTGGCGCTGGAGGAGATGCAGGGTGTGGCGGGATGGATAATGAAGATGAATCGGGCGCTGCTGCTGCTGATGATCCCCACGGATCTGCCTCCGTATCAACGCCGCTCGTCGTCGTCGCCCTGTCAGCCCATGGATCCTCCTTTGCCGGTGTAGACGGGGCTGCTGGCGGACGCGTGTCCTCGCGGCGCGCATCCTCGCGGCTATCGTCGGCCCAAGGCGATGCCCAAGGATCCATCTTGTCGAGGCGAGAGGGAGAGAGAGAGAGATGCGAGTCTACGATCTGGCCGGGGCGTCGTCGTGGGCGTGCGTGGGTCGGGGTCACAAGTCGATGTGTTGGTTGCGCCTGCGCCTCATTCCACGTGGCTCGTTCCGCCATTCTGACGCCGAGGAACACGCCGAGGCACAAGGAAGGGCGGCTCCTCAAGAGAGAACTCCTCCTCTTCTTCCTTCTCCGCTTCCCACGCCCAACAGCTACAACATCTCACCTCGCCCGCCATGCTCTCACCCCCCTCGCTGACGACATGGGTCGACTCGCCAGACGGGACGCTCTGGCACCCTCGCGCCCAGATATACGGCAAAGACGTACGGCTGATCCTGTCCACGCTCGTCGGGTCGCTCCTCGTCTGGCTGGCAATGACGATCCTCTCACTCCTCGACTCGCGCCGCAAAGAGTCGCCCGTTCACGCCCATCACCCGACACCACCGCAGATCCAGCCTGGGTGGGAGGGAAAATGCCTAGAGTCGACGGAATTGCTCGACCCAAAGGACACTCTCGGTCTGCAGATCCGCTGCTTCGATGCCAGCACAGGGTGGCACCTTGCGACGCTCGAGGCTGATACGAGGCAGACGATCGATGACAAGTTGGCCGCGGCTAGTGAGGCGGCAAAGAAGTGGGAAGGGAGCGAGTGGAGCGCGAGACGTAGATTGCTGCGCAGTATCCTTGCATGGATCGTAGAGGATCAGGAGAAGATTGTTCGCGTTGCGTGCAGAGATACGGGAAAGGCGGTGCGTAATGGCGCGAGGGGCGAGGAGTAGAAACGCCGCTGATCGAACCTGCTTCTCCTTTCTTCGCTCGCCGCCGCGCAGGCCGTCGACGCCTACTTTGGGGAGATCCTCACCACGTCGTCCAAGCTGCACTACCTCATCGAGAATGCCGAAAAGGTCCTACGCCCCGAGACTCGTCCCAACGGCAACATCCTCCTAGCCCACAAGCGCAGTCGCGTCCACTACAAGCCTCTGGGCGTCGTCGCGGCCATGGTGTCATGGAATTACCCCTTTACCAACATCCTCAGCCCAATCGTTGCCGCCTTGGCCTCGGGCAATGCCATTGTGGTGAAACCATCGGAGCACGTCGCCTTCAGCACGACGTACTACGTGCAGTGTCTGCATCGTCTGCTCAGCGCCATGGAATTGCCAACGTCCTTGATCACGCTAGTCCTCGCTCACCCACCTCTGGCCCCCTACCTCACCATGCACCCACGCATCAAACACATAACATTCATCGGCAGCGAGGCCACGGGTCGTAAAGTAATGATCGACGCGGCGCGCAACCTGACGCCCGTGGTGCTCGAATTGGGTGGCAAGGACCCAGCGGTACTCCTTCCGGACGTGTACATCGCGAGCGTAGCGCCCATCCTGATGCGCGCCGTCTACCAGTCGGCGGGGCAGAACTGTATCGGCCTGGAGCGCTTCATCGTCCACGAGACGCGCGTCGCTGAGCTCGTGGCGGCTATTGAGCCTCGCGTACGTGCGTTGCGCTGCGGCTCCTGGATGGAGGATACGGCTCAGGGTCGCAACGACGACAAGGGAGAAGACCCGCATCACGTAGACATGGGAGCCATGATCAGCTCAGCGCGTTTCGACGAGCTCGAGTCCCTGATCAAGTCGGCCATATCGCAAGGCGCAAAATTGCACTGTGGCGGGTCGCGTCTGCGTCACCCACGCTGGCCTGCAGGCGCTTATTTCCAGCCTACGCTACTCAGCGCCGTTACACCGGAAATGGCCATTGCGCAGCAAGAGGTGTTCGCCCCCATCTTCCTCATCATGCCCTACGCCGGGAAACACCATCGCCAAGCCGTCGAGTCTGCTGTGCGCATCGCCAACGATGGCACGGGGATGGGTCTGGGCAGCTCGGTATTTGGCCAATCCGAGGCACCCGTCCGCTGGGTAGCCGAGCGCATGGAGGCAGGAATGGTCAACCTAAACGATTTTGCCGTCTCTTACCTCAACCAGGCCTTGCCCTTTGGAGGTGTCAAGCGAAGTGGGTTTGGACGTTTCGCCGGTCCAGAGGGATTGCGTGGATTGTGCTACGCTCAAGCTGTTGTGGAGGATAGACTTTTCAAGAGTGTGAGGACAAAGATACCGGGAGTGGTGGATTATCCTATGGCGCCTAGTCGCGATGCGTGGGCGTTTGTGAGTGGGTTGCACGATATGGCTTTTGCGCCGGGGGTGGGGCAGAGGGCGAGGGGACTGTGGAGTGTGGTGAGGGGGGCGATTAGGGGAAAGCCGGTGCGGGGGGGAGAGGAGGGGGAGAATGGGGTGGTGGCTAAGAAGGAGAAGTAGGCGCGCGTGGGCGGCGAGGATACCAAGGCGATCAGCGCAATCACTAGCACTCGTGATCCCACAATCAAACCGATGGATCACTGCATCTAATCTCTCTCTCTTGTATTCCCCGTCTTTCATTCGCCCCCCTCGCATTCTCACGGAGGCCCCGCCTTGACCAAGTAACTCTTCCCGCTCACCAGCCCTCGATCACGATTGATGACCGTCACCCTCAGGCACCATTTGGGCTGCCACGTCTTGACATCGACCGGTCCCGATCCCGATGCCGCGGCGGAGGGCAGGGGAAGTCGTTCTGCGAACTCGCTGAGGAGCGATTGGAGCGCAGGGCCCGGTAGGATGGCTGGCGGCGCGGGAGAGTGTGGGTGGGGATTAGCTTGGAGATGGTAGACAGGCGGAGAGGCGCGAAGTGGGTACCTACTCTTCGGGTCTGAATGGCTCCAGATCGCCAAAAAGGGCTCCTCGTCCTCGCCCTCGCTCGTAAACGTGCGACCCCACGTCATGAGCTCTTTTGCCTCTCCCTTTTCCTCCGCCGCCAATGAGCTTCCCAGCGCGATTACGCGGGGAAGGCGAAAGGCGGAGGGGATGCGAGGTGGGGATGGTTGCGAGTCGCGAGGGAATAAGGCTGAGAGGAAGGATACGCCCACGTCTGCTATTGCGAGGGATTGGATGAAGGGTGAGGGGGAGAGGTGCTGGTGAGAGGCGTGGGGTCGGGACAAGAAATAGTTAGCTTCGAGCGACCGCACTTTGTCCCTGGATTCCCACGCCCGCGCCACTCACCTTCCACAATCTCCTCACCCGCTCAACGTCCTCCCTTCTCACCTCCGCGCCTTTCCCGCTAATCCCATCAAACGCGAGTATGAGCGTGTCCACCGTAACGAGCCCGGTATTCTCTCGCAATCGCTGAAGAGCTTCTTCGACCATTGCGCCCTCGTCCTCGTCCTCGCCAACGAGCGGGGACAGGTACATTTTTGCCGTCACGTCATGCGCATCGCGATTCTGCGGGCCACAAGGATCGATCTCCAGTGGGTTCGGCACGGCCGCCGGGTGAGGGAGGTGCAGCGTCGTTGAGTCGGAGTGGTGGTAGGAGATGTAGGGGCGGGAGGGGGCGTGCGAGGGGATCGGGTTGGGAAGGAAGCCCCGTCGAACATGCGGCGGCGATGGTGTAGCTGCTGATGATGAAGAGGCGACAGCGGAGGCTAAGGCACTCCCGCACGGCTCCTCGCCATCGTCCCCTTGCGCGGCCCAATCGTCCTCCAGGCCGTCGAGGGCAAAGTGGAGAGTCTGGTGAACCGCATCTGCCACTTCGCCGCCTGAAGCTGCCTTGATGTTGCGCACAACGTTGACCGTGTGGACGAGGAGGGCGGGCGAGCCGCGTGATGGCGGCATTGTAGTGGGGAGAGGGGGAAAGTAGCAAGAAGGAAGGCGCATCGCGGACCGCCGAATCGTAATCGCACGCACGCAGTCAGCCGACATCAAATCGCATTTCCCAGAATGGCGACATGCGTGCATGCGTGCGTGCGCGGGCCAGCTCCGCCCTCCGCGCCCCGCTCGCTGCGAGCAACACCGGGCATCGTGGCCTCCGCGCCCGCTCGTTACGCATCCAACGCCCCCACGTATCGCAACACATCTTCCGTCTTTGCCACCCAATCGAAGTGCGATCCGCCCAAAATTCCTCCCACATCGACGTTCTCCACCCCAGGCACGCCCTGCACCGCCCCACTTCCTAGCACGCGGGGCAGACCCGCCTTGCCCTCTCGCACGTCCTGCAAACTGATCTCCATGCCCAGCCACGCCGCAATCCCACACACCATATCGCCGCGCTTGGAGCTGTACGCATTGACGAAGCGACGTGCCACGACGGAGCGGGCGCGGCGGAGGGTCGAGGTGGGTGGGGTGCAAGGGGAGCAGATGAGGTAGACGCTGTCGATTAGGTGGGAGGAGGAGGAAGGGTCGTCCTGCGCGAGCGAGGTGAGGCAGGAGAGGATGGCGACTGAGCCAAGGGAGGCGCCGATGAGCGTTACGGGGCGGTGACCTTGGACTTCGGCGCGCAGAGTCTCGGCGAGGATCAGACCTGGCGAAGCGCGGTGCGTGCACGGTGATTAGTTTTTCTACCAACATCATCCCCGCCTCTTGCACCGCACCGACTCACCCTGTTTGACCGCCTTGCTCTTTGCGCGAACGAACAGCGAGTCCAAACCCGCACTCATAGCCCCAGCAATGCTGAGCGGAAGCGTAATAGCCGCCACGGGCGCGAGCACGGTACGTTTCACGACCTCGGTCGCGGCCTTTTGCCCCACCTGCTTCGTCATGGCCGACACGACGTAGCGACGCAACGACTGGCCCGCTTCGGCCATTATGGGTGCCTCGCTGCTCACCACGTAGACGTCGCGCGACTCGTTGACCCGACTCCAGGGAGCGCGCCACGCATCGCACTGCTCCACTTCTCGTAGAAGGAGCCCACTCACGCACACCGTAGCGTGGAGGGAGGGCACCGCGATCCCCGCTTCACGGGCTGCCGTTTGCACAGGTCGGAATTCAAAGCCCTCCAATCCGCGAAGGCGACGATGCACGCGATACCCCGCGAGACCGCCCCCCGTGACGCCTACGAGTGCGCCGAGCATGATGACTCCGCCGGAGGTGGCGAGGAAGGTTATGCCCGTAAGGCCGGCAAGGGCGGGTACTACGAGTGGAGCGGCTAGCCCGCCGGTGACGCCGAGGATGACCCCGCCTAGTGCAAAGCCGCCTGACGCTGCGGCCCATTTGCGCCAGTTGGAGCGGCGCGATTCTTGCACGGCTGCGGCGCCCGACTGCGAGCGAGCGGAGCGAGCGAGCGCAGCGGGGGCAGCGGACGAGTGTGCGGATGTTAGCCAAAGATGTAGGCGCAGTCACGGCTCGCACGCACCTCGTTCATCCAGTCTGTGCGACCGTCTTGCGCCTGCGATTGAGAGTCAGAGTCGGGCAGGGGATCCTGCAATGGATCCTTCTGTCCCTGCTTCTTCGCGGCGTTGCGCGTCTCCTCCATGACAAAGTGAATCGTCTGTGCGGCGAGGGGGCGGGCGGGCGAGCGAGCGAAAAGGTCAGCCTGATGGCGTACGATTCACACCCCACGCGGCGCCCACGCACCTGTCCCAAGGCCTTCTCCGCATCCCACACTTCCCTCCCCTCGATGCCCAGCGCAAGACCAACGGTAAAGAGCATGGCGCGCGCGCGAGCATCGTAGTGGCATACCTCGTTGGGCTTCGTGGCTTGGCGCGCTTTGCGCTCACGACGCTCTTCGCGGCGCTCCTCGTTGACGCGAGAGGAGACGGCGTTGCCCACTTTACTGGCCGAGTTGGATGTCCAGGCCCAGGAGGAGGCCGCGCCTGCTCGAATCGAGGACCAGGTCGCTGAGGCGGCGTCGTTTGCGGGGTTGGCGGATGGTTTAGGTTCGGGCTCTTGCGTCTGCGCTTGCGCCTGCGCCTCGGTCTTGTCTGCCAGGCTGTCCTTGCTGCTACTCGACGGTAGCGTGCTAGGGTCGTCGAAGATGGCTTCTTGCTCGAAGAGGGTCGTCGCCCCGTCGGTGGAGCGATACTGGCCTAGGCCGAGGGCGATGAGGAGGAGGTCGTTGAACACCTGGTGCGGCGGGCGAGAGACGGGCGGTGAGCGATCGCGGGGCGAGCGAAGGATGGCGCGACTCACCTCGAATTCTCTGCCCTGACCCTCTGGCGAATGGAGCGCTCCTCCCTCCCTGCGAACGGGGCGACGCGATTCTCGACCAGACTGCTGCGGCTTCTCCTCAACCTGCACCTTTTCCTCGAATGCCTCGTCCATCTCATCCTCTGCGCTCTTGGCGTCGGCCGCCTGTTCTTCCTCCCTCTGCTCCTCCTTCTTCGCCTCCCTCAACTCCTCCACAGCGTCGGATCGTTTACTCCTCCCCTCCGCAGCGAATTGCCGCCAAAACACGCTACCCGTCTCCATCCCGGCATCCTGCTCGCGGCGCAGAAGTTGCAGCTGTAGCTCCCCCTCTTCCTTGTCATCCTGTACAACGCGTCCTTGCCCCGCTTCAACGACATCCTCGAGCCTGATTTCCCCACCAGAGGGGAGGGACTCCTCCTCGACTCCCAAATGCTGACACACAGCGCTGAGGAACTTCTGACAAAAGTCCTCCCACGCAGCTACGTATTCCTTTGCCTTGCGTCGAGAGTCGCTGCCTGCCTGCGGGTGCGCCGCGTGCGCGGGGATCGGGTTGCCCTCCTCGTCAATGTCGGCGCCCTCTTCGCTGGCGTCAGGGGCGATGGATGGTGACGTGGTGAGGGCCCGCGCCCGTTGAACCAATCGTTGTCCCGCGTATTTGGTCGCGATGCAGACTGCAAAGCGAAGCGCGGCGGGCCATTCGGGCGAGTAGGAGCGCAGAGAGGAGAGATCGAGTTGTGGCGGCTGAGCGGGCATGGCGGGCGAGTGCGGTGTGAAGGAGGAGAAAGGAGTGAAGGAAAGCACGGCAGCCCCGCATCGCATCGCACATTGAGACGCGGCGACCTGCACGCACGGACGGGGCGTCGAGGCGGCCAAGTGGAGGCCAAGACGCCGCCGCGACCGCTCACGCGGTGGTAGCGAGCAAGGGCGTGCGTAATGACGCGCAGCGTGGTATTATTCTCAAAACCAATAAGAGACAGAAAAACTCCTCTCCGTACTCTTCATCGCATGCCACCACCCAGGCGGCAAGAAGAGCATATCCCCCGGGCCCAGCTCAGCCCATTGTGCGTATGGCTCGACCAAATCCGTAAAGACGGGATGCTCATCCACGTCCGTCGGCGTGGGCGAAAAGACGGGCACGCGCGACGTGTTAGTCATGAGAGATGTCGTAGCCGCATCGCCTTTCCACTCCTCCCCGCTGCCCTCCTCCCCTTCCTCCTCCAAGGGCGGATCAGGTTGCCCAAAACAGTACATGGCATTGATGGGCGTGCCCGTCGCGGTGCTCGTCGTCACGCTAGGCGGGGCGATCCATACGACTTTACTCCCCACGACTTGAACGTAGCAGTTATAGTACGGATCCGTATGCGCAGGTGAGACGGTCCCTGCCGGTCCGACCCAGGCGGATTTGACCACCACTTCTTGCTCGCCCGTCTCCTCATCGCGACGCACGGGTGGCGTATAGTCTGACGGACCAGGCGAAGAGTAGACGTAGTCCGGTGTGAGGAGGTCGTTTTCCAGCAGTGGGAACTGCGAGAAGAGGGTGTGCTGCGCGCAGTAGACGCGGCGCGAGCGCGACTCGTCGTGCGCTTCTCCGCGCGCATCCGCATCTGCCCACCCAGCCCGCGCGAGAAAGTCGTCCCAACGCATGATCTCCTGCCCCCAATCGTCGTCCGTGTAGCTTTCGCCCACCTCGACTGGCACGACTCGACCGGGCCCGGCTGCCGCTAGGAGGTAGGCGTGTGAGGACCACGAGTGGCACGCCGGCCAGGAGGAAGCGAAGCGGCGCAAAATGAAGGGGGAGTGGGCGTGGGTGTGGAAGGAGGTGAATGTTGGGGGTGAGGAGAGGACGGGGATTGGTCTGGCGGCTCGAAGAGCGGGGGCAGGGCGGCGAGGAGGGCGGCGAGGAGCGTGCGCGTCTTGCTTTCGAGCCTTTTTCTTGCCATCGTTGCTCTCGCCTAGCTGCGCCTGAGCTGCAGCGATGAGATCAAGAACGATTTGCTTTCTCCCCTCGCCCGGCGCCCCAGCAACAATGATGGCGAGGTCGAGCGTCTTGATCGTATCGAGGAGCAGCGGCTCGTCCGCCTCGTCTTCACGAGCGCGGCGCTTGGAGCTTTGCGCCACTCCCTCAGCGCTGCGCAAGACGAGACAAGCCTTGAGGATAGCCGCATCTGTGTAGAGTCTTCGCCAGATTGGCTTGACCTCCTGCCATGGTACTTCGAGGAACTTGGCGTCGCAGAATGTCTTGACTTGCGCGAGAGCAGAGAGAGGTGCGGTGATCTCTCGGCTCTGGTGGTAGCATTCGATGGCGCGGCGGAGGTGCACAAGCACCCGTGGGGGTGTTTCGTCGAGCGAGTCGATCGAGGCGTTGACTAGTCGCACGGCATGCTCGACAACATCGCCGCCGCCGCCGCCGCCGCCGCCGCCGCCGCCGCTGTCGAGCATAACCGTATGGTGAGGTGTTGGAAACGAAGTCGCCGCGTCGCCGCGTCGCCTCGCCGCCTCGTCGCCGCCCCGCCCCGCCCCGCCCACTTTGTCTCAGTCGCCTTCCGCCCGCCCAAGCGCCACGTTGCGTGCGCACGGTGGCTCCACACAGGCACAGCCGCGGGGCGGAAGACGAGGCACGTCTCGCTCGCGCCTGTTCCCCCATCTTGTCAACCTCACCATCACCTCCAAGTCGCGCCAATACCCTCGTTCTCTCGACGATCACATAGCATACACGCAGCGTACTCGCTTCTCAGCAACCACACGTGCTCACTCACATGCACTCGTCTCACCACTGTACCGCAAATGGACGCTGCCTCTGAGCGAGCGAGCGAGAGACCGAGGCCGATCCCGACGCCGCCTCCTCCTCCGCGAGACGACGCCGCCACGTCCACGTCGCCCGCTTCGTCGAGCTCCAATGTCACTCAGGCCATCTATGCCCCCGGGGCAGGGCCTAGCGCTGCCAGTCAGGGAGGGCTGCATATAAGCTTGCCCCCCAACTTTCCCGCGCCAGAGACGAGCGTCTTTTCCCCGCCCGAGGCGAGAAGAGGCGCAAGTGATGCTGCGACGGCCGCTACGACGGCGGGGTATCTAGGCGCAAAGGCCGGCTCGTCTTCAACGGGAGCAGTCGCACCACCAGTCGCTCTGGCTGCCACGACGCGGGTCAGCAAGGAGCCAGGCGCATCAATGCCACCACCCCCACCGCCCGCACCTCGCGTTACAGCATCGCCTCCGCCCGCTCCTCGCGCTGCATCCCCTCGCCCTCCCCTCTCAACACGCACGTCATCACATCGCTCACCGTCTGCGCGGCCGATGAAAGGAACCTTCAGCCCACGCCAGCATGCCGCCAGCCCGCGGCCCCACACCGCCTTCAGCCCGCGCCGTCAAGCCTCCAGCTCCGCCCTCGTAGACGACGACGAGCACGACGATGGCGTAGAAGGGATCAATGACGAACTCGCGCAACTCCCCGCCAGCCTGCTTCACCACCCCCACAATCTCGACTCCCTCGCCGCCCCCTCATCAGGGCGTAAAGCCTCGGTATCCCTGCAGCTATTTAAGGAGACGGGGCCGAGCAGCAGCGGCAAAGTAGCGGGTCCAGCTGGAGCGGGGGCGGGGTCGGGGGCGGGAGCACGAGTTGCGAGCCCTACGGCGCAGAGTGCCTTTGAGCCCAGTCCGAAGAATCCATTTGGGGTGCGTGCGAGTAGCAAGAAGCCGGCGGTCAGGAGCGCAGATGCTGCTCAGCTTGTTGCGGGGACCGGTGCAGTGGGGGAAGCGAAGAAGTTGCCGGATCTACCTAGCCTGCCTACGGCTGCATTGGCTCTGGATGCTGGCGGGGTGAGGAGACCGGAGGAGACTGCCCTCTCGTCCGGCGCTGCCCGCTCGTCTGGCGCTGCCACGCCGTCTAAGCTTATGGCGCAACATCCCGAGAATGAGGTGCATTTCACGCCTCGTCGCCTTTCGATACCCTACAGCGACGCCTCCGCCGATGTGGACTTTGAAGACGACCCGAGTGGGAGCGGCAGCGGCAGCGCCAGCGCCAGCGACGGGGAGGACCACGCGCGCAGTCACCACACCGACTCGATTGCGGTTCCCTCGACCTCACGCCCTACATCCCCATCCCATCGCGCCGCCTTTCCCTCTCTCTCTCCCCCAGGCCACGCACCCTCGGTCGTACAGCTCCAACCCTTCAGCAATCAAGTTGGCGGGCACAATACCGTCTTCCGCTTCTCACGCCGAGCAGTCTGCAAGCCCCTCGTCAGCCGCGAGGACCTCTTCTACGAGGCCGTGGAGCGCGAGCACCCTCAACTGCTCAGCTTCATCCCGCAATACCTCGGCGTGCTCAACGTAACGTACCGACAAGCAGGGGAGGGGGCCGAGCAGCAGCCACGACAGCGGGCGCAGCGCAAGGTCTTTGAGGGGCAGGGGGACGACGATGGCGACGAGGTGCCGGAGGTGGCCTTGGATATGAATCGACACATTGTGCCCGAGTGGATGTTGCGGCGCAGTGGGATCCGTAGCGCGAGTGGGATGGGCACGCCAGCGCGATTGGGGCGGGGGGAGGCGGCAGGGGAAGGTTCGGCGAACGGACGACGACAGCATCACTCGGCTGAGCGTGCGGGGAGCGTAGAGTCGAGCAGTAGTGGTGCGCGAATGGAGTCGAGCAGTCTGGATCGAGATCGTGTATGGGGTTCCTCGCCGCCCAGCGCCTGTCGTGGGTCTACGTCGGTGAATCGTCGCTTGCAGGAACAGGTGCTGCGCGAAGTCTTCTCGGCGCCGCGCAGTGATACGGGCTGGACTTCTGGCGCGAGTCGCAGCAAGTCCCGCGCTCAGAAGAATCGCAACAAGCTGGCAAAGGCGTGGCAGGAGGGAGAGGGGGCGAGGCGTGGTCACGACACCAACGAGGCGGAAGCGCACGCGCACGCGCACGCGCACGCGCACGCGCAGGCACACACGCAGGAAGACGCGGAGTCGCACCGTCCACGTCGAGTACACTCGGACGCGGCGTTGGATCTTCATGCCCGCGCTGACTTCTCACTCACGCCGATGCAGAGCAGCTCCAAGCTCGCCGAGACGACGCGACAACGCCACGAGTCGGCTGAGATGCCCGTATTTGCAATGGATGGCGAGGCGGAGGAGCGCGGCGAGGTGCGCGCCCCACCCTCGCCGCACGCCCCACCAACGACGGACGCCGACGATCTCGCCCCCTCGCCACGCCAACAGCAGTTCCTCCTCATGGAAGACCTCACAGGTCGTCTCCTCTCCCCCTGCGTTCTAGACCTCAAGATGGGAACACGCCAATACGGCCTCGACGCCACGCCGGGGAAAAAGGCTAGCCAGACGAAAAAGTGCGACAAGACGACGAGTCGCTCGCACGGGGTGCGCATCTGTGGTATGCAGGTGTACGACTGTACGAAGGAGCGGTACATCTTCCAGGACAAGTATTTTGGGCGCAAGGTTGCGCCAGGCGATTTCGCAAGCGCGCTCAGTCGCTTCTTCCATAATGGGGAGCGGTGAGTGTGCGGCGTCGTGAGACTCGTGCGACTGAGCTGACCTGAACTGATTGTCCGCCCGCGCAGCCTCCTCCTCCACCACATCCCCGTCATCCTCGAGAAGCTCTTTCGCCTCGCACGGATCATCCGCCAGCTCGCCGGCTATCGCTTCTATGCCTCTTCGCTCCTCTTCATCTACGACGGCGATTGTGCGGTACAGGCCCGACTCGAGAAGGAGTTTGAGGCTCGCATCGAGCGCGGGACGGCGGGCTTGTCCCCCGGTTTGAGGTCGAGCGTAGAGAACAGTCCTGCCCTCGAACCTGTAGACGCCATCCCTTCATCCGGCCAGCCGCGCAGGCGGAGAAGACGCGGGGAGATCAATATCCGCATCATCGACTTTGCGCACTGCACCACAGGAGACGTGGAGCGGGCGCGTTTCCCCCCGCACGACCCCGTGGGCCCGGATTCAGGGTACCTGTGGGGATTGCAGCGACTCAGCGAGTCCTTCTATGAGATTTGGGAGGAGGAGAGACGTAAGCGCATCGAGGGGGGAGGGGCGGATGTGGGTGAGCTGCGCGTTGAGGATGAGGGCGTGTTTGGGGAGATGTTTGGTGAGGAGGAGGGGCAGGTGGGGTACATTTCGCAGTAGGCGCGCGCGCGCGTGGAGGGGGATGTTACGCTGTGCAATCGCATCGCATTGCAAGTCGCTACGCTCTTTGTCTCCATGCGTGCCTCACTCCCACCTCGACAGCGGCCAGCGCCGTAATGCCCACACCGATGCACATGACCGTGCGGCCGTCGTCGTGCTCCATGAGCCTACGCCAGCGAGCGGTGGGTCAGCTACGTTCGTTTGCGTGCGGGGAAAACAAGGCGCACACCCACTTCTGCCACGCCGCCTTGATCGCGCCACTCACCCCTCGTCCGGCGACGAGGGAGCCATACATGCAGTAGGCGATGAGGAGGAGCTCGATGTACAACGTCAACTTCGCGACGCGATAGACGAGGGTGGAGGTGAGCACATCGAAGGCAGCGATGATGGGGGTCATGCGTTCCGGCGGCGCGTCAGGTTTGAGGTCCATATTCATGCTGGCGTGGCGATGAGAAGAGAGAGGGTGAGAGAGGGAGAGAGGAGAAAGGAAGCCGCACACGCGCTCGCACACGCAACTCATGCGGTTGAACAAGCTTCGCATCCCTGCCCATTTCTTGCCCTCCTCGTCGCGCTAGCGCCATGCGCGAACGGACCCCATTGTGCGAGGCGAATGCAGGCCGGCGGGCAGTGAGCAGCTCGCGCATCTCGAGCCGTTCCTCAATGCCAGTCATGAAGAGGCTCATCGCAATGGCAGTCATTGGACCATGTTTCGTTGGCAGAGTCGGCTACAACGACGCCTTGTCGAGCCCAAAGCGTGGGCTCAGCGACGGCAGGCGCCACGTGGCTCTTGCTCCGCCTGGCTCGTGCGCGATGCGCTGCTCCCCTCCGCTCGTCCGTGCAATCTCGTTCCTGTCCATCTTGCTCCGCAATCACATCCACTCACCCATCCGCTCGTCGAGTGATTAGCCAGCAGGCGGCGGAGCAGCGAGTCTGGAGAGTCGATGTCGACGTCGACGTTGAGCTGGGCTCTCCTACCAATATACCCAGGGATTTCGAGGTCGATTCGTGTTTTTCCCCCCTCGAGGCCATTTTTGCCCCCTCCCCCGTCTCGTCCCTCCTCTACGAACCCACCCCCCCTTTCGTCCTCCTCTCGCTCCTCGACCATCATCTCGCTGCTGTTGCTCCTCTTGTTGTACTCAGCTTCACTCTTCGACTCAACGACCTCGACCACTTCACGCTCGCTGTCGTGCCACCCTCATTACCAAGCCACGCACCAATAGATGCATTGGCTCAGCATTCATCATCACGGCGGCACCTGTTGTACAAGACACTCTTCGAGTCTCATTGGGTGAGTCTGTTCATGCCGAGCTGCTCGGCGGCGAGCTGACCGTCTGCCTTGCTACTCCTCCGTCGCAGCTCATGGATAGGCCATGGCCTACTACGTGTGACGCCCGCAGCTCCTTGGGCGGACCTCGCACCCTGTTCGAAGGCATCTTCGCCCCTCCACTGTCATGTCCTCATCGCGATAGTGGGCAATGCCCGCTGGACTCAGGATGGCAGACACTCTCTCCCGCCTCTCCTCTGTGAGTGCGTACCGTTCTCGACGTCTCGGCGAGTTGCCAGCTGACCTTTGCCTTGCCCACCTCAACCTCCCTCGAAGGCACTCGCTACTTCAACCCGCGTCACGTCACGTCACGTCTAGGGTACTTTCACGCCGTCACGAGGACGAAGAAGGTCCAGACATCGTCCATCAAACGTCTACCCCATGGCAGCAGCCTGTGTCACAAGCAATGGCAAGGTCCGGCGCTCCAGCCCAGCATCTGAGCGCGAACAAGACGAGCGACACTCAACAACGGCTATGAGAGCTCAGCTTTCTTCTCGTCATCCCTACCATCATCTCCAACTCCATCCGGTAGCAATACGATGGCTACCTCGAACGAGCTCCCTCCGCCTGTCGCAGGGCGTGCCACTCCTGAGTGGCACGGCGACGAAGACGAGCTGCTGCTTTGGAGGGCAGAGCGGCAGCTCGCGGAGCGACTGCTCCAGGAGGCTCGAGACAACGATGAAGACGACGAGCAGGAGCTGCCGCCTGGCAACCAGCAGCAGGCTACGCAGCTCTGCGAGGAGTGAGTGGGTGGACGAGGCATCCTTCGCATCTCTTGCTGACCACGTTTGCCTCTCTCTCATCAACAGTGCCAGGCGCCGCTCGCTCTCTTCTCCCCTGGCACTTGGTGACTTGTGAGTCCTGACGTCGAGTCGAGGTGCAATGAGAGAGTAGGCTGATCGACGTTCCCTCTGCTCCCCCCATAGGTCTCCTCGTCGAGACGAGTCACAAGGAGAAGAGGAGCAAGGTGGCGACCGGTGAGTGCAACTCAACAGACTCAGAGTGCAACGCCACGGGCTGAACGCCTATCACTCTTTCGCGGCAGCTCTCCTCGCGCGCGCTCGCCCTCGCGCTTCCCGCGCCCTCTCTCTCCTCGCCCTCGCCCTCGCCCTCGCCCTCGCCCTCGCCGCCAACTCGACGAGGAGGAAGATCAAACCCCTCCTCGGTCAGCATCAGCGTGCTCTCATTGCCTCGCTTCCATCGAGCTGACCAGATTCCTCTTCTCCTTGCTCGCAGTCTGACCGCTACCGCCCTCGCTCGCCGAGACCGAGGCACCGACGCTGCTCGCAAGCGACAGCGAACCGGTGCCTTCGCGTCGACGTCGGCAGCCTCCCTCCCCTCCGACGTCACCACCTCCGCCTCGCGTCGTGCCCGACACCTCGCAGGATGACATGTGGTCCAAAGTCAAGGACCGCATGACGATGACGACGACGGGAGGGGGGGACACGCTTGCGTGGTGCCGCCCCTGCTCTGAGTGCAGTGCCGGGCAAAGGGTCAACCTTGCCTGGTGGTCAAGAGCCGGGATGCCGAAGATGTCAAGCAAAGCAGGGAAACCTTTGCTTGTCATCATTGCCAGCAACGCAAGCTGCGCTGCTCTGGTCGCCTCGTTGGTCGCCCCAACCTCGAGGAGCGCCTCCCCTCACCAACCCCCTTCATGCCCTCTCCGGCTGCTCGCTCCCTCCGAGCTCAGCCGCTGTCATGGCCTCCTCGTGGCAATGGGTGGATAGCTGCTCGCGAGAGTGGTGAACCAACGATGACTGATGTTCTTGACTTTCTCATATCTGCTAGAATGCTACATCGTGACGAGTCCCTCCTGAGATGATGTGTGCGCGCTCGCTTCACCTCTTGATCATCGAATCGAGCCAGACGGGATCTGCGTCGACCGTTGAGGTGAGGAAGCCCACTCAGCTCCGCGAAGTGCGGGAGGGGGGTGGGCACAGAGGGATCAAGGAGCACAAGGGAGCTTCTGCTCACCATCGAGAGCGTAGACGCCTTAGCCAAGGGGAGGGTGAGACTAGAGAGAGCGGCGAACAGGCTCGTACGGGCATACAAGAGTGTCTTCGGCGAAGAGGGCGTGGAGGGCTCGTTGCCACATTGCACGGCGCGAATAGTGCGATTCGGAAGCTGAAGCCAGAGCGCTGATGGCGAGGAGATGGAGTTAATCATACGCTTGTGTCCATCGCTGCCCTCGCAGGCCTACTCGCGATGGCTCAAGGTAGTGTTGCTTGGGCTCACGGCGCGGACTCGCCCACTAGCGCGGAAGGGGCACCGCCACGTGGCGTGTTGGACTGGACAATGCATGGCTCGAGCGTCGGCGCCCGTTCGCAATCATTGTGACTTCACTATCGTTCCATCCCATCCTCCTCCGTCGTCCGCACTTTACGTGGGCGTCAGAGCTGAGCGAGCGAGCATCCGGAGCAATCGCCGTCACACAGCACAGTCAAAGCGATGACTCGACTCGGCCTCCCTCGCCGTCGCCCTTGTCCTCGAGCGGAGGCAATCTCGTTCCTGACCACGCTGCTCCGCACCACAAGACTAATCACATCACCAATCACACTATGTCGAGTCATCGGCCGCTATGCTGAGCCGTGAGCGTCGAGGAATCAGTCTAAGCAGGCGGCGGCGGAGCACCGGAGCAGAAAGAGAGCGTCGTTCGGACGTCGCTCGAGCGTCGATGTTGGGCTGAGCTGGGCGTGGATCCTACCAATATACCCGGGGTCGGCCAGGTTGCATCGACTTTTCGCCCCCTTCGAGCTCCGTTTCGTCCCCTTTGCTTTTTGCCTCTCCTCCTCACCCTCCTCGTCTTCCATCTCATCCCCTCCTGTTGTACCACCATCACCTGCCGCAGCCACGCAGCATCACGCTCGCTACCATCACACGCTCGCTACCTCTTCCGCCCTCAGCCAGCGACTCGCTGAGCATTGCGCTCAGTATCGCCGCGTGACGCAGCGCCTCGCTTCTCATCATCATATCGCTGGCCCATCCTCAACACCAAGCAAGCTCATCAGCACACACGCTCGTTGCTACGACGCGCCACGCCACGCCACGCCACGCTCGAACCTCCTTGCGATCCGGCCTGCAAGTCAGCGTCAGCGTCAATTTCAGCATCAGCGATAGCATCAGTATCTCTCGCTGTTGTACTTCAAGATCTCGCACCTTGTTGTCTCCTCTCATTCAATTGTGTGAGTACATGCCCCGGCGTCGTCGCACCCATTGATAGAAGTAGCCAGACTAACGCCCTACCCTTGCGCACCACCATCATCACCGCGCAGACAACAGCTTCTCATCTCATATTGCCACCACTCAGCACCAGCAAGACCTACGCTATGGTGCTGTAGCTCGTCATCGAGGCACGCGCTTGGTACGGTCGACCAGGGCCGTGAATGCCTGCTTGGTGAGCTCGAGATCACGACTTCGAGGTGAGCATCTTGGTAGCGCGTCGCGCTTGCGTCGAGACGGGAAGCTGACTCCGCTACTCACCTCGTTCACCTCAATCATTCTCTAGCAGTCAAAACGTTACGGTAAGGCACGATCAAGTCGCTCTTTTTGCACATGGCACAGTCACACTCAGGCATGGGCCAAAGACAGCAACATGTCCATCACCTGCAGTGACCACATCGCACGAACGGCGCGACCTACTGCGTCCCAATCCCAGCCACCGCCATCGACCCTCCTGCGCAAGGAGACAAGCCGGTGCTCGAGGTCCGTCGCTGGCGCAGGCGACGGTGAGCCGTGTACGATGCCTGACCCCGCTCAGCGCATCACTCGCTTCTTCTGCGGCCGATACGTAGCATCGTGCCCAGCTTTCCTCGGGTTGCCAGCAGCGAGCCAGCCGGAGTTTCACTCCGTCGCCCTCACTCGCACCCTCATTCCCTCCTTTCCCTCTGCGGCGACGACAACTGCTGGAACAGCGGCTACCGGCCCACTCACCGCAGCAGGTCTGCCGGTTTCTTCTTCTCTTCTGCTGGGTGGGGGCGCTCAATCTGCCGCGCCTTCATCGGTGTCCGCTACTTCCTCTGCGGCCGCTCCCACCATCACTCTCGCTCCTTCCGCAGCTGGCCCAGCCGCTGCCACAACATCCACCTCTGCTCCTCAATCTGGTCTCGCCGCTTCTCCCTCTATTTCAGCAGCTGGATCTGCTTCTTCAAGCGCACTCGCCTCTTCCTCTGCGGCCGCTCAGCCTTCTGCCCCTTCTGCGACGTCCATGGGTAAAAGGCAAAGGAAGGCCACCTCTAGCTCCTCATCGTCTTCTCTCTCTTCTCTCAGTGCTCCCTTACACGATGATGAGGAGTGCGAAGAGAGCAGCGACACCAACATGGCCGACGAGGAAGCGTCCCAGCAGCAACAGCTCGTCGCCCCGACCGAAGTCATTACCATCGATGACACACGGCCCCGCCACGCAAAGCCAGGGGCAACAACAACGGCAAGAGCAACCGCAACAGCCGCCCAACCAGCCCGCACAGCAGCCCATCCAGGAGAGCGACGAGGCTATGCTCACCTCAGAAAGCAAAGGGGATGCAAGCTCTCGGGGGCGATGCTCGGCTCACAGCAGAGTCTCGAGGAGCCATGGCAGCCGGACTAGAACGACGATCAGCCTCCTCCCCTGTCGCAAGAAGCTTCCGTGGCAACGCCGCCCGTGCCAGTCTCTCTCACGCTGGCAACGCTGGCAGAGGTGCTCGACGAGCTGGACTCGGCCTCTGGCAGCGAGGCGCCCTCGGAGACGAGCGTGGGCGAGGTCCCCCTCGCATCCACTCGCACCACGGCGCAGCGGTCGCAGCAGGCCAAGGCTCTGGAGCACAAGGCCTACGCCGGGGCGGGCATCTTCAACTGGCTGTGCGGTGCTCTGAAGGCCTCGAGGACTCCTGAGGCGGTGCGTGCTGCGCGTCGAGACGTTCGTCTTGCTCTGTGGCGCAAGCCACTCTCGCTGCCGGCGTCGAGGTCGGGGAGCGGGTCGCGCGGGGCCGCTACGGTCGGGCTGCAGCTCTGGAAGCCTGCCCCCTCGTCCGAGGCCTTCATCGACGTGGTGCTGGCCAGGCTCACCAGCTCCGAGGGCCGCATGGCGCACAAGGAGGTCAGAGCCGCATGCATCCTCGTCAAGCGCGCGATCCTTGATCGAATCGGGCGCAGAAACAAGTCTGCCTTGAGCCTACACAGATGAGCAACGGGATCGAGCGACCACCAGCACGCTCTCTTCTACCTGGCGCGACTGAGGTCCTTCGCAGTCTTGTACTGCAGAAATCGGGAGCAGTATAACGCTCTCTGGGAAGCCCGATCAGACCTCCGGGCAGAAACTTGTGAGGCGATGGAGGTGGGGAGATATCTGATCATCAGCCTTTAGATGAAAGCGAATCAGGCGAACTTCAAGCAAAGCAAGCTACGCCACCATGCGAGCAGGGGTAATCCTTGCAAAGCCGAACACTCAGCAAGGATGACCAGCACATGCGCAGCCTTCCAAAGCCTGAACTCATCACGCAAACTCAGTGCGCGAGCGGGACTCGCTCACCGCTCACCTCTCTCATTCTCCACCATCAATACCAACAACACGATGACTGGTCTTCCTCTCTTCGACGCTGCCGGTGAGTGAGCCAGACGCGGGTGGTGCAGACCTTTCTCGTGCTGACCAGCTTACTCTCATCCTTCGCTACCCTAGACCTCCCCTTCCCATCCGCCCAGTGGCCCACTTCAAACTGGCAAGGCGATGATGGCGAGCTGGAGTACTGGCTCCTGAAGCGCGAGGTCAATCGCAGGAAGGAGCCATCCCCGGCCGAAGAGTGAGTGGACCCACGCAATCTTCTCATTCTCAACATACTTTGACGTCGGCGCTGACATCAAGCACCACTTGCGCTTGCGCTCGCCAGTCAACGCTCTCCCTCTCCTTCTCCTCGTGTGGCGCCATCGCGTGCGATCACTCGCCAACGCTCTCCTTCTGGTTCGCCTCCCGCCAATTGCCTCACGGAGCGCGAGCTGCGACGAATGGATGAGCAAGATGCGAAGATCCGCGCGTGAGTGAAAGCAGATGCGGCACGAGTATGCGGTAGCAAGCGCTCACATCTCATCCCTTTTTTGCAGCCGCCGCAGCATCAATGACGGAGGCGACGAAGACGACTAAGACAAAGACCGCACCAGCAAGCGCACAAGGACCGTCCGCTGGGCCGAGACCGCCGAGTCTGGCAGCGTCGTCGGGGAAGCCTCTGCCTGCTCATCTGCCCCGAGCGATGCGGCCTCTGCGTTCACCGCCCTCGACCAGCGGCTGTTGCACCAGAGGCTCGAGAAAGTCCTGCGCCGGAGGTACCACCTGCAGCCCCAGCAGGTGCGACTCGAGGACCGCCCGTGGGACGAGGCAGGCGTGGCTGCGCGCTTGGACCAGCTCGAGGTACCAGCGCCCTTCCTCGACTTGGTCCTGCCCGAGAAGCAGAGGATGGTGAAGTGGGGATACTACGTCCTCGACTTCTACGACATCAACAGTCCCGGCAAGGACAAGATCTTGTTCCACCCCTCCTCCGGCGGCGCCCCTGCTCACGTCCGTCCCTGCGCAAGGTGCGTGCGCAACGGTGAGCTGTGCAGGATCTTCGTCGAGGACCCTGACAAGGCCAAGAAGGGCAAGAAGGCGACCTTTGCTTGTGCTCCCTGCAAGCGTGCGGGAGAGCCATACACCTGCAGCGTCGTTGACCATGGAGAGAAATGGTCCAACACGTTCAAAGCCGACGTCTTCGCCTCCTTGAGCCTGCTCAACGTCATCGGCGGCCTCTTCTCCGCCCCTACTGTGCCACATCTCAAGAAGGCCTTTAGGACGTCGTACCCAGAGATGCCGATCCTGGCAAGTGAGGAGATCATGGCCAACAAGGTCAAAATCGCCGCGCATGCCTCGTCGGTCGCTGTGCCGCCCGTGGCTCACTCGTCGTCATCGTACAACTGCGCGCGCGGCGACGAACCCGGCTTGTTCGCTCTCCCCTTACGCCCTCTCCAGCGGCGTCTCCATCGACATCGTTGCTGTCATGACCTCCTCGTGGTGATGGGTGGATAGCTGCTCAAGCCACGAGTAGTGAACCAACGATGACAGAACCGATACCCCCTCCTCAAGTCGCAAAGTCTCTCAAGCAGCCCTGCGCGCGGCTTCCTTCGTCGAGACGCTCAACCAAGGCAGGGCCATCAAAGGGCTTCTACGTCCAAGGATCGACTTGGCAGCCTGCTCGCCGTCGTAGCCTACTTGTCTTCGACTTTGTATCTTCCGCACTTCGCACCTTTCATTCCGAGCGCGACTGTGGCTCCCTCGCCCCTCTTCTTCTACCGCGTATACCAGTATCGCAACTGCTCTTGCGCTTCAACGGACGGCGCCTTCGCCCAGCAGTCACTCAACTCGGACGGAGGCCATCGCGACCGCCCGGCGGGCTTCAACTACCGGGTCGGGGACGTGAGCAGATTCGGCCAGCGCCTCGTCTGCTCCCGCGCTGGGTGTGACTTCTTCTGTCTGGTGGTCGAGGAAGGACAGCGCTGGGTACTAAAGCCAGGCACAGTCCAGGAGCACCAAGGCCACGGTGTCGACGCGGAGATTGGCGTCAGATACTGGCGAGGTAGCCTCTGCGAGGACGAGCACGACTTCATCTGTCTCCCCTCCTCATCTCCCCTTTCTTCATGACGACCGACATGACAACTCAAGACGGTCCTCTGCGCTCCTTCGTCCTCTCGCGAGAGAAAGGCCCCTGGTCTCCCTACGTGAGTGAGCGCACCATCACGCTTTCCCGCACTACAGTACTTGGCTCTGATGTGACCGCTCTTCTCCGCTATCAGGAGGTCATCGATTGGTATGACCTCATGCAGACCCTGTGGGAGACCAGCACGCCGGCCAGAGTGATGGTCACCTCTCGTGAGTACCCACGACACTCTTGAGTGTCACAGACAGTCGTTGAGCTCCCTTGACCGCTCAGGTAGCCGCGTCTTCGAGCAATTCAGGCCTTGCCGCATCGACGTGCTCGAGAGGGAAGACCCCACGCCGGACGGCGTCGAGAGTCGCGATCTTCGTCGTCTCGCCCAGCTCAAGCTATACACCATCAATCATGGTAGCGAAAGCTGGTCCGAGGAGGTGAGAAGCATCTTCACGTCACGCATCGCGCAGCACGCTAATGCCTACCTCTACCCTACTGTACCTCTCAGGAGAGGACAGGATGGCGCGACGTACTTCAGTACATCATCGACACTCGCAGCCGAGCGGACATGATCCTGACTTCGAGTGGGTATCCTAGTCGTGAGCTCTAAGTCGCAGCCGCTGATGCGCGTTGTCCCCTCTTGCTCGCAGGGAATAGCGTCTTCGAAGACTTTGTAGTGTCACGACGGTGTCACGACGGGACGATTCCTTGAAAGCGACCCCAACATCATCAAGCATTCAGCCTACTCTCCCGCCTCCGCCCGGGCCGCTCCAACCCACTCTCTGCCGCAGACGTATTTGTTGCCGTCGACGACGGAAAAGGCTCGTTGCACCTGTCCTCCTTACCATCACCCACTCGACCCACCACTAACTCGAAGACCACTACTCCAAAAGGTGCAACAAGGTGCATATATGCTCGCTTCCGTCTACGCGTCCCCCATTCTGACCTCCTGACATCCTTGCAGATGACATACTACAGCGAAGAATTCCTCGCGGAGGCGGCAGAATACAGCATGACCGCCGAGGAGTACGCTCGTGAGCTCCAAATGATGGAGGAGACCGATCGAGCTTGGGATGAGGAGGAGCGGGAAGAGTGGGAGGAAAATGCTCGCCTCATCGCCCTCGACAATGGCGAGGAAGAGAGCGAGGAGAGCGAGGAGGAGGCGCAGCAGGCGTCGTTGCAGCACGTGTGGCTGCACGAGGGTGGCGAGTGGACGGAGGTGGTGAGCATATTCGTAACAAGGTCAAAGTCTACGTGGTACTCATCCCCCTCGTCACCTTGACGCTGGCAGGAGAGGGAGAATTTTGTCCGAGCGGCAGAGGTTGCCACAAGGTCCTCTCCTTGCGCGGTCGCATCTCTGCTGGTCATCAGTGGTACGTATTCAACTGCTGTGCACAGGACGCCAAACTTCTGACGCCGCACCCCACTTCGCCCCTTGTGCACGCCAGACGAAGCAGGATGGGACGCCTTCGAGCCAACGACGTCGCAAGTCGTTGAGCAGGGCGGCAGCCGGGGCCGAGAGGAGGGGCAGGAGGGGCAGGGCGGCGGCAACGACCGCAGCAGCGACATCGTCGGGCGTGGTCGGGGGGGCAGCATCGCCGAGCTCCCGTCGTCTCCACGTCGTAGCCCAGCTACGCCGCTGTTCAGCAGCGAGGTGGAGCTCGACGTGACGTTGGTGCCTCTCCAGACGCCGTGGAGGTTGGAGGTGGAGGGTTGGAACAGGCAGGCGAGTGAGCCCGCTTCGGAGAGCGAGGCACCCTCGGGAGGTGGGCCGGGCCAATGGCGCTGGGTAAGGCAGTTTTGCTATTCATTACATGGATGCACACCGGTGCCGATTGGGACGTAGAGGTGAGCATGTCACCCATGAGCCGCAACTGCTGTACGCCCAACTGATCTTTCTCCCCTCGCAGGAGAGCTACAACTTCGTTGAGGCCGCCAAGGCCATCACAAGGATCAGCTCGACGACGGTTGCTTCTCTCATCGTCCGCATGGGCTCGTTAGGTCCAGATCAATGCCACAGCAAGGCAAAATTGTGACCACGGTTCGCGGCCGCTCCCCACACCAGATGAAGCAGGCTTGAACGCATTCGTCTCAACGTCGCCCGAGTTTATCGAAGGACACAGCAGCAGCAGCAGCTCCGGCGGCATCAACGAGGACGTCGACTCCGACAGCATCAACGACGACGTCAACCCCGGCGCAATCAATGACGACGGCAGCGACACCAACAGCCTCGTCCATTTCCAAGGCGGCAGCCCGGCGGAGCTCCCCTCTTCTCCTCGCCGCAGCCCAGCCACGCCAATGTTCAGCAGCGAAATCGAGCTGGACATCACGCTGCTGCCAATGCAGGCGCCATGGAGGCTAGAGAGCAGTAGCACGAAGAGCGAGGAGAGCGAGGAGAGCGAGGGTTCTGCGAGGAGCCAGGACGGGTTGGGCGGGGCAATGAGTGTTGGCGAGCAAGGGCGGTGGCATTGGGTCAAGGAATCTCGCCTGCGCCTGCGCCGAAGAAGCCAGACTCTCTCATACCGGGCTGTAGTACGAATGGATTGGTGGCATCATTGACGTGCCCGAGAGTGATTGTACAGTACTTTGATGATTGACATCTGAAGATGGTATGTGGCAGCCCGTCCGTATCCTTGACTCGGGTGCGAGCTGGAGTCACTACGGCGTCCCGAGCCGACTCACCTTCGCGACACAGATTTGCACGTACGAAGCTGAGGACATGCTTGAAAATACAACACGCTCGACAGTCGAAGCGAAGCAGGGGCAGAGACAGCTTTTTCTGCAGAATGTGGCTATATTGCAAGACTACTTAGATTTGTTTGCTGCCTCGATGACTGGGTACAGGCGAAAAGAGGGGATTCTCGACCGATGCCGCAGGGCTGCTTGGAGAGGAGATGGGACTGCGCTGATCGTCAAGGCGAGTTTCTGGGGAGATGCTGCTGCGCTTCGAAGCCTTTGATTCTCTCACGGCAACGCGCGAGGGACGCTCAGATGGCGGTGAGATGCGCTTACTAGATGCTGCTGTTCGCTGGGAGCGCGCTGCAGTGGCTAGCTCTGGCGGTGATCCTGGTTCCTTCGGTCTCCTCGCGGGAGCTAGCAACGTTGTGGCGTTCGGATACGAGGCGTTGCTCAGCGCGGCGCTCGGAGGGGTCCCTTTCTTTTCCTCAAAAGAAAGATTTGAGTCTATGTCTCTTTGCGGGGTGAAAGTTGGGCGAACGTCCCATTTTGCGCCTCTGTCCGAAGTTGTATCCAGCTTTGAGACTGAGGAAGCCAGGTCGGACGTTTGATCAAAGTCTGACGCCTCTCTCTTGTGGCGATTTCGTCGACGAAGCAGCAGTATGATGACTACAAGCAAAGCCAGACCAGCCAGGCAGCCGATGACGCCACCAGCGATAGCAGCCGGTGCGACTTTGGTGCTTTTGGTCCGAACATGCGGGTATGGGCTTGGTGTAAGAGTGGGAAAGACTGGAGAGGGTGAAAGAGACGAAGAAGTTGAGAAAGCTGAATGAGTCGAAGTCGCTGGTACGCTGCTCGTTGGAGACGGCGTAAAAGCAGAGATTGGAGCAGAGGTGCCTACGTAGACCAAGTTGTCGCACGACAAGGCTGGAGCGTCGGAGCAGGAGCCGGTGATAGACACAGTGCCATAGAAGAGCTCGTAGTTGTCTAAGCCCACGCGATATGTCAGGGTCGACGCTGACGAGGCGCCGCTTTGAGGACACGGATATAGTCGGTAAGAGCCTCCGCCAGGGATATTGCCACTGGACGACAGGCGGTAGAATGACTTGAGGCCGCCGTTGTTCGAGAGCTGCACACTGAGATAGTCTGCCCTGTTGTAGGCTTCTTGACTGACATCTACGACCAGCTCAAGGCCGTAGCAATCATTGATGAAACTGACGGAGGTCGTGTTGACAAGATAGATGTCGTCCATGCTGGCAGGAGAAAGTGAATCACCATTGATGATGAGCGCGTGTGAGACTTGGGTATTTATGTCGAGCCGCGCATGCAGCTACTGTATGCCGGCATGCTCTCAGGGCGCGGGATTCTGAAGTCTAGAACGGTGAGACGACGAGGCGGCGAGACGATGCCACACTCCCGCTTTCTCGAGCTTCTCTGAGTGGCTTGATGAGAGACCAACTCCGATGCATTCGTGCGCAGAGGGCAATTCCATCCCGTCAAGAATAAAGTGCCGCCTTGGACCGCTCTGGATCTCACTTTCAACTCAGATCAATGCGTTGGGGGGACGGCGTGGGAGAGGCGGCGTGGGAGGCAAATCACGAGAGCAAGAGAAATTGAGATACGGTAGCTACTGTAGTTGAGCAACTGACAAAGATTGTGGATCAGGTCTGCGAAGCAATGACGGTGGCCGCGGGACCGCGGAAGGTCTGTCCTCCATGCTGAAAGATTGTCTGAGCCTGAAGCTCGGTGCCAGTCAGCCGCATGGCTAATTTGAAGGACACCTCGAGGAAAGGCCGACCTTTTGCTGTTTGGCGAACGGGAATAATTGATCGAAAGGGCTCCATATTTGCCCGGAAAGAGCAAACATTTTTGCTGAAATACAGATGTGCCGCACCGATTGGGAAGGTCAGCAATTGGCAGACAGAAGTATGTCGTTCGAGGGTGAGACTTACAAACCAGGTTCGTCGATAAACTCTCCCACCGGTGCTCCTTCTTCGCGTCGATAGACCCAGAGCTTGATCTCGCGTTCGAGAGTCTCATCAGGCGTAAAGGTCATACTGTAGCTCTCGATGAATTCTTGATCGGTTGCGCCTTTAGAACCCATCGAAAGTATCGTACTGAATGAACCAGGCAGTTTGTGTCGTCCGTCGATTGACTTGTACACGAGCGCTTTGCGTGCAGCATGAGAGGCCTCATGGCGGCGATACAGCTTTGCACACTGGATTCCGTAGTCGACCTTGGCAATGCGAGAGGTCACCAAGCCATCGAGATACCATGCAATGGCTCCATTGGCGACCGCCTTGGCACTGGAGATGGCGTGCAGTGGTCAGATGTCGCGCTTCAACCCTGTTCATGTACTTTCTTTTGTTACTCACGTCGCTTCGTCAGGCTTGTACAGCTTGACTCGGTCGCCAAGTCGTGCCTGCAATTCCTCGCGGAAGTAGACGCTCTCCGAGAAGCCGCCCACCATTGCGACGAGAGTATGTGACGTCTCGGTTGTGATGCGCTCTTCAATGGCCTCTTGTGTGTCGCTCAAGCTCACTTCAAACAAATCTGCGACGTCGGTGCCGCTGAGCACTAGCTTCCCGCGCCGGATTGCCTTGTCGGGCAAGCTCTCGCTGGCGCTACCGATGGTTAGATACTGCTGATCTGCTGCGCTAACGAAAGCCTCCTTGATTGTTTCAGAGAAGCGAGTCTCAAGGGCTGCAAGGTCATCAGCGTTGTCCCAGCGTGTGCCCTTTAGACGCTTGGTCAAGAGCTCGCGAGCGCGGCAGTCAACGGTGGTGGAGCCAGCGATGAGACACGTGCTGGCAAAGGTCTCCTCAAGCACGATGCGCGGCGCGGTTTTGCAAACACGATACGACGAAATATCGACGGTGCCGCCTCCTGCATCGCACACGATCAGATCCTGGCCGGCCTTGATGCACCACTTGCGTGAGCCCGCAGAGCGAGCGCAAAAGTTGACAGAGGCCTCCGCCTCGCTGTCGAAGGAACGCGGAGGTCAGCACCGATGGATTGCTCATGGCCACGATGCAGATGACAACGAACCTTACGAAGCTGATAGCGTGAGATCGGCTTGCTGGGACCAGGCCGTTGGTGACGCACGCTCGCCGCAGCGCATGCTGCTGCTCAATCTCCCACCTGGCAATACAATGAAGGGAATCAGGCGTCAGCCAGTGTTATTCACTTGGCACTTTTTCGGTCGCACTTACCCATTTGGGATTGTCAGTACATATTCTGCAGAGGGTGCGAGGTTTGCCAGCATGTCGAGGCCGTTTGAGTCACGGGAGCGAATGTAGGCGCCGACGCAAGTGACCATATACTTGAGGAAGTCAGAGCAGATTTGCTCCGCATCCAGACCGAAGGGAAGCTCTTGATAGCGATCGACGTCCTCGTGCTTGGCGTCGCCCTGCAGGTCTTGAAGATCAAGTCGCACGTCCAAGTGATCGGGCTTGAGATGGACTTTCCACCATTTCGCCAGCTGTCCTCCCTCCTCGAGCAGCTGCTCGGCCGGTCCCCCCGCGACTGCTTCGGCTCCAAAGAGCCGCGCTGTTCCATTCTTGTCATAAAGGATCACGGATGGAACCTTGCTGTTGGCGGACGATTGCCCGGGGTACGCTTTGATGTCTTCCACCGTCGGCCTCACTCCAGGCTGTAAGATCACATAGGAAGCGCCAGAAAATGTGGTGCCCAAATCGATGGCGATCACGAGCTTAGGTTTGCCGACGTAAGGTGCCCAGTCGGCCCTTGAAGAGCTTTTGGACGACATCTAGGGGATAGTGATTGATCGTAGCGCGAGGGAGTTGTGCGAAAAGGATAAAAAGTTGTTCGAAGATGCTGATCTTTCATATCAGGCTTTTGACTAAGTGATGTTGCCAGGCAACATGGAATACCCAACCTGATCGTGTGAACAAGTCGGGTCGAATCGAGGCAATTTTGAGCTTCCGACGTCGTCTGACCGACCTCGGCCTTGGGTCCACGGGGTTTCAATGGTCCCGCCCGTTCCCGTCGCCTTGCCTTCCCGCCCAAAGTGTGAGGCGCAGACAGTCTCTGTGCTCATCTAGAGCACGAAATCCTGTGCGATAACTTTGACAAGTCGAGCATACAAATAAGGAGCTGGGGGTTGATCCATTGCAATCGTACCATCAGCTGCCACATCGAACATGTCACACCCACTCTTCACGTTGCCTGCCAATGCCTATGGCTGGGCACCAGCACCGCAAACTATCGACACCAAGTCCGGACTCCCACCCCTGCCCGTGCCTACTACGCCTCTCTCCCCTGCTCCAACCTATGAACAAACTGTCAATCCGATCGGCTCCTCGCAGCAGCAAACTGTCCTGGCACAGCTCACGCCAGCTCAGCAGACGGCTGTCGCAGCGCTGCTCCTACAGCAGCAGCACCTGTCAGCCTCAGCTGCAGGCGCTGAGCAGCAGCGGGCGTCCCTAAATCATCATCATCATCAGCAGCAGCAGCAGATCATCCAACAGCAGCAGGCTCTTCAGCAACAGGCCCTTCAACAGCAAGCTCTGCAGCAGCAAGCCGCTGCCGCCACCGCGACTAGATGTGCTCAACCTCTTCCAGCCCTTGATGATGGTTTATATACCGTAGAGGCGATCGTAGTGAGCATTCTCGCGCGCCAAAAGTTTGTTGACATGTGTCGCTGAACCCGCTCACCTGTGCCGCAGGCGTCCTATTCTCGGTGCATGACGTGCGACATCTCCTCGGACATGCCTTCTCCGTGCCCTAAAGCCCTGTCCGATGCCGGCCTGCATCCCGCCACCTGGGCCCGAGTCATCACACAGACGAGACAGATGAAGAGTAAGAGCGACACCAACAAAGTCCTCTTGCACGTCTTCGGTGGATTGGCATTTGGTCTCCTTTTCAACGTCATGGTTGCAAAGCACTGGGTCGGCAACAAGCCATTGAGGCGTCAGCTTGCCACCTTCCATGAGCGGGAGAATGCTACGTTGGGCGCTGCGGGAACACCTGTGCGATTCGTGTGGTCAGGTGGCACATTGAAGGCCTACTTCAAGTAGGGTTTGGATTCAGCTTCGTCGCGTCTTGAGTCTGTTTGCGTACAGTACTTGTGTAAAGTATCCTCTGGTACCGAGATGATTCTCATTCGCTTGCTCTGATACACTACTGTGCATCGCCTCGGTCGGCCACGTTGGCTTGCCGCTCGTAGTGTGCCAACACTGGTCCCGCGGCTGCTGATGTCATTCGCTGCTCGAAGGCGAGCATGGCCCTTGCTGGAAGTTGTTCGAGTCTCAAGACCCTCTCCAAGGTTGGCTGCCCAGCCGCTAGCTGGATGAGCCGCACCACAATAGCATAACTGCGTTGTTCAGCAGCCCGCAGCCGCTGTTTGTGCAGGCGCTGCTGCTCGCGGCGGCGCGCAAGCTTGTTCGATGTGGCGGTACCAGAAAGGCCGTGATCCTGGCGGAAAGCCAGGACAGAGTTGCTCTCAGCGCGTCGCAGAGGCCGCAGCCCCTCGCCTTCGCCCGAGACAGTGGCTTGCACTGCTTCGTGAAGAGCGCTTGTGGACACGGCAGCTATCGGAAAGGCTTCGAAAACTCTTTCGAGAAGCTTGCGCACGACAGAACGCTGCTCGCGTACGCGGTCCTGATAGAGCCGAACCTTGGGCGGCGTAGAGCCCACAACCCTCGCTGCATCCCCCGAGATATTTGTCTCTGTCTCCCCGTTAACATGAGGCTGAGCGACTGGGCTCCCGTCAGAAGCCAACGTGCCGAGTAGCCATTCTACAGCGCTCGTGCCGTCATGCGTACAATTCCCGTCATTTTCGAGGGAGACAGGCTCGCGGGGCCAGGAACGATCCTGAGGCGCCACAGGTAGTGATGGGGCGATGATGGTATCACGCGCCGGCGAGGGGTAAGACGAGCCGTTTGCGGTCCGAGCGTCCAATGCTGGCAAGCTCGACCAGAGACTGCTCCGGTCAGACGTTGTCAGCCTGACGTCCCTCCTTGAGACGTTGATGTGGTCATCGCCCTGGAGGGCAATGGCAAAGCGGCGCTGATGTGAATGCGGATGCGTCGATGCCATGCCGTCACAACCATTCTCGTGACGAGGGCGAGCGATCTTGTGTCCGACCTGGGAAGTCAGATGATAAGACGCACGATCTCCGTAAAATCATTGCGCTGCCACTGGCGGACAGTATGAGTCAGGCAGCAAGGGAGCTTACCCTTTCACACGTGCTGCTCGAGTACAGAAAAGCGTGCTCGCGGCCAGCATGGATAGACTGTGAAAGTTGATGTGCTGCTCATGAGCACGCGCGTTTGTGAATTGGCCCGGGCGCAGATACAGCGACGAATAAGCGAGATTGAGCAGTGGATCTCGCTTCTTGCATATCGCAGTGCCATCTCGACACTGATCTTTCCTTCCCGAACGAGGCGGATGTCCCCATTGCGGCCTTCCAAAAACCTGCAGCTGAGCCTGAAAAATACGCGGGGACGAGGAGAAGATGTGCCAGAAAGTGGGGAGGCCCTCGGGACAAAGCCAATGGGCTCACGTCTCGACTCGTTGCTAAAGTGTGGCTTCTCTGAGGCGGATCTTGGTGAAAGCTTCAAAGCACTTGCCCCGCATCCCGGGATTTCTCGGTCCCGTGCGCCATCCAACCGCTTTGGCACAGCAGCGGGGCAAAAGAGTCTCCTGCCGCTTTAAATAGTGGCGCAACCTCCATCCCGTCCCGTGTGAAGCAAACGCAAGGCAAAATTGGCCGCCGGACAGCCGCGCGCTCAAGGTCGAGACCTCTGAGCGTCTTCGACCTTCCTCTAGCGGGACCAAGTCTACTCACATCTATAGCCACGCCAGGCCATCAGTCGCTTTAACGAGCGGGACTATCCAACTGCCTCATTCATCGCCGCTCCATTGTGCTCAACGATAGCTATGAAGACAGGTATAAGATTGCGCATTCGTCCTACGACCTGGAAACAATCGCCTCCGCCTTGCGATCTCACACGCTACCATGTCAGCCCTGCTCCTCCTCTTAGTGCGCGCACTGATCGGCTTCCTGGCCTGGCTCACCTTTCTCTTCTCCATCGCGAACATCGCATCATGGCACAAGTCTGTACACGATACTGCTTGGTGCGCAGAAGGCATCGCTCATGAGGAAGCGTGTAAGCTACCGTCCAAGTTTATAGCAGCCTACGCCATCGCTATAGTGGCCTCTACGGCTTTCTTGGCGGTTGGAGCCTTCAGTGTCATCGGGGCAATCCGATCTAAGGCAGTCGGCGCCCGTAGCAGGTGCATCACTCTAGCGGCAACGTCCATCGTCGTCTTCATCCTCTACATTGCCTTTCTTGCTCTCATCTCTGCCAACGGCAAAAAATACGTTGTCTCTATGACGAGTTGGGAAGGGTATGACAATTACCTCGATTCGCCAGGCGGGTATGTATCATCGGAGGCACATTATTGAGATGCGATAGCTGAGCACGAATGCTGCACGACTTCTTCTAGCGGGCTCGGTACCTCTCCCAACGACGAATGGTCAGGATCCATAATTGACAACGGCGGCGTCGTTGCTCCTGGTATGGTCGCCGCAATCCTCGCTGGTGAGTCGCCATTCACAAATCATGTTGACGCAAGAGCTGACATAATTCGGACTGCAGCTGCTCATTCTGTGTGGGAAATTCGCCAAATGCGCCACAAAGAGGGCGAAAAGGCGCTGTCGACTGACATGGTCTAAGAATGCCGTACCCAGACCGCAAGCTGCTACGCAGACTCATTTCGCCACATCTGACTTTGCGTGACTTGCACGGTGGAATCGTGAGGCGTGACGAACGCTTTCCCGCTGGTCCAGAACCCGATGGTCCAGAACAGCCCGAATCAAGTACGTCCGGCAACGAGGAGAAACATGCATGTAGGTCAAATTGCCTACAAGGCAGGACAACAACATTGCGCGTTTCACCGGCGGATCCACGAGACGAGGAATAAGCAAGGAATTTCCTTCTTCCTCAAGTTCTGGCCTCGTCTCCCCGTGCCCGCTGTGCTGTTTTGAGCTTTCTGCGCATTTGAGACGAGATCAAGAAGATTGCTGGCCGTCGCAGTTGTAGCATGGGCTACAAGAGCGCTTCTGCCTGAAGTGGTCGCGATCGCTTTTGCTTGTCTGGAATTCATCATCGTGTGCGCTGCCATCGACCTGACAAAGATCGGCCGACAGAGCGTGCACTCTGAACCTTTGCTGGCGAGGAGCACCAAAATCACGTTTCAGCTGAAACATAACCTGGCCTCAGAGCAGTCGAAGTCAAGTCGCTTCACAAGCATTGATGGCTGCAAACCTTCAAGTTGCCCATCGAGTTGTGGCGATGCAGCCAACTAATCAGGAGTCAGTGCACAAAGACAAAAACAGCGCGAGACAAGACGCGGGACGGGAGCAGGGCGACATCGGCCTTAGGTACCGAGGCGGAACGTTATTGCCGCATTCCATTCTTGTGCCAGCACATCAGCCTTGAATCCATGGCATGACGGTTGCTCCACATCACGGAAAGGACAGAGCGGTGGAATTCGACGATGCGAATCAAGGATACCAATGCCCTCCAATTTTTTACGTTGTCTTGGCTTGCAGATTGGTCTCAATTAGGGTTGTGGTTGCCAGGATTGTTGCCTTCG